TCAAAGGAATTAACGTCTGTAGGTATGCTTGCTGACAGTATGTATCTTGATCCTTCCTTGGACCCCATCGTGAGATTTTTTTTCCTTTCGGTCTGTATGGAGTGCATTATCTACTTCGAGACGCCTTGTACGCCTATGGGTATATACGGCCTAGTGCGCTTACCCTCTATTTTGATATACCGGCGTCTTAAGAGGTGTTGTGGTTTATGAATGCCGTCTTATTGGTTCATATTGCTGACATTCGACCGCTTTCGATCATCACCAAAATCCCAAGCCAATCCTTATCCTCCACTCACACTTTACGCCTCTGCTTCTTCCAAGACATGACCTTATGCTGTTATAAGCAGCTTGTAGCAGAATTCGGTAGGTAGATAGGTCGACCAAGGAATCCTACGCTGTCTTTTTACTGGTTGGATACTCTACGATCGAATAGATGAGCAAGCAGGCAGACAAGTAGACGACTTATCGTTGCCTATCCTATCGTACGAAACCTAATCTACTCAGCCGCGGCGAGGGTTACATTGGCAAGGCTACTGGCTTGCTTCTCTGCTTACTCCGTAAACCGCCGCAATTTGGCGGGATTGTCCTCCGGCGTACGTACGATCACGTATCGAGAAGGTAATTCCTTTATCTTATCACAGGGTATGAGTTTTAACCTAACCTTCTGTTGGGACAGTTGCCGCGCCGCCGAATCATCATCATCATATGGATTTTGGAGGAGCCGTATGTAAGCTAGCTATGTCTTAAGCAGGTGTTCTGATTTCTAAGAAATAGATAAATTAGGTAGCCATCTTTTAGGCTTTTGGTCATCACTAATTGATCCATATATCATCATCATACAATTGGTTTTTGCTATTTGTGAATGATCTGCTTCCTACTAAACTGATCGACTGACCACTTGTTATTCCTAGGTGCTGATAAAGCAACGCTATTATGCCAATGAGGCTTCACGACGCGTAAGGGCGGCTGCCACTAATGTTTTTTCTGGTTTTTATTTTCTAAGACTTTTTTATCTTTTGGAGTTTCTGACGCGAGCAGGGCTATTTACAAAGATATGTAGGAATATAGATTAAATAAAATTCTGAACGAGACATGTCAAGCTTACATGCATGAAAGCTATGGGTCACTATGTAGGTACGCACATTCAGGGGCTTGGCGCTATGTTCCGTTGGCGTTGGGGAGGATTATAGCCAGTTATAGTGAGGTAGGTACTTAGATTAGTGATGTGATGCTCTATATTATAGGTGAAATAGGTCAAGAGGTGGGCGGTGCTTCCAGTGTTCCCACGAGTCAGATCATAGCTAATCGTGGGGATATATCCGATGCTGTGAAACTTGATTGTCGCGACTGCTGGCGCCATGATTTACTGTATGTACCTACTGCAACTCTGTACATACCCAACGTAGGTACCTAGATAGGCCTACATATAGGTATGTTAGCGAGTGGTTTATCTTCTATCGTACCGTACCTTGGTCTTTTATGGTGATCGTCAGTTCCTGCACTTCACTATGCTCGATGTACCTCCCAGCTGAGATACAACTTGCGGCACCGTTCCCCGCGTTCCTATCCAAGATATACTGCTTTGTCAAGATGGCCGCACCAAGATTGTGGCTTACTTAAACGCCTATTACCGACCCATCAGTAGCTCTTGTCCTGATGATCCTTTCTTCTCACCTCGTATGGTGGAGTTGGTAAGCTTGAAGATTGTCGTTTCAGATACTATCCAAGATAAACCGATCATTATTATGTTTCATGATGTGAGTTTGGTAGGCTGTCAGATTGCGATAGTAAACAGTGGTTCGTTTAATTTCGCAGGCTCGTAACTTGTCGTCATTCTTGTAGAAAGTTCTGACATATCGGATATCACATAGCATTTTCCCAAAACAATTTGCGAAACCACCAAAGTAGCCGTCTGCTTACATATGACGTACAGAACTCACTACCAAACCCCATAACCTATGGCAACAGTACCTAGCATGAACCATATGTTCCTCCGCTACCGTTGAAAGACCCCCATCCTATCCTATCCCCTTTTTCTTGGTTGTATCCCGCTTGGGCGGTCAAAGTTCCGCGATGCATGATATTGTTGCACGATATGTGCAAAGCACGCCGAATCCTACAGTGATAACTTCCTGCATAGATACTGCAGAGAAAAAAAAACGCTCCCCGGAAGCCACTTTCAAGGTCCTTGATTACCCCGACTTTGCTAGCATCAGGGGTGAAGCGAGAAGACATGCTCCGGTTCGTGCCGAGCACGAGGTGAAAAAAAAAAGACAAAGAGCACGAGTAGCACGATACCCTAGAGTGATCATGTCGCAGTCTTGATTATCTTGGTATTACCTAGGAATTGGAAACCGAAGTAGCACGAAATCATGGCATGTTTAGCGGTCCGACAGCGAATAAGCCATAGCGTCGACAAAATGCTCCAAATTCTGGGTATCACAACCCCCCAAAATACGAATTGGATTCCCAAATCAACCCAAGGGGTCTAATAAGTATTTCTTTTTCTTCTACGTGAGGGGGGAAAATAGTTCCCGTACCTTTATACGCCACGCGTCTATCTAATTAGTCCCCTAGATGATCAGAAACAACGTGCGCGTTAGCGTCCGTGGGTGATGAGCGCGGGAGCAAGACGACGGAGCGTATACCGCATCTATCGTAGCCGCGATGGGGATGATCAAGTCTTGACATCACCGAGCCGACGTAGAGATCATAGCCTATTTGCTATCTCCGAAGATGGCTTTTTGTTTTTTGTTTTTTTTTTTCAGCTACGGTGGGCAAGATCAAGCGGATATTGCCTGGGAAACCCGGACGGAACACCCAGTTAGAATGTATGTAGGTCTCGTGTCTAAGACACCCGCGGCGCCTCCAGAAAAGCTTGTTTTCGGGCTCGATGGGCCTCGTGGCGTTCGAAAATCTAGATGGCTACGTAGTTTGATGGGCAAAAATAGGTTGGAGTTGGAATTGAGACACGATTATAGCTAATGGGACGCCGGTCTTAGACACCTCTATGCACGTTTCTTTCCCCCATCAAAAGCCCCGGGGCACAACTAGTGATAGATTAATAGTTATGTACGCAAGGAGGCATAAATATATTTGTGAATGGCTGCACTTAGGGTATGCAACGTAGCCTTTATCGTCTTGTCTATCGATATCATAATCCGGATTCCGTTCCCCGGTGTTCCCACACACCGAGACAAAGACGTCGGTTACTTTTCGCGCGGACAATATTATACGGATATGGGATTGTCTGGAATTCTAGTAATATGTGATACCATATGATACGTATGTCGGACTAGTAAGTTAGTTGGATGTATGTCTCGCTGTGGGAGGTGATGCATTAGTGAGAGGCGTGTGTCCTAGCTGAGTATGATACATCACATACGGCGGCGAGTTTCTGTTCAGCTAGGTATTGTCGGGTCGGCTGAGGCTGTATGTATCCCCCGAGAGCTCATTTTTTGACGTGGTGTTCGTTTTTATAGCCTCCTTTGGTTCAACCTAGAGGTGTAGGACCATACACCGGCCGTTACGTGCGTATTGACCAAAGTAGAGATGGCCAGACTAGCTACAGCCATTTTTATGACCGAATAGATATGAATCAAGGCTCTATGATCTACCCACCGAGCGAGATAGTGCCGTAGTATGCATTCTATATGGGGACCAAAGCCTAGCGACACCAGGGGAACGAGGGGTTGAGAGTAAATGGAATTTGAAATTCGGCTCCGACGATCTAACATTCAGGATGTCCTAATAACACAGAAAGTGCACTGTTGCATCTCAAACTACACTTCAAAAGTGTCAGTAATTTTGGCTCTCAAATGTCTCACCTCCAAACTCTGGCCTTGATGATTTATATCATTTAGAAGTGCGAAATGCGCTTTGATCTTCAACAGCCGTCCTCCCCTAGCAATTTTAGGTCTATCGTAATAGATTGCGCAAAAAAATTAGGGGTTCTAACGATGGCGGCATTGGAGGTTGGAAACTACCTGACCCCCCTATTTCACCTTGCTGGCAAGTCATTCAGCCAGCCACGATTTACACATTTGCGAAAAGATGGTCGGGAACCGCATTGATCGCAACTTCTGAAATGATACAGTATCATTTATTGTTTGTGGTTCGGAATTCCACAATACCTTGCCGTCGCATCGGACGTAGCACGAGAAGTACATCGTGGAAGGGATTTTACCCCTAGGTATAAGCGTGCCTCTACCATCCCCGAGACGTGCAATTTTAATACGAATCGCGCGCAGGCTCTTTAAAATGAAGCGGATAACGTATATATGTTGATTAGACTCAAGAATTGATGTTTTAAAAAGTGTAAAACGATGCATTCGAATCGATGACCTTAAAAAACTACAAAAAAATTGTTTGCTTCTCTTTGATTAAGCGTGTCATCCTTAGTGCAGGGGCCATGCTAATCTTCTCTGTATCGTTTCAAATTGACCAAATGCCCGAAGGCAATTATTGCTACAATTACTAGGGTATATATCTTTACTTTAGGCCGTAAATTACCCGACCTACCAATAGAAATACAGCAAACAAATTTCTCGTGTTATGATTGGATTGCCGTAGAGTCGTACGTACCCAGGTACTTTACTGTGTAAATTGATGCCAAAAGACTTACAATATTTAATGTTCCATGAATTGAATATAAGATGTTCTGGCCATCGCATCCATAGAGGAAAAAAAGATGTCTAAGGTTGAGATTGAAATTATGGAGTCGGCTCTAGGACTCTTTCCATTCTACTCCACTAGGGTTAGAACCCCTAAGAAATTCTACGTATTTCTAACCTAAAGTATCATGTATGACCTAATCTATCTTGGGTTACAGGAAAACTGCCATTCTCACTTGCTAGCGTATGAGAATAACAAGTCTACTAAAGTAGTTCAGAGAGTCACGGCGAGAGTTTCGATATACCCGGAATCTTATTGGGATTGAGAGCTTGTTGGCCTGGGGTGATTGGGGAAAAGGAGGGGGAGGGGACTGCAGTTATAGTTATATGGCACGAGATGTTGGGTGAAAAGGATTGATATGATATATAGCAGGTATCGTACTAGGGAATGTCAGCTTAAATTCGCTAACTGTACAGTTAGTTTTGGTATAATCCTATCTAGCTGAAACGCTCATGGAATGGTGCAATGAACTAAGTATGTAAGGTATATCAATATATCCATAACCCGTATTAAAAGCGATGCGGCGCTGAATCCTGTATCTAGATGACTACATGACGGCACAGGAACCCTTGTTTTCGAGATAACTGATCCTTTCTTGCATTGACGCGGTCGCCTCCTGGTTCATTCGCCTCTCGTCCGCAAGTGTCTTGTTCATATCTTGAATCATCGCATCATAGTGCTGCTTGAGGGCAGCTATGGCAGCCTCGTTATTGTCAGCCGCGGACTGCCTCATCAACTCTTTCGCTTCTTCGAGTTCTTCGCGATGCTGCTCCTTGAGTCGTGAGATCTCAGCCATGATCTCCTTTCCTGCCAATGTATCTTTGAGCGGCTTGTGTTGTTTGCCTACTTCCTCTTGCAATTGTACGTAGAAGGGCTTGTTCTCCAAAAACGAAGATGCGATGCCCCTGGCTGACTGGGCGGATCCATTATGACGTGAATACTTGGCACCAGCTATCATCAAGAGATTCCAGAACTTAGTCTGCAGTTCCTTTTCGCGACTCTCACTCTCCTCTGGGGTGACCCTGTCCCACATGCTGGTTGTTAACACTACATGCTCGAGGTTCTTCTCCCCAGTTAGTTTTCGGAACATGGCGAGGTTCTTCGTAGCATGGTGAGTGATACGATTTTCAGAAATAGGGTGTATGTAGATGATTCCCGACAAACGCATGCGATCGTTATATGCGGCCTTTAGATAGTCGGCGATCATCTCGAGGATTTCAGTATCCGAAAGGTATGTGTCCGAGAAGCCAGGGGTGTCAACAAAGCGGACGACGCGGCCGTCAATGACAGTCTCAGCAACTTGTATATCTTGGGTGCCTTTTGAGTATATTCAGTCAGTCATAAGTGCAGATTTCAGCGTGTTAGTTGATTCTTACATGAAGTAAGGCCGTGACCTATCTTGAGGTCTTCCCGTCCAGTCACCTTTGAGATAAAGGTCGTCTTTCCTGACCCGGTCATACTATAGATTGTCAGCACACTGTCCATCCTAATATACATAATAAGTCGTACCCCATCACAGCTATTAATGCATCTTGCTTGGTCCACTGCTTGTATATATTCTTGAGGTCTTCAAACTGGCTGGTAGGTTTGTTTTCTTCTATATGAAGATTAGATATTGGGATACGCGGGCTATCGGGAGCTGGGCCTGGGACATTGCCGTTTGCGGGATGCCTATGCTCTTCATTCTGAGGTCGTTGAGGTTGTTGAGGTCGGTCTGTTTCGGCCGTTTGAAGAGACGCTGTTGAGTCGTCACGGACCTCAGCTGAGTCAATCACGACGGGTTCGCTATCGATTCTCGTCATTTTGTTGGAATTTTAAGATAATTTGGCCAAGTTTCTGCCTTTTTTCTTGTCAAGAAAATGAAATGTTTTCGACTACCCAACGTCTTAAGTAAGAACTTAAGAATTTAGAAGATTTAGGCAACGATGTATATACCTAAGGCACCTACCTATTGTGTTTACCTTTAACGCCACTGGTTAGGGTTCGCGTTTGCGCACATATGAATATATGACATGTAACCGGTGAAAACGGGCGACCTGCATTGCTATGGCCAACACGAGAACTCGGGTGTTCCAGATAAACACTCCCAATGAAGAAGTGACTGGCCACGCGTAGAATACCGATAGGTCTTTGCAACAAAGGTATTCTATGTAAATGCCTGGATTGCCTGGATACTACTTGCATGTGGTAGTATTACCTAGGCATAGCTGCCTTGTCCAATTTTCGTTTGACAAAGGTTATCTCTAATCACCATCAAAACATGCTAGGTTTGGACACTTTTATATGATATATCATATCCAATGTACAGCTCCGAGCTCCGGGGTGGGGGTGCAGAAGGGAAAGGAAGGGAACTTGCAGGAGACAGGCTGACAGGGAGCTGGAGGTTGGCTAATGACGTAGCAGATGCTAAAGTGGTAGCTTATTCAGGTACTCAACCAGCACTAAGTACACTAAAGACTGCTAAACTAGGTACATAGCTTGAATTTAGTTGAATTCGATTGGATTAATTCGATGGCATCATCTAAGCTAACCAAACATCACCATATACTAATATGCGCTGCCTCTTAGCCTTTTAACTTTTTTGACGACAGAACTTGAAATACATACATGTACCATTAAATTGTCGGCATAGGGGACACAAGGGATACGATAGAGGGTTTGTGTTCCCGCCCATGGCCTCCGGGCGGTCCCCGACAGTGGGACCAGGACCATCTGCTCCAAATTTGCGAGGATCTTCTCCAGTACCAGACCGCTCGCTATCGAGACTATCTTCTCACGATAGAGTCAATGGCATTCTTGAGGTTCGTGCCCACAATGCAATTGTTTTAACTGTTCGGCGATTTCTAGCAGAAGAAAAGAAACAATTGATATCCCGACGAATTCCCTTACCTGGAGTGTATCTGTTCTAATTGACACTTCTAACACCAACCCCTCTTTGATTAGATTGCTAGGGAACGCGCCGATTCTAATCGTTCGCAACAAACGGGAAACAGCCCAAGTATGAACTTTCAGCGTTTACCGAATCGTGATAGCGATGGTGGGCCCGACGAAACGACCAGCATCGCGTCGGCTTGTAACAATACGGTCGACTACCAGAGTACGCGAACGTCGCCTAACCCTAGAAATAGGCGGACTGCGCAACAACCGGAATCTGGACAATCCGCAACGAATGGCACGAACGGTACGAATGGTACAAACCATGAAGAGGAAGAGAAGAATTGGTTAAAACAATGCTTCAGTGGCATGTGGTCTATAGAGCTAGAAAATAAGGGAAGCGTGGCTAGGGATCACTTAGCTTTGGGTATGTTAAGAATAGCCGGTTCACACTTTACTTCTACCCGCGCGCTCGCGATCTGACAATTTTCGATTCTAGAGCGGACCTTTCTTGCTTGGCTTCGAACATCGCTTTCTTTCGCATCAATTGGAATAGCCGTCACCCAGTTGTTTCGCTTGAACACCTCGATAGGCACCGAAGACCCCCGCTTCCAGACAATTCGACACATAGGAAAACCACTCGGCGCGACGTTTATAGGTATATCCATAATAGTGCTGCTGTTAGGATACCGTAGATATTACCAAGGTCAACAGTGGGTTATTAAAGGAAAGTTCCCGGCGTCAAGAGGAACTATTATAATAGTATCGGTTGTCGCATGTGCTCTTATAGTTGTTAGCTTATTTGTGGTGTTATTTACACAACCTACAGGATCTAGTTGAGCAATGTAATTGTTATCCTAGATGTAACAATCAAAAGAATAAAAAAGTAATAAAATATAATGGTCCATTTATATAGTCTAAGTGTACGTGGGAAACTACCATCGGAGTGCTGTAAAAGCGTTTGTTCTGGAAGCTGCGGTTCTCATATTTCGTCCACTTACGTTCGTCATAATAATTTCTAAGTCGACCTTGGAATCTTAAACTCCACCCCATTCATCATCTCAACTTAAATCTTTACAACATATTTTTATTCGCATATCCATGAAGAACAGCTCAATACCTCTGAAATCACGTTAATCAAGGAATTTTATATCTGGATTGATTGATTGATTTCTGCTATCTGATGAGATCTACGTGAGACGAACACAGCACGGACTTTTCGTCCGTCTGTCTACCCACAATGTCCCTCCTAACACAAGCCGTTGACATCCCAGCTTTCGCGCGAACGCAACTCGCACTCTTAGACGCAGAGCTGCAAAGCGAGATACAGGAAACTAGCGGACTCGTCTCCGCCACCAGCCCCGTCTCCTTGCAGCGCGCGGGCCTTGCCCTCATCAACTTAGTCGTAGCCTCGCAACGCACCGGTTTTGGCGGGTGGACTGTGCTAGAACTCGGTCCCGACAGTGCGACCGGTGGTGAATTACCAGAACATGGCTTGCGGACGGGGGATATCGTGCTCGTCTCCGAGCAACCTGCTGGAAGTGCGAAGAAGCGCGAGGTTAAGGACTTGGAGCGCAAGGGTGCTAAGGGGGTTGTGATTAAGGTGAAGAGGGAAACGGTTGCGGTAGCTGTTGATGAGGATAAGGAGGATGCGGCGTCGTTTGGGGGGAGGGTTTGGATGGTTAAACTTGCGGATGATGTTACGTATCGCAGGATGAACCAGACGATGGAGAAGATGCGTGATATGCAGGAGGCCGAGTACTCGGGTTTTATGCGTGTGCTTTTTGGTCTTACGACGCCGTCGCCGGTATCGAAGGATTTGAGGAGGGATGAGGTGTTTGGTGAGGGGAAGATTGAGTGGTTCGATCCGTTGCTTAATGAGTCCCAGAAGGATGCTATTAGGTTTGCGTTGGCGTCGAAGGAGATTGCGCTTATTCATGGGCCGCCTGGGGTGAGTGTTTCTTATGGGTGAATGAAGCCCCTATTTTCATATTTCGATTTGCGTATGGGAACTAACTGATGTCTAATTTACTCGCTTCTACTAGACAGGCAAGACACATACACTCATTGAGTTGATCTTACAATTCGTCAAGCGCGACCAACGGGTGCTGGTCTGTGGCCCATCCAATATCTCCGTCGACAATATCGTCGAACGTTTAGCACCTCATCGAGTGCCTATCCTGCGTCTCGGGCATCCAGCTCGCCTTCTCCCCTCGGTTCTAGGTCACTCACTCGACGTGCTCACGCAAACCTCGGAGGCTGGGCTTATTGTCAAGGACGTGCGCAACGAGATGGACGTTAAGCAAGCCTCAATCCGGAAGACACGAAGTGGGAAGGAGCGTAAAGCTATCTACGCTGATATGAAGGAACTACGGAAAGAGTATCGTCAACGAGAGAGAGCGTGTGTGGATACCCTGGTGCGTGGGAGTAAAGTCGTACTTGCGACACTTCATGGTGCTGGGGGAGCGCAGTTAAAGAATGAAAAATTTGACGTCATCGTCGTTGACGAGGCGGGTCAGGCGCTCGAGGCTCAGTGCTGGGTTCCGCTTCTTGCAGCAAATAAAGCTGTGTGTGCGGGTGATCACTTACAGTTGCCGCCGACGGTGAAGTCAGTAAACTCAAAAGGGAACAAGGCGAAAGAAGTAGGAGGTGGAGATTTGATAAAGGGGATGAGTCTCGAAAGGACTCTGTTCGACAGATTACTGACGCTCCACGGCCCGGGTATTAAGAGGATGCTGACGACACAGTATCGCATGCACGAGAACATCATGAGGTTCCCCTCAGATGAGTTATATGAGGGGCGGCTTGTGGCTGCTGAGGCCGTGGCGGGAAGATTACTCCGGGACTTACCGTACGAGGTTAAAGACACGGAAGATACAAACGAGCCGGTGATTTTTATTGATACACGGGGCGAATGTCCGGAGACTAATGAGGATGAGGACGATAAGGAGAAGAAGGATAATAAGAAAAAGGGGTCGATCAGGTCCCTATTCGGTGAAAGCAAGAGTAATCCGATAGAGGCCAATCTGGTGAAGCAGCACGTGGGGAAGTTGGTTGCAGCTGGTGTTAAGGCGGAGGATATTGCGGTTGTTACACCTTATAATGCACAGGTGAGTACCTAGATATCCTCCTTTCTTGTCCCCTATTCTCAACTACTTCTGATATTGAGGACTTGGCGTCGGTATATTGAACACTATGAACTGACTGGCGTATCTATAGCTCGGCTTCTTAGCTGGTTTGAAAGACACTTTCCCTGGGATTGAGCTCGGGTCCGTAGATGGGTTTCAGGGCCGAGAAAAGGAAGCCGTGATCCTTAGTCTTGTACGGAGCAACACGGAGGGGGAGGTTGGTTTCCTAAGTGAGAAGCGTCGTTTAAATGGTAAGTCGGGATTATCCCACCCGAGATCTTAAATGTGATATTATGAAACGACACAAGGTTAATGGCATGCTATAGTTGCGATGACAAGGCCCAAACGCTCACTAGTTGTCATCGGCGACGCAGAGACCGTTCGAAGGTATGTTTACTATGTTTATTTGATCATCTCCTTGTCACTATTCCCTGCTATTATACCGACACCTATAGTATAACCCTTGCCCCATCTCTATATTTCTCGCCCCCACGGTATTCACGCTTAGGCTCTTTATTGTTTCATATGTTTCTAGAATATCTATCTGACCGTATTATAAGAGGAAGTAAGTTCTTGAATAACTGGATGAACTGGCTTGAAAACAATGCCGATCTTCGTTACGTCGATTTTGACTCGCTACTGGCGTTATAATATGAGATGTGACGAACGAGTGCGCGACCCACTAATTGGGGGCGGGCGAACAGACACCATCTCACCAAGTAACCCGTCTTTCAATGGAAATGGAAGGATGGATTGAAGGAGAAGTTCATCCGAAGTTATGACTCGGCGTGTAGTACGTAATTGTTGGGACACGCGGATGCGACTCTACAATACAAAAATGCAATACTAAGCGATCATATATCGAGTTTTCCTGGTTGCGCGGCTGTTTTGATTTTATTGAGTGGAGGCTACTGTTACTTCGCATATCGTAGATTTTTCCTCCATTCTCATCCCGTTTCCCCCTTTTCCCAGCATATCTTGACATTATATATCCATGATATTTGGTATATTTGGCATGATTGGTAAGGTAAGGGGAAAAACGGGAATGTTTGACAGGACATATGGGACATGGAAACCAATATTTGGACCATAGCGGCGGGTTAGGGGGTGTTCTCTTTGAGAGGCTAAAGAAATGTAGGACTCCCCCAGATTACTCCCCGATGCACTTGCATTATACCAAATTGCTTCATCTGGATAATGTGACAAAACCTGCAGCGCCGTCGATGTTTAGGATTTGAATTGAGCAAAATAAGATACGACTAGGTATGTAGAGCATCGGACGATGACGCTGTGACAAGGTGACAAGAAAGTGAAGAGATGGTACCTGCATATTGAACCGTACTCGTATCCTGGTCGTTTCAGAATTGCTTTTTGCGGCGGGGGGCGGACCGTTCAAGATCCACAGGGCTAGACCTAAAATGATGGGAATCGACTTTTACTTGGAGGCCGGGGGGTCTCTTCGAAATATTCCGGCTGGTGAACTAACCGAGTTATGTATGCGAGTTAGTAAGTGGGTTTTTTATTCACCGCCACGGCGGCACTGTTGTATTGTTGGATTAGACAAACCATGGAATGAACAAATTACTACCTTGATTCTTTGAAAGGGATGAATGAATAAGGAGATTATCTTAGGTAAGTTGGATATCCTCGAAAAGGGAGAAGAAGAGAGAGGATGTTATCTTCAATCTTAGGTAAGGAAAGGAATATATGGGAATTTGGGAATGTAGAACATGTTCGCATTTTCCACTTACAGTACACAGCCCCGTCTCACTTACATACTCTACCTAGATACTCCGTTCGTTGTTACCTACATCATCATGTACATATGTACGTATTAGGACTAAACCATCGATTTACTTGATGGTACCTGCATCACTAGCGGCTCGGAGAAATCCTGCGACTTGTTCTTGGGTCTTGGTCTTTGGTTCGGACTTGGGTTGGCTTCGTAATACTTTTTTAACCTTAGTTGCTTAGATAGGTGGTATGCATATACTAATGTACGTGTGTAGATGTAGGTAGATGCAGGTAGGTTGCCGTCTACTACATCCATTGCAGTAGTTTGGATGCAAGAGACAGGAGGGGAGGGAGATAGATACTCATTGGATCATTGGGTGAGAGCATTTTCCTCTTCTGTTTTGGCTTATCCTATCTTAGGCGCCTCACCTACCTATCTTGAAATCCTTCTATCTTTGGAAGCGCCTGTGTAGTATCATCATCGTATTTCTATATCGTATTCTATTTTATGGTGTGGTGGTAAACTTATTTAGACTTGATCCGGCGAGACATACCTAGGTAGTGGCGCATGTAAAATACCATCAGAGCTGCCGGTGTGGTCCTTGGAATAGTGCCTCCCCCAAAGTCTCAGAATTGAATGAGGTTATAGCACAGCCGCTCGTGGCATTGACACCTTAGTCGCCGACTAGACTAGAGAAAGAGCTAAAGATCTTATTAAGGGACATCCTGGCCCATAGGATTTCCTTCCCCAAGATATCGTCGCAGATCAAACACGACAGGCCTCCATGGGTCGCGTGGATATAGTGTAGCGTAGTGTAGTGTATCAGGGCATTTTCCTCGTGCGTGTGGCACCCCGTTCGGAGACTAAAAAAGTACCTCATACGATCTATGTAAGCAGAGCCTACTTGTAGTGGCGTATGTAATTGTATAACAACGGAGCGGATAGAGCGGAGAGTGAGGAACGTGGTGCAAAATAAAAGGGACGAGGATGGAGAAACGAGCCCCATCCTGGCGTCGGTCGTTAGATGTCGCTAGAGTTGTTATGAGTTAGACTCGTCTTCCGTGCTCAACCTTGGACTCTCTTGGCGGATAGCCGGGCCATCTGCCTCGCGATGTTCAATGTACCTAGCTTCGTATAAGTCGCGAAGTCGCGAAAGTGTGTAATTGTAATTTCAGCCTATGCACCTGAGCTCAACGATTGCTTCGCATTTTTCCTTCAATGAGAGGAGCTGAACGCTTGGGAGTATGATAACGTGCTCAGGCTCTTGATGTTAGAAAGTACCTAACGCAATCGTTTGAACATGATACTCTTCTAGTTTGGGATGGTGTGGCTGAGAGGCACGCCTTGACGTTTTTGTTACCAAACTTTTCTACCTACTTGTCTTAGTGCATCGTGATGAAGAATTTCGAGTCTCTATTCCGTAACAAATACGAATAGAGCACTAGTAAATATAGACATCTCTGATCCTTATATTGTATATTTGATGTAGATAGCTTTTACTAGTTTCGTAGTCTATCGGCAATCTGTTTATCCCTGGTATTAATATCAGGATGATGTCTGTCGCTAACGATTCTTCATATATCTTGAACAACACAAACTTATTGCTACAAATTGAAAAGTTCAACGGTCGAGGCTATTTTCATATTTATTTAGTTGTGGTTAATTATGTATATTATGTACTTAGATATAGCGTATAGAGTTAAAGTATTAATACGAAACGACCATAAAGTCTCCAATCGGAAACACTCTCCGTGGCTCGGATCTATTCGTAGCTATTGGTCTAACCCAAAGAGCATAATACGTTACCCATATAGGGTAATTAGTATGCTCTTGGCACGCATATAAGTGGTTTTCATTTTAATAGAATATACTTATCCATGTAGAAGCGTTACCTGCCCGCCTGCCTACGCAGCTACTGTAAATGTGCCTATCTGGCCTTGTTACAGGGGAAGCTTAGCTTAACTTTAGTAGGAGGTAGGTACTACGTTAGGTAGGTTGGTAAACTAAAGTTGGCTCCCTTGTCAATAAGTAAATCCACCTAAACTATTACTTCTACATATTTTTTTGTTTACTTAACACCTTTCCCCATACTATATACTAGGTACTATTACTACTATTAGTCTCTCACTTATAGATACCCTTACATATAGTTCTTCCATCTGGAATTCGTGGCCTTCTGTCATACAATAGTCTCTGAGACAAGTAAAAGATATTCATCGCTCCAATACAATGCCGAAGAACAGCTCAAACCTGTCACAACCTATTAACCCCCGTCTAATGCTCATGGACTAACTTGGCCCATCGAGACAATCTCAGCCAACACACGGACGGATAGACACACAGACCCCTCGTCAGTACATGCAGGTCCAGGCATGGGTCTCTCGCTACTGCAAGACCACCCCCCTGGACCTTGAGGCCCTGGAGCCCTGGGAGCTCTGGAGGGGGCCCTCAATATCAGAGCATTCCAACTCCCTGGTCCTTCGTCATCCCGACCTAACCTAGCCCTTTTCGAGGACATATGCGGCCCTAGCTTCTGGTGCTTCTGCCCACTTGAAGCCGATCTCTCATTAGACATTGTTGCAGCAGACCCTTCAACAGCGCCTGTGTGCATTGGCCGTTTCATGGGTTAAGCAAGCTATCCCATCCTTATGTTTACCGCTCGCCCCTAGGAGGTTAGAGCAGGTTTAGAGCCTTGCCATCCCACTCTATTCGCTCGCTGCATGCGTACTATATGTACTATATGCACGACTGTGTGGCCGCCGCTTGTCGCAGGAACGCATTCGAACATGCGCTGTAATGGCCGCATGGCCTTTCATTCCCAATCGTCCGAATCCCCATAAACTAGCCAAGCTGCCCTCCTAACCTATACTTCCTTCTTATTGTTTACCTTTGCCACTGTCGACGAGCGACAGACAAGGAGGGGGCAATATCTCTTCACTTTTGATTCGCACATCGGCCTGTACGGCCCTATCGAAGCTGCATTGCTGGCGATGTGGGATGCGTGAGACGATTCCTTATTGTGTCCCAAAGCAAAGGTGGTCAGCCGCGAATTCAAACTAACCACGCCCAAGAGATGAGAAATGGATCGCTGGCCGCCCTCACTCCCATATCTACAATCCTTCTATCATCTCTTCCGTCGGTCACTAACTGTGTAATCCATCATTCCGTGAAACCCGCCTTTCGGCCCCTGGAGACATCATGGGCCTCTTTAGACCTACCACCAGCGTCGGCCGCCCGAAGACCGCCCAGCCTGACCTACGTGGGAGAATAAGCGGACCTATTCCGATGGACGAGGACTTTCCTATCAGAAATATTGGGGCGGGAATAACTCAAGAAGACAGGATAGAGCGGCAACCTGAATCCCACGTCGAAGACCAGCCCAATTCTATTTCGAGGTCGGGAAATACACCTTCTGATGTTGCACGGACAGATAAAGCGGATTCTGTAACGCCGTCTGGACCTAGTCAAGCCTCTTACGTCTCTGCAAGTCCGCGCCAACATCGAGCTACTCGTTCTAGCACTCTTAGGTATTCAGTCGTTAGCGATGGCGAAGACATAGAGCGGCCGCAGCGGAAGAAATCAACACTTAAATCTACGCTCGGCAAACTATTCAAGCGAAAGAAGAAGAGCACAAGCGGGCCGTTCACATCGGAGGCACAAAACGCAGAGACAGGTGATTCTGCACTACCCGAACATGTGAGTACTACATTTTGCTACCGACTGCTGTTAAATTAAAAGCAAATGCTTATGATTCTCTTGTCTAGGATTCGCCAGCCTCAGACCGAGCTCGAAAAGAAAACGAACCAAAACGCTCAGCCTCATTACCGATTACAGAATACAATAAAGCACTAAGGTCACATTCGACCGGCCCCGATGACATCGTAGCAGTAGGCAGTGCTCGTAACTCGCTACAAATAGATCCCGTATTACTTCGGAGAAGAGCTGCGTCATCAAATAGGATTCTAAGCGGGAGAATTAAGGACTTTGATGGAGAATTGATAGGCCTATCACCCAGACCAGCCAGTACTCATGGGCGCGGTGGACATACATCGAGCGATGACGATCCTGATGATATAGGTCGTGCTATCACAAGTGATAGCCATAATAACCGTCGAAGATCAAGGAGTTTATCTCAGCTTCAGGATGCCGCAATTAGTCAAGTCCAGGTACGAAAACGCAGCGACGAAATCCGTTATTGGAGGGCGAGTCATAACCCAGCTATCCTGTCCCCTAACTCGTCTACTGCAAACAATGACGATACGGGAGCTGTGGATGTGGACGTAGTCACTCCGCCCGACTCCCCCCAGCAACTATCTCCAAAGACGCCGCCACAGCCCTTCAACTTTGGACCAATGTTAGGAATGAAGATCACGCAGGCAGCTAGTCTGGAGGATCGTTTAACTGCATTAGAAGTACACAACCAGAAACTAGAGAAACTTGTTTCCCAGCTTTTCCAAGTTATACCGGGCGTAAACAATTATGTGCCGGAGACACCAGGCCGAGAACAGTCTCGGGGTTCCATGGCGCCATCCGCAACGTATACGCCGAACCGCCCGATAGTCAGCGAGAGATCGGACTACATGTCTTCATCTCACCCAACCGAAGAATCTCCAGGATATAGCCATTCCCAACAATCAAATGAATCGTTCGGCGATGGAAACACATTCATCGAATCGGTTCCCCCATCAATGGTACCGCCACGTCAACGACCTACATCTAACGCAACGGTTCGCGGCGCAACAAGCTTACCCGCCTTACTAGGAGAAAATGTAGGACCATTCACCGCGGACCATTATACCACATTAAAAGCCTTATTAGATACCGAGCGAGATGCGCGACAAGCGTTGGAAGCTCGTGTAACCAGGCTTAATCACAGATTTAATCTCCTGTCTCGTACTTCGCACAAGCTAGAGACTGCATCTACTACATACTCCACTGTGTCTGCTTTCGAGCATGATGACGATGAACCCCTAACTGCCGGTGCGGAAACCGAGTCGGAAGCATATAAGACGCCCCGTGAAGAGGAGAGTGGACACGGCTTCGGCGCTTTTGGCGAAGAGCTTCGTGATGAGGAGGTCGATGGCTCCAGAAAGAAGGCAGCCAGGACGCTTTCTCTCAGCCAACTAACTCTGAAGAGGCCATTACGGCCTCAGCAAGAAACTGGCGTGGAGTTATGACTACGCATTACTCAGTCAGGTGCAGGTATATAACTTGCCATTGACTATCAAACATTTAGATTTAGCATGATTGCCCCTTTTTCCTAGGATGCAATTGGACTTTCGGAATGGGTGGCCTTTTTTGTCTTTACCCTTTCGGCGCAACAAGACCCGGTTGGCCTTGCAACGTTGTCTTAGCATGGCGTTTTTGAGATGTACGACTATACGATACGATTTTACCCCTTTCTATCTATTGCACATTTACTATTTTCTTACGAAGTCATCAAGTGGGTGAACTACTTTTTAGTTATTTTTATTTCGGCCCTGTGAAGTAGGAGCTGACGCTGATCTGATCCGTCATTTTTATGTGTTTTTTATACCAATTTATTTACTCATTTTTGAAGCCTGATATTTTATACCAGGTTGAATGTCTCGCATTGCGCGATTGTCTGCTATCTATTTTTTTTGCTTTGTTTTGTTATGGAGGAAAAATTACTTCCCAAATATCATATCATTTTTGAGCGTAGCATCGCTAGAGCAGGGTTCAGGCACGAAATGATACCATGGTGGAAAGCGAAGAGAGGAGAAGAGAAGGAAAAGAGACAGGGAGTGTTGCGGCTGTGTTGTTAATGGGGGATGTCAGAATAAGACAACCTCGTGTAGTGATAGTTCATTAAATGAATGAATTGCTTTGCGTGCATCGAAGGCGCGCTGCTGGTATTCTTGATGACTTGGATTTGCTGTGTGATGTCCTGATTTTGAAATCGGTTAGTGGTATAGCGATGGGCAAGTTCATTGCCTTATAATTAGATAGCTGACCCTGAACCCCCCTAGAAAACAGCTGGAATAAACGCCACTTCGTATTTATACTGGATATTATAGGCCTTCGTGAAGCCGACCGTAACCACTATATACACTATCTTTTTGCCAAACCCCCTATATCAGCCATTCTGAAGCTGATTCCCCTCACTATGCTCACCTATTCCCAACTTCCAGATCAAGCATCAAAAACGACGTCAATAACGAGCCGCCAAGTCCTGCACCCCATGTCTTTTCCTTCGTCCATGAGGAGCTTACCATAGCAATACTACCAAAGCAGCTCTTGCGTGCTTGTTACTAATTGGTCAATTCATGTTATCGCAGGACTTACTATAGATATATCGGAACAGAAGAGGGGAAGCTATGCCTGCCGCCACCTCCAATGTCGGATGCATCCGGCGATGGTGATATCAGAAGGGAGAATGATGCAGGAGGTTATAGTAGTAATTATTGGCATCGTGGGGAAGGTTTATATATATCTAGACATCCTATCTGGTATATCTAGATCCGTTTAGTTTATGCAGGTATTTCTAATGAGAGCCAACTAGCCATATTTACACCACCGCGACAATGAAACTCCGGGTCTTCCCACTTACCTTCCTAACTCTCACCACTGCATCCACAGCACCCTTCTCCTCCAACCCAAACCTCACGCCCCTCCAACTCCGCAAAGCATCACCAGCATCGTCTTTAACATGCGCAGCATCAAGCTGGCCACCGAATACTTCCCTCGGCACCCCTAACGAACCACAACCCCCGTCATCCGTCCTCAGCTCCATACTCTCCGAAATCGACCCCGCGAATATCGAAGCTACGATTCTGAAGCTTGTGTCTTTTGGTACGCGACACACGCTATCGATCCAGAACTCGAGTACGCGTGGTATTGGGGCGGCGAGGGATTGGATACGTGATGAATTTTCTCGATATGCTAGTTCGAATCTAAGTGATGGGCGATTAAGCGTGGAGGTATTGGGGTATACACAAGAAGCCGATGGAGATCGGGTTTTGAGTCCGACGGTGATTAGCGATGTAGTCGCCACGCTGCAGGGCACGGAGGAGGGGAGGTTGTATGTAGTTTCCGGACACTACGATTCCCGCGTATCCGACCCGTTGAATTATGAAAGCGATGCACCGGGAGCCGACGACGATGCGTCGGGTGTAGCGGTGGTGTTGGAACTTGCGCGCATACTGGCGCAGACAAAATATCCCCGTCCGAAGGCTAGTATTGCGTTTACGGCGGTTGCGGGTGAGGAGCAGGGGTTGTATGGTGCGAGGTATTTGGCGCAGACTTACGGGAATGCTACGCCGAGGGTTAATGTAAGTTCATCGTCCTTTTGCAAGATATCCATTATGCCTCTTCACACGAACACGTCTAGTGAGCTATCATGAAGCTAATAGTATTCGCATGGATACCAGGTCGAAGGTATGTTCACAAACGACATCGTAGGTTCCCCCCGCGGCGGCGCAAACGGGGAATTCAACGACCCGTACGTAATCCGACTCTTCGCACAGGGTCTTCCTCCCCTCTCCGTCGAAAACAGTACGACCCGCGAATCACGCCTTACGATTGGTGGGGAGAACGACACGCCCGCGCGCCAATTAGCTAGGTTCGTTAAAGAGGTAGCTGAGAACGAAGACACGGGGATGAATGTCTCGGTTATATACCGCGTAGATCGGTATCTTAGGGGTGGTGATCACCGTCCGTTTCTTGAGGCTGGGTATCCGGCTGCTAGGTTTACGGAACCGCATGAGAATTACGCGCATCAGCATCAGGATGTGCGTGTTGATCATGAGGATGGTGATAAGCAGTATGGTGATTTGCCTGAGTTTGTGGATTATGAGTATGTGGCCAGAGTGGCTAAGGTTAATGGCGCGGCACTTTGGAGTTTGGCTACGGGGCCCGGTGCGCCGAAGAATGTGAGGGTAAACACGGCGGCTTTGAGTAGTAATACCACGCTCTATTGGGATCCCCCGACGACCGGGTATGATGGTGGGTATGAGGTTGTATGGCGTCCGACGAGTGCGCCGTTTTGGACAGGCGTGCTAGATGTTGGAGCTGTGGTTGAAGTTACGGTGCCGTTGAGTAAGGATGATGTGGTGTTTGGGGTTAGAGCGAAAGGGGTTGATGGTTTGCGTGGTGTTGCTGTGTTGCCATTTCCTGGGTCTGGACGAGACTGACTATAGACTCTTGTGGTACTGATTCAAGGGCTGTGTAGTAAGTCTTAGATGAAAATTAGCAATGAAATAACCGACACAGCACTAACTAGTTGCTGCGAAATGCTATATTAGCGTTTTACGAGTAGTCTTGATGTTGACATTCTATCTAGGTAAGGGTGGTGACACATGTTGCGATTGGATAGCTTCAACACATGAAATTGCGGTCATGGCGTTTGAATATGATCTAGGTATACTCTTGATTTGAAACGTCACTTTTGAATCCGAGTTACTGCTACTAGACATACATTAGTTAGTAAGTACTTGTAAGTTGATGAATTTGTTGAATTTGTTCAATTTCATCAGAGCAATAGACATGATAAAACTGTGTAAATAAAGAAAGTTGTATTAGAAGTGGATTAGACCCCGATCGACAGGGACGTTGGCATTATGTAAAGATGATCAAGGACAGGGTCTCTAGCTCAAAACTTAAATGGCAACATCCTTCCCGACAGTTATGATGATGCTTATTCCTACTCTAAATAATAGAGTTAAGTTACTGACAATGACGTGAGAGAAAAGTAACTACCTAGGTGCATTCAGCTAAGAGCAATAGAAAAGTTATGATGTTTCATAAGGTGCAGTTATGTCTTTGTTTCCTTACTTTTTATCCGACCGATCGTCAATCTTCCAAAATTATAACAAAATACGTAAATACGTACCTCTTCGTGGGGTGACTATCACTTACCCAAATCTACTAATATCGTCAGGGGGAGATTGAGGCTTTGAAGAACCTAGCATTCTGATGTGAAACTTGTTTGCATTCCAACGAGTCAGCAAAGTCTTTGTCGCAACGGCCGTTCGCCCGCCCGTTTCAATGTCTTATCTAGCGATTCTCTCAGGTTAGATGCAGTCCCGTCAATCCCAATTGTCTGCCTTAATTTCGCAAATATGGCCTTTCGACGACGCTTCTGGCTCCCATTCGGGATTGCGACATTGCTTCTTTTCTGCTACTATTCCTGGTTAACCGGGGATGCTTACCAATGGGCGGGCGCTGGAAGCCTATCACCGTTAACGCATAGGCCACATGTCGACCCGAAAGCCTTCGACGATGAGGATTATTTCTGGAGGAAATTGCCTACGCATTATCCCGTTAAGGATATGGGAACATTCCCAAATGGCAAACCACTCACACTCCCCAAGATCCAGGTGGTCTTCGGTGAGGAATCACGCGGTGATAAAGCCGCTCGGGAACGAATGCTAGATGCTGTTAGGAAAGAGTTTCTTCACAGTTGGCATTATTATAAGACCAAGGCATTCATGAGCGATGAGTTGGCTCCTATTAGCGGAAAATCCAAAGACACATTTGGAGGCTGGGGAGCCACCTTAGTCGACAGTCTAGATACGTTGTGGATTATGAACCTAAAGGAAGAGTTCGAAGAAGGTGTTGCTGCTGTTGTCAACATCGACTTTGAAAACAGTTCACTCGAAAATGTGAATGTTTTCGAGACCGCGATTCGCTATCTGGGTGGTTTCCTCTCGGCTTATGACTTGAGTGGAGATCAACGGTTGCTGCGCAAAGCTAGAGAAGTCGGCGATATGCTTTATAAAGCATTCGACACGCCGAATCGCATGCCAATCACCCGATGGGATTTTGACTACGCTAAACAGGGAGGGCAACAAGAAGCGCCCGGAATGTCATTGCTTGCCGAAGTTGGTTCTCTATGTATGGAGTTCACCCGCCTATCTATGATAACCGGGAATCCGAAATGGTTTGACGCCACCGATAGAGTCAGGGAAGTCTTCGAAGAGCAACAGATGAAGACGCAACTACCCGGCATGTGGCCCTTTACGTTGAACCCTCGAGATAAGATATTTACCGCAGACAACACATTCGGACTTGGAGCTTTGGCAGACAGCACGTATGAATATCTACCGAAGATGTATGCTCTGACGGGTGGACTTTTGCCTTCTTACAAGAAAATGTATGAGGAATCAATGAAGACCGCTCTTAAACATCTGCTATTCCGACCCATGGTTCCGGATTCGGCCAATATACTCATATCGGGTACCGTGCATACAGAGCAAGCCGACGGGAAGACGAATTTCAACTTCGATTATCAAGGTCAGCACTTGGTCTGTTTCGCCGGTGGGATGCTAGCAATCGGCGGGAAACTGTTTGAGAAATCAGAGCACCTGGATGCAGCTAGGAAACTAACGGATGGCTGCATATGGACATATAAAACGATGCCACTCGGTATAATGCCTGAGACATTTTTCATGATTCCTTGCGACCCGAGTAAGGAGTGTCACTGGGATGAGACCCAGTGGAAGCAAGCCGTTTTGAAACAGGCGGGTGAGCGCGATCTGACAAACATGGACAAGGCAGACGACATAATCGCCAAGTCGAAACTTCCGAAGGGATTCACGGAAATCACTGAACCTGATTATCTCCTAAGGCCCGAAGCTATAGAAAGCGTCTTCATCATGTACCGTACGACTGGTCGGCGCGAACTCCTAGAGACGGCTGAAGCTATGTTCAACGCCATCATAAAGTATACGGAGACGCGTTATGGCAATGCTGCCTTGAGCAACGTCAATGTTGATGACAACCCCCCGAAGAAGGATTCGATGGAGAGCTTCTGGCTAGGCGAGACGTTGAAGTAAGTTTGCCCCGAGATACCCCAATTGCAATGTCATAGCCGCTAACTGCTGTAGATATTTCTTCTTAATATTCAGCGATCAGGACGTCATTAGCTTAGACGAGTGGGTGTTCAACACGGAGGCCCATCCGTTTAGGAGATTAATTCGATGAATGCTTTCGTAAGAATGTAGCAATGTATTGTATTATAATGGGTTTCAATGGAAGACTAGGTAGATCTCGGGTTTAAGGTAATTGGTTGGTAGAAATATGGTCGGTGCATCCATATTGTAAGATAGCCAAATTAATGGAATTTTGGAACGTCTATACTCTATAGATTCATTTGAGCTTGAATCTTCAATTAGCGGTGTATTTCAAGGTCAATGCGGATCAACGTAACGTCCTTTTGAAAGGAGCAGTTGTGGAAGTTGCCGGTGCGGCGCAGATTCTATATCATGTCGGTGAGTTGCTTTTGTCTAAGTGATGAATATATTGACTTCGAGTTAAGTATAAATGGATCGTGGGGATGTTTACCTACCGAATATGGTAGCGATTATTTGCGGAGTTGCCAAATACGCCCAATGTGCGGTACCGAATCGGTCAACATTGCTATGAAATGAGACCATATCGTTAACGTCGCAACCGATTTCTATATATGAATCTGTAAGACTACAACAATTGTAGTGGCTGACGTGCATCCACAATCATGGGAGATGTTGAAGGAGTAGTATGCGAAACCTGCATGTTGTGCTTCCATCGCATCACGACGGAGACACCAAACTCTTTCAACATCCCTCATCATCAAGAGTACGACGCGTTTGTGAAAAGTGAGGATAATGGTTGTTTCACTTGCAATTGGTTATGGGCAAAACACACCCCGCCCCAAAGCACTGATGAGATTCGTCGAGATAATGTTGGAGAGTTCAAGATATCCTTCAAAGTAACCGGTAACAAGGAGATATGGAGGACGGTGTTCCATGTGGAATGCTCCTGGGCTGCCGATACGGATCTAGAAGGTATGTCTCACGGATCCTGAAAGACCATGAAGCAAAATGCTTACGATGGCTTAGTCTATATGTCGAGAAAGAAGGAACGCATACAGGATTGGGGTTGCTCGCATCGCATGCCGTGGAGTGATATTGAGGCTCGCCCTTGGTCTACCTTCGACCCCAATATAGGGTCTAGCCAGTCCCTCGGCACAATACAGAACTGGATATCGACCTGCCAAACGAATCATAAGTACTGCAAGCCCCCTCAATCGGAAAGCAAGTTTTTCTTTCCAACGCGAGTTATCGACGTTGGGAAGGCCGATCGTGGTATAATATCCTTACGGGGTAGAGATGAAATCATAACCGAAGGTGGCACTACAGAGAAAGAGATGAATCAGCAGACATCGTCACCCGACAATAGGCCAATTTACTGGTCCTTATCGCATCGTTGGGGTGATCCGACTAAGATCCGGCAACTTCTAAAGACCACGGAAAGTGAGCTTCGTAAGGGAATATCCTTAGACGACGTATCACCCACATTCCGCGACGCCGCTCTCCTTGTTCACCGCTTAGGTCATAGATATATCTGGATCGACTCACTATGTATCTTCCAAGACTCGGCAAGTGATTGGCAAAAAGAGGCTGGTACTATGAAGGATGTTTATCGCAATTCATTTTGCAACATATCAGCGATATGTTCCTCGTTTGATCCTACCAGTACCGGCCTCTTTGGAACAAGGATGGCCAAGTCAAGGCTCTTGTACCCATTTGTGGTGAATTTGACTAATGGACCATGGATTGTCTGGAACGATTCCATTTGGTTCGACGATGTTAATGGCGCGCCTCTCAGCACGCGGGGTTGGGTCGTACAAGAGCGATTTCTGTCCCCGCGAATCGTCCATTTCACGAAAAATCAAATGTACTGGGAATGTTTAGAAAGCACCCACTGCGAGACCGACCCTACGGGAAGCCTTCTGATTCTGAGTAGGGATAAGGGCAAAAATAATGTGATCAGGGAATACAAAGATCCGGGCTTACAGCTGGCCAAATCTCGAGCAAGACTAGCTGGTATTGATGTTGGCGGGGTTGACGAATCGACTGCAAAACACTTCCATTACCAGCATTGGTACGATATGGCTTCGACATACGCGTCATGCGGTCTTACCAAGGAGTCTGATAGGCTTATTGCTATGTCTGGTATCGCCAAAACGTTCCAGGAAGTTAGTGGTGATAAATACTTAGCCGGCCTCTGGGAACGCAAAATTGATACCGAGCTCACTTGGATAACTAAAGCCGGAGAGGGAGCCCAAGTTCGACGAAGCGAGTCTTACGCTCCATCGTGGAGTTGGGTTTCTGTCACGGGAGGTGGCGTGGAAATCAAAATCCCCGGTGAAGTTGCCATTAATACGAAACCCTTGTTCAAGCTTGTCGACATGCGAATTGTGACGGAACCTCCCGGTGGGGATACTACTGGTCTGCTTCGTTCAGCAGAGCTTCACATCGAGGGCGCGGTATATCCTTTTAACTGGGAGGGTCAGTCTAAGAAACTCCGGTTGTCTATTATCGGCGAGGATAAGACGCGATTCTACTATCCACTGGATGATAAAAATAATAACTTGATCCTTGACACATCGGATCTAGTTAAAAAATTTGCGGAGGGTGATGACGTCGAAGGCGTGTGCGTTCCGATATGTGAATCGTACCTTGGTCCGGGAGGGGCTACTAGACGGTACCTTGTATTGGTACATGATTCAGGTGATAGATATAAGAGGATCGGCCTTTTGAGATGGGGATTTGTTGGTCCATGGAATAGACATATACCTGATCCGGGTACTCGCATCACACTTATATAGAATTGAATTCATTTAATTCTGAGACTATTGTCTTGTAAATTTTAAGATTCAATAGAAACTCCGATAGTAAGAATGATGAAAGATGTACCTTTAATAAAAGTGGATTGATTAGTAATAAACTCTATCTTATCATACCCCCCACGCGCGGAAACAGCCTTACACAGATTGATTGCCATGTCGCATTTTCTCTCCTCTCAGCTCCTTCTCCTCAGCTGCGCCGAAAAGAATCACATACCTAATTCACAGTTGCGACCTCCTTAGTCCATCCTCTATTAACCGAAAAAGGGGGACGAAGTTCAACTAGCTCTCCTATGTGAAACAAATGCCTAAATAAACATTCGACAAATTAATTACATTTATTTAATTGATATCTTATATTTTGTATACATACTTCGATTTTGTCGCATCCCATCATAATCGCATCGCACGCATCGCCATCGCTGTCGTCATGCCGGACAAATGGGTAGATTGGAACAAGACCACCCGGTCTAAGGACTACCGGGGGTCAGCTTCTTTTGCGACCTTTATGATTATAGGACGTACGTCTATCTTTCTGAGAATCTAATATTTTCATTTACATCCATCTCCCCCACGTGGCCCAATATAATAAGACAAACTGGCCTATACCTTCTACATAGCACCACAACATTTACCACCAGACCAAATACTAACCCGCAATTACTATAGCAACATGTTTCTTCCTCGGCATCCTCTTCGCAATGTTCCCCTACGACTTCCCCCTCCTATGGACCAAAGACCCTATCTCATCCACGTACCTCGACCAACTCGAAATCCATCTCAAATTCCTCCACCAGTCCCCACCACTCATCGCGCGCGTTCTAAGCATCATGGTCGGCATCGGGTTTCTAGGCTTCTTCATCAAACTCTTCCGCGCCTCCGAGTCTAACATGCTATTCGACGGCGCCTCCCTCGTCCTGTATTTAATCGGCGTCGGCGTGTATATCGCGAACATAGTTAAGGGCTTGCGACTTGTTAGCGCTGGCGCTTGGAATACGGAGACTGGAGGCGCGCCGTTTGATCCTGTGGCCGTGGGTGTGGGTAGGCCTGGGGTTGGGGGCGGGGATCCGTTGACTGGTGGGGAGATTATACTTGGTCGTGAGGATAGCTTGAAGGTTATGGCTGCTAGTAACACGATTCTTGCGCTTGTCCTTGTGGGTGTGCTGGTCCTACAGGCTGGTCAGTGGTATGCTGAGCGCAAGGATAATGAAGAGTATGAGAAGCTTGAGATGGAGAAGGAGAAGTCGGGTCCTAGACCATCCAGCCCGACAGCTGAGAAGACGAAGAAGAAGCAGTGAGAGAGGGATATGCGAAACAAAAGGAAGGGATGGGAAAATGGGGGTGTTTTACTTTTATTCATTCTAACTCGGGTCTTCTCGGAATGCTCGAGCGCAGGGGGTGATACTTTGGTTGTGGACGTATGTATAATATAAAATGCATTGGAGGCATCATCTTCTCTTCATTAATCTGCATGTTAGTAGTTATAGGGTAAGTTATTTAGGGGAGGAATGGGTGAACAGGTCAAAGCATGAGGGATGAACGTGTTCGATTTGAGCAAGAATCATCACGCTTGTACGAAAAGAACGAAAAAGTACCGCTATATTGAGCACATGAATTTGAACGCGTCTACGAACGTAGCCCTTCCAGTCTACCTTCACCTTCAAAATAGCGAAATCTACAGTTACATGAGTGTCTAGGTGGCCAACTAACCAACAAACTTTCCAACCTCCAGTATGACTATTATCATAATCTACTCTTACCTTGGTAGTGTAGCCCACTAAATACATGTAATAGGAACAGACGTGGCAACGGAGTCATGGGACAACTAGCTAGTCTAACCTATCTAGTATCACGTGCCATAGCATCGACTTGTGTACTTAAGTATCAATTTACATATCAAGAGGCACATGCGTACATACAAAAGAACATATGTAAATTCAGTAACCCTTCAAGGGGCAGCGCATATTCATATTTACAATCTCCCCAGCGCTCACCGGTCTGTTCAACGATCCCTTACTAAAATAAAATATCGTAAAAAATAAAAGAAGGTGTTCCATGAACAAGAAGAGAAAATGAACGCCGAGTATGCAACCGCCCTACCTTGCCTTTACCCTTCCCGCCTGCTTAACTTTCCAGTGGTATCATATTATCCCATCCCCAGAACTTTTCCCCGCTCCGTCGAAAGCGACCGACTTTCTGCTATGCCATAACAAGGGAAAGAATGAGAGGAATAAAAATAAGACCGAAAAAAAGGACAACGCCAGCCCATGCAACCCTATAAAGCCTGCCATGCCGTAAATCAAACACCCAACCTTCAACGAACTACTGCCTCCTCGAGGGACCCGCATCACCAGTACCTAGATTTGTATTCCTCGTCGCGGTACTAGCTTTATGCTGGATATTCGACCACGTCGTAGCCGTACTATCCGGCCTCTCACCAACGCCCAACCCAGCGCCAAGCCCCGCACCAAGTCCACCACCACCCACCGTCATCGGGTCAGCGAAGATATTTATACTCTCCCCTTCACTCCCCGACCGCCCGCGCTCCCTACTATCCCTATCCGCAGGCGTAATAGTAAGCAACGGCGCCGGTACCACACCAGGCGAGTAATCGCGATGCGTAGGATGCGGATGCGGACTGTGCTGCCTCCCCACATTCCCATTCCCATTCCCATTCCCATGCGTCAGACTCCTCAACCCCGTGATCTCAGCCGAAGCATGATAACTCCTCGCCGGCCCAGACATGCCACTCCCAGGCCTGCCCGCAAACGGCGAGTAGGGCGCCATAAACTCGCTATCCCCTCCATACGCATACCCGAACTCCCCACCCCTAGGCGGCGACGCCACAGCCGTAGGCGACGACGCCGCGGTCTGGGATTGGGATTGGGATTGTTTCGCCAGAAAATCAATCCTTTGGTTCGGATACTGGGAATGGGGCACAGGTGCGCTGATTATATTGCCAAAAGACGAAGTCGAGGAGCCCCGGTGTAGTTGTTGCATTTGTGCGTTTTTCTTCTTCAGGGCTTGTTTACGTCGGAAACGGATTAGGACTACGGCGGATATGATTAGGACGATGCCTACTATGCCCCCGATTACACCGGCGACTATGGTGACGGTGTGGGATGTGCTGGAGGTGGAGGGGGCGTCTACTGTTGCGGCGCCGGTTGTGGAGGTCGGTGTTGGACTTTCGCCTGCGGAGGAACTGGTTGGGATACCGCTTACTGCTACTGTTGTCGAAGCTGCTGTTGTCGGTTTGCCGGTGGATGAAGTATGTGTCGGAGCCTTTGTGGTTGAAGACGAACTAGGCTTATCCGGAGTCGGTTTCTCATTCTGATTCGCCTCCTTGACACATATAGTCCCTCCATCACACCGGTATCCGAATGGGCAGCAAGAATTACCGCAGGAAGCGAGGGTGAAGCCATCGAGAGCCGTCGTCTTGATTTCGGCGGTCGGGTTCTTCGAAGCATCTTGGAGACCGAGATCGCATGTTATGGGACTGATCTTGTCGCAGTTGCTTCCCTTTGGACAGCATAGTACTGTTGTGTTGCCCGCCAGTACATTACATGTTGCTCCTGTTTCGCAGCAGAAGTTGTCTGGTAGTCCGGATTGCGTGCATTCTGAGAAGCCGTCTGCGTTGCATGTGCTATCCGCCCGACCGAATAGAAGCTCTCGTGAAGGTAGTTGACCGATATAAGTGGCTGACGCGGACGCTGCAAGCAGCGCCGCCGCCGTTGTGAGTCGAAGAGCCCAGAGGGGGCCCAATATCCGTGGCATAGGTAAGTCTAATTAATAGGAAGGCAACCAGGCCTTGTTTGTTTTCCCTTTTCCTCCAAGTTTGCCCACGGATGGTGTTCTAGGTAGCTAAGGGGGGGTTTGAAAATACAAGTTTATAAATGGATATTTGAAATTATGAGACGAGTGGTATTAAAACAACATATGTACTGAGTATGGTGAAATATGTGATTATCAAAGTAAAAAATGTCCAAAATCATTCAAGGAAACTCGATCAGAAGCCAAGATATGTGGAGGTGTGACTTAGAAATAGTATCTAGAAGAGTCACTAACGAACAATGAGGCTGCTCGAACGTTGAGTCGAATGATAGATTGAAAGGACATGAGACGAAAATGCGTATGACAAAGATTCGAAACAACAACTGAAAAATACGACTACAACAACGAATTTCGATACACGCCCTATGAATCATACTTACGTCCCTTGGTATCTTTTGTTTCCACTTTGTTCGGCCATTGTTCATCTCCTTAGGCTCCCTTGGTCGGGAGAAATCCCAGAGATAGCAAACAATTCAGTCGCCTGACTCAGGCGATGAAGACCTCTCTGGTCCAACGAATGCGACCGGATGGGGGTCTTCAAGATGATGCCCCGGAATATGCGGCGGGATGCGCGCAATCGACTGGATATCTTCATCCTAAAAATAATCAAATGGTAGAATTAGTTGCAGAGTAGATCTACACCCGCTAGCTGTAGATTGCGTACTACATTTGGGTACTACGGGACTGAGTGGATGTAACAAACTTCCCAGGTTCGATGTTGAGATGAGGCAAAACGAGTCTTGGACGACGAGGGTATCACTAGAATGAGAGGTTATTATGAGGCGAATCGCCCAAGTTGTCCTTAGTAAGTGTTCTTGTTGGGCGGTTACAGGGGCGCCAAGTCACGACAATAGAGAAGGAGAAGCAATTTGATGTGTGTGATTGGTCCTAAAAAGATTAGTGACTTTCAAATTAGACGCGACGAACAAAGATACGCGTCTCTGATTGGTTAAAAGGAAATCAGTGTTTCCTAATTTGGTACCAAATCTAGTAAATCTAGACGCTGATTGTGTGACAAGGATTCCCGTAAGATCCCTGATGAAGATCCACTATAGTATAAACCCTAAGCAAGCCGGGGAGGGGGTTATGTATTTTTGTACACATTCCGAGAATTGCCGTTCGGGTTTTCATCAACTCCGGTGGCTTGGACTGCGCCTACACCACACACACACACACACACACTGAGATAATTAGGTATTCCTTCTGTAGATACACAGCTAATTATGTGTCGATAGTGACAGTGTTATGTAACCTATGCGTTCATTCCTTCAATGCTACACACACGAGCCTCTTGGTAACCCAATAATCCATCGATGAGAGGCCTCCATATGCACGACATTGCCCTACGCCACGGCAGGAACATCCTCTGAATCGAACATTCTGGTTCGGCGCCCTACAAGGCCGTCGGTAGGATTTGTGATGTGTAAATCCGTCATTAACAACGTTGCTGTTAGACCTGACCCAAGGCCCTGATCGCGGAAGGCAATCCTTGCATTCCGTTGTCACCGAGAAACACGTTGTTCTCGTTTCTAACAACATTCATATCTTCACTGCCATCATCAGTCCAACGGTAAACATACACCGTACTTAGGCCTAACTTCTTCGCAGCCCTGAGGTCATACGCATGGGCTGCAACCATAACGGCCTCTTCCGGCCGCACGCCGACCAGACGCATTGCCTTCTCGTAGGCCTCCGGCGCCGGTTTATAGACGCCTAGCAGTTCACTAGAAAACAGCATACTGAAAGTGCCATCCAAACCAGAAGAACGGACCAGGTCAAGTTGTAGCCTCGTGGTTCCATTAGCCAACACAAACAACTCCAGGCCCAACTCATTCTTTAGCGCGGTTAGCGCAGGCTTAACATCCGACCATGAGGCCATATTGTGCCATGCTCGTACAGCGCCCTCAATCGCAGGGACCGTAGTCGCGCTGCCGTCTGAGGGAACACTTGTAAACCCAACGAAATATTGCCGCTCTCTTTCATAAACATCCCGATTTAGAATCCGGAGCAATGTTCTGCGATGTGTGACGTCAATATCCTCAAGCGGTAGACCCTGCGCCGACCGCGCATGCACCTCGCTGAAGAATTCTTCTCGCCAGTTAAGTGCCAATTTCGAGCGGGTAGACTCCGCTATAGCGTCTGGTAAGGCTTTGATGACTCCGCTGTGCCAATCGAGACATGTACCCATGAAGTCGAAGAATACGGCTTTGATTATTGGCGCCTTCCGATGGACCTCGGATGAAGAGTGCGCTTGCGCTTGCGACATGGCAGCTAGCCTTATGACAACTCACCGTGGTCTTTGGCGTAGTGATCCTAGAAATTGAGTCATACCACCAAGGGTCCCGGATTGATGCACGAAACGGTGTGGTCGGTCTGTGAGGGTGAACACTTAACCTGGTAACTAGAATTGTTGGATTCCCATCAGGCGCAGACCGCTTCAGGGTTGTGCGTGGAATTTTTTTCAATTCTTTTTTTCTCGCCTACGAGCAGAGAAACATAGATCATCGCCTCATTTGTTGCCAGCATGACAAAATTCCCACTTGAACCCCGTACCTGCTGAATTGAATGGGGCCCTGCCGTCGTTACCTAGTAGCCGGGTCGGCGCATTATGCGTTGTGTAAATTGCCGTCCCGTGAGCATGTGGCTTCGCAAAGTTGGCAAGTTTCAAGATTGTTGCCCAAGGGTCGGAAGAAAAGATCGGATGAAGAGCCATTTCAGCTTAGCAGGGGAAAAAAAGAAAAAGAAAAAGAGGGATCTACTAATACGTCATCGGTTAAAGTAAAGCAAAATCGAAAGCACGGTCTCGAACGAACGAATGCATGAATTTCTTCGCTAGCACAGCCCACTATCGACACCTGAACTATTCCATGGCTTGCCTTGCTAGGATTGATTGATTTCTCGCGTGGTTTTTTTAGTTGATCTACGATGTAGTGGAAATTTACCCGCTTTCACGCGACAGCAACGCCGCAATTTACAGCGTACAATCAATTAAATCTGCCTTGCACCTTGTCGCAATAGCAATATCAATTGACATACGCAGCTGAAAGTGAAACCCCACAAACAAGTTCGTACATAACATACATAACATAACATACATCGCATACGTACGTATGTCTCTTATCTGAACCGAAGAAAAGCAGTAAGAAAAGCCTCTTCAAACCGATCGGATTGCTGAATTGGGTAATAGGCGGGGGAAGGAGGAGGAGCGGGAACGGGGATGCTAGTGTTAGTTTAGGTAGGTAGACGATCTTAGAATCCATGTCATGCCCACACGATGCCTTTGCGTGAAACCCGATGGGGGATCGTCGGTCGTTGAGAATTGGGCGTCGAACACCTGACTCATTTTTTTCTTCATTTTTTTTTTTCTTGATCACGAGATCATCCACCTTGTTCACCGCTCAGCTTTCTTCATATCCGGGTTCGGCGTGCAATTGTAGCAAGTCAGGTTCCACGGATAGTAAGGCAGATCAACGTTGCGGCTTATTTTGTTACCTGCTCAGCTCAGTTGGTTATTGTTAAGTTTCAAAGGAATAACCAAAGCAAACAAGCAAGACAAAAGAAGCTAATTAGGTCAATTGGTCAATGTTAATTCGAGTTAATTTAGACTAATTAGTTCAAGACAATTAAGTCAAAAGAATATACTATATTAATAACAATGCTATTATTTACCCAAGTCACAAGGCAAAAAGAAGTACTTATGTTTTATTTTAATTTTTATTTTATTTTATTTATTTTTTCTTTGGTGCTATTATATTACAACAACTGCTATTACCCTCGGGGATTTTATGTCGCCCGAGGGTTCTAGGAGGCGGGGGACAATCATTAGCGGTGCCACCCCTTAAACTATCCTTTTGAATCTTTCCCATCCAAAAGGATAAAAGTGTGAAAAATGCTAGGCCTATAATCCAGAACCAATGCTGAATCCCCGAAACACCGAATGGCTTCAAATTGCCCACGATAAACTCCCTTCGTGACCCCCCTCCTTTCCAATGCATGCAATGGTATATATGGTCTGTGATTCGACGATGATATCAACAAATAGGAGGAATAAAAGAAAAAAAATAAAAGGGAATCGATAGAATAGGAAATGAAATCGTCGTCTCCTCGTTAAGCCGTAGCAAGGTTCATTACCTCCCAAATCGTGCCAACTCACTCCAGTTGCCCACGATAAAATAATGATGATATATCCAAATAAATATCCCTGAAAACCCTTCCGCTTCCTATTCCAAGTGTCGTTCCGGTTGCCTTGCGGCATCCTCTCTCTAGTGGGTATTATGATGATAGTAAAAAAAAGTAATAAAAGAAAAGAAAATATTTGTAGCGTGGCCAACCGTAGCCAAAATGCAAAAGGGACTAGCAATTTCCTGCATTGCCCCGAAGGCCACCCTTAGTAGATGAGGAGAAGTAGGACTACCTTCCTCAAGACCAGCTATGAGGATTAGATCAATAGGTAGTCCCATCCCCTCATCTGCATAACATCTCTCCAGGAGATGAAGGGCGCCTCTGGGGTCCCATTTGCACTAGGACTCGGTTGGCTGCTGTCGGCTTGTTGCCAAACCTCTTGCAAAAGCGAGACAACGCCGCCGAAGCTGCCATAGTTAGAAGCGTCGCCAAGCTGTGCAATGCGGTCGTTGAAAAATTGTCGGAAGCTGGAGTTCATTCCGCTGACGGATCCGCCAATTAGGTAGACCCAAGCGAGACTTCGGTCGTAGCCACCAGGACCAGATGGGATGAATTGTAGCACGTTAGTAAGCTTCTCCACGAGGCCGACGCAGCTACCTTGGCTGGGCGAGAAACCAGGGACCAAACTGCAGAGGTAGATGCGTGCAGCGAGTCGGAAAGCGCTGGTGATGTTCTTGCTGAGTTGTTTCGGGCTAAGAGAGCCATTGGCGTTGAATGGCATTTTAGGACCGCAGTCATTAGCCTCAGTCAATCCAATTTGGTCGCCTAGAGCGTGCACGTGCTGGCAAAGAGTAATGTCGTCCATGCCCTCCTTCTTGAGCGCCTCAAGGCAGGCAATCTCAGAAATGAGGTACATGATGTGGTCGTCGCAGCCCATGAGTTCGCGCAGTCCCAAGAATGGGTTGTTGCCAGAAAGGTGCTTTTCGCGGTAGGTGTGTGCGAAAATTGGAGCCCTGCCTTGCATGGTAGCTCCCAGGATGTCGATCCATGCAGTCAATGTCATGTTGAATGGGGTTGGGGTGAATTGCTCGGTGCTGTCGGAGACTAGGCGAGGCAGATCCAACTTTGCGACTAGCGAGTTAACTGCCTGGAAGTGTTGGTGCCATGGAATGTCAGGAAGCGAGTCGTCATATCGGCCGACGCAGCATTGGAAGAAGATGAGACCAAGAGTTGCCTCGAGGATCTGGTGGTGGTTCTCATCCTTGTTTAGCGCCTCGCAGAGAGCGACAATGGTAGCGTGTCGGTGTCGCATGATATCGTTGTCTACTTCCTCTCCCTGAACGTTCATTGTCGCCTTGTAGTGTTGCGCTGCAATCATGAGGCAGCAGTGAAGGTAGCCCTTGTTGTCTCGCAGGTTAGGCAGGATGAGGTCAGAGCCGACGGATCCATGTTGGTTGGCTTCCAGGATAGGGAAGATTGTTGGCAGCACATATCGAATGAAGTGTTCCATTAATCGTTGGTCGTTCTCATCTAGATCAATGTCAATTTGCGATGTGTTGTTAGGAAGGCCGTGGGAGAAGTCGAAGAAGTTGCAGTTCAAGCTCTCTTCGGCTAATGATTCTCTGCGCTCTTGGTAAACTTGCTCGCCCCATTCTCCGTCAGCGGGATAAGACGGGAGAACGGTTCCTGGAGGCGGTGGTGTGTGGAAAGTGCTGAAAGTGGAAACGGTCGATTCCCGAAGAGTTGGGACGTCGTTGACAAACATTTGTCGCTCAGTTTTGACGTCAATCTCATAAGGAGACATGTTGAACATGAAGTCGGCATGCGACGGGAGTATGTGTGGGTTGTAAGCTCCATACTCGGGGACATTGGGTGGACTGTTGAAGTTAAAAGCAAATTGCGAATCGATCGACGCTGACCTTGTCCGGTCAAGAGGGTCTGAGAATGTCGCAGATGTAGGTAGGGAGTGAGACAAGCCAGGCGGCGAGCTAACTGAAGTTTGAATGGTGTGCGATGCCTTCTCGGAGAGCTTCTTGCGCTTGATTATCATCTTGATTTCGTCCTTGTGTTGTCGCCTCGCATCGTTGTTGCTCCACCACATTGGTCGCTTATATTCGCAGGAAAGTCCGAGATGTTTGCATGCTGAGCACATGGGAGTACCCTCATCGCACTTCTTTCGTCGTAATCTGCAAGTATAGCAGCCTGTAGTAGAAAAAAAAGGGTCTTGTTAGTTGTGTGGTTCTTAAGTTGACTTACACACATCCGAGGTAGGGTCTGTGTAAGTGACCCGTGTGTGTAAGTCGAGTTGTAAGTATATAAAAGGGAACACCAACCTGTTCTTGAACGGCGGTGCATCTGTGTCTTTGTCTTGGTGTTTGCATTGTTACTTTGCTTCGAAGAAGCTTTAGACTTGGTCGGTTGTGCGACAGCCATGTTGACGGTTGCTGCTCTCATTAGGTCTCCCTGGGGGTTGGGGGGTAGAGTTGACATTTGTATTTTATGTGTAAGTCGAGGTACCTGCGTCGATATGGTGGTGGGGGGTGTGAATGCTAGTTCACAAGCCGAGCGAAAGCGGGAGACAAGGGGAACAGGGGGCCCCAGTTCTAGGTCCAGGTCGATACTTGCTAGGTTGCTGGGATATGTCCAGAGATTGCGCCTCGAAGCCAGTAATTCTCCAAAAACGCTCAATGCTCTCAAGTTCTCGTGCCCGGTGAATAATAACCCGTGGGTGGAGATAAGACCGGCTTGAAGTGGGAATATCGGATTTGGTAAAAATTAATATTATTTTTTTTTTCTTGTCCTCGTCGAATGAATGATAGGATCCAAGCAAGTACCAGCTTGCCTTTCACGTTAGTCGAGTATAGCGTGTAAAGAGAGGGTATAGGGGAAAGAGGAGGTTAGGAGGAGAGAGAGGAAAATGGTAAAGAGAAACTGGAACGACACTTGGATCTTCTACCCTTCAACAACTCTATCATGAAGAAATCTTAAGCTAGGTAGATTGGAGGTGTGAAAGACTTATATCGTGGCCTCGTCCTCTTCGGCCACCACTTTAGCTGCATCGCGAACCCAAAGGCTGTGTTCAAAAATAGCAACATGCGCAATATTGGGGTAATTCCTATTTTAGCCCATGACCATTGTGGCCTAATTACAGACCACGACATATGCAACATTTGCAAATTAGCCCACATTGGGGTAGGACGTGGTGACTTGAGCCGGATATGCGCTTGCGGATTCCAATGAGCTTGGCCGGTTAGATGGACCGTAGTCGAGTCACTTGGATCATGGTGGGTATCCTTGGGACCACCTGGACCAACCACCCCACTCGAGATGAGCGATACAAGGGCATTGTACCACTCGGTCACACTCGCGGAAGACGGTGGATGCAAGCAGAGCCAGGGGTCCAACTGCAGGGTAGACGACCTTGAGCGACTAAAAGAGGCAGTTCCCATACGTGGCTTGCCTGTCATTGGATAGGCCACTCGAAAGTCCGGCTCCACTGTGATGCTACCTAAGGTACCCTCGCAAAGAGAGAAGTAGTCGCTCTCTCGTCAACCACCACCAGCACTTGCAGATTTTCTTCGTTATGCGTGTGTGCGTGGATGGATGGGATGTGTGTGACCTTGCCAGCCCTGTACTCATCCTTGCATCGAGCAAGCCCTGCGGACTTTCGAGTTTATTGAAAGCCGCAGGGATTTATTAGCGTCGATCGGGGTGAGAAAATAAGCAGGGAGAGTGAGAATTGCGAGTTGCGTGTGTAAGGTCAAGTTTGTACTCCGTCTAGTACTCCGTCTAAGGAAAGAGGCTATTCTCTTCGAGGATTTCTATCATGCCACCACCACCACCCATTTTCCCTTTTCCTAACCTTAAGCGGAGACTGTTGAGTCGTTGTCTTGGACTTGGTCCCGCTTTCTTTCCTTTTTTTCAATCTTTCGCTTAGATTGCACGTTGATGATAGACATGTCGTGCGAGAAGAACCACGAGAGGGAGAAACCCCACGTGTGGACTTTTTCTTGATCTTCTATGAGGCAGAAATGCCAGGTGGTCGTACTTAGGAGACCAAAAAGTAATATGTACAGTATGCAAGGAGCCATGGCAGCTTGCCGATTGCCTTTCGCATTGACCATAGGCGCACGGATGGTGCGGTTACGCTGCATAAGCTGACCGATAATCATAGATTGCTCTGCTCTTGAGTTGCATATGCGGGCATCAAGAACCCATATTCGTACGTATGTATAATGTTACGTAGTACGTAGGCGGTTCAAGTCGAACCGCCTGTAAGCAGGTATGTATGTACTCCGTACATAATACGCAGTAGGTATATGCCACCCCCGCTAGCTTTCATTGCCGCATGTGGATAACATATCGCCGAGTGGAGCGGAGTACCGTAGTATGTATGCTGAACTAGGTGAATACCTGCCTACTAAAGTTGTCCCGTTCGATAAAACTACCCAGTAGGTAGGCAGGCAGGTTGAATTTTGCGAACCTAACGAGCGAACCCAGGAACAACAGCCTCTCGATCGCAAGCTTCTGCTTCCTATGGAGGAAGGAAGTTGTCTGTGTAGCATTTCCATTCGTATAGCATAATTATTCTATATGGCAAGCGTCCATTAGGCATAGCCTCCGTCCGCCAATGGGAGTTGAGTTCGCGAATATTAGCACGAGATTGGCCATCATTATAAACCAGTGACCTTCCGGTCCACAGGGCTGTTAGAACCGGCCTTTTAGATACCCTGTGTAGAAGCGGAACGAGGTCGGAGCTAAGAAAGTCGCGCCGACTCTAGAATGCCCGTAGCCGAAGCGGAGGAAGGTCACGGTATTTTTTTCCCCTAGACTTATTACTTAGGTAGGTATTGTTACTTGTTGAGCTCAAGGGAATCAAGGGAATCATGGCATGTTCGTGGCTGACCGGCTCGTAGGCTGGACGTTGCTGTGGCACCGGCGAATATTTCGAATATTAAGATGGTATTAGCGAGGAGCCAATGAGAAAAGAGGATTGCTAAAAACCATATGCATCCTTAGAGGAACTAAGGAATAAAATGGCAGTCAAGCTCTTTGATTCGAGGCTCTAAGAAAGTTGGCGCCAGTAGCGGGCTTAGCCGAAATCTTAGTTGATGTGACAAAGTAAGGGTTCGCGATGCGGATTGGCTCAAGCTCGGAAGCTAGATCCTTGCCTAGCCGGGATAAATTCATGATGGAGGGGGGAAGTCTGACCAATCTACGGTCGAAAGCTGCAAGTTCCCATTAGCGTATATAGTGGACCCAGTGGATTTAATGGACTATGTGGGGTCCGAATGCAGAATCTAATGAATCCCGGGCCGCCAAGACACGGCATCAGGGATGGTTCTCTTCCCTTTTCTTCCAGATGAGCCAAACAGAAAAATGCAGCCTAGCCTTAGGTACGCGGGTACTTTACATGGGTTACTTCATGTAGCTTGTAGCTTTACCAGCTTACAAGAGCTTTCCCCATGAATCCTTCTTACCGTAACCAGCAAAATCAGCACTTATCAACAATCAAGCGGTGGTCCATGCACCCCATAAGCTATGGGGGGCTGGTCGCTTTGGTCTGTGGCTTACCGGATTTGCGTAGGAACCGGAAGTTGACCGGCTGTTGGTAGTGAAGATCACCCGATAACAATTCGTGGAGGGCTAATTTGGCCAAATTTTCTATTATTATCCCACTTAACCTTCTCTTGGCCTTCCCTTTGCGTTAACTTAATCTGGGCTAATTCAAGATACACTTTCCTTTCTGCATGTCAAATGCAGCAAATGCACGATGGGCGCTAAAAAGAGTGTCACATTCATTTATGATCTTGATCAACATCAATAATTAGTTCTATTTTTGATTTAGCCCTCAATTGCTGTGCGCTTAATTTGGGCTAATTTGGTCATTCTTCTTTTCTCTCTTCTTCCAAGTCTTTAGAAGGATCCGGAGTATGTATTGTAGTACTACATAATACTAGTAATACTGAATACTAACAAATATTTTCTCTCTTATCCTCATCCATGACAGCGATCGCAAGATTAACCCCATGTAACAATCGTCACCCGTCAAGCCTCATCATGCCATGACATACCCAAACTCCCCCTGTTATTGCGCACAAAAAAGATTTTTCTTTTCTTTTCTTTTACCGACTGTCCCGGCATTACGGTCATAGCAAAAGCAAGTCGACAGCAAATCTATTTTGTACAATGCATCACTTCGCCAACAGATATTAGTTTATGCGTCATCCCCTCCTCATCCATCGCAGACTCTGGCTAGTTGTTCAATTTAATATATGCCATGCTACTGTACCTACTGGTAAATGCTTGTTAAATGCTGGACGGGGAAGTGTTGTAGTCTCATCGCTGATGGGGTTTTAATACTTGGGTTGCTTAGGTATGTATCTAGAAACATGGTTGGAAAATTCCCTATAACGAATAAGATACGTACGTATGGCTTCGTTACATTAACATGTGGTATAATAGGCTTGCAATGTAGAATTAGGTAGCTAAGGTAATAATGCCAATATTATTAACGTTGTAATTCGAGCGGCGACAGCATCACTGTTGAGAGTATCGTCATTCAGCCCCCAATCAATCTGATAAAATAATGAAGAGACCCTTCCCCGGCTCCACCCCCGTGGAGTTTTGAAGACCTGCACTGCGTGCGTGGTTATTGTAAATAATTGCGTCCGTGCTGTGCTGCGCCGTTATCGCCAACCCTGTCAAGGCATTTGATGCAAATCATCATAAAAGCAAACTCCCACTCCCACCCGGCAGCCAAGCTGTTGCGTCCCGGTCTATCATCCGCCGGCTCGCGATGGGAAAGGATTAATACACCCAAGTTTTAATCCTCGTCTTCCGCTGTGATACGTGCTGTAGTGGAGACCAGACTAACACCAAATCGAGTTCGTTATTAAGGCTTCTACGATCTACTAATCATTATTTATACTAGGATAACTTCTAATTTCTATTCAGTAGGTCTAGTCTGTGCTAACTAGCAGTGTTGCTTCGGCTGCATTCAGGGATCTCGAGGTCCCCTACTAGTTCTTTAGTGAAATTACCTGCATTCGTCAAGTCTTTCCCTGTTCAACCCTATTCGCCTATTCACCGGTGGAGGGTCTCAACGGTAAAATATGAAGACTCGACAAAGCACAAATTAGAATCTCGAGATGGCATCTCAGAAGAGCACAGATCTTCATTTACCACGAGGGCTCATTTCTATTCGGAATAAAAGGAGAATCGACCATCCACCACGAGACGAGTCTCGCATTGAGGTTTCCTCATGTGATGACTTGAAATTGCGTGTTCTCGGCGTGCCATTGGGTCCCGTAGTCCTTGAACCAACTTCGCTTAAAATAAGGCGACCCTCACCGTCCCAGGGGAAGACAGCCCGTAAAGCTGACTTCCGAGCCAAGAAAGTCGTGCTCGCAACAATGACCTCCGAAACTGCTCGACGAGCTGAGCAGGTATTGGTCAACGTGATATGGTTGCGTCGGGGATCAAAAAATGACGACTCGCTTTTTAGCAGTTCGTTACCTATTATCTCCTATTATCTGGGGTTTGTTAAACGTGACATTGAAATCGGATATAATCGGGACAGACCATGTTCATTAGAATATTGTTGAATGAATCGCGATGGCTCATATGTGGATCATTAACTACAATACAATACGCAAGCTAATGACAGGGAAGTAGATCATAGCTACCTATAACGTCCAAATCTCAAAGTGACGATGGCGGGGACGCACACAAAAAATCTACATGCTTGAGAAATCACAACATAAAGAAGTTTAGTGTACTGTCGGTCACCAACTTCGTATATTGCTGCATGGAGGATCAGATTGTCTTAGATCTTGGTTTGCTTCCTTGATGACCCCCCGACTAGCTTGTTGACGATCTTGCATCTGTTCATCAATATCAAACTATCGGTGTATTCCGCTACGCTAGACTAACTAATGAATGAATTATGCTGACCGACGCTAAAGTCTTATGTGTGAACTCACTTCGCGGGGAGCAGACGGAAAGACAGCTTCGTAAAGCTGTATACCGTATGCGGGAGCTTACTGCTGCTCGTGCAGCGGACTTGCAGGACCAGTGTGACCCCCCGCCACATGCCGTTCGTGGAGTTATGGAATTACCCAGCCAACTGCCTTATTTGTCTCTCATCGTTGATCTTAGAGCCGACGGCCCTGTTCCGAATTAGAGATATCGAGCTTCTTATTTTCTTAATGACCTATCCAATCTTACGTGGCTTTTCCTCTCAATCACAAGCCGGGACCGAGCAATTGAGGGGGGTCTTTCCTCGGCCAAGTCGCTGAATGGAGGATATCGTCCCTCGATTAACTCACCTCATCGTGGGACTCGGCCATTCACATACATAGAGCCTCTGATATTCCCCCGTCATGTGCCCGTAGCCAGGTCACGCTGACTCCCACGATATGCCCACTATTGGGTACCAAATCAAGGTGGATCCGTTGCAAGGGACCATAGAATTTTCCAAAACTTGTTCCTTTCAACAATACCGCTCTCAACCTCAACCTCATCAAATTCGCACATTGGGTAGATCCGTTAAGCTAATGATTAGCTAGCAAACCGGACCGTTCCAGATCCAACGTGACTCTTCGCGCGGGATACCTAACTAGAATGCTTATTGTCTTGTCAAGAATACGAAGATCTCTTTAGAGCCCGTCGCGATCCGTTGTTGGCTTTACGATATTCCCGCTATTGGTGAGATTGATGAAGGTAGATCCTAGTTTCTCCGAATTCACTTTACTGTCGAGATTAATAAGATGTCGTAAACATCAATCCTGTCGCCTTGCAACGTACCACAGGAGAGGGGTTGGATCCAAAGATAGAGAGGAATGTACAGTTACCGCATGGTAGTAACCATGAATACCCTAGGAAGCAGCAGTCCTCTTGTACATACCCAGTGGAGAAACTACGGTAGAGAACCCCCCTGGCTCGGGGTGGCATTTTCCTTACCCTGTCCGTCTATCCGACCTAGCAGCCCTGGAACGGATAGTGGACTATTGTCTCTGTCCCAGTCTCATCTTACTAGCATGTGCAGAGCGCAACGCACAAACCGCAGACTGCAAATGCTTATTGCTTGCTATAGCTAATGCTAATGCCGGTGATTTCAGTCATCATTCGAGCGGGCAGTCGTATCCTAGCCCGGGAGCAATCCACTGAGTTGATCCGCTCAGTTACCCAAGATAGGCCGACTTCGCTTGGGACCACAATGAAGAGGAGTTACTCACCTCTGACCGCTTCAAGATAACGTAGATCGAGAAGTATCCAGATTGATAAATAAAATAAATTGGCGCGGTGATGCAGTAGCGCGGACCTCTTCCCGTAATACGGGTATTCCAGTGACACTCACACCTACTACTACCATCACACAGCTTTTGCGGAGAAGATCGAGGTAAGAAATAAGGCTTCGCATAGCATTTTCTGTAAGGGGCCAAACTTCGATATGTATGTATGTTCGAGGCGCTATTTCTTCGAGCATTTCCCTTATGGGTGATGGAGGGGATGGCCTCGTTGGTCCCTGTGTGCAGTACGCCACTTTTTGCTAGCTCGTTTCTACGAGAACGATGCCTAATCGGGTTTGAATTGAAGAAGATGGACATGGGCGGACCATCCCTGCCCGTCCATGCTTAGGCTATCCAGGCGCTTAGACGACGATGCTGCCGGGGTGGTAGGGAATATTGTGACCAATGAGAATTCGAACAAGACCCAATTATTTCCTAGCACACCTTGCCGTTCTGTCCAACCAGCCCTCTTCTTTTGGCTCGCTTGACGCTGGGCGGGTTGATTGGGAGCACATTCGTGGGATTCGGGGCACACACAGAGGCAATGCCATCGCTATTATTAGGGACAGATAGGCACTACAATGGGTAACTCTAGGATGGGTGACCTGCTCTCCGCACCAACGGCTAGGTATAGAGTCTTACTGGCCCTGCTGTGTGAAGGACCGAGAAAGCAAATCACATCGTGATATGCTCTCCCCATCACTACAGCGTTTCACTTCCTCCTGCATATTATAGCACAGTTCTGTTGCGATCCGGGGCTATAGTACACTATACTAGATCATACTACACCCTATATACTATACATATACGTTCCGCAGGTGCCCGCGCTGTGCTTCAGTGTCTCTCTCTTCTCTCCTTTGCGACGTCAAACCTGTCCCTCGACTACCTATAGCGAGCTTATTTTTCCTTATCGTCTTCGCATCTCATATACCCCCTTGGTTTAGACACGGAGAGAGAAATAAAAGAGATTAGTTAAGGCCGGCAACGGCAAAGAGATACCAAAAGCGCATTTTTCTGCAATTTTCCCATTTTATAATTATCCAAAATGGTAAGCTCCTTAGTTCCGGTTGTAGTCATCTTTACCCCCCTCCTCCGGATTCAATTTCCAATATGTCATATCTGCTAGTAGCGATAGGTTTACTAACGCCTTGCTTTCGTAGAATACCTCGCAATCGCTCAGGATAAGCGAGCGATCGCAAAGAGAAATGCGCCAAAAGAGTCACTTACATGATCCCTTCTTCGGTCTAAAAGGGCTCGACCCACGCCCGACTTCGGTAGCAACCGAGATTGTAGATACCGATTGGGATGAAGAGGAGGATATTGTCAGCGAGATAGAAGATGATGACCCAGACTCACCACGAATAAGCTTGAATTCGGTAAGAAAATCCCCGCGACAAATCATCGTCCCCAATTGAACGTCGGCGACTAATAGGATTGGATAGTCTGGTCAACCGAGTGTAACAACTCTCTCGTCATACGATGAAGCGCAAACACCCAGGTCGAGCAGGGCTCGCGAGGTGTACCCGTTTGACCTTCATAGGAAGCCCGTCGAGGGACCTAGAGGCCCGCATCTATTCCGAGCCTCCATGACGTCGTCGTTTAACTCCTTTGAATACCAATCCACACTCACTCTTTCGCCGGTAACTCCGAAGACGGCAAAGCCGTTCGAGGCGGACCATCGGCTTCCTCTCACTTACGAACCGACACTACCACCTCGTAACCGGAGTAGTCCGTTCCAATTCACGCACGAGAAGCTAGACCCAGGCGATTTGAATGTCTGGTCGCCGGAGAAGGTGGCGCAATGGATGCTCAATGCTGGCGTTGAAATTCCGATCGCCGAGAAGTTCGTCGAGAACGACATCAACGGAGCTATCTTAATAACGTTGAAGTTCGAGGATCTAAAAGAACTCAACATCCAGTCCTTCGGAGTACGGACGAAGGTGTGGGAGGAAATCCACACACTGCGAGACCATAAAGTGTCAGAACCATCACCGAGACCAGAAACCCCGATAGAAGATGTCGAAAGCAAGGAAGTAAGAAGGGAACGAAGAAGGGAGCGGAATGAAGGGGAAGAAGGTGGTGCGAGGGAACGCAGCCGAAGTGTCAAGCGTTCTAAGAGCTTGAAGCGATCCCAAAGCAAAAAGCCTGCGCACGAAGACATCATCTCACCTTTGGAGTCCGTATCCATTGTCGGCATCGAGCAAATGATGCCAAAGCCACACCACTGCTCCAAAGGCGAAAACTGTTCCAAGTATAGGAGACAACAACGGATGATCGAAGCATTCAAGAAGGATCACCCGTTCGTCGACGTTGAACAAGGCGGCATCATCATGCTGGCCGGAGATCCAGGAAATCCAGAAACTGCACCGGCAATCAATCGCCCATCATCCACTGAAGCACTGCGGCCAATGTCTGATGCAGTGCCCTCGGTGGTCGCCTCGTCGGACGTCCTCGGCCCCGGGATGCCCCCTTTCCAGTATCTGCAGGAAGCCGCCTTACGCAATCTTCAGACACGAGATCCCCAAGACAACGTGCGTCAATTCCTCGACTTCCAGCACCAGGACTGCGACATTGGATCCAGTGAAGTTCCCCCGACTCCTCCCTTTGAGATCTTACCTGCTGCCGCCGCTGGTGTTCCATCATCAAGGACTCCCCATGAAGGTCTTCGCTCTCTGCCCAAATTAGCCATTCCGGGTCAACAGCAACAGCACCAGGCACAGCACCGTCAATCGCACCAACAACATATCCGTGCTGCATCCAACCAAACCCCACAGCCCTCGCATCAGCAATACCCGCAGCGCATGGACCGTGCCGAAGCTCTATCTCCGGATCTACACAACGCACCCTACCGCTTCGGCACACCCTTCTCGGACATGGACGTACCTTTAACCGCCGTCCCTCTCGGCCCTGTAGCAAGAGATGCCTCACAGTCCGTACCTCCGGACATGAACTACCGCGCGGGTCCATCCGTCGTCGTAGCCCAAGGACCCCGCTCCCAATCCCGCGCTTCACGTCGTCCATCCTTCCAAGTCATGGCTCCCCTCGAGGAAGACGCAGACATGATAACCACACCCATCGCTCGCATAGCAAACACCAACGGGCGATACCCCGGGTCTTCCATATCCCCGAAAACCTCCTCACCACCCAAAGTCCCCTCCCGCGCCCCACAACCGCTCCAAGCACCACCACGAACCCAGTACCCATGGTCACCACCCCTAACCTCCTCCCGCGCAGCCTTCGAGCGCACAACCCTACCCCAAAACCAGGCTGCCTACTCCCCTCCCACCGTCAAAGACGCGGAAGGCGTAACCTACGCCGGTCCAGTCAAGAAGCGTAAAACCCGCATGCTGCGCCATGAATGGCACGACCAATACGCAACCCTAAAAGGCACACGCTTAGCACTCCACCGCGACGGCGCAGAAGCCGCGCGCAAGTCCTCCCGCGCCTTAGAATATATCGATATCGACGACTACGCCATCGCATGTTCATCCCTATCCACCGGGTCCAAACTCAACGCCGCGTTTAAAGCGATGAGTATAGTACGCTCCAAAAACAGTTCCCACTCGCGTAACTCGTCTTCGCCCGGTGCTGGGGATATGGATAGTATCGCGGCGTTTAGTTTCCAATTAATCCCGCAGAGCGATGTGAGCAAAGGTGGGAGACTGCGGAAGAGGGAGAGTCAGAGTATTGGGTCGGGACCGTTGATGGGTCCTGGTGCTATTACTTACCCCCCGCCGCTGGAGGGCGCGGTGAATGGGACGGGGAAGACGCATCATTTTGCGGTCAGGAGTCGTGATGAGAGGATTGATTGGATGAGGGAGTTGATGCTGGCTAAGGCGTTGAAGCAGAAGGGTGAGGGGTTTGAGGTTAGTGTTAACGGCAATATGATATAATGACGATGTGATGGAGTAGTAGGTGGTGGATTGGGGTGGACTGACTGACTTTATTGTCTTTTGTCGTATCTTGACTTTCACGATTTTCTTTTTGGTTGCGGCTTGAATGCCTGCTATATTATACCTACCGACTTCGCTTGGGCATATGGCGATGTCCTACGAGCTAGTCACTCTTCTCGTCGCTTGCTACTTGCCTAGTAGGTTTATAGGCTTGTTTTGGCGTCTTTGGGCAGTTGGGGGTTGATGACGATTATGACGATGGGAATGTTAACGATAGTTGATGTTAATTGCAATGTTGGCTACTTATATCGAGGGGCCACGACGGCAAGGGAGTGATGGAAATGATATCCAGGTCAAGCGAGCAGACTATGTGACTTCTGATTCTTCGTCTTCCTTTACCTTTGCTGCGATTAGCGAAGCCAATTTTTTATTTTATTTCAAAGATGGATATAGGGACAAATGGATTGAATAGGACATTTCCGCTTTTTATATCTTGGTCAACAAATATTGGCAGTGATGGGCGTATAAGATACCGACATAATACGTTCCTTATATGTTATATATGCTAGGATCCTGGTAGAATTAGTCCCAAAAACTTGGTAAAGGGAAGATTGATTTAAAAATATAACCTGGTTGATTGTTAATACTTCCCTATCGTGAGCTTGTTGGTGATTACTTTATAATCTGTAGTCAAATTACCTTCTATATATGGAAATTGTATCTAAGCTGCTCCCTACTTTGAACCCTAGGCTATTGGGCTAATGACGGAAACTAATCCCTTACCTGGAGGCTTTTATGCACTAGAACGTGGCGGTAAATTTCTAATGCCTCAATACTTAGCACTTATGATAAGAAACATGGAATGCCTTTCCTACATATCACTCGTTTACCATAGCACGTAATAGACTACATACTTGAACATGTTACACTTTTTGGTATATATAGCACATGGGCCTCCCTACCAGTTAGGTACCTACCATATGTACATATCTGCAAGGGATTTTCCGAGTATCATACACAGCCAAGCTGGTTCCCTAGTAAACTCCCTTGATTTACGTCTTGAACGTGCGCCTCTCTAGGTTTGCCAAGTCTTCGACCTTGTGCCAGTCAATGACTTTCCACCAATCCTCAACGAACTGTCTCTTTCCACCTACACCACCAGCACCGATACCGTAGTCTCGCAGCCACACGTGTTCCCATGTATTCAAGCATAAGAGTGGGATAACATCAATACCACCGGGACCCGTCTGGTTTTGAGATACAAATCTAGAGCCAATATCCGCGCCAGCTCCGGTCTTTGTACGTTCAAGCCAGCCATTGACTGTGCTGGGCTGGCCTATGCCTTCGGTGTTCATATCTACTCCTTGGCGACGCCAGTGTCCTGCCGTGTAAGGGGTACCTGCTAGGTATGTTGTTAAAATGCGGAAATTAGTCGTCTGCGCGTTCTTGACTAGCCATACGAATCCCGGGCCGAACATGCCCATTGCCGTGGCGAGGACTTCGCGGCGGAGTGTTTCGATCGAGCTGAACTGTTTTGTGAGTTCAATCTTTAGTCGTGAAGGGATTCTGTCCTCGGGGTTTTCTTTTGCGATATATCAGCTTCCGTATTTATTTTGAATTTATACCGTATTTCCTGGCTCACCTGGGTTTTCTTGTCCAACTGCTTTTACGTTGGCGAGGTTCTGGAAGAACATGTGGTTGTTATGTGCCATGGAGGCATAGTTAAAGATAGGTGCCTGAGAAGGCTCTCGTGCGGTCGCTTTGAGGATCGATAATGGGGCTTGTTCTTCGAACTCAGTGCCTGGTCTCATAGTTAGCTATCAATTCCGCATTTGATTTACATATAGCTATATCCAATGCCTTGTATTTCTTTTTGCAAACACGCAACTAGCAACGTAGAATCCCATATTGAATTGAGCAATAGACCATTAATTCCATCCCTTAAACGTACCGGCAGTTAGAGCATTGAGTCTTTCTATAACAAATTGCATATATTGTGTCCATGCAAAGTCGTAGCCTCCTCGAGATAGTAATTCAGGAACACCTTCCTCTGGTTTGAATTGACTTAAAGGAGGGACATGGTGTATTGATCGTGATTGTGTTGCTGGACGCCATAATCGGCTCGCTCTCGGTATCCTTAATCTCGGTCGCAACATCGTAGGTATGTGTGAAGATTGAGATGTTGCGATCTCAAAATGGAATTTTAGTCGCTGTAGGTATTTCGTAGCTCACTTTTTTCTTGAGAGCACAAGAGCGCATCGATCTAATTGGTTAAAATTACTCGGCGGGGGAACATTGAATTCCCCGTACACCCTATACAGCTTATCTTGTACCTAAGTACCTCCTTACTATTTTATTGATGTACCTATTTTCTTTCTCTTGGGAATAACTTCATTCAGAAATATAGAAATTATTTATTTTCGTATTTACTTCTATTTTTTTTTTTTACCGCGAAAAACAGCTACGAAATTCACACAGGATTAATTAATAGAAGGTGCGCAAGAAGTCATGGTATTTTTGTCCACAGGCTCTAGAAATATGCACAACGCCGTCTCATGCCAGCAGCAGCTAAACCTCCAGTGCTGCCAGGAGGTATCATCATTTCAACTTCCCAAACCTTGCCCCTTTTAGTTTCCATCACCCTCCAACTTCAACTGTTCTGCCTTTGCAGCAAGTGCAGCTGCCTTCTTAGCCGGGTCACCCTTGTCCTTCTGCTTCTTTACCTTCTTCTCCTTTTCTTCTGGCGGGTAAGCTAGTGCTGCTATCTTCTGCCATTCCTCTGACGTTGCAAACTCGTTGCGGATGGGGTCTAGTAGTTCGTTTAGCGCCTTCGTCAAGGCAGCCTTTAGGAGTTGTGGTGTGAGCTGAATGGCAATGGTTAGTAACCTGATAAACACTTGGACAATTGGAAGTACTTACTACGTCCGCTTCGTAGTCTGCCTTCAATTTCTCAATATCATCGTAGACCAGCGGTTCTCCTTCTCTTCTCTCAACTGTAAAATGTGGCTTTCCCCCAGTCTTCAAAGATACCACTCTGAAGATAACATGTTCCACAAAAGCCACCACACCATTACCCTCTACCTTCTTAGGCACGCACACGGCCTTCTTCAGCTTCTTAGCCACCACATCCGGCGAATCCAATAAATCAATCTTAGAATCCGGTTCACTCGAGCTCATCTTCTGCGCCTCCCCTAGACCCGGCACCATAGAATGCATCAAGTGCGCGCGGACCTTATACCCAATCTTCGGCAAATTCTCCAACGCAAACGTGAAAATCTTACGCTGATCCAGGCCACCAAGCTGCGCGTCGACATCAAGGTACTCCTCATCAAGCGCCTGCATAAGGGGATACGTCAGTCCGCCCAAAAACGGATCACTAGTCTGCTTCACGACCTCGGCGCCCGCCTTCTGCGCAACCGAAATCCGTGTCATGCCCTCGAGCTTAAACCGATCCATAGTGTAGCTCTCGCTCTTCTGGTACGAGCTCCCCTTAAAGAACTCAAGTTTCGTGATATCCACACCGACCGCTTTCAACAAGCTCTTGACGATGAATTCGTAGTACTTGAGCCGTTGCTCGATAAGTTCTAGGGGGGCTTTCATGTTATCGAGGTAAGCGTGTAGGTCCGCGAGGAGGATCTTGACGTGTGCGCCCGCGGCTAGGAGTTCGGCTATCTTGACCATTGCTACGAAGTATCCGCAGTGCGGTCGTCCTGTTGTCGCGGTTCCCCAGTAGACTTTGAGGTCTCGCTTTTCTTTGAGGATTACATCGTCGATAATCTCGGGGTTGAGGACTTCGGTTAGGTTGGCCTTGATTAAGGCGATTGACTCCTCGGGAGTCATATTTGCGATTGAGATTTCGTAGGGAAGTGGGAATTATAGGCAAACAAATGAAAGGTTGGTTTCTGTCTAATTGTGGTTTTATCCCGTCTGTCTATGTTGGTAAATATTCGAGGTGAACGTGTTATAATTTATTTTTGAGTCAGAGGGGTAGAGGGGCACCGACTCAGGGACGAGTGGGGCCGATTGGGCTGCCCGCCGGAGATATCGGTATCCTAATCAATTCGCTTCATAGCGATGTGACTTAGTACACCTTCACCTCCAAACGAAACGATGGTCATTTCCAAAAGACAATCCGTGATACAATCCATGTAGAAAAAAATCACAAACAAATTCTACACTTGAGTATAATTATTTATAACTGATTTTAAATTTTTTTACTATGAGATACATAAATATTTAAAACTCCCCTTTCGCTTCCTTTACCCTTCCTAACTAACTACTCCTAGTGATGATAACGCCATATGATGCATAAAATGCAAGGAAGCCAATCTGAAATAGTTCCCGCCTTGCGCTATGACTTTATGACCTGAATTGCCGGGGCCATGCCATTTCCCCCCAACAACTTTCATAAGAGGTAATCAAAATCCCCCGGTAAAAAGTACCCGCCAAATTGAAAAACACCCCGAACACCATTTCAAATACAGGTGGGTTTCCCAACCTTTACACCTCCTAACCCATTCGTATACAACAATATGTTTTTTGTGTGTTCTTCAATCAGATACCAGATATCAAGTTCAGTTCTTGATTCAGATTTCAATCCTCCATCAATCCTAGCATATCTAATTCCGTCTTGATCAATCGTTCGAATTCCTCGCGATCGATTCCTGATGCGCGAGACAACATAAATAAGCTCTTGATGCTTCGAGAGACGTGTTGTTTGACTCCGAAGTCGTTTTGTTCTTGTTTCGCTGCTAGGGCCTCGAGTTTTTCGACTGACGCGTTAGACCCTGCGCTTGATGCTGGTCTCGGATGCGGGTGAATTATGTTTAGGTCGTCACCACTTCTTGAGTGGATCGAAGACGACCTTTCTGGGTTTGCAAGTGTCCATGCTCCTTGAGTTTCGTTTCCGTCTATTTCCTCATCATCGCTTGCTGGCCTTGAAGCCAATCCTAGAGGTGGTGCGATGTCGGGTAGGTTTACCTCTTCGTCCGGATCATGGTTGTCCATGGCTGGTTGGACGTCATCATATTGCGCGTAATAATTTTCCTCCTCTTCTGCTGTTTGGTGGACACGCTGCATTGTCTGTGGTGCGGGTGATTGTTTAATAGCAGGTGTTCTTGCAGGTGTCGAATCGTATCTCGCCCAGTAGTCGTCATCGTCGCCGTCATCCTCCTCTTCTAGAGCATTCCGACCATTTACGATGCCGTTGCTCTGTGTACTTTTTGATTGTGAATCCTTGAATTGTTTTTCTGCCTCCGCGATACTCGAGACACCCCCAAAAGAAGAAAATGGAGACGACTTTTCGGCGACGCTGACTTCGCCAACCTTCCAGCCGTCTCCTACAGGATCACCAATACAATACACCAATCGAAACGTTAATCCCAACTCTTTAAATACGACGAATGCTTGGAGAGTTTCCTCGTCCACTCGTCGATACTGAATCTCGGAATCATAATCCCAATCAATTTCCAATTCGCCTGAAACAGGATGTGGTTGTAGTTCTTCACTCTGGGCGATCTCAGTCAATCTGGGTACCTTGGATGGTTCATAACATAATAATCGAATCCATGGGTCTTGACTGGAAGCGTTTGATAATAATTGCACGCGTTGCCTAAGTATGGGGGAGAGAAGAGGCAATACGGTTTCCGCTGGCGATACTGATAGTGCGGCGGCAGGTAGTGAGGGTAAAACAGGTCCTAGGACTTGTTGCACATCCGGTTGTCTGATAATCGAGGTTGCCATCTTTCCACCAGTCGAATTTGACGATGTGTCGTTATGAGGGTTGTGTGAAGGAAGAAGTTGTTGTTGGGTGTTCGTAGTATTTTAGTCCCATGGGATGGATGAATGGATCCTGATCACATGCAAACCAAAAACACAGCCTACAGAAAAAGTTCGGGTTAGCGGCTGACCATTCTATTTTAACTCTCTAAGGTACAGGGCTGACACTTACCAACGGTGTTTTTGTGTTTCAGGATTAGAATGCTGAACCCAAGTAAAAAATCCGGGAAAGGTATAAAATAAAAAAGACGGGTCGAGGTCGATATTAGAAGAGATAAGAAAAAAAGAAAAAGCAAGCAAAAGCAAGCAAGCAGGCAATAATAGGGTAGACGTTTAGCGAGAAAGATTCGAAGGAAGCTTACCACCGGGAAGAGAAGAATAGAAAGCCAGCTAGGTAATTTCAAGTCGACCTCGAATTCCCGTTTATTGTACTTGTATATGATTGTCGTATGTAGTATGTTGCAGGTGCCCAGGTGGTATGTAGTATAAGGTCACCCCCTCAGAGCCTGGACGCTTGGAAGGGGACAGAGGGGAGACAGAAACCAATGATGTTGATGGGTTGATGGTCGATTGGGGTCGCGTTACGGAGGATCCACTCTAAATCTGGGGAGAGGACAAATGGGAGCCGACAACTCGGGCGGGCGGAAGCTTGTTCAGGTAGCTTCCAATGACTTAATGAATGAGGTGTACTAGCGCTGAAGCTTCGAACTAGTGGCCACGAAAGCGAATGCAGGTGTAACAATGCCTAGTCCTAGTGGGGGAAGTCTTGGCTTTTTTAAGAATAAGAATTAAGATTAAACTGAGATTCGGCCGTTGATATCAGCCGCGTTGTTTTATAACTTTTGAACACCTTTTTCTAATATATTGGAATTCTTTTCGAAATTAAACAAAGTGCACGATGCGAGTATATATGCATGTATGTGAGTAATCATTATTGAATCCGAGTTGATAGCAATACATTGGCTCCTCAGAAGGAGGCTTATCCTACCCGGAAATTGTATGATCCTTGATTCCTTCTTCAACCCAGCGTAGGTAAGCGGACAAGCGGAATGCTTCGCCTTACAGCACACAATCCCATTGTTATGCCCTGTTACGATTTAATCCCAGGGGACTAGCTAAGCGCTATGCCCGAGTGGAATAAGTTGGAATGTGAAAGAGGAGCACACGTGAGGTGAGAACTTGATATAATTCCATAATTCAAATGTTCCATATCTAGGAAACCCTTGCCTATCTAGGTATGTAGGCGCGACGTCACTCGATTCTTTTCGGAATCGGGCATTGATTTAGTGAGCTCTCATTGGCTGCACTTATTTATCTCATCGGTGCTAAAATTCATTAAGGTCCGATAGAAAGCGTCATTGCGGCTCGAATCTGATAGACATTTTGATAGCTCGCCTAATGTCGGCGCTAATTCTAATTCTCTTGTTGAAGCTTACATGAACATCCGTGGAATTCAGGAGATCGCGAGTTAATAATCGACCGACACTAATAGAGTTCATACATTATTCTTTTCTGAGCCCGAAAAGAATAAAAAAAAGAATTCTAGAAGACCCTGCTTACATACGCACTACGGAACGTGCCGCTAACCCTTTCTTGTCTTGCCGCTCCTGCAGCTGAATCTGCGCCATCGGGAAACGGGTAAAATCTCACGAGCGTCCGAAAGGTCGCGGAGGGCCGCCGCCCACATTCGTGTTTTAGAATATATACAACACGTACGACAGATTCCCACTATCTCGACTAGAGGTTGCCACTCTGCTATATCGAGTAGCCCCTAGTTTCGGCTAAGGCCGTTTCTGGATGTATGTCGAAGTCTGAGCGCCTTCAAGATGAGGTAAGTTTTTGTGTAGTAAATTTGTAACTATAGTGGCGCCATGCGATGCACGGATCAAAGGAAAGGAAAAAGAATACTAATCACGATCGTAGGGCTCCCGACTTCAAGTCGTCGCCGCCGGCGCAACCGCCGGTCTAATATCCCGCTTCGTCATCGCACCCCTAGACGTCGTTAAGATCCGCCTGCAGCTCCAATCGCACTCCCTCTCCAACCCATCCACAATCCTCGACCTCCGCGGCTCGCCCGTCTACAAAGGGACTATCGGGACCTTCCGCCACATTATCGCAAATGAGGGCATCACCGCCCTCTGGAAAGGCAATGTCCCCGCCGAGCTTATGTACGTAGCATACGCTTCGGTCCAGTTCACTACATACCGATCAACGACCATGCTTCTGCGCCGTGTGTTTGGGGATCGCGAAGAGGGCCAAAAAGGGCTTCCGAAATCCGTTGAGTCGTTTGTTTCTGGTGCTGCGGCGGGCGCGACGGCTACCGCGACTACGTATCCGTTAGACCTACTGCGCACGCGGTTCGCGGCCCAGGGCAACGACCGCGTGTACACCTCTCTCCGACGAGCGATCGCGGACATCCAGCGCGACGAGGGTGTGCGGGGGTTCTTCCGCGGATTAAGTCCCGCTCTAGCGCAAATTGTGCCGTTTATGGGTTTGTTCTTCGCGGTATACGAGGGCGCGCGATTGCATCTTGGTCAGATCGAACTCCCATGGGGCGCGGGTGATGCAACAGCGGGTGTGATCGCTAGTATCGTCGCCAAGACAGGCGTTTTCCCCTTAGATCTCGTGCGCAAGAGGATTCAGGTCCAGGGCCCGACGCGTGGGCGTTATGTGCATAAGAATATTCCCGAGTACGTGGGTACCGTCAGCACGATACGTGCGATACTACAAAGGGAGGGAGCTAGGGGTTTGTATAGAGGCCTTACGGTTAGCTTGATTAAGGCGGCACCCGCGAGCGCGGTTACAATGTGGACGTATGAACGGATGTTGAATTTTCTTACTAGACGGCGGGAGAAAAATGATACCATCGGCGCTTAGAAAGCGGTAGGGTAAAAGGGCGATATTGCATATAAAATGGCAGGATAACGAGATTCGTAATGGCGTTGGTATAAATTCCGATAGACGCTGCTACTCACTTTGTATATCGTGGGTTGAGTATGGAAAAATTGGCGTTTGCGTTAGATTCTATAGAGATAACTACAAAAGCATTTGGTATTCGATTTCACGCAAATATTCGTTACCGTAAATTTAGTATCAAGCCAAGGAATATCAATATTTCACTGGAAGATTATGGATGCCATAAACTAGAACATTCATGATATCCGTGGATGCTTATACATTCGATCTAGTACACAAGTATATTCCCTCCTAGCTTCGAAACAAAGCAAATTTTGTGTCTATTCGTCTATAGTACAAGGAAGCTCTCCTTTTCCGAGTAAAGCCGTTCCTCTCTATTTGCTCATTTATTTACCCTTCTTCACCCAGCCCTCGACGATATCCCTAGCGTCGCTAACCTTCTCATCAACGTAATTTTTCCCAACGTCGACATGCACCCTAGCGAATCGCCATGCGTCCCGCACGCCCTCGCGGGTCGCAATATGGGCATCGGCGATAGCCGGGAAGCGTCGCTCGTATCGCCATAGAAGATCGGATACGTTGGCCATAGTGACGGGGATTAATAACCATCCGGCGCCGATACCGAGGGCTAGGGGCATGGAGGCGCGCAGGACGATGTTGCGGTTTCGTGTCATGATGCTGCCGGCCATTGATGCTACTAAGACGTACACTAATCCCGGCATTAGTTTTTCGCCGCTCTCGCGCGCGGGCGCTAGGGAGGCTACGGTCTCGGTGAAGGATCGCTCGAGGTGGAATGCTGAGTCGATGGCGCCGTTGACGGCATCTTCTGTGGCTGTGGCATATCGGTATAGGAATAGACGGGCTTTCCCTATTTCTACTGCTAGTCGGTCTGTTGGCGTTGGGCTGTGGTGCTTTTGCTCTGACGGTGATGAAGATGGTGGTAACGATAATGTTGGTGGAAGGGTGTCTGAGGATGGTGGTGAGACCGGCGAAGGACTGGATTTCGGAGGTAGGAAGGTCTCGTAGTCATCGTAGATAGGTTTCTTAGAATGCTATATGTATTGGAAGTTAATATATGAACCTGTTCTTCTATAGGTAGAAAGTCTAGACGTACGTAGTCGTGTGAGGGCGCATCAGCCATCACAACCGAGGGAAATAAAGCTCCTCCGACGAGAGTCGCAGCCATGAAAGGCGCAGCGACACGCTATTATTTTTATTAATTAGTATGTAGGTAATTCATGTAGTTGTAGAGTAATCAAAGTTACCTGTCGCAGCAGCACTCTCGCAGCCATGTTGCGCTCAATTGAGGTTGGTGGTGGTCGAGTTATTAATTAAATATTAAAACTTGGAAAGCTTCAAAAAGGACATTGGACTGCAACCGATGATGTACTAATCTTTGTAACTATGTACCTATGTACTTTTCTTTGCTTTTTCTGTCCCGGCGATTTCCGGACCCTCGGTGAAATTTTATACGTGCCGATCGACCCTTGCACCTGACGTCGACAGTCAATTCCCGATTAACTTTTAGATCTATACACAAAATAATAATGACTCTGTAAATTTATACGTTTCTTCCCATTGTAAAGCTGTTTTAAATTGGCAACTTTGCTAAATTGTAAATTTCCCTACGATGTTCCGTGCATCATGATAAAAACTGCGCGATCGGGTCTCTGGACCTGTTCAAGATGTCTCCGACAAGCTGCTCCAGCTCGAGGGAGTCAAAGGCGTTTGCTCTCTTCCGCACCCGGCGCCGCCCAAGTCGATTCCACCCATATACCCATCGACCATACTCCGCCAGATTCAAAACATGACGATTCACTATTACGCCGAATATTCGACTCACCACCGACTTTTAAAGACTTCGCGAAACCTTTATTCAAAATTGGGAGCCGCGAAAATGTTGGCTTATTCCGGAACAAGTACCTCACTTCGCCTCAGGGCTTCCTGACATTCGCAGACGTCACGATAAAAAGGGCCCAGAAGCTGGTTAATAAGGTGCTGAATGCATCGACGTTGGAGGACTACAAGGCGCTTGTCCGAGACCTCGATAGGTTGAGCGATTTGTTATGCCGAGTATTGGATGTTTCCGACTTCGTACGGGTTACCCACCCCGACGAGAAGATACAAGCAGCCGCGTCCCAAGCCTGGTCGTTGGTATACCAGTATATGAACCAATTGAACACGACCACCGGTTTGAGCGACCAATTAGGGAAGGCTCTGGACAATCCCGATGTGATGGCTAGCTGGAATGAAGAGGAGCAGACAGTTGCAAAGTTGCTGCAGCAAGATTTCATGAAGTCAGCAATACATCTTCCCAAGGACTCGCGGGACCAGTTCGTCGATTTATCTCAACAAATTAGCGAGCTAGGATCATATTTTGTCCAAGATATGCAACCTGAACAGAGATTCCTCGAATTCCCGAGTAGTCGATTTTACGGTATGAACCCGCAAATAGCGAAGAGGTATACTCGCGGAGGTGTTATTCGTCTGCCAACAATGTCACCTGAGGCGACAGTGGCGTTAAGGACCGTTCACGATGAAGATACGAGAAAAGCGATCTACTATGCCACCCGCACGGCCTCTAATAGGTCGATCCAAATTCTAGAAGCCATGCTCAGGTCGCGGGCCGAGCTTGCAAAGCTCTCAGGTTTTGAAAGTTATAGCCAGCTGGCCCTTCACGACAAAATGATGGCAAAGACACCAGAATCGGTACATCAATTCCTTCTTGCACTATCCAAACACAACGCACCACTGGTTGAGGAAGAGGTGGCAGCTCTCCTTCGAGAGAAGGGTGCAAAACAGCAGTCTACAGCGACTGATCTCCATCCATGGGATAGAGATTATTATATGGAAAGCATACGCTCGGCTATGAGATCACGACGGCGAAATGATGATTTCCTATCAGCCTATTTTTCTCTTGGGACTGTCATGCGGGGTCTTTCGCGGCTTTTCACCCGTTTATACGGAATCAGGTTGGTCCCTCGAGACACGCTGCCCGGAGAGACGTGGCATTCAGATGTAAGACGATTAGATGTCATCTCTGATACCGACGGACATGTCGCAGTACTTTATTGTGATCTTTTCTACAGAGAGGATAAGTCTCCCAATCCCGCACATTTTACAGTGCGTTGCTCTCGAGAAATATCGGAAGCCGAGATTCAAGAAGTAGCAGAACAGAAGGCAGCTGGTGTCGAAGGAGTCCCTGATTTCGAATCGCTTATTGATGCAGCAAATGACGGGATGCATGTATCTCATCAATCTGGTTCGGTTAAACAATTACCAACGATTGCGTTGGTATGTGATTTCGAAGAGAACAAAGGTCGAAATGGACCGGCCCTCTTAGATTATTATCAAATGGAAACACTTTTCCACGAGATGGGACACGCCATTCACTCGATTCTGGCTCGCACTTCATTACAGAATGTCGCCGGAACCCGATGTGCGACTGATTTTGCAGAGCTGCCCTCAACTTTGATGGAGCACTTTTGCGCAGATCCATCTGTGCTCGGTTTATTCGCGCGACATCACATCACAGATGAACCACTTCCATATGAAATGGTCGTGGATAAGCTTAACGTTGCTAGGAGGTTTGAGGCCTCAGACAGGGAGAATCAAATCATTCTCGCTATGCTAGACCAGCAATACCATTCAGCCCTACCAAGCCAAGGTAACTTCGATTCGACGGAAATTTACCTAGGTCTTCAGAAGAGATTCGGGAAGCTTCCATCTGATCCACGAGGTACCAGATGGCAAGGATTCTTCGGCCATTTATTTGGCTACGGAAGTACATACTATAGTTACCTCTTCGACCAAGTGCTTTCCAGACGCGTGTGGCAGGTCGTTTTCTCAGCGGGCCAAAATGGCGCTGCGCTTGATCGGGAGAACGGCGAGAGACTAAAAGAAAATCTGCTTAAATGGGGTGGTAGCAGAGATCCTTGGAGATGTCTCTCAGACGCGCTACGGGATGAACGTTTGGTTGATGGAGATGAGAAGGCTATGAGGCTGGTGGGTAGTTGGGTCGATAAGGACAACCCGCATACCTAGCCAGTCGGATAGCTTTATTGTATATGATTGCCTAGGTAGATTTGTCTAGGACTAATGGTGTGTATAGCAATAATACCCCCATCCAGCCATTGGCATTTTGTCTCTGATACATTTATGTTGATATGGGCGACCAGTATCGCGCCGCACCTAAACAGAGTCAAGCGTATTTACTGTGAGTTGGTGATGTTTCCCTCCTACACGCACCTAGGCGGCAAATTGAGGAAAGAAGAGGGGATTTCCGACTGCGAGTCCCTAAAGATGCTGTTTCCCTAGAATGAAATTGGTTGCTAATATGCACGCTTGAACTATCCTACACATTAGCTACGTAATATGCGTAGCCCGTCGCTTCCCTTCATCATATCGCAGTGGGCGCGAGTGATATCGTCCCTGCTGTTTCCTTCACATCAACACATGCTTCTTACCAGATTTTCAAGTCGCACTTACTATTGGCAGAAACATGAACGAGCGAGCAACTATATTTCTTTTCGCCCCTAAGAGAAAATCTGACTTCTCTCCGTCCTCACATCAACAACAGTCAGTACTACAAAAGGTTACGTTGCTATCATCATTGCTATCATTGCTACGATCTTGCTCGAGAGCTTCATTTTATACTGAGCATTCATTCTTACGAGGATTCCAAGATTCGTCAACTTCAACGTTGTTCCACCAGAGAAACCAGGTCAATTCATACCAGTTCACACTGACAACCCAGCCGAAGAATCAGACTGAGAACCACGATCCTCTAGCATTATTCTACGACATCTAACCCTTCTTGAGTAGCAAAGCAGAGACCACAAGCAATTCCTTGCTAGCTTTGCTCTATTTTACACATACGCTGTCGAACTACACTATACACATATCCAAGCAGAACTAAGGAGCAATGGCACCACACACAAACGTCCTGAGCCTCTTCACAATGCTCGCCACAACCTCCCTTCTCGCACTAGCCCAAGAGCCACCAGTCCCCTCCCCCATCCCCTCACCAATTTTCGCCAATGTTACCATCCCAACCACCCCAACCATCGTCACCGCCGACGACGGCAGACCCGGCCCCGCGGACCCAATCCCAGGCAAGCCCGGCCCCAACCTACGCATCATTGACGACAACCCAGTCTACAAGTACGTAGGATGCTGGTCTGAAACCACACCCGTAACCCCAGAAGTCCACGCTCTGGAGGGACCATACCTCACCGTCCCCGGGTTAATGAAAGTCTCCGCATGTCTAGGCTTCTGCTCAATGTCGCACAACAAGCACGACCCCACTGGCGAGAAAAAGGGGTACCGCTACGCGGGCCTCGAGTTCTCGCGTGAATGCTGGTGCGGCGATACGTTATCTGAGCATAGTTTCCATCTTGTGGATTCGGCTTGTGATACCCCCTGTGATGGTGCGAATACTACCGCTTGTGGTGGACATCTTGCGCTTACCTTGTACAATATCACGGAGAAGACTCCTGGTGATGGGAATGATGGTGGGAATGGTAACAATGGGGGAAATGGAAATGATGATAACGGGGATAAGCCTGGTGATGAGAAGCCTCCTTCTGATCAGGCTGTTTTACAAGCTGTGAGTGTGGGTGTTCTGGTTGTTGCTGTTACTTTTGCTTTGGGATGGGGATGCCTATAGAGGCGTATTGAAGAGTTGCATGATAAGGGAACTTTATGTTGATGGGACGGGGGCTTGATTACCACACTATTCTCTGACGGAGACAGCGTTTGAGTTGTTTTTCATTTTCGCTGCTTTCTGAGTTCGTCGTCTAGAGGTCAAAGTTTGCGGCACTCATAGCGTTGTTTTCGAAATTCATTATACTCGGAGGAATTATGGAACGGGAGAGGATGAAGTTGAGATGTATGGATTCAAGGAATGGAATGAATGCTGGATCGTCCCGGAAAAGCGTTAGCTGGAATAATTTAAATCCACCACCGTTAAACTTGAAAACCCGGTCTTATTAGATATTATTATTGTATTTGTTTTGTTGTGTTAATTACGTAGGTACTGAAGTCGTCGTGATTATTAGTAGGTACAAATCATGACTTTGGACCAATACTTATCGTCGTGTAATTATATATCCAATGGTCCCAGTCCCCTCGCTTGCACCGCATTCTGTACTTCCTGCTTAGCATGCTTTACGGCGTTAAGCCAGGCCTCTTTCCCTTGAGACCTTTCATTATTTTCACCGCCATCATCGCTATCTTCAACTAGATACTCCAACCACCGGACTAATTTCTGGGCTTTATCCATATCCTTCTCTTCCAATACGACGCGGACTAGGTATTTTTCAAGCATATCAACATCCCGTCGATGAGGTCCCTCATCGCGTGTTTCTCGGTGCCATACGTTGAGCATATCTCTGATCTCAGGTAATGTCGTTAATCCATTTGTAGTAAATGCGATTTTAGCGGGTTTCGGGCCGAAACGGAGTTTCATCTGTCCGCCTGGAAGAGCGGCGTTGTTATCTGCGTCTTGGTTTTTATTTTGGCCTAGTTTGGATAGATCTAGACCTGAGCGCTGGGCGCGGCGGCGTCGGTGGTCGGCGATGACTTCTTTGCGGACTTCTTCGGGGAGTTCGGCCAGGAAGTCTTGGTCGAGTTCTTCGATGTCGCTTGGTCCGGCGTGGTCTGCTTGGTGTTTGAAGGTTGTTTGAACGATTTTGGCGTTGGCGTCTGCTTGTCGCTCGCGGACTCGCGCGAAAATACCCGGGACGCGGCGTTTTGTTGGAGTTTTTTGCTTCGGTGGCTGGATGAGACGATCTTTGCGTGGCGATTGAGGACGTGGATTCTGTCTGCTTCTAGGTCTGTATTGTTCTAGAACTTCGGCTTTCATGTCGTCTGGTAGAGCATTGAACACTTCTGGGTCGATCTCGGGAGGTATTTCATCCCTAGGTGCTGGACTTTGGTTTCTTGACTTCGTTGTTTGTGCTTCGCGAGTTTCTGAAACTCCTCTACTACCTTGCTCCATAAGCCTGCTTCGGATATCTGGAGGGAGTTCCGCAATCACGGCAGGATCTGGATTTGATGGCATGATGAATTGAGTTCCACCAATATTCAAAGGGGTATTCGCCTTGGCGTCTGCTTCATTCGCTCGTGATATACTAAAAGCTGGGTGACGGATCTCTGGTTTCGGCTTTCGTGGAGTCAAAGGACTGTCCGTAATTGGATCTGATTCACCTCGACTCTGCTTCGATTTGGGTTCTTCCATATCATTTTCATCTTGTATTTGCTCCATATTCGGCTTTTTTGCCGAGCTCGGGGGACGGAATGATCCAAACGTAAGCTTCTTCTGGCTTCCATCGGGACCAGATATCGAAGTTTTGATGGGCTCAAGTTTGGTCAACTGAACTCCAAGGCCACGAAGATCCCCGGGGCTGAATTTGTAGGAGCGAAGAATTGAAACGGCCTCTTTACCCAGTATTTGATAGTCGTGAGTCGAAACTCCAAACATAACACTCTTGTTGAAGGTATCGCATTTGCCGTGACCTAAATGCTTGGGTGGATCGAGAGGGGCATCGAATGAACGTCGCATAATTTTCATTGTAAGCTGCTTGCCCTTGACCTGTTCATTGAGTAGACGCTTTTCCAACTCCTTGCACAAATTGAATACGAACTCCTCTGCTTCCTCTTGGCTAATAAATCGGATACCCCAATTGACCTCAGCCGAGACAGACTTTCGAATTGGTTGTTCACCAACTTCAGTGCGATCAATACCACGAGCATACTCGAAGAGTTTCTCGCCTGTCTTCGGTCCAAGGGTATTAATCAAGCGTTCCTTGGAAGTCTGCCGAACATCGCTAACAAATTTCACACCAATCTCCTCCAGCTTGCCTGCAATGCTGTACGCGACCCCAGGGAGATCATCAACTTTTAAGTCTCCGAGGATATTTAATACATCCTCGGGTTTGATCTGAAATTGACCCGCTGGCTTAGCTTTCCGAAGGGCGACCTTTGCTAATAAAATATTACTGCCAATTCCGACAGAAACAGCACACCCTGTTTTCTGTTTGATTTGATCACGCAAAGCTAAAGCCATTTGGTCCGCCTTTTCTTGTTCCCTCCACAAACTGCCTTCATCGACTCCAGAGCCATCTGAACCAACCGCAGATAGAACAACGGAAGTAATATCCACAAGGGCTTCATCAATGCTGACGCTCTGCACAACCCCACCAACTTCTAATATACTTTCGTAAAATAGCTTGCTGGCTTCTTCATACGCCGGGAAGTCATATGGTAGTACTTTGAGCTCAGGACATAATTCCTTGGCTCGCTTCATCCACATACCATTTTTGACGCCATATTTCCTTGCTGGATAATTGCAGCTTGCGATTTCCGAACCAGATCCCGTCCCGTGCGCGACAACAGCAGGCTTGTCAACGAAATCAGGCGCGCTTTTCAGTGAGACTGCGCAGAAAAAGCTATCGAAATCGACATGCATTACGTATCGTCTCGCACCTGGTTTCCTTTTCATTGGCTTCCTTTGAGGGCCTTTTTCAGCTGCCAACCTCTGCATCCTAGACTTTAGCTCGGCTTTCCATGTTGATAAGTGATGGAGTCGGCTCTCGGAGTAATACTGCTGAATGAAATCCGGATTTGCAGTAGAGGATTTCCTCATCCGAGGGTCTTGAAGTAGAAGTGCGTTATGCTCTTCGGATGTCATGGCTTTTTGCTGTTCAAGAGACGGTCCGGGCTGGGCATCATCTTCTACTTCATCCATAACCATGGCGTTTGGGTCTCCATCCGCGGCGCTGACTGTAGCTTCCGTATCGTCAACTAACATGGCCGGGTCCTTGGCTGATTTACCGGATATACCGGATGAATCTTGCGGCTTCCACAGTAATCTCGAGGGTGTTGTGGGCCCACTAGACTCAGTATATTGAGCACCTGGAGCGGCCGGCCCTGGTTGGGTAGGCGAAATATCCCCGATATGCCTCCCATCAATTGACTGCGCAATATCTTTCAGCTGACTAGTATAGAAACTGTTCTCGGTCTGTTCCCGATATCCTGCTAGGGGTGATTGCTGTGGACTAGATTGGGTGGATATCCCATTTCCGTTTAGTTTCAATGTCTTCTGCCTGGGAGTCTCCTCAATCACCCGGTATTCCGACCATGGGAGAAGTTTTCCAGCCTTGATAGAATCGGTTACCCAAGCAGGTTTAACTATCCTGTACTTGCTAAAATCAACCATCTTTTTCGGCGGTAGGCTAGATGCTATGATGTGAGTAGCCATAGTCTTAGAATCCAGGTATTGGAGGAACCCGGCGCCATGTTGAACCAACTCGCGGTGAAGAACCGGAAGCGGAGGCTGTGTGTAACCGATGACATGCGCGACAACTCCTTTAAATATCGCGGGCTTATCTGACGATGAAGCTCTCAGCTCCGAGTCAAGATTCTGTAACTTGATTTTCTTGCGACGGAAGTAATCTCCAAAGCCTCCGAAAGCACTAGGCTCATACTCCTCGCCGGCTTCATCTGAGAAAGTATGGCTCTCTATGCGTTTTCGCACAGCATTTGAGTTACTCTCGAGTCGACTCCCCATGTTGATTTTACTTCGAGGTTAATCTCAGAGCAGATGACTCCTGATACTGGTATGCGAACCTACTCGATTACCAGTGGCTATCTTTCGATGCAAGGTCATCTTGGAAATGACGGAGTTGTCGTCGCAGTGCACATAGGACAAGAGGAAGATAGCGATAAGTTTCCCTTCAGATCTAAGAGGGGTTCAGCTGCAAATCATTCGTGAATATTGATTTGCTCGATCTTCTTCCTCGTCGACGATGATATGTTAATGGAAGACGCGGTGATTGATTAATGGAGCGCGGGTAACATCACGTCATCCCGTGACTCAATGTATCTATCACCTTAAAGTGTTTCTGTTATCGATAATAAGATGCTCTATAATTGGCTTGCTGGTATCCACACTATCGTAATTACTCCGGGGAGTACTGCACGCTTCAAGGTATGTGGGTACTTAGGTACGCACCTAGGCAGGTACAAGCTCAGGTCGCCTTCAACAATTCATACCTAGACCTTTTTCTACTTCAACCATCTCGGACTCGTAGGCTGAAGATATCGAATTCAAGGGTGCACACCAAATAGTGTTGGTCGCAACTTTGTAAAGATGAATAACGAACAATTTCGTCGCCTCGTCTCTGCAAATACTCCTAAGCCTTCAACGGACAACAATGGCGCATCGCCAGGTTCAGCTACTCCACGGGGAGTGTCTCTTGGATCGAAACAAAAATCAAGTATACCCATGACGCCGTAAGTGTTCCTTTCTCTATACGATTACTTACATTTCCATGCAGACATTATTAACTAATCCAGTCGCTCAGTTGGCCTTCATAAGTCCGATTTCGCGCGACAGTTAGCAGAGCGAAGCCACGGCAACCACCAACAACAGAAGAAATTCAAATCCTACGACCCGAAAGGTAGCAAACTAGCAGATGGATATGTCGATCGTGCTCGTAACAGAACCTCAGAAGAAGAAGACGAACGAGCAGCGCGAATGAAGGCATTGGAAGAGGCTCTGAAGAAGGAAGAAATCGACCAGGAAACTTACGACAAGCTACGAAGTCAAATCGCTGGCGGCGACCTATCTAGCACCCACTTAGTGAAAGGTCTCGACTTCAAACTCCTCGAACGAATACGCAAGGGCGAAAATGTTTACGGTGAAGGTGATGCGAAAAAAGAAGATTCAGAGTCAGAAGATGACATCGATGATGAACTGGATCAATTAGAAGAGAAGGAGATTGCGGCGGTCGCGAAGGAGAAAACGATAAAGAAGGGACAATTATCTACTGCGCCTTTGAATCCATCGAAAAAGCGAACGAGAGACCAGATTCTAGCCGACATGAAAGCTGCAAGAGAAGCTGCGAAAGCGAAAGAAGAGAGTAGTTTAGGATCGCGATTTAAAAAGATTGGTGCGAAAACACCGGGCTCGAGGATAGAGCGGGATAGCAAAGGCAGAGAAGTGCTGATAATAGTGGATGAGGACGGCCATGAGAAGCGAAAGATACGAAAGACACAGCCGACGACCGAATCCGAGGAAATAGCATCAAGGCCGACGGATATGATGATGCCTGATAAGAATGCTAAACCTCTTGGCATGGAAGTTCCGGGATTTTACAGGAAACAGCAGGTAGAAAAGCCGGAAGATGAAGATGTTAATATTTTCGACGATGTCGGTGATGACTACGATCCTTTTGCAGGGCTAGAAGAGGATGATTCTGAAGATGGGGAAGCTACTGAGAAGAAAGCGCAACCTTCTGGAGCCGACAAGGAAGACAAGGCTGCAATGCCACCTCCGCCTCCACCACCGACTACTACAGCAGAACCACGGAACTACTTCAAAGATTCCAAGACGGGATTGGTATCATCCGAATCACTCAAGGCACCCTCTGTGTCCGATCCGGCTATACAAGCAGCCCTCAAGAAGGCAGCATCGCTTAATCCCATATCCAGACCAACAGAAGAAGAGGATGCAGAAGCCAGAGCCAAAGCAGAGCGACTTAAGAAGATGTTACAGAACAATGACCGTGATGCGGAAGATATGGATATGGGCTTTGGTACAAGTAGATTCGAGGACGAAGAGGACTTTGAGGATAAGAAAGTCAAGTTATCAGAATGGGGACGCGAGGGAGATGATAGTCATGGCGGGGTAGGGGGCGGTTCTAAACGGAAGAGAGGACCTAAGAAACGAAAAGGTGATGCTAATAATGCTGCGGATGTGTTGCGAGTCATCGAGAAACGACGAGCTGCTGAATGATTATTACTCGACAAAGATCCAGTCAGAGTTGCAATAGTTCGTCACTAAGTATAATACTAAACAATAACACATTATATTATGAGAACTATAAGAAATATCCTTCACGCCACCTTCATGTAGTATGACTACTTAATGACAAAGGTTACCTATTCCTTCTATTATTTCTATCTGTATTAAATACCTAAAGGAGTAGGATAATAGCGTGAAATGCGAAAATCACCAACGCTGACTTCTCCGCCCGAGTCCCACATACAGTAAAAAACCCCGTAAGTCTCATGTACGATGACTTCTGACTTCTTCTGACTTACCAAGTTTCCATTTTCCTTTCCACTTTTTTTCATACTTCATACCCTTCTACAAATCCATATTTATTTCCCCGCCTCGGTCGAGACTTTTTTCAAATCAAGTCGGGATCTTTACTAAACATATTTTTACTAGTGTTTGTTGAGATTTGAGTGAGGGATTAAAATTTCGAGGGAGTACAAAGCACGGAATTAAGAATCAATAATGTCGGACACGGACCCTGTCCCACTTTGGCTGGACTGCGATCCGGGCCACGATGTGAGTTCGGATTTATCCATAACCTACTCTTTTTTCCCCAACCAATCAAGCAACCATGAGATATTTAGTGATATTTCACGATGCAGTTACTCCGGAGCGGCTATCATGCCGTATCCTGGCGGACCCGACCCGTGTCGGAGAAGCATGGTGAACTCGGCCGGCTTCGGGACCCCGCGTGCCTAACTCAGCTCGGCATGAAAGCCTACCATGTCATACCGCATGAAAATATCTCTGCTATCTTAACCACATAGCTGTACCCACTTGAGTATACCCCGATCTAACTCACCCTTATAGGACGTCTTCGCCATCCTCCTAGCAGCCTACCACCCGGGCATCCGGCTACTCGGCATAAGCACAGTACACGGGAACGCCTCTCTCGAGAAAACCACCCGTAATGCCCGGTCGGTCTTAGCTGCCATCGGCAGACACCCCGATGTAGCAGTGTACCCGGGGGCTTCACACGCGCTCCACCGCGACCCAATCCATGCCCCCTCCGATATCCACGGTGAATCCGGTCTCGATGGGACATCTCTCCTCCCACCACCCCCACCGCCCCTCCTCCGCACCCTCTCCTCCCCCGGCGCCGAAGACGAAATCCAAGCCGTCCACGCCATGTCCGCCGCGCTACGCGACTGCGAACCAGGCACCGCATGGATAGTAGCCACAGGCGCACTAACCAACGTCGCCTCTCTCTTCACCGAAGAACCAGATCTAGCGGAGCATATCAAGGGTCTAAGCATAATGGGTGGAAGCGTCGGGGACGGGTTCACGGACGCGGTTATGGGGATCGTGGATGGGAAGCCTAGGGTCGGGAATTATACACCTTGGGCTGAGTTCAATGTTCTGATTGATCCGGAGGCTGCCAAGTCGCTTTTTGAGAATCCGGTGCTGGCGGGGAAGATTACGCTTATACCACTGGATTTGACGCATCTTGTGCTGGCGACTAAGGAGGTCCAGGAGATGTTGCTTTATGGACCGCCGGCGCCTGAGGGGGCTGGGGATGAGAGTATTGAGAAGGGCTTGCGTGAGGGTAGGGGGAAGACGGATTTGAGGGTTATGTTGGTCGAGTTGTTGAATTTCTTTGCGAATACATACCGGCAAGTTAACCTTATTCCCTTTTTATTTTACTGATGGTTAAGCTGGCGCTATGCCTATTACTAACCACCCTACTAAATAGCGATGTCTTTGGCATCACAGAAGGTCCTCCATTACATGACCCGTTGGCTGTAGCGGCTATCCTAACTGGCACTCCTCACGAAGTTCCTTTCTACGATTACGACCCGAAGAACTCTAAGGAGTCGGAGCGTCGGGAAAGGTTCTCGATAGAGGTAGTGATAGAGGGCACGCTAGAGGATGCGCTGCATCGTGGCGCACAGACAGGACGTACCATCGTGAAGCTATTACCACCCGGCAGCGAAGGCGTGCGCATCCCCCGCGGTCTCGATATCCCACTTTTCTGGAAGGTCATTGAAGAATGCTGTGAGAAAGCCGATGAAGCGAATAGGAAAGTTCTGGCTACGTCAAAGTCTTGATGTATTGATACGCCAAATACCCAAGGGCCTATACTGGATATAGCGACCCATTCGATGGAATAGATAGGAACTGGTTATGCGACCCTAGATACAATCGTACTTTATTTTCTTGGTAGATATATTAAAAATCACGCGATCTAACCACACCCCCTTTCCTTTCATCGCACTTCGCTAAGTGAGCGTATAGTATTGTACATGGCTGCCCTGATGAAAGGGTATGTCGACTAATGCAGACCAGCTCATACACATTCAAAACTCCCCCTAAACTCCTACCAAGGGATATGCAATTTCCCGATGCGCCTAACTGATAATGCAAACCGGTCCATGGGAAGTGTCTGGACGTTTCTAAGATGCTGGTGGTTTTCACTGCCTGGGTTTCAGTGTTATTTTTCGCTGTTGTTATCTGTCGTATTGACAATAGTTACATTCATGTTCTATCCGACACTGTGTCCCTAGGTTCTGGCACTCTCTTGTCATCGCTGTTCTCGCCATTATTGTGGATGACTTATAGTAACCACGGTCGCTGTTTCGATGAGGATTGTGTCCGTTGTTGCGTTGGTGGTGGTTGTGTACCACTTTCCGTTGTCATCGGGGGGTAAGTGGGCACCGGTCCTGGCATAGAAGGGCTTGGGACCACCGACGATAAACTTGGCAGACGAGTCATCCCCACATTAGATTGACCAGCGATGTCATGTGAAGTGCTTGCGAGTGAAGCGACGGGACGTTGCGACAATAATGATAATGCCCTCGAAGTACTCGTCGGCATGTAGTTGAGTAAACTCATGCCCATAATATTGTCGTACCAATCCCCCAACACGACCCGTAGCCACGTCTGGTTAAATGCCTTCAGTTGGCGCTCGGCTTGGAGTCGTCGCTCCCACCAAGCATCCATGGCTTCGTCAGATTGACTCGTCGTCTTTTTCACAACAAGGGTCTGTGGGCTGCCACTACGTTCCTCTTCATGTTGTATCGTGCAGTCCGCGCCGGCCATATCAAGCATATCATGGAGATGTGTTCGTCGATTTTTATCTACCGGGAAGCGACCGATTGCCTCGGCGGGACTGGCGAGAAATTGGTTAAGATTTATGCAATCTTTACAGTTGCAGGATATTCGTTGGCGGGAAATAGGAACTCCCGATGGCGGCTTCTGGACGAAATTGCTCAGATAGGCCTGAAAAAGTAATTGGTAAATCCGCGTCCAGTGTGGCGATGGAAGGGGAACTCTGTATTGTTCAAAGACTGGGAACAATCCCTGTAGTAATGGTATCCAAAATGGTTTAAACTCCCGTCCCTTGATATTCTCCGCCTGGGTGCTTATCTTTTCGGCGAGAAGTCGTATATGGCCGTCTAGATTGAGAGCGATGAGGGTGGAGACAAATCCTAACATAGAGTCGTAGGTTAAGTGTTCGAAATGCGGTATATCTTCCAAGCGCCGCCAATTTCCCTTGCCCTGCTGGCGATAATCGATAGCAGAAATCGAAGCTACCTCAATATTATTCAACGCCAGCCATGCTATGTGCTCATACATAAACCGCGCTTCGCTTAAGGCAATCTGCTGGCGTTCTATACTCTGGTATAACGATCTAAGGAAGCCCAGAACAAACGCCAAAGATTCGCTGTTTTCTTCTATAAGGGGTATTACACTGACTATATTAGTGACATTGATTTAAAAATGTAGTTAGCAGCACTTACACTGTTTTAAGGTAATTGAAATCTTGGTAACGCATGGCGAGGTCAAAAATTGCAGGCCCATCCTCCTCATACAGGTCTTTTGTTCGACATTTTCCTAGATATTCATCAATGGCCCGTGAGACGATACTCTTCACCCTGTCGTCTGCGTAAATAATTCTGTCGATAAAGGAGACAGCATTATACACTTGGTAGACCGAGGATTGGAGGCGAATAGCATGGATCAGACTGAAATGAATTAGCCCCCATTATCAAACAGTGACTAGATGATATCTTACAGCTTCTCTAAGTCAGCTATGGAAATGGCCGACTTGTCATATTGATCTCTTATCCAAATGAAGAAACTGATAGGAGGCTCTTGGCTATTTTGTGATAGAATCAAGTCCAGTAATCCGGGTTCATGGCCACGTATAGATGCTTGAAGTGCCTTAGAGAACTGTACAGCGGTGAGTTGATGCTGTCGATCAGAAAGGGGATTTCTCGAGGCGGTTCTCAAGAATTCGTGTAATTGTGCCAGAGGCTGACTATTTTCAGGACAGCTTCCACATTTGTTAATGAAATAATCAAAAAGCCCACGAAAATGGCTACCACTAGGAAGGCCATGCATGGAGCCGTGATTTTGTGTGCTTGAAGTTAGAAATGAGACGGTCCCATCACTAGGAACAATAGCGAGAGCCTACTAGGTTAGTAAGGGAGTTCTGTCCACTGTACTGGGAATGAGATTGACTTACCCATAACCTATACCGGTGTATGACTCTACTCCCCTATTCGCATATTAGCCTATTGCCAATTCAACTACGGGTCGATGAATTATACAAATTTACCACTAGATCCTTCGATATCTTCATCATCCGGCGCCTCTCCAAAAGGTTGTTCTTGTAAGATGTCTTCTTCCTCCAATTGCGGATTCGACGTCAACTTATTCCCATAAAGGTCAAAGACATATTTGCAGCGATGGAACAGATCAGTGATTTCGTCGAGGTGGTGGTAACTAGGACCTTGGCTTGTCCTCTCGCCTGCCTTGCTGTGACTACCATAATGGTCACGCTGAAGTTCACGACTATTACGCCTCACAGTGCCACTTTCCCCTTTTTCCAATACATTAAGGAAAATATCAAAATTGAGTTCGGCGCAAAGTCCCTCAAGATATTTGACAACACTGAGGTCCGACGGTCTCAATCCTTGGATGGAAAGGTTCGCCTCAGCGTACTTGTGTCTCAACACGTAGTAAAGTGGTGAAGGCCGTCTCGACCCAGTTTTGATTTCTTGAGACCACAATTCGAGAACCCTACGAGCTTCGTGATGCTGAAGGCTCCAGTCGGCAGTTGGGATTTCGCTAGCTTTTCCTTGATGTGACTCCATAGCGGGTTGGCTGGCCTGAGCTTCCGAGGGAGGGATGTGGACCCGGTCAACATGTTGCGGGAAAATATCCGCCTCAGAACGCCTAACCTGTGTAGGTGATGCGAAAGGTCCATTGGTGCGGATCGAGTCGAGTGCATTTAATAGTTCCGACTTGTGGAAACAGCCTGCTGTAGAGACGCCCTGATCCCCACCGCCCGAACCCATCCTGCGTAGACCATCTGCTCAAAAACAAACGACAATTCGGCCCTTAATTCGATTCTCATTCTCAAAGATTTTCGATGTTCGTCGCTGAGAACATTTACATTTCACAAGCCACCGACGTCATTGACGCCGATGTTTCGCTATTGAGATACTGAGATACAACAATTGTTCTAATTCTTCGACAACAATGATTAAGGCATCAAATCGCGCCCAACGATGTTGTAGATCCCGTTTCACGCGCTTAAAAGTGGAGTGAGTTCATTAAAGCTATGGGCATCGGCAATTCCCTACGCCCCTTTACCCTGGCTTCACCCATGCCCTAGAATGCCCTGGAGCCCCCCTTTTTCTGTCAGGGGTAGCGCTCTGATAGGGAAGATCTCGCCTATAAAGAGGTAGAGCCAATGGGCCACATGACAACGGTATATATATTCTAGTGCTATATACCCCCTATCATAATTGCTGCTAATATACATAAATGTATTAATGCCGCCGAACTGTTTACTCAGCTAATCGTACTTAGTTGTGGAACTCGCCAATCTTCTACTAAATAATAGGTATCCGCCTCTCTTATCTTTTCACCGGTCATTCATCAATAATTATACAATCGTCGCTTTGCTTGCGCTTTAGTCCCGGTCCCAAGCCTTGTGTCAAATTTTGAGAGAAAGAGGCCAATGGCGCTCGTTCTGATTGGTGAATATTTGTCCCGTCAATCAATTGAGCTGGCGTGTTTTGCGCTGGAAGCGAGCTCGTGGTAGGTGGACTGGTGTGGTGTCCGGTAGGCCAAATCACATTCGCATGCCACGATTGTCGTACCTCGAGAAGCCAGTTCGGCGGTGGCCGCGTGCCGTAATATGTAGTATAGGTTGCTCCACCAGTATGAACCGGCACATTAGGGATATTTGCCGTCGATGGAAGGCCGTTTGTGATATGGTGGCGGGAGGTTGGATCCGGGCCGGGTGGTGGTGAAATCTGAGGCATGACTACCGTATTATTTGATTGGGCCTGCGCATCTCTCGGCGATTCAATCGTCTTGGGAGTACTCTTCTTATCTCTAGAAAGAAGCATCTCTCCACTAGTCATAGAATGGTAATCCTCCTGTCCTAGTACTTTTCGTAGTTTAACTTGGTCGAACGCCGCGAATTGATGCCCAGCGTGTGTCACACGCCTTTCCCATTCGGCTTTGGCTTTCTCATATTCTGTAGGCGTAACAGTAATTGACCATGTGCAGCATCCCTTGACCTGGAAACACGTATAGGAACATTGGTTTTGCCGGCTAAGCCCCCGGAGTACATCATCAACGTGATTTTTCTGCTTTCGCTCGCGGGACATAAACTTCCATTCATTCATAGTACGAGAGGCAAGACGAATATTTAGAGCCTTGCAAAAATTACATTTACAAGGGAGCAAGATTTCGTGACGCTGTACCTCGGGGCCGGGCTCTTCGACAGTAACATATCGGGTCCAGTACAGCTTAATAATAGTCTGGACTAGCGAGGAAATCACAGGGTCTTCGGATGAGATTGGTCGGTTCTTGAGGACATCTAGGATGCCGCCAACAAAAAGAACCCAAAGCTCTGGAAACTCTGATGGGTCGATTTTGTCGCTTTGCTCGATTATCTTCCTTGCAAGATCGCGTAAACAATCGTCCATATCCAAGCTGAGAAGAGTCTGGCTTTTGACTGGCGAGAGAGGCTGTGAATTATCTTCCAGTTTCTGCCGCGAACGCCAACCGGAGAAGCCCTGCTCGCTGATAACATGGGTAATATCGAGGCGCGTAACCAGAGACCTAACAGTCTCTTTAAGGAGACCAGATAAATCCGAAGAGTACATCCGCTCAAACTGGGCAGCGCAGGTATAGAGTTGCCAACTAAACCCCAACACGAAAGCAACGTTCTCGCGCTTACGACGAACTAAATGAGCTAACCTACTTCATGTCAGGCTTCAATGAGACCTCCCAAGTCAAGCTGAAAACTCACCTCTTCAAAACCCAAGAACCATCCTAGCGATCGCAGGCCATGAGCACGAGAGTTTCTCCATCCTGTTCATATAGTGCAGTGTTGTAACAGGTGTCGACCATCCTTTCCATCACGTCGAATACCAGTCTCCATAGTTGTTTCCATACTTCGTCGCCAGCAACATTGAAATTCGAGATATACGTATATTGGTCTGAAAGCGTTTTCTGGGATAATACGGAACGCTCAAAACTGTAATTGTTAATAATGGGACTCGACTCGCAAACATGGGTGTACAAACGCTCGAGCCAGCATAGCCATCGAAAATCCCGACCCCCGCAGACAAATCGCCATCCTTGAGAAGAACCGATGTGAAAGGTTTACTCTGATATTATCGCAAACTAGCGAAAATAAGCGGTGATTCTTAAGGTCAATCGCTACTTCGAGAAGCATGATGATGTCACATTCGGAAATGATTATCTTTCTACTCGTCGCCGAGTCTTGCCGAAAGAAGTACTCTCTGCATAGACTAATCATCACGTTACAAGTAGTTTCACGGTGAGCCTTGTCACATTGTGAGATGTAGTGTTCAATAAGGTCTGTAATCGGCTCCGAATCGTAACCCATCAAAATGCTTGAGAAAACCGTGATGGCCGCAGATTGAGGGACCACAAACAAAGCCTTAGGGTGGGAGACGTTAGTTAGTAACTGTGGTACGAATCGTTCTTGAGGGATACCAGGTAAGTACTGACTAATGACCTATAATATCGACAGACAGAATACGTCTTTCTAATCAGCTAGCAGAATTTAAAATCGGGACTTAAGACAAACCTCGGGGTCGATTGGCATCCAATTATCGCCATCTGGAGGATCGCCTATCTCATCGGGGTGGCAGTCTTTGGAGACATCGCCTTGAAGAATGCAACTAGGGTCGAAATCTAGACTGTGTTTCTAGACCGTTATTGGCCTCAAGTTGCACTCGCAATTCCCAGATTATATCAGTACCACCAGTCTTCGTATATATATGACTGTCTTCCTCTTCGCTTTCAACCTCACTACAGTCGCGGGCGGGGTCATGCTCTAGGTTTATTTCGCGCTTCTCTACTTGGGCCATGAAGACATTGAATGGGTAGCGAAGCTCAAGTCTCTGCAAGCAGGAGAAACGAATGGTATCCGAAATATTCCGCGGCGAGCCGGTGGTGGAGAGGTCCGGTTTAGGGGAGTCCTCAAGCAGATATATCCAATGGCCAGCGTGTGGCATCCCCGGGACACTCGAAACCCATCCTTGTATCGCCCTTTCGAGATTGTCGCTCCGTAGTGGTTCCTCGATATTCTCTGGAATAGCTTTAAGGGCATTTAGTAGCTCTGTATTAGAATTAGCAGTATGCGTGTAGTCTCCTGGAGTCGCGATGATGTCAAGGCCCCCGAAACCTTACACTGCATTCATCAGTTCTCAAGCTCCAGAAGAAGTGACCTTGTCGTTATGACTAAATGAATTCGACGGTCGCGTATCATTACAATCTCATCTTCTCGAAATCTTCTTTTTTAGTAATGAACGAATTGCAATATGATCTATCACATAGAAAAGGGGAGGTAACATGGTTTCGCATTAATTTGTATCTTAGGTAAGTGAGGGCTTACCAACTTGAAGCATTTCGCGGAACGCGTAAAAATCGTCAAAAACACTGTATTTACCAAAGTAGAGACCCGTACCGCGCTGTCAGGCCTGTTTCGCATCATTACCTTGGTTTAGGTAGGCATCCCTGCTCCTTTGATGTCATTCCTATAGTGTATACCGCTTCTATTCGCACGGTACGTGCGCTTAGATCGCCATGCTCAACCAACATCCACCAGTCTGTCTGCATTGTCAGAGTTCCTGGCATACGTACTGCTACTAATGGCTAAAGGAGATCACAACAATAGATGGGGGCATATTAAGTAGCAGTCTAAAAAGCAGAAGGTACATGTATGCTTTTGGTTGTTTTCCTTGGAATGGCAGATGGATGGGTCAACGCACAGACGTACGGACTTCAACGTGGGGTCTTGCCGATGTCTCACAAGGATCCTAGAGTCGGATTTCTGTAGCTACCCGCGCTGGCGTCGAGCTCGTATCAAGGATACGGACATCGGGTATAGGGTCTGGGTCGGAAATAGGCGTTTTTGGTGTGGTCGCACGGCGTCGCCAAGGGAAGGGAGCCGACTGCGAGAATACATTCCCGGAAATGGAGTGACGATGGTAGAGCCTTGCCAAGACAATAATGCTTGGAGTCACCGCAAAATACCCTGGAAGTTGGTTCTTGATGTGAGTTTTCAAGTCGGTAAATCGAAGTATGACCCCACCATATGAGGCTTATACCAGGGTAATCTGAAGATAGACATATCGGTAGGCTCGATGACACACGAAGCGGGTGTGAATGCAACCACCCACATGTAAGATTGCTCTCCAAGATAGGGATCGCGGAAAATCGATTGAAATTTTTTTTCGAGCTTGAGAGAGGGGATGAGGATTAGGATGATGAGAGATACGCTGGGGTAGTAGGGCTCCTGTGACACAGGATATATAAATGCAACCCCACCGTGAGGTTCGGTGAAGTTATGGTCGGTTTAGGCGGCGAGAAATTATTGGCATTAAGGTACGTTAAGGGGCTCAATATCTCAATCGTTTGATGTACCTACCTCCAGGTTCCTACGTCTTACTAACTAGTACGTTACACGCGTGTTCGGAGCGGTTTTCATTATTTTGCCTCATAAACGCTTCCCACCTTTCCTCGGGCTCATTTCTTATGTACCTAGGTAGGCAGTAACCACAACTGACATAACACATATTTGTACTACCATGCCGTCGTTTATTAGTGGATTCGAGGTATACAAACACATTCCTTGCATTATTGTTTTGTTAAACTCTGGTTAAAAATATCAGGTTCTGTATTCGGACAAAAACGTTCCATCAACAAACATCGTTCACGAGCTCAACACCGGTATCTCCGATATCAACTATAATTTTGGAGGAAAGTAAGTATTCCACATAGTTCCGCACTGTTGGTTTTTAATAAGGAACCAACCTTATACCCATGTATGTCTGGCTTGTTCCCCAATACACACAGAACCCGGGAGAAGCATGCACCTATCTAGGAGTGCATATATCAAGCAGCGCCATCCCCTATTCCGATGACCTTGGAGCAGGTGCGGGTGGCGATTACCGCTACCTTTTTCTGAAAAGGGACAAACACGTCGACCTCAAGATCAGAGAAGTGGCGTTGTACCGAAAAGCCTCTAAGGATGGCTGTATGAATGAGGAGGACTTAAAGCGCCTTCGAGCCCGGGGCTATAGCGCCAATCATTCGCCTGATATCAACCGGAACCGTGGGGGGGACTTCTTGTATTTGGTATGGAGAGAGGGTTTCACGACGGCAATACCGTCATAATGATACGAAGCAGCGCCGTCGGCAGAGCCTCGCCAGCTTGTATCCAAGTATTAAGATGCGTCAAGACGGCAGAGTTGATCGCAGCCTTTGCGCGTCTATCACTTTTGTTGTACAAGTATCAGCATTTAGGTAGCATCTGGCTGGCATTGTGCCACCCCGTCCTTTCACGGCTCGCTACATAAGTACTCAACCCCGGGTGGTTGTTATCCAATGTAACTTGTCTTTTAGAGAGTAAATTACATCTGTGCGGCCTATAGTCGCTAATCTAAAAGAAAGACGGGGGTCGTAACACATACACACGGAGTGTCATACGTCCAATCGGAAGTAAATCTAGGTCGGCCACAACCTACCTAGGTAGGTATTGAAGTAGGTACACAATCACGTTTTCTTGTGAGCCTCTCGAGGTAAAAAAGCATCAAAGACATTGTATAACCCGGAGTCCCTAATAATTCCTGGCCGAGAGGTAGATATTATCGTATACCTAACCAAGAGAGATTGGAGAAGATGGCGTAAATCACATAATAACATCGTTTCCCTCTCAAAGCTATCTGTCCATTAAATAAGAGCAGCTTTCCGGCCGCGATTCTTGAGTAATATCCACCGTCCGGAAAATACCGTTTTCGGCTTGATCTAACATATCTGCCATGCCAGCATTGCCGCCACTGGAACCGACCGCGCGCGTTTCCATGAGCGTCGTATCTGTAACTTGGAAGTAGTGACGTAAGTGTTTTCGAGGCGGCGATCCGAAGGTCGCATTTAGTGGGGATGGTGCTATGGTGGATGAGGCATGAGAACGGTCACTGGTGCTTCCACGCAGTTTTGATCGGAGTAATTGTATGGGAGGAGACTCGGAGAGATACATTTTCGCAAATTTGGCAAACGCTGGCGTAGAGCCTGCAATAATAGCTACATTTGTCTCGATGACACTAGAATAAATCAAAGTCAGTTGACCTTACTTTGATAATTTCAGGGGTATTGGCGTACGTGCAGATTTCCACTTCGGTAGACAACCAAGAGGAATCGTCATATGTAGAAACATACATAACACGAAAAACGAGGGATAGAACGCTGGCTATAACACCGCTACACGTTTTCGATCAGCAATCCCACTAATAGACAGGGCAATGTATATGACCTACGAGAAGGCAGTAGCGAATAGGGCGAAAAGCTGGTACTTCTTTCTCGAGGGCAAGTGTAACTTGGATAAAATGGGTAGTGGTAATATGAATATAAACAGGTTTAGAATGACGGCTAGAGCACCCACAAGAATGGGCCAAATCATCAACATTGCCAGTGCACTCTCATTCTCAGGTGGTGGTTCCCATAAAAATTCTTCCCAACTCTGGCGAGGTTTCGGTGCGCTGTAGAGGCCATCGATAACCACGCCGGGTATACAGATAGCAAAGGTGAACACCATGCCAGCCCAGATGGCAATGTTTGTCGGCTTGTTCACCTGAAATATTTGGCGATACATAATGAGTATGGCACACTTTGACGAAAAGAAAACAACTGCTGAGAAAACGTCCCCGATAAAGAAGAGCTATCAGCATCATTTTAGCTTGTAGCATTTACGCTGGCGAACGATATACCCACTTTCATATATTCCACATCGTACCAACAAAATGGTATGTCCCACGAGTGCCGATAGTATCGGCTCACTACCAGGGGGTCATCAGCAGAGTCCCAGAAACAGAGTTGGTACGTATTTGGGTGGCTTACAGGGGACCGCAAGCCCTACTTGGGTGATGCTCAATATGGTCGCCAGCGCCATGAGGTCTTCTAACGGTTAATCATTTACGATTCCTTGTGTTGTAAAATAACTTACAATCGGCCGCGTGTAGCTTGAACCAGTTGACGTACAGTCTTGCGGCTACGAAGAGGATCGCCCATAGAGTAAAGATAACTGATATTGAGATGAGGGCCGGGGTTAGGGTTGGTGGGTTGACAAAGTTAGGAATCACTCCATTTGGAGGGTCGCTCAATGGAATGGTGCAGGGATCTATGTTACCAAAGTCTGGAGCCATTGTAAGCAATTATATTTATATTGATATGATTAAACAAACAAAGTGAGGCCGACATGATCCAGGACAATCTAGATATATTAATAAATCGAACATATAGTCGAAATGATTGAGAGTTAAATACTTTAGTATTTGATGGTATCAGATTTGGTGAGAGGTTTCGTCTCACCCCCCCTAACTTTATCGTACCCGATGCTACGATCGAAACAGTAGAGCCTTGCAGGCTTGTGCAGTTGCGTATGATTGATGAAACTGTAAAATCTGTTGTACACTGGTGCACTTAAGGTGTTGCTTTGGGGGCCGTTGCCCGGAGATGTATCCCATAGTGAATTGGAGGTAGTAGAGGAGATATGAATTGAACTAATAGGCCACTTACAATTCAAAACCGGCATATCTTATATAATTCAGCCAGCCAAAGTTCTCATCACAAGCGGGGAGAATTGCCGTGAGAGAGGCTGGCTGAATCACACTTTCGATTTCGATACGTCATCGTCAGCACTCCGTTACGTTAAACTGCCGGTAGAGATCATCGCCTAAGCTAATACAAGTGGCTTTGAAAAGTATCTATAGCCCCTTAAGTATATCTGCACACCTACCTACCTATTATTCAGCTAAGTACTCCGCAATATCAAATGAAACCAGCGCTGGTAGGAAATCCTAGTCCGCGACTCGGGACCGGGTGCCAATTAAGGGCAGTCAAGAGTCACCCGAGAACACGGGTAGCACAGGTAATTCAAACGAGAGAATCATCAAATTGAGAGCCTAAATGGAATGAATACCTCCTAGGTGGTAGGTACGTTTATTCACACAATCCAGACCTATCTATTCCTAGCCTCAACCCTTTAACTGAATGAGTGTTTAACGTTGTTGTAACGGCGCGGGTTCCTTCTCATACGTATTTGTCTGTTGAACGAAGGGAACTTCCAGGCCGTGAATCTTGGATGACATCAATTGTCCGTAAAATTTCTTCCTGACTTCCCCAGCCTGCTGTGTAAGTAGTTCTAACGTCGGTACTAGCTTGCGTTTCCATGAGCACCGTATCGTTGAGTTCCAAGTAGTGGCGTGGATGCTTTCGCGGCGGGGATCCGATTGTTCCATGAAGCGGTGGAGGTACCGGTGTAGGTGAAGTGTGGGAATGATCGGGTGGCTTTATTCGAAGTTTTAAACGAAGCATCCTCACGGTGGAAGATCCCGCGATGTAGGTCTTTACAAACTTGGCGAATGCCAGCGCAGATCCCGCAATGATAGCCACACTGATTTCGGCGGTACTAGAATCAACTAATGTCAGATTATTTAAACTCCGTATGATCGATCCTATGGGTATCATCATACTTGCAAATCTCCACATAACACCACACCCAGGTACCATCGTCATCACGAAGATACCCAAGGCTATAAACAAGGGGTAAAATGCTAGCTATAACGGCACTATCGAATCATAATTAGAAAATTTGTCAAATGTTGGCGCCGCGCGAATAACTTACGAGAAAGCAATAGCGAATAATGCAAAAAGCTGAAGCCTCTTCTTGAGGGGTAGATGCAGCCTAGATATGGCAGGGAGCGGTAGGATGACTATGTATAAATCCACCGCCATGATACAAGCAGTTCTGACATTATTCCCCACGGCTGTCAAGTTTTCATATAGCTCATATGTCTTCTCGTCCTCGGGGGTAGTTATCCACTCCTCCCAACTCTGACCTGGCTTCGGTGCATTCACGATGATTTCAACGACGAAACCAAAGATAGAGATAAGAAGGGTGAATATAACTCCGATCCAGACAGCAACATTTATTAATTTATTCACGCCGAAAAGCTGCCGGTAGAGTAGGAGTACTGCCCATTTCGAGAATAAGGAACGAGGTACACCGACCATATAGAGAGCGAATTTGGTCTGTCCGCCATGTTTTAGCGTACGATATTTTAATAGTAGCTCCTGCGATCGTGAATGGATCACTTACTATCATATATTTCACGGTAATCCAACAAACTGGTATGTCCCACGTATGCCGAAAGTGTTTACTTACTATTAGATACGAGAGTCAGTACCTAGGTCGGAACTCAAGTAGACTACCTACCCGGGTAGTTACCTATTCAATTGTAAACAACTTACTTGATATTTCGATTCCTGCGTAAGTTATATTAAGGATAAGTGCTAGCGCAGTAAGGTCTTTCGATTATCAATTATTCACCCTTTTGTCGGTCATAGGTAGAGTGCATAACGTACAGTCAGACGCATGCAGCTTGAACCGGTTGGCATATAGTCTCGCGACTACGAAGACAGTAGCCCACACATTCAAGACAACTGCGATAGAAATGAGAGTTGGAGCCATAGTTGGCGGGTTGATAAAATTAGGAGTAATTCCATCGGGAGGGTCGGCGTCGGGAATAGAGCAGTTGTCTACGTCGTTAGAATCCACGGACATTGCAAACGATCAAATCAAGGTCGCACAAACATAACAATATATAGTCTGGGGTTAGAGAGATAAGTTACTAAACTTGATATCTGCTTTAATGATTGAGAGGGAGATACCTTGGTATATAACAATGTCGGTGTTGTTGAGAGGTTACACCTCACCACCACGCTACTTTGTCACACCCATTGCTGCGGTTCCGACTATAGAGCCCTGCATAATCCTACTGCTACGTAGATGATATGAAACCGTATAGAATCTGTCGGTACTGGTGCAGCTGAGGTGTTACCTACCTATTGAACAAATTCATTTGTATGGGGGCGATCCCCTAGCTTCGGGTGCGTGGTACGACCCAGCTGCGTCCCTAGTAGCACGGTAGTACAACACTATTTAGAGCGCTTTATGGAGGCCGCCCCTTGCGCGGAACACCAAATTCGGACCTCGATGGCCAGCGACGAAGATATCTTCCAACTGATACTCGCCCGGGTGGCCTCTCCCATCGGTACGACCCGCCTTGCCCCCGCCGACCTCACCAGACTTCCCCGGTGCCACTTCGAAGTCAAATAGCCATATAGTCCGTGCAAGCGTTAGACTCGCCTCCATATAAGCCATAGATTTACCAGCGCAAGCGCGATCGCCAATAAGGAACGGGGTGAAGGCTTTGCGCATGGTCGCACGGTCTTCCTTCTCCCCCTCCCCATCCACCTCCGACGCGTTGCTGTCATCGAGCCAACGCTCGGGCTTGAAGGTAAAGGAGTCGGGGAAGTACTCTTCGTTGTGCATTATCGAGTATAGACTAACTCCGACTTGGGTCCCGTGCGGGATCACATGGCCGTCTACGACGAACGGCTCTCCGCTGTCGTCTTTAGTGTCTTGTTGCCTCCAGAGAGTGGTAAGTGAAGGCGGCGACATGCGGAGTGTCTCGTCGATACATGCTCGGAGGTATTTGCAGCTGCTCAATTGAGGGCCTGAACGGATGTCGTTGGATGACTCGAAGGTTGACCGTATCTCGGCGGCTAATTTGGCATAGCACTTTGGATTGCGTGAAAGGTAGAAGAAGAGGGCGCTCATGGTCGTTGCGGTTGTAGTACCACCTGAGACGAACATGTCGCATTTAGTAACGTTCACTCAATACCATGCAAGGTGGTTGGCATACCTGCGGTAATGAAGAGAATAGCCTCTGGCCACAATTCATCCTTGTAGAGACCTTCCTGCCCTTTTCCGATATAATCGGCGACCATGGAATAAAGATCGCGATGAGCATTCTTTTCTTGAGCCATGCGCGTTTGTATTATAGTCTGCACAGCGGTTCCGAATCTAAGAACCTGCCTTACACCAAGCCAAGCCAAAACCTTCTCCAGGGGTGCGAGGGCTGGAAGTTGCATATAGGTGCTAATCCGCCAAGCCATCGAGTCCATGAGGTTAAGTATGAATCGGAACTTCTCGTCAGTCTGCGTATTAAGAGGGAAACCAAAGGCTAGTAAACCGACAATATCCACGCCTAGTCGTTGACACCTCTCGGTCATGTCAACAACGTGGCCGGGTTGGGCTGATTCAAGAAGTAGGTTTAGGAAGACATCAATCTCCGATTCCATTGTGGGTTCGAAACTTCGCATTGAGCGCTCTGTGAGGGGTTGCCCTATAAGCTTGCGCTTTCTACGATGTTGATCCTTATCAATGACATTGATAATACTAGGATACCTCGCTCTGAGCTGGGACTTCGTATACGAATGTCCTTTCGTTACTCTTGAATTAAGGTAGATGTCTTTGGTTATTAGTGACGTTATGGCCACTGGAATAAGGGACTCTGACCTGAGGCCACTTACCATATAAAGCTTCTACTGTATTGAATACAAGGCGATTTGGCGCCTGTCGAACCACAGGTCCTATAATTAGGCACGATTAATTAGCAAGAGTTCAAAGGAGAATAATAGTATGAATTCTCACCATATTTCTGGAAATTCTCATATGTTGTAAGGTGAAGACGCTTCCCAAGAGCGAAATAACCACCATAGGCATCTGTGATCCTCCCGAAAATTGGCCCTGGATAGCTGCGCAGGGGATGGAAAAACGAGCGGAGGACAATAGTCAAGAGAAGCTGCAGCAAATTTGTCAATCCATACATAGGATATAGTTTGAATTACAAGTTACTTACCCAGAGAATCGCGAGGCAAATGGCATACGCCGTAGACGTATGTAGTGCGTCGAAAGAATGCATAGCGGACTCAAGACACAGCGGGACTTGGAACTAAGCGAATCTAAGTGGAAAATAGACGGAGCAGGAAGTAAAAGGTCATTTAAATGGAGGGAGAACAATTAGTAATAGAGAATTGATGGCAGGGCGCGGACGGTTATGTCCCTTTGTTTTGCAAGTTACACAACACTTCTCCCTCACTTCACTGAGGCCTGCGTTGATTCGCTTGAACCAAAAAGTGTTGGTTGTAACTCGTAAAATTGCTTAATTAGTGTGAGGCGCAGGCTATCTATAGAACGTATCTGAAGTCCGAGTTCTCAAGATCCGTCTTGTCATGCATGCCCAATCTCATGCCTTCTAGCTTCTCCTCGGTCGTCGCGAGCGCCCCGAATTGACGATCTCGTAATTTGTTCTGCATAAGCATATAGTAACGAAGAGCGATGGCGCAGAGGAGTGCAGCGCAGAAGAACACGAGAATGGTCGTGATGGCCAACACATACTTCGGCGCATCTTGTTCGCGGAAGAAGAACGGCCCAGCGATGTTTCCAGCGGCGAATACGATAAAGAGAAGCGTATTCGTAAACGCCCGTTTGGTATGCCCGGCGATATTCTGTCCGACAATCGTAAGGCAGAATGGCCACTAAATGATTAAGTCAGTATTAACGACACCTCAATGAATGATATCTATGAAGGTGGAAACGAACCGTGACGGCGTAGGAGTTTATAAGCCAGTAAGCGACAACCCGACCGTATTTATTGGCATCGGTACCAATCGTGCCATAGACTGCGGCAATACCAGCAATGGCCGGGAGCAGCGGGACTATCATGCCCCAAGTTCGCAGGTTGCCATATTTGATAGATAGGAAACCCCAAACAACCATGCTTCCGGCACTAACGACAGATGATGGAAGACCGATCAACAGCGTCCTAAATGAATCGAACCCAAACCCTGATATAACCAAAGAGCCGAAGCTCGTCAATCCGCCATTGGGTAGTTGGGTGAGGAGGACGAATGCGAGTACCAGCCAGGTTTTCACGTCCTTGATTGTGTGCCACATCTGGTAGTTCTTCCACTGGTATCCCTTAATTCCCATCATGTTCTCAGCAACCCTCTGGACGGCGATGATCTGCTCTTCATGCGAGAGAAACCTGGCCTTGTTCGGGGTTTCAGGCATGAAGAACAACCAAGCAAAGCCCACGATAAGACTGAGGAGGCCGAGAACTAAGAAGATGTACATCCATGGCTTTAGTGCTGTGTTCGTGATGTGACCTAGACCGTACGACAACAGACTAGAGACGATGGAAAAGGCTCCCTGCATCGCGCCCCAGAGCATAGTTCTCATGACTTGTTCTCGTCGCGTGTAGAACATGGATGTGTAAAGGACAAATCCGGGTGTAACAACACTTTCAGCGACACCAAGAAGGAAACGGATGACCATCAAGCCAGCGAAGTTTCGTAGTCCAAGGTGGCTATGTCTGGGTCAGTTTGCTCTTCGAAAAGGCAGGTACACGTGACTTACGCAAGCATCAATACCCCCCAGGTGATGACAGATAAACTTAGAATTCTCGCGGTCTTGTATCGTTGAAGAATGTAGTTCGCAGGATACTGGGCAATCAAGTAGCCGAAGTAGAACATAGAACTCGCCCACGAGTACTCGGTTCCAACCAATCCAAGATCTTGTCGGAAGTTGAAAAGGACAGCCCAACCAAGAGCGACCTTGTCAACATAGTTTAGCCCGTAGAGGGCGCACATCAAGGGGAGAAGGTGAAGATCGATCTTTCTCCGGACAGCATCTTTAGCTTCTTGAGAGACAGCTTGAGGGCTAGCTTCATCGAAGAGCTCATAACCTTCATCGGCAACCTCCCCTTTTGTCGCTGTCTCCACATCTGTCCCGTCATCGCGAGATACGGAAGTTGCCTCAATTCTATCGGTCTCGCCCATGATTTTCGATGCGCAGCGCACAGAATTGCTTGACCTTGGATGTGTTGATTTGTGAATTGACAAGACCCCAAGAAGAATGCAGGGGGTTCGCGTTCACTGAAATACAGAATCAGGTATCATCGGCAGCTTGTGCCATGCCGAATATGTGATAGCCATATCTCTCCAAAAGACCCCTAAACATGAACTAGCATGGCTTATCTCCAAGACTTCAGGTTGCCCATGTTCAATACCAATGCTATCGAATGGTTTGAGTCTTATCATTTGGTGTAGAGAGGGGACAAGGTCAAGGATACGACCCCAGCAATACCAATTCGTGTAGTTCTGTGGAGATCGGATATCTCCTCAATTGCCATTTACTGAATTATCTTCCCGACGCAAATTTCCTTTTCGGGAAAGACTTTCGGTAGCTTCTGCCGATGAACACCGGCGGGAATTGGCGATAGCCGAAGCACTAATTGCTAGGTACTAATGTGCAGTAAGACTTCAATTAGGAGTTAAGACGACGATTCGTGAAGAGAGTAACTGATTCTCATCTACCAGCTATCCGATCATCAAGAAATCAATCAAGATGCAAATCCCAGAAATCGACCAAGATGAATGCCTTGCATTCCTGTCGAAGCTTGTTCAAATCAAGAGTTACTCGCAAACAGATGGAGAATTGGAAGCGACGGGGTATATGGCGGAGGAGATGAAGAAAATCGGCCTTGAATCCGAACTGATTCCGTTTGACAATGGCAAACGACAAAATGCGTTGGGTGTGTGGAGGGGAAAAGGAACATCTCAGCAGATATCGAGAACGCCAAAATCACTTCTCTTCAACGGCCATTTGGACACAAATCCAGTCTCCGAGGGATGGACGATAGACCCCTGGGAAGGAAAGATCGATGATAAATTCATCTACGGCATCGGAGTCAGCAACATGAAGTCTGGTTGCGCCGCATACTACTGTGCCGTCAAGACTCTCAAAGCAGCTGGCTGGACCCCTCGCGCGGATGTGATTCTGACATATGTTGTTGGAGAACTTCAAGGAGGCGTCGGAACTGTTGCTTTAATTGAGCAGGGGAAGATTAAGGCCGATTACTTTATCAATTGCGAGCCATCCGACATCAGAGCCGTGACGATGCATGCCGAAGCATTGACGTTTGAAATCACTCTGAAAGGTATCACTCGACATATGTCCGCGCGCGAGGAAGCCCAGGATGCTATAATGGCAGCCTGTCGGTTGATCCCCGAATTGAATGATCTAACATTCCGAGGTGCTAAAAGTAAAGATCACGAAAAGTGCAATCGATGCCAGGTCGGCATCGTTCACGGCGCGCTGGGGAAGGAACTTGCAGAATGGCGACCCGCCCAGGTTGCTGATGTCTGTAAGCTTGCTGGCAGTGCGCGCTACGCACCTGGCCAAACCCAAGAAGACGTTATGAATGATCTCCGAGCGGTCATTGAGAAGTGTATAGAAGACTTCCCCGGCATGACATACGAGTTGAAGCAGCGATTCGAACCCACTATGCCAGCTTTCGAAGTGTCGCCAGACTCGAAGCTAGTCAAGTCCCTGAACGACGCTTATTTCCAGATAAGAAATGAAGAACAGCCCACTGGGGTTCTGGCCCCGACTTGCTTTTATGGATCTGACGCTGGCCATCTCTACAAGTCTCTTGGTATGGAAGGGATCGTATGTGGGCCGGGTGGCAAGTATAATACGCGTCCTGATGAGGCCGTTGATATTCCCGATTATTTGGATTGTATTCGAATGTTCATGAGGGTTATCGTGGATATCTGCGGGTGAATGTGGAAGGGTTTGTAGGGGTGGTCGGCTATTTCCGATCGCTATGAAAAGGAATCATCAGCGAGACATCAGTAGCGCTAATAGGGGTCTAAATAGAGGGGACTTCCCTGAAAATACCCCAAAAGCACACGGTCCAAGGCACCAGATCCTCTACTACCATATATGTACCTAGGTAGTGTCACCAATGGCGTGGTATCGTCGGCTGCGCTAGGAACAGACACTCACTTATCCCCAAGTGATTAACAATAGGAACTCCTAATGAAATATCCAAATGAAAATGTAATACACCTGTATTTTTCAAGATAAGATTTGTATTCTTTTGACACTGGCGAAATCTATGATGAACTGATGGTTATTCGTTTGTTGTTGAGAAAAAAAGATGCGCATTTTGAGCCAGGAAGACGCCGAAAGGCTCATCGTCGAAATCCCGGAGATTGAGAAACTCCGGTCCTGTTCCAAATCATACAGTGCGAAACCTCATTTAGCTGGGGATCTACAACACGCGGAACGTATCCGAGACCTGTGGCGTTCTTACGGCATTTCCACTGAACTTGTCCGCTACGATGTGCTGCAGAATTTCCCCAAACACTCAGCGCTGAGCCTCCACGAAGAAAACGCCGACTCGGTCGCTTTCAGCGCAAGTCTGAAGGAGGATGAAGTTCCAGAAGATCCAACATCATCCCCAGAAAACGGATTACCATCCTTCTTTGGATTCGGCGCGAATGGTACGGTACATGCCGAGTTGGTCTATGCGAATTTTGGCATGCTATCGGATTTTCAGCTGCTCGAGTCAAGAGGCATATCCGTCAAGGGCAAGGTCGTGATCTGCAAGTACAGCAAAGTCTTCAGGGGATTAAAGGTCCGAGCGGCAGAGAAATTTGGTGCAATCGGAGTTATTATATACAATGACCCCCAAGAGGACGGGAAGTACACCGTAAAGAACGGGTACGAGGCGTTTCCGCACGGTCCTGCAAGACACCCAAAAAGCATTCAGCGTGGCAGCGTTGATTTCTTTTCCGTCTGTGTCGGCGACCCCACTACACCAGGTTATCCAAGCCTGCCAGGTGACGACACAGAACGAAGAGATCCAAAGCACGCAGTCCCTTCTATTCCTTCCCTGCCGATTTCGTTTAGTGATGCGATTCCATTCCTCAAGGCGCTTAATGATCAAGGATTGAGTCCTGATGAAATTGGTGGCGTAGAAAGCGATTGGAAGGGAGCTTTGGACGACATCGATTATGATACTGGCCCGAGCAAAGCAAAGGTTACACTACGGAGTGAAGGGGATTATCGCTACTCTCCAATATATAATGTGATCGGAACTATTGAGGGCTTAACTGATGAATCCATCGTATTGGGAAACCATCATGACTCCTGGTGTTGTGGCGCAATTGACCCAGTAAGCGGGAGTGCAGCGATGAATGAAGTAGCGAGAGGGCTTGGCGACTTAATAGGCAAAGGTTGGAAACCGTACAGAAAAATGTGAGTTTCAATCGATCGGGTGATCTTCGTTACAAATTAACAGGGTGAAGTGTTCTAGCTTCTTGGGATAATGAGGAGTACGGGCTCATAGGTTCTACTGAATATGGCGAGGACAATGCCAAATGGCTGACAGAGAACTGTGTCGCTTGTAAGTTCCTATTACTCCGCCTATCCGCGTAGTGTACGTCTAATAGCGGCAGATATCAACGTTGACGAATCAACTAATGGTGGCAACATTCTTGGGGCCTACGGGAGCCCCTTGCTGACTCACATACTCCGCGACGCAACGAACGTAATACCCTCGCCAGTTAATGAAGGCAAGACAGTATGTGAAGATTGGCTGGATCTCCAACGAGAAGCCGTGGATTCTCTCGAGAAACCTAATTTGACTGTGATGGGTACTGGGAGCGATTACACTGTCTTCTTTCACCACCTCGGTATCTCCTCCATAGACCTCCTTTTCAATCAAAAGGGAACATCCGTCTACCCATACCACTCAAACTATGATAGTTACTACTGGGTCGACAAGTTTGGGGACCCAGGTTTCAAGAAGCACCAAGCCATGGCTAGGCTTTGGGGCCTCCTCACTGTTAAACTAGCCGGAATTCCTGTGCTCCCATTCAGAGCTTCCGACTACACAGAGGCCTTGAAGCGGCACGTTCAGTCGCTTCGTGGCAAGGGTGTACCTGGTCTAGATCTTCAGCCTTTAGAGGTTTCTATTTCCCGATTCGAAGTAACGATGAAGACACTTGACTCAAGCGTGCATCGGGTGGAATTGGACACATCCCGCCAGATATCGCCGAAAGCAATTGAAGCGAACAAAGCCTACATTAAGCTCGAAAGGTCTTTTCTGCTCGAAAATAGTGGCTTACCAGGGCGGCCCTGGTATAAACATATGGTACGTAATATATTTGCGGTAATCTAGCTACCCTGTTGGTCATTAACATGTATTTCTAGATTTTTGCGCCTGGACTATGGGCGGGATACGATGGGGTAGTGTTTCCCGGCGTTACCGAATGCATTGAAGATAACGATATTGAAGGTGCCAACATGTGGACCCAAGAAGTCGCAAAAGTCATAAATAAGGCTTGCGCGGTCGTTGAAAGCGCCAGGTTAAATTGATTTTTGCTTCATCTCAGGGCAGTATGGTATTTTGCATCTTGGTGACACTCCTTCGATTTTCATCGTCAGTCACCTAACGAAAGATGAACAAAATACGTGTATATCCACTCGACTCAACTATCTATCGCACATACTTTGAAAAGTAAGCTAAGTTAAAATTTACTTAAACTCATTTTACCATATCTCGTTGCGTAAATGCGAACAAGACAGGTTTTTAACCCCTAAATCTTCTCGCGTAACACAATACCCCCTTTTTCAACTTCATGAGGAAAACTGGATATCATATTCTAACTAAAGCCAATAGCCGCTCAGACTTCCCCTCCGCCCCTAAGCCGCCATCGTTATAACTCCACATATTCATCTTTGTCAGCGAAAATGTACCCAGTAGGCAGTCTCACGATCTCTTAGTGTACAGAGAGAACTTACGTGATCATTAACATATTCTATAACTACGTCACATAAGCACACAATTTAGTTTATACTAGTTCGTATAGTCTTCTAATGCTAATTGGTAATTCAGACTAAAATTCCCTTGAGATTTCTTGGCGATATTGTTTCATCCCATTACTAAGTGTGCACTCTTCAAGCCCATAAGATCTCTAAACCCCACCACGCTTTTCCTACGTTACTTCAATTTTGGAATGCCCACTATATAATCAGATTTTAATTCGGGACGGTACGAAACGAGGATGTAACAATCCCCGCTGCAGCTTTTCTACATAGGCAAATATAGAGTGCTGACGTTCCCGCGGCTATTCCACGTGGTTTACGGCGATACCGTCCTATACCCGAGCTCGGTAGTTTGAAATCACGTTCCAACTATACTTCACACACCACTCTTTGTAGCGAGAGTATACAGGGCCAATACTTGACATCCAACATCTCAGAAATGGCTACTGATAACTCACAATCGAAACTATTCCAGCCTTTAGCCATAGCTAATGGCAATATCACTCTAAAGCATCGTGTTATACTTGCTCCATTGACGCGAAATCGCGGGACACCAAATTCCCATTCTACCCCGGAGAACCCGAATCGAATATGGGTACCTAACGATCTCTTGGTTGAGCATTATTCCCAAAGGGCTACAGATGGCGGTCTCTTGATAACAGAAGCTATCCCCCCTTCTCTTGAGGTATGAATCAACCGCTCCTAAACATTTCTGAAGCCATTTCTAATGGGGTTTCTAGGGAAATGGTATGCCTGGTGTACCAGGTCTTTTCATACCGGAACAAGCAGAAGGGTGGAAAAGAGTAGTTGACGCTGTTCACGCTAAAGGGGCATATATCTATGCGCAATTATGGCATTCTGGCAGATCAAATATTCCTCATATGACAGGTCAGTTGGGAGACTATTCATTTTAACTTCGCGAGACCGCTTCAGTTGGATATGAGATCGGCTGACTTTGAGTATTATAGGTACTCCAATTCTCGCTCCATCTAGTGTACCATGGGAAGATCCGAATGAATATTTTAGTAAGTGCATACCTGGGGATTAAACTCTAAGGATTACCCCCAACTCCTGAAACGCGGGAAGAGTGAGCGTTTACCGTACTAACTTACCACAGAACATCCCCCACACCATACAACAACACGGGTCAAATTCGCAGATTACCCACCCTCAGAGATGACCATCGCCCAAATAAAAAGCACAATCCAAGACTACTGCAAGGCCGCCAAACTAGCCATAGACACCGGCTTCGACGGCGTCGAAATCCACGGCGCGAACGGGTACCTCCCGGAACAATTCCTGAGTTCTAACGTCAACCGCCGGACAGACGAGTACGGGGGTACTCCCGAGAAACGTTGCAAATTCATGCTAGAACTAATGTACGAGCTCTCTAAAACCATCGGTGAAGAGAATCTCGCGATCCGCTTGTCGCCATTTGGGTTATTCAACCAGATCCGCAGTATCCAGCGTCTGGAAACATGGAGTCATCTCTGCCGCGAGTTAAAAGCAAACCATCCCAAGTTATCCTACGTCAGTTTCATCGAGCCGCGGTACGAGCAATTATTCTCCGAAACCGAGAAACAAAGCTTTCTCGATTCATGGGGACTCCCCGACGTCGACCTCTCCCTCTTCCGCAAGATTTTCGGCGACACGCCGTTCTTTTCCGCCGGAGGGTTTAATGATACAAACTCATGGGGAGTGCTGGAAAGAGGCGATTATGATGCTTTGGTGTACGGTCGCTATTTCATTAGCAACCCGGATCTAGTTGAGAAGCTCCGGAATGGGTGGCCGCTTACGCATTATAAGCGCGCGCTTTTCTATGGGCCGCTTGAGGATAATAGTGTTGGATATGTTGATTATCCTTTTTATGAGGGGGATGTGAAGGCTGAATTGTAGATAATTTCTACGAGCTGGTTCTTTGTGGCATATATTGCATCAAAAGTGTCGTCACGCGCTTTCGACGATGGAATTGAGTCATTTTAGAGTAGCTTTTCGTGCAATGAACCAAGCATAAAATTTGATCGTTACGGCTATAATTGCCATGAAGATCACGATAGAACCCCATAAGTTATTTTCGGAGAGCCAATGAAGGGCAATAGGCTAGATACATCGAGGGGACACTGATCAAACAACAATTCCGAGAAGATATCATCATTCTCGCCTTTCCATATACATCGTCTGACCACCAGAGCACGATATCAAAGAAGGATTTATAAGCAACGTAGTCATGAAGTTGAATTGAAGTTGATATAGACGGAGTCTAGAAGCCCCGCATCGAGACTATAGTGACTAGGGTCTATATCCTCAAATACTTTGGTAAGCTTATGCATTTCGTAAGCGTAGCCTATAGCCTGTGGTCTATCGTGTGGTGACCCCTGATTAGACTTGTTTTTTACCGGGTCTGCGAGGGGGCTTCTGGCGAATCGGGGGGCGGTAAGTTTGTGAATCTCGTGTATTTTGTATGCTGTAAGTATGTGTATTGGGCATTTATACATCGCTATATGTGCATATCCAAAGTGTACAAGATAAGAAACTTCTAAAATGCCATAGCTGAATACATTCAGACACGATTTATAGGATGACACAGTCTATAGAGGAAGTTCCATTGGATAGCTCGTAAAGGTAAGACTGAGCTGGATGACCTCTTTATCCCAAACTAGCATCATCGCCAAGCCAGCCGAAATGCGGGTGTGGGATGGATATGCGGTCGAAGATGCACACGGCGAACACCTATATAATTGCTTGGCTCCCGCCCCTCGTTATGTGGAACTAACCATGGCTGTAAAGACAATAGGATAACGCCATCGGCCCAACAACATCATGTCTTCCATAGCTCAATCCGCTATTTCGAACTTGAAGGAAGCCGGTCTGGGGGACATTCTCTACGTCCCCGGCGAGCAGGCATACGAAGCGCGACGGACATCCTACTGGTCGCTGACACCCCAACTCAGCCCGTGGGCTTTCGTACAGCCTCGTAACACGGAAGAGGTTTCCAAAGCAGTGAAGGCTCTCGTGGGAACTCCTGGCTGCAACTTTGCCATTCGAAGGTTTGTATTAGGTTCTTTTGTATCTGTTACTCGAAGATAATGAAATTTCGCTGACACCTTCGCTAAAAAGTGGCGGGCATATGTCATGGGTGGGAGCTGGCAACAACATTGAGTCGGGAGTGACTATCGATTTTGGATTGATGACAGGGATAAGCTACGACTCTAATACTGGACTTGCGTCGCTGCAACCGGGCAGTAGATGGAGGGATGTCTACGTCGAGCTAGAAAGGCGTGAGTAATATCGAATATTTTCGGTCGCGTAGCATTGAAACTAATACGCCCTAGATGGAGTAATGGTTGCTGGAGGGCGTGAAGGTCTAGTTGGACTTGGTGGTTTTCTAACCGGGGGAGGTCTCAGTTTCTATAATTGCCGATACGGATTTGCCTGTGGTAAGTCGACCTGATTTTGAATTGCTCATACAATAGGTACTAAAGTGGCACTTCAATACTAGACCAGATCGAAAAGTATGAGGTCGTCCTGGCCGATGGTAGCATAGTCGAGGCCACCAACACAACGAATCCAGACTTATTCCGCGTGTTGAAAGGCGGTAATAACAACTTCGGTATTGTCACCCGGTTTGACATGCGTACCTTCGAAGCAAAGAAAATCTGGGATGGCTTTAATACCTATTCTAAAACTACTTCTAACCAGATGGTTGAAGCATACGTCGACTTCTCGGCAGACCTCGCTAAGAGCCCCGACAGTCACATTCTCGCAATGTGGACTCAGTTACCAGGGGCTAGCGAATACATAATCAATGTGGTATTGACACACCTCGACGGTGTTGAGAACCCGAAGCCTTTTGAGAGGTTTATGACCATTCCGGGCCAGCATAATATGAGAACAACGACCGTGGCTAAGAAAATAGGCGAGTTTCTTCTGCCATCGGGAGGGTAGTAAGTCCGACTTCAGAAAAAGAAAAAAAGGCCAAGTCCAAGTCAAATTAATTGGAAAACGCCACTAATTGGTTGACGTAGCAATTTTTGGCTGACGTACACCTTCAAACTTGACCGCCAGGTCATCTATCGAATAGTTGAGAGGTACGAAGCTCTATTGGATAAGCTAAGAGAAGCTATTCCCGACAACAATTTCGGCGTTAACATGGTCTTCCAACCATTGTTGGCGTCTTGGCAACATCATTCGGTGGTACGGGGTGGAAATATGCTCGGTCTCGAAAACCTGTCAGACGACTGTGTCATTCTAGTGGTGGGAAATGAAGTCGGGACGGCTGAGTTGTCGGATAATGTCAGTGCCCCTGTGCTGAAGGAGATGTTTGATGATATCAAATCGTATGCGAAATCGGTTGATAAGCATGTCGACTACCTCTACTTGAATTATTGCGACGGCTCGCAAAACCCTATGGGGAGTTACGGAGAGGAGAACATTAAGAAAATGAGGGAGGCGTCAGCGAAATACGACCCCACCGGAGTTTTCCAAGAGAGAGTTCCGGGCGGCTACAAAATTTCCAAGGTCAAATGAAGAGCTCTTAGTATCATATGAAGTGGTCCGTGTCTGTAGAGTAGCGGTTCTAAGAATAAAGGATCAAAGATGAGAATATCACATAATCAAACAATAGGAATTGTGACCGAATTTTGTTTCTTGTTATAGTGAACTAGATACGCAGCGCAAGCCAAGAGGATGCAGCACGCACCAAAGGGGTATTTCAGATCATTTCCGGCAGGGAAATCTCATAGGTAAGAACCAACACACCTGATGTAAACCAAGCCTGCTATTGCACAAAATCCTAAGTGCTGAAAGTCTCTGGGAAAGGACTAAAGTTCCATGCGATCTCCGACGCCTTCTTCTCGAAGTTTTCGCCCTATTTCATCTTTCTGCTCGACTTCTTCCTTAATTCGTTGTTCGACCTCGTCTCTGATAGGTCCTAAATCAGGCGGGATAGTGGAAAATTGCACACTAGGTGCGGTCTCGACAAATCGTAGTTGCTCGCTGACGTGTTCTATTATATCGTCTAGTTTTTTCTTGGGGTTCTTGTTCTGACGCGGTTCGCCTAGAATTTGTTCTAGAGTGGGTAGAAGCGTATCTTGCCGGAAACGCTCACGCCAGGGTGTATGTATAGGGATCTCGGTGGGGATGGTCTTGTTGTGACCGATGGCAACAGATGTCTCATACGCCCAAGCACGGGCGACATTTCGGGGGGTGTAACCACCCCCGCCAAACATGAGGAGGGGAATATTCAGACTCTTACAGTACTCCACGCACGATGCGTGACCCTGAACGAGCAGATTGAACTTACCCAATCTGTCTCCAGCAAGGGAGTCGGCGCCGCACTGCAATGCGATAGCGCCAGGTCTGAACTTTTCGACAATTCTGGAGATTACACTCTTGAAAAGCCACTCGTATTGCTCATCAGTAATACCGTCGTTGAGGGGAACATTGATAGCATGGTGGGCGCCCGGATTGTGCTCGCTTCTAGGACCATTGTCTTCTAAAGCGCCGGTGCCGGGGAAGAAAACCTGGGGATCGTACTTATGAAAAGAGACAGTCATAACACGATCTGTGGAGAAGAAGGCCTCTTCTACGCCGTCGCCATGATGCACATCGATATCAATATAGAGGACTCGGGGGTGGATGCGTAGGAGTTGTAATATACCAAGGACAATATCGTTGATATAGCAAAATCCTGAAGCTTCCGATTTCTTGGCGTGATGTAGCCCCCCGCCCCATGATATGGCGATGTCGGATTGTCCTGTACACAATTTTCTCGCGGCGTCTAGGGAACCGCCCGCTGATAGTGAACAATAATCATACAGTCCCTCGAAAAGTGGGCAGTCACTACCTCCCAAGTTGAACTTAAGGTCTGGATGAGCATTGTCTACATCTAGCGGAAGTGGCTGAGGCGGAACTGAGGCGAGAAATTCGACATAATCATCTGTGTGAAATGAGGTGAGTTCCTCATATGTGGCGGCGCGGGCGGTATAGTTGTCCATGGCGAAATTCATTCCATAGGATGAGACTAGACTTTTGGTGAGAGTTAAGCGCCAGGGTTTCATCGGATGTGTTTGACCGAAATGATGCCTTTCCATCTCAGGGTTGTAATGAAATGACACGGTGTAGCCCTTGGGCTTTGTGATGCCATGGCTGTGAACAAAGTGCTTGACCTTGGAAAGATAAGTGGCATTTTCAAGATCGCTTGGCCGGTCCAAAGGTTTATTAAACTTTTTAACTACCGGTTCATCCACGGCAACTTTGTGAGGGAGATAGTTGGGTTTTGGTAGGCGTAGCGAATAGTGGTTCGCGGGGTCTATTTCCATCGTGAAAAATCGACTGATTGGATGCGCCGAATTCACTGCGCACTATAAGGTTGTTGGTGTATCTAGGGGTATGATTATACGAGCTGTTGCGCGTAGGGATATCGAAACCACAGAATCAGCCCTACGCGATAGTCGTCCTGGGTTTTGGTGTTCTAAATCTGAGACGGATGAAGACGAGGCTATTGTGAATTCCTTATGACCACAGTATGGTCTAACATCGAAATGATTCATGAACCATATGATGGGAAGTTGAATATAATCAAAACTATATCATGATTATTAGAACTTGGCGACTTTGATTTGCTTTTTCCTCGAATAAAGACTAGAAAGACGATATTGTCATGAAGATGAAGATGGATGAAATCGAGGGCGACTTTCGTATCCGCCGCCCACCAAAAATGCGGTAGCTGCCGATTAGGCCCATTACAGGGTAGACCTGGGGCTAGTGATGCAAAATTCAAGACCCTAAGCCATTATTGTATTAGCTATATTATGTGCATGCATGGTTACCCCCCTGAAATTCCGATTGAGTCTAGCGTTACCCGATAGCTGACTTGGATGGTGCGGCTCGGAAAGTGCAAAAGGGCTTACATAACCTTGAATTTCTTTTGCTTTTTACGATGAAAGATTAATAGTAGGTACCTAGGTACTTCATCGGGGACAATTGAATGTTCGAACTGTACAAAATATACAAATTAATTAGCAGTATAGGCTCAGAATGATAGTTTCCACAATCTAAAAGCAAATAAGTAGGCGATGATTCATATACAAATACCGTAGGCTTCTAACTTTAGATTACTGTACCTAGGCCGCTAGGTATTAAGTTTATTATATAAGCTCTTTAGGTAAGCCCCAGAACCATAAAAAGGAGGATCGCGGTAATTACGTAATGGTCGGCTTAACAAGGCCGTCACGACTACATAGTACAGTATTCGTCTTTCAAGGCTCACCTTGACCTAGGCAGATTCATAATTTCATTTACGCGCTCCCCACTCCGGGGGGATTCTAGAACCACACGATCTCGCGTTTGCCGCGTCTGTGCAAGCAATTTTACAATTTTTTGTGCCTGGCGTTGCCCAAAGGAGCAATAGAGGGAATCCATTATTCTTTCCGTTAATTATTCCTGGCGCGTACCTAGGTGCTGAGGTGCTTAGGTGCCTTCCTTCTCTACGTTATACGTTACGTCGCTCTTGACGTTTGGAGATCCGATTTTGTGATCCAATCCCGGGACTGGTCAGGAAGGTGAGCCAGAGCTCGAATTCACACCGATATCACAATAAATCATAAATTTATATGCATGTGATTTCCTGATTTCCAAATCATCCTTTCTCTTTCCTTCCTCTTCCTATTCCTATTCAAAAAACATTACCAGTCATGATACCCTTGCAGACACTGCACTGTTTCTAGTTTTAGGACGGCGTCGCAACAAAAAAAAAAAAAAACATAGGACAGGAAAACCCGAAGAAAACTTTCTACAAGCAAGCAAACACAAACACGACATGAAGAGAAAATAAAAAAGAGAAGCGAATAAAAGAAACGGCAACATAGCAACCGAATTCCAGATCAGATCAGTTTCTCACCTTGCCATTCCCTCCATCTGACTTTTACGTGCGCGTGTATTACTTCAGTACATCCCTTGAATCTCCCTCGTACCATCATCATCATTCCACCTTACATACTCGAAGCGCGCGCCTCCGCTTAGAGGGCCAGGTTAACAGCCATGCCTAGAGACGACCTCTCTATAGATTTCGTGAAGAAGATGGCGCCGTCGGCCGAGGCGCAAGACCCAGCGGCCGTCCTCGAGGACTTTATCCATCGAACCGCAAACTTGCCCGAAGAGATTCGTTTCATCCAAGACGAGATCGCCGACAAAGACCGCACATTTAACGAATGCCTCAAGACAATAGAAGAGAACGATGCTAAGATACAACGATGGATTCGTCAGAATGGCAGTCACGCACCCCTCCCCCGCGAACAGGCATTGCGCGAGATCATCCGCGAGAACTATGCTAAAGCCGATAAGCTATCCGAAGAGAAGATAGCCCTAGCAGCTAAGGCGCAGGCTCTTCTAGACAAGCACCTCCGACATCTTGACCTACAGATCAAAGCGCTAGGCGACCGAGGCGAACCCGGCTTCACCGACCCTGACGAAATACCCTCCGTCGTACGACCCAGCGCCGCGAACAATAGCAATACTAGCCTCCGCGTATTAGGCGTCACGACGTCACATACCACGCCCCTCAATCCCATCTCCAACAACGCCGCCACGGGCGGTCCTAGAGCCTCCAACCCACAGATCCGAACGACGCAATCGCAAGCTCACATCTCCAGCTCCGCGCCCACCTCCCCCGCCGCCAGTATGATCATGAGCAACCGCAACCAGCGCGAGTCCTCTGCTGGACCGTGAGTATCCAGAGTTACTTGTCCCCCTCTACAACATACTACAACAACATATATATACTCACTCATAATCGGGACCTCCCCACCCAATTGTCCCTTAATTGTACCAACCAAATTTTTGTACTTGCTCATGAACATGCGCCACAACACACCAGACATCGCTCATTTACACAAAACAAAAAACAAAATACTAACAGCAAACAATAGTGGGAGTGGCGCTCCTAAGAGGGGTCCACGAATAAGTTCCGGTCTAGGCAGTCTCCCAACCGCATCCAGCGGTTTAGCTCGGCACTCATCTCTTGGCCCCGGTACACCGAAGGCAGGGACACCGGTAGCGTCCGCGAGGGCGGGTAGTGCAGGTCCCAGGGGTACTTCGAAAACAGTAGGTAACGGTACAGGAAGAAAAGGCACACCATCGGCCGGCGTCGGACGGAAGAAACCACCGAACTCGAAATCGACATTATCGCGCGTGAAGCGGGCGGGTGTGTCGAAAGGATCTCCGGCTTCGACGGCGGATAGCGAACTCTCGGATGCGGAATCAGTTCGGTCTTCACGCGCTGGGTCGCGTGCTGGGAGTGGTACGCCGGTACCTCGCCCACATCACCACCACCATCGGAAACGCGCACATCCAGACGAGGATATGCCGGATCGTGGCTCGGCATCAGCGGGATCGGGGATATCGGATGACGAGGAAGACGAAGAAGGGAAGAAGTATTGTCTCTGCCAGCACGTGTCGTACGGCGACATGGTGGCATGCGATAATCCGGCTTGTCCCTATGAATGGTTCCATTGGACTTGCGTGGGTCTAAAATCCGAGCCTGAGGGGCGGTGGTATTGTCCCTCGTGCACGGAAACCATGAAAAAGAAGGGGAAGTAGAATGGCCCCATTGATATCATGGGATCTTGCGGGAAGGGTGGGGTGGAGGTCGTTGATGTTTCTATGGACTCGAATGAGTCGTCTTGGTGATCGACGCGAGGGCTACGTACATGGAACCGATTCTTCTAATACCATCGAATTATTACGAATTCAAGAGTACCCAGGTTCGATTACCCATCATCGAATATTTTACGGTATACATCAAACGAACCCAACACTCAACGCATCAAATCTAAAGCTCGTGACTGAAGTGGTCATTACCAAGGATGAAGAGGTACGATGAGCCGCTATCAATACGGGGTTTCTATCAACACATGAAATGAAAGGCAATCTTGGCCTCGGTGTTAGGAATTTCCCGAGTCACAGCATGCTTTGATCTCTAGATAACTCCCTATTCAGCTACGCAAGACACCTAGGTGTAGGTACCAGCAGTATATAACCGCCCACCTATGAATTTACAATTCAATAAATGGGTTCCTCATGCTTAGATTTGTGACTATTGTGACGTAGTGTTTGCAGGTAGGCAGATATAATAAATGGTAAGAACATTAAACATCAGCCAAGTCTACGATTCCTTCAGTTCACGTAAAACAAGCACAACATAGTCCGAAGACCAACTAATGATTACCTAATACCAATTATCACCACCATTACTACCATATCACAGCACAACATTCAATGACTTATAACCATCTAGACTGCATGTACCTTTTTTATTGCATTGCATTATCTCCCTGGCGTTTACATAACATGACGCCCCCCGTTATGTGACATACATTCATTCTCTCAGACGCAACAACACAACACAACACAACTCTGTCCACCCGTCCTTGCGCAATTACTTTTTTCTGCTGCCTGCCTGCTTTACTTGCTATCTCTATAAGAATCCCCCTAAATACCTAAACATGGGTGGTGTGTGGGTAAAGGGACTAAATACGTCGAGGTGGGGAAGGGAAGAGAAGGGAACAGAAAATGGGGATGGTGGAAGGTAAAAGCACGCCTTCTACATGATTAAAAAACGAACATGTAGTGAAAACGTCCGTCAATACGTATATGCTATACGTAGGTACGAACGTACGGATGGTGGTAGAACCAAACGCTCAACAACACGACAAAATGCAGGAGTGGGTTACAACGACGACAAAAAGTAATTGAGGAGCAGTGCGCCGATTAATGTTCCAGCAGACGCAAGCTACCCTCAACCACCACGTTCTCTAGGATGGATCCAGGAGGAATGTCGATTGTGGAGCCTTCTGTCGCGACGATGATGACGGTTCCCTTTAGCTCCACGCCACGATGCAGATTGACGTTACCAGTGATCGTCAGGTGGTCCAGTTCAATGATCTTGGGGATCGACGGGATACGCTTCTGGAAATCCGATACCTTCTTGAAGTCGCTACCCAACTTGATGAGCGGAGCACCACCGAAACGGCTTGGGCTCATTTGTAATTGGCCGTGCTTAACGGTGTACAAGTCAGACTTGACAAGCATGAGATCTGAGCAAGTCTTGACCGGCAAGAATCGGCGACGAGGTACGTTGACACCGTGCGCATTTTGGAAGTGGCGAATGGCAGCACCAACAGCCGTCTCAAGCTGAAGAATGGAGATATCGGACTCGCCCTTCTTATCACCGGGGATGGTCTTGCCGTTGGGGATGATCTCCATCTCAAGTTCATTGTTCTCTACCACGCGCTTGATAGCTTTGGTGTTCATCCAAATGTTGTTGGTGTTAAAGTACTTGAACTTCTTGATCGACTTGAACTCGTTTACGTGTTCCTTTGGTACCTGAGCAATTTCGAGTAGACGGACGGAGCCATCATAGTCGATAATAGTACCACCCTTGACATCAGCCTTAGTCTTGTTGGTAAGCTCCATGATGTACTCGGCTTTGGTCTCAACCATGTGTTGTAGAATGCGCAGATCTACCACAGCACCTAGGTTGTCGACGTTGGATAGGAAGATGATCTCAATACCGCGCTCGATGAGCTTATCAAGGAGACCAGAGTTGTAGAGAGATTCGAAAACATCACCGTGTCCGGGAGGGTACCACTCGTTAATGGAGGAATCGAAGCTCTTAGGGACGGGTAGGAGGGAGTCCTTGTAGATTCGAGGGTATCTAGATTGGTTGAAAGTAAGGATATCGACGTTATGGCCTTCGTACTTCTTTATGATAGCAGCGGTATCATCGTGGGTGTTGAACGAGTTCATGAGGATGAAGGGGACGTTTGTGCTGTATGTTCGGTTCAAGTACTCGACTTGTCGTACAGACATATCGAGGAAGGACATGCCATCACGGACCTCGATAACGGACTTGGGACCAACACAACCCATAGATGTACCAAGACCACCGTTCAGCTTCAGAACGGCGAGCTTATTAAGGAATCCGACGGATTCGGAGTTGGCTAGGTCTTCATAGTCGACGACCTGGCCCTGCGCAGGGGGATTAATGCGATCCCAATCACTATCCAAACCAATATCAGCTTCTAAATTGTTTCTAGCGTTTATTTACGGTCGCGACGGAGGTTTATACGTACACAGCGTTGCCTTTGGCCTTGTCGTTAAGGTATCGGCGGAAGAGAGCGAAGAAGTTGTCCATTTCGGTCTCGAATAGCTAATAACGAGTGTCAGTCTGATAACTAGCGAGGTTATACGTGTCTATCATTGAAACTTACCTTCTTCTGCTCTGGATCCTTGACGGTCTCAGCAAGCTCGGTTAGGGAGTTGCGCATTTGCGCGGCAGCCACGTTGGTTGAGGCATTCTCGAAGGCCTTGTTGCCATTTATTAGTAAACCAGCCATGGTTACAAGTATGACGACTAGATCAGGTCTAGAAAAAGGCAATATAAATAGATTACGCAGAGAAAGAATAAGGCTTGGATGCTTATGGCGACGATTGTCAAATCCATAAAATGAATGGATCGTATCAGGGATACGCAAGCTCTCCAAATTGTTGTAAAGTTGTAGTCTCAGGAAAGATGAAGAATCGTGATATGGTAGGGAACAGACAAGAATGTGATTCAGGGAATTGTAATGAGCTTCCTCGAACAAGATGAAGGGGGCGGTACGTGATTTTATCCTATTGTTGTTGTTTTTTTGGTAGCAAACCTTCCGAGATGCTAACGAAATCAAGAGAAAACTTTATCCAGTCATGCGATCTGAAGCTCTGAGGTATATACAGCTCTAGCTCCGTTGCTTAGGTAGTCGACGAGGGGCGGGAAACGGGGGATAGAAGACTAACAAAGAACAACGAAACTGGAAGATTGGTGCTCATTGTTGCCTTCGACAAATAGATGATTCATCTATTTTAGGGGTAAGATAGCAGGATATCGTAATCTACTCACCATGTGTGATCGAGTCTTTCCGTGATGTCTACCAGCGAATTCAGCGTCCGAGTCTTTACCTCCACCGGGCTTGAGGTGGGAAGGCAGCGCGCTCTTAATTGCCTGAGCCATTGTATGCGCTAGCGTAAGTAAAAAGTAGGTAGGTGGTATGTGATCAGATTAGTCCGAAGCGATCAGATCAAAAAAAAGATATCGCTCCCAGAAGGTCGATGGGTATAAGAGTGGTTGTGTATAGTTTTTAAAAAAGGGGAAAGAAGAAGGTTAAGAAATTGTTTTATCGAAGGTAGAACGAAATGACGATGTCTTTCTAGGCCCCTTGGGGGAAGAAATGGCGGGGTAATTTGGTTGGCCGGCGGAGCTTTGGCAGCTACGGTAATTTTTTGGTACCTAAAAAAAAGGGGGGTTCGAATGTTAGCTCAGTAAAATGCACCATTGACGTAATGCAGATTAAATTAGAGCCTGTCTTTTCCCTGCTTGCTTGCTTTGGTGCAGCTATGGCTGCGTCTCTGGTGCATTTTGCCTTCAACTCGCGCAACTATTCCCCGTCCAATCCAACCAAAATTCACCCCATCTCCATTTTCTCTCCAAAGTACCTCAAGTACCTCAACCAACCCGCCAACCTAAGCACTACCTCATCTCATTCTATTTGAGCGAGGCTAGTGACGAAACTACTAGAATAGAATTGTACAAACTTTAGAAGATCTAAAGTTATATACATTTTCCTAACTCTAAGTAGCACGCGATAAACACCTCACAACTTGGATGTGGCGTTTTCTTTTCTCTTTCAATTCTTTTTTTTCTTTTTTCTGACAGCTCTTCTTCTTTTTTTCCTCACCCCTAGCTCGCTATAGCTAAAAACTTCTTTGGCCCTTGGCATATCGTTCAATCACATGCAAGAGTTAAACCGGGGTTGAAACAGAAAACATGCGATACATCGGAGCTCAAGATTAGAAAAGAGATGATCATAAACATACCTGGCGATTATCCTACGCTCGAATATCTCCGAATTAACCAAATCAGAAACGCACGAGGGGAAAAAAAGAGGATTGAAACAAATTAATCGAGGAGCATCTCCTGTCCTTTTATCTAGTTTCCCTCCCAACCTTCTTCTTCCCTAACCACCCCCCCTTTGATGGCTGGGTGGTTGCTTCAGGGAATTATCGGTTGCCCCATGGTCACGATGTAGCGGAGTGCCAATTCGATATGCGGTGTATAGTTTCCCTTGTACCTGACTGCGAAACTCGATTCGTAGATGGATCACTACTATGAAAAATGCCCCTTCAAACACGCCAGACTAGTACTTTTAGGGCATTAGTTGGCCTGAGGCTAGACCATGCTAAGCTAAGCGGCTAAAGGTCCACTGCCAAAATACCGTTAGTACCTATCTATACCGACGATATCAAATCTTGGAGTGGAAAGCTACCGCCTCCTGAATATTTAAAGAGAGAAAAATAAAATCAAAGTATCTTTCCACTGTGGCAAATAGCTTTATTCCTCTATCTAAGCTTAGCTATCCTCTTTGGCTTCACGACATTTCTGGGCGTGCAGCTTATGGTCTCTTGTAGGACTTGAAAAGCTACCTTAGCCGAGAAACCTATCACTTATCATCTATGTCTGGTCTGTTTGACACCACCCATGAAGAAGGGTGGGACAGAAAAAAGCTTAGGCTGGCACCCGGCGTAAAGTCTAGCCTGACCGGACTACAATGTGGGTAGGTAGTATTTTGACCTATTCTCAGCGCTGCGATTGACGTTGAAGCCACCGCCTACCCTCTACTACGCAATCTAGACGAGCCGATGCAGGTGTCCTCGTTGAGGATGTTTGCAATATATTCTACTTATCTCTGCCGTCCTTCGGAGTAAACCATCCTAAATCCCAGTGAGATATGTATTAGTTATCGGTTGACAAATCCACAGTGGTAGGTAGATCTCGTAACAGTCGGTAGGTATCGATGTATTCATATTTGTCTCCACCATGGTTTAACTAGTTGTGGCCTTCATTTCAGTCCAGCGGGAACTAAATGAAAGTTAAGTTCTGGAGCAATCCACTTGATAGCATTTAATAAAACCCTCATATTGGTTAAGATTTCTGGGTTCGAGCAACTTCTAGCTATCAAGGTACTTAAGTAGACAGGTAGAAAGGTGTCAAAGGCCGGTTGACGGTGTCGGGAGAGTGGAATTTCCACCGACAACTCGGGCAAATCAAGTACCGGGAAAGAGTGGGTTTCTCCTTACGGTTGATTGGGAAATGGTAGATTATATTGATGAGTTTCGTGAGGTTAAAATGACGATACCAGCCACGTCAGAAGTTGTAGCAAATAGATAGGCGCGAGGTTTCCACGTGGGGGCTATGGGGGCAAGGGAACATTGAAATGATTGATGTATAAGCAAGGCTTAACAATTAAGTCTTGTATTGACTTCGAATTAAAGCGAGTCGTATATAATATTCTTTAGGTTTAGGTTAAGTGAGATCCACGATTCCACGACTAAGATTGGAGCCGCATTCAATTAACCTTCTGACTCGTCATCTTAAAAAGGATTTAGCTCTTGAGGTGATTTCTGAGTACAATAACCCTTCCATTACATCGGTATGGATACTTGAGTACCTAGGTACTTCCTAGTAAGGTTAAGACGGCAATATAGCGGTCTAAGTTTTGAAGAATTTAAAAAGAATGGAAAGAAAGTATACGGTCAATTAAGTTCTAATAGCACAGTGATAAGCTCTATTTCATAAATATTTTATTCCCTCTTCCGAGAAAGTGAATCGGGTAATCCCGCGATGGCGTTTGCAGCGTCTGTGGCGTCTACACATGATATAGGTGCATTTGACCCCACTTCTAGCGCATGTTAGAAATATACAGGTTCGTGCTTGCCGCCGAACACGGTCCGTCCACAGTTGCCAGTAAGCTTACCTACAGTGGTAGGCAGCTACCCCTGAAGTTCTTTCTATCGATAAATTTACGAAGCTCTAGACCGCAGGTACTGTACAGCCCGAATTCCAGCTTCGACTTCCCGTCGTCGAGCAACCGCTACTGTACTTTATAAATAACGTTTATTGCCAATAATTCTCAGCCTTAACGGCGCTGAGTTCCCAATTCATCCCTCCCCCCCGCTACGTTACTCTTTAAAGACGTGACAATTGGCCTGGCACATCCACCTCATATCCGACAGCTCTCGCCAGCGGCTGAGAACCACACTATTAGAATTGGTTTCCCCTTTCTACTTCAACTTTCGAATACGAGATGGGAAGCATAGATAAGCAATTGCCTTATTGGCATGTAAATGTCCCCGAAAACGAGAGAACGGAGGAGTGCCCTGAATATCTTAGTACTTTGAGCGCCAAAGACATCGGCATCATTGGCACTCCAGACTCCGAATACCACGTCTCGACATGGCTCGAAGTCCAGAAAATCGTGACGGAGAACCGACTAGACACATTTCGAAGAGTTCCATCTGACCTTCGACGGTACCTAGAGTATATATGGACGCTAAAGCGGGATTACGGTAGTGTCATGAATTTCGTCCTAACTCAACGGCTACATTGGGAAGCGCCGATAAAGCCGAGAGGGAAACCCTTTGAGTTTGAAGACGATGTCAAAATCCTTTGGAACGATTGGCCATATGGTATTGATAAGAGGATAGTTCACCTTGTTGTCTGGACTAAGTTCGATCTTGCTGAAGATCCTGTCACCAGTGACCTCACGGACGAGGCTCGGGCCGAGATCGACGGTTACGTTCGGAAGACTTTCGGATCTAGGATACCAAGTGATCGCGTAAGTGGCGTCTCATTAGTTTCCCTCATATCTCCTCGTCCTCCCCGCTGAGATGTAATGATAGTATATCTGGTTCAAAAATTGGAGGTCATTGAAATCTGTGCATGCCGTAGAGCATTTCCACGTGATGCTCTTCGATCCTGATCCTAAATTTGTCGACGAGATCACTCACGGCGATGTTCCTCAGTGTCGCAAATTTTGACGAGGCATTCCGTTTAGGCCACCCGCATAATAGACCAATAGATGTTAGATACCCCCATTTTCTATTCGCAAGGCTACCTATGCAGCATAAGATAAAACACAACTTCGGGATGCGCCGGCACCGGAGACAAATGACTGCATATGTACCAGATCGTGCAGTCAAAATTTTCTCTCCTTTGCCACACGTAGATCTTAAACATAGAAGCCCATAAGAGATGCGCTTACCCCACGCCAAAACCTTCCCATTTATCGTGAAAGTTGTCGGTCACAGTCAAAAAGAAAGCATTGCACACAAACTCGGAAATGCGTCTCTCGCAAAGCTTCCAATTCCACGAATGAGTCAAGCATGCAACGTCAACCTACAACTCAATCTTCAGAGTTTGGACCAGCTTCCATACAACCACATGCTAAATATAACGCCTATTATTCATGGTGAATTAGGTTGCTTTTGCGAGCAAGGTGGTTTGAAAAACAGGCATTTCATATAGGGTTGGCTGTGCATGGCATGTTCTTGGCGATTTTCCCCCACAGGACGGCCGAGGGATAAGCTGTAGATTTGCTTGATACAACAGTGTCTACCTAGGTACCTAGGTAGGCAGCCAATTGCGTTCTCGCGAGCATGGGGGCTACTTTTGTAACCCCCTATCGTCCTGTAAATCTCGCCTCTTCATTGGACCAATAGTTCTAATCCTGTGGACAGGATAATGACTCCAAAGGGGCTGGATTATTTCCTCACCAGTGGCTTTCTCGTGGTCCAGTAGAAGTATGGAATTCAGATTTTCGCACATGGCACGGCGAGATATAAATACATAAAGACCCGAATGTTTCGCATATATGTTTTGAGTAACTCGACATACTCTAGTAATGCACCACTACAACCCTAATCTTCCATCTCATGGCTTCTTTAAGACTTCTTCACGTACAGCTATTTATATTTCTGCTGTACGACAGTACCTAGCTATCCATACAAGGTTACCTAAGAGACGTGATGGCCAAGGTAGCACGGTATGCAGTATCACTTGGGGGTTATAATGTCTTAGACGACAGACTCATTTAGGAGTCCCTACCTTTCAACACTCAGGGGGGGTGACAATGGGCTATCAAACGAAACTACTCGAAAAATAGATGAATAGGGGGCATTATAACATATAAATGGCATCTACCAACAAACTGGTTATATAGGTTCATTCATGAAAGCCAGCTTCGCCCAGTGATGACATTACGACTTGAATCATATTGTGACCTGCACCACAATGGCATTAGAACGTCTCGAAGATTGGCCTCTTACTCCTGTAGCGGAGCGGTCCTCTATCCAACCACCTACGCAGCATGCGTCAGAAGAGGAGACACTCCCAATGTCAATATCCATTGAATCGATAGCCCCATCTTCACCGATATCAGTATACTCGCATATTATGAGGGACCAACCGTCTCATTTGAATACGTCGTCAAACAGAAGCGCAGATGATCTTCCCGGGAATCGTAACGATACCCATGACAACAGCCCTGTACTGCTTAACCAGGCTTCGCCTTCGTCTACACTGGTGGTGTCTAGCGACGATACGGAAGGGCAGGGGACAAAGGTCGACTCTCGACTGCCTATCAGACAGTCACTTAGCCTATACGGGTGCTTAGTTATCTTCGGAGGGTCTATCTTAACTTTAGGCGTTGTGAGTTATTCCCAAATTAAAGTCATGTGTTTGGATTATGAACTAACTATGGTTGCCTAGATGGCTTTCCTTATTTTCCTTTGGGCAGTAGAGGGGCCTGCCGGTGGTGAAGCAGCGACACATACATGGCGCCAAATCATGCTTAACGATTGGGCAACTAGAGCAGTCACCTTATCTTCTTTGGTTCTACGCTCAGTCATCGCAGCTCAAGCGACAGTGTGTACATCCTTAGTCGCCGCACTTCTAATAGAACGCCGCCAAGTCCGCTTATCGCAGATTACCCAAATGTCCATCGCCAGAAGCGTCAACGATGGGCCTCAGCAACTCTTACGAGATGTCATCTCGTCGAGGTCTTCCAAGATGGTGTTCAATGCCGGGACTCTCCTTTTAACAGTTTTAGGCCTAGGAGCTCTAGGAATCCAATTCTCTTCAACGCTTCTCTTGCCGGATTTCGAAACTGTTATTCTTGTCCAAGATTCAGAAACAGTTCGACATAATGTGGCCCTTACACCAGACAACCAGGACGCTGTATCGGACATCTTTGCGACGACGTGGCCTACCCTACAAGGTGAGACCGCATTGTTTGGGGAATTGGACTCGAATAGCATGGCGGAGCCCGATGAACACGGTGTTTCGCATAGTGGCCCCAGATTACGAGCATTTCTACCATTTGAGAGCGAAGAGCGCACAAGGATGAAGTCCTACAAGGGCCCGGCTTTCACATTGAAGACGGAAGTTTCCTGTATGAGGCCCTCGATGGACGCACAAATTCAAGTCCATCCATGGTCCCTCGACCTCCCATATGCGTCTTTATCTGGCAATATCTTATACAACCAAACATTTAAAGACAACGGTATAAATCATACAGTAGATTGCTTCAAGGGTTACCGTGGGTGGGATGACACGTGGGCTACTCTTTGCTTCCCGGAAGTTTTTAATTGTACCATGCCTTCGCAACCCGATCCCGATATTGTTGGTTGGTCGGCTGCCATCTGTCGACTAGATGCTGTCGGGATGGATGAAGGAGAAGCCGACATTGACTTCTGGCAGGACTCACCTGATCTATACGGGCCGACCTCAATGATCTTCCTAGCGTTTGCGACGAACGCGGATATAGCCGATTACGACATCAACAACACCCGTAATGGACTCGGTGCACCAATGCAATCTGAGGAATGGAACGGTTATGAATTATATCCTGGGCGTTTCTTAAACATCAGCTTGTGCTTCTCGACCCTTAACACAACCGTCTCTAGTGTTGATATGGCCACAGGATCCACAAACCTGTCGGAACCCCAGTTCAAATGGAGCACAAACCGGAGTACATCAAACATAGCTACGCTACAGACCTTCATGGGGGGAGACAACGTGCACAAGAGCCCGGAAGACAGGGGCATTCTCGCCATCAAGGACGTCCAGTACCCCATACCTCCTCCCGCCTTTACCTCAGAGGTAAATTCTACATCGTCTATAGATGACACCTCATTTAGCGAGTGGGCCTTGTGGCATGGTCCGTCTGCGGCTATCTGGGCATGGGCCAGTAATAATGAAAGTCTAATTGTGTGTACGTCCTGCCAGAGCAGGGGATTTACAGCCTTGAAGGACGGAGCGGCGATTTTCGAGCAGATCGTGAATACGAGTGACCGAGTCGCAGTAGCGATCGATACGTACATCGCGAAGTTGGTTCAAAACTTCTATTACCTTATCCTTCCCCTTTTTGACGTACCTGGAAACATTGAGGTCGTCTTTTCAACCGAAGCGCGCATCCCCAAACAGTGGAACGGCTTGATAGCGGTTCTTGTTATGGCCTCCGTGGATCTCGTATGTGTTTGGGTGATTACAGCTCTCTATATTAGGAACGTCCGATATACAAGGCAGGGAGATTTCTGGCATACAATTTCGCAACTTATGTCGGAACCCACACTATCTATTTTGAAACAGAGCAATGAGCTAAGGGATAGCGAGGTCTCGAAATTGCTGAAAGTGAATGACCCGTGGGTTAGTATTGGTCGATCTATGGACACGGGCAAGGTGGAAGTTCTCCAAGTTCATTAGTACGGTGTTAAGAAAAAAAAACACTATACCATCTGTCATTCCCCTCAGCGAATATGAGCCAGGTATCGTGGCAGCTTTGTGTTAAGACATTCCTTCCTGATGTTGAGCAAGATTCCCTAGCCTAGAACATATAACAATTTACCATCCTGAGATGTTAGAATAAACACCAAGTAATAGATATGTTCACGAAACTTACCTTCTAAAAAGCTCCTGGATATTTGACAAAGAGACTTAGGTACCATATGGACTCAGGCACTTCCTCTTCGGCTTACCCCATCGTTACCTCCACAGAAGGACACTCCGCAAAAGGCACAGCAATCGGCTTTTCTAGACAGACCCTGACCTGCCACCCCCTTTCCTTCATGGGCTTCGGATCGTCACCAATCCTAAAGTCCGATAATATTTTCTTAGCGACATGGGACGCGAGGGCCTCGAGCGTCTCAAAGGATGAAGCTTCCATCGTCTATACAACGTGTCAGCATCAGCAAGTCAGTACTTAGCTATTACCAAGCACTCACCTCCACCACAATCTTCTCCAGCTCACTATGAATATCCTCCGCAACATCAAACCGATCAATCTCCACATCCGCAATCAGCATCTGCTTCGCACCACGCTCATTCGAATTAACCCCAATCAAAGTCGGCACATGAAGACCCCGGATCCTTAAGCTGCGAGAGTACGACACCAATGGGTTTTTACTAGTCGTCTCCTCCTTCTTAGGAACGCTATGATCCCTAAAACTAGCACGAACCTCCAAACTCACCCCAGCGCCAAGCAACGACGCCTTCGGCAACCTAACCTCGAGCGCCAACGAGCGCAATCTCGCCGCATCTAAAAACGGCAGTTGATCCGGGGGTAAAGCAACACGACTCCCATCAACAACACGCCCCGTCATCCGCACCCAGAGTAACTCAAACACATCCGCCGTGCGCGGAGTCTCGATCTCCTTACTCCCAGTCGTAGCCCCCGTCGCCGCAATCACGTTCGCAGCAACCGAGCTCTCACCCGTCGGATGCGATCTCGGTTTATTCCCCTGCCCCCATAGCTCTAAACTACTAAGCAAATTCTTACTCAGCGTGCCATAATGCACAGTCCCCGCGTCGAGTTTATCCGTATCGCCTGATTTAGACGTAGATGAGGCGGTGGCGTTCCCGGAAAACGGATGCGCGAAAGATATCTCAGAGGACAGTAACACGGGCTGTAATTTCCCTGACCGACCCCATGCGTCCCGACCTACGGGTATCGCGCCCTGGAGGTTACGCACGCGGACCAGGGCTACGGGTTGTCCGGCGTCGGCGCGGGTTTGCCAGGTGCTTACGAGGGGTGCGGGTGGATCTGCGGCGCCGTCGCCGGTGGTGGGAGGGCCGGGTGGAGGCATATTGGTGGGTGGTTCTGTGTGTGATGGTGATTTCCAGAGGGAGGATAGCATGTTGTGATGTGATGTAGAAGTTAAAATGGTTTCTTTTTATTAATAGTTTGGGTTGTTTGTTGAAATATGTAGCTTTACTCAGAAATGACGCAACAAAGCGGATGAGTGAGTGGAGCGGGTTTAGTGAGTCTTAATAGCTTGGTACTTGATATTGGAATACTAGAATACTTAATATTAACACAAATTGTAAGAAAATAACTTATGTTAGAGTTTCTTGAAAAAAATTCGTATGAAAGGATGAGAGAATAAGAATCGAGATTGTAAGAAAATATGAGGCGATAGAAACTCCGCATAGTATTACGTAGGATAGGTACCTGTTAGGTCGCACAGCTCAGGCTCCACTCACTGTTCCAGCTCACTGACCAGCTTAACAGGCAGAAGAGGGATCTTCCTCGATGTTGGTTCTATAACACCTCACCGCACCTCAACTATACGTTTATATAGTCAGCCTGTAATTAATAAATGCCTTCGTTGCCTAATATTCCCAGGAGGATCAACACGTATAAAGCCAGGTCCAAATCGCCAATTGACAATGGAAGAATTGAATACTCACTACCCTTTTAATCTACCCTAAAAGTGATCATTAGAAGATTCTCTCATTCGTATAAAAATTCACAATGCCTTATCTCAAAGACGTCAAATACTCGCGCGAGGAAACCATCGCTGTTATCCGAGATTTCTATCAATTCCTCACGAAATTGTACCTCCCCGAATCCGCCATAGTCGAACCACCACCAGAAGGTTGGCCAACAATTACGAAAGAGAAATTCAGCCCCTTAGGAAAGTCGGACGAAGTCATCGAACTTCTCCGCCATCTCCCCTATATCCGCGAGCCTCCTGATGATAAATACCGACTCTACGGCGGTCCTTTTATTCATTTGCAAGACTGGCGTAGTGGTCGCGAGAACCAGGCGCTACTCGAGGGTGACGGCGAGGGCCTTAAAGTTATCACGGAGGGGTGGCAAGCGTTCGAAACTACACCCCCGGACGTTATTGGCCTCACTAGCGGGGGGCGCGATTACGCTGCTTTCCTGCTTGATACCCATCTAGGTGTAATCTACTGGAACGACCATAGTAACCGTACCGTACAAGAGAACCCATCGCGGGAAAGAATCCTGGATGAACCTGACGACTACGCGCCAGAGGAGCAGCATGATTGGCGATGGGAACCCGCGTGGGCCATTGCTGATTTCTTCGAGGTCATTAAAGACGAGTACCGATCTTTGCATTTCGTACCGCTTAGCTGGAGGGAGGTGACCGATATTTATATGATTTATTCTGAGAATGAGGAGGGCATGCTCCCCATGATGCAGGAGATCTATAGACAGCATGGGTGGCCTAATTTAGATGTTTATCGCAAGGAGGATTGCTTGAAGGCTGTGAGAGAGGCTCTTAAGGAGCATTATCCTGACATAGCTTGGGACGATACGACTGTGGAGGAGTACGAGGATTGTATTAAGCGAAAAGGATGAGTGATGCTATCTACCAAGCATCTAGGTATAGTGAACCTGCGAAACACCTATCAGCAGAAATGCAATCTCACGAAATCTGAATTGAAATATATAGAAAATACCTAGATACATCTCGTACATATTCAAATAGCATTCTCAGCCGGGTCATAGATCATAGACCACGTATATTCCGTGATTCCTCCCCACGTAGATAAATCAGTGGTTAGACATTCAACATCGCGGAAACCGCATTTCCGGTATAGCGAGTGGCCTGCTGGAGAAGAATCAAGGTACGCGATTAGACCTAGCTTCTTCGCTTCTTCAATGCCCCATTTTACAAGCAGCTCGCCTGCGCCACGCTTCTGGTGTTTTGGGTCGGTGTGTAACAGCGAAAGGTCTTGTATGCGTTAGCAGTGCCCGTACGACATTCGTAGATAGAAGCACATCCCCTGTTCCAACTCCTCACACCCCTTAAACGACCACCCCATCCCGTCTCAGGCTGCTCAAGTAGAGTACTCACAGACACAATTCCTCCCCGCCAAGATCCGTTCCCTCTGCGTCTGCACACCCCCAAACAACAGTTCACACGCCTCGCCATTACACCCAGCACCAAAAGTGCGGGGTTTCCAATGCGGCTTCACATCGTCATAGACATGCCACTTCGCAAACGCCACCATCTGCTCCCCATCTGCAGGGAGGTCCGTGTCGATAATTTTGAGCCAGCGTGTCGTAGGATCCTGTTTCAACTCCGCGGCCAGCTGTCCCGCACGCAGATCTAAGATGTTGGGCGGAAAGGGTCCCGGGAAGAGAATCTTGTTGTTGGGGTTGGGTGCGTACGCCTCGTGCTCGATCTGGGCGGATCGGCGGGCGTCTGCTTCGGTGGCTGGCTGGAGTTCTAGAGGCATGGTTTTGTTTAGATGGAGTGATTAGGTACCTAGGTAGGCTACCTTATAAGTACCTGGCTATGTGTAAACGGAAAGATGCACTATAACTTTCGTGATAATCGACTTAGATTAGCTATAACGTGAGAAATTGTAGATTCGCCAGTTTTATCCCACGGCTCTCTGATTTTAGTTATACTAGACTCTCATTATACCTTGCAACGTTGACAGTGTATAATTCGTATAGTTCGGGTAAACTCATTGCGATATACTCCTTCAAAGAACCTAGTTACCGGTCTCTCACCCCCCCTGGACGCCATGCATCTCGGTGGCTTTAAAAAGAAAAGCAGCGGCTGCACTTCGTATAGGCATCGTAGAATGACTCATTCCTGGAGTGGGGGTTAAAGATGGTGTATATCCGGTGTGTAGGTAATAGCGAACACCGACGAAACTTGTTGATATAGACAAGAATGTAGCAAATCCATATACCAATGATGTACGAAGAAAACAAACCAAAACTTAGGCGGTCTATCAGGAATATACCTACAGGAAAACTAGGAAGTACCTAATATTACCAGAAATCTATAGGTAGATTTATGTATCTGGGAATTTCCAGTGTAGAGAAGTCAAAGATAATTTCTAATAGTTGTCACTGAAGATAACCAAGACATGCACCCAAACCCCACTTAGATCATCACTAATTCCGCTACAACTATGCGCTGCAGATTTCTCCAACGGAATCTTTACCAACAACACAGCACGGATAGGCACCTGCATACACCTACATGCCGCCTACAACTAACATAGGGTACACCGACGGTACACTACATACAGCCCTGAAGCTGCTTTAAGCAAGCATCCAAATATACGGCACACATGTACCTACCCGACGTATGAGCTCATCAACAGACGCCATCTATAGGGGCATACAAACACTACCACTCCCACCTAGACTGCTATAACCCCCACAAATAACACACCCATCCAACCATTCCATCCAACCTATCCTTCGTACCCCTCCCCCTCGTACACTAAACCCTTTCTACCCACCCCAACCAAGGTCTAAGCTACCTCACTGCCTCCCTACCATTGAAGCTACCCCTCCCGGTACCCAGGCAGTAAAATGCCACCACCCCTCCCCCCCGGCCTAACCCCCGGCCCCACAAGCACCCCCCGCGGCCGCACCGTCCACGCAACGCAGACCTTCGCCCCGGGAAGCACAATCGCCGAATTCACAGATCAAGACCCATCCCATCCCGCTCCCTGCATCGCGATCCCAGATACACCCAGTTTAGCGCGAACATGTAGTTACTGCCTCGCGGTCGCAGCACCCTCCCTCCCCCTCTCCTTCCCCTTTCCCATCCCAGGATCCAGCAGCAGTAGTGGAAGTGGTGGTGGAAATAATGAAACCAAAATCACCCTCCGGACATGCACAGGCTGCAACACAACCCGGTACTGCACCCCCACCTGCCAAAAATCCGACTGGGCCCTCGCCCACGGAAAAGGCGAATGCAAAGCCTTCAAACGGGTCAACGTGTCCCTAGCAGAAATGGCATCCCTTTTACCCCCAAGACCCGGCGGCGGACCCGTTAACCTCCCAACCCCAATCCGCGCTTTGATCCAAGTCCTCGTGCGGCCGGAGATGAAAGCCGCGGTTGAGGAGTTGGAGGGGCATTTAGATTCGATTGATGCGCGGACGGGGGAGGGTACGAAGCCGGAGGAGATGGTTTTGCAGGCGCAGGGTGCGTTGCATTATTTAGGTCGCGAGATGACCTCTGAGACAATTGCGGTGGCGATTGGGATTACTTGTAAGGTGAGTGTGATATGTTCCTAGCTTTTGTTTTATATTCGTTCAGAGGATCCAATCTAACTGCTATGTAGCTACAAGTCAACGCCTTCAACCGACGCGACGAAGACACGGGCCAGAGCGGCATGTACGTTAGCCCTGGGCTTTCCATGATCAACCATTCCTGTATGCCGAACGCATTCGTGCAATTCGTAGGTCGAAAGGCCGTCCTTCACGCGATCCGCGAGATCAAAGCTGGCGAGGAGGTTGAGATATCATACATCGGTAAGCTCCACCCTAGTATGCATATCCTATGATCATGCTACTAACAACCAGCAGACACAACACTACATCTCGCGCAACGTCAACGTGGCATGAAGCAATATTTCTTTAAATGTACCTGTCTTAGATGCGAAAGAGATCTAGACATCTACCAAGTCTGCCAGACACATCCCCATCTCGAGCTGAACTCATTCAGTCTCACTCCCGATCTGGACAAACTCCGCAATCCCCCCATCAAGCAGAACCTAAACTCGAGTAAGGATCTGCAAGCATACATCGACCAGATCTACCCAATCTGCAAAGAACCGCTACCGCTATCGAATCCCTCAGGAAACCGGCAGCAACTCCGTCAACGATGGAATATGTGTAAGCAGCTTCGAGACACAGGATTGTATGCTATTGAACCAATACCCTTCATACTTGTCGAAGCCAGCCTTTGCCTCGTCGAGGCCAAGAACCTTGCATCCTCCCTGGTCATCACATGTTTCCTGGTTTTGGATGTTGAACCATACAGAAACCCGGTCCCTTTCTCCCAGCTACGGGTAAGGGGTATGATGACGCTAGCGCAACTTCTAACCAACACCGATTTGATCATCAAATCTTACAAATCGAAGGGGGTAGGCGGTGCTCTTGCGGGAAGAATTACTGAGGTTCTAAGCAAAATGGATCAAGTAACCATCTGCCGGGTCGTCCTAGAAATGGTCGTCCATTATTGTCCTGCGGCTCATTCGGGAGAGTGGCAGATATACCACAAAGCCAAAGAGATGCTGGATGACACCAAGAATCTTGCTGGCCGCGATACCGAAGATGCAATGATTGACGCTTTTTTCAAAAACCCGAAAGGCTTGGAAGAAAAGCGTTTCTTCGAGACAACGGTCCTGGAACCACTCAAAGCAATTGCGGGTTTCTTCCCTGAGGTCATGGATGCTGAATTTGGTGCATAGTCGCAGGGTGTGGAATACTGTGACCAAGAATGTTTTTACATTCAGCCATTCGACGATGAATTTTGTACTACTGTCTGCCTTAGACCTTTTTTCAACGCCCTCTTGTCAATTGTGCCCGACTTAGTAAGTCGTGGTGAGTCAGATAGCTTGTCATCTGATACCTGGGCGGTAATAGATGATGACGAATTCATAGAAATGTGACCCTGATTCTTGACCGAAACGCTAGACCATGTTGCTCGCGTCGATCTCTTAGTTGATGGAGTAGCTAACGGTGTGTCCTTCGACTGAGGACTACGCTTTCTTTTCCGCCCAGATGACTCGGTGAGAGAATGCGCAGGGTTTTTATGTTGGATTCTCTCTTCTGTAACATCCTGGTCGGCCGTTTGCGCCTTTTCCATTCTCTGAATCCGTCCTTTAAGCAACTCTAATTCCATTTGGAGGGTTTCAACTTGACTTGCTCTCTGGCCAATCTTCGTGATACTAGTTGTGAGAATCTCGATCTCTTCTGTTGGAAATATGGTATTATTCGGTTGTTTGCGTGATCGTTCTTGAGCTAGTTGTTCTCGAAGTTCTTTCAGCTCAGTTCTTAGTGAGGCTACTTCCTTCGTGTAAGATTTCGTAGTGGTGTTATTTTGCTTTGCAATTTCTTTGGTCCCGCGTAGTTCTTCTCGCATGAGTTCCATATCGCGTTGCGCACGATTTAGTTCTGATGCGAGGGTTTCATGTTTTTGTTGTTGCTCTTTGGTCACCTTCTTAAGATCACCGCTTAAAGATTGCCTCACATCCGCGATTGTCTGCTTCGCAGAAGCAAGCTCCCGTTCAAGACCGACATAAACTGAGCGATCTTGTGATATCTTCTTTACCTGGCTAAGTTCGGTCTTGAGTGAAGAAACGCTGTTTTCCACATTAACAGACTTTGATTGATAATCTTTTAAACGATCTTGCAATTTTGCCATACTGTCCCGCAACTTCTTGGCTTCACCTTCAATACGAAGAACAGCATTGTCAAATGAAGAGGCCATTTGGTAACCAGCGCGATTCAATTGTTGGACTTCATCCCTCTGGGAATCCAATTGAGCTTGTAGATGGTCAAGGATCTGGCTTTGTATTTCGGAAGGGCCATCGCCATTCATGAACATATGAGCACCGCCTGCAGTGGCCGAGTCTGCGCCAGCAGTAGTGAATCCGCTATGCGAAGCTTCTCTAAGCTTGAGAGTCCTCTGAATAGTAATTTCAATGTTACTACCGTCTGATGCAGTCGTTTTAATTGACGAATATCGTAAGAATAGTTGTCCTCTGCAGGCGTTAGCTTAAGCCCTCGCGGTGAGAAACGTACGTGAATTATTACTGGTGCAGAACATGATTGACAGGTGTATCGAGACATCTAAGTCCAACTCTAGCACGGCAATTGACACATGCTACATCTTGCAATTGACTACGAGAATATTTATCAGCTATAATTTTCCAGGATCATGGATATAGGTAATTCATACCAATTATCTATCAACGTATTCTCCTCACCAAGTCGCGGTACACCCGTAGGCGCAATGTTCAAATTATCGTCATTGTCAATAACTGGACTGATGTAGCTTTTCCCAATCTTGATCCACAAATTGACGAATTCGCCTAGAAGGTGATCGCATCCCGTACAGCTGCAGAATACTCGATCCATAATGACGGGATACTACATGGGATTGGCGCATCAGGTAGAACGTATTGTTCAATGCTTTAAGATTCAGTTTGAGTAATGGATGGAATGATTGAACAATTGATGGATGGATCCATCGGAGATCGTTCAGCGGGTTCCTGCATTTATGGGGCTGGTAGACCCACTGCGGGTCTCGATAAGCGATACAGAACCCCCCCTGTAATGTGAACTTAGAACCGCCTGGGCAGCCGCTACACTCACGTGTATGATGTCAATGAGGTTATATCGTAAACAACGCATATACCGACCAGTTAAGTACATAAAATGGTATCACTTCACACATAATTCACGTAAAACTATCCAAGATCCCGAAAAACAATGAATATTGAAAGCCAGCCACCTATTTCTTTGGTAGGCCTATATACCCATCCCAAATGGAGAAAGAGTATGAAACGGGGTATCTCATAATCCCAATGCCCAAGTGCTAAACCGCATTCATGGCTCATGTTCTCGTATCTCATGGGTCCCCTCACGCCACTGACATGTCCTATCATGAAAATATCAGAGAACCACCAACCCAGGAACAACATTCGCCTCATTCATTTGACTCCAATGAACCCAATGCCATTTCTCGCAACGCCAGCCGCCTTTCTCAACGCCTGGTCCTCCCTGTCAGTCCATTTAACACTAAGATCCTCCCAAGCTTTACCAGACCCATTGTATTCTTTCTTGAATTGGGCCTGCATCGCTTGCATCCTTGCCATCTCACGGGGATCTCCAGAACCGCTAAACACGATAAAACCTGTGCAAGGGGGTAACGAGTCGTGGATGCGCTTGATGCGCTGTGTAAGGTTCTGTATGCATGTCTCAAGGGACACGCCAGAGAGATCAGGAGGCGTCAGGTCACCTCTTCCGTTCCACCATCCTTGGAACGCTTCCAACTCGCGGAATCGGGCAAATACAAAATCGACACCACCAGCAGGTATTTCCTCCCCAGTCGGATCACCCATTACGGCTCTGATAGTCCCGTTGGCTACCTCCTCGTCCGATCCGCAACCTATGGGAAACGTCGCGGCTGCACCAGCACCCTTCATCGGGTCACCCCAGTCCACCATAGCACTGGTCTTCCCAACGTTCACACCTCCCTTGGCCTCGACGCCGCCGTTAGCGCGGTAGGCTTTGCCTTGTCGCGTCAGTCGGCGAAACAGATTCTCACCCTGTGAGTCGTTGTTCCCCCAAGCTTTGCCCTTCTCGCATTTCTGCTTGACGAGATCTAGACAGGCCTTCGCATCTTCTATAGAGTCGTGCCCTGCGGCGCCCTTTTGAATCTCACGCTTGAGGAATCGTTGCGCCAGGAACTTTAGGCCATTCTTCAAGGGGGGTCCTCGGTTGTGTGGGAAGAGGATCGAGGTGTCGACAACAAAGGGATGAGTGAGTTGTAGAGCTTTTAAGTCCGATTCTAACGAATGCCCTAGAAGAATTGTGCGGGGGTGGAGGATATGAAGGAGCTTGGCCTGGATATCCTGTAGTGTCGTAGTCACTGGCGCTAACATTTCTTCCGTGATGCCGGAATATCGGGTGAGATAGTCCGTGATCGGCTTGTCTGGCTTGACGAGCTCATCAAGGACTACGGTCCCATCCCAACTAAGCAGACTCACTCTCGTGAGAGAGAATTCGTCAGGACCTGTCATACACATCTCACAATCTAGCGCAAGGACTTCTCGACCCGCTGTGACGCTTCCTTGCTGTATCTCTTCCTCTGGAGCGTCACCATCTTCGGGGTTCTGGACATTGGTGTGAACCCAACCCTCTGGATCTTGGTAGTTTCTACGACGGTCGATGGGTATGAGGGCAGGATGTAATAAGTAGCCATTGGATTGAAAATCCTCCGGCATCATGAGGAACTCGGTGATCCTCGTTCGCTCGTCCTTCCAGCCTTGGGGCTCCTTCACGTGCCGGGCACCGTTCTGGCCTTTGGGTTCTTTCGTCTTCTCATTGGGCGCTGTAAGTACGGTCCCAATTGGCGAACGTATAGTTCCATACTTCTCGTTTCCAGGAGTCTTGACTGGCCAAAGGTGTGGAAACATATCCGCAAAGTCCTTTAAGATTTCCGGGAGCTCGTCCTTTTTGAGTAATCGCGGATAGTAGTCGTCGGGCGATGTAAGTACTCGAGCTTTTTGGTCGAGGTCGAGAGGAACGGCATTGTATGTCGCGAAGTCGGTGTCTGGTTTGAACATAGCCTCCTCCAGTCCCGGTACCATTATTGCGACAATCTTTCGGAACTGAGGTCGTTGGGAGACGGCGACCCATTGCGGCGCTATACCATCGGCGAAAATATAAAGGATAAGGCTGCGCAGCGAATCAAGTCCAATTTTTGATTGGAGCTTGGCGTTGTAGTTGAAGACAATTGAAGGATAATTTGTCGATTGCGGCGCAGGAATCTTCTTTTCTTTCTTATCTTTTTTCGCCTTCTTGGACGAGCGTCGGTCGACAATTTCCCATCCCTCGTCGGGCTCGTCATGTGGCTTCGGTCGCTTTAATGCTTCACCGGTTGCAGGTGTTGCAGGTATCGCAGGCGTTGCAATTGGGGTGTCTTGTGCAAGTCCAGCGGGGATTTGCGCCGGAGAAGCTTCGACATTTATGTCGAAGGCGGAGGTGGAATCTGCCATTGGAACGGGTTCGTTCATGGCATTCAACTCAAAAGAATCGGTCAAAAAATCACCTTCAGGAAGCCCAGCAGCGGAGTCCATAACAGCGTTGCTTGTATAGGGACGTTCCTAAGGAATTGATTTGAGAAAGATGCTAGAAGCATGAATGAATGGTAGAACCATCAAAATTTAAGTATACAAGTAAAGTTGGATTGTAGCAGCTTGCGCGTACTAGAAGTGCCCCACCTACAAACTTGCATGCACATGTACACAGAGAAGGTACCCTTACGGGAAAGGTTGTGATTGGTCAATCACGGATCTACATAATGCCCCACAGTAACAGTGTAAACCACACTGTATTTACTAAAGGCTTTGATTGGCCAGAAACACGGCGTCTGACCCACACCCCACCATCAACTCTTTTTTTTCGAGCTTCACCTTCAGACATAGATGGAAGTCACGGTGGGATCTAACTCTGCATAAAATTTTAGAAATTCCGTATGAGGCAAGCAAACATAATTAATCCGCGTTCGGCGAGCGGGGCATCGTTAAGAACGGTAAACCGAAAAATGTTAGAAGATATATGAACTACCTAGGTATGATTGTTTGATATATATCAGCTGCCTCTTCCATACGGCGAAAGTTCTATAAAATAGGTACGTAGTAGCTTGGTAAAATTGAAGCGACTGCCTAGCCAATACTATACACCAATATTGAGAAAACTTTACGGTCTCTCGCACCTATCTACCCGATTGCTCCTATACAAAAAATGCTTTATTAAAAGAATGAGTCCTCCCTCCGCCCTTTTGAACGCCTGACGATGCAAATTCTATGTATGTGGAACTCTTATAACTTGCTCTTGATCGCTTGCTGTTTGCCCTCCTCGGATACAATGACAACAATGACACAAATATCATCGACCTTGCCGCCATGCCAGTCCTCTTCTGGGTAATACTTTTGAACTTCCTTCGCAAATGGGCCGTCGCTTCGCCGGTCTTTGCTGGCTGTCTTAGCCGCTGCGGCAATATCCGTCGCAATTACACTCTGTAGTGTCGAGGATCGTTGTGCTGAATCCTCGGCTAGGCTTTGGGTAAACGGCTTCAGGTCATCAGCAACTAATATGCCGCCATCGCTAGTTTTCCAAGCACCGAGGCTAACCATTCGTCGGCTAGCTAGTCGGAGTACGTCCTGGTTGAATAGGTTATCCCACACTCCATCGCTCGCGAAGATCAAGATATCGCCATGCTTGAGCGTATGCTGTGTCACGTCCGCGTCTCTTGGGTAATCGCATAACTGAGCCCCGCCAAATACTGCGGCACGTGCGAGCATGCTGGCCGGCACAATGGAAAGTTGGTAAGGTGTGTTGAAAGCATGTGTTTGCGGCTCCGAATAGCTATGTACGGCATTCAGGCGCAAGTGTACAAACCCAGAGTCGCCTAGGTTCGCTACCTCTAGCATGCCATCCTCGCTTGCGATCGCGATAGAAGCCGTACTACCCCCTGCATGTATAGACCCATCCCGACATACGTCATCGAATCCTCTTTGCATTAACGATCTCGCTGTCAGTGTCGGGTCGCCCGCGTCCGGTTTATGCTCGTAAGCTGCCGACGCCATGTAATCGCAGAAACTATGGGAGAAATCGGCCGGGTCAACTCCACTATCCTCCCAGCCTCCAACACCGTCAGCAATTCCAAATGCGACGGCGTTGCTTTCGCCCACACGACTTATAAAAAAGGCATCTTGTCCGCTAGCCGGCCGTTTCGATTTAGGTCGCTTTTGTGTCTGGATGCGGTTGTATGGATTGAAGTGGAAAACGTGGGTTGCTGCGTTGAAGTCCTTGTGCTTTGCGGAGAAGGAAGCGGCGGCATCGTAGGTAAATTTATGTCTTGAGCCCGTCTGTGCTTTCGAATCTGGCAGTCGGAGGATAGATTGTACAGAGAAGGTCCTGATAGGACGGCTTCGCAGCGGTAAGGGAGATGTGCGTGGGAATGTCGGCCTTGGTTGGTGCTGAAAAGATGCTATTAGATATTTAAATGGTACCCCATTATGTATCTTCGAGAGCATCGTGGTTTAACCTGAGGAGGTGGCTTTCCATGGGTGGCCATGGACTGCAATAGAATTACCTACCTCACCAACTTCGCCCTTTTTTTGTGTGTGTTTTTCTTAAGAGGTGCAATTCGTCGTCACTTACAATTAATTCTCTCTATCTAGACTACGCTAGTAAGGCAAAGTCTTGGCAGATGACAGCAGCTGCATTGGCATTTGTAGGCCGGCGGACTCTCGGAGTTCGGCACCATGCAACCGATGAAGTATAAACTCCATGGCACGTGCTTGCGCGTAGTGTCGGCGGCCAGGATAGGTGCAAGATATGTACGTTCCCGTGTTTTATGCATCACATCTAGGCAGGAGCATCTATCATTTTCGTTACGTGTAACAATATAATCTCTTATTTCTGCAGGTCTCACATTGACTCATACTGATATGATTAATCATCTATCGCTCGTCTTGCTGTCTCCCGTCTGTGGCTTCCCGTTATTCCGGCCCCCTCTTTAGCTCCCATGAGCTATCCCGTTTGCCGGTGTAGACAAAATAAACATTGAAAATCCTTAACACCGTTGTAGTATTTAATATGTAGTATGTTTTCTGCCCTCGCGTTTTCCTAATTCGTCGTACCTTTATTCAAACCAGGTTTTGCTTTCAATTGTAACCTAGGCGATGTCTTCCTCGGGTCCGACCAGCATCCCCTCGGAAGTCCTCTTCGAAATTACTTCATACCTCGACCCACGAGCACTTAAATTTCCGCGCACGACCTGTAGATGGACGGATGCATCTCTTTTCGATTCATTTGCCCGTCAAAAATTCCGTAGGATTCACTTCCTCTGCACCAGATATGGCCTTCAAACCCTCGTGGACCTCTCCAAGTCTCGTGTGTCACCTTATCTCAAACATCTAGTCATTTCAACGTGGGTCTATTACCCTCTCGTATCTATCGCTATAAGAAACCGCCTTGTAAATCGTGGACTGTACCTCCAATTGGATAAGTTCAAGGAATTCCGCAATGACCAGGAATTACTTTAGAGTACGATGACCTACGGATGCTCACTGAAGCGTTCTGCAACCTCAGCTTAGATAAGGTATCAGTCGGTCCAGACGATGATCGCTTCTTCTCCGCTATTGGGGTGTCAAAGATCGAAAAGGGAACCTCAGTTTACGTACGACATAACCAAGTGAGACCCTATGGCGTCTACCAATTGACGGGGAATTGTGTGCGGAAAGTATTATTTGCGTTGGTCAAAGCAGGATCGGGACTGAAGAGATTGTCTGAGACGATTGTTGTACCAACTGAGATCAACCGGTTTTGCCTCAAAGGTCAATACCTCGATAGAACGTTCGATGCGCCGGCATATATTTTGAATGAAGAGTATCATGCTTCCTTGACGGCTGGGTTGCTTGGCTTTCCTATGCTTATGGGCTTATCTGAGCTTGAGCTCAGCCATGTAAACATTGCCAACTACGATTTTCTTCGCATTATAGAGAAACTCTCGGTATCATTACGAAAACTGAAACTCTGTGCCGTGAAATGGCTTTTCCGACTCGTCGGCTCATCTATGGACCAACTTGTCAACAAATGGGCCGAATTCGCTATACAGTCGGCTCAAGTCGGTAAACATCTCCAAGAGGTGAATTTTTGTCACATACAAGTAGTAATGAATGGAGAAGTTCATTTTAGTCCACAATGGGGGCCAAGAGATGGACGAAATGGATGGGATGGAACATTCTGCTACGCAGGCCCAGACATGGGTAGGGTTCCAGGGGAACCCGTCACTTTAGGCCAAGGATATATACCGGGCAGCCGGGTTGCCGTAAGTATAAACCAGCTCTGCCTCTAGACTATTGCGGATACTAATGTTAAAAGTCAAGACTCGGCACCGCGATATTGGGTACGCTAGTCTCACCATGGAAGAACTTTTCATCGTTTTTGAAGTACACGATTCGAACGCAGATGAGGAAGACATGATCAGAGGTAAGCAGTGTTGCCTTTTTCTCGCCTAGGAAGTCGTATTTTACAAACTGCTAATATTGATTATTATGGCAATACCGTAGATTATGATGCCCAAAAAGACCATGATTTCAATTTAATGTAGAGTCCCCCGAGTCAGCGAGAGAAAATAAGCTATATGGTGATTGGGAGAGTGAAAGGAAATAATGCGGAATTATGTACTGTAGAGTTGCCAATGTGGCTGGATGACGTAATTCAAAGAGCTACATACATGTAGTGGTCTATGTGGAGAAAGGGAATTGAATTCGGACGGGTGGCTCGGATAGTGTGCTTGGAGTAGTACGATGGTACAATGACCGCATGTGGAAATCTTGTCGGAATAAATGACGGGCCGATATGGTTGATTAATTGAAAGCATGTGATTGGCCGGGAACGATGATAGCAATAGCCGAGGGCAAGCCGGGTCGGGTGGAAAGTGGAAAGAGGAAAGAGGAAAATGGAAAGTTCAAAGTTTCAATGATGAATACATTCTCTTCCTTTGCCACTATTCCCGTAACAACTTAACTAGAAAACAAAACAATTTACAAGAACCCTTCGGTCGGTTGATTCTCTTTGTTTTTACAACTATCGTCATACATTTTATTCTTCTTTACTTCCCATTAATTCCTTAATTATACCTTTCGCGACGCCAAGGAACAGAGAATCGACCAACCAACCAATCACACTATCCCGAATTTGCCCGCAATGGCAGCTCTTCGCTCTACCTCGACTCGGCTGCTGGCCGCAGCTGCGTCGCCACGCTCTGCGACGCTTCCTACGATGTTCGTACGATCAATGGCTTCTGTAGGTGGTGCTACGGTCGAAGCAAACCCGAAAGGCAGTACCGATTCGCGCATGAAGTCCTTCCAGATCTACCGGTGGAATCCTGACACCCCGACCGAGAAACCGAGGATGCAGACGTACACATTGGACCTGAACAAGACAGGACCCATGGTACTGGATGCTTTGGTCAGGATCAAGAACGAGTTAGACCCCACGTTGACCTTCCGTAGGAGTTGCAGAGAAGGTATCTGCGGTAGTTGCGCCATGAACATCAACGGAACGAATACATTAGCATGCTTGTGTAAGTATCTTGCGACAATAATTGAATAAGGTAGTACGATGTGTAGCTAACATTGATTTCACAGGCCGTATTCCCACAGATACAAGCGCCGAGATGAAGATCTATCCACTACCCCACACATACGTCGTCAAGGATCTGGTCCCTGATCTGACGCACTTCTACAAGCAATATAAGTCGATCAAGCCATATCTACAAAGGGATACACCCGCACCAGACGTACGTTATCATAATTCAAGGGTTATATACTAGTCACCATATACTGACTATATTGGCTTCTTAGGGCAAGGAATACCGACAGAGCAAAGCGGAACGACGAAAGCTAGACGGTCTATACGAGTGCATTCTCTGCGCATGCTGCTCAACATCGTGTCCGTCATACTGGTGGAACTCCGAGGAATACCTAGGCCCCGCTATCCTATTACAATCATACCGTTGGTTAGCCGACTCCCGCGACGAGCGTAAGGCGGAGCGCAAGGCCGCGCTCGACAACTCGATGAGCTTGTACCGATGCCACACTATCCTCAACTGCACAAGAACCTGCCCCAAGGGTCTAAATCCCGGTCTAGCGATCGCCGAGATCAAGAAGGAAATGTCGTTTTAAAACAATAGCCGGAATTATGAAACATAGACGAGCTATGAGAGGGTCTTAGAAGCCACGAGAAGGGAGTTTAAGAAGAGACAGTGGAAGAAGACAGAAGACAATTGTACAAAGTTTCGATTACGAGATATGTATGTTACGGGATCCTTCTCTCGTTCATCACCGGCTGGTTGTATACGCCAGTCGTGCTCCTTTGTCTTGTGCGAGCATGGTTGGAGTTGTGAGTCTTATTTTTATTATCCTTGCTTAGTAAGGACCAATCGTGATATCAAATACAGGATTATCTATGTTAGCTGGGCTGAGCGTGTCGTCCCGTCTATCCTAGCGTGTGCATGTGCGTTGAGCAGGACTGCTTACTTCTATGTGCCATTACTACAGTAAATGAAATATCGCGTTGGAATATTACTATGCTAACCTCTAGATTTCAACCAATTTCTGGGTCTCCTGTGGCTGCTCCGGTTTCCTATCCCCTTGGCTAACAACCGCGCTAGCCTTCCCTTCAACAACACTTCTCTTCCCCTGTTCACTGTCTACCTTAGACTTCGACTCACTAGCCTGACCACCAATATTCTTCTCATCCACACCCTTCCCCTTACTCTTCACTACATTCTCCGCCCCCTTTTGCTTATCCTTTTCTTTCTCCTTCACCTTCTCCCTCTTCCTCTCCTCCCTCAACGCCCTCCTACCACTCCCGCCACCCCCACCACGAGCATGTACCTGCGCCAACATCCCCACAGTAGGCACACCCCCCGCCGTCCCCGGACCCGCGTACCACTGTCCACCACCGAATCCACCAGCTCCAAACGCCATATTCATAGCCGCGGTCCACCACGCGGGATGATGGCCTAATCCGACTTCGCGGAGTCCTTCGGGTGTCGCGGGCATCGCGTGCGCGTACCGGCATTGCGGTCCCCAGCGGCAGGTTCCGCGGTGGCACCAGTGTTTGCAGTATATACTACCGCCTCCACTGCTCGGGTTTGGGGGTTGGGAGGTTGATGTTGAAGAGGTGTTTTTGCGGGTGGTGGATGTGGAGGGGGGTATGGAGGTGTGTGAGTTTTTGGCTCCCGAGGGCGCGCTGGGGTTGTACCATGTTTGTTGCATGCGGTCTGCTGGGTGGAGGGTTGGTATTGAGGGGGTTACGTAGAGAGAGGGCTGGAGAGGGTTGTAGGGGTGCATCATTGGGTAGGGGCTTGAGTTTGGGTTCATGGGGGGCGTGCTGCCTGCCACAGTGGGTGAGGGGAGGCGCTGTTGTGGGTAGAGAAGGGGTATGTTGCTGCCATTGCTGATAGCCTTAGGTTTCTCGGGTTTGGTAACGGTAGTCGGATTACCAGTTCCTTCTGCCTTTTTGCTAGGGATTGTGTTAGTGTTGGGGTTATGAATGCTGCTAGCGAGAGACCTCATGGCTGGATCTACGCGCGTGTTCAGTGGCGATTCGGTTGCTGATTCAAGCGACGATGAAAGTGTGGATGACGTAGATGAGGAGGCAGATATGTAGGATGCGTTAACAGGTATGAGTACCCCGTTATCATTCCTAATGCCGTTTTCATCCATGGGACGCTGTTGTTGCTGCTGCTGTTGGTGTTGACGGCTCTCACGAGAAGCTCCTTCCGTAATACTACTTGGTATTGCAGGTGGTGCCGGGGGCGCTTGTTGAAGGCTATTGTGCATATACACCTGATAATAATCAGGGTTCCGCACAACAGTGCCTAGGTTAGTGAGTCCCACGGTCTGCTCGAGGCCTAGCTCACGCGGCACTCCGATTATACCTACCCATTCGGGTAACTGGTCTACGGGCACGAGAGGTACGATGGGACCCGGTGCTGTAACCGTGCCGGAGGCTGTATGTCTTGTCACGCCCGGACGCACGATGAAATGATGTGGTAGTGGGACATGGTTCTGGTTCTGTCTTTGGGCTGATGGAGGGATGGTATTGTTATTAGGTTGAGGAGGCATAGGTGATAATGAGCTACCACCGCTGGCGCGTTGTATTCCACCTATTGTCACTCCTTCACTGCCGACGGAATGTCGGGTGCTGTTCGTGCCATTCATCGTTCGTGTTCAGGGGATAGTTCATTATCCATCAGAATTGAAGCGAAAAAGACATAATAGAGATGATGTATGGTGGTATGAGTCAGTTATCTCAAGTTATGTAAGTCTAATAGTCCCATTTTCCATTAGCAATCCGGTTATACCAGGCTTAAGCCTATGTTGTCTCGTTTGACCCATATAAGTCCGTTTGCTACATCGTTGCTGCGAAGGCTGTCGCTTGTAGCAATGTTGTCGATTGTTTAGGTATCTAGCTAAATCCAGAGTCAAGATATATCATAGTCAAATTGTTGGCCCTACTGTTAATATCTTTCCGGGAGGTTTCTTACGCTGCTATCGGTTTAGTTGGTTAAAATGTAAGCTTTTGATCACAACTTCAACGTTCTTGGTTCATGTCTATCGACAAACATCCGGGCATCATCGGGCCTCAACTCTGATTCTCGCATCTAAACCATCAACGCAAAACCCAAGCTGCCGTGGCCCGTCGTGCAGCTCTACCTCCCGCTTGACCCACTTACCAGTCTTGCCATCTGGTTGAGAATTCTCGCCTAACTCTTCGGATATTACCGGTTCTCTCTGCTCTTCCTCTTTTTCTTCCTCTTCTTCATCGCTACTGTCTTCCACTTCATCATCGAACCCCGCAACCGGATCCCATTCCCCTGTTTCCCAGATCAAGCGCAATCCAAGCGATTTCGCGCCAAACAGCTTGCCAGCAATCCCCTTAACAGCGTAAATATCAAAGCTCTTTGGAATCCTAGTTGTTCGCTCCACAACTTTATCCGTTTCACTAGTAGAAGGATGGAAAACAAAGTGCACCGTGACCAGTCTGGCTTCTAGAAATGCTGGGTTGATCTCCTTCCGCCTGTTTACTACGGGTTCTCCGTATAATTCGCATAGCTCAGCGTAACGCTTGTGTTGCTTGATTATATCCGCCTCTTGGCCTTCAGGTACCGTAGCTAGATGTTTGGCAATGCGACCTAAATAGTAGACTTCTGCGTCCTGACGGTCGGAATTGGAGATTGTACTGAAATTCAAAGTCTTGAGGTTTGCAAGACGGCCAACTGTAAACATGTACGCTTCCTCCGTAATGGTCTTAGATTGGGTGGAAAATTCGGGATCTGGGTTGTCGTAAATAGGGTTGTGGGAGAAGCGGAGAGAAGTCATGCCAGGGAAACATATTGGCAAGGTATCGACGAATTTCCATGATGATATTTGGTTGTATGATAGGTCCACATATCTCAGATTTGACGAAAATATTGGTGGGTTATGGGTCGGATCTTTTGTGACGGTAGATATGGCGTTACCCTTCAGATGAAGATTGCGGAGAGCGGTCAATCCAGAGAGACTAGCAAGATTGGCGACGGCGGTGAAATTGTTAAATTCCAAATCTAGAGAGACCAAAGTAGATGATAGCGTTAAGAGTGGCGTTTCTGGTAAGAATGATAATTGATTTGCGCTGGCCGAGAGTGTGGAGAGCGTCTCAAACTTGGTTGCAATATGGCATATCTCTTCCCAGCTCATGAGAGTTTCCTCAAGAGCTAGGTCTTTGACTCCCCTCAGGGCGTCATTCGCACTTTCAAGACCGTCATCGTTGAATATGTCCTGAAACCGATTGCCACTTGATGCCAATTAGTCACAGGAATATTTCAGAGGTTACGTCAATGTATGACTTACTTCAATCGCAAGCTTCGCAATGACTGCAATTCCGAGCAAATATCCACAACAGTATTTAATTTTTGGAAAAGGTTTCGGCTGAGATCTAGCTCAACTATCTTCGGGCAGACTTGGCTAATGCGTTCATTACCATCAAAGTAAGCCGATGCAATTCGTGCGCCATCGACGATGACGACTTTTAATTCGGATAGCTGAGCTTGCTTGCGCTGGATCTTGTCGAACCCAACTTCTTCTGCTACTTTATTTGAGAATTTAATGGCAATTGTCTTCGCCAGCTCAGACGCATATTTATCTGTCACCGCCGTAACGAAACTCTGAGGTTTCTCTGCGGGGCGAGTTGGTCGTACGAAGGATGCAGCGGTGGCTGATTTAGACCGGCCTTTTTGTACTTAGAACTTATGTATTTAATCATATGCGAGCAAGGGAGGAACTTACAAGCAAAATACCTTACACCTTTATGAGAGCCATCGTGTTTTCCTCGAGATGGATCGTCCCATTCGACGCCAAGCCAGTTACCAGATGTACCGCTGACCTCACCAATATAGCGGACCGTACATACAGCTCCGTCGTAGGATAATCGGTCACCGACTTTAGGATTCGTAGCCATGAGTATAGATGTATTACTGTTAAATCATTCGGAATAACAAATTTGTAACCATTGACGAAAGGGTCGAATTGGTTGATGTTGTAGAATACTGGGGGAAAGTTAACAATTAGGCACCCGTTTTTCTTGCTACGAAGCAATTTGTTACGGCGTCACATGTGGATTTGTTACACACTCAATATCTACCTAGCTGAAGCACCACCTCAACTGCCATTCTTGAGTTGGGAAACTTCGAATACTTTCAGTTGTTATTTACTTCATACATAATTTGAATCGAATATTGCAAATGGAAAATCGCTCTCAATCATTCAACCTTTTTTTCCCCAATCAAAGCTTGCTCTTAGATTCCCCTACCACCTTCATCAACGCTCTTCCGTTACTCAAGCATACCTTTCCACCAGCTACCTTAACCACGAACCTCACCTCTTCCCATTCGCCCTTAACTTCACCGGTTCTCCACACAGAAGTAACCAGCTTGTCACCGGGCCTTACCGGGCTCGCGAATCGGGCTTGGAACTCCTTAATATTAGCGGGGTTGCTACCACCAAGCTTCTGCAGCAAGCCATGGCAAGTCGAGTTGAACGAATAAAGGCCATGGATAATAACACCACCGAAACCCATCTTCTTGCCCGGCTCTGGGTGCGCGTGCAGTGGGTTGTAGTCGCCATTAAGTCGGTATCTTAATGGAGTTTGCGTATCCGTCTGGTCCTCAAACTCGACATCGGGCTTCTTGCCTTTGGGAGGTGGGAAGTTCTCGGTGGCTGGTCCCTTAGGGCCACCCCAATTACCCTGTGCGACGTAGAACGAACTGCCGATGGCGCGCGTATAGACTTCATTAGTACCAGCATCGACGAGGTCTTGCTGGATCTCGACGACCGAACCCGGGCGCCCCTTGTCGTAGACACCTAGGACCTTAGTTCGAATCTCAAACTTCTTGCCAGCTGATGTTGTGGGCAAGGGCTTGAGGAATTGGACTAGTCGCTGGCCATCTACAACACGACGCGCATCGAAATCAGGAACACCAGGGATCTTGATGGCCTTCTGGGCGGCGTAGAAGTCGATAACTTCTTGTTCGGCCTTCTTGAAAGCTGCGCATCTACTTGTTAGTTATACGGGTCACAGCCGGTTACGGGATACTTCATACGTAGAATAACCGGGTAAGTCGGGAATACTGAGAAGTTAGGATCGAGTTCCTACTAAGCTATTAGAAGGGGACTTCTACACCAATTTTAAAATGGATGCAAATACTAACATAAAGAAAGTGAAGCTCATCGGCGGTACATCCTATGGTATTGGCGAATAGCAGGACATCGCGCTTTGTCCACGATACTTCCGTGGGAGGGTATTCAAAGCCAGCTCCAGGACCGCTCATTTTCGTTTACGTTCAATTGAGAATTATATAATTTCAGTGAGATATTAGAGGCAATTATGGTTTGGAATACAAGCAATTGGGTTTTTGGACGTATATATACAAATCAATTGAAACTTGGATGTAATAAAGAAGACTCCGAGACTGGAGACTGCTCAAGTACTCGGGTGGGGACCGGCCATCTGATTAGATACGATCAACCTTTGAGCCGAGGCACAGAATTTATGGGGCACTTTATTTTTTTAGCCCTAGTTCTAGGATCTGTGGGGTATTATTGCGTACCTACAGAAGCTCCAGGGCTGTGGAGGTACGAATTTAGTGGTGGGGTACGAGTCTCCAGCTGCTAAATCTCATCGCCTGCCTAACCTAATTTTAGCACCCCACCAGCGTCATTCTGCCATGTCCCACCCACCTTATTATCTGAATTTCAATCGCAAACTGATTCCTCCTTCAAAATTTCCATCCACACCAACATTCAACATCGAGACCACTCTCATTACGACAACCTTTTTATTCAATACAGCAATCACTACCGACCACCTTTCATCTACAAAGGTCCTCAAAGAAAATTTACTACATCAATCCTGAAAAGTATAAATAATTAGGTACGTATTCAACTAGTACATTTTCTTCACATTGCGCGCCCACCTCTTTCCCACCCGATGTCTTTTTTCCCCTTTCCTACTCATAGGCATATACCTACCTAGGTACGCAGGGTAATCTATGAATCCGCGCAATAATCCCTTCATGCAACTGCATTTCTTATATGTATATTTTCCAAAGCTGGAAACTCTACATTTTTCGAAGAGACAATGTCTCAACCGCCGCTGTTGCAATCTACATCCGCTTCAGTATCCCAATCATCATCCCACCCACTTAAAGTCGGTTCGCGCTGCGTTCCTAAGAGAATGCGACGACGATTCAAGAGCTTCTCCGCTAACTATAGCAATTTGCAGTTCAAGACCACAAGGCCTTTGGCGAACAAAGATCTTCGTTTCATTTCACGCGCGACCGACAAGCTTGACAGAAAGCTCCTACGAGAAGCCAACAAAATAAATATAAGACCACAAGACCGGTTGCCACGAAGTGAACCACCCTGGAAGCGACGCCGTCTGAAGAGGAAAGAACGAAAACACCTAAGAAAGCTATCACTGTTAAAAGAACTGTACAACAAAAATATATCACCCCGACAATTGTACCATCACGTTCTTATTGAAGAACTTGATTCCAAATACAGGACACACCTTACTCCGCTTCTTGAAGACCTCAAAGTTTCTAGATACAACCATCCCGTTTCATCACGCAATAAATCCAAGTGTTATGAGAGACATATAAGCAAAATGAATTTCGACGGAAGAAACCCTGCGCCGCGAGCCAACACCGGCCGCGCCGCCGAAGAAGGGAATGGTGCAGAATTTCGCATGACAGGCGCACTACAATCTAGCACTGAAAACGGTGATTCTGATCTCAATACCTTTTACATGGCAGTTGGATTGTCTGCGTTCGGACCTACTATGTCCAACATGAACCAGGACGATGACTATGACGGCGATAACGATGACAACAACAACAACAATGCTTTTCTTATGACGGGCGCATTACCCCCCCTACCCTCTGTCTTTACGACCGAAGATGACGCATTCGTTACGACAAATAGCACATCTGCTGTAGCACCTATCGATGATGCGACCCGTAACGATGAAGAATGTGTCATGACAAGTGGGCTGTCGGCCCCAGAACCCATCCCCAACCGCGCAGATCAAAATGACCCTGATGGATTTTTCATGACGGGTGCGCTTAACTATGGTGATGATGCCGACTTTTATGACGAAGACGCTGACAACTGTATGTCGGGCGGGATCTCTGCTGAAGATATGTATGATAGTGAGGGCAAGCCGAAAGAGATCAACGGAAACTCAGACCAAGATGATCAATTCAATGACACCTAGGAGGCATTGTTGAATTCAGCCATACCTGAGGAGACCGGAAATAACGCACAATCCAACGATACACAGGCGCAAAGCAACCAGGAGCGTCGCCAATCATTCAGCAGCTTGTCCGGTCATTCATCCGGCAGCAAGCGTAAGAGAAGCGAGAATGAAGAGGAACAGCGATCAGAAGCCGATGTGGTAGATCTCACTAAGGATAGCTCATCTTCCGAGTCGTCTTCTATTAGCCGCAAGAAAGCTAAACTCCATGACACCCAAGCGGGTGATCCCTTCAGAACACCTTACATCTCCGAGGAGGAAAGAGTAAGACTCGACAATCGATGCCGACTTAACGATATCGTAAGAGAGCACCTTGATGGTGACAGCATGGTCTATGATAGACTTCCCCCGAAAAAGGGCCGAGGTCGAGCTTCCGGGGAGGGAGCAGTCGTCAATCCTAGCGATTTTGAAATGTCTGGCGCATTGGTGACTGGTTCGATTGAGGTTCGTTTTCTTTGTTTTTCTTCCACGTAATTCTGCGGCCGTCAGTCCTGAAGCTAACCTTACATAGGAGTTATTTAGCGAGGTTCCGTCTAGTTCGTATGGATCGTCTAGCTTTTCAGGTTTCTCCTCATCCGACGCAGAGAGCAGTGGAGGTTGTAACGGCGGCCCTGGCGGCGCTTTCGACGAGGATTACCAAGACTGTCCTGGTGAGGTTGAAGCACCTGAAGCTGAAGAGTTTGAGAATGGCAAGTCGGGTGATGGTGGATTTGACCTAGAGGTTACCCACGATGACTTGCTCAAAGAAGGCCAGAAGGATTGTCCAACTAGTGAGATTTCTTTGCCGCAACTCATTACACCTACTCGCCAGCAACGCTCGTCTTCCTTTGTTCCTAGCCCCTTTACGCCTAGAACAATAATGCCCAGCTCAGTTATGACCGGTATCAACCAGTCTAACAGCCCGGATTCGCCTACTCTGCACACAAGACATTTTCAGCGAATTCTGTCAGGAGAAATCGCGCCTCGCGTTCAGACTACGACACCTCAACCCACCGGATCCATCAACCGAGCTACAACCAATATCCCTCCTAGTTTCACACCCGTAATTCCGGGTACTAACGCTCAGAGCTACGAATATAGTGATGAGGAAGTCAAGGGTGTTGGTTTCAAGCCTAATGCAAAGGCCCCGGGCCGTAGTCGCTCAAAAACGCCAGTCTCTGCACCGCAGCCCTAGGCGGATCTCGGTAGCGGAAGTTCTTGTGAAGGCACGACTGTTGGTCTACACCAGACACAGTCAGATGGCCGCGTGAGAACTCAGAAGACTCTTGCACCTGTTTATAATAGACGACACCCAGATCCTACTTCAACCAGACCGAAGCCCTATGTCAGCAACCTTGTCAAATTTGTTGGCGTTCAGGGAGCTTCTAACGTGGTCAAAGCCCGCTACCACGTTGATGATTTCGACGCCCATCATCAGGCGGCTGTTAAGGAATGCACTACCTTTCCTGAAGTTCTCGCTCATGATCATGCGCTCCTACAGATGGAGAAGGAGATTTGGACACAGATGATGGGCTTTTAGAAGATTTGTTCTTCCGCCCTTTGGTTTGATTAGAATAATTGGTATTTCTGGACTTGTTGCGCTTTGTGCCATGAGACACGAAGTGCGAGGATATTAAGGGTGCCATTTGCATCTGCTCCGCTGGCTGGAGTAGTTTGACGTTTGCTTGTTCGCATTTGCTGTGCCTCTTTGCTCTCACTGGATGAGGATCATAGAGAAGTGCACAGAATGGATATGAATGAACAGCACAATCATGCAACAGAAGCTTGACGAGCAGGTCTTGTCGTTATTAGTTTTTACAGAGATACCAATAAGTTGTTGATTTTATACATTGATTAAAACTGTCCTTCCTTCGATTCGATATGTGAAATATTAATTCTCGCTATTCTACTATTCGATAACTTGTTTAGGATATAATTTGCGATATGCATATTTTTGTATGTAGCTGAGGCTGGACAGGGTACACGCACGCGATGTTGCTGGCTAAACCCGATCCTATTGACGGGATCCAGAGCAAGTTTTCGGATGCCTTGGTCAACCCGAAACCCGATAGCTAGGCAACTAGGTGATGTGTTCATCGAACGAGATCAAATTTTTATAATTTATAAAATGCGGACATATTCATTTCTAGATCTCTCTCAGGTCTGCTAGAATTGCCTCGGTAATTAATTTATTAACCATGGACGCGATTAAATCTCTATATAACCATTTCACCATGCCGGCGCAACAAACGGTATCCCGCCAACAAGTGCGGGACTCCAACGCCCGACTCGACGCCGAGACGTACCCCCGCGTCGCGGTGTTTGTAGGCGGGACATCCGGGATCGGCGAGGCGACGCTGGAGGAATTGGTGCTGGCTGGGAAGGGGAAGTACGCGGTGAGGATTTATGTTGTTGGCCGCGCGGCTTCGGCGACTAGGGTTAATGCGAATTTGGATCGATTGCGGGAGATGAATCCCCTGGCGGAGCTTATTTGGACGGAGGGCGAGATCTCGTTGTTGAGCGAGGTTAGGAGGATTTGTGATGTGGTGAGGGAGAGGGAGAGGAGTTTGGATTTGTTGCTGGTTACGCCGGGGTATGCGCCTTTTGGTGGAAGAGAGGGTGAGTTTGAGTCCGATTTTGCCTTACCTTGCCATGCATCTTTATCTACGTGGTTTGTTGTTTGAGAGTGTATATACTAAATTTGATCACAATGCGAAGAAACGACGGAGGGTCTAGCAGTGCCCCTGGTCCTAGGATATTACGCCCGGATCATGTTCACGCAGCTTTTACTCCCGCTTCTTAAGGAGTCAACGATTCAGGGCAGAGTACTTGCGATTTTGGGCCATGGCACGATGGACTTTTTCTTCGATATCAACGACCTTAACCTCGAGAAACCGGGAAACTTCGGCGGTGGCAAATGCCAGTGCCACTCGTCTATCATGTTGACTATGGGCATGGAGCAGCTCGCTGAGGAGCATAAGGATGTTACGTTTATTCACTCGTACCCAGGGCTCGTGAATACGGGGAATTTGAACCGTGGATGGAGAGGTCATTGGTTCTTGCAGGCTCTTGCGAATATTGTTTTAGCCCCGGCGTTTTTCTTCATAGCTATGAGTATTGAGGAGTCCCGCGAGAGGACTTTGTATATGTTGACAAGTGCGAAGTATGGGGGACATGGTGTTCCGTTGGGTGGTGGTGTGGTGCCTGGGTTGACGGAACGTGGTGAGGAGACGGGAGGCATATTTCTTGTGAATCATAAGAATGCGACGAAGTCGGATGAGAAATGGATGAAAAGGATGAGGGAGAAGGCTAAGGAGAAGATTTTGACGACGACGGAGAAAGTGCTTGGTCCTTATGTGTGATCGGATTTCTTATAAAGGTCAGTACATGCATCTCACGATATTTCTCATTTCACCTTAATATGTGCTGTATGTATAGCGGTGTAGGAGGTATGAAACCGCTAAACCGGGGAGAATACAGCGCTAATATATAATATTTAGGTAATATAATACCACCAATAGGAGGCACTAGATAGTGCTGACCTAGCGAGTTGGGGTTTACCCCACAGCGCTATCTGCATTAAGATGTATCGTCATTGCTGCAGGCGCGGGGGAAGTTACAAAGCTATACCTACTCCGATCGTTCTCCGGGTTGCCGCGGGTCAAATACAACCGAATCTATTTACTATCTTTTTTTTCCCTTTCTTAAATCTAATTCTAAGATTTTAAGCATTAAAAAATTAGAGAAATAAAATTGATTAAGACAGTAGAGAAGAGGAAACTGTGAATCGTATTGTAACTCGGAAATGTTATGAAAATGTCGGAAAAGCTCATAAGCGCAGAGGAAGGTAAGAAACGAAACGAAACTTACCATTGCATCTATTTTATTACTAACCATTGCGTTGTTAGTCGTGAAGCATACCACGTCTGAGAGTTGTTGGGTGGTACTATATGGAAATGTCTACGATGTAACCGAGTTCCTCCCTTCACATCCGGGGGGTTCCAAGATCATCTTACAACTAGCCGGTCGTGATGCCACAGAAGAATACGATCCCATACATCCCCCGGGAACATTAGAAGAAAACCTCAAACCTGAAGCCAAGCTAGGCAAGATTGATCCTCAGACACTAGTCCGGACAACCAAGACAGCAGCCAAGGAAGAGAAGAAAGGTGTAAGCGCCGACGAGATACCCCCAATGGAGAGCCTCCTCAACCTCGACGAAATCGAACAAGTCGCCACGAAGCGTATGCCTGAGAAGGCATGGGCCTACTACTACTCCTCTAGCGATGACACTTTCTCAAAGTCCTTCAATAACAAGGTGTACCGAGACATCCTATTACGCCCGCGCGTCTTCATCGACTGCACCCGCTGCGACTCGAGCACCACTCTCCTAGACCATAAAGTCGGCCTCCCGATCTTCGTCAGTCCCGCTGCGATGGCACGTCTCGGACACCCAGACGGCGAAGCTGGAATCGCGCGTGCGTGCGCGAAGTTCGGCGCTATGCAGGTTATATCTAACAACGCATCCATGACACCCGAACAAATTGTCGCGGACGCGAAACCAGGGCAAATGTTCGGATGGCAGTTATACGTACAAAACGACCGCGCGAAAAGCGAAGCCATGCTCGCGCGCATCAACCGCATGCGTGACCGCTTTAAATTCATCTGTCTGACCCTCGACGCACCCGTCCCGGGAAAACGCGAGTTGGACGAGAAGCAGAACTTCAAGAACGCTGTTACAGTTGCCTCGGGCGTGAAGACTGCTTCTGAACCTAATAGACCTGGTGGTGGGGGAGTTGGACAACAGTTATTCTTTGGTACAGCATCGGATCTCACGTGGAAGGTTACCCTGCCTTGGTTGGCGAAACATACTGATTTGCCGATTGTGTTGAAGGGTGTGCAGACGCATGAGGATGCGTATTTGGCTGCGAAGTATGCGCCTCAGGTCCGAGCGGTGATTTTGTCGAATCATGGGGGAAGAGCATTGGATACGGCGCCTCCGGCTGTGCATACGTTGCTTGAGATTAGGAAGTACTGTCCTGAGGTGCTTGACCGTATTGAGGTGTGGGTCGATGGCGGGATTAAGAGAGGTACGGATGTGGTGAAGGCGTTGTGTCTAGGTGCTAAGGCTGTGGGAATTGGTCGCCCGGCATTGTTCGGTTTGGGGGCTGGGGGGCAGGCCGGTGTGGAAAGGACTTTGGAAAGTAGGATTTTTTCTTTTCTTTTTATTACCCTTTTTGGTTACTTGATGAAAGTCGCTAACGATGCAAACACGGCACAGTTCTGAAGGCAGAGACGGAAACGTGCATGAGGCTGCTGGGCGTGGAGAAAGTGAGCGAGTTGAGTCCGAGACATGTAAGTGTTACCTTCCTATTAAATATGTGAAGGAGAAGATTGGCTAATGGTATTCCCTCGCAGATTAATTCTAGAAAGGTCGAGAGAGACATCTTTGAGGGCGATGCTGGATTAGAGACCTTCGGGCTGTGGGATAAGGTCAAATCCAAGCTATAAGCTGAGTTGCCTATATGTTTAACGATTACTGTACTTGGTTAGAAGCGATTTTCTCTGTTCTTTGGTACCGTTTTGGCCTCGGATAGATCCGGCAGCGTTCTGGTTGAGAATATCCCATACAAATATTGCTCATCAACACAGAGTTCCGCTCATAACGTCACACTGTATAAACTAGCCCTGGAATAATACCTCAAGTAGTATTCGTTCGAACGATCTGATGTGTCACCATTCCCTCGGGCTCAATAGTTCAGTCCTTAATAACCCCATGGGGAGCACTCGATGTTTGCGGGGAAGGTATTCAGATCTACGCGCTATCATTATCATGACCTCCCTTGCAGCATGAAGCCTGGTAAAAATGGCTTATCCTCTCATGATTCGCGAGCCTACGAACTTATACCGGGGTAGTTACGGGAAATAGAAGAGTTAGTGCTAACCCCAGGTTCATCACACGACGCCACCTTCAAGGGATGTTATGCCCCCAACGGTCGACCCTCGCCCACTGTGTACACACCAGTCGAACAGATGCTTCATGCGAACGGGAACTTACATGTGCTCTCTTAAAATACCGAGGTGTGGCTTTGATCTACATAGTTCTCCTGATCTGATCTCTAGAATAAACAGGATAGACGGCCTCGGCTCATCCCAAAAGAGGAAGGACTATTGGTGAGGCGTCATGTCGTGTAAGGTGACTAAAATACTGTGGCTCTGTGTTGGGGGTCGAACACCGCTCAGTGCGGTTGATTTTGCCGAAATAATAAGGCCATTTTACTACGGCTAGGTAGATGGTTAAGTTGCTACTACGTGCTTGATCAGGTTTGATATGCAATAGTCAGAGTTTTATGGTCACGAAAATCGGTGAGATATCATCGTCCTCAACACTCATAGGCTTAGGTAGGTACGCCGGGACTAAGGGCCCCTGAACATGAGTTAGGTACGGCAGTTCTGCAGATACTGAATAATCCCTTGCGACAATGTTGTCTTGTAGTCACCGCAGTTTTCATAATGTTAGACTTCTAGCCTCGCCATTCCCTTCAAATTCGTAACTATCGATATTGAATTACATCTTCTCTATCCTGAAAAGAGGACCGAAAAAAGCCTACGTAACTGGCGACATGTCGAGGATATCTAACGAAGAAGGCAATGGCGTCATGCATACGGTTAACAACAACAAGACAGGAAGCGGGAACACGAAGAGGCATTGTAAACGATTTTGGTGGCTTTACTTGTTAATTTTACTGATAATCATAGTGGCTATAGTTGTTCCATGTGTGTAAGTCTTTGAAGCACATTTTTTGGCCATTGGCAGTGTTACTGATGCAGTACGGCTCCAGGTTGCTCATAGCCGTTCCCAGGATGGCCCAGAAGAAGTTGAATGAAGCCAAATTAAGCATTGATGGGATTACTGTCACCAACGCTCAAACCGACTCTCTAAATATGGCCATCAACTCGACAATTACCACAGATGACTCAACTCACGCTACCATCGACGGCTTCGAAGGTACAATGTACCTAGCGGATGTTAACCCTCCTCTAGCATTCGCAAAGATCGACTTTCCTCAAACAACGTCACACGCTCTACAAACCGTCAACATCAGCCAACAGATTCCCATCTCAGATTCAAATGCTCTCACAACATTCAACGAGCACCTCATACGGCAAGAATCTATCTATGTGATGGTTCAGGGGGACACACATGCCCACGTTCGCGGTATCTCGTGCGCATATCCAGTTACCTTCAGGAAGACGGTTCCACTCAAGGGACTTAACAGCTTCAAGGGTCTCAGTGTGACCAATCCGCACGTAAATACCGGGCAATTCGACAACTTCAATGCCACGGCTCATATCCCTAATCCGTCTGATCTGACGCTGGATATCGTATGTCACCCCCTCCTTCTTACCCCAAGGGAAAAAGAAAGCAGACTGATACTTATGACACAGGGCAACACCACATTCCACACCTACTTCAACAACACCGAAATCGGGACGGCGTATATCTTAAACGTGGTACTACGCGCCGGGATGACTAACGACTTCTTCATATGGGCCGATATCAACGAGACGACAATACTCGAGGCATTAACGCAGAGGCCTTGGTGCGAGCGCAATGGTACTCTAACGTTCCAACTCGCAGGTAAGAATGTGACGAACAACGGTCAGGCTCTACCGTACTTTGCGACTGCGTTAGGTGCGACGAATGCTAGTGTGGATATCCCAATCGGCCAGGCTGTGTGGAGTGATATTGGACTTTCTATTGCTTGTAGTGACTAGTTTTCGTTGATGGAAGGTTGTGTTGGTAAGAGAGACGACACATTGAAATAAGATACCGAGTTAGGAGCAGCAAGGCAACTAGGGATGTGCGAGGGAATATAACACAAGATCATACACATCTAGATGTACGTCTCAGCCACTTTTTCCACAAAACTTCACGCCAAGTCGGAGTAGCGAGATAGATAATGCAGTGTTCTATAGTGAAACTCCGAGAGCAAAACTCAACCCCGAAGTCCGGAGAATCCAAGGATCCCCCAGTTTACCATGCACATTCCGACCGCTTACTTCGACTCATACTCATACAAAGCTCCAGTAATTACCGGACGGCTGGCCTTGCCTCTCGCGTAGTCTTCAGGCAGCGGCGTATCAGCGAACAAGGCAAATCCATGTTCGGCTGAGTAGCGAGTGCCATGGCATGACGCCGCGTCAACAAGGGACCGAATTCGCGCGACTTCTTCAGTCGAGAGCTCTACATTAGCCGCGGCGCAGTTCTCTTCTAAAGCCGTGTTTCTCGTAGTACTAAGCACATATACCGTTAAAATTTTGTCACTATTAGAAAGGGGAATCATAAATACTTACCCTGGAATCAAAAAGATATCATCACCTTGGCTCAACAACCACGCCAGCGTCAACTGCGCGGCCGTGCATCCCTTCCCATCCGCCACGGCCTTCAGCTCGTCGACCAAAGTCATGTTCTTGGGGAAATTCTCTGGCGAAAAACGCGGGTACAGTCGGCGGACATCGTCAGGTCCGAAGTCAGAAGGGCTCTTGATGCGTCCACTCAGCAAACCACGTGAGAGCGGTGCATAACCCACGACTACGACGCCGAGCTCGCGACATGTGGCTAGAAGACCGTTTTGCGCGTCCTCGATATCTGTTGTGAAGGGACTATATTCCACTTGCACAGCAGAGATAGGATGAACAGCATGTGCGCGCCGCAAGGTAGCCGCAGAGACTTCGCACAAACCAAGGTAGCGAATTTTTCCCTGTCTGTTTAAGGTGATTTGTTAACTCTACTATATTTAGCATCAATCGAGTGCACGTACTCCTTAATCTTCACCATCTCAGCCACGATATGCTCGATAGGCGTGCTTCCATCGAGTCGGTGCGGGTACCAAAGGTCGATGTAGTCGGTACCTAGGCGCTTGAGGCTCTTCTCACATGCCTCTTTGACGTGTTCGATGTCACCGCGGAAGCCAAAACCCCCATCTCCAAGTGGCACGCCGCCGAATTTAGTGGCGAGGAAGATGTCTGAGCGTTTGCCGCTCTTGGCGAACCATTTTCCTATGAGGTCTTCTGAGTCGCCCTAATATTAAGGGATCAGGCGTTGGTGCTATGGAACGTGCGTGACGGGTTTGAAAGGGGGAGTTTACATAGAAATCGCTGGTATCCCAGAATGTTTCACCAATTTGGTGCGCATGGTCCAGTAGTGCGAGTCTTTGCTCGTCGGGCATGGGCTTGCCGTATCCGATCGAGAGGCCCATGGCGCCGAAGCCTATGCGTGGGACCTGTGGGCCATTCCTGCCTAGTGGACGCGTGGGAATGGATGACATGGCTGAAATTCGAGTAAGATGATAAGTTGAGCGGGAACTGGATAGTATATTGAGTTTTGGGGATGACAAGAGGGCCGTGTTTAACATTTGCGATTAAATTTAGTCTCTACTTATAGAAAAGAGTTCATGGCTCTGATGGGATGGCGGATCGTAGAGTTCATCCCATACGCCCCGCGACCGTCTCGCGTAGTCCGCTTTGTGGGTGCGGACTTGGGACGGAGCTGCGGAGTTGTGGCGAGTTTGAAACCCATGGCGACAATCTCGATATGACGTATATCCTTACGCTAGGGTTCGTCTGCTTGTTTCGTCGCAGAACATTTGCATCTCATTGACACCAAAAGACCTAAGGGGGTGAGGTCAGCTCTCGATGAGGGTGGTTGCGGAGTAATTTGATACTTACAACGCCAGGAAGAACATGGCGAAGTCGTCAATATCGTCTCCTGTTCCAGTCCGCACGAATTCGTCAAAGTCGAAAGCGGATATGATCCACATAGGCTTTTCTCTCCATGCTCTAAAGAAATCTAAGGGACTAGTAGCCTTCCATAGATGTTTTGATAAACTCCATCGATGGACATATTTCCAGTACCCAAGATCGGTTATACCTAGGTGTTCCCGGGATGTCAGTGGAGGAGCTGAAGTTTTGCGACCTAGGGGTCCTACCAGCTACCCTTCGTCCTTTCAGCAAGTCCCAGAGAGCTTCGAAAACAATACATATGAGGTACGTCCTCCTAACGCTTTCCGCAAAGAACCAACGCTATTCATAATTAGCACCTACAAACACTTTGGGTGCATGCGGTTATCCTCACTTCCCAGGATTCAGGCGGCTTCTTGCGAATCTCGCCATCATCTAACTCGGCAAATTCTTCAAGATTATCTCTCAGTTTTACTAGCTCGGCATTCCAGGCCGATAATAGTGGTAAATCATTATCAACTTGTTGACCAAGCGTGATATCACCGTCAAACATGCGAATAGTTTGGTAAGCAATAAGAGCATGTACTCTCGCGAGCTTCTCTAAAGGAGTAAGTGCCGTACCACTGGCAGTTTCTTTGAGAATGTTGATGTTCTCGTGTAGGATCCTCAGAACAAGGCCACGAGTTGCCTCTGTCTGGTTCTTGTAGATAGCACACGTCGAGTAGGCTTGTAAAATCCAACGAGGCGGGTTTTCTACGTATAGTTGGCGATGCATGTATATAGTAGAATTTTCTTGGGCAAACGTAGTATGGAAGTTTTTAAAGACGTTTACTGTATAAGAAATTCTGGTCGAAGTGTCGGATAGTTGCCATGGAGCGTACTCATCCTACAATCGTAAGCATCGATGTAGGAGAGGGACTAGTATCCCAAACATAGACTTACACACATAGCCCACATTCTCGTGTAATCCTCCCGCGACAATGATTTACCTGTTGGTGCAGACGCCACTTGCGAGCTTTGCCTCAAGAGGTCAAATGGCCCGGGGGTTTCACCAAATCCATGTTGTGCTATTGAATCCAGTAAAGATTCAAGAGTACTGTCGATCTGAAGTGGCGGATCAGATGATAGATTCATTACTTCCGTGCTGAATGTGGCGGATAGTTCGTCACCATCTAACGTAGAGCCATCTCCACAGGAAGTGGACGAAGGTCCGGAGAATGAGTCTAGGTTCATCGAAGCATCTAGTGAGGAGTTGTACAACTGCATATCCAACTGTCCACCGTAGACACAGAGATAACGCTTTTTGGTGCAATTACTACAAGCTGGTACCCGCTTGTCACAGCGACGTTTGCTTCTCACACATGCATTACAGCTCTTTTGTCTTGATGCACCACCGCTAGGAGCCATTGGTTCCACTATGAAAGAAATATGATGATAGGTAATTCTGAGGGCTGACGGTAGAACTGAAATTGTCGCGTGGGATATTGATACCGTAACAGTGGAATAGAAGCAAGTTCTGTCTAGTCAAGTATCGTACAAGACGTGAATGGCGGAGGCTAAGTCCTGAACTCCGCAAGTCCGCTGCCGGCCTCCGCAGGATCCGCTGATCTAGACCTCAGAATTGAAGCACAACGAATTACTTAGCGGACTTCATCACTAGAGACTCGGGCAATGTTGAACGAAATATTAAACAGGATTGAACTTTTACAGAATTATAATAATCCTCAATACCTTACCCCTATCGCAATTCTCAATACCAACCTAGATGGTTCTAAAATTCTGCGATGAGAATCGCGTTCGACAAACACTACAGCTACAATTAATAGCACATTGTGAAATGTATCACGGTTTGCTACTTGCTAACAAGGAAGCTTCGATATCGGATACATTTAATATCGCACTCTGTATACCAGGAACTTATTAGTATCGACGCCTAAGAGAGCCCTCGACTTTTACACACAATTGATAACATTTTATCTATCCCAATAAATTGTCATTGGCTTCAAGTCGCCCTCCAATCCCCTGTGTTGAGTGACGACAATGGCAGACACCAAGGCGTATTGCAGTTGCGACACTTGTCCGCCATCTCCCAGGTACATAGCCCAGTATCACTCATGACCAGCTGGAACGTCTTGCAAAAACGCCATTCGTTCCCCTGAAACCGTTACACCAGATTCGTCCCGAGAAAGCCACGGCGTTGGCGTCACAGCCGATTGTCGCAGTGATTCCAGCGCGAGGCATCATTGTTTCAGTGCTGAAGAGGAGAAAGGTAAAAGATTGGCTTAGAAGGGGGCAGAGAAGCATGCTGGAATGAGACATTCAGCCATCCTAGGTACGTGAGGACTGACAGGTAATATATGATACAAGGCTTTTTCGGAATTGCACACTTGGAGACATATATGAGTAAACAGAAAAACATTTATACTTGAGATCGTCTCAGATCGTCGGCACATAAGAGCCGCGAAGACGGACCACCTGGTCGCGAATTCCTGCCTATTCAAGATCTAGATTCGGCCGTCGAGCGGTAGAGCGGGTGAGTGCTTTAGACGGGAACCGGCAGACTTTTCAAGCAAACTCAGGCGGACCAACTTGTCACAACCTACCTGCCTAATAACTTATTTACTGTTCACATGAGAAGCGTGCCATCCGTGTCCGAGACAGACGGGTCTTACGCTGTGCCATGTCGGATTATCGCATCAGATCGCGCTATCTCGGGGCTCTGGAAACGTGGTATCGAGGGTACAGAATCAGCTGTGACTCCTGAAGCCCCATGTCTGGTGTGCCCTGTCTCACTGTGCTAGCCCCGAGAGTTAGGAAGAATTCCGTCCGACTGGACTGCGCTGCGCAAACGTGGCGAGACACAAATTGGGGGTGCGGAACTTATGTGACAGATGGGGGTGTTCTTTTTCTCGCCAGCATCTTCCCTATGAGGAAATATGCAAGGACGTGTGTAACGTGTCGTCTCTAGGATAGGTAGATCTACTGACAAGTGCAAGATATTGAAACTACCCGGGGACACTGAGGATCGTTGGACGAATTCCGTGCATATCTGGTTCGCATATTTCTTTGTCGACAGAAACGCATGTAAGTTGGGATACGTACGTGCTGTAGGATTTTGGTTCCCTTCTGGGGGGCTAGGATTTAGCGAGACGTGACAGTACTACGATGCGTTGCTGACAATGAGACTATTGGACCGGCTTGTGTGATGGGAAAGTTACAATTCGTACTAATCAGTCTCCCCTGGCGCTAACTATTGACGGGTTGAAAATTTGCTAGATGAGTTCCAGTTGAATATCCCGTGCAGCCGAATGATTACTATCTCTTTGAGACATCTTGGAGGCCTTTGGATCCAGAGATTTGGTTTATCTAGGTACCAAAGCAGGTAGGTGGATAGTGTATAATGACGTCTGCTTAGGTATTTGCGCAGATACCTAAGCGAGCATTGGGGGTCCTAACATTCAGTATGACAAGCGCTTAAGTTCCTAATTATCCTGTAGTAAGAATCGTCTTACCGCCGTACCTTATTACCTAAGGGAGCAAGGAAGCGAGGAAACGTTCCTGAGGAGCCTCAGTTTGAATATTTTCGGGTCTGCGGCGCCCCCGAGTAGTGGGTTAGTGGGTAGGCCAGTAAGCACGAAAGCTGACGACAGAACGTGGGCGGCCTATAGGCGGGTCCGCGAAACCAAGACCCAGGGGCCAGTTAGTTCCGGCTAGGATACCGATCTTTCAGCTCGTGGCATGCCCGTACGGCCTGCATCTATATAATAATATTACACCGCAGTTGGCCAAGCTTGTTTGAAGGATCAAAGAGGTTACCTGCCCTGCGGATTTAGTACATGGTACGACAAAACGACCATGGTCCCAGGCGTCAAGGTGAATTGTCCCCCTTCATACGTACGAAGGCCCTCGAGAGTTATGCGACGCAACGGAATGGTCCCCGACGGGAATGGCGCGCCGATCTCTATTCCTTCGGCGATATCTAGCGGGCCAAGGTATATGTTTTCAAAGACATAAACTGTTAGATTGCTATGAGATTGCTGAAAGACGAGCATCGATCGTTATTCTTCTGGTCTTGGTATGTTTTAAACTACTGCACATGAAGCCTAGAGGCCGAGGTGAACGAGAACGATGCAAGGAAGAAAAGCCACTAGATGGTACTAATCGACTTGTGATGCAATGGTGATCCAGAAGGAATTGGCTTGGATTTGACGAAAGGGGAAGTTGCTGCACGGGGATCTCCCGCGCAACATCTAACTGCCTACATACACGTGTAAGTAAGGCCTAACTAGCAGACAGGGAGGCGCGGCTATTCTCTGAGGCCTATCCGGAAAAGACGAGTCGATTTGGGTGGCGTTGACGTATACGATAACCGTAGACATGGGCAGGGGGCACGGCAAACTCCAGAGGATGAAGATTCTATTGAAAGATCGAAGCACCCGTAGTAATACGATGGTGGCTGAAGTTATGAACGCTGTATTTAATGTATTAGGTGGTCATCGCGGCGCGGTTTATTTCGGTCGGGGAATTCAAAACACTGTGTACACAATAATAGCTTCGTACGTTATAGTATGTAAGGCTAGATCTCTTGGAACCCCCACAACTTAGCACGTGCATGATAAATAGATAGTTGCTATAGGTATACTATACTATTACTTAGTCTCGTGCGAAATATGAATTACGCAACGTTGGGCGAGAAAGGGGTTTAGATCGCGTTCACCATCTCCAGTAGATCTGTATCCCGTGCATCGATCAAGAGAAAAGCAATAGCCACAATGGAGGTGTACCTAACTAGGCGTACAGCGGCGAAAAACTGATACGATGAAAAATAAAATAAAGAATGCTGTATTTTCTTTTCTCGCATCCAATAGTTTGGCGATCCATTTACCAAGACCCCAGCCCGCAAGCGGCTGGTATGTATTTTAACACCTTTCCAAGAGTAGGTCCGGTGGGTTGAACGTTTAGATAATCCTTACAGTAGCTTAGATAGTTGAAGTCGGCACTGTTGCGAGCGTCCCCGTCGATGTAAGGAGGAGTTAGGTAGCTTTCTACATCGAATTTAATACGTCGGTTAGAGGTAGGTAGCATTATCGTTATTTTTTCTTCTTTCTTTTCCTTCCCTAGTGCCGGCCCGAACAGATCATATACACTAGAACACCCCGGATGACCTGATTTTCCCCTTTATAGTCGTTGTGGTAATAAACGTCTTCCGGTTTTATGTATGTTGTAGACTCATGCGCCGCCATACCCAGGTACTGAGCGCTATGGCGAGCCTAGTGTAAGTTACTATAACTTTTTCAGTAAATGCTGAAATGCGTTTCATTGGTAGAAGCTGCTGACAACACTAAGGCTGATCGTATCCTTGGAGAAGGTCTTGGCATTCTTTGTCCATAGGTACAGTAAGCAGAAAAGGGTTAATAAGTTACCTATATAAGGATAGCGTATAGGGTGTTGGGTGATACGAGGAATAGGCTCTATAAAGAAAGAGCATACCTATTTGGCAAATGCTTCTTGACCGAGAGGAATTTCTCCCTGAGTGCCATGGAAAACTAGACATACGGTACCGTAGCATAGGGAGATATGTATACAATCACGAACCTGGAGGCTGGCAAGGGTTCGAACCACGGGCCACCATGAGGCTTTGCCTCCTAATATCAGATCTGGGGGCTATCGAATAATAGCTCGGCCAAAAAAGGATAGGGAACGGCCGAGCCAGGACTTGGATCTTACTCCCGAAATGACGAGAATCACCGAAAACCCCTGCCTCATGTTAGCCTTACTACTGCTACCATGCTACCACCATGTACAGAGGGACGAGCTTGGCGCCCGGCGCAGGGAATCAGGGATACCGGCGGGGACGCTAGTAAAGGGAATTTTCCCTTTAAAGCGTAGGAGGAACGTGGCATGCCGCGTGCCGCGCCCACATTCACACGAAGTTTGGGGGGGAAAGGGATGGGGAAGACCTGCGAGCCTAAACGGAGCCGGCCATGTCCCATGAAAGAGAAGGGAAAAAAACCTTCAGGAGGGGAAAGAAGGGGGAGGAGTGGGAACCACGATCACCGTTATCCGCCTTGCAGACATGGAACCTAGACCTAATTATAATTGGTACCGATTTTTATCATACATGAAGAAATCTCACTGGCCCAACTTCTACGGTACCCTCCTGTAGGCTATCACATAGGTCGATTTACGTTAGAAGTGCCGTTGGCCCCCAGATTGCTTAATGAACATGTTATTTCAACTGTCGATATGTAGTCTTACATCATGGTATAAAATCCACTGTAGCCTATATTTACGTGGAATGTCTCTAAAAGCAGGTAAGAAAAAGACGAAGGAACAATTAGAAGAAGATGAATTCTTCTTGTACATAGTAGAGATGTGACTGACTCGAGTTGGTGTGGAACGCCGCCAACCACGTGGAAATCTTTTCTACCTACATATACATATAGACATACTATAGATTCGAACTAATCTACGTGTACTTTGTGTACTTCATTTGTACGATGCATTGAATGGGCAAGCATTAGTACTGTATAAAGCGGAGAGGAGTGGCTTTAGTGAATGGCCTCCACCCACCCCTTATACACAACATGCATACAGACCCACGAAGTATATCGAGTTGTACAGCTTTCTTAGCTTCCTATTCGCCCAAATGAGAGGGACCTGGGTAAGGTCTCACCCAAGACTTGCATGAGGCGCGGCAATTCTGCAAGACAAACAGATGCTCCCTTGAGTAGCGATCCGGACACTGTGCCTATGCCTTTCATATCTCCCCTACCATACTGCCATAGTGCTCCGGGAAGTAAGAACAAAAAAGAAATCCAACATAGTAGTAAACCGGTGCAGCACACCGAAAATGAATTATGATAAGATGTCACACCGACCGATGACAAGCGGCAATCCGAGATGGCGTGTGTCTTCCCGTCATGTTTGTGTGCTCCATCCTTGGCGGACCTTCCGTGATAGGTCTATTCGTCCCAAGAATGCAAGACGCTCGTGTAGAAGGAAATCGCTTGAGGGAGCGAGAGAATTATTATTCGCCGGAGCACCACCATATTACCTCTCGATAGGCATAATTCAATATAGTGCTTTTTATCTTGGATGTTACGGGACGGGAGGAAAAAAGCATACCTAGGTATATAAGATCATATATAGGACCCTGATGATTTGTCAAACAGGGACGAACCATCTTTTTAAATGAAGGCCGTTTAGGTATAGCCCTTCATTTGACTAAGGCTGACAAAGTATTTCCATAGCAGCTCTCGTGCATGTTATCGTATTGTTGAGTTGGCGATATAGTTAGGTAACAAAGAAACTACTCAATTGCCTAGCTAATGTAATGCTTTTCCTCCGGTTTATACAGTAAGGCGAATAGGCTCCATCAATGAGACGAGTCCATGACCAAGCACTTAGGCAGACGTCGATCCCGCGCTTTTAGCCCGTATGAGGAGCAATTGACTTATCCCGAGACAGTTATTTCTAATGAATAAAGGATGAATACTTTGCGCTCCAGTATCTTCTTCTTTGATGCGCTATTGGTAGGCAGGTAACACCTCGCCAAGGCGATGTAAGAAGCCGTAGCTAGCTTTTCCAATTGTGCTGCATTGGGTTCTTTCGTTTCTTATGCGGTGACTTCACTTTGTTTGCCATATTACCATTGTAGTAACTCAGCGTCTCCACCGCTCATGAGAGGGGGCGTACATGCGTTATGTACGTGTGCATGTGTATATATGTACTCTATAGCTAAACCGGTGGAGAAGCTTGTTTCTTTCTCTTTGTAGATCTTGAGGCCTGTCTGCCTTGTAGTGTGCGACGAGGTCGGCAGCATGGGAGATCCTGTCCTATGTAGCAGCCCTGCGAGCGAGCTACACGATCAATTCATCTTTGACAGGTCGGTCGGAAAGCTATCCATTGGCAACGCACCCCGCATAATTCATGGTATATGCTGCTGCATAACACGCAGTCGACAATTCGCCAACTAACACATGGGAGTGTATTAGGTCTAGTCTCTCGAGACCAGGCTAGCGGCTAGTCGAGCTACTAAATGGCATTATGTGTGTGTGTGTGTGTGTGTGTGGTTAATATGCACCTATACCTCACGTGGCGGCGGGAGGATCGTGGATAGCCAAGGTATCGTAAGAAGGCTCCAGTAATAAACAACACATAATAGGTAGATTCTTCCACCACAGCGGATCCAAGCGAATTTGTCGGCATGTACTATGTGTACTTTGTAAGGATACTATATAAGAGGTAGGTACATAACCAAACATAATAGGCATGTTAGTGTATGAAGATACTTACTGACACTTGTTCGGGCATTACTTCTTTTCAGGGACACCGACGGTAACGTAGTTGTACATGATGCTTTACATGCATCCTAGGCTAATTGATAAATCCAATACTAGTGTAATCCGTAGCTCATTTGAGAATTGTGAAAGATTGAATAGAAGAATACATATTTGCCTATGTATTTAGGTACCCCAGGTATAGATCCCTTCTGCATATATCCTTCATAACGGCTCTGACGGCTCTCATAGTATATTGGTTTCGATCGTAGGCTTACCTGACGTATGATCTCACCTGAAGCGTTTGAATGCGTTTGCTAGTTTATTGACTGCCGGTTATTCCTTGGTCAGCATATCGTTTATTCCGACTGTTGGTCAGTAAAATTTATGAATATGGAATCCCGTCATACGCTTAGCTGTTGCTTGATGGTTTGGAAACTTTACTACCGAAGTAAGGATTTCACGATATCTAGATCTTTGTCATAAAATCCTTTACCAAACGTTCTTGTAGAGAGTTTCCCCGTACAACATCGGCGCTCCAGGATCTTGTTACCAACCGCACTGGTATCCGTTATTGGGCACCAGATGGTTCCAGCACGAGCCATTAGACAACTTGTGCTTTTACATGGGACAGGCTTGGATCTCTTTCTCCCCTATCCTTTTCCCTTCAAGTTCGCTTCAATTGCCCAAGCTCGTCCCAGCGTAGAGGGAGTCCTTGTAAATTCACGGACTCAAACAGGCCACCAGTTCCCTGGACTCGGGCAGTAGACCCGACCCGCTATGATCCTCGTTCGCTCGCTTGCTCTCACACACAGACAACTCTCGTTTTTTTCTTAGTTTGGATCTTAAGATGGTTGAAGGAAGAGGAAGAATTTAGAAGCACTAGCATCCCTCATCCTTTTTCTATTCTCTCTCCTTGATTCTTATGATTCGGCCTTTCCGGTTCCAATTAGATAAGATATCATCGAATAGAAATAAGAACTATTTAGATACCTAGGTACATATACTTCGTAGAGAACGAGAGCCTTCTTGCTGACGCTCTATTTGTCCTGTTGTATTTCGGTACCTAGTCGAGTTCGTTTCAATTAGGAATTTGGTTGGAACTGGAGTGGATAGAAGAGGTACTCTCTACTTTATTTGTGCATTTGATTGAAGCTAGAATACATAAAGTTGATACAATACCTCTCTGTGCTTATATGCGTGCTACCTTGCTAAGTACTTGGATACTTGACCCATGCAAGGTATCTCATGTACAAACATGGGATGGCATGTACATAACTTCGGCCACGGTGCCGCTCATGGTCCTGTATCCACTTTCCATGCACATGGGCAGAAGGGATCCCTGCTCGACCTTCCTCACATGTGCCCGGTACACTACGCGCCACGAGGAAAAAGAAACAGAAGGCGGCGCATTAGTGACACGCTAGTCGGAAATCGATGTGGTCGTAAGTACTGTATACTCTTACTCCGAGTATAGTCGCTAGCGATCTTCCTGGAAATAGCCATGCGACAAAAAATCCTTAGTTAAAAAGCCGGACGCATCGTCCAGTGTATTAGAATTGGGCTATGACTTATGTACCGTATAGGCGGCTTGGCCTTTTTTTTTTCTTCTTCTTTTCTGCACTACATATGTATGCTCAATTGAATTGCACGTCCCCGTCTATACTAAATGCTCGTCTAAATATCTACTGAGGTACTTAGATACTTACGTACATAAGTGCTTCATGTAGGTACGTACCGACATACCTAATACATGTATGCACTGCATGTTTCTTTCGTAGGGATTAGGGGACTAGGGTAGGTACGGGATGTACAGTACCATCGAACGTACATCAACCGTACTTACCTCCTACATGATGTACATATATACGTAGTATGGTAGTAGTATGTAGATTATGTGTACATAGTTTAGGAACAATAACCAAGGTAGGAATGGTCGTCCTCTCGGCTCTTTTTTTTCACCTGCCATTTATTTCTCTTGCAGTTCCTCCACGCGCGCAACAGGGCCGCTCCCTCCTTCGATTCAACAAGGGGGGGGCTAGTTCCTTTTTTTCCCATTCTCCCATTTGCTTTCAATTTTCAGAAAGCTTCCTCGACCCCCCCCAGTCCCACACCCCCAGTCTAAGGTCCCTCCAGGCCTCTTCCTTAATTCAGAAGAGACTTTAGACCTTAAGACTTTAGAAAGATACACACTCCCCCTCCCCTTACACTTACACACACTACGATACACACTACTACTACACTACTACTACTCTCACATTTTACACACTTGGGGTTACCAACGGGGGCCTTGTCACTTTTTCTACTACTTACATAGTATTGAGCCCCGTGCTGACTTGGGAACTTTTGAACTGGGGGGGCTATGTGATCTTTTCCTCTGACATACATACTGACACTCCTAATTATTAAAAAATTCCCATTTTACTTCCTTTTTCCCGTTTTCCACTTCCCACACGTCTAGATCGAAGTTCTTACAACGTAGTTCCTTAGATGCGCATCTTCGTTATGCCATATGTTTGCGCTTGGGTCTTGGTATCAGACACGCTCCTGACGCCTCGCGACCCGTCATTTTAGTTTGCCCATCGGCCTCTTTACTATTATTTGACTACTCTTTACTACTCCTACTACTTTGATACTACTACTACTACTATTATTATTACTACTACTACGACTAGGTAGTTAGTTCCTCTTGTTTTTTTCACCCTCCCGCGCTCGTTCTTGCTTTTTGGGTTTATCCGCCAAGTTCAAAGCTTTCGACGATCCCGTTGCGCCTGATCAGCAATTGGACTTCTAGTCGTCAATGCTAGTTTCTCTGATCCGTTCGCCAATGTAAATCGCATTGGACGTCTCGTCCTAAGTCACCCGCCACCGATTCACCTGTACTAGGAAGGACGAACTAGTTCCTATACCACGACATTACCACGTCCGTCCTCGCGCGCGTCCAAACTTCTTCAACACTTACCGTGGCCTTAACGAATATTAAAGTAGTCTTCTGACATCTTACCGTCTATTTTAAAGCCTATAAAGCCTCGATTCATTCTCCAGCTCATTTGTAGTCTAAATCAAATACTCCAATCTTCAAAAATGGCGGAACAGCCTCGGCCAGCGTCGCAGAAACTCCCAGCTGGGCTGGCGACAGTCCTAAATGCCCCCGAGGAAAACCGTGATTCGGCATATTATTCAAGCACCGATGCTTCTAGCAAACGTATGTAATGAATCCTCTTGCTATGCCGTTTAAATGGAGTTGAATGGTAAGATTGTTAACTGAACTGTGACTGTAGATACATCGGCTGCCTCCGGCATAGGCATCAATGTATACCATTCGGTACAGGACAAGACTCCCTCCCCGACCACGACGACACTAGTACCCCAGCCATTAGTATCTCCGTCGAGTAACATGAGTGTGGCGTCGATGGTGTCGCCAACGACACCGGGCAGCGGACGTTTTGAAAGACCTCAATCATTAGACTCTATACCAGGTGGATTGTCGATAGGGGGAGCCAGTATTGGACCGGATTCTCGACGGGAGAGCGTTGACAGCAGGATTAACCAGGGCTTTGGCGATTTAAGGTTGGGTGGTGGTTCTCCTTATGCTAGTCAGAACCAGTCGACGACATCAATCCACGGGGCCCTAGCGCAGCAGCGGAATCCCCGCGTGGGGATGGACCATCTCTCCGTACATAGGATATCAAATGGGTACCAGCCTAATGTTGAGCGCACACCTGAAGGGCAAAATCCCAAGGCTGCTCGAACAGCACCGGCTATTACTGGTCCCGCCACGAGCACTATCGCGAGAGCCGCGGAACCCACTAAAGGTCAGGCCTGGGCCTTCCCAGAGGATGAGGTGGGTGTGAGCCGTTTGCCTTCTTCAGTTGGCAACCACACATTCTTCGATTCGAGACGGAGTAGTATTGCGGAGTCAATTGCTAGCAGTCAATTTACGACTGAATCTCGATTACCCCCGGGACAACGACGACTTGATGACGGCCTGGCGCCAGACTTCCAGCAAACAATTCATCATCATACACTTCAACACAAGCAGCTTTCAGATCTCCATAGTGAGGAATCGAGCCCCCATAGCGGTAACCAGCCATACAGTAGGACGCCTGAGTTGCGACAGAGCCACAAGCTTGCGGAGCGGAAACGTAGGACAGAGATGAAAGAATTGTTCGATCAGTTGCGCGAGTTGATGCCACAAGAGAGAGGATCGAAAGCTTCCAAGTGGGAGATACTCACGAAGGGTACGTTGCACAATTTGACTCGTAGACGTACCGAACTAATTTCATTTTAGCCATCGCCGAACACCAGAAGCAAACCGATACCATCAAAACTCTGTCAGGGCATTGTCAAACAGCTATACAAGAAGCGGATATGCTACGTCGCGAACTAGACAGGATGCGCATGGAGAATGCGCAACTACGCGGAAACCTACCAGGTCTACCACAAGGTCAGGGCGCACCGAATCAACCTATGCCACCACAGCCGCCAACGGACCCTTATGGTCGTGATTCCTATGGCGCACCGCCTCGGCCAGAACTACCTCCTTTAAGGGCTCTTAATGGACCAGACTCTATGACTGGTGTCCAGTATGAAGGCCAGAGGCCCAACGGATTCCAGCAAAATCGATTCTAGTAAGGATGCGACTACGATCATTCGAAAACTTTCTTTTGTTGTTGTAAACGTGTTATACGGGAGAGGCAGCCATAAAAAAACTAGAAACTTTACGCTTTTATATCGATACCCCTACGAGTTGACGGCTACTATCACACTCGGTTATTTCTAGTTGGGCTGCCGACGAGCACCTAACGGAACTCAAGGCGTACTCGGACTTGGTACAGAGGATACTTTGTCGGACTAAGGTTATTATCTAGTGTTTTGTTATTTGGGCGTTGGTGAAAAACCGCGAGACGGGATGGCTTCTGGATTCCTTCTGGCTTACCGATGATTGCTAAGGATTTGGCCGATCATTGATCAATTATTTCGACCTTCGAATTTCTAGTGCCTGGGGAATTCTTCTCTTCGGTAATCCTAAAGAGGAGAGTGGTGTGCGCAATTCTATTCTTTTGCAGCTACCAGCTAGAGACGCACTTTAGAGGACAAGCAGACTCGTAAGAGTTTCGCTTTGATGCACTATATTGCATCTGTCTTAGTCCTAGCGTTGGGACTGCTATAGTGTGTATATATGCATATATACCCGCCGTTTTATTACACGGCTACATTCATGTCACGATACAGGGCTGTTTGAAATTCACGAGGGTTGCTATCGATGGGGCGATACGTCTGGGACGGGGTAGGCAGAGGGATATCGTGGAGACAGGGAAAAAAATGGTTAAGGGGGTTGCTGGCGGGAGTTAGGACAACGTGCAACGATCCTTTGAGAGTCGATCACGTACCCAAGGGACATCGGGGTTAGATAGAGTATAGCTCGGAACAATCAATACGTGAAATACCTACCTTACCTTGCAAGATTGGCCTATATTCATTCGGTGTAAGATGGTGGGCTACCAATTTCGCAGCCTACATGATGTATGTGTCTAGAGTAGGTATATGGCTGTAAGGCAACCTAGGCATCTGTACCTAGGTAGAAGTAGAGGCACTTATGACTCGATGCCGACGCCGAATTTCAAGGGCAATCATAATATTTTATTTTAATTATATAAGGCGCAGGTATCTTGCTTGTATGTGTAAGAAAAAGACAACCATTTTAGTGACATTTTGGTTATTGTTCCGACTTATTGGTTGATAAGGCGTTATCGATATGGGAAGTTATTAGTAAAATTTGAAGTATAGTGCGTACCATTTCAATCAGTCTAGCCTTATTCGTACTAGCGTGCTCGGGACATTGAATCAATGGAGCCGAAATTTTTTTCTGTTGTTAAAAAAACTATCGAAATTCTTCAAGTGCTGCAATACTACAAGCGACACTTTAATTTACATCCTCGTGAGAAGTTGAAGTACCCGCCTGTCAAACAAGAGAATCAATTTGTTTTCCCTCAATTAAATATCAATTCTCTTCATCATGTAAGAGCACCACCCCCTCGTCAATTATATTACGGTTATTACGGACAAAAACTAATATTTCGGACTCAATAGGCATTCCCTCCGTCGCGCAGCTGCTAGAGCAGCGTGCTCATCCTCCATCGCTGCCGTCGCTGTCCCTCGACAGCAGGTTGCTTCCCTTGCCATGCGCATGGGAAGGGCCAACGCGAAATCCGCTACTGCGGTGCTACCGCTAACCCGCTACTTCTCGCAGACGTCGCGGATGGCCAACGAAGAGTCGGAGAAGGTCGAAGAGGGAACTACCACTCCGGCCGAATCGAGATCTAATGCTAACAGAGGCCATGGCATCTATGTCTCCAATATCAACTTCGATGCTACTGACGCTCATCTTCGGGAGGCGTTCGAAAAGTTCGGAGAGATTATTCAGTTGAACTTAGTTCGGGATAATCGTGGTGTCAGCAGAGGGTAAGTGAAAGCACTAATTCGTTTTCATCATTGCTGGGCTAGCTAGCACATATTTCCCCTATCGTAGTACATGGATATGGCTAACAACTTCGTAGCTTCGGTTTCGTTACATACGCTGAAAAGGAGTCCGCCGAAAAGGCGATTGCGGAGGCGCACAGATCGTTTTGGCATGGACGATGCATCCAGGTACTACCCAAAAGCGAGAACACGAGATCAGATCGACCCCGGCCCGATAACCTTCCCAAGGAACCCACCAGCTCACTATTCATTGGCAACATCCCGTACGAGACGACAGATGCAGACCTCAACCAGCTGTTCCAGGGATTGGAGAATGTAACAGACGTCCGCGTTGCCGTCGACCGTAACACGGGCTGGCCGCGCGGTTTTGCCCATGCCGACTTCACTGATGTCGAGAGCGCTATTGCGGCCTTCGAGAAACTGTCCCAATGCAAGATCGGTGACCGCGTCCCCCGCATCGACTACTCAACTCCCCGTTCACCAAGCTACTCAAACCGAAACAACAGGGGAGGGCAACAAAACGAATTCGGGCACTACAATGAATAGAGTGTGGTTGGGTGACTGACGATGGGGATGAGGTTTTTTTTTCCCTTCGGGTCGTCGGTTGCGAGTCCGGTGTTGCGCCTCTTAAGTTTACGTAGCCACGGATATATATGATGAGGTTGACGATGGGATATGCAAACTATGGGATCGGGAAACGCAGGCCCTATTTGCCTGACACGACGTGGATGAGATCTGGTCCTTAGCTTATATGTCCTACCTTCTTTAAGAGCTGGGTAATCGGGCCATTGTATGTAACAACACACGCATATTCATGGTGTAAAAGAACCGTATTCAAATTAGAGTCCCATGCGGTTGCCACGAAATGATTTCATGTATAAAAGGGACTGAATATATGACATCTCCGTTCTACTAATGAGTTACCAGTAAATTCCCGCGTTTGTTACTCATAGTTTATACACATCTATAACATGCAATTCCTAGATTTTATCGCAAACAGCTGTAAAACACTGAAGATGGGGCCCCATGCTTTCATAAACTAGTATATCAATACGTGTGTACACAAGCATAAAATATAGTTTGCATATGAAGGTGGAAGTGGCATGTTACGATGCATTGGCCACTTTCCACAGCCAAATGGAAGGAAACCACGATACTTTGGTGGGGTAAACGGTTGCCTCGGCGGGTACTGAAGGTACCTACCGGCTTCTTGCCCGCAGGGTTCCTCGGCATCTTGGGCAGCTTGGGTAGGCTAGTGCAAGTGACCTCACTGGTAGATTTGTAAAAAAACGACGGAAACAACGACTCTGGTAGCTGGGGTATCTATCTACCTAAACCTGAACCTTCTAACATTCAATGTTTCCATCTACGTAAATCATTCTTTCCATCTTCAACTACACAAATCCGTTGACTCATCCATCCTTTCTATCAGCAACTTGATTTGTCACTGCAAATTTCATTCTTGTTCTTTGCTTGCACATATCAAACACCGCCGCTTTTCCACCACCACCACTTCTAAATAATCGTTTCTACCAAAACTCAATCAACGGTTTTTGACAATAGTCAACCGCCATTTTCTTTCTAACGATCACAATCCGTCCTACCGCGAAACCTTATTCTTTCCGTAAATTAACGGTTGCCGACCGGTACATCGCTTTCCATCATGTCTTTTCTCGGCGGACCCGAGTGCTCAACTGCGGGCAACCCCCTCAGCCAATTCACCAAGCATACCCAAGAGGATAACAGCCTCCAACGGGATCGCATTAGGAACGGGACTCCCCAGGGTGGTGTAGGTGGTTTTCGCAGTGCCGCGCAGCATGGACCGCAAGATGAGGTATGAATTAATCCAGCGACTATGGATGACAAATGCACAGACTAACAACTTAACCTTACAGATGATGAACGGTTTCCTACAACAGAACGGTCGCTTGCCCGACATGCCGCTCGAGGGCATGAATCAGATAAGATTAGATCACCCCATGCATGGCGTTCACTTGCGAGCGAACTCGACATCGCCCGCATGGGCCAACGAATTCCAACACAATCCCCAAGCTGCAATGGAGTCGGCTTTTAAGGTACCCCAAGGCACCCAGTTCGGTCCCGAGGACTACGCCAAGTTCCAGCAGATGACCAACCAAGCTACCTCATCGCGAGCAAGCCCTATGCCGTCAGCCATGCCATATCAATCCCCTATGATGGGAATGGGTATGGGAATGGGAATGAACAGCATGGGCATGAACTACGGTATGGCCGGGATGCCTATGTACGGTGCCGCACCCCAACAATTCGCAGATAGGACCGAACAAAACAAAGGAAAGGGGAAGGAAAAGGTTGTTGAGCTCGATGATTCGCAGTGGGAGGAACAGTTTAAGCAACTGGAACTGCAAGAAACAGAGACGAAAGAAGGTGACGAAGCCGCAGCACTAGAGCCGGAACTGAATAAGCTAGATGAAAAGATCTTGGAATCGGAAACCAACGAGTTCGGTGATTTCGAGTCAATCTGGAGAGGTATCCGCTCAGAAGAGGCTGCTGCGAAAGAGACGCTCGATGAGGAAGAGTGGATTGAACAGCTAGGAGATCCCAACTGGAGTGATCGGTTTGGCGATGAGCGATTCGACTGGGGCATGCCAGGCGCTAACACCAGGTTGATCGGCGACCCTGAAGTGGAGAATTATCTCTTCGAAGATGATAACCTCTTCAATAATACAGACAACCCTTTCGAGCAGGGTATGCGAATCGTGGAGGAGGGTGGCAATCTCTCCCTTGCTGCTCTTGCTTTTGAGGCTGCAGCTCATAAGGACCCTACGCATGTTGAAGCTTGGGTCCAGCTAGGCATGGCCCAGGCACAGAACGAAAAGGAGACGGCAGCAATCCGAGCACTTGAGCAGGCGAAGAAGCTCGACCCGAATAACGCACCTGCACTCATGACGTTGGCGGTCTCTTACACGAATGAAGGCTACGACAGTATAGCGTACCGAACACTGGAGCGATGGCTTTCTATCAGATACCCTTCTATCATCTCGCCTAACGATGTTTCGTCAGCTGCCGAATTAGGTTTCACCGAGCGTCAGAGGCTCCACGACCGTGTTACGGAGCTGTTCATCAATGCAGCCCGGCTAAGTCCGGATGGCGAGCATATGGACCCAGATGTACAAGTCGGCTTGGGTGTACTATTCTACGGCGCTGAAGAGTACGACAAGGCTGTAGACTGCTTCTCAGCTGCACTAGCGTCAACGGAACTGGGTGCATCGAACCAACAGGGACAGGTACACCTGTTATGGAATCGCCTGGGCGCAACGCTGGCCAACAGCGGCAAGAGTGAAGAGGCAATCGCGGCTTACGAGAAAGCACTAACGCTGCGACCTAACTTTGTGCGAGCACGATACAACTTAGGTGTCAGTTGTATCAACATGAATTGCCACGCAGAGGCAGCAGGTCATCTATTAGCAGCACTCAGTATGCACAAGTCCGTAGAGCGTGAGGGCCGCGAGAAAGCCCGCGAGCTACTAGGAGGCAAGGGAGTTAGCGACGCACAGCTCGATGCCATGACCACACAGAACAGGAGCACCAATCTGTACGATACATTACGCCGCGTCTTTACCCAAATGGGCCGCCGTGACCTCGCTGAGAAAGTATTGCCCGGTGTCGACCCAGAGGTGTTTCGAGGCGAGGTCGACTTCTAGAGGAAGTCGGTGACCAAATGGGATAGAAATGTGGCCAATGGCTGGTTCGTAACAGGTTCGGACAACATGATAGGGAATCCCGCCCTCTACTCCCAGTTGTGGAAGAGCTTAGACGCTGCAAGGAACAGGGCTAAGTATTTGAAGGTGGCAGGTATGAAGGCGGCCCTTGCTCGACGCGCAGAGTGCGAGCGTGAACTACGACTTTCACAGGATGACTTGAAATCGGCTGAACGTTTCCAAGGGGAGCTAGATAAAGGGGACTTTGAACCAGGTACGAGGCGAACTATGGCTATTACCCTCCTACCCTTCTTGAAGTCTGAGCTTAGGCAGCCAGAGATAGGTGCCGCTGAGGAGATCCGTCAAAGAGTCGAGCAACTTAATGACGCGAACCAAGAACGAAGGCGAGAAGCTATCAAGGCTATAACCTATCTAAATAAGGAGTTGGCCAGACTCGATCAGTGGATCAAAGATCATTCGGATCCGAAACGCGGTGGGCATTGCTTGTGATTATCGTGCTTTGACACGATGGATGGATGAGTGGGATGAGCGGATTTCCTCAATTATGGCACGCGAGACTGGACTGGTATGCATTGTTTAGGCGATCTAGGCGGGTCTGCATAAAATCGGGGGAGAAAAGAGACCTTAGGGGAGATGCGTTGAATTCTAGATCTTCCTAGGTATTGATGTGTAAAGAGGTAGTTCATCGAGAGTCTACTATACATAGAAACCAGGCATACATCGTCCATGATTTTATATTTTTCCCTGCTCGGTGCTAATAATCCCTTTGTGCACTTGATTACATAGTCGTAGGAGGAAAAGTAGGGGAATCGCGATAATTCTAAACACCTCAAGCAATTTACGCGGCGTTGACGATGGTGACAACAACCCGAGAGGTTACACATTATAAGATCATCCGCACAAATCGACAGATCAGATGCTTCGTATTTCCCATTCCTCGCCACAATAAGAACATCAACGTCATGGCAATTCCCCCGCCCGTCACAACTATCACATCGCCACATCGTCGCAACCGAGTCACGACGGCAAAGGCATGTAACAATCATGCCTGTATGTCTGTACCCACCGAACTTTCTGCAATTATCCGATGTCTCACAACCACATTGTATCATCTACCCGTAGACGTCAATGTGAATCATGTCTCACCACCACGGTACAACAACCTACACAATCACATGTACCACGAAGCAGAATCTACCACGACGATTCCATATACATGCAAGCACGAGCACAAGCACATTATTCCGTCGCTGAGAAGATTATACATTGAGTCTGAGACACGTTACGTAGCTATACAACGGAGAGCATCCACAAAGCGCTTTAAGCCATATTTAGAATTCCTCGTGCGATAATAGCGACACCCCTCAACTCAAAGCGCGAAAGCAAATGCTTCATTTCCATTAACCGTCAACTACCATAGTGTGCCATTTTATATGCGGCAAAAGCTTATTTTGTACAACGAAACTCCCCAGGCGAAAAAAGAACCATCATGCTACATCGGGATTAAAGGCGCAGATCATGTCTCAGTCGCTTACATGAAGACGGCACCAACGGCGAGTAGCATAGGGGCCACAAACGGCACCACCGTCTGAGCGGCGTTCGTGTTGGGCGGGGCAGTCTGGGAAGTAGACGCCGACGAAGTCTTGGAGGCGGAAGAAGCTGTCATCTTGTCAGCTAATTTTTTTCATGATAGTTGAGCACGTTAATTGGACTTACTGGAGCTAGCATGAGTGCTAGACGAGGTGCTAGAACCACTAGAGGTAGCGCTGGACGACTCAGAGCTGCTAGAACTGGTCGACGACGCACTACTGCTAGTAGTGGTGGTGCTGGAAGCAGTGGTAGACGACACAGCCGAAGAGGTGCTAGTCTTCGTGGCTGAGCTGCTAGCAGAGCTGCTGGCGGAACCACCCTCAACCGAGAACTGCTTGCTGTAGTTCACATCGGTGCCATCGCTGATCTCCAAGGCATAAGTGGTGCCTGAAGGGAGCGAGGCGGAAGGAACCCAGGTGTAGCTCTCACCAGTTTGGCCAGCTATATCTTGTTAGCGATGAGTCTGTCATTGGATTGAGGCGCAACATACAGGTGATCTCGCCGACAGTCTCGAGGTTACCAGCAGGGCCATCCTTCAAGGTGAGAGTGACAGGACCAGCGGCATCAGACCAGGTGATCTCGAAGGGCTTGCCAGCGGTGATGCCTTCAAAGTTGCTGTTGGTGATGAGGACAGCGCTAACCCAGGCCGGGAGAGCGGCGAGGATGGCGACGAGAGAGAGGGACTTCATTTTGACTCGTGATAATGGGTATCAAGTGTATTATTGAATGAATGACGAGATTATCTGGGAAGAACGAGAATGGGATTAGTAGAGTTCAAACGGTTAGAATTATTGTGACTGGCATGTAACTGGTATTACAACATCGCGTGACGTCGTCCAGATACCTAATATGTTAAACACAGCTCAGTCCCTCAGTCTCAACAATATGTTACTTTCCGCATGTCAATCGAGATCTTGGCACTCTTTGCGACACCGCGAGTAAGTAAGTACATATGTGGTGGGTAGGACATCTGAAAGTTCACCATGCCAAGTGAAGCGCGCAATATTATTATAGACGACAAAAAAAAAAAAAATAACTTACCGGTGTTGATTAAGGCACCTAGATATTAGAAGTTTGTATGGTTGAAGATGTTGATAGAAATGGATTAATTACTGCGTAACGAGCGTGATGTGTGGAAAGAAAAAAAGAAAAAAGAGTGGAAGCTGAGAATAGGCAACCGGTGGGAAAGAAATGAAGAAGGCTCATTACCCAACTTGGACTGGGACTTGGGGGCGCCAGGAAGGTACAAGGAGGCCGCGTCCCCGGAAATTGGCAATTGCAAAATAACAAGCTTGACTCGCCTACTATAGTAGCAACGGCTAAAGAAACTGACATGGTTTAACGCCCGATTAGGATTGGCGCGCACTTAAATGTGCTTAAAACTTGCAATTAAGCAGCATTTCAACGTCTTACAATGAGGTAGGCACTTCCTTTTAGGGAAATAACCGATCTTGGTTGAAGGTTCGCATGTAGATCCGTTTTCTACCAATCACACCCTATCATTACTTTTGGTCCTAGGGGGTCTAGGCTATTCGAAGTTTGCTAATTAGTCAGTGCATTCGTGCTTCAATGTTTGTACCATCTCATTTCTCAGCGCAGTTGGACGAGTACTAAACTGCTTAGGTATCTAGATAATTTCTAAATTTTCTATCCTCTCCTTTTATTACCTCTTCCAGCTCGACTGCTGACGAATTGCTACCTATGCTGACAATACTATTAAAATATAGTATAATTGTGCATTGCGTATGCATGCACCAATATTTAAAGATTCCGATGAATGAAGCATGGGCTCCTACCGGACCACCAGGATGTCCCGGCATTGGCTACATATGATGTAGCTTTCTTCATGCATTACAAGGTCTGTCGTACCTACCAAAAGTTGCATACCCGGAACATCACATGGACAGCGCCCAGATAGAGTGAAGGTTTCATTCAGGGCCCCTTTCCTTCCTTGCTTACCTACCAATCCTCTGGAACACACATAAGACTGAGCCTCATTAGGGTAGTTACTAACGGCATATTGAACCCTTGTCATGCTACAACTCTATTACATTTAGGTTTGCGGCAAGAACTTTCCTACCTAAAGTGGTTGATGCAGATGGAGGGAAGTCGCAATTCATTGTGAGTAAGGAAGTATCTATCTAGATGCATGTTAGGAAGGTACATCTTGACCGGTTTATGGCAGGATCTCGACTTGTCCAACGTGAAGCGAGCAGGCGGGGCCGCCGCAATCTCGCCAAAGAACCACTCCAGGCTCACTGTCAAGTTTTAGCAGTCTTGGGTGATTGGTTCCTGCATCAATGACCCAATTTGATCTATGTAAGGAACAGGGGCCTTCCTTGGAAATAACCCGTCCATGCAGCTTCCAAGGTTCCCCAGATATATCGATATGCATTATAGGGGATATGCTGCAGAGGAGTTCAAATTAATTGCCTTCAATGTTACTTAACTCGTCCCATCATTGTTTTACCAATCTACGCTCTTCATCATACTCATATCCTAAAGTTCGTGGTCAGAAAAATCAAGCTCGATTAGAGAAACACAATGAAAACGTCCCAAGAGCCTTATTTATGCGTTTCATTCTTTTACACCGGCTTCGTCCCATCGTTAGAGCTCATCTCTTAGTAGCACCGCCCAGAGTAAATCGAATTCAAATGTTTGCAATGCAACTTGAACTCATCTTAGCCGAGGGATTTACTCGAGAGTCCGTCTAGAGTTAATCGAATCCCATGGTGTTCATACATGAAACATCGGTTCAACTCTCAATTGAGTACATATTGACTTATATAGGCGTATCTGATGTAGTCCTTAGAGAATTCGAACTAGATCGGCGAACCCTAGTGCATCAACTTTTAAATGGAAACTCACCGATGGAGGTTGAGGTGAAGTAGCATAAAGGTGCGACCTAATCGAAGTGGCGAAATTCGCGCACACTGGTGCGCTTCTACTAAAGGCTGCCTCAACTCCGCGTACGTCATAATATTGAAGATGCTCAATCAGGATGTTCCAAAAAGCCAAACGATGGCGTCAACCTTTATCGCTCTTCAGATTGCATTTTGCTGTTAGCCCCGACAATCGTTCTTCAGTGTTGGGACGGTAAATTTTTGTCAGCGTGAATCCTATCCTGTGACTTCGACTGCCAAACTTGCGCGGGGCTAATTATCTCAGGGAATAACGCCTGGCATTTCAATATCGCCCTGCAAACACCCTATTATGCAAGTGCCTCAAGGGAGACTGCAACGGACAACACCGCGACGAACACCTTCAGTCTCTTCCCGAACCTCTTCGACGTTGGCACCCAATTCTCTGGTTTTAGTGACGAAGTCGTCCAACGAGCCACCTACGCCGAAATATAGCTTCTTAGCGCCAACCAGGGTTTCAGCAGTATTTCCTTGCGCCTTCTCCTGCTCCATGAGAGACAATATGGTCTGTGTAAATGCACTAAGCGCGAAAGGGGAATAAATAGTTTCCGCGCCAAGTATAATCGTTCGACGTTTGGATCCAACCTCTATTCCAGAAGTCGTATTGGATCCAACAAGATCAACAAATTCAGGTGACCATGCACCAGAGAAGAAAGAGAGGGAAATTCTTCGGGCCCGAAGGTATTCATCGAAGGCCTTGAGAACTTCCGGTGTTAGTTCCAGTTCTCCCTCGGAGGATAGCGCTTCCTCCAGCAGCGGTGACTCTGCTCGTTGATGGAGAGCCCAGCACAAGATGAAGTTGGGCAACGTTACGAGCTGCAGGACTGTGGAATTATAGTCGGCTAGGACTATAGAAAGGACAGAATCTCCGTCGCATGCTCGGAGACTGAGGCTCCATCGGAAGAGGGCCAATGAGGGAAGCGCAGTTCCGCAACCAAGCTATCAATTCTCAATTAGTGCTCCTCTTAGCAACGTCATGTACGACTAAAGAGCCATAAAGCGACGCGGACATACTTCGATTAACCTTGGAACAATATCCATGTCGGAAAGAAAAGTTTTCGAAAGGGAGAGGACCTTGACGAGGTCCACACTGCTCTCCCAGGACTTGAATCCTCCTTCGTAGACTCCGGTCTTAACGTCGTGATTGCCTAGTCCAGGCTCGGCATCGCCCCCGCTATCCTCGGCCATTAATTGAACTCGGACGTCCCATAATTCCCGCCGAGGTAGCTGTGTCGTACCACTGCCATCAAGATCGATATCCAAAATGCTATAGGCGATCTTGGATGGCAGCTGAGACAACATGTATTGTAGATCATGACTTGTAGCGGGGACTAGAGGTTTTCCTTGCACGGGAAACGCACTAGCTGCGGGCTGTGGTTGCACGGCTGCGCTGACATTGGGGGCCGTGGCCATAGAATTTGACCCTCCATCGTCTTCTATGTCGTCACCGGAGAACGAAAAAGAGAATTGTACGGACATATTAATTCGGTCGGAATAGTGAGGTCGATCCTCGGCCTCCACGTAGGATATCCGATGCTATAGAGTAACAAGCCGTGTAATTATTTCCTAACTGGGGGTCAATAAATATAATGCTAAGATGAATTCGCACGACACCAAAAGGCAAAGGTGCATCCTGCAAGGTCTGGATATGGATTAAGTCCCTGGAAAAGGTGAAAAAAAAGCTTAGCTTGAGGGTATATGCTAGGCTAAACTTAATGATGGTGTGGGGGATCTTCGGGCTAACTTAACCTTGGAAGGGAGTTTCCTTTCTTTTCAGTGGTTGAAAAGGGCCTATAACGGTTTATTATTTTTTTCTTATTCCTTACAGGGACGTCCACTATAAGTTTAATATGGCCTAAGCTTATTCATAACCAACCAAGAAGCTCGACGGCAATCTTTCTTACCTTCGCCTCTTCCGCGCCTTTTAAAAAACATTAATCGTATTCTTTTTTAAAAAGGGCCTTCCTCCTTCAGCTTCCCATTTGGTTCGGTTACTTCGGGATAGACGCAAGCCTCGGTGGGACGAGTGTCTATCATCAAAGTACAGTGCAGTTACAATTATGCGCAATACATGATGGGATTTGTGGAGTCTTTGTTTGTGCTTTGTGGTTGGACGAAATACGACAGATTCGCAGCCCCGTCATGATAACCAAGCATAATGAACCTATCAGATGGATGATATGGGCTTCCTAGTTGAAGAGCTTGCCATTTCCATGCTAGGTTTCCTTCTCTTATTCCATCTCTTCTGAATTTCGTGGCGAGGAAATACAATCACCAGTTATAATGAACCAGGTTATCATCCGTCAGTTAACCAGGGGGATGGCTGTAAATAAATGTTGGAAACCGCCCTTCTTTGGGCTGCAAACATCAGCCATATACGCAATCCTAAGTGTGTGTAGAGGGGCGAATGTATATATTGCAAACTTGAGTGGACAGTCACTATTTCCCCTTACATGTCTTCGTAGCTGGGAACTTACAAATTCGGGTCTTCTCTTCTACCGGTAGGCTGAGATATGCAGCTTCCTGTTACTCAACTCTTATACCGCTTCTTAATAACTCTTTCGCAACTTCTGGTTGGTCCCCCCACTCAAAAATCAACTTTCAGCTGAGTCCCTCGTTACGTCTCAAAAAAACGTACAATACGATATCTCGCCTTGTGGCTAATTCCAGTCTCGACTCGGTCCTAAGCATATAAGAAAGAGTCTAAGTCCGGAAATACAACAATATGGGCGAACTTAAGGATTTACCACGTTGAGTCTCTCTAATATCTTACCTTTTTAAGCATGACGCGCCATAGAATTTCTCGTGCGTCAAGCCATGGTATAGAGAATACCATCGTCGCTAATATTCGTGAAACAATAGCCAAATCTCCCTATACCATTCGAGAGCAACCTTTGGGAACCACGAAACATGTCAGAATCGTAGGTATTGGGGCAGGGGCCAGCGGCCTCAACATGATACGCACTATTCGAAAGAATTTGACCAACTACGAACATGTCATCTACGAGAAAAACGAAAAAGTGGGAGGAACTTGGTTCGAGAATCGTTACCCAGGGTGCAGATGTGATGTACCAAGTCACAATTATCAGTTCTCATGGCGGCCGAATCCGGAATGGTCGAATTTCTTCTCGCCAGCACCGGAAATCGAGCGGTATTTGACCAGCATATGTGAAGAAGAGCATATGATGGATACGATCAAGACGCGGCATAGGGTCATAGGCGCATGGTGGGACGAAAACCGCGGTCTATGGGATATCAAAGTCCAAAACCTAGAGAATGGGGAAGAATTTAGGGATCAAGCCAACTTCATCGTCGACGCATCAGGAATTTTAAAGTAGGGCTCAATCCCGGGCACGAAATCCGCAGAGCACATCACTAACCAATATCTCTTTAGCAACTGGAAATGGCCGGATATTCCAAACATAAAAGGCTTTCAGGGGGAGTTGGTACATACTGCAAGCTGGCCTAAGAACTTCGATTATACGAACAAGACCGTTGCCGTAATTGGAAATGGTTCCTCTGGCATCCAATTACTGCCAACAATCCAACCAGGTTAGTCAGCGAACCTCCTTTCATTGCTCCGAGTAATACCATCTAACGCCTCGTAGCTGTCAAAAAGCTTGTTCATTTCGTCCGCACGCCGACATGGATTATCCCCCCGCGGATAATGTCAATGATGGTAATGGGAGGCCCAGCCAAGGAAATCCTCAGCGAGATAGAACTCGACGAGAAGGAGAACTTCACACCTCGACAAATAGAGAAGTTCAAGAACGACCCTGCGTTTTACCGTAAATTCGTCAAAATTATGGAGAAGGATATGAGTGGGACATTCCCTATTGTACGCGGCATCACGGAGACTATCGAGGAACATCATCACTAATCCCTTTTGTATAGGTTTTGAAAGGTGGCCCAGTACAAGCATTCGCACAAGGCAAAGTCGTCGAGTACATGACTGCCATGCTCGGTGGAGACGAGAAGCTTTGTAAAGCTCTAATTCCCAATTTCCCCTTGGGATGCCGAAGAATAACTCCGGCACCGGGTTACTTAGAAGCTCTCCGAGCACCGAATACGGAAGCTATCACGGAGGGAATCGCCACAGTTGTACCTGAAGGTATCCAGCTCCTGTCGGGCGAGATAATAAAATTGGACGCCATCATCTGCGCCACAGGGTTCGATAATTCGTTCGCTCCGCGCTTCCCGATCGTTGGTCGATATGGTAACGTCCAGGACGCCATGAAATCGGAGACGCCGAAGGGGTATATGTCGTGCGCATTTGCTGGCGTACCAAACTACTTCAGTAAGTCCCCCAACCACCCTTTCCACTCACCCCAATTTCTAGCCCAGAGCCCTAACATTTGTATTTTCACAGCTTTCCTCGGTCCCAACGCCCCCATCGGACACGGCAGCGTCTTCACCCTCAGCGAGCACATCGCACGGTACATAGCGCGCATAATATCCAAATGTCAAACCGAACACATAAAATCCCTCGTCCCCTCCGACGCCGCCGTTGCCGACTACGCACAACACGTATCCGCCTTCATGCCGCGCACAGCATGGGCCTCGTCCTGTAAATCATGGTTTAAAGGCGGACGTGAAGATGGACCCGTAACAGCTCTACATCCGGGGAGTCGTGTGCATTTTTTCCATATGCTTGAGACGTTTAGGGGTGAGGATTGGGAGTATGTGTATGATGACGCGAGAGGGAATCGGTTTGCGTATTTGGGGAATGGGTTCTCGACGAGGGAGGTTGGTGAGGGGGAGGATCAGACGTGGTATTTGGATTTGGAGGGGAAGTTGTAGATACCTACCTACGGGACTGGTGATAAATAGGGCCTGGCGTGAGAGGCCTAGTTACATATTGATACGCGAAAGGGTGTATATGCTGCTTGTGATGGTATTTTAAAAGAATATTGATATACCCATCAATGAATAAGAACTTATGATAAACCTTGGGATGAGTACCTCCTTATACCTTAATTTGCCAATATATTACACTGCTCCTAGACACCATATATATATATATATATACGACGGTTGAAAATGGTATTTTATAAGAGATTTAGGCATATCAACTCCCCCCTCCCAAAGCCTCAACAATCCAATCGGCCTGCACAGCACTAACCTTCTTCGCATAACTCTTCTGCGTAAACACATGTTCCAAAAACATAATCGCCTCCCTCTTCTCCCCATGCAGAACACTAGACGGATGGATAGCTACAACATGTTTCCCCTGCACGGTGACGTAACTCGCATCCGGAGCCAGTAACGCGCATTTCGTACTAAACCCTCGCATGAAACATTTCAACAACGCCGTCCCGCGCTCCGGCGACATCGGGATAAAAGGTTGGGGATCCGGTGGTGGGGGAGAGGGGAGGAGATGCTGGGAGAGACATATACCACGCAGTTGCCGACGGATATTAAGCGCCTGTCGCAAATTCCTCATATTTATCTTGCGCTGCGCGCACCAAGCCACGCGATCCGAGTTTTCGGATGCGTAGCGTTGGATTGTGGTTAAGTACGTCAGAATATCACCCTCGCGACGGTATAATTCTTTTCGGTATTCTTCGACTTCTTCCCTTGCTTCCTCGGATTGGAGTTGGTGGAATATGTTTTCACCGCTTGTGATGCAGGCGATTACGTCGATGACTTCGAGGAGGCAGTCGAATTGGGGGTCGGCTGCTGCGAGGAGGACGCGTCCGTAGGGTGCGGAGACGGGGAAGAGGGCTAGTTTGCGACCTATGGGGGTTATGCTTCCGTCGTCGGATAGGGCGTCGAGGAAGTGTAGGTGTAATAGGGCTTTTTCGACGGATTCGAGGTCTGGGAAGTCCATCAGGGGGAAGGAGAGGATGTCGTTTATGCCGCGGGCTTTCATGGTTAGGACCGCGCCTAAGACATCGTTACGCAGGATCTCAGGTAGGTCGGCATCTTTGAGAGAACCGTATGTCTCGGATGTGTAGAGTCTGTAGCATTTTCCTGAGCCTTCACGACCAGCTCGACCGGTTCGTTGTATGGCGGATGATTTTGATATTGCTTTTGCTAATAGTGACTCGATTCCTAATTGTGATCGGAATTGCTTGACTTTGGCTTTTCCGCAATCAATTACATAGCGAACGCCTGGGACCGTGACGGACGTTTCGGCAATATTTGTGGCCAAGACTACTTTTCGTGTGAAGCCCTTTTTGGCAGGCTGGAACGCCTCTTGTTGCGCTTGAATAGAGAGTTGGCCGTATAGTGGACATACTGACAATTTCGGTACATCGGATGCTAACGTTGCACAATGTTCTTCGATAAGGCGCTGAGCAGATTCGATTTCCTCTTGGCCGATGAGAAAAGCTAGGATGTCGCCCGGCAATGGTTCATGCAAATGAATATCAAATATTCGTTTAAGAAGAGCTTCTTGGATATCGGGGACGGGATTGATTGTATGTTTAATCTCCACGGGATATTGTCTTCCTTTTATTCGGAGTAATTGAACAGCTGAGTCCGAGCCTTGCGGGTTGAAAAAATCTTGGATTTTCTCCACGTCCGCGGTGGCGCTCATGATAACCACTTTTAGGGGAACGCCTCCTCGTCCTGCATTATCGCTTGACAATATCTGCTTTAGGAACCCAGCAATAAGATCGACGTCAACACTTCTCTCGTGTATTTCATCAACAATAATCGCGCTGTATTGGCGCAGATTTGGATCCCGTAAAAGTTCCTGGAGCAACATTCCTTCAGTGAGAAACTTGATTTTCGTACCCTTTGGGATGTTATGGTCGAATCGAACTGAATATCCAACAGACCCTTCACGCGATTTCCCCAGTGGCGTTCCCATCTCCCGCGAAACTCGATTAGCGAGTGTTGTAGCTGCAACTCGTCGCGGCTGGGTAATAGCGATCATCCCGCCTACATTCACCGTATCGGACTGTATCCGAACCTTTTTCTTCTGACACCATGGCTCATCGCATAGGAACTGAGGGACTTGAGTACTTTTTCCTGAACCAGTTTCACCAACGATGAGAAGTATATTCTTGTCCCGCAAGCTAGCCTTGATCTCATTTTGATGTGTCCATATCGGTAATGCCTTGCGAGTTTTCAGCAAGGCCGGATCTCCGCTACTTTTGAATTGTTTTGAGTCTTTTGGCTCCCTTTTCTTATGAGTATCTGATTTAACTTCCTCAGCAGGCTCTTGCTTGGGCTCTGATGTTGTATTATTCGGCTCATTTTCTGATGACTGTTCTGTTGGCTGTTGTATTGGCTTTTTCTGAGGTTGAAGATATGCACTTAGATCTATCTCTTTGTTCCCAATTTTCACAACGGATGTATTATTTGTCGCCTTTGTTTTTCGTCGTTTCGACTTGTGTTCATCTTCCGCCATTTTGTATTGTGTCTTAAACTGAATTATGTTACTCCCTTAAGTAAAGATCTAAGTTGGCTTCTAATTGTGTGGTTTGGCGCATGTGTCGCAAATGAGATAGAGACGATGAAAAATTCCGATTAAGTATTGGCGCACGGACCATATAAATACAACACAACACTGTGCAAAGCTGGGAGCTAAATCTCCCCTAACGGGTAGCTCTTAGTGGGTTAAATTCAGCAACTTCAGCGGTCGGTATAGCCCTATCAACTACGCCTATAGGTGTTGCCGTTGCACCATAAGTCACCTCTCTGTCCAAGACTCATTAAGACGAAAATATTTGATATATAATGCGATGATCTATTTACATATTACTGCCCGATATGATGAAGCATAGATCCCCTTTTATGCCCCAATAAGGGTTCAACAGACGGGTGCTATGCCTTGAATATCATTCCTCATTGCCCTCTTCCTCATGCCTCTTCTGTATCGCTTTCATAAGTTCATAAAGCTGTCCCACCTGCTGGTCTAGATGCACAAGTCAGCAATTTATTCATTCCATAGAACATTAGAATACAATCAAATAAAACTAACCACTCATCTTCGCGACCTTCTCCGGATCCAACTTATCGCCAACCCAGTTATCACCTTCGATCTTCTGAGCGTAGAGTTGCCACTCCGTTAAGAATCCAATCTAAGCAAGCAGTTAGCCTTCCAATCAGGTCTATATCTGGGGTATGATGTGATACTACCAAATGCGCAGGATTGTCCACATTCCTATGAGCCCGGAACTCAGCCTTTATGTACTCGTCACCAAGCAGGCGCATATCATGCGGTAAATGTTTTCGATGCGCTCGGAATAGACGTCGATATAGAGGTAACGGCGGCAATAACGCCATAGGCGCTGGTTTTAGGCCATTTCCAGCTGTTGCTGTGGCTAATAACCTCCATGAGGGTTTCATGGTGAAATGTGGTTTCGTGGAATAGTGATATCGAATTGTCGTAATTGACTATGAACGAATTACCGGATTTTGGGCCGCACAGTGTCCGGTAGTTTTACATACGATATAACGCACCGTACACCCATTAAACCATAGAAATGAAGAAGTTGTCGATGCAGGACGTAGGGAAAAAATAGGGTTATGTTTGAGAAGAATAGTAATGCTGATAGATATAAGATATATTGACACTCTTTCCTTAATATCATCTTGTAAAATTTTTAGTTCTACGAGGTAAGCTCAATTATACTACACTACGTAGACGCGCATATAGGTTCATTCATCCATTCAGGAAAAGGAAAATGCAGTGCTATTATTCTATATCAGGATCGAGATATCGCGCACCCATGCGCCGCCACTCCTGAGGGCGTTTATAGGAACAAGCCCCTTGAAATCGAAGCTTGAAGACATGCTATAGTTCGTTCGTTATACTTCATCCACGAAGCACATGATATTCGCCCGCAAACCGAGAAAACGAGATGATCAAGCCTATTCCCATCATGCTATTGTAGGCTATAGGAACATTGTAAATGCTCTCCTCCTACTCTGCCTATCCAACCGCGATATACCCAATATTACGACTTATCTGATAGTTTTGAGTCGGCGGGTTTGTACGGCGGTGGCATCGCTCAATTTGTCGCTCTGTTACGATAATTAGTTTCACATCACAAATTAGGTATAGTGTAGGGGAGGGAAAGCTTACCTTGCTGCCGATCCTATCGATGACCTGGTTCTGGGTATCGATTTCGTTACCCAGGAGGTGTGCCAATGTGTTCAGCTGGCTAACAGATTGGGCGGTTTGCGCCATACTGTTCTCAATTCTATCCTCTGCCTCTTCATCCTCTTCATCGTCCTCGAACGCATATTTGGACTTCTCGGCAGCACTCTGCTTCTGCCAGCCGCTGTTTTTTCCACTGGCATCGACTTGTCGGAAAGCGGCTTCCATACGCTGGTTGCCTACGTATCCATCCTTTCGCGTGGACTCGCGCAATTCCCGGTCAGCACGGTTCTCGTCTAGAACCTTCTGTTCCATCTGCGCTGTCCTCTTCTTGGCTGTGAATGGGTTGCTAACGTGCACGGCGAACATGCTTCGGTTCAGACTCTTGAGCTTCTTAGTTTGTTCCTCGGCCTCTCGGCTCGAGAAACCGCCCCTGTCAATAAGAGTTTCGGTGTAATTGAGTCGTTCGGCTTGGCCACCGAGACGGGCGAGAGTCTGTGATGCGAGTTCTACTGTCTGTTGACCGATGCGCGCCGAGTTCTCTGCCGTTTGTGCAGAGGCCAATTTCTCTTGCTTGATTTGTCGCTTGATGTCGTCCACTTCGAGTTCCTCTTGCTCTTCCTCGGTAAGTTCACGTTGCTCGCCGTAGCCACCGTACTTGCTAGCGCCTGAGTCAGCGCCAGAAGGTCCAGACGCACCAGATGCTCCGTAAGCATCATTTTGTCCAGTAGTCTGTCGTTGGTCGTAACGGTCGCGGGCGCCGGAGAAGAGCGCATCTCGATTAGCATCTGTGTCATTACTGTCGGTTCGGCCCAGACCGCCGTAGCCACCAGCACGAGCGGAATTGGAGTTATTACTGTATTTGCTAGCACCGTAGCCGGAGGATGTACCGTATCGATCGTTGGCGTAGCCGCCAGGTGGACCACCCGATGGCGGAGCGCTGGAATAGGGAGGGAGGGTTGTTGTAGAAGAATAGTTGCTTCCACTGCGAGAGACAGGGGGAGGACCGCCGTAGCCACTCTGAGGGGATGGGCCGCTTGGAAGGCCGCCTGGTGCGTCGGCACGGGAGCGAACTTTCTGGTAGGGTGTCATATTGGCGAATTTATTGTTATCATTCATGTATGGGTCGTTCGCGGGTTGAGATTGAGCATAGGGGTTGTCGGATGCTGGGCCTGGTGAGCCCCTCTTTCCAAAAAGGGCGGAACGGTTCGAGTCGTCATCGCCATCGCCGCGCTTCTTTCCGATACCGAATTTCTTCATTGTGGTTCAATTTGTGTCGATTGGTGTCTTGAATTTGTTTGTTCGTTCTGGGGTTTTTGATTGATGAAGGTGGATTGATCGAGAAGAGAAGGTGTAGAGTGTAAAAGAGTGGACAAATATAAAAGGTGGTGAATTATGGGACTGTAGACACGGGATTGTCTTAGGTGTCTTAGGTTATGTTTCGAGAAAAGGAGGGGACCAAAGGGACTGTAGAAGGAGATCAACTTTATGAGAAATCATTCGTCAGTTCTGGACCGCAGCACTCTATCTAGTGGGGTATTTGCATTAGCATTAGGCGGTCAGGGGGCGGTAAGGTCCCCCTTAGCCACTACTAGTTACGCTAACTTTGCCTTAAATAGGTCCCTAACTGCGGTCGGTGGCAACCCCAACCACTAACTCCATCCCAACTAACAATAGCTGACAATGCAGTCGGTCGCACTTGCATCTGCTCGTATTCAATCATACCCGTAAATGTAACACGTACCTGCTTATCCTCATCACTATATGCATGCCTTAACCTTTTCTTACACGCAGCGAGCAATCATATTTTATCTCATTGTGTTCAATGACATTGTAGCATTTAGTTTTTATTTAACGTAATTCATAGTAAATGGAAATGACCCCTCTTATATATCTTCGATTCAGAAAGGTTGATATATCCAACGAGAAGCTCATCAACCTCTCACAGTACCTGCCGCTCCCAATACGCCCCCGCCCACCCCGAGAGGCGCTGGTATTGTACCTGGCCAATCTTGATTCTGAACACGCCGCGAGATCCCAGGGTGCGCAACAAGATCTCGACGTCCTCTGACGAGTAGTAGGCATACGGCCCCATAGGAACCATGACCATAGGAATCCCATCCACTATTTCACGAATCGCGTTGCCGTAATCATATCCTCCTCGGACAACTTCTAAAACCTTGAAATGATCTGACTGCTCTACTTTCTTCTTCATCTCTTGTACCAGCGCAGAGATCGAGATGGTGCCTTGTCCACTCCTTGCAGAGTCGATCACCTCTTTCAACAGGATGCCGAGTGAATGCTTCTCACTCATAAGTGCGAGCTGATCAACTTGGGCCGCTGCGATAATGCACTACCAGACATATTAACTGACAATTCCTTAAAGATGAACAGCATACAAGGAAATATACCATAATCTTTCCACATGGCCCGATGTATTTATCGCGCACAAGGTTGCGCGAGACCCAGGCGTCAGCACCGTGGCAACAGTAGAGGAACATAACGACATCGCATTTTGCTGCTTCGAGGACCGAGCGAATAACAGGCCATTCGACAATATCATCCACGTCGACTGGTCGATCCCGATATATACTAAAGGGCTGACCCTGAGAGCTTCTGTTTCCGTGGCCTACATAGTAGACTAACAGAAGCTCGTCAGATCCAGTATTTCCGGTCTGTTTTTTCAAGAACTTGCGAGTGCGCGCGACAGGGTCATTGAATGGAATTTCGTAGATTTCAGCTGGCCAACCCCACCCGTTGAATGCCGTTTGGAGGGCAATAGCTTCCAACATAGGTCCATATGGTTCATAGTTCAATGAGTCTCCTTCCCAGTAAAGGATCAGGGCTTTAATGGCACGGTAGCTTCTTCCACATTTATTGAAAGGGGAAACAGGCACCGGAAGCTCGCGTCCTATTTGGTCATGCTGTCTGATACGGGATGACATGATTTGAAGTATGTTTGATATCGGGAAAATTTACGTATTTTGGTAATATCACGGCTTCTTCCTGTGAGACTAATTCTACGGATTGAATGAGTGAGAGAAGAGGAACTACCAAAATTTCAAGTGACGGTGGCAGGACAAGCTACCCATTATTGACTGCAAGTGACCATTGGTATCTCTATAAGTTCCGAAAAGCCGGAAAGTTTCAGCATGCACCGCGCGTATTTCATCATTAGGTACCTTTGGAACTTTGGGTCCATTATTTTGGGTCAGATGCTCCGAGCTTGCACTATGATTGGCTATGATAGAAATTAGAGCGCGTACTTGAGCGGGGATCTTTCGGACCTTCTCAAACTTGTCCCTCGATCTTTTATTTATTTTACCAAAGTTCTGAATACGTTCTAATGGATTACATCACCCTAAATCCAAAGAGCTCGATTTCAAATGCTGTCATATCACCCGCTAACATAGAGGCACCCGAGAATCCAACCCTTTTCCCTGGCCTGCCACTATCAGATAATGAATCTAACGCCGTTAACATCGGGGAAGGACTGTTTGGAAACTACACTTAGTACTTAGTCATTATGACGGAACCTGTGTCGATGCCTTTACCCTCGTCTGATCCAGAGCTAGATGTTGCTTTCGGATCCGGGAAAGCCGAACGCGACGAGTTGCGACAAGCGGGAAACGGCGAAGAGGCAGCAGATATCTCGTCAAGACGACTGGAAACAAGTTCGATAAAATTACCTCAGAAACGTGGCATTGATGATCCGGATTTTGGTAGGGACCGCCGCCGCCGTTTCACAAGACACCGAGATTCGCAAAGTCCGGCTAGGAGATTTGCCTGTCCGTTCTTAAAAGCTGATGTAGTGCGTTATAAAGAGTGTTCGGATCGCAGGTTAAACCGGATTGTCGACGTAAGACAGCATATTAGGAGGGCACATATGCAACCAATACACTGTCCTATATGTGGGATAGTCTTTAAGGAGGAGACGTCTTTAAATGGTCATTTAGTAGACAGGATGTGCAGCAAAAGGGACTTTAATATCGAAGGCGTGCCGCCCGCGGACTTTTTGCGATTGACCATACCGTATGGGAAAATGTGGTCGGATGAAGACAAGTGGTACCACATCTGGGACGTTGTACTTCCTGGCCTCGATCGTCCCCCATCGCCGTATTTCGATATCACAACTAATCCGAATTATAATCCTCTAATGCTGAATGCATACAAGGAGTGCATAGCTGCCTCGCTTCCCACATTGATTACCGAGAGACTATCTTCTAGCACGCTTGCTTCACGAGATTTACGGGGCGCCGATGTCTATGAAGACATACAACGGGCGGTCAATGATAGTCTTCACGAGAGCCTGAACGAGTTCCTGACGAAATTTGGTTCGGGCGATTTCCCTAATTCTTCAACCACTTCAATCCATGCGCTTGGTACCTTTGGCGATAACCCGAACGGGGACAATGAGGGACTATTAGACTACGACGATATGCAGGCATTGCCTCAAACTACTGGAGAATCGTCAGAGCCGATGAGCGTTATGGCAACAAAATATCATAATGCATCACCACAAATTACCCCGAACCTCGAGTCTCCTATCAAGCAGCCTTCAGCTGCCGAAGTTTCGAGTCGCGGAGATGAACCATCTAGTGTTAATAGAGAACGAGGTCGATCGACGAACGACGCATGGGAGGGGCATAGGAGTTTAATCGAACGACTCTATATAGACGAAAATAAAACCCTAAGCGAAGTTATGGGGATAATGGAAAGCGAACATGACTTCAAAGCTTCGTAAGTATAAGCCTCATGTTGTTGAAGGCTCTTCAAACTAATATACTGTGTGATAGAGTAAAAATGTATAAAACACGACTCGCAAGGTGGCGATTAACTAAAAATATTACGGCTCGCCCTCGGGTCATCCAAAATCTGCGACAAAACCATAATCAATAGAAATATACTTAGTAAAAGTAATGAAGTGTAGCTTCTGGAGATTATCTTGTTCGTATCGCACACCAACTCGGATGGGCTTTGGATATTACTTAATTCAGATAATCGAACATCTATATTTAAGGCCAATTATGGAGAGGCGCTAACCATTTAACGTATCAGCTTGCCGTAGTTCCTGCCTAAGGCATCTAATTAATGTTAGGTGTACTCTTTACTTCTACCGGACCGGTCCAATTAATGCCGATGAGTCCATCATCATCTCACCTACAATATCTTCATTCACCTACAGCATATCATCCTTTCCGCAATGGACGGCCTGACCTCCTACTAAACATATCTTTCTAACGAGATATATCCATATCAAACTTTTCATTCTTCACATTTTTATGAGCTGTTTAGCTCCGACTTCACGAAGATGATACCGCAAATGCATATATCCTATTATACACAGCGAATAGCGCAATACTATGCAATAGAATCAATACAAAAAATAAGAGTGTAAATCGATATTAAATGCTGCTGGGCAACGACCATAATCCCACACAACCCCAAGAGAGATCGACTAATCAACGCGTGAATATCGATCGGCCACGTTACTCGTAGCCTTCCAACGCGACACCGCACAGAACTCGCCAAGTGAAGAAAGCAGAAGACTAACGATGGCTTCCATATTCACCTTTGATCATGATCCTCCACGGGTGAATTCACCATGGCTTTCTGGGCAATCCAACCAGGACTCCGGAAAAAGGCCCCATACCGAACGTTATGTGACAACTGGTGCTATTCCTGAGCCTGGACAGCTCTCCGATTCTCATCTGGACAGACTAGAAGCAGAGCCGCAGGATGGTCCCATGGAATACAAATTACACCTATTATTAAGGCCTAGAAGGTTCTACGATAAAATGAGTACTACACTGAAAGTCTCTGGGTCTCAACAGTCTGGGTCACTGAGAGAAGCAAAGCAACCGAGACATGGCGCTCTGCCGCCTGCCTCTTCAAGCCAGACGAGACAGAACCGTCTTCATCATTTGACGACACAGCTACTATGGAGACTACAACAATCGTCCCCGAATCATTCAAATGCGAGACGTGATCTTGTTATGCCAAAACTACCCGAAGACATCGCGGATCTTTCTGCTTTGGAAAAGCCGGGAAAGCTGCTGCCAGGTCTTGAAGAGTCTAATGGAGCTCTATATGAGATAGGCGTGGCGGACGACGGAACGTTCGTAGGGTTGACTAAAGATGAGATGGACGAAAGCATGACCACTCTTAAAGTCATGGCTGCTAGTCTGGGTTGTAGGGTCGAGATACAACATATGAACACTGTCGGAAGTTGCGAATGGATAGAGACCACATCAGAATCGAAAGACGAACTTCGGGTCGCAGATCTTTGGGTAGCCGAAGCCTATATAATACCAGTCCTGAATACTAGGAGCAGCAAGGATGAGCAACAGACAAGCCAGCTGAACAGTACTCCCAAGAGAGGTTCTTCAATCACTGAGCAACTTCGTATCTCGCTGGTTGGGCCGACAACGTCGGGTAAAACGACGCTGCTAGGGACCCTGTCTAATGGCGCGTTGGATAATGGACGAGGAAGCAGCCGAATCAATTTGCTAAAACATCGCCACGAAGTCGCCTCAGGGCGGACAAGCTCGATCGCCCAGGAACTCATCGGTTATGAAGGCCAGAGAATTTTCAATTATCATGTTGATAATATCAATGAGTGGCCCGACATACACGACCGTGCCGAGAATGGTAGGCTAGCTTTCTTATTGGACACCGCTGGACATCCACGATACCAGCGGACTACTTTGCGTGCCCTTGTCGGTTGGGCTCCCCATTGGACCATGTTGTGCATACCTTCGAATGAAGACAGCATCTCGCCTTTTGGTGCCCAGTCGCTCTCCGATGCAGACGGAGCTGCTGGGATTGAAATAACGTCGACAGATTTAGCCAAGGCACAACTCGATTTATGCCTAAAATTAGCTATACCTCTAGCTATTATCATTACGAAATCTGAGCTGGGACAGCGTACATCACTAAAGGAGAAATTGAATCAAGTGTTCACTAAAATTAAGGCTATGGGAAGGATTCCAAAATTGCTCACTTCCGCTGCAAACAACGAGGTCAATTTACTTGAAGTACCTGAGGAGGATTTACGAAAAGTCAAGAACGAAGTCATTGACCCCATCGCAAAAACCGGCGACCCGCTATCTATTGTTCCAATCATCCTTACCAGCGCAGTTAAAGGTATAGGTATTGGGCTAACTCACGCTTTACTGAGAAGCTTGCCGGTTCCGCCTATACCGACAGCTCGAGACTTCGTTCCACTTGCCTTGAACCCAGAACAGCCAGCTTCCCTATTTCATATTGACGAGGTCTTCGAAATGACGCTCAGTCGCGCCCAGAAAGTCGCATCCTCCGGGTCGAGTGAGAGTGCCCCGGTGGTGACGGGTTATCTACGATTTGGAAAACTATCAATTGGTGATAGCGTTGTTTTAGGTCCTTTCCCAGGCGAGGATGATGATAACAGCGCCTTGGTACCGAACGATCATCCTTCGCCTGGTTATAGCCTATCGATTCCTCATCCTTCGTCCGCGGAATTTGCCCGACTAAACTCTCGTCACCCGCTATCTGCTGCTAAAGTCGAGGGTGAATGGCGCCAAGCAACGATCGTGAACATTCGTGATTTGAGACTTCCGGTACAAACTATTGAAGCGGGGCAGGCAGGGTCCATTCAAATCGTCTTTGACGAGCTCGTTGAAGAAGTATCCGATACTAGCAATATTGCCGATAAGCCAAGGATTTCTAGTATCAGGCTTCGTAGAGGCCAAGTTCTTGCCGTGCCCAGTCAGCATATGCTTGATACAGGACTCTCTCTTCAGGCTGCCTCGAGCCTAATAGCATCTTTTAAAACATCGGATGTTAAGTCACTCACTGTCAATAGTCTGATCAATGCCTATGTGGGAATGGTTCGTGCTGCTGTTCGAGTATTGCAAGTGTCACGGCAAAGGCCTGACTCGGACTTGAGGAAAATTTCCACGGAAGACAACGATGATGTATTTGGCATTAACGACCACATTGAGCTTGAGCGCACCAAGTCAGAAGCAGACCTCGACGAATACCGTGCAGAGTATCATGTTTCACTGGAACTTCTCAATAGCAGGGAATGGATCGAGCTTGGATCACAGATTGTTCTTGTGGATGGGGGATTCAAAGATAAGTCGGGGCTTGAGGGTTACGTCGGAAAGGTTATCGAGATAGGAGAGTAGACGGGGTATCTGTCCAATGATACTCCCAACAGGTTGTTTTACATATCAATATAAATGAATAGCGAAACCAGATTGTAGTACTTGAATTTGTTTGACATGATGCGTGTCGATTGAGTGACCGAGGGCAGTGGAATATTTATCATACACTAGTCATAGACACATTTTACCACCGAACGCCAAAGAATGCCCATGAACACAAGATCCGAATAATGCTATCAAGCTCTTACTAGACCATAGAACAAAGTCCATGTCAATATGTACCCCGCCAACCCATTGAATAAACCACCTGCCCAAAATTCATATTGGCTTCTAAAATATCTACTCGTATCGAATAGGCCATGGTCTGCTTTTAGGGACGTGGGCGCAACGTGGGCGGCGTAGAAGAGGATGGTGGTAAGAATCGTGAAGACAAAGTAGAACAGGAATCCACTATAGGATTCAAGGCCTAGGATGCCAGCCGCAGCGCCGAATATGGAAGCAGTGAGGGTCTGAAGGTTCGATAGAGCCTGATGGAATCACAAGGACTTGTTAATAGCCGTTTCTTGTCTAGAGAATAAATCATAATGCATTGACGCGATGAACAATTCATCCGAATGGGTGATGGTTGGGTCTTACCTTTGTGTTGTGCATTACCGACTCCGGCACAATAGGCGATATCTGGAGTTCCCTTTCGCTCGGCATGGCTGCGCTCGTCTTTGTGTGCTACCTTGATATTTGTTCTGGAATGGGAGGATGTCTGTGGGATGGGAATAGCTTAGGATTTCGAAAGGTCGTCGTTTGTACTTTGTTGCTAAGGCAGGGATGTACCTAAGGCAAGCTGAGGTGGTGTGAATGTCGCGCTATGTACGTAATGTGGAAGTTAATGGACCTTCAGCGTTGTCATCAGCGAATAAAGTACCTAGGTAGGGAAACTAAACCCCAGATAGTGGTTCCGTTAGGATGGTTAAGCCTTTCCGATGAATGTGGCAGCGGACCGCAAACGTTCTCCTAACACGGTAAGCGGTGTATAATAGGTATAGTTTGGTTGCACAAAACTTTACGGTATGTCTTGCACAATTGCAGATGGGACGTACCATATTTTGGGGCATGACGAAACGATTTTGACCAATCAAAGACTCCACATCCCCACTGAAGAGAGCTAAAGCCTCCTGACGGGCAGAAAACGGGGACCTCGGACATTACGTCTAATACCCAGCACCCAGTAGTACCCCCGGTAGAACTCCATCAGCACCCAGTACCGCCCTATTCTTAGCTGATCTTAGCGATCTTAGCTGCTAGGTACTTGCCTAATTAGAGCATATGCCAATCTCGTTCAGGCAAATTGAACAAAGCATTCGACAACTAAACCAACTTTAATCCACGTTCCTTTTTTCATAATCATCTACTTTCATACTTTTCGACCGTAACCATAATAATAACCATAACGATAATACTTGCGATCTTTACTCCTTCAAGCTTTTTTTTAACTTTCTCCCCCCTTCCCTCTGTTCTGTTGGTTTCTCTTCTATTAGGTGTTTCAATAGTTTCTCGACTATAATCGATCCGAGTCACACGATACAGTTTTTTTACATCCTGAAGTGAATCACCGTAATTTCGCGCCAGATGGACGCGACCCGTCGTGTGACACTGCAATTACATGGAGACTCACGTAGATGAGGGCACGCCTTTGAGCAACTATCTCGAGGGTATGTATGCTCATTCCATGCTATTATACCCATGCTTGCCCATTTCTGCTTTTTCTAGAGCATCCTTGAACCACCGATATGGCCGGAGCTTCTAATATCCTAACTATCGTGGTCACAGGCACAGGGGAAAGAGAGGAACCCGAGTGGCAAGAACCCGAAGACAATCATAATTCAGACCGCGACGTCTCTCCACCCGGTAGCCCACCGCGAGATTTCGCTCCGAGAGGCTTCGCTAGAGTCCGAAGGAGGTTTCGGGAGAACTTACCGAAACCCCTATGTCTCGATGTCAATAATTTCCCTTCGAGCATCAGCCCACACGAACTCCGTAGCCATGCGACCCCTATCTTTGGCGTAATACGACTCTTGCTAGAAGCAGTCACGTCTTCTATCGATCATGCTCGCTCTATCGGGTTTCTTGAACGGCTTCGCCTTGCTATAGTTCAGTCCCAACTGCTAGATAATCCCTTAGTATTGGGCATCCAACCATCGTCAGATAACACCCTTTCGGAACCAACCGTCGAGCCAAGCTTCCATGGCATTACCGTTTCCGGCGCCGTTGCCGCGGCGGTATTCGGCTTCGGTGCGGCGTCCATTATTCGATGGTTTTCGATCGTGGGATTCGTACCGACATGGAAACGATTGTTAGTTTCTGCTGGAGTAGTATCTCTGGTCTTTCTACTTGTCAGAGCATATGTGCGAAGGCAAATTTTAAGGAATATCCAAAAGCAGGGGCTGGTTGAGGCATCTAAATTCTTTTCGCTCTCTCGAGAATATGACTGTGCGAATAGCGCAGCACTTAACTTCATAATGGAGGTGGAACTAGTCGCTCGTGGATACCGACTGTAACTTTCCTCACCTCTAAGAGCTACCCGCTCAAATAACTAACTCATAAATAGGAGCACACCTATCCCGCCTATTAGTCGACTAGAGAATAACGGACAAAATGTCAAGTGTCTCCAATTAAGGAAAGCTCTTCGAAATAGCTTGACCGATGTTATCTCCAAGTATTACCAAATAGCGTTTACAATTTGGGCGTTTGCGGAGCAAACCGAACTTTTACAACTGCAGTCTCAATATCAGTTTACAGTCGCCGATGTGGTGGACAGATTTCAAGTATTGTCAAAGACTGATCCCGCCAACACCGAGAAGCTACAGCCTCTGAAGGATGCTGCATTCCTCTTCCACGATATCCGCAAGATGTTCTTGAGTGGTTTGCTTGCTCTCCACACTGTTGGCAACGACTCGGATCGACTTCGTTTCACGACGATTTTGGAATCTTTTAAGGAATTAAACTCAATTACGAGGCAAGCCTACACGCGGGTCAGAAGTATTTTGGCTGAAAATGACCGTAAGTGAGCTCTGATGAGTCAGTCGATTATTATCTAATAACAACTTTAGTCCAAATTCCGAAAACTCCGCGAAGTCCCGAAACTCCTGGTCATGATCGAATGCGCCATCAGGTCCGCAGATTGAATTCGATGACCATGAATATCCGAAGCGTGCAGGCCAAATTGCATCTCCTGCGCGAAGAGTCATCTAAGGCTTTGAATGAGGCTGATGACATTAGCGACCTCGGACCGTTATTTATGGCTCAGTATGAATCGATAGGACAAGATCTACGAGATCTAATGGAAGCATGGCAGACTGGGAAAGCTTCGTTGGCGTCAGGTATCGATAGAAACGAGAAACGCCTATCATCTATTGGCTCCGCCCTTATGTCCCCGATAAGTACGATGAGTGGGCGAACCATAGCTGAAGAGGACGAAAGCCCAGATGACGAACCGGGAGTTGCCGATGCATTAAAGAAACTTAATGGGGGTTCTTCACCACCGACAGAATTAGAAATGCCGGTTGAGACCGAAGTATTCGAAGCCATCTCGATCCCTCGACCAAAGAGTTTGCTTACGCGAGAAGAGAGGATAATTAAGATGAGGGAGGATCGTAAAGCTAAAGATTATGCAAAGGCGAAGGCAGAAGCCCAAAGGCGCATGATGCGAGAGCTACAAGGGGTACTAGAAAGAAAACCCGGACGTGGCCGAGTCTCTCTCTAATATTTTTCATTGCTACTTTGTATCATCTTCGACTTTCTTTTTCCGACTAACAGCAACAGACCAGCCTTAAGGCGTTTGATAACGAGAAGATTATGAACTGGGTCATTATGGCGTACATATTTTGGGATAGAGGTGGTGATTCTGGTGTCTTGAAGTTTTCGTCTTCCACCAATGGCGCTGTTGGGTTTTGCGTTTGCTTTTGCTTTTATCACATGGGACTAGGAGGCGACTGCATAGTAGAGAGAGCTGGCCATCCATACGATCTTTGCGTATAATGTTTTTCTTTTTGTCGTGGTTGGTTTTTCTATGTCCTACCGTATATATATGTACATCACTATCTGCCTATCCAGGTATATACATACATACATAATAAGTCTCATTTTTGAGAAGATAGGATTTTTTGGACTTGAAATAAAATAAAAATAGCATGATCCATATATATGGGCTGTATACTATGGTTGTAGAAGTCATAATAAGAGTGATGTCGTCCAACGAATGAATCTAGGGGATACACCAGACGATGCTGCACCTACATGTAGGTACCTTAGTCACATGGTAATAGAGGAAGTGGTGAAAGGGATACCCCTGTACACCTCAGAACCAATTAGCTTACCTTAAAAGGAGGTGGGGCATTCTCGCGTCTGCCTTCAATTAAAGACGCGGTCAACCACTCAACGCGTCTCCATTCTCCAATTTCATCCCACTAATTTCTACCCAGATTCATACTTTGACAATATTCCCAACCACGAACCAAATTCACACCACCACTTCTTCATAACATCCTCGAGAACAAATTGAATCAATAAGAACGATTTCTCTATATCGAGTTCACTTTCTGTCGATTTACCTTCACTATCCACCGACGTGTATTTCCGTCATTAATAAAAATTGTCACCTACTTTTCATCCGCAAGCCGTCATCATGTTAGAAGCACGACTTGAGCAGGCTCAGATCCTGAAGAAGGTAACTTGACTTTATAACATGTTATCTACCTTCAAACCAACATAAACTAACAAATTAGGTGGTCGATTCCATCAAGGATCTAGTTCAGGACTGCAACTTCGACTGCAATGACTCGGGCATTGCTCTACAAGCCATGGACAACTCCCACGTCGCCCTAGTATCCATGATGCTCAAGGCCGAAGGCTTCTCTCCTTACCGTTGCGACCGTAACATCGCCCTCGGTGTTAACCTCGTTTCCCTAACGAAAGTCCTACGCGCGGCTCAGAACGAAGATATCCTAACTCTCAAGGCGGAAGATGCTCCAGACTCCCTCAACCTGGTTTTTGAGAGTAGCGAGAATGACCGTATTAGCGAATACGACCTCAAGCTTATGGATATTGACCAAGAGCACCTTGGTATTCCAGAGACGGAATACGCTGCGACTATTTCTATGCCTTCGGCTGAGTTCCGACGAATTTGCACCGACTTGATGGCCATGTCTGAATCAGGTAATACATACTCGTTTAAAGTCATAGTCCACGATCAAAAAAACATAACTAACGTACAAAAGTCACAATCGATGCCAGCAAGGACGGTGTCAAGTTCTCCTGCAATGGTGATATCGGAAACGGTGCTGTTACCCTACGGAGCCACCAGAACGTTGAGAAGCCCGAGTTCAACATCGACATTGAACTGACAGAGCCTGTCGGTCTAACCTTCTCCCTCAAGTACCTAGTCAACTTCTGCAAGGCCCAGGCTCTATCCAGCACCGTCAAGATCTGCTTATCCAACGAAGTTCCTCTGTTGGTGGAATACGGCCTGGCTGGTAGCAGTTACCTGAGGTTCTATCTCGCCCCCAAGGTTCGTTACACCACGACTACCCCTAATTCTCTTTTAGCCAGATTACTAACGTTGGAATCACGCAGATTGGCGATGAGGAGTAAAATAATCGTAGTGACAAAGGTTAACGAGTTCTATGAAATATACCACGTCGGCAAGATGGAGGGAACAAAATAGTGAATTAGCAAGAGACTTGCTTATAGGGGGTTTTACCTTGTGATTCCCGAAATGGATACGAATGCATGCGGCATGGAAGACGTTGACATGGACCTACATTTACAGGAATATGGTCTTTTGACGTCTTGATTTTAATGCAGTGCTAGGTACTCCTTGAGCTTCTATATAGCTCGTAATTACGATAATTGAGATAGCTTCCTGAACTTTGATGCTAATTTGTTACGACTACAATAATACTTCTTGTGCCATTATACATACAAGGTGAGCTTCGGTGAAGAAAACTCAAAGCGGTTTAGTGCGGGGTTAGCCGTGATGGCGGGGCACGTTGATAAGCTTAGCTTCTCAATGGACCCTTCGAGAAAAGAGTCATGCGCCCATCTTTCATAATCTATACCTTCTCTTCTACTTTTTAGTTCTCTCTCCTTTTCTAATCCACATTATTCTGAATGGCTCATCGGAGCATACTCAATTCTTTGTTTCCCCATAGACCAGTGTGAATATACCAGCAATTGGACATATCCAGCTACTATCTACCCCTAATATATTACTCCGAACTCCGTAAGCCGTCCGCATGAGTACCGAACCTCCCGTTCCGGAGACGAGCGTCTTAGCCGTCGCCAGTCATGTAGGAAAACAATGCTTCTAGTACCTAGTCAGTCGCCTATTTTCTAGTAGCTAATATCCCATTTGAAGGTTGTTTCAGGGTGAGAATCCCTTAGGGTTTTATTTCCGTCTCGTCGTCGACCCCTCCGTTAACTCTAGGCCTCGGATAGGAACGTCGGGAATAAGATCGCGGTCTTCGTACTTCAGTCTATGGGCTGCGATGTTTCTGCTTTGAATACTGTACAGTTTAGTATGTGTATACTCAACGAGAGCTATTCCATCCCCGAGTGTCCTACGTTCGTCAACGACTAACAGATATCGAAACGTAAAGGCAACCACACGGGCTATAAACAATGGAAGGGTACACGGGTATCAGCGCAGGAGATTACCGATCTATGGGATGGCCTGAAACAATCATACCTTGATAACTTCCACATGATGCTCTCGGGATACGTACCAGGTGCTGAGGCCGTCGAGGCTGTAGGTAATATTGGCCAGGAACTCAGACGTAAAGCCGAGGCTGGCGACCCGGGAAGCTTTTTCTGGGTGTTGGATCCGGTTATGGGTGATAATGGACGGCTTTATGTGGCGGAGGCGGTGGTTCCTGCGTATAAGAGTTTGTTGCATTTTGCGGATCTTATACTGCCGAATCAATTCGAAGCCGAGTAAGTCTTACATTCACCTACTCCTTTCCTTTTTGCAGGATGGAATTGAGGGAGGCCAACTTAACAACATTGGCTAACGATTCCCTTCTCTGTGCAGACTCCTCTCCGGCGTGAAGATAACCGACTCCGCATCCCTCGAGCGCGCCATTGAAGTCCTACACCAGGAGTACGGCGTCCCACATATCGTCATCACATCCGTATCCCTACCACTCCTCAGCTCTTCATCTCCATCGTCCGATATACCCAAGACTATGTCCGTTGTTGGCTCGACTATGACATCAGACCGACGAGCGCGAATCTTCAAAATCTCATTCCCGGTGTTCCAATGCTACTTCAGCGGCACAGGCGACATGTTTGCCGCGCTAATGGTAGTACGGATCCGCGAGGCAGTCTCCAATTTCGATAAACTCAACGACGAGAAACTGAGTGGCAAGCGTTCATGGCTCAGCGCCGATGATGTTAAGGCAACGGATCTACCACTCGCAAGAGCGGCCGAGAAGGTCTTGGCTAGTATGCATGAAGTCCTAGAACGCACGTGTCAGAGTATGACAACGGAGATTGCGACCGCAAAAGAGAGGAGTGGGGACTTGGATGAGAAGAGTTTGCATTTGTTAAAGTCGAGGGCTGCGGAGTTGAAGCTCGCGAGGAATTTAGGCTCGTTGAGGGATCCGACGGTGGAGTATCGGGCGGAGAAGATGTGAGTGTAGGTAGGGGGTATAGACAATTTAGATGGATATCCCGGGTTAGGTTTAGCATTATACCGGCTTTATGAGAGGAATGAAATAGATGATCATCGTATATCATGGTATTCATTGTGTTATGATGGTAGACTACTTGGCTGAGTCTAAAAAATTAACTATAGCTTCCCCTTGCTGACTACGACGATTTTTACATTTGCTTGTGAGAGTAGAATTGCTACGGAAAATCAACATGATTGTGAAAGGGATTGCCCCCTCTTATTGTTCTATAGTCAGGAGTACGAGTCGTGCCCGTTCGAACTGCAATATTTATGTTTTCACTGCTTTCATTGGGCTGAAATTTATTGATGAAATATAATAAAAATTATTTAATAAATATATATATATGTCTGCCTAGGTTGGGTATATGTAATTTGTGTTAGTAAGAATAACAAATTTACGACCTTTCTTCCCCGTTTAAAAGTTTAACTACCTAGGTAGGTTACTTAGAACGGATGCCATACACTGAAAAGACCAAAGCCAATAACCCCAGCATCATCCCAAATGGGACAGATGGATTTTGTAGGTCAGTCTCAGGTCCCGCGGGAAGGATCCAGGAGAAGAAGACAGTCGGTAGCAAAAGGCAACCGATGATGTAGAGGAACACCCGTAGAGCGCTGGGATTCTCGCGGGCATATAATCCCCAAAGAAATTCTTCCGCGGTTCCTCCCGCCTTGAGATTGGCTTTCTTCTTTGGGGAACGTTCTAAGACGTTCCTCGTATGGCCGCTTAGCTTTTTACAATCGTGGTAGAAATGAAGATGCGGCCGGGGTTGGTAACATGCGTAGAAGCGCCTATTGAACTCGCGCTTACTGACTGGTGGGATTTTCTGCTGGAGCATTGGTTTCGGATAGAAGTCGTAGTCATTATATTCGGCATCCGTTCCTTGGGGGAAGGCGTTTGGCTCCATCGCATCGAATTCATAAATTTGGAATTGTTGGAACTGCATTTTGAAAAGTATGTTAATGATTACCTAGTAATATTGATAGGGTACCGGGCGACTGAGGGTTGTCATGGTAATCGTGGTGATATGTAGGTACCTTATAAAATTCACAATGAGAGTAACGCCATATGCTGAACCAGTTGCGGAAGAATCCTCGGAGGCACAGATAACTCTTCTTCAATTCATGAAAAAAAGTCTGGCAACGACGAGTGTAGTCACCATCGGGATCTGCTTGTTCGATTCTGATTTGGGCGACCTTAAAATCGTTTCCCTTCTCCACAAAAAGAAGGACATAACTACTTGAAGTAGGATTCACCTTCTGAGGTTGTGAGCTTGTTGATCCTGAATCTGTCGATGATGAAGTACCCTTCTGGCATGAGCCTTGGAAATTCTGAGGGGAACTGCTGTTGTTCCCGCCGTCTTTACTAACAGCCGCATTACTTGGACTGCCTTGATCTGGAGGTGGGTTTTGGGCTGGCGGGGGCGGTGAGTTCTGTGTGAGTGTTCTGGACTGGCCTGGGTCATGAACAATCGACTTGAGAAACTCTGCGAATTGCGAAGGTACTACTGCGCGTCCATTCTCGCCACATATCTGTATAGGAATAGTTAACAATCCGGTCTTGAACCCAAACCTTATAAAACATCAGGTGGGAGGAGTAACTTACGTATTCCCATCGTATCTGAGTCTCGTTCTCCCCTGGGTCCCTCACGCATTGTGGTAACGGCCACCAATCCCAACGCTCTCCTGTCCAGCTTTCTACCGCATTCTGCCGGCGGTTAATAGACTTTCTGAAGATGCCCACCTCTTCATCGCGACCAATGCGGATCTTTTCTAGGACGGCGAGCTCCAGTTCTCTCGTTAGGTCAACTAGTTCGTATTGAGCGACAAGATCATGGCACTTATGGTCAGGCCTCAACCATCTTGCTAGTAGGTTCTCGAGTTTGTATCCTAGGCTATGATTGATGAATCATGAAATCGGTCGACAAAGTTCGAAATGCTACGCTCGTTGTAAGAGGTGTGATTGAGTACGCCCCGTTCCGACCGAAAGCCACATCAATACCATGGAATTCATGGAATTCATCATTATATTCTTCGGCCTCAATGCCTTGGCTACTTGGCCCAGTGAATCCACTGACTTCAATGTCTTCTATTATACCCCGGATATGGCTTCTGGCCTCCTTAGGAAGGCGCTCGGAACCTATAGCCTCTATAATGTTTGAATGCATCCACCGGCCCTCTAGCTCTCTCAAATGTCTTAAGTGAGGACTGGCGGCTCTCCGGAAAATATCTTTAGCGATAATAGTAGAATATATGCTCAAGTAATATGCAATAACTCGACTATCCTCCCCAGGGATTTCTGTTCTGAACTCTGATGCGCATCGATTGAGCAACCTTTGAAGTTCATCTTGGGCGCGTATTGACCTAGCCTCATCTTTTCCCATAATATGCTCAATTAGACTTGGTAAGGTACCATCGCTGATAAATATGTTTACAAGATTGAAGATAAATTGTTTGTCGTTCTTATACCAAGTGAAGAGATATATATCTTCGTCGAACTCGACCCGGTCACGACCTTCGAATCCGCTGAGACCATAGCGCTGGTACCCAAGCTTAAGGCCGTGCCTTAGTGATTGCTTTGAATCTTCTTACATCGGCTTGCAGTGGTTGATATTCCCAAGGGTCGTCCGAGTCCAGATCAAAGACTTTAGCTTGGACGTATGCGCAAAAGTATGTATATCGGATACAATCGTATACGCGTTGGGTATCATCAGTTGGCTTAACAAAAATTATTTCGGTACTGGGCGAAGACATATTTGGAGACCCGTTGGAATAAGTACAGATCGTAGGAGGGTTCTCTGGGGTTATGAAACCCGGGCATAATAAAAAACGATATAGTATATGCGACTACGTTCGTGTGCTGGGATATAGCGAGGATGTATTTGGGATGGAGTTGGAAAGGGGGGTACATATGTACATATGTAGGCGTTTCAATCCTAAGTTACATAAGATACGTTACACAACATGTATTTCGAGCGGGGTTCGAAGCTGGTCGGGGATGTCACCGCCGACGTGAGCTTCGGCCACTTTAAACTTGCGGAAAGCCTCATGCGTACAGATTTCCCCTGGTGTAGAAGCTGTCCATCGAGTTCTTTTCACAGGGTCGAGTTTGGTAGAACTGTAGTATCAAGACATTCACTGGAATCCAAATTGGTAGGTTTCAATTCCATTTCATTCCATGTCTTCTATCATATTTTGATGGGAATGACAAGATCTCGTTGCCCTCGTAGAAAATGCGCATGACCTAGCCAATGCTTTATCATTAGCTAGTTCTCTTGGTCGTCGTTAGTGATTTCGAGAGCCTGCCGACATGAAGGTGAAAACCCGAATACCAAGGATACGTTTAAAACAGTTGGCGGTCCCAATCTGTCCTGGAAAGTCCATTATCCTCGTCCTGGTCCTGGCCTTGGCCCTCTTCCCATTCCAACTCCTTATTCATTTGTCATCTACACATTGTCCCCCTTAATTTGTTCCCGTACTTCCAAACCCACCCGCGCCGCGAACGCTCTCCTCCAACTCCTGCACCTCAAGCACCTCCGGGGTATAAATCCGCTCCAACACGAGCTGCGCTACACGCTCTCCCTCCTTAACCTCGAAATCGGCGTCGCTGTGGTTAAACAGCAGTACCTTAACCGGACCTCGGTAATCCGCATCAATTACACCAGCACCGGTGTCGATGAAATGCTTCGCTGCTAGACCGGATCGCGGCGCTATGCGGCCGTAAGTACCGGCGGGCACAGCGATGCTTATATCTGTTTCGACTAGAGCTTTGCCCCGGGAGGGGATGGTGGTCGGTTGGGACGCGTAGAGATCGTAGCCCGCTGCGAAGGCGCTGCCGCGCGTGGGTAGTTTGGCGGTGCTGGAGAGCTTTTTGATTAGGAGGGGGGGTGATTGGTCGAGTTTGGGGACTGCGACGGAGGATTCTGTTTTTTCGGCCATGTTGGCGGCGAGTTTGACGCGTTTTGGTGCCGGTTGTTGTGGTGAAGTTGGTGTGGATGTGGGTTCTGTGCCGGCGGTGGTCATAGTCCGAAGACGTGAATTGTACAAGACGGGAAGATTGGAATTGGTAGGTTTTGAGTTTGTGTTGAGGATCGGAAAGTTGACGGTATCGGACTTGTCTGTGGACCGTTCTTGCGGTGAGGAAGGGAAAGAAGGAAAAATTATGGAAAGAAGCCCCGAAAAACAAGACGGGGTTTTGCAGTAGCGGGCGCCGGAAAGTGGGACGCGGGTAGGGTAGCTGGGTAGGTACACTTGCGACGCGTTGAGGGGCGCGTAGCTACCCGTAGCTTGCCTGCTTGCTAAAAGTTAGGGGGTGGTAGGTACCTGAACATCAACTAAAGCAATTGACCAATCGCCATAAAATACAGTGGATTGGGTGCGCCAAGATGTCGCTCCCGCTGCTGCTATCACACCTCGTTCCCACCCTCTTGGGCTGCTAGGATCATGGCTGCATATTTGGTCGCGAATAAAATATCGCAGAAAGAAAATAGACGCATTTTAACTCGCAGTACTTGTTCTCGAACTTTAGATGATGGATGGGAAACAATTTGTTAGACAGCCATCCCTGAACTTCTTAGGTATACATCACATCGTAAACGTGTGTATCGAAGCTATCAGTTAGAAAAGCGATACATCGATTTTCTCGGGAATTTTTGCGACAATGGATTGTCCAGCAATTAAGAATCTCGAGTCGTGGATTGGAAATAGGTCCTCAAAGTAGAAAATAGACCCTGGCTGTCGTGGAACAAGACGAGACCTCCTGGTTTGATTGACGGCTTTAGCCTGTGCGGTATTTGGCGTAGTATACATGATTGACCCCTGATTGCATCAAAATATGGGCTCATACATCTAAGGTTATTCATCTAATTCCTTGCCAAAGTCGATTAAACGTAGCTTTGTCGAATCCCTAGGATGGAACTGAGCAACCCTAGATCTAACCAAGAATCTTGCTGCTGCTGATTCCCTGGGTAGTTGGACGTAAGCGGCTGAGCTATCACCATCGGACAGTGCGAGGTTGTTTAGGAGCTCTTCCGTTAGGGTACGCATCTCTTCACCTGCAGCTGCAGCTTCATCTCTGCCATCCTTATTGGTTCGCTCTGCAGGTTGATCCCCTTGTGAATTACCCCAAATTTCGTCAATACGTCGCTGTCTTTTGTCTTGGTCTGGATTTTCCTTGGGCTTTTTCAGTTTGCCCTGAGAACTAAATCCTGCAGCAAGATCGTCTCCATCGAGGTCCATTATGTCGCCGACGACGGGGCCACCTAGCTCTTCAGCCGCAAGCATACTTGCGAGATGGTCATCAATAAATCTTTTGAGTGCTTTGAGAAGTGTAGATGTCTCTTTGGCGTAATGCTTCTTTTTTTCCTTAAGTTCGTTGATTCGTTCCGTCGCGATATCATCCGGTCCCATTTCCATCTGGGTTTCTATATCATCACGTAATGACTGGATGCGATTGCGAAGGCTCTGTGAAAGGGCAGTCTGATCCTGAAGGTTAGATTTCTCCGCCTCCAGGCGTTTCTTAGTCTTATCTACCGAGTCCTTGTGAGACGCCAGATAAGCCCTCGTTTCTTCTACCGTTTGGTGTGTTTTGCGAAGAGCTAGAAGGGCTGGTAATACGGATTCCGGAAACGGTAAAAAAGACGATTGCGATGCCAACTCATCATAAGCCACCTTCATAATATCCCATGGTGCTGTGGGAGGATGATTCTGATTTGCATTGTGTAAAGATGGTGAGGCGCGTATCCTGTTTAATATAGCTTCATGTTCTTTGACTTTTCTCCGAAGTTCATCAAGGGTCGCTTCAAGATTTACCGTATAAATCAAATCGGTATCGTCGCTAAGACGTCTTCTAGTATCCATCTTTATATAATTTGTTGTGTGATGATGTTCTGGATTTATAAGGTCGAGTGTCATCGGGATGTCCTGAGGGTGGTCTTGTAACAGGGTAAAAGGGCGATGATGTCTTGCAGTCTGCAGATAATATGCAGCAGGTAGTATCCAGTCAGGGGCATCGCAGCATCGTCAATAAAAAGATGCCAAGCAATGGGATGCAAACGAATTGCCGATTGGATCTGCAGTACCAACAATACTGAAGTACTTATTATTGATTGATCGTTAATTCAAGCGAAGGTATCATGGAGTAATTCATATCCAATGAGTATTTCGGAATGTAGCACAAAGAAGTGCTCTGATAATTGTATTTTTTTATTGTATATCTTGCGTGGTCGACGACAATATCGAATACGTCAAATTGCATGTAAAAGTTCAAAGAGTGAGAGGTACACGCAAGGCTGACGAAGCATGGGTTTCCCGACTCACCGTATTGGATGTGTGGAGTACGCACAGTGCTTCATCTAGCGACCAATCAGAAATCCATGACGCTTGGACGGTATTTGATAGATTTGTGTGGAGGAGTCCCCATTTAATTTTCAACGGAGCAGGTGCGCCGTACTGTGTCCAGTTTCCCCCCAGCGTACCAGTGCCCACAGTTTTTTAGCAGGTAGATCTTTCTTGCATCAAGTGAGACAACCTTAAACGACAACCTTTACCTTACCTAGTACGCATTTCTTCGCCGCCTCCTTCACCTCCAACAAACCCTTTCATCCTTTTTATTTTTTCCTTTACCCCCCAAACCAGTCACTTCCATCACCTCTCCCCTTGCGACCCCCATAACACAACACCGTCATTCTACTTCGTTGTTGCTTGTTTTTCGTATCGCGGTATTTTAATCCCCCCGTCCTTCCGCTTTTTACCCCTGTGAAAGGTGATTCCTCAATCAAGCTCCCTCGAGACTGCCTAATTATACAGCTCGTCCACCTCGAGAGGCCCCCTTTATTACACCTAACCGCAGCGAGAGAACTGAAGCGTGGAAATCAACTTCCCTAAATTATTGTTCCGCGACATCTCAACGCGTCAATAGTAAAGTGCAAGTACGCAAACGCGAAATTCAGTCCGACCGCCTTCTATAGGCACCTACCTGGATATCAAGGCAACTTCCCAAGAAACTTGAAGGTTGCGCAAGTACAGAGAAAGGAAACTGACCTCGACAACTCGGCATAACTGTTTCCTGTTTGGAGGAGCCAAAAGGTTTGAGAGCCTATTATACACTTCTCCAATCCTACCTCTTCTCTTAAACCCCTAAACTCCTACATACTTCGTTCGCCTTCCCGTCTTTATTCTTCCGCCAACTTGGTCACTACATACTATCCCGGTCAAGCAAGCCAACCCATTGCCTATACCAAATCTTCGTCCTCAACCATCGTCAGGTCATTTACCACCCACGCCTTCTCAACTTCCGCTTCTGAACACGATCGCCCAGGTCCACCACGGATCTCTCATATCACTTCTCGTTCCTATCGTCACATAACCCGACGATCTCGATCCGTTCATCGACCCTACTTCACAACTCTTCCGACATAACCTCCCGAGCCCGCATCCAAATTCCATCAATCTGAGGGTTCTTCAACTACATTCCGTCCCGAATCACTACACCAGCACGTTTTCCTTCGAAAACCCTCAAGGTGTAGATAAGAAAGAACACGATAATACAAATTCAATTCGACCATTAAGAAGGCAAACCGTAGTCACTTCAAACGTGAACATACACATATAAAAAATGTCCGCGTCACCTTCTCACCCAACTAATCCGGCCAAGCGCCCTTTGGAGGATGCCTCCTCGCCGTCCCGCGGTGTCGACCAACCGGAAGCTAAGCGTCCAGCTCTCGATAAGGTCATTAACAATGGCAATGATGACAAGGATGCCGAGCTTCCCGAAAGCAATGGTAATGGTGTCTCGATCCCAACTGGACCGAACGGCACAACTAAAGCCGAGGACACCAGCAACAAGCCTGAAGTCAAGGATGACCAAGGAGATACAGTCGTCCCTGATGTCGACGAGGCTAAGGCTGCTGTAGATGCCGCTGTCACTGGACCTGGAGGTGCACCTGCGGCCGCGACTAACACTCATGATGAGACCACATGGATCCATATCCGTGCCGTCATTTCCAGTCCCGAAGCTGCTACCATCATCGGCAAAGGTGGAGAAAACGTCTCCAATATTCGCAAGCTGTCGAACGCGAAGTGCACTGTCAGCGACTACCAGAAGGGCGCCGTGGAACGTATTCTCACCGTTAGTGGAGCTGTCGAGGCCGTAGCCAAGGTACTATCAATCTATTCATGAATATATTTCGTATATGTAAAAGTTGTTGCTAATATCGAATTATCTAGGCCTTTGGATTGATAATCCGCACCTTAAACAATGAGCCCTTGACGGAGAAGTCCAACACTCAATCTAAGACCTATCCTCTCCGTCTTCTCATCCCTCACGTTCTCATCGGATCCATCATTGGAAAAGGTGGTGCTCGTATTCGCGAGATCCAGGATGCTTCAGGTGCACGACTAAACGCTTCCGATTCCTGTCTCCCTCTATCTAGTGAACGCTCTCTTGTTGTCATGGGTGTGGCTGATGCTGTTCACATTGCTACTTATTATGTAGGTAGCACACTCTTGCAGCAGCTTAACGAGCGATTCGGTGGTCCGGCGGCATCAGCTTACGCCACCCGAAGTGGCGGCCCCACCGGTGTTGTACCTGGAGGTATGCAGGTAGTGCCATACTGCCCGCAGCCTGCTGGTGGTAACTTCGGCCATCGTGAGAACTACGGAAGACGACCCGACCCTCGAGCCCACCATATGCCACCCGCACCATATGCACAGCCATATCCGCATACGGCAACCCCGCAACCTAACCCTAGTGTCCCGATGCACTACGCACCCCAAGCAGCCGGCTACGGTGCCGCACCACACATTCCACCTCATCACGCTCCTCACGTTGGTGCTCCCCATCCCCACGGCGGTCCCCCAGCCCAGCCAATGCATGGCGGTATGGCAGGAGCTCCGGTAACTCAGCAGATCTACATTCCTAATGATATGGTTGGCGCCATTATTGGTAAGGGCGGCCAGAAGATCAATGAGATCCGGCAGATCAGTGGTAGCGTGATCAAGATCAACGAGCCTCAAGATAATAGTAATGAGAGACTTGTCACGATCACAGGAACGGAAGAGTGCAACAGGATGGCCCTGTACATGCTTTATTCTCGACTAGGTCAGACACCCAAAGCTCCACACGGCTCAGCTAGTCGTCACATGTGACAGAACCAGCCCAACTAATCATAACTGCCATAAACAGAAAGCGAGAAGCACCGAATCTAACGAATAACGGCGGAATGATTTTACTAAACTCGACCCTTACAGCTGTTGTTTTGGTTTTTTTTCCGCATCACATGGGAACCTTTCTCGGTTTTCGAGCATCGCATTCGCTCTCGTCTCATCTAGGGCCTTTTTTCCCGACGCATCATGGCCCTGAGGGGGGAGGACGGTCACGGTGGACGGTGGCGCAATTGGACTGGCCGTGGGTAGTCTTTTCTCGTGATTTTAGGTATCGCCGCGAAATATGAAATTGATGGCGGTCGACCATCAAAATGAATCAAATGAGATGGCAGAGGGGAAAAGGGGAAAGACATATTGTGAAAATAAGGGGGCCATCCTGTTTATTAAACGTTTAGTTGTTTCTGCCTTGCAATAAGTTAATTCATGCTATTTAGCTGATCTGTGATGATTTGGTTTTGCAAGACTCATTGCTATTTCATTATGACATGTTGCTTTCGCGTCGAGTTGAAGGTATCTTCAAACCGGATTAGTAGTTGGCTACATCGCATGAGAATGTCGTATATCTAGTGAACGAGGGACAGAAGTTCTACCTGACATCCTCTGAAGATTCGTTAGGTGTTGTCATGAACCCATTGCTAAATTTAGGTGAATATTCTATCGAATATTGAGCATCATCGAGAGTACGAGAAGGACTAGATAAAACGACTAGGAGTCACAACATAGGCTATATGTTATTCCATGGCTACCAGGCTATATCGAAGGTTCTATCGTATGCTTTCCTTACTACCTAATCTCGGGCCTACCTCGGTGAAAGAAAAGTTCTATGGTGCAATTATGATCCCTTGATTCAAACCCAGGTAATGGGGTAACTTTTACGGTTTCACGATATCTCCCTTGTCACGAAGGATGGCAACTCTCCAGCTCCTCGAAAGATACGCGAATAATAACAATCGGTCGTTTAAATCTAGGGTTAAATCTGAGAGATCGACCCGAGCGACGAGGGAGTTATATAAATAAGCGAGAAAATACTACACAAATAGCCAATAGCTTAAACGATAGACGACGTCGATCATGATAAGAAGTAGGCTACTTATAACAGCCGTGAAATACTAGGCTGTCGTCTTCCTGTACGTGCCTTGTCTGTCGTCTCCTCTTTATAGGGAGAATTACCCAGCCCATCCAAACTTAGAGCAACGAGGGATCATCTCGTTATCTAGGTAGGGACCTAGCTAACATGGGAGAAGTAAGCTATAAGGATCGATATATATGGCTTTTGTTGGTTAGTAACTATGCAAGTAGGCTTTGTGGCACATGTTCAATGATGTCTTCCTGCCTTGCATTCAGAATGTCACGCCGAATTCGAGCGATTCCGCCCAACTTGTGTAATTAAGCAAGCTAACGCAAAGATGCAACACTAACAATCCTATACCCTTGTCACACAGGAAGGGAAACTCAGAATAGCTTCGCCCAACACACCTACGTATAGAAGAGCCTGCATACATAGATGTATCTAGTCGTGTTATATCCTACGTGTCTGCCCTTTCAATACCACTCACACTTGTACTATAACCCAAGTGTCTACTGTAGAACATTCCATCCCTTCATTCAGCCCTACGCCAGTAAGGCATCGGCAAAGGTCTAGACTTCCTAGTATTTCCACACATGACCGCCAAATGTCTCTCGCCGGCTTGCCTGCTTGCTCGCTAAACAAGTAAGCAAGCCTTCTTTTCCCAACTCGGCGGTAAGCGCTACATTAGGAGCCATCACACAACTCTTTTCAGCCGGCAGGGGGGTCCTAATTTTTTTTTCAAATGGAAGGATTTCCCTTCCTTTTTTCTTGGCAAATATGCAGACGATGCGATAATTTAATGTTTACGAGGTTTGACCATGATACCATTGCACGCATGGCAAACGACATTTCGTCACTTTTCCCCCCCAATTTCGCGTTTCGCGTCATTACCCGACTTCCGCGGCGCGGTTTGTTGCATCGTCATCTTAGGATATGAAATTTTGTCTATGTTAGGTTGAAACGAGTTGCAGGTAGAGAGGATAGACGCAAGGGACGCGATCCGTGAATTGTGAGGGCTTGAGAGTTAGTTAGGAGCGGAGTGGCCAATTAGCGATCGTGATCACGCTCGGATTTTTTCTGTTGCACGGGCCGTGACTGACGTCTTGGATCGCGAACGAAATCTGCTACAGCCGGGTGGAGTTTTGAGGTGTCACGGCGATGTTACCTAGGTATTACCTACTTTGTAAAAAATTTTCGCGCCCGATTTTTGGGATAGGTATATCGTATCGTATAGTATACTAAGTATGATTGTATACTATGTAAGCAGATGGATAGTGGTAGTGGAACCACTGATGCAAGTCATCCAATTCTATTCAAATGAGGTCATTCCCAGGGCTGCTTTGTTCAGATTATAAACGATTAAGGAAATTGACCCCAAAAGAAGAAAATCGGTCGAGTGACACGACATCATAAGGAGAGCAAATATACCCTAAATGGTAATAGCTAGTAGGTAGGCTAAGTGGGTTGAGGCATTGAAATCGGGTATGTAACGTTGAGAATGAATGGTGTATGGTGTAATCGAGTCAGCTAATTCCGCCCCCTATTTTAGTCTTTTTTTGCTCGCTTCCCCCTTCTATAATTTAGAAGGAAGGAATACTATTCGGTGATTGTTACGGGGGGGTATTTCACCTATACTTGGGCGGGTACCTATTACCTAAGAAGGCTACTACCTTAGGTGCTATACCGGTCTAATGCCTAAAGCCGTGGAACCTTCATCACGGCTAGGCCATACCACATCCGGGACTACTGGGACTTACTGGAACTAAACTTTTACGGCGACTACTGCAGGAAGTCGCCTTCCCAGATGAGGTCCGGCAGCCGCCAGGAACAAATTGCTTATGCCTTCCCGTCTTAGGGAGGTCCTTTTGTTAAATAAGCTTGTTTCAAGCATCAACTTTAGAGTCATAGTGAAATTGAGTTTTAATGGGAGTACTATACGACTCAATTCAGTTCTAACTTTTTTCTTACTCAGCATAGGAATTTAAAGAGGAATTAAAATTATAGAGTTAGGTATGAGTGAGAAATGTAACAATGTAAGCAAAGAATCAACTAAAAGGTGTGTTCTACGCGCATATGCACCCAACCTAGCCTACTTCCAGTTTAATTGTAGCCTACCTAACGTCTTCTTCTACCACAACAACGCGAATGGAAGAGTGATTCACGCGTTGGTAAGCGTATATTACACCAATGCGATGAGTACCTATTAAAAGTGGCTGAGTGGGTATGCGATGTCACAATAGGAAGTAGGGAAGCCTGTTTTTTTCACCCCTTTACCTAGGCGGTTTTTTTCTTAGGCTTCTTCGGTGGACTATGTAATTTACCATTTTAGGGACCCATGCACCGGCCTGTCTAGTAAAACGATGGCTAGATGAACATTAGGGGCAGGTGGGATGCCTTAAAGTGGAGATTAAATACTTGCAAAAGTTGTGTAGAATTCTTGGCATGTATTCTCCAGCAACTGGAATGTACTATCTCTATTTACCACGGCGGATCAGGTACCCGTCACCTCGGGGACGAGACATCGCCCGAGATCTGGCCCCGTAAACCTGAACACAAACTAGCCTATTGCACCTTGCATGGTACCTTGGATTAGGACCCTGCTAGGACTCTGTATGGGGTTGAAAAGCCTGGATGTTAGTGGTTCCAGGGTAAGCCAAGGGTTGCCGCGCTGAAAGTTACCCAGGTACTGTGCCTCGCTCTCACGGGCTCGCCCTCTCTTACTGGCCCGCCGTCCCACCTTCAAATTCAGTCATCATATCGTCGGCTTTTTATTCCGCTTCTTCTCCTCTTCTTTCTTTTCTTCACCCCTTCCACATCCAACATCCAAGTCGCCTTCAGACTCCCACACTCTTTTTAAAAACTCGAGGCTCAGCCCAGTTCAAAAACCCAGCCCACTCGGCAACCTTCCACTCTTTTATTAAGTCGCTCTCTTCTCGACACCTCGTCGTCCCACCCTCCCACAACTCCTAATTCCAGTCCACGGAAAGACAAACAACAGCCAAAATGCGCTCGACTACCATCTTCGCTTCTGCCTTGGCCTTCGCCGCCTCGGCTCTCGCCCAGACCGCTGGCTACGCCGTCCTAACCTCCCCCGCGGAGGGTGAGAAGGTTGCCTCTGGCAAGACCTTCACCATCAAGTGGGAGGCCGGCAAGTACACTGGCCCGGCTACCATCTCCCTTCTCGGAGGTGACAGCCCCACGACTCTCGTCCCCGGTCCCACCATCGCAAGTATGTAGACACCGCGCAAACTGACAGAATGAACATCTGGTGCTAACCTGTTTTTCCAGCCGTTGATGTTGCCGATGGCTCTTTCGCCTGGAACGTGGACTGCTCTCTCGGAAAGGAGAAGACCTACGGTATCAAGGTTACCTCGTCCGCCGACAAGGACACCTTCCAGTACTCTTTCCCCTTCGCCATCTCCGGCCCCTCTTGCAGCTCTGGCGCTGGTGAGTACCCTACTCTCAGCAGCAGCAGCTCCTCGGCCGCTGGATACCCTACCAGCACTCCGGAAGGTTACCCTACTAGTACCCCCGAGGGCTATCCTACTAGCACTCCTGAGGGATACCCGACCAGCACACCCGAGTCGTACCCTACCTCGTCCATCAGCTCTTCTGCCGGCTACCCCACTTCCAACAGCACCAGTGTGAGCGCACCGAGCTACCCTACCGGATACCCCTCGGGCAACCTCTCCACCTCTGCCTACCCCACGACCTTGACCAGCACCAGCGTTGCTCAGTACCCAACCGGCAGCGCGACCACCTCTGCGCCGGCCACGATCCCCACCAGCGGTGCCAACAGCGCCGCTGCGGGTTCCTTGGCCCTCGTCTGCGGTGTCGCCTTCGCCGTCTTGGGCATGTAAAGTGACCTAATCGTTCTATACCCCAGCCGTGGCTCCATAAATGGACATGGTTTTATTTTGGTTGTTATGGAAGGACTTGGGAATTAATGAGCTTTGTCAGTCGATCGACTTTTTCGCACTGCTGAATGGCGTTGGCTGCATTATGTGGGCATCTTAATGTTGGATGCGATGGTAATTATTTAATTAGCCATCTTGTTTGGCGCCGCTTGTCAATAGACCTGCTGTCGCATCCTGAACATATATACCTATAAAAACTTACTAATTGCATCTTTGTCTCTGATTTTATGTGCATTAATTTATGGTTGGATCAGTATCACCTCGAAGGCATACTAGGGTTGTCCTGGCAAGTTATCCGAGATACTGATGTTGTGTGAGTGTTGCTTCGCTGGTCAGACAACATAAGAAACTATTCATGTGATTTTAAGAGGACGACATTGCTGATTATTGTTGTGTAGTTGAAATATATCCAATTTAGCTGGGAAAGGTGAAGAAATATTAAAACAATCGTCGGATGTCCGTCCAAAGTTTAAGGTGGCACTTTCTTACTAAACTTCATGACCATTGATATCATATCCCACGTGGCCGCGTGGCCGCGTGGTCATCTCCAAGGTTATGCCACACAGCCCTATGGGAGGGTTAAGGTTATCTCTGCATCCCGGGAAAGCCCCAACCTTATCATGCCGTTTGATATCTGACACGGAAAGAAGCAGCTTCTGCACCAAATCGGGAAATTCTCAATGGCGATCACAGTCATTGCTTTTCTCGGAGTTGACTAAAGATTGAAGATTCGATCATGTTACACGGCAGATTGTTTACATAATCCATGGGTTGAAATGGCTTTGCAATTTATTTACAATTGCATCCACATTAGGCAGCCATCGCTATTAACACCTTCGCATTCATGGATCCATTAAATATATCAAACTATTCATGTTGATCATGGCAAGTGTGGATAATCTCACGCCGCGGCGGTTCGCCCCTGCGTTTCCCAATGTCGAAGCTAATCGGTATCTTCTTGACTATGTCAAAGTTCATCATCCGGAGTTTTACCCCGGAGGTGCACTGTCAAGCCAGCCCGCTTGTGATGGGGGCGGCGTTCATTATACTGGGCTTTACTACGCTTGCTGCGTCGTGGCCGGCAACATCTGGCATCCCATGGAGGGAAGAGACAGTACCAAGTATGAAGAATACGATCACCCCTTTCTATCGACCTCAAGGGATCCTAGTGATCGAGAAGCCCGCCTCACAATACCCGATGACGAGATAATCCGGCCAGCTCCAATTGGGAAAGCGTATTTCTTCCCTGTTCCCAGCAATACAAATCGTATGTCTTAGCTGTCTTGATTATTCTCTCCCCTCACAACCACATGTAATTTTAAATACCTAACTAACCCGATTTCCTAGATCGACGCTACGCTATCGTCCCAAGTTTCGATCACCGGATCCCCCCTGATGGCGTGAAGATAAAAATACCCGCCCCCTGGCTCTCCCTCGACCCGTTGCATGATGACCCAAACTCAAACAATTCTTACAGGTCATACAGAGAATGCTTCGCCACATTGGCCTCCAGCTCCCCACAGCGGCCATCCCCGCAAGATCTGATATGTTGTCTTACAAAGGAGTACCTTTCTGTAGACTTCTGTCGTGTTATCCCTAAGAGTGAAGAACGATGGTTCATTGGCAATGACATGCAAAAATATTCGACTTCTAACGATCAACATAACGGTCCTCTCAATAGAATCTGCAATGTTATGCCCTTTCGGCTTGATGCTCTAGGATACTTCGGTCAAGGACATCTCAGTCTAGTTCCCAAACTTGACAAGTCTACCGGCCTCTACACATTACCAACTCATGCGGTTCGATACCCTAAAGAGTTATTGAATCCAAGGGGTAGATTGCAATTCCACGACATATTTCACAATTATCTTCTATATCCACACCCAATAAAATGGATCCCCGTCGAGTATCTATTCACCCGATTTGCCTGGACTCTTTTTTCCGACCAGGTCATGACCTTACTTAACGACGCCAAAGGTGTGACTTTTCCCCCTGCGCCTTCATAGTAACTATACGGCGGAGACGATCCAAGACATGAAGGACGATTATCCTAGACCACGTCCAAACAGATGCCCTTTTAATCCCACTAAAGATGAAGATATGGATGGGGACGATGACGATAGTGATGCTGGTTCTTGTTATAGTAACGACTCCGTTAACAACGAATTCCGGAGGAACTTTTTCGTCCAGGTTCAGAAATGCTAACATCATGGTAAGATGGGTTCGCTTTCTTGCGAAAACGGCTACGGACCACACAGAACCACGTATGTGCACGGCGGAGGCGACGTCATACCAGTGTATCTGTTTTGGTTTCAAGTAATGGTAACGTAATCCATAGAAAACGGGTGGAAATGGTCGGTTGAAGAGTGATATCGGTCTAAGGTTTAAGTGGAAGATGATAAAGGTGTTCCTTGGTATGGTTTAAGTGAGCGAGCATTATTAGAATTTTCGGATGACTATGTTTGTTACGATTTTATTTTTGGATATGAAGAATATGACGCTTCCATAATAGATAAACCCTTTGGTTTCCATAAAGTCTCTACTCGTCCAGCAAAACAAGAAGTCTCAACTTGAATTTTCAGGGCTGGCTTGGTCTGTGCATAGTGCCTGACTAAGGTTAATGAAGACTCAGGAGTTGGCGATTACTGAGCACCAGATACAGATATAATGGATGATATAATATGAATTACCTCGAGATACGCTTATTCTAGGTGCCACGAAGATTTTTAACATCCTCATAATTAGGGTGAATCGTTTCTAATATTATATCCTCCTAGGGTATCCCCATATACTAGAACTCTGTATATCCCATCTAACCAATTTTCCCATCACTTATATTCCTCCGCATAGAATAAAATCAGATGAATCTACCCCTAAACGCCGACTGTACAACTCTCACGAATGCCACGCTTGCTCATCAAGAACCACAACACAATAACCACCCCTTAGTGCCCACCTAACTGCCCCTTAGGAATAGGCCTCACCCAACAAAGACTCAAGTTCAATCCAATGGTAATAATCCCAATAACCCAAAAGGCCTGAGCATAATCCGTTCCACCGCCCATAAACCGGAAGATAATCGCAAATATCACACCCCCGAGATTACCCCCCGCCCCAGTAGTCCCAGACACAATACCGTTGGCGCGAGGGTGTACATGCGGTACAAGTGAAAAATTAGCGCCGTTACCGGCTTCAAGGAATATCGCCATGAGAGCAACGAGTCCGACCATGGTGGGCAGGTGATGCGAATCCACGCGTCCGATCACGATTAACATAGCTCCCGCGATACACCCGCATACCACGACCCAAATTTTCTTAGCCCAGGCGCTACGGCCCGCGGCGTGGTATACGGCATCTGATATCGCACCACCTAGGGGGCGGGACACAAGATTCAGGAATCCGAACATAGCGGCCCAGTCCGCGGATATAGTCTGTCCTAACCGGGGGAAATTCTGCGCGTAGTACGACCCGAGAACGGAGTTTATAGCTAACTCGCCTCCGAATGAACACATATACGTCAACACAAGGAACAGTGTCTGCGGCGAAGCTAGCACACGCGCGGCAGCGCTCCAAGTCGGTGCTTGGACGACTTCTCCCTTTGCCGTTTCTAGCATTTCCTGTCGTGATAGCGCGGCTTCGTGGTCCCAATCTGCGTGTTTCTTATCTTTATCCTTGCCGACTTCTTGTACGCTGCTGTTGTTCGTGCCGTTGGAGCTGGATTTATCGGTTATACGCCCGGGAACGTCGATGAGGCCGTCGCTTGTGTTGCCGCCGTGGGAGGCGAGGTTTTGGTCTGCGTGGAGGTGGCGTTCGGACCATTTGCCTGTGGGTGTGTCGGGGCAGAGGATAAGCATGGAAATACCGGTGGCGAGAACGATTATGAGGGGGACGATGAAGGATACGCGCCATGCGACACCGTCGGTATAGCCGCGCGCTACTAGGGAGTCGAAGACGGCGGGCATGATGAAGTAGGTTATTCCACCGCCCGCGTTACCCCAGCCTCCGGTGAGGGCATTGGCGGTTCCTACGACGTTTTTGTCGAAGAAACCGGTGGACCAGACTTGACATGGGACGAAGGAGCCGCCGAGGATACCGATGAAGAAACGACTGACGTAGAGGCCTTGGGCGTTGTGAACGAGAGGGGCGAGGCCGAGGGGGATCGATCCGATGAGGAGAGTACCGGCAAATACCCAGCGAGGACCAAATCGGTCACAGGCAGGTCCGGCAACGAGTCGTACCAATAAGCTTCGATATGTTAATAGGGGAACAGTTAGGAGGAACTTATGAGAGCACGTACGTGGCACATAGCGAGACGATGTTGGAATTAGCAACTTCAGCTGCGCTGAGGTGAAGGTTGGCTTTGATGGTATGTGTCAACTACAGGGGGTGAAAATATCAGTCAAATTGTTCATGTTTGTGTGTAACATGATGGTACAAGTAACTCACCAGAGGCGGAAACGCATACCACGCCCAGAAAGCCACCATAAATCCCCACCATGAGAAAAAGAACACACGGCCATATACATTAAAGACATTTAGGAAAGGGATTGAGTGTGCTTTGCGGTTAATGGGGTTGACTTCCGGGGCCGTCCAAAGGTATGACAGCTTCATATTGGTCGGGCTGAGCTCAGACCTTAGCAGATCTGGTGTTCAAAAGCTGTACTGATCCTCAAGAAGGGAATTATACGTCCCAATTCCAACAATGCCTGTCGATATAGTTGATGATAAACCCGAGCGTTGATTTAACTGCTCGAAAGGAGTAATTATTATATTCTCCTTCAGAGAAACGTAGTATACTCAGACGTTAACGAGTGCGTTTGCCGTGCAAACTTGCATCTCCGGAGAGGTCGTCTTGGTAGTGGGCCTAGAATATCAACACCCACACTAAGGCCTGGATGAATGTTTTCCGCGGGAAGCCCCCGGCAGATAAAAACATGGAATCGAGATACCGGAAACGCGTGGATCGAATGCTAACGAAAATAGTACGGCGATGTCGTCCAATGGCTATCGGGGTGAATTAAATCTATGGCGTGGAGGAGGGTCCTCTTCCAAGGTTCCTATCGATGATCTAAGAGGAAAGAAAGATAGATGCGGCTGAAGATGACTTCGACGGGTCTGATAAGGTGAGGATTACTTAAGGTACAGTGACGTCCTAAATAACTGCACCTTTACTAATTAAAAGACTTGCTTATCACTATGGCGTCTGCCCAGCTACGCTATTCATGAAACAGGTACCTGGCGACACAATAGTGACTTGTGTGGCCCAAAAGAACGAACGTAGCAGAGGCGGCTTGCTGAGGATGAGCACTACCGGGCCGAACCAATAAGCACAAGTCGCACCGAACAAATTCCAATTACTGAAGAGACAAGTCGACAGAAAAGAGTGGCATTTAGAGAAACAAGACAAGCGGCTCACATATCCGGATCTATAAATTGGCCCGTGTCTGCGGCTGGAAGAAGAACATCTGCGACAGAAACTCCATCATGGTTTGCATGGTGGGAGCGATTGGTTGTGGATTGGAGTAAGGCATATGAACATGCAGAGTACCCGCTCCCGCCAGAGAACAGCTTTACATGGTACGGCCGAGCGCCTCGGGGAACAGGCCAGCCTGCATCAACAGCTGTTGGTGCCAATGTACCAACCTGCTAACATTTGACGATCCTTTACTCTTATCTCGAGGTGGCCCGGGGGTGAAGGTATTAATCAAAAATGAAAAAAGATAGGAGAAAACGATTCGTGAGGACCCGGACGAGCCCGACCCACCGACCCAGAGATAAGGACGGGAGCTCTTCTAGTTGGCCCCTGGCGTCTCCAAGGCGTCCTCGATCGTCCGGTTTCAACATCCTTTAAGATCTCCGCGGGAACGAGGCTCTGATCGATTGATTGATTTCTTGCTTCATTAAGCTCCGCAATTACGAAATGTGAAGCATCAATCTGGGGGAGAGCCAAGTACCGCGGAAGATAGAAAACATCATGCAAGACTTGGAGTGAGATGAGCTCGGAATCCGAGAGATTAGTTGTATGTACGTCCGGATATACCATCCGTTCTTACACCTACATAACTAGGTACATAACCCTAGAATGGGAACTTGTCCCTGCTGCCCTGTAACTGTCAGATTGTCAGCATCGTGGTACGGCATCTGTGTACTACCTCCTTACATCGATACTACCTAAGTCGGCACGATATTTAGTTAGTATTACAAACATTAATATCTGACAACACGCAAAGTGTCAGAGTGTCTTAAAAGAAGTGGAATTGGGAAGCTGAAAAGGAAATGACTCGGCCCGTGGCTGTTTGGTATCGGGAAGGAATTGCAGATTAGCAGGGCTGGCAGGTTAAAAACATTAGTAACAAGGTCTGAATTTTTGACGAGCGGGAATTTGTCAACAGATAGATAGCAATATCCCTGTTAGTTCCCAACAGGGTTCACCCTTGCTTTCCCGTCCCCCATGTCCCCCACACCATTCTTCTATGATATTATTTAACTTTATACCTGAGTTTTCTCAAGTGATTATGTTGTTTCTTTTTTTACACCTATTTTTAGATAACCTCGTAAACTTAGACATACCTTAAGATCAGTTTATGTCGGCGTAGAGTATGCGAGGACCTGCATCTATTATATTTAATTGCCATGGCGATTACCTTTAATTTCTTTTGCCAAGTCATATATCTAATCCGGACCTATCGTTGGTAATATATATTAAGGCACTCCCCTACCATCCTTATGAAATCTATCTCGTCCTGTATAAGTCGCGATTGAGTGTTCTGCTCATTCATTTCGATAGTGATACAAGTCGAAGGCACAAATCCTTTCTACTTTTGTGATTGGCTTCGTATTAGAGAGAAAGGCATCATACAGATCCATCGCCGTATACCACCATTGCCGTTCGCAAGACTCTTTGAGCAGCGTCGCAGCCTCGGCTCTGCAGCAGATAAGCCACGTCAATATTGCAGGTGAGTCAAGCTGGAATCTATTTTCTAAGTCCTGAACCGACCCATCACTTCCGTGACGGCCTTCACGGCCCCAAACACGCGCGCGCAGCTGCACAAAGTCTGTATAGATGGTGCCGGGCGATGTACCGGGTTCGGGTAACGGCATGGGTCCACCAAATAATGACTCTAGGACGTCACGGCCCTCTTGGCCCTTGTTGAGACGGACGAAAGCGTGAACGATCTCGTAGCCGAGCTCTCTCGTTGTAAGGAAGAAAGAGTATAGCATCGTTCGGTGCGCTTCCCGAGGGTTGCAGAAGTCCGATCTGCTCGGCCGAGATGGGAAAGGAGATCTGCCGCCGGTGTAAGATAGGTAGCGCGGCGAGAAGACTCTTCTAGCGCCTGAAGCTGTTCTAATGAAACAGGGAAGGGATTTTGACTTCCGATACGATATATAATATTATCTAAACGCGTGAAATGGACACCTTTGGGACGGCGGACTAGAATGCGAAACTGAGAATCGGAGTGAGAAACAAGGTGGAGCGTATGGTAAGACCGCGCATTGAGAGTGATTAATGTCGTCACCTGGCAAGTGTAAGCAGCGTAGGAACGACACTGGGCGCAGGTTAATGGTAAGAAGGCTCAATCAGAAGTCGAAGACGAAGGGGGTATGCTTACTCGTATCGCTGTACATCCGGGAGCACGGCGACGCTCCAAATTGGCCTTGGCTTGAGACCGAGGGGGATGGGAGCCATTATGATGCGAGGCGGTACTGATGGCCTTTCCCGGAAAGGAACGATGCGCTCGGGATTTTTTTCGTATTGGTTGATTCATTGGTTAGCAGTTCTATGAAGAACTCTTTCAAGAGTTGAGTTGTATGTGCGCGCGTGCCATATGCATTGTTTGTTGCAGAGCAGATATGAATCGGCTCGGTCCTTGTTTGCTCATTTTATAGTGGGGCTAAGCACCTATTAACTACCTACCTACCTACATGGTATCATCCGCTGCCGTGGTACACAGCGTTTCGCAGAATGAAACATTTTCATTATATCCTCGGATAGGTTTGACGACACCTCTCACATAAAATAATTGCTTCCGGAACTCGGTATATTTCGACCCAGCTCGTCGGCACGGAGCAAAACGGATTCACTCTTACAACTTCGGACGTTGTGTTGGCATTCCTTTCTAGGGATCGCGTCTAGGCCGTAATTCTTGTCTCACTCTCACCGCTTGGCTTGGGCTTCACCTATTGCAGAAATCGTTATCTTCCTCTTGGCGCGAAATGTCGGTCGACAACCCTATCGCCGTCTCTTCTCATAACCCAAACCAAAATATGATATGAGATTAATGACTATTTCTTTTGGGTAAACGACTAATTGATTTATAGATGCTACTCCGACGGACCGGTCCTTGTGCGACCCAAGTCAGCATCAAGGGTTTTTCTTTTTTTTCTTGGCGTATATCAGCTATTATCCGACGTGAGGTAGCCAGGTACCGTATAGGACTCGAGTCGACTTGGAACCTTTGGTGAATATACTAAGCCAATGCCGTCAAAATCCTGCATCTATCGCAGATTTTAAGTTGCATCTTAGTTGTTGCATCCGGGCTTGAATCCCAGCAGCGAAAAAACAACCGGCAGCGGCACGGGATCCTTGCGGCAATCCGGTCTTAGGCGTTACTGTTTACGGACTACGGATCTCGGCGCACCCATTCGGTAGTCGGTCTCTAAGAAAAGGGGTGGAATTAGGTAATTAGTACAGAGCCTCCATGGTTGAAGTCAAGAATAGGCCGGAACTAGTAAATGGCTTCTATCTCATTGGCCGAATATTCATATCCGTTGCGGCTTGAATGCCCTACCATATCCATGGATCAAAGCCTGTCTAGACTCCCACTACGTAATACATCTAGGTACACTGAGCCGCCGATAAGTGGCCAATGCTACCCAGCTTGTTTTGAAGATTTTTTTCTATCTTACCAACAGACTCGATACCTGCTTCCGATAAGCTAGTCTTGCTGGTATCGCGGCGGCCGAGGAGGTTTGAACAGGCTCTCGGGACGGCACAACAGACTATACTGTAGCGGTCTAAGTGTTGGGCAGGAACCCACCATGGATCTGGGGAATATTAAGCGGTGCCGTCGCCAAGATCCATTAAACTTCCGTTGAAGTTTCGGTCTATTTCTTTCACAACGGTTGTCGGCTAACATCCTAAGCAGAGATTCAGTTCCAAACCTTTTCACATGATGTCAAACAAACCCGGAGCCGTTGGAAAATTTGACGGCAACCGTAGCGAGCCAGGAAAATTTGAGCGGCTCCGGCTTCCAATATGTGTTGTATATCCGTGGCAAGTTTAATAAATTCGTTGTGATTCCCTTTAATTAATATTCTCTATCACTCTCTTCGTGACTAATGACCGTGACTTTGGTAGCACTTTGACCTGGGCTCATCTAGAAAAATTTAATACTTAATTCATCAATATTTAATATTCGCTATCTATCAAGAGACATCTACCGCTCTAGTACATTTAATACTCGGAGATATGGCGGACCCTAACGTCAACACCGCCCCGGAGTCCGAACAGAGGAGAACGGGTAGTATACAGAGCGGCCACTCTAACTCGTCAACACTATCGCCAAAGAACTCGATCATATCGAAAGCATGGAGTCATATGCTAGAACCAATTCGTCCTTCGGAATTTGCCGAGCTTGAACTTCTCATTCTAACCTTGTGAGTACCTAAACCAGTTCCCCGGAATTCCCCAAGCTGTATAGAAGTTCCGAAATGATGGTATAGTGGAGTATACATCCACATCCACGTCAACTACCGAATCTACCACTTGGTAACTTAATATGGATATCAACTAACACATCTTCCCCACAGCTGCACCGGCATCCAAGACGCCATCTCCTTCCCCGACTACCACTGCTTCGCCTCGAACCAAACCGGCAACACCGTATTCCTAATGCTAGCCGCTCTCCTCCCGCATTTGAACGGAGAAATGTTCATCCTAGCCAACATCGCCTCAGCACTAGGTTTCTTCCTACTAGGCGCCTATATCACGGGGCAAGTCGGCCATTTCATAGGCCCCAGACGGCGTATCTGGCTTTTCAGTTGCAATTTTATCCAGTCCTGTCTTGTGTTCGGCGCCGCGGGTATGCAATACGTACACGGTGCCGGACTGAGAGGAGGGGATGCGGTAATTGTGGTCGGGTTACTTGCGTTTGCGTCGGGTAGCCAGGTTGTGCAGAGTAGAGCGTTTAAGATGACGGAGATTAGTACTGCGATGGCGACGGCGGCTTGGGTGGATTTGGTTATTGATCCGAATTTGTTGAAGATGGATAATCGGCCACGGACTAGACGCGCGTTGTTTCTAGGCACGTTGATTGTGGGCTCGCTGGCTGGTGCGGGCATTTATCGTGCTGCTGGGTCTTGGGTTGCCATTCTTGTGTCGGCGGCCGGGAAGATGGTTGTTACGGGGATGTATTTGTTTAATAGCGCGGAGAAGCCGAAGAAGACTGAAGGACAGGATGCTTGTTAGGTAGTGTAATGTGGCTCTGATTTACGTTGGTTATAGAAATGCGAGCAAGCGAGCGAATGAATAGATTTAGATTGGAGTAGATTTAATTCGGCCCTAGGTCTGGGGTTAACATGATGATGTGATTCATACCTTAATTTAGATAGCGAAGGCAATGCCATTTTTTCTTTCCCTGGTTCTAACCTTATGGACTACGAGTCTCATCTATTCTATCACGCCTCCCACTTTAAGCTGAATACTTCAGCTCCCGCCCGAGAAATTCCTACCTCGACCTCCCCGTCTTCGCTTCGCACGCTTGCGGGTATTTTCTCTCCCTTTCTCTCTAGTATAATCTTACCCGAACCCTCGGGCAACTTGTAAAATTGCCGACCGAACCGGCTAAGGAAACCCTCTAGCTTCTCCTGGGTCACATCTGCTTCCGTGATCACTCCGCGCTCAATTGCCTCTTCGAGGGCTAGAATGATAAGCTGTGTTACGTATGGTTGCGTGTATACTCCTGCTGGTGCTTTACCCTGTGCGGCGGAGGTCTTGGATGCTAGGGGATGAGGCGCGCTATCGCTCCCACTAAAATTATGGGAATTAATATACTGATGGGTAATTGAAATCTGGTTTGATGAAGGGATGACTTACAAGAAGAATTTTGGGTCGCCGCTGACAATAGTCTTGACTAGTGCGTCTCTATCCGTGGGCTTCTTTGGAATTGGCTTACAGAAGGCGAAGGGATCGCAGCAAGCTTCATGGGAGGTGAGATATAAATGGTGGGCAGTGATAGTTGCTATACCCCACTTATGTCAGTATCGCCGATGCGAAGATGGGGGTTCGTAGGGGGTTCGTACCACCAACGGTAGGTCCGCAAGCTTTTACAGCTTCTACGGCCGCAGCAGTAGTACAATGTTCAAGCTAAGGTAAAATCAGCAATGGTGTTAAAAGGTGTACGAGGGGCATCCAATATCTAACTTACCACAATGCGCAGCTGTGGAAACCTCTCATGGAGAGTTTTTAGCGTGGGGAGGAATGCCTCCTCTAGTGTTGTGTCTGCTGGCGCAAGAGATTCTAGGACTTCTCCGTGTAGATTTAAAACTTTCGAATTGTGTCAGCTTGAGATAACTCTTGGGGCATTGTAGACGGTATCGGAGTAGATAATGGCCTTTGGCTTTTCATAACTCTTGGGTGCCTTGGTAGATATGATTAAGATTAGGGATTCGTTGTAGTATCCGTACCTAATCCGTGCTGTTCCATAGCAGAAAATGTGGCGTAGAAAGCTTCAAGGTTCGAGACGCCAGATTCGGAGTTCGTAGTTACTCCTGATGGTCTGTTAGTATGTTGCTTGTAACCAGACATAAGGAAAGGGGGCTTGCCTTGTGGGTACATCTTCACACCAGTAATGCCAGCAGCTGCAGCTTGGGCGATGACTTCAGGCGTGACTGAGGGATGAAGCTGGGATAAGTTAGACATGTATACCTTTATTAGATATAGAGTTCAATATTAGATAGGGGAACTAACGAAGAGTGACATTAGGAAGTTAACATCCGGAGCAAGGGCGCGTAGCTTCGATTGGTATTCAAGCACCTTATTATAATTTAGTTATTTGATTTTAATATCATCTTCATATCTCTATCCGAGCCTCATATACATACCTGGTCGACTGCTGTGAGGGGAGGCACCTAGTCCCAAGTGCATTAATACGTGTTGTTAATATAGTATACTTATAGGATATAAATGTGTGTATAGAGTCTAATATCTTGAGGAGAACCCTACATACAAGATTGGGCATGCTACGCTCCTTGGTCAGCTCGCATATTCCTCTCTAACAACGTGGATAGGAAGTTATACACAAAGACAGTGTCAACTCCGCCTCGTCGCACGGTAGGTACCATCAATTCCAGAAGCTCTCCTTGTCGTAAGTGAACATGCATATCTGCTGCCGGCGGCAGCTCTAGCCGTTCGAGACCTTTGAGCTGCATTTTGAAGATAATATCTGTAGAATAGTATAAACAGATAGGCAAGGTATCTACCTGGTAGACTAAAAGGTGAGTTTGAAGATTTAAAGTGAAGAAAGGCCCCGCTATTTTGAAAGATAGAAAATGTTTTTGAAGTATCTTTGTACATAGATCTATAGTGGGGGTGTCGGATAAGGTATCCATGGACGGACGGGTTTACATAAACAGACCCATTAAATTATGACTACACTATGCATATATTTTATGTACATATGCATGCACTGTCACCGGAGTGTCCACTTAAAACGCGGCATAACTAAATTGAATCACCTGCACGCGCGCCTTGAAGCGAGTACTACCCATGGATGGCTCGTGCTCTTTTCTTGGGCGGGTCCATCATGAAGGTTGAACTTTACTCAATACATCGTCTTTTTTCCAATTAGGCGACAATATAGAACCACCTTCCCTCGACAATCACGTCCCATTCAATCCATCTTCTCGTGTAAATCAATCACAATTTTCCCATGGAGTTTCTACGGAACGCTTGTTCCAAAGCGGCTTCATGACTCGCAACAATCTTCGCGATCAATTAACTTGGCTCCTCGCGAATGTTGCTACAACCGCGCCAAACGCGCCTGTACTACCACCAGCCTTGAACAATACCCTTCCCGATACGATTCCTTCGATTGACCCCCCGAGAATCTCACGACCCGAAACGCGTATAATCAATAATAATATCCCCGAACCGCCTTTATATCCAGAATTACCAGACCCTTTGTCTCCAAAGCAATCCCATGGGCCGACGAAATCGGTGTCTCGACCACTCGAAGTACCCGGGGGGGATTCGGTAGCAGAGAGTGGAAGAATGGGTCGGTTAACTTCAAAATCTAATTCCAAACGACCGAGTCTCGTTCTACGCCAAGAGCAATTGCTTACTCCTACTTCGACCGGTGGAGGTGCGGGGTCCCTTGCGAAGGAGTATGCCGCACTGTTGAAAAATCCAGGTTAGATCCCCTGCTTTATTTACAAAACAAGAATGCAGCTGATACAATACTATAGATGTGGCAAATTCAGCTAAGAAAAGGACATCGCCACGGCGCCATTTTCCTACGCCGGGTCCGACATTCGATAGTGACCGTACCTTCGATTCCTTAGATCTGAGTAAGGATGACAATTTGGATACAACATCTAACTCCGTCGGGTTCGGGGGCAACGTTGCCGTATGGGAGGAGGGATTTGCTTCACGGCCGGGGCCGCCTTCAGTTACCACCGCACCTTCAGTCGCGTTTGGACCTGACGTAGGGCTTTGGGAAGAGGAGCATGCTATGCGAGCGGAACCAATTTCAACTACCGAAAACTCTGTGGCGTTCGGGGAAGACGAGATGGTATGGGAAGAAGAACATGCTTCGCGCCCAGCGCCGTTCACTCCCAAGAGAGGCCAAAAACGAAAAAGCGATCAGTTGAACCCATCACCCGCTACTAATCTCGGTGGTATAGATGAATTCCCCGACATTTACGAGGTTTTATCTAAAGAGGAGGTTGCACAGTCTCATCTTAAGAGATCCCCGACGAAATCTCCAGCAAAGTCGAAATTGAAGACCGCAGCTAGCCAAACACCATCAAGAGGCATAACGTCTTCTAGAAGGGAGACAGCTCGTCGAGCTCGGAAAGGGACAGATCCTATCGATGAATCGCCTCTTGCTGAGGGCACTGTGAAGCGATCTCCGCTCAAACCAAACGAGGTTTTCCCCAGTGTAGCGGTTACCCCTGGGGATCGAAGCGATTCGCCTATCAAGCTTGACTCATCCTCGGAAAATACCCCAACCACCCCTAAAGCAAAGACTAAGAAAAAGTCCCAATCTTCGAAGCGTAATGACCGAATTATCCAGGATTCGGATGATGATGATCTCATGACTCCTACTGGGGACATCCCGGGTAGCACAATTTGTTCAAGCGGTCGTCCCAGGGCTTCTCTTCGGATATCTCAAGGACCCGATGATGTTGTCGCCTTTGACACACCTTCGAGACCGAGACAAGCGCCACCGACTGAGCAACGGACTCCGTTCCGTTCACCTAGAAAGGACGCATTACCTAAAGCTACGATTCTAACCTCTGATTACGATATAGGAGCGGGTCCCTCGCAAGGATCTCAGCCTAGATCTCAAACACCTATTTCAATTAGCGACGAAGAGAAGGATGCTATTTTTGAACTGTTTTTGGCCAGGCCGTCAGTAATTGATACAAGGAGGAGGCAGTTGGAAACGAAACTCCAAGAAAATAAAGACACTTACAAGCAATCACTCAAAAGTGGAAACCTTGAACCTAGAGGCCGACTCAAACAAGAGAAAGAGCGTTTAGTACGGCAACAGGCAGCCCTGGATGAACTTTGTAGCGAGTTTCGTTTATATGAGGAGGTTCAGGCCAAAAAAGACGCTTTAATTTCGCGGATAGCGGATGCCTATGACCAGGATCTCGACACAGAGGACGACGAAACACGTCTTGAGGAATTAGAAGGCTTACTCAATGGACGCCGAGTATCCTTAAAAGACAGCGTCGTGAAAGCGGGCATCGACAACAGGAGTATTTTCGACGTTGGCGAGACGGAGCCTGACCATGTCAACCCTGTGGTACAAGCGACCCAAGCGGCTAGAACTGTTCCACCAGTGAGCTTTTCGAGGGAATCAACCCTTATCCCGCGGGGTGGCACGCAAGTCATCTTACAAACACAAATACCTCAACAGGCAAATCCTCGGTTATTTGCTAGTCAATATTATGGGGAGGCGTCTTTACCACCTCCAAATTCGACAGGAGGGCGCCGTCGCCGCATTGCATCACCTTCTCCCGACATGGATTTGGATAGGATGATTGATGACCAGCCACCATTTGCCGCGGCTAGCAGCAAGCTGACAAGAACTCCGAACCGTCAGAAGTCTACCGTGACGATAGAACCAGATCCCTATGGCTTTGAAGATGACGATGACTTGTTTGATGACCCGTTGCCCCCGCCCAGCCGCCGAACCACAAAAAAAACAACGGCGAATGGCAAGACTCATAAGAGCCCGCCCAAAGCGAAACAGAGCCACCAGCAGGGTTATCAGAGCGACTACAGTGATGATGTTGATATGGTTCAATTTGCCGAACAGTTTGAATTTCAACAATCGTCAACGGAGAGTCGACAGCCCAAAGCCCATCGTACTGTCCTCTCGGAGACGTCTGGAAATGCCGGTGTAAGACCTGAGAAGGCGACCGGGACGAAAGCGGTGGACCCAATGGCGCCAACCCAGATCCCGCGAGAACTGAAAACCCGGCCATGGTTTAAAGACGTCAGAAGGGCGCTTAAAGATAGATTTCGCATGACTGGGTTCAGACATAACCAGTTAGAAGCGATAGATGCTACTCTAGCGGGTAAGGATGCATTCATTCTCATGCCTACTGGAGGCGGGAAGTCTCTCTGCTACCAGTTGCCCGCCGTCGTTACTAGCGGGAAGACTCATGGTGTTACGGTCGTCGTATCGCCTTTGCTCAGTTTGATGCAAGATCAAGTAGACCATCTGAACGCGCTCAATATCAAAGCGGCTTCCTATAGCGGTGAAACCAAAAAAGAAGAACGGCTGGAGATACAGGGGTACTTACAGGAACGGAACCCTGAACATTATCTACAGCTTCTCTACGTTACTCCCGAAATGATCAACAAGAGTAAGGCCTTCACGGATTGCTTGAACGCCCTCTACCGCAACGAGAAACTGGCCCGCCTCGTCATTGATGAAGCCCATTGCGTGAGTCAATGGGGCCACGATTTCCGGCCGGACTACAAAGAACTTGGCAACTTTCGATATAGTTTTCCTGGGGTGCCTCTGATGGCATTGACAGCCACTGCGACCCAAAATGTTATCCTGGACGTTAAACATAACCTGGGGATTGAAGAATGCAAAGAGTTTTCACAGAGCTTCAACCGTCCTAATCTTTACTATGAAGTCCTCAGAAAGGAGAAGGATAACGTTGAGAGTATTGCCGACTTGATCAATTCTAAATATAGTAGTATGACAGGAATAGTCTATACGCTTGCTCGCAAGTCGGCGGAGAAGATTGCAGAGAAGCTACGGGGCCATGGCATAGCAGCCCATCATTACCACGCGAGCATTGGTGTCGATGAAAAAGCGAGAGTCCAGAAAAACTGGCAGGCCGGCCGGATCAAGGTTGTGGTCGCAACTATTGCCTTTGGGATGGGAATTGATAAGCCCGATGTTCGCTTTGTCATCCACCAGTCCATCCCAAAGAGCCTTGAGGGATATTACCAGGAAACTGGTCGTGCTGGTCGAGATGGTCTGCCATCCGAATGTTATCTATATTTTAGTTACGCCGATGTAACATCCCTGCGGAGGATGATCACGGATGGTGATGGCAACGAAGAACAAAAAGAGAGGCAGAGAAACATGCTGAACACTGTCGCAGCATTCTGTGACAACCAGAGTGATTGTCGACGAGTCGAGATTCTTCGTTACTTTGGAGAGGCGTTCGAAAAAGAAAATTGCGGTAAAACCTGCGACAACTGTCTGAACAACGAAATATTCGAGCAGAAAGATTTTAGCGAATACGCAGTGGCCGTATTAAATATTATCCGGTCTCAAGGAAAGCTCACGCTCAACCAGTGTACGGACTTCTTGATGGGAAAGAAAAAAATATCGGAATACAAAGACGGAACCGAGCACTATCGTGGTATGGCCAAGCAATTGCCGAAACACGAAATACATCGTATCATCGACCGGCTGCTTGCTGAAGGTGCATTAAGAGAGGAAAATGTCTTCAACAAGAGGGCGAGAATGGCCATCCAGTATTTCCGAGTAAGTAACCTCAATAATTGCAAATATACATTACTAACGGTGTTATGATAGGTCGGGTCAGGGGCACGTCTCTTCTTAAATAACCAACGCCAACTTTTCTTGACTACCCGAGTTAAGGGCAAGGATAGTCAGGGTGGTCCATATAAGAGACAGGCGCGAATTAACCAACCCGCTGCTCCCGCAACGAAGAGGGTCACATCCGCCCATGCTCCCTCTACGAATGTGTCCTCACCCGTTCTGGGTAAGGATCGCAAAAGGAAAGGGAAGGCTATATTGACCTCGGATAATGAAGACCCGTTTGCTTCTGATAATGGGTATGCCAACGATGGCTTTGTGGTCCCTGACGATGATTCCGACGATGATTTCGAGACAATGCCCCCTCGCAGAGGCAGAACCCATCAAAAAAGAGTTGGCCCCCCGATATCGCGCGACGAGCGTACGGCCGGATTAAATGGTCTGCATGATGATGTAATCAGTGGCTTTCTTGAGGCAGCCAAAATAAAGGAAGAAGAATTACGGAACTCTAAGAATCTACGCACGCCTATTTTCACGGAACAACAACTCAGAGAAATGGCTATAAGATGGACCGTGTCATTAGATCAAATGCATATGATTCCTGGTATCAACAGCGATAAGGTAGATAGATACGGTAATTCGTTCCTGCCCCTGATCCAGCGATTTCACAAAAACTATCAAGAGATAGTTGGTCCGATGAGCCCCAAAACTGCCGCCGCGGTAACTGGCACTCAGAATGTGGTTGAGATTTCCTCGAGTGATGATGAGGATATGGAGGACGTGGAAGATCAAGGCGCTGTGTCGTCTTATTTCGCACCTGGAGAGGCACGAGCGAGACGAGGCGCTACGGCATCATCTCGTGTACGCTCGATCTCACCAGCTCCTCAACAACCAAGGAGTAGTACATGGCGTGGTGGCAAGAAACCATTTAGTAGACGGAGCTCGGGTGGTTCTAGCAGAGGAGCAAGGTCATTCGGAGGTGTCAAGAAGAAGGCTGCTACAGGTAGTCGGAAGACCACCACGGGCGCATCCGCGCGCTCAACAAGTAAGGCGACTGGCGGTAGTAGGGCCAAGTCGCAAAGTGTAGGCAATAGCGGCATCGGACTTATGGAGCATTAACGAATCGGCCCAAGTTTTTGTTTAAAAGGGGTACGCTATTAGTATATAATAGTCACTACTCACCCTACTTCTCGCGCTTTTTTCGCATGGCATGGATCAACGACTGCATGGTATGGTGCGGCTACGGCGCGGCGTACTTGGAGGCGTCTTTTTGAGGTTATCTGTTTTTATTCTTTTTTTGCCGACCTGGCTATGATTACACGAAGGATGGCGGTGGCTAGAACTTCATACCCTTGCCTAACAGCATACATCATGTACCTTTTCTCACTTTCCCACAATCACTGACATTGCTATCCTTCTATCCCGTCGAGGAAAAGATCTATGGCTAGATAGGTTTGGTATTTTAGATATCCCACCTGAGCTTTGATGCCCTGAGGGTAGAATAAAATAATGTATATGTGGAATTCAATCTCTGTAATTCGGTGTTGTGATTTGTACCCGGATAGGTACCTAGACGCTTAGGAATTGCTTCAAATATAGTGGTTTTGGGTGGAAGTGGGTGCGTTATTAGGCGTAGCTAGCAGACTGCTCTTAGTGGCTTTAGGGGGGAAGCCCGGTTTGAATGTTCCGGCGGTAATCATCACTATTGTCTTTGAATTTCTAGCGCGATGAAGATATTAGTCAGCATCTTCGAGAGCTATTGCTATCATATTTTAGTGGTCGAAATTTGGGTTATGGTGCGCTGGGGTGCGCTACTGCCACTAAGTTTTAGTGATCGTGGGTGGTGTATGGGAACGTTAAATAGCGCTGTTGTCGGCACTGTGGCTCCCGTCAACCAACCTTTTCCTAATGGGCGGAAAGCCAACTACAAGGATAGAAACGGAACAAACATGAATGCAGGACAATTCATATTCAGGTATGAAGGTGGGATGGTTCAATACCAATTCTCAAATTTAATAGACTACATCACTACCTCCTGCCATCTTTACCTCAAGTAGTTCTCTTCCCTCTGTCGACCTCGCCTTTGCCTTCTCCCTATCGCGTGCCACTGGCGCCCAACAGCCTGAGTGGATTACACACGGGTAGATTGTGGGTATATCATACAACACGGCACCTCAGCTTCTGTCTGGTCTGGAATTTTCATCTCGTCTCCTCGCGAAGAGGGACATAGAAATGCCCATCTGCCTGCTTTCTCGGCCTCTCAACTCTCCTATCCTCGGCATGCTCAATCTGTCCGCTCTCAACAGCGTGTTCATCGGCTTGTTGCCCCACTTTCACCACTATATGCCACGACCCTCAGTATCAATTCCAATGGCTTTCTCTCAATTGGATATGACAACGCCCCAACAGCCACCAACAAAACAACCATAAAAAAGTAAGAGAAGAGGTATCAGGTATCACAGCAGGACCCATATTCCATGACGAACCCCCCTTTGCTGTTTGGAATACTTAAAAAAAGACAAGAACAATAAACCTGGAATAATAAAAAAAATGTAATTATTCCCCCAAAACGCCTTGGCCCGCTTCCGCATTCGCCATGCTGCGTTTGCCCTCGTTTCCGCGTCACGTATTTGGTATTATGGCGGGGTTGGTGGTGATGGAGTTTGACAAAAAATATGGACAAGTGAATAGAAGAATAATAATCCAAACCGCAAGGAAAAAACACCAACAACGAATGCGTCGTACTTTTGTGACAATATGCTTTGCGCCAACAAGCTAGTAATTCCCATTATGAATCGTGCAACAACCTATGATAGATGTCGGTTTCTCGATCTGCAAAAAAAGACAAGTCCTTCGTGGTATCATTGGAATAGAATCGAAACATAAGGAGATGTGAAGATGCCCCGTCTAGCAGGTCGTCAACAAATGGGATAGTTACAAGGGAATTGGCTATGCCTTCTCCAACTGTGGTGCTCGCAGCGAGCTGCGAAATCCTCCTAAAAGGGATAAGCGAGAGTTCGGACTACCTTTTAGAAGTGCCAACGAGGTTTATTGTCTTTCGGTTTTGATTCTGCTGCGCTGCTACCCTTACGCATAGCAACACGAGCCGCAGCAGTAGCATGTGGGCTATGGCGACCCGTTGAATCTTCCAAATTCGACTTAGGCTGAGGCAGTAAGCTCGAACGTCGATTAGTCGTGGCCAGGGAGCTAGCTGGTCGCTGCCTTGGGTCACTGATACTGCTATCTGGCCTTGGAGGGTAAAAAGATGCTCTTCGGTTCTCATTTGTAGAGGCAGATAACTGCATTGATAGTCGGGGTTTGGCGGCAGAATATTGGGCATTTTGCCCTGAAGCTGCGGCATTAATACGTTCGCGGAAGGAAAGCCGAGAAGCACTCTTCCTGGGAGGTGTATCCTCGGGAATGGGAGAGGACGAAGAGGCCCTCGCTAAACCACTGCGGAGCGGAAGCTTGGAGCCCCCAGAAGCCGGGGTAAGGGAAGAATTTGAACGGATAGAAGTAGGGGTCTTCTTGGCGTATGGGCTAGGAGTGGTGAGGGTGAGAGGCTTGAAGTTGTGTCCTACATCGGAGTCATTCGTGTTCGTAGAAGAGTTCCATCGCGGGCGATTATCGGCAACACTAGAAGTAGATCTAGGAAGGCGAGTAGCAAGAGGGGTGGCAGTGCCACTTCGAGGCGGCGTTGTCAAACTAGAGGTACCTGGTTGTAGCATAGACAACCGAGATCCGGCGCCCCGACTTCGTGAGGGGGGTGCCAAGCTTGAACTACCTCTACGAGCTGTTGCGGGTTGAGGTAGATGAGTCCCACCGCTCTTAGTGTTGCGCCTCTTGTTCTGGGATGAAGGAGTAACTGGGTCGAGACCTAGGCTAGACATGACGACCGATGATGGAGGCGAGCTTCCCGGTGTCTCATTGCCACTAGCAACTGTAGACCTATCATTCGAGAGCATGCTCGAGATAGAGTCCCGTAACTGTTGGCTCTGCTTGTCAGACTGAATCTCTTCCAAGATAATACCCATTTTCCTCATCGAGTCCTTTACTTCTTCCCACTTCGATTGCAACTCGTTGTGTAACCGGAGAATCTCTCCATTGACTGTTAGTCTGTCTTTGACACCCTTATCGATGATAGATAGCACGCGTTCGATCGCTGGTCCGTAATGCACCTTCTTGGCCTCGTAGCTCTCGATCTTCTTACTCATCGCTGCGGGACTCGAGAGCTGCAACCCTTGGTCCACAGCCTCGCCCAGCTTTTGCATGCTCCGGTCAACAGACTCGATCATCTTCTGAGCCTGTCTACCGGCACCGCGGAATACGAGAACCCATTTATCTTCGCCAAGTTCTCTTCTCAGGGACTCGGCATCCTTCTCGAGCTTCTTGTAGCTAGCTTCCAACCCATCTCTCCTCATCTCGAGCTCTTCACAGGCTGTTGGAAAGGCCCCCGAAGCTCTTGCTTCGAATACTGATAAACGCATAGGTAAGAAGTCCAATGAGGCTCTCAATGGTTGCATTCTTGCAAACAGGGCAAGCAAACTTGAGTCATCCTGGGTAAGAGCGGGTGTTCCCGGCGAGCTTGGGCTGAGCGGAAACGAAGGAACGCTAAATCGATTATTGCGTGCGACGGCTGGTGGTGTTTCCTCGACAATTGTCTCTAAATCGCCAATATCCACCGCGTCCCCATTCGAAACTGCCATCATAGATTTATGACGTCGTTCCTCCATCTCGAATATCAGTCGGCTCAACTCGTCCATCTCGTTCTGGATATCGCCAAGGACCATGTTCCATAGCTCTTCCCATTCCATAGCTGTCTCGACTTGCCCTTTAACGGTATTCAGCGTATTGCGAATCTTTGCCCATTCGTTCATTATGGCCTCCATTTGCGTCACTGCCTTTTGCAAGTCCTCGCCGGACACGTTACCAATATCCCGTCGATTCTGAAGTTCTTCGATGGCGCCGACGTAGACATTGATTAAGCTCTCGAATCTTGTGATGGCGTTCTCTACCTCTTCGTACCCCTCTCTGCCACCAGCCGCCGCCCATTCGACATCATCGTCACTGTCTAAACCTCCAATAACCTCGGAGGCTTTCGAAATCCAACTTCTTATTTGTTCAGCAGCACCCAGCAAAGCCTTCGTTGCTGCCTGCGCGGTGGGGATAGCGGCGACCCTACTCGATAACAATTCGGCATCGGGCAGCTGCAACGCGGTAAGCTGGGCTAATTGATTAGCAAACGAGGCACGAGATATCGTGTAGATGGATCCTGGCCGCTGAAGACCGAGTGGGTTGAAGTAGGTGGGAAGATCAGAAGAAAAGTCGGCGGGAGTTGTGCCTCCGGGGGGCGTATCCTTGGGCGGTAGAGGGGGTGGTATTTCTGATTCTTCGGGTTCAGGTTCAGGTTCTAGCGCCGGGGGGTTAGAATCTCGTTCGAGATGTTCTTTACGCGTGTCTAACTGCGCCTTGGTGCCATTTCCGTTCGTATGGTCGGGCAACCGATATTTGTTGGTATCCATATCCAAAGGCGGAGCTTCTGTTATTTCAGGCAGAAGCTCAGGCTTGGATGTGGATTCCGCCTGAACGATAGATGGTGGCCTTTCGTCTTCACTCGTGCTCTTCCTTCGAAATGAGTCGCGACTAGATTTAGATCTTAATAATTGAAAGGGGGTTCCGGCACCCTTCCAAGGACGACCGCGCCGTTCTACGACTAGTTCGCTAGAATTGGCTTGATGGTTCTGATCGAGTAATCGTAGTTGATCTTCGGGCAAACGACCTATTTCGTGTTGTGGTAATTGAAGTAAGGATGAGGAGGATTGTCTCTGCGAACCGAAACCCAAAGCCTTGAGACGGGCTGCTAGGCCGGGGGAGGGTTTGCGCGGTTGATGATTTTTGGCCTTGAAGGAGGGAGAAGTATCGATATTCACAGCGTTGTTGTTGTTATTGTTATTATTATTGATATTGGGATTGGGATTGGTGGTGGGATTTTCGGCAGGGAGAGGTCCGAGCTGTGTCAAATCGGTCGGGACGTCAGAAAATGTCAAAAGGTCTAGAGATGGGTCGGCGGCATTTTGTTGTTGATTGTCAGGAAACCCTGGCTCCGAAAAAGCGGAGGTCTTCAATGTGGGAGATTGGCGAGAGGAAGAAGAGACTGGTCGGTTGATTTGTTCTTGGTCTTGGTTGTGGTCTTCGTTGCGGTTCGGTGATAAATTAGAGAATGGCGCCGCTTCTGTTCTTCTGTCTTCCGTTATTGATGGGCCTGTTGATGGGCCTGTTCCTGTTTCTGCTTCTGCTTCTGTTCCTGCTGCTGTCGCTGCATCTGGTGCTGTTGCAGCTGGACCGGCTCCAGATGGGCCTGTCATTTACCAGTTGTAAGTGATAAATAATTCCTGTATAGATCACTTATTATTATTTCTTTTTTTTTTCTTTATTTTTAAATCCTCCCTTTATTTTCTTCTCGTATCTTTTAGCTGAAGCAGCGCGCGTAGTAGTCTGTGTTCAATGTTGCCCACTTTCTTTCCTACTGCACGGCACAGACACAAATGACAGGACTCCCTGACTCCTTGTTATTTTTTTCTGTAGCCACGGGATGATCTCTCCTTTTTTTTTCTCCTCTAAGGAATGGGTGGAATTACACGTAAGTTGGTTCAAGAAGGGGAGGAATTGGCGTGTCCGGGGCGAGTTCGTGCCAGACTTGATTGGGTGATTGGGTACTTGATTAGTACTTGATTGGTGGGGGAGTTGTAATCTGTACTTGTCGCGTATCAAGAACGGTCGCGCCTATTCGCTGGTAATTGGCTTTGATGGATTTATTCCACTGTTAAATTGCGTAGGTTCCCTCCTGCCCTATACAAAAATAATAAAACAAGATTTGGTAAGGAACCTTGGTAGGTTACATGTAAGAGATACAGTGGTTGTACCTATACACGCATCCTACTAGGTGGTATACTTTGGCCAATGACTTTTCAGTTTAATGAGATCCTGAAGTAAGTGGAAGGCAGGGTAAGGAGTACTTGAACGCTAAGGTCGCACCGTCCCTTTTCAGCGCGCAGTTAGTGGTGAAAATAGGGAAGTAGTTGGTCGTAGTACCGGCAAGGGAGACCTGTGAAAAGTTTCCACCTTTCAACTTTGTAAGGGCCTGGTGGGTCGAACCAATTCTCTGGAGTGGATTAATTCCCTTTCTATCCTTGTCGTGTTTTTTCTTGCACAGCCGAGCTTCGTCTTCAAATCGAAAATCTTCGATGATTCTATCCGAATACTTTCTTCCCTATGCGCCTTGTGGATTCTCTCAGTACGAACTAATCAGACTCGATAAGAAAAATATCGCATGAGCTGGGCGGATTCAAGATTCTTCGGGTTTCGTCTCGTAATTACCGATCAGGAGTTTGGTACTCTAGTTAGAGGGTAGAACGAATGGCCTTGCGTATACTTCGGAGCTGCTGAACAGATGAAACGGAGGAAGCGAGTGAACACGATGCTGATTCACCAAAGAAAATTTCCTTGTGATAATAATATGTGAAAAAGAAGGTAAAGAAGAAAAGGACAACTAAGATTTGTCTAGAGGATGTCGATGCCCAACCTGCTCGTTTCTAAGCCACCAGGTCTTAGTACCTAGGTAGTCTCGGACCGTTGCAGTCGGTCAAGAAATGAATGTAAAAAAAGCAACTTATGCGTCCGTCACAAAAAGAACGAGTCAGTTAGATGCTGACATACATACGATACGTACGATATGATACACATGCAACACATAAGAAATACCAGCAGAGGGAAGCGAAGAAGGAAAAAAAGGAAGAAAGGCGACAAGGTCCCGTACGGCTACTTTTCATTTAATTAAATAGCAGGCAATGCGAGACGACTTCTTTTCCATCTCTTCCCGGGGTGATAGTCATTCATTCATAAGACCCAGTTTCCGGTAATCTCTTTAATTCGTGACTCGATTTCGTCTTTTCGAGAACACCCCCAGCAATCCGGCTACCCAGTTAGCCAACTACCCGGGTAACAGAAAGCAACTAATGATAATAACACTGAAGAAAATCAGTGTGGGGATAGAATGTCAAGAGACTCGACGATTTGCATAGGCATACGCAATGTCTATACGCAACTCTCATCTTCTACAGCGGAGTATAGCAAGCAATCCATCCTCGCTGTATACGTCGCAACGCCTTCCTAAACCAGCACAGATTATATTCCTTCGGCCGTCTTACCACTAGTTTAAAGATCTCACATTCCTATGTAACCATTATGACAGCAAATATTGATGGTGATACCTCAATGTGCCTCGTGCACTCGAAACATTCAAGCCTGCCACATGGGTTAGGTTAAGGCTTGCCGAACCGTTGGTTAGGACCTAGAGGATTACCAGGACCAGGCCACCAGCGTATCTTATCCGTTCGGTCTGGACTGGGGTCGGGGAACAAGCAAATTACACACTACAACATTGTAGATGTCCACCTCGGAAATGAGGATATGTCATAATTATTCATAAAAAATGTGTATAGTCAAAACATGAACGCCAAGACGGCATGTCTATTTATCTCTTCATAATCCTTCTAAGTTATTTTCTTGTTATGATTGTAGTTGACAAATCATGTTACGGAAACACTTCCGAATATCGTCGGGGAATGGAGAAAAAGGAATACCATACCGAAGTTATGAAAAGTTAGGTATGGTATAAGTTCAGGGAGCAGAGAGAGCTTCTAGAAACTTGATCACACGCGTTATGCATAGGTACCTAGGTAGGTAACCCTACTGCAGAAAGCATGCAGGCTGCTAATATAAGAACCGCAGTCACTAACCTAGGTGCTACGCACAACACTGACAGCTGTCTGTGCCATATGTGGGGTGATGATTGGGCAATGGACTGCTACTTGGGTATCGTATAATACATGTAACATAAGACGTGGAGAGAAAGCTACGGACACAACCCGTCTCCTACGCAGATTCCAGCATCTCGATGACAAGAGAATAATCTGCCCATCATGATAATTAGAAAGGGAGTTTGTTCATAATATCAAACCCGACACAAACATTCGAATAACTTCGATATGCAAAGGGAATGAATGCATGTACCTAATTAATTTCTGTTGCCCAGCCAGCCGATGCAGTTCCAAACGATGTGGCCTTTAATTAGCTTGGATGCCTCGACTAATACGCCTAACTCCGTATTATGTGTAAAGAGGCAAAGGAGTCATCATCGATTTCTTCCTTCAATAACATTGTCATCTTTTACTGGCTTTACATTTTTAAATATCCATTGTATATCCAAGTCGTTCATTCAGGAATGCAAAATTAAGTCAAAGGATTTGATCCATATAGGATTTTGTGTTCTTCCATTTCGTTTAAAATAAAAGCTGTCATCTTTTCTGTCCGTTGATAATATCGGACTTGAGAACTAAAAAGCTAAAAAGGGGCAAAAGGGAAGACGCTGATTGGTTAAATCCGTCCCGATTTGTTTTACGCGTCTCCACCCGGCCGAGGACCGACTCGACGCGAAGAAACCTAATTACCTTCTTATGGAACCAGCTAAGAACGGCTAAGAACATTGAATCGTTGAACCACCAAAATACATTCATTATTTTTTAATTATTTTTAACCCCCTGGTTCCCCTTCTCCAAAAGGGTCCCCACTCCCTCACGGATAACATCGCACTAGGTTCGAAGTAGGTAAGATGCCCCCCAATTGATCTCATGGGGGAGAAAGTGCCACGCTTGCCTGCTATCTTACGACCTGTACCTGTGTGATTGTTTATTCTCCGACACATAACTTGATGCCGCTTGTTTCACATTATTTACATTCTTCATAGCGCAAAGAAGCCCGCAACCCATTCATTCAAGCTCATCCGACCATTGACTAGGAAACGCTCTTTTTCGCAACTATATTTGTTTTAATTTCAAAGCTGTTGAACAGTCAGTTCTGACTCATAACCCTCATTTCGATCTCGCGATTCTTCGCCGTTTCATACGAATACCAAGAGTCATCTCTACAATCCAATCGAACCGTACAAATACCAGATCCCGAATCGCAAGCTTCATATTCAGGCGAATCGAAACTACCGACTCCCATATCCCAGAAAATAAGATCAATCATGGCAACCAACGCAGACGAACGGCCAACATTTCGCCGTGATTCCCCCTCACCCGAGACCACTCCTACGATGGCCCTCAATTCCAATAGGATGAGTACCGGTCGGATTGTTTCGACCTCCTCATCTGTTTCCCGCACCTCAAGTGCCGATGGTGCTTATCGAGATTCCCTAAGTAGCGACGCATTCTCTCGACTATCTTCCTCGAGCTATCAATCTAGAAGATCAGACATCAGCATTGCGTCCTCGCGCCAATCCACCGGGAGTTATGATAGACCCTTAAAGAGACGCGGCTTCACGAAGCCTCAAGGAACGGATTTCGCTTCTAGTGCAAGACATCGAGAGAGTGTTCTAAGTTTGGGAAGCATTTCGCATCTTCAGTACTATTTTGCGAGGACGGGGTTGTTGGATGGGAAAGGTGGACAACTAGCAAGGAAGAGACACCCAAGAGCAACATTAGACTTGTCGCAGTTGGATACATCCTCCTTGCTGAGCCCAAAGCTCACAGCCTCAGATGTAGACTCTTCATATGCCTCGATGGGGAGCAGCCCAGATTTGGGCGCCCAGAATTTCGCCGGTGGCCTCATGGTAGAATCTCCTACCGACGACCACGATGGATTTTACTCGGATGAGTACGAAGAACCGGAAACAGACGTCCTACCACCAACTACAAGTACATACATTCATCGCCAGAAGCCTGTTCCCAAGCCGCCCACTATTGAGGAACTGAAAGCGGACTTGACAAAAGCACTGGATTCCGCATCAAGGGTATTGGCAGAATCAACACCAGTACCAAATAATTCGCCTATCAAAGAGGCTGATCTACCACCAGCACTTCAGTCCCCCAAACCATCGCAAACATGGTACGAAATCCAAGGAGTGCAACTACTGGATGTGATGACGTTAGCCATCCGAGCTGCTAAGATCTACTATACGTCACATGAGCATCCAGATCGATTAGATGCTATCAAGCCCGAAAAGGAAATACGCTCAGAGTTACTTTCGGTCATGGAGGTACTAAAACACATGGCAACTAGGAATTTCGCCGGTGGCCCCCGTGGAGACGAACATAAGACGATGAGGTCTTGGATTGATAGTATACGTACCATGCTTAGGAAGGAGGAAGAAATTGAGAAAGCCGAGCGTGCCGAGAGAGCTAGCTGGACTTGGTTGAAGGGAGACTGGTCCGGAAGGGAAATTGAGCGGGAGATAGCATTTTTGAATTCGATCGACACCGAAGCTGAGCCATTACCGCCATGGACGCCAATTGATCAGAATGGCGAACTCCCAACTCCGTTCTTAGCAAGTTTGCAAAATGGGTTGAGGCTTGTCAAGCTTCATAACGCAACCGTCAAGAAGTCACGACGACGCTTCGGGGCTATTGGAACATTCCATACTGACACACAGAAACCATACAGGTGTGCAGAGAATCTACGATATTGGATCAAAGCCGCCGAACTCCGGTGGGAAGTAATATTAAAAGTGGATGTAATGGGCGTCGTATATAACAGTGATCCCCAAGTATGGGTGGATTTCGAGGCGGCTCTCTGGAAGTGGTGCCGCAAAGTGCGGGAGGAGATCACCGCCGAGTGGGAAGGTTAAGGGCGAGCAACAGCTCAGGCCCTTTTACGAGTTCATGCTTACGACATTCCATTCAGTTAAGATTCTACAAACCAGACTTTGCTGTTCTCGATGAGCAAGCAAAGGAGGTCCTCATGGTTGGTTAGTGACCATACCAAAAGAGCGAGATGTTGCCATATCACCATTTACACCATATACCCCCAAAAGCATAGTATTATTGATTGGTCTTGTATTCATCCGACCCTTTATCAAAAGTTTCCATACTTGAAGGATACCTAAGTTGATAAAACAACCAAGCTTATTATTTTTTTTTCCACTCAGCTTCGATCATAGCAGATAGCTTCCATACCATTCAACCATGAATTGAAAAAAATACATGGTGCAAACATATTTCTAAAACCAAGTATTGAAGAAATCCCAAGTGATTCATCCAAATACCAGCTCTAATAATTAATCAAGCGGTATATGTTAATGGCATACTTATGTGTGTTGGTCATCATGAATGTTTTAAATTGTTATTAATGAATTATGTAAGTCAGAATTGTATTAGATAATACGGTAGATTCTCGAGTGGGTCTAGACTTGGCGGACCCGGCCAGGCAAACGGAAGCTGCATCAGCTATTAAGGTTTACTACATGCATCTAGCAACGGGGCTTCATCATTGAAGCTCCATCATAATTGACTTTCACTTTCATAACAACCTTCAACCAATTTTCTATACCGCGCAACACATTCCCGTTCTCATCATAGTCAAATAACATACCTTCCAAACGAAGAATTCGATCTTCCTTCTCTCTTCTTCCTCGCCGCCACCCGATTTTTTTATCCGAACTCACATAATCAACACACAATATGGCGTCCGATTCAGAACGAGAGCACGCGCTCCAAGCCCTACGAGCTAAGCTCATCGAGTCGCGAGAGTGGGAATCTAAACTGAAGGCGCTGCGCTTAGATATCAAGGGTTTGGAGAAGGAGTTCAACCAGACAGAAGAGAACATCAAGGCTCTGCAAAGTGTCGGCCAGATCATCGGTGAAGTCTTGAAGCAACTCGATGAGGAAAGATGTACGTCGCCATTATTATCGCCAGCATAACCCTGCGCTACCCACGCAGAATCATTAGAAGATATATAAATGCTAACTTAAGGCTTTTCTAGTTATCGTCAAAGCCTCCTCAGGACCGCGATATGTCGTCGGCTGCAGATCAAAAGTCGACAAAATAAAGTTGAAGCAAGGAACCCGTGTAGCGCTAGATATGACGACACTTACCATCATGCGAATGCTACCCCGAGAAGTCGATCCCCTCGTCTACAACATGTCGCTAGAGGACCCCGGCCAAGTCAGCTTCGCGGGTATCGGTGGATTGAACGATCAGATCCGTGAGCTACGTGAAGTCATCGAGTTGCCTCTAAAGAACCCAGAACTGTTCTTACGAGTGGGTATCAAGCCGCCCAAGGGAGTGTTGCTCTACGGACCCCCCGGTACGGGAAAGACACTGTTGGCAAGAGCTGTGGCTAGTAGTTTGGAGACAAATTTCCTGAAGGGTATGCATAATATTTCCTTTTGACAAAACACAAGCTCCCACTATTTGCTTTTGGACCTGAGCTAACATGTTCTGATTTCTACACAAACAGTCGTCTCTTCAGCTATCGTGGACAAATATATTGGCGAGTCTGCAAGGCTAATACGAGAGATGTTCGGATACGCCAAGGAGCACGAGCCTTGTATCATCTTCATGGACGAGATCGACGCCATCGGTGGAAGACGGTTTTCGGAGGGTACCAGTGCGGACCGAGAGATCCAGCGAACGTTGATGGAGCTACTCAACCAGCTCGACGGTTTCGATTACCTAGGCAAGACCAAGATCATCATGGCGACGAACCGACCTGATACCCTCGACCCCGCCCTGCTGCGTGCCGGTCGTCTCGACCGAAAGATCGAGATCCCATTGCCCAACGAGGTCGGCCGTCTGGAGATTCTCAAGATCCATGCTCAGAGTGTGGTCACTGAGGGTGATATCGACTTCGAGAGTGTTGTCAAGATGAGTGATGGTTTGAACGGTGCCGATTTGCGAAACGTGGTTACAGAAGCGTAAGTCATCCCCCACTCCCCATTTCAGGCATAGCACATTATACCACATGATGAAGTCGAGAAAAGTACTAATTGGCGTTTTCCAGTGGTCTATTCGCAATCAAGGCATACCGAGACGCCGTCAACCAAGACGATTTCAACAAGGCGGTGCGAAAGTTGGCAGAGGCGAAGAAGCTGGAAGGCAAGCTAGAATACCAGAAGCTATAAGGTACGGCAGATGTAGCGGCGAGATAAGAAATAACAAGGTCATGGAATTGGTCACCATACTTCATCTATACGGAGTGAACTTCCTACCTCGACCAACGAAATCCTCACCGAGAGCAGTGTCACTGGGATATCTTTCGGGACTACGCTCTTGCTGTGTAAAAATATCTTGTAGAAGGCGGGCGAGGTTACTTTAGCTCTTTTCGCTTAGCCCGTTAGCCTCGCTATTAATATGATGAAGGATGGATAGATTCTATGGCGGGTTGTCACTGTGTTCTTGCTTGTGTTCTCGTGGGGTCTTGTTTGCTCGCGAAGTCCTCATTCTAGAGGCCGACTCCCTTCGAAATGAAGGGAAATAATCAAGTTGAGTGGTTCGTCGGTTTGTCAGTTGCTATCCTGAGCATCGTTCATTCACACGCCCAGCTACCTAAGTACCTTAAGTCTAGCATAACCATTAACGACTACGACGTCCATACACATTTAGTCCTAGAGTGAGTCGAAGACATAGATTTTATACGTCTAATACATTCTCACGCCTCAAAAGTCTACTAAATCAATTCCTCCCAAAACTCGAGAGGTTGTACTACCCCAGGCAAGCTATTTCTAGTCGCTAATATGCCATTCCTACGAAGAAGTCAAGTTGTGCTAGCGCAAAAATACTTTCATTTGATTTATGGTTCTATTAAATGATAGGGACTCCGATAATCTACTTAGGTAGTCACTTGACTATGTCCTACTTCTGAAGCCGATTTTCAACATCCATCCCATTTGGCGATTACGTCGGGAGATTTGGTTGTACTTCCCTTCGTAACCTCTTGAACAATAGGTATTGGTGTAGATACACTATCGCGCTTCAAGTTGTTATTCTCGAGATTCATTTGCCGCGATATTGTGATAATCTATTACCAAGGTATTGATCCTTAAGAGCTAGTGTACAGAACAGATATTGTATGTAACGCGAAAGGGTGCTGACACGATAGAATGATTTTAGAGGACCATTAATCACGGGTGTAAGTGATATATATACCTTAAATGTCTCTTCATATCACCGATCCATAGGCTAAAGATCATAGTAAATACCTAGAAGCGAACCACATTCCCATTACTTCCTAGAGATATATAAGGTGGAAAGCCCTTGGTATCGGTAGTAAGAAGCTCATACCCAAAATTCACCCACCAGAATTTCCTCACAGCTGAGCTAATCCCGTATATACAATACGGTAACTCATTAGAATATGCCTTCCATAGTATTCAATCATTGTGACTAGATATTCGCGTCAGCCGAGGTATCGATAGCAGCTCCAATAGCATTTACGCACGAGAGCACACATCATTGACCGCACCAAACCGCAAGGAGTCTTAAACACAAGGCCAAAGCTCTTCAGATATATGTATCTGCCAATTAAAATACGTAACTCCTATAAGTATCAGAGATTACCGAGCGAGATAGGATAGATTCATCCTGCATTAGTAGTTGTCTACGCATGTGGTCCTATATTGCGGGTCACTCGAGCTGAGCTGCAGGCGACCTAAATCTTAGTACATCTATATGTAGTTGGTCGAAGGATTACACGTCTAGTTATATGTAGGTCACGATATTGCAAGCTAACGAACCAACAAGTCGAGCTGCTCATTGGATAAAATATACGTAGCTGAGGTTAGCTGGATGAGATAGTGACCAGGCAAGGCTGAGTAGGTGAGAAGAATGCCCATAAAGTGCCTCGGTTCATGATCCTAATGCATTCACTTGCATAGCTAAGATAGACAACGCGGATGAGCACCTCCTAACCAATATCTTGCATTAGTTCGATGCTGTCAATATGCGAGTAGAGATAGAGGAATGATTTGGTGGACTCATTCAAGGAGAATCCACTCGCGGGTTAATGTATCCGAAACCCAATTCCGCAGTTGTGATGAATTGAACGCTGGTAATGAGTATATGCAGGGACTTAACTGGTAATGACTATGTGGAGTAATGATATCAAGGTAAATGCTGTTTGTATAGATCAGCCGCAATGATTTAGAAAATGCTAGTAATGACATTCGTGAATGGAGTTCAACGTTTGGTTCACTATAAATTCCTATGCGGATGACGTCGGTATCCTATTCGGGATTGATCTTGGTATGGACACGTAGTCATGGTAGTGAAGTTTATCAAACCAGTAGGCTAAAGGCTTCGCTAAACAAGACATATATGGATGAACGGTGGGCGATCGAGGTATTTCTCTCCCATACGGTGATGCATTGGCGCGGGTGCATGAATCGTATGAAGCACGTAAGCTTCATTGCAGATTGCAAAGTTGCAGTTACTACCAAATATCAAAGCATAGCAAAGAGAATTGAGCCGTCTGACCCGTATCATTGAAATGATCGAGGCCCTTATTAGTTGTAGTTGTCCAAATAAAGAAATCCAACCTATCGTGTCGGGTACATGCGATTTCCACGTGTGGTATTCAGAGTTACAATGCGCTCGAAAAGACAGGTTCGGACTTCCATAAAATGCAGGCCTCCGGAATAAAAGACATGCAGGCCACTTCCCTGCCAGTCTGACATCAGAATGGCGGGTGGGCTGCCGACAAGGTTACAATGGACTGGTAGTCGGCGTCCGGCGCCCAGGAGAGAGCTTCTCAAGGGTTTCTATTGGGTGGATCGCGTTGCTGCTGCTGCTATTCTTAGGCAATTTTGCCTGCGCGAGTCGCTAGCTGGGAGACCGGTGCGGGTGACGATGCCCTAGTTTGTTCGTAGTGAGTTGTGCGCTCGGGAGGGAAATGACCCTTAGTTTTAGCACAAACAATTCAATCATATGATTGATGATGATGTATGGGGAAAGCCAGAAAAAAAAAAGCGACGTTACTGCTGGCGCAGCCGCGTTGTTGTTGAAGAATTTCTCACCAACCATTTGAAGCTGGGGTATGGGTGAGAAAACAGCATGATAATTGACAATGACATGGTTGGGGTTTGATCACAAACTTGGAAGGGAATGCTGACGCTGACGGGTCTCAGGTCTCATAAAGTCCCTATCTTGTAAAAGTATCGACAGCCAAGCCAACAGATCTGGTTGCTTGACAGTGAATGTTCCACTAGATAGGTACTGGAGCTCAGCCGCTCGTAGGGTTTGTTATCAAGGATGATTGCGACATTCCCTGGGAAATCGATCTGTCTTCTGTTGTGATCAAGGCACCTTTGGTGATCTAGACTGCGAAAATGCTTCCTCTAAAATTTTAACAGTCTGATACGAACTCGTTTTTTTTATTGCTTGACACCTAGATGCAATGCAAGCAAAGAAAAAAAAATCCGAAAATAGACGCGTCATTGCCATTGCGCGCCGTCGAACCCCTTTTTCGATATGTCGTCAGAGCAGGTCGTGTTCGGACGATGGCTTGTTTCTGATATCGGGACTTCCAACGAAACTAGCAAGGGAGTTTGGAGTGGAGTGCAACTGGAGGGTAGCATTCTGGCCGGCTTTGGGCCAAGCCTCAAATGCACTGGTTCCAAGCAAAGCTGGCGAGTTGAGCTCAGGTACAGCCCCAAATAAGGGGCCGCAGCCAGGATGATGATCCGGCGAGCGGCCAGCCCTGCACGTTAGCTATCGATCTTCACTGAACACGAAGACACCAATGATAGACCTGGACAGTCTATCGGGTGGTAGTGCAGGGTATTATTTGGTATCTGGTAATATGTCCGCTAGACAACTTCATCGTAATGTCCTTTACCGAGGAAGAAAAATAATAAATCATAAAAAAAAAGACAGGGAAACACGAGAGGAGACTAGGTAATTAATCGTACCTAATTCCGATAGGTATGTAGATGTTGGAACTTGGAACATTTCTGTCGCGACATTAATAGTTTTTTTTTGTTGTTTCCCGTATCAGATGAGCGGGTGACAGGGTGTGGTTTTTTCTTGTAAGACGGCCTATTATCGTCGTATTAGCGAGCTGGAATACCGCCCAGACAATGAAAGGAATGAAAGGTTCGGCACGCTGCATAGACCTGGAGCAACCATTGGCTGCAGGAAACAAGAGAAGAGATTAGAGGCACAAAGGAAACAACACATGCAAAAATCGTAGAATTTCTAAAACAAGGGCTGACAAGTTTGAATCCCCGCCCTTTGCAGCAAATAGAATAGAATTGAACAGGAGGGGGTTATACATCATTATGATCGTTGTTGTTTCTCATACCATGTACTATAGCTGTATAGGTACAGTAAATGTGATAGAAAAGAAAAGAGACAACGACATTAATTGGACGATCGGGGAAGACGAAAAGCTCTATAGTAGATGCGGTCTGGAGTAGCCGTGGCAGGCGTGGGAGAGATCCACGGAATGCAGTTGAAAGCTGTAGATGTCAACTTTTACCGTAGCACTGTAGGTACCTAGACATCCTAGACATGCACCTAGAGATGTATGTAAGGTTAGGCGGCCTGGTGTGGATGGGGATGGGATCCATGTAAACTTTCGAGGTACATATACATAGATAAGTTGGCGGTAGGTACGATGCGGTATCAAGAACTGACTATAAGCTGCGATGCGTGGGGTTAGAAGGTACAGCCTACTATAGGTATTCTCTAAGTTACGCTAGTCAGGGATGGTCGTGAGCATGCAGATGTGAATAGGTATACCTGGCTCGTACTTTGCACGAGTAAGGCATGAATTGAATAGATCGTAAGAAAGTAGTACCTAGCCCTCTAGCCCTGGAGGTACATCATCACCACCCCCCTGCCCCCCCTGACAAACCCCTCTTACCCTCTCTTAGGTACAGCGTCCTAAGCTCCATCGCAGTCCCCCCACTAGTGAGTGGGCAATACTATGGTAGCTACGACCTCGTACATGCTGCCTCACCTGGGTAACAACCAAGTTCTAAAAGCCTAAGCCAGCAAGCAGCACCAATATTTTTTTGTAGAAAAAGCCATACGCTACCTCCCTACCGTCTTCTGTACTTTTAAGTTGGTCTCCCCTTTTACCTTTTAAAAGTCCCAACTTGAGACTTTTCCTTCCCCAAACCAAGTTCTGGAAACTCTATCCTTTCTTCTCTCTTCCTCTCTCTCTCTCTCTCTAATCCTAATCCCCCTCCCAATTCCACAAGCTCACCGCCATTGACTTTCGTTTTACCATTGATACCCTTGGAATCCCATTCTCCTGCAGCTTGCTAGAGAGAGACACACAACCACAATCATACATACTTTGTTTAAGCTAAAGAATATACACCCATTCTTGCTTTGCAACACCGATCTCGAGGCAATATGTGGTATGTACAACCTAAGCGACACCCTCTTGTGTCTTCGTTTTACACCGTTGGACGGGTAGATGGAACCTCAAGTAGCCTATTCGACCCCTCCATCTCCCCGACTTTTGGTTTCAGCTACTGCTATCAGAGACGCTCGAGCTCCACAACACAGAGAATTGGGTCAAAAAAAGAAGACACATAGGACAAAAGAATTGCATAGTTAGGATCAATTCAGTGTGCTAATTCGATTTTTTTTTTTTAAATATTATAGTGGAATTTTCGGCTACATCAACTACCTGGTCGAGAAGGATAGGAAGTTTATCCTTGACACCCTCGTCAACGGTGAGACATGAACAACCTGCCGCAATCCGTCCCCCGATCCTGCTACCTGCAGCCTCCCAAACGATCTGCGTTGAACAACAAACAATTACATAGAAGCCAATGCTGACATTGGTTTTTGCTATATAGGTCTCTCTCGCCTAGAATACCGTGGATATGACTCGGCCGGTTTAGCTGTCGATGGTGACAAGAAGAAGGAAGTGCTTGCTTTCAAGGAAGTCGGCAAGGTCGCCAAGCTCAAGCAACTTATTGATGAGTCCAAACCAGACCTCACCAAAGTTTTCGATTCACATGCCGGTATCGCCCATACTCGATGGGCTACTCACGGCCCTCCATCTCGGCTGAACTGCCATCCCCACCGGTAAATACCTATACATAGCAGAGCTTACGAGTCCCCTTGCTAATCCCACCATCTCTTTCAGATCCGACCCCACATGGGAATTCTCAGTCGTCCACAATGGCATCATCACCAATTACAAGGAATTGAAGACCCTCCTTTCCGCAAAGGGCTTCAAGTTCGAGACCGAGACCGATACAGAATGCATTGCGAAGCTCGCGAAGTACCTGTACGACCAACATCCCCACATTGACTTTGTCGACCTTGCGAAGGCTGTCATCACCGAGCTCGAGGGTGCTTATGGTTTGCTGATCAAGTCTGTCCACTACCCCCATGAGGTCGTTGCTGCTCGCAAGGGTTCACCCCTTGTTATTGGTGTGAAGACCCAGAGGCGGATGAAGGTCGATTTTGTCGATGTAGAATACTCCGAGGAGAACGGTGCTCTGCCCGCCGAGGCTGCTTCGCAGAACGTTGCCCTGAAGAAGCAGACGGGCAACTTGTTGGCTCCTAACTCTTTGCTTGGCGCCCCCGACAAGTCCCTCCTCCACCGCTCGCAGTCCCGCGCTTTCATGACTGACGATGGCTTGCCCATGCCCGCGGAATTCTTTCTTTCCTCTGACCCTTCTGCTATCGTCGAGCACACCAAGAAGGTCATGTACCTCGAGGATGACGACATTGCCCACATTCACGAGGGCTCGCTGAACATTCACCGCCTCAAGAAGGCTGATGGTAGCTCTAATGTCCGAAACATCCAGACCCTGGAGCTCGAGCTCCAGGAGATCATGAAGGGCAAGTTTGACCACTTTATGCAAAAGGAAATCTTCGAGCAGCCCGAGTCGGTTGTCAACACCATGAGAGGTCGTCTCGATATCGACAACAAGAGTGTTACTCTTGGTGGTCTGAGATCCTACATCGCGACTATTCGCCGGTGCCGACGAATCATTTTTATTGCTTGTGGAACAAGTTACCACTCTTGCATGGCTGTCCGAGGTATCTTTGAAGAACTCGCCGAGATCCCAATCGCCGTAGAATTGGCTTCCGATTTCCTCGACAGAGAGGCTCCCGTTTTCCGTGACGACACTTGCGTATTCGTTTCTCAGTCTGGTGAGACGGCCGACTCTCTGATGGCCCTTCGATACTGCCTGGAGCGTGGTGCTCTTACCGTTGGTATTGTCAACGTTGTCGGTTCCTCCATCTCTCTCCTCACCCACTGTGGTGTTCACGTCAACGCTGGTCCCGAAATCGGTGTTGCTTCCACTAAGGCTTACACTTCGCAATTCATTGCCATGGTTATGTTTGCTTTGTCTCTTAGCGAGGACCGAGCCTCCAAGCAAAAGCGACGTGAAGAAATCATTGAGGGTCTTGGCAACATTTCCGACCAGATCAAGCATATCTTGCAGTTGGACCAGTCCATTAAGGAACTTTGCTCGAAGACGTTCAAGAACCAGAAGTCTCTTCTACTTCTCGGACGTGGCAGCCAATACTCCACTGCTCTTGAGGGTGCTCTGAAGATCAAGGAAATATCCTATCTTCACTGTGAAGCTGTTATGTCTGGTGAGCTGAAGCACGGTGTGTTGGCTTTGGTTGACGAGAATCTTCCCATCATCATGATCTTGACTCGCGATGACCTCTTCAAGAAGTCGCTCAATGCTTACCAACAAGGTACGTGAAATGCGTCTAACTTCCATGGCGTTATGAAAAATTGGTGCTAACGAATGTACAGTCGCTGCCCGTGGCGGAAAGCCTATCGTCATCTGCAACCCCGGCGACGAGGAGTTCAAAGCTAGCGAAGCCCAGAAGATCGAAGTTCCTAAGACTGTTGACTGTCTGCAAGGAATCCTAAACGTTATTCCTCTGCAGCTCATTGCTTACTGGCTTGCTGTCATGGAGGGACTTAACGTCGACTTCCCTCGTAACTTGGCCAAGTCGGTTACTGTCGAATAAGCTTGTTTATCTGCATGATTTAGACTTATTCTAGGCTGGAATGCGACATGACCCCGGAGTTGGCTGTAAAAATGAATACCATAGTGGGTGGATAGTTTTTTAGTCTCACTTGACAGGATATCGTTGTTCTTATAGCAATAACATGACGGCGGGATTGATATGATGAGGGGGATGGTCAGTTGCTATCTCCCGTAAACCCCAACGATGCACATTGGCCCCCACGCCAGAATGGGCGTGGGACACGTACTACAGAAGTAGATAGACGAGTAACCACGTATGTCGGCTAGATAGGCCATTCTAGACGGAGACAACTGGTAATAAAGAAGAAAAAAAAGGTTGACAACTATCATATACATTTTGAGACGCTTGGGTATAATGAAATACAAGTATCATTTGTTTTGCCATTGAGTTTCTTAGTCTTGAGAATATTCGTGAAATATTACCTGAGTAGAAATGAACCATGGTACTTCCAAAGAAATTTACGAGGTGTACACCACAAAAGTACCGGTGGCTGACTAGTTTACTATATTAGAGCACAACGGGTTTCTTAGATCAAGAGAATGCTACGAAAACACAGCACATTATTCTTTAAAGCAGCTACCAACGTTCATGAATCTTTAGTCTAGTGTTACATAAATCTCTTGCTGCCTGCCACCTGCTTCTCTTCTCTATGGATGATCGAGAATCCATTGCGACCGTGTCATGTATAATAGTATCCTTGCATTTCATTATGTTTTCTTTAGACGGATGATTTCACCGTTTCATTTGTTTAGATGGATAGGACCTTATCATCCATCCGCATAACAATAGTTTTGTCGAAAGCTAGTAGTAGGCTTAAAAGAAGCATGCCCGGCTAGATAGATAGACACATGGCGCCTTATACGGTCTGCGTACCATATCCCTTGATACGATCAGCAAACGCCCAGCTCTGCTTCTCCAACTTCTCGTTCTCGGAAACCTCGACGCCGTCTTTAGTGACTACGGCAAGAGAGTAGGAGTCGTGGGATCGCGCGTCGCGGTAGAATAACACTTTCATGCACTCGCGGATCACCTCTAACGCCTGCTCGCGGGATACATTGGCCACGGACTCTTCGTCGGGGACGTACCGCCGCATAATGGGCTGGGCGAGCATACTTCCGAAACCGGTTGCTAGGGACGGGGAGGTGAATGTTGTGCCCAACAGGTCGGCGGCGGCGAGGAAGGGCTTGCCTTCGTCGTCGAGACCGGCGACTAGGAGGTGGTTCCACAGAGGATCGAATTTTGAACGCCGGTGGTAGAGAAGCTTGGATAGGTATTTGTGAAGTGAGCGCGCGTTTAGGGTGTGCGCGGCGGACGCTTGGTACGCTTCGTCGATGCCGAGTTCGGTTAGATGACGGTCGAGGTATTGCATGTCGGATACGTCGCCTCCGAACCCGATGAGCGAGGTGTCGGCGAAGGTGCGGATGCGCTTTACGTCGGTGAAGCGGGCTAGGGAACCGTAGGATGCTGTGGTATATATGTTAGACTGTTGGTCTGTGGTGGTATAGATAGTGGATGTGGGAATAGATGCGTACCTAGGTTATCGGCAGCCATGACAACACCATCCTTGAATTTCATCGCTACGACTGATGTTCCTGTTACGACGGGTGACTGAGTGTGCTGGTTGGGACCGTTGGTCTGCATGTATGAGGCATCGTAGGCGCCGTAGACGTCGTCCCTGGGCTATCGTATCGGTTGTTGGTTAGCTCTGCTTTCGATTGTGGTGGATTGGACTACTTACACGGCCCCAAGCTTGTGGTCGATGATCCATATTGGAAATTTGGGGGGTGTAAAGAGAGACGGTCGGCAAATATGGTTGATTTAATACGGATTGGTGGCCGGAGTAGTGTGATGAATGGGATTGTTGTTTTTGGAATATGAAGATGTAAGGCTGATGGAGAGGTACGTAGGAGATGTAGCGAAGGCAGCGAAGGTAGCGAAGCTCCGGTGTAAGGTAAAAGAAGCTTGGGAGCTGCGCGTCAGTTCTGCCTTCCTATCAGCTGTTGGCGGCTGGTATCGATAAAGACAGGCTCCATTTTTTAGCATTCAGCTTGAACATGAGATTGTCACTCAAAACTCAACTCACAAGGCTAATTAAATAAACCATCGGCCTTATCTTTCGATTTTAGTTTATTATTTAATCCTATTTCTTTAAATTTGTGAAATTGAGGAACAAATCATCGGATTGATAATGGCGCTAGTGGGTTATGAGAGTAGCGACGAGGAAGAAGAGGTTGAACAACAGCCCGAACCAAAGGTAAGAATGAGAACATCACGATACGAATCATAGCATCATACCGGTAGGCATTGGACAGCACTGATCCTATTGAGGCCAGTCACTGAAACAAACTCAAGATACTACCTCCCACACAAATGAGAAGCCGAGTAAGTTGTATATCCGACCATCCATTCCCATGTTTCTAAACAATAAACAGACGATATCCCAGAAAAGCCAAGTGCTCCGATACAAAAGTCCGATGAGCAACAGCCAGCTATTATCGGACCCCAGATAGGTCCAAGTGCAATCACAGGGCCTAGTTTCCCTCCGTTAGAAGAAGCACCCATGGATGATGACGACGACGCCAATGGACCGGGCTTACCACCGGGATCTCCATACACGGCGACACGCGCATTGCTGCGGGATCTCACACTACCGACTGTGCCGAACACAGAAATCCCTCCGGAGCCGCCCGGTGAACCACCAGCCGCACTAAGTGCCAAATTCGAGCGCTTTCTCGAGCTCAAGAAGCAAGGCGTGCACTTCAACTCCCGAGTCGCGGCAAACCCAGCCTTGCGCAATCCGGCTCTGACAGACAAACTTCTAAGCTTCGTCGAGCTTGGCAGTCCTGTTGATCAATACCGCACCACCTTGTCTGCGGACATATGGGACCCAACTGCCTTCCCTCGTCACGCATATAAGGAACAACTTAAGCAGAGCCAGGCCGAGATCGAGAAGGCGAGGGCGAGGAATAAAGGAGCGCCTGTCGAGTTTGTCGCTGCGACTACTTCAGCCAGTAATGACCAGGCGATACAGCAGAAACCAAGTGTTGGAAAGCGGAAGACGAGATTTGATGCGTAAGCTACTATGTTATGTCACTTCTCCAAATACCATACTTTAGTTCTACTGCACATATGTATATTGATCAATTTCGATACCCTTTCCACTTATCTACAATATCCTCGTTTCTTGGTATAGGTTGATTTATATAGACATAAGAAATATCAAGTGGGACTCGCAAGCCCGATAACTACCTAGGTACCTAGGATAATCATACTGGTAAAGATACAATGAGTGTGGATCCTAGGTGTAAAGACAGTCCGATTCAAATTCAAATAGCAATCTCCAAAACTACCATACGCCCGCATTCGTTACTCATCAACTAGTAAATTCTCAATACTTCCCGTGAGCATGGTCGCACTCCTCTAGGAAACGATATATACCTTCGAGGCCCTCGAAGTCTTCTGAACAGTGTTCACCAGAACTGATCGGCGGTGACATGCTCTCATAACCTTCCAAGTCGTCAGGTAATGATAACCATGGATTATCTTCCAAGTCGCTGAAGCCGTCCTCAAAGAACTCCTCTTCCGCGGGGAAGAAGCTTCCTTGAGACCTTAATGAACCGCCAGGAAATGTCAGAATCCTTGTGCTGTCATTCTTAGCATCCGGCGCAAAGGGAAACTTCAACGCCATAGAAACCCCAGTCTTAGCTGCGAAATCCGGGTCTTCCTTGACGACACCTCGCATTAGTCCAAGGTCATCGCATAGCGACTCGACTGTTTCAGCGTCGACACCTGGGAACCGGACCCGTAGGATATTTCCTTTCTCAAGCTGGATCGGGAGATCGCCTAACGAGGAGAGCTTCTTTATATCCGCTAGCGTCATCGTCAAGTCCTTAAGGGCACGAGCGAAGTCGACAGACAGGACGTCGAGGAAACCATCGGTGTTGAGGGTGGTGGAGTCGAGGTCAAGAGCAGCGGTCTTGAAACCGGTGGAGGGGTAGGGGAATGCAGCAGCGAGGGGGCTGAGAGCGGTGACGGTGGGGCTTAGGCGGAAGTCGATGTACGAGCCTGGTGCATTGCGAGACACCGCGGACATCTTGCGGGCAGTCTCACCTTGTAGTACTGAGACGGAACGGTACTTCCTCTCGCCTCGCGGGGTGAGCCCATCGAACTGCGCCTTTTGTCCGGAAATCCAGAATGCTCGCACGGCGGCGGATACGTTCTGGACAACCTGTGCCTGGACGGCTGGGGCATGGGAGAAGTATCTCTGTCCTCCGACTCGTCCGGATCCGAGACCATACCCACCTGCGGTACGCGGGAGTGCGCCACCCGTTAGGTTCGGGCGGAGGGTACTCGCGAACGGAGCACGGCCCGTGATCTGCGCTACCGCGCGACCAGTCTGTGTATTCAAGAACTTCGATCGATCGATTCGCGCTCCAGCGTCAAGTCGGCCAGTGCTCATGAAACGGCGAACAGCCGCGTTGATGTTCTGGTACGCGGTGGATGTAGTCGAGTGCCATCGACCGCTTCTCTGCTGCCGCAGGAGGGCGGCGGGGTGGATCGGTTGGCGGGGAGAGTGTGTGCTCCGCGCGAATACGGGTTCGAGAGCGACGTTGTTGGACGGGCGAGCGGCGGCCGCGGAGAGCTTCGCTCGTAGGATCTTGCTCGCCTTGTAGGCGGCGCTACGGACCACCCGCAACGCCGCGGGCGCCCATATGCCACCTATAGGGGCTGACATGTTGGGTTGGGTTTAACCTTTTGTTCGTCGCTTATGCGGCGGCGAACAAAATGGTGAGAGGAGAGGATATGGGAGAGGGAAAAGGGAAGGAGACGTAGGAGGGTCGGGTAATGACGACGCTATTTACACCGAGTCCGATATCCGATAACAGTGTTAGATAAGCGATTGTGGCGTTACATTTGCCACAAAGGTATAGTGGCTCAGTATAGTGGACTTAACCTTTTTGGCTCTGGTGGAAATCTCCCGAGTGGGTCTTAAGCTCAAATCCCCACCAACAATTTTTATTTTCTTTACTTTCTAGCTCGCGTCCTCTGAGCTTCTCCTTTGTTCCCTCAAATATTTTTCACCCTCAGTCCTCCCAGCTTGGAGGCCTTCGCAATGTGAAAGCACTGAGTATGGGGGCTCTTGCCTCGCATATTATCTCGTTTCCTTGACGATCTTTCGATCTGGATTATAATGTGAGTCGCATTCTCTCTTGATATCTTTCTCAACACCGCTTCCTTGCTGTGAAGAAGAAAAATTTGAACAATCCAAATCTTACAACACGATGGGGATCTTAGACTATAGAATTATCCTGAGCAAATCTCGCATGCAAGAATCTGCAGCATAATTGATTTAGTTGTCAGCTGGCTAACTCAATTCAGTGTAAGTTCTTGTCGACGATCTTCGTGGCTGTCGTCCAAGCCCGACTTCTATTCTAAATCAAAAAGGTATGTGCCATATTCCTATTTTACGGCCTCAGGGCGATCGTTTCGAGGGGTGATGAAGAAATCGACAAACCTAGGGAATTCCTCATTCCGAATACACTATGTAGATTTGTTTAGTTTCAGCCTTGTCTGACCTCAATACCTACGTTATTATTTGTTGGATGTGAAGCATTTTTATACCTTGCTAACTCGTCCACTTGAACAGGTACATAATTCCCTCCCAATATTTATCACATTCACATGAGGATATCTTGAACGAACGGGCGGACATAACGAACCTTTCGTACCTTCTCTCGAACCAACAAGGTCGTACAACCCTTGTGAGAGCGGGACTACGCGGGCTTCTTGTTGAGAATTCGTCAACTGATTGTGTCTTGTTGACGCAAATTTGTCAATGTAATAAGGGTCCAAAGCATCGCTAACATGCATTGGCAGGTAATTCATATATACTTCACGTTGTCTTCTATTGCAAATGATGAACATTATTCACACTGTTTGATCCTGTCCAATGGGCATGGAAATGAACATCTTATAAAAATCTGATTTAATGAGGTATGTTCTTGTCCTAGCCAATGTTTATGATCATAGCTAACATGAGTAGCCTGATAGCTTCTATTTATAACTTGATTGTTGTACGACTGCTCTAGTCCACGTCGCTAACCCGACCATTGTACTAGGTAATATAGACGATCATATGTCCCCTAAGTATTAGGTCCTTTCCAGGTTAGTTGATCTCTACTTAATCGTATGGAAGCCTCTCGGATGATATTTTTCCTGCATGATGTCTGAGTTCTTCGTGACGAGACTTGCACTGTTCACCTTGGAGAACTGATGAGGTTTGGGGATTGCCTGATCTTAAATTGCATCGCTTGATGATCAGAGGGCTAACTTTCCTCTTCTAGTCTAGATTCCACAGCAGCTGTGCTTGGTAAAGACGAGTTAAACGCCTAACTCCGGTTTTGTCAAACCTGCAGTGATCAGAGGTGGAATGGTTTTAATTATTACCAACATGAGTCAAGAATAACTAGATTAGCTTCGGAGTTTTTGCTACTTGATATAATATAGTACTATCACCATTTACCGTACCATGTTCTAGTGTTCTTTTAATTGCTTAGATATCTACGTTCACGACGTCGTGTGATAAAGAGGTTCTACATACGTATCACCGATAATTCGGAGCCGGAACTTTGGTTAAGGGCGAGCACCGTCGGATTGGATTTTCTGGGGAAGTGGGTCGTACTACCTCAATAATGGGCGGGTCTGGACCCTGTTGCATCATTGATCCACAACGCCCGGCATCTACTGTACTGTACTTCCCTCTATCTCTAACTGAGTATCAGCAGGTACATTACTGATCTCAACGTTACCCCTTATCTCATGTATCTCCTATTGTACACGGTGCTCAGCTAATCTAGGGCTAATTCGGCCGTCTTCATTAGTAAGAGGCGTTCGCTAGAACAATAAAATAAGTGGTGTCATCCTCATACCACCTATTAGGGCAGCAAGAAATGAAGATCGAAGAAATCTGATTCGATCGCTGGAATGAGCCTCCGCGATCTTCTTGTCTCGTTTCTTTGCGGGGTAAAGACGTACGTTGTATGGTGCGTGTACATCTCTCCCCTATCTGGTAAAGATGGAGCTATACTTTTCCTATGACGTTACTTTGTCTGAACGCAGAAGTACCTCGATATTATGTACATCCAGTACCGACATATGTTAATTATCAGTAACATACATTGTACGTACATCAATCATGTATGTTAATCCCACTAGAAGCACATGAGACATACCAGTCTCGTATGATCCGGACGGGGAACTTTCCCTAGGATCATCCTGATTCACCCACTTCATTGGTGAGGTCATCAAGGGAACCGCTCCGATTGCTGGGGGCTGATTAATCAACCTGCTTCAGACAATGGAAAGTTGCAGTAGCGCACCGTATCTAGCGAAATGGAGCTTATCTTCTTTTTTCGTTTAGATCCTGCCTACCCAGTTGCCTGCCGACCGTTTTGATTAGAAAGGTCGCGTGGTCTATTGGGTAGGTACTTGGCGGTTCATTCGAATCTTTATAAAGAGACCTCACCCTCCTTCTTCGCTCGAGGGATCCCTCACATGTAATATTTACTAGCACAGAATACCTACAGAGAAGATAGCTGTATATCAATACTACCAATAACTTCTACCCAAAGCTTTAAGAACTATACAACTCATCATGGACAACTCCAAGGAAACCAACGCCCCAACACCATCTAGCCCTAGTCGACGAAGGGTATGTACTGTCTCCTACCGTCCCGTCACCATACATCCCTTTCTTACTACCAAGTAATTGTGATTTTATACTAACAGTCATCACCTTTACTCTAGGGCTCCGGACCAGCTTTCGACGGTCTGATGAATCAAAAGCGTGCTAGCGATCCTAGCTCTCTTGCTAGACGTGCCAGCTTGCACGACCAGAAGCCCCAAGCAGGCTTCTTCGGGCAAATGTGGCATAAGTAAGTTCTCTCCCTCAACCCCATTAACCACCTACGTTTGGTAAGAATATGTTAGGCTAACGAAGCAATTTCTCTACTAGTTTCACACGCGGTCCCCAGAGTCCCACGAAGTGAACTCGTCTCGAACAAAATGGAAAATAAAATTATCGTTGTAGTCAACATACACGATTGAACGAGTAAACGAACGAGCCCGCCAAGTGCGTGAACAACATGATATGGCGGATACAGATGGTTACTGATGTCTTCATTCGAAGGCAATCAATTGCTTTGTCAATTCAACCAGGAAACAAGCTAGCCGGCGTCTGGTCGATGTATTATTAGTAGTAGCACTTCTCAAGTAACGATATCAAGAAAGTAAAACTAGCAAACATAATTTCGCCTCGCATTCTTTGGGGTGTTCAATATGTGACAACTATCGTCTGTATGTGAACAGCATAGATCTACTGGGTTAACGTTGTCAAGTTGGTTCTCTCGAATCTTCTTGATGCCTTAGACCTACAAATGGTATAATGTTAATGATTCATACTACAATATGGGCTGATGTTTGAACCATCTATTGATCCGGGTTTATGTGTGTTGCAAAATAATCTAATTGAAGCTCAAGACAAACGGGCCTTTTACTACAATATCACTGCATATTATTCCCATCAAAGTCAAGTCACATCATCAATGAAGAAACACAAGTGGAAGCAATGTCCGGCTTAAATTTACGCTATCCAGCAAATATCTTTAGCAAGAGACTCTCAACGGCATCCCACTTAGACAGAAATCCCCCACCGGTAGCCCCCCATTATCAATTTTTCAACTTTTTTTTGCGTTGTATGTATTATGTAATTTTGGCGTTGGAGCAATAGGACGTGAAATCCAATAAGCCCATATTTTCCAACCGCGAGGCATGCAAAAGATGACGGTTGGTGCATATTTTTAAACCCGGATATGGCGTGTTTCCAATCGAGCTGGGGGCCTTTGAGACAGATCGAGCGAACTCGAAAAATCTGTCTGCTGAGAGACGTGACCAGCCCAGCCCCAAGTTATCACAGTGCTGCCCTAATTAGTTCAGGACCGTTGAAAACCTTTCATCTTCCTTCCAAAGCTTGTTCCCACACCTCCGGGTGGCTTCGCGCCAGCTCGGGTTGCCCCGAGCCGGCACGAAAGAGGCATATTATCAGCGTGGGATGGGTTCTCCTCGGCCTAGTCCGAGATGCTGGCTCCGGAGCAAAGTAGCCTCTGCCGAGGTCTGCGAGGAAAGATTAAATTGTGAAATATAATCTCCCTCGCTCCGGCATATCGCTCTTACTATCACGCATGTCTCCTTCAGAAAGAACCCAAGCACATGGAGGTACAGGCGGTCAAAAACCTTGGGATACCAGGCGGGATAAGGCAGTCATTGCTGCAGAATCCGCATCAGACCCTGAACCCATGGGACCGCCCCAAGATGCCACAGACAAATTGCCGATACATCCTGGTCGTACTTAGATCAACTCGATTGCTAAAAACTTCGAACAAAGAGGTACTCGGGCTTTCTTTTCCCTCAAGACATCCCAACAAAGAAAAAAAAAGGCGTGAAAATCCCAAAGCACGCCACGAAAATCTGGCCGACTTGGCCCGTGACTTCATCCGATATAAAAAGTAGTCATGCCCGTGAGATCCACTAGCCGCGAGCGCAGGATCCGATGCGCTTGGCATTTCTTCCGACATCATATCGCGATTAGATGCCGGGTGGTATAAGCGATGATCAACGATTTAACAGAATTCGCAAGGGATTTATTTGAGGGGATTCATAATAACTCTGCGACAAGTGCATGAAAACAGCGATAATTGTACCGGTGTTTTGTGTGCGACGAGTGGGAGAGTACGCGGTGGTTCTCCCGCGATTTCATGGAGTAGGCTCCCTCCCCATGTTTGTCTGAAGAATGGTATCCAGACCGCGAGGCTGAATAATATTATTCAGTGCGTATCGCCAGGACGAATTTCATCCGGCGTATTACCTCCAGGTGTTGATGCCTAGAGTACGTAAGGCCGTTTACCGTCGTGCCTAGGACGAAATCGTGGAGATTATCTTGATACTATCAAGTTGGGTTAGTATGTACTAGAAATATGGGCTAATTCTGGGATAACTTACCACATTGGCGCCCGAAATTACCTAGACCTTAGAAAACGCCGCGAATGCTTGCTCATACGAGGAATGAAGTAGATATGCCATGACCATTCCTATACAAGGTCCCCACCGATGCCAAGGTGCTTTTATCGTTACCATCGTACGTTGCCGAACTGAACTTGACCGAACGTGAAAGTCCTCTAGAACGTACACCTAAAAGATACTACTTGTAAGCCAACGTATTATCGTAGAATGCAGGATGCGAGGTAAGTACCAACCCTACATGATGAAGAACACCGTCTACCTTCTATAATGCCGGAAACTTAAGAATCATGGAAAAAACTCGTTATGCTCGTACATTCCGTAGTAACCGTACATGCATGGATTTGCCGCTGGATGCAACATTACCACGCCAACTGAGGGCCTTTTATCTGTCTTGCCCAGGACCATGGATTACGCCAGGGTCAAACAGAACTCCGTGGCTACTCGAGGGCCTTTTGCAGTCGTGCCTGGGACTATCAGTCAGGGAACACCCTACGACTGTCAAGAGGGCCTTTTCATCGCAGTCATGCCCGGGACCACTGTTGTCGTGAGCCGACCATGTACTCCACGACCTGAGGGCCTTTTTACGTCCTGCCCAGGACGGAGCGGTGGCGAATCGACTCGTTCGAGGATGACGGTAAATCTTAATTCATCTTACGCATTTTACAACCCAGGATGTTTTTCTAAAACTGTGGCCTTGGATTTAGAGTTCTGGAGAGTAACGGTGTTAGATTATCCGATATGGTATAGTATAACAAAGCGGTGTTAGAAACATGACTTACCGGTCAGCCCCATCTTTTGAGAAATGGTGCGTACGTGGGTAGATAAATTTAAAACCGTTGAGGCCTAAGACCCTCGAGTTGGACGTTGTCACCGCATCGTGCCTCAATTATGCCAACTCAGGCAGTCGAAAAATACAGGTCGTCATTTCGGGAGGGGAATAACTCCGACAAGTAGGATGGATTGTATTGATTTTGTCATCCGAAGAGCTAAACTGAATAAAATCGAAAAGTGGCCATGGCTATTAACGGCCAAGAAAATACGACCTTATCCCACTAGCAGAGACTTGAATTTCGGGTTGTAGGTGTCGAACATGACGAAAACGCGCTTTGTTTGAATTGAGGGAGGTGAAGGTGGGAGAAGTTAGAAGGCCCGACGGCTCGAGCAAGCCAGCATTAATGTGACGGAAACTGTTACGTAATCCCATAGTTTGCCAGCTCATAGCTCCGGAATGATGTTACTCCGTGGTCCGAACTCTCTTGAGGGCAACTTGCGGCTCAAGCGCACTGGGCGCATGTGATCTGATCCACCATTGACTACGAAGAACCTCTTCCTAAGAAATCATAGCTCGAAGCCCGCATACGAATGATCTCTAGGTCAATTTTGGTGTGAATCTTACAGTCTGGTTTCTCATGTTACCATCATGGGCTCTGTGTGCCACTCCCGTGACCTTCAGCGGGAATATCCTCGAGTACTAGACGAATGACTTCGAACCTACTACAATTAACGGTAATCAGCAGGTATTGACGCGTACCTGCTGTACACTTCTATTAATGGCACATATGGAAGCTCGTCATGAGATTTTGCTACGTATGGGATCGATGTCTCAGTATTGAATTTGAGATCTATGGATTTCTTTTCCTACGGCGCGGACCTTACGAAACCCGGCGGGGTAGTGTCGTGTAGCACCCGAGTGTTGTGTGTGCATAAAAAATGTTGGCGGAGATGTTCAGGCGGAAGGCAATTGCAAGTGCTGAGCCGTGCTGGCCATTTTACGGGTTGCCTGGAGCAAGGGTTATATGATAAAATAAGTGGTTAGGTTTTCAATCAAGTCTGCGAGCCCAGCTACTTGGCTCAGTGGTTCGCTGCTGAGTTCTTACACTTAGGAAATGGGGCGGGCCTCGGTTCTGCCGTCGGCTAGAAAGAGTACATCTCCCCCTCAGGTCGCCCTCTAGGGACACCGGGAATGTAGTCGGACTAGTTGGTGGTACTTGTACAAAGAGCGCGCGCAAGTGTGGTCGGAGTGAGCAGAGTACAGGTGTACCTTTTTTGCATATCCTCACGAGCCATACCGGTTCGATTCCTGATGTGAGCACTTTTTTTTTCTTGTTTATTTTTCCAACTCATCGTTATCGGTAAATTTTACAAAACGCATGTGGTTTGATCCACCTTGGACTACATATAATAGTCGAAGAGCCCCTTTTCGAGGATATGTAGTGAGCAATCTCATATGCGAATAGTTTCCAGGTCAGTTGTGAAGTGAGTCATGCTCATCAAGTATAGTCAGGTTTCTAATGTTACTATTATAGGCGTCGTGTCTGCTGCAAGCCGGTAGACACCACTCACACTACTCGCGTCGATTATTATTCAACTGGCATGTCTATAACATACAGGACATCCGAAATACTAAAGAAAGTGGGACAGGATCGAATCGTTGCGAAATATGACGGAGATCTATACTACGTTTTACATATCTACTTACGTGCATTTCTCTAGCTGATATATGTTAATGTTAGTTCTTCGATCTCATGGGAATTTTCTAGTATGGTGCGTACGAATCCGAAATTACTATTCTTGCAAGCAACCAGTGGGTGTTGCTGTGAAGTTGCAGCTGGGTTTGGGTTGGTAGTGTATGTAATGTGATAAAATGTTGGCTTTGATATGGAATTGATGACTCAGTGTTGGACTTGAGATTAGTGAATTTCTATTCCTGCGTTACAGACCTTCTTTACGTACGGAACCTAGCAGGGTAATGCCAGGTAGAACCTGAGTGTTGTCAAAAAAAGGGGGGGTGATAGACGCGTTTAGGCAGCTGGCAGTCGCGGGCCGCCAATTATTGGTTGCCTACAGGCAAGGTTTATATGGTCGAATAAACCTCTGGTTTTTCAATATCAAATGGCCGCTTGGCTCAGTGGTTTAACCGGTTCAACTGCTGAGCTCACTCACGGCCGTCCCCAATGCCTACGGTCACGGACCTGCTGGTTCTTCAAGGAGTCGACTAGGGATTGCCCGGGGGATTGGTACGCTCAACTTGTAGGCGGGGATGGACGTGAGTGAATTTTTGTTTTTTTTTTCTCCCTCAATCTTGTCTCATGCGTACAGAGCAGGGTTCGATTCCCATCGTCAGTACGTTTTTTTATCTGCCTTTTTTTCCCCTCGCCATTCACCGTCTCTACATATACGACTATTTACCGCTCGACGTACCATTTATTTATTGCTGCTCGAATTAGTCAATTAATTTCTTAGGATTACTCCCCCGCCGCCCTTCCCTTCTATCTATTTTGGTAATTTTCGTAGTCCCTACAGACTTAGTATCGCGCGCTACTACTAGGATAATTATATGGAGAAGGCACTGCCAGATTATGTATCGGGTTATCGTGTAGTACCAAGGGTTATTCCGCGTTCATTCATTTTTCGGTAGAAGATTTGGGTGTGATATTTACGAGAAAAGAGAAGGTATTTTGGGTTCGTACTTAGGTACTCGTGCACTGTCGCCTCGCCCTTGCCAAACATGCACTTCAGCGAGCCGATATCCACGTAGTCACTTCCTTCCACAATCTCCGACCACGCGACGTAATTACCCCGTGTCTAGCACACTCCTTCCTGTTTCCCCTACATTACACCTACTATTTTTGATCCCATCCCGAACTTGTTTTCGGCGCTTCTACAAGGGCCCAGGTAAATCATTAAATATTGGTATTCCTTTTCTCGTCTACGCCACTCCGAAACCCACCCAAATCACAACCATGAAGCGAGGCAAGATTCTTCGAAAGGTCCTCGCTCTTTTAGAGGGCTTTGACTTCGAATCAGTCATCCAGCCATGGAACGCCGAGGAGGGACATATCCTCATGTTCTTCATTGAGTCTAACCTTTCCGCGACGATGGCCATGTCTGTCATCATGGCACCAATTGAGCGCCTTTTTCTCACCTGTATCCAGCATGAGGACCTCTTCCGTCGACTCTGCGGCGCCAAGGACTTCTATTACACGATCATGGCGGATTGGAATGTAGAGCATCGGGATGCACCATTCAGCCCTGCCTCTATTGAAAAAGCTATTGTGCTATTTATTAATGCTCGTCGTCAATACATGGGCAAGAATCCATCTGTACGTAACATCTAAATGGGTATTTGAAAGTGCTTTACTAACTCGTAGTTACAGTCGCAGGTCGCCAATGCGGTGACTACTTGCGTTGACCACTTCGCCGCGATAATTGACAACGTTGGTACTACTATGCTCTTCGATCACGTCTCTGGCCTAAGAGCACCATCGGGTCATGAGACAAACGACACATGGCCACCCGCCCACTTCGGTCCAATTGACCTCTCAATTTTGGGCGAGTCGACAATCCACAATCAGCTCTTCGGTGTCAATCACGAGAACAAGCTTAACGCTCCGAGATATCTTAGCAACCAAGATACTCCCACTGATGCGCGCATGTACCTCAGCTGGCTCGCCTTGACGGAGTTAAAGCCATCCAACCCGGCCACCTCGCTATTTATGGCCCCCGTTGCATTCGTTTCGGACAAGCATCGCCGTGAATGGTACAAGCCCACAGGACACAATTCTCGCTATTACGCCACTGTCGATGAATTTTGTGTCTGGGCTCGGAACGAATTCAAGGTTAAGAAGGACGGGGAGCGTGTAAGACAACACGTAATGGGCTTACTTACTCCGTGGTTCGTCGACGTCGACGAAGTCACTACGGAGGCCCAGAATAGAGACGTACTCGCCTTGGTCGTTTGGCAGAACGGGTGCCTTAGAGCTGGGATGGTAGTATGCCTAACTAAACTCAAATATCTCGGTGTTCACATCTCTTGTCGAATTACCCTATTCAAACCTGGCCCCCCTCACTATGAACAGCCAGCTGAACCGTCCGAGCGAGCAGCAAAGCAGAATTCATGGGAAGAAGCAATCTTGAAGAGAGTGAAGAGTGACTTCATGATAACCGAAGGTTGGACCGGTGGTCAGACCCAAGACTACAACGCAATGCCGACTAGCCACGATGCCGTGGAGGCGTCGAGTAAATTCGTCACGGAAGTCATGCGAGACCCCGAGACACTACCTACTACACCCAAGAAGTGTTTCGAGAGGGGATTCGAGTCTATGGATAACACCATCTTTCGGTATTTAGTTCATGTTCCTAGACCGGTGGCGAGTGGTGGTGATGATGCGATGGATATTGATACGCCAGCAATGGGGGGAACACTGATGCTACCGTACCGGCCAAAGCCTGGTAACTAAACTCTGCGGATGGAAAACGGCCATAATGGCGTAGGGTAGATAGGAACTGCAATGAATTCACAGTCATAAAAATGGAATTCCTTCGTCTCGTAAACAATAACTATTCGCTTCGCTCCGGGGCGTACAGGTTAGCCATAGATGTCTTCTTTATAGAACCAATTAATTATTGTCACCATCAAATAAAAAGATTAATAATTGATAAAACTGGATAGAGTTTATTTTGTATGACTTTTTAATATTAATCATATCATCATCGAATACTGAGAGAACTACAACTTGAATGGGCATCATGTTGCATAAAATTTCATTAATTCATCGTTATTTGTGGCTTACATAAAGCTACCTAATCTCTTTTTCGTGAACGCATCCGCAGAGCTGCTTACTAATAACTATCAACCCCAACCCCGAACTCCGGCTACTTGTACTGCTCCAAAGCAGTAAAACCTCTGTTGAGGAATTCCAGTCGTTCAGAAGGAAGCGTGTCCGGACGCTCCATGATCTCCGTAATTATCTCGCACGAGACCTCAACCGAGTCGGCCGACACCTTTCGTTCGGGCGGGGCAGGAACGTGGTGTTTTGCTCTTCCGCCGATCCAACCCTTAATGATCACGAAATGCTTCCCCAATTCCTTGAGCAAATGCTCAACCCAGACGTTCTGCTTCGGTCGCCGGTCAGAAGGCTCGGCAGCCTTCTCGTAGTTGGGTAAGCCCGGTCTGAATAGAACTAGTCTACAACTCCACATAGGTCCGTCACGCTTGAGCTTTGTCAGGCAGATCATTATTCCGGCTCTGAAACAGCTCTTCTGCCAGACTAGGGGAATGGCCTCGTTTTTCTCTAAGGCCTTCGCATTAACCATGTTCACATCAAAAAACCAGGGAGTAAGGAGGCCCATCACATGCTGCTTTTCCTCCTTTCCCGTCTTTTTGAACTCACCCCTGGCATAGACGAGAAACTCCTCGATGATGGCGTAGTAGCGCGACTTGTGGCCCGTAGGCTTGTACCATTCGCGACGCTGCTGGTCGCCCGCGAAAGCGATAGGAGCGAGGAAGAGCGCGACATCAGAATCAGGCTTTGTCTCCCGCAGAGACAGCCAGCAAAGGTACTTACGTACATCAAGGGGAGGGTGCTGATCATTGGGGTAGATCAACGCCTTCTCAGCGCCGCCATTGCTCACATGGTTAATACCATAGAGCGCCTTACGGACAGTAGGCTCACCCATGATCGCGACGTCGACCGGGCTGAAGTGAACGGGCGGCCACGTTGAACCCATGTCGAATCCCTCTATAACGACAAGTATCAGTAATTGTCATGCTGTGCGACTTTCTAAAATAATTGGGAGTCTATCTCGGGGGAAAAAGCTCGGAGCCGGCCAATGTGGGCGGGATTTACTTCCGGAATGTGTTGAATTGGGTAATAAGTGGCTGGGGATGGATCAACTTACGGGGAGCCTTGAGGCTAGAGACGCTGCGGGTAGCAATGGAGCTATCAACATCGTCGATGATCTTAATGAATCGATCAACGACACTCGTCAGCTTGTTTTCAGCGGGCGCCTGTAACCAGATAAATTTAGTCATATTACCTTTGAGTTGAAGAAGCCTACTTACCTCAGACTCCGCAACTAGATGTGTGCGACGGGCGACAACGAATACGTTGATGAGCTTCTCGATGCTGGCGGGGGGGAATGGGGCAGCTTGGTGCTCCGAGTTCCAATCCGCAAGGATCAGGTAGTAGAAAGCTCCGTCACCGCGAACACGGCGATAGAAGTCCTCGTTACGGACACAAATGAGGAAGGCCAGGTTAACTCGACCTTGGATCATCGACATAGCCTCCTCCGGGTTAGCCTTGGTTGTGGTAGGCAGAAGGGGCTTAAGGATGCTATTCTCATCCTTAGCTAGCTGGTCCAGGACCGAGTCCTCAAAGTCAAAGCCATCAAAATGCTTGAGAGCCTTCTTGAGAAATTTGCCTCGTCCCATGGTTAAGGCGAGAGGCTTTGGCGTAGTCAGCAATGGTACAGATTCGCACTTCAAACAGGAATTGGAGGGTAAATGAAGGAATACTAGACATACCTAAGCCGATTCAAGGCAAGAGCCACTACAGAAGACGTTTGGTAGTAGGTTGAATTGACGGGTAACCGAAAAGATACGAATTGAATTTCAGGAAGAGAGCGTGAGTGTTGAAGAGTGTTTAGGAAAGAGTGTATGTGAAGGAGTGTGTGTCTCTGAAAGAGAGAGAGAAAGTATGTGTGAAGGAGGAAGAGGGAAAGAGAAGAAGAGAAGAAGACAGAAGAAGTTGCGGGGGTTTTATCTGTGAAAGTATGGTAGAATTGAATTGCGAGTGACGAAATGAGTTTGCTTGGTATGTTGCGAGGGAAATGATGGGATTGAGATGGGACTAAATGTAAGTTATCGTTGAGAATTTCCTCGTCCAATTAGAAGTTGAGGAAGGTACGGGCTGTTTAGAGATAGACTCCTTTAGTTTTGTGTGTGTAACTAACGATACCCCTGATAGAACATCCATATACTGTATTAATCGAGCTAAAACTGAACGTACCTGCCTTGCCTGAGTGCAATCAGGGAATAAGAGATGAAAATAAATTGGTACATGAGCATACATCTCCTCAGTTGAAGAAGGTACCCGCATTGAATATATCAAACCCCGCTGACTTTCTAATGTTATCTTTTCATCCGAACTACGAATTTGGCCCTCGTGCCTCAAAATGAACATTTAATGTGCTCAATACGTACTGCTGATCCTTGACTAACAAGCCTGCTCTTTCCCCATATAGATTGAAGTAACCATTTACGCTTGATATTGTTGAGAATGACTTGCTCTTCTATCGTTCCATCCGAACTAGAAAGACCCGATGTCGTCACAGGCCGAGGCAGTGGTCATACGTACTTGTACAAGAGTGTAACTATGTATATTTAATAGTTAGAAACAAATTGGGTACTGAAGTGAGCGTTAGGTGATGTGATGGGGGGTCAATCATAGAAAGGAAATGCTTGAAAACGTAAGGAAGAAAGGGGCAAGCTTCCAAGTCGGGTTTACTTAAGCGATTGATAATCTAGTTGTTCGAAGGTATACAATTGAGGTAATCAATTGATGTTAAGAATATAATGGCAATTGGAAGTTGCAATGGTATTCTTCCAGGAATCACTGATACAGCTTAATAGAAGGTAGGTATTGGTTATGTGGTTATCGTGGTATAAGTATAAGCACCTACTTAACAAGCAACGCTTCTTGTGATATACGCCAATCAATTGAGACTAGATTTCCTAAATAGGATCTACTAGTACTTTGTCTCCTGCCATAATAGTAGGAAATTGCGCTTCTTTAGTGCCAGTCCCTAATGAAGGTAAATGACACATATGTGTTCCAAAAAATACCTTTCCATCGAATCTTCTCGTTTTGCTCAAAGTGATGAATGGTTCCTCGCTCTTTTCTGCCGTGTCCTGATTTATACATATCATATGACATCTTCGACAAGACCCTAGCATCTTAAAATCTTGCTGTCCGATCTTCAGATTAGACCAATGATCTTCCGAATAAGCTAACAATTGTGGCCCTGGCGTTGGTGATCCAATAACTATGTTAGCACGGAAGACTTCTGGAGGGACCGCATTCCCGCCTTGTGCGATTATTCGGTCGTTCAACTCTCCAAGGCTGGATAAATTGATAGCGAGAATAGGGCTTTCGTTAGACAGCAGGATCTTCTGTCGTTCGGACTCCGAGTCTGAGTCTGGAGGCGTATCCATACCGGGATACTGACAAGACACCGTGTATTGCGATTTGGTATTGACCTTTTGATGTTTTTGAAGGTGGGCCTTAGCATGTCGCATGCTCTTCCCTAAACCGCCTGGTGGGAAGCGAGCTAACGCACAAGGGACTCCGAGAACGGCTGTGAAGAAATCATTAACCTCCCTTGATGTATATATCTGCGCTGCTATTTCTTCCCCGCAAACCCTAGACGCTGTTGCCTTGGACGGGGCGCTTGCTTCAAGGAGAGTCGGGTTTGCTGATAATGGGACGGATATATCGGATAAGTTTGGCTCTATGTGGGATCCCGTGTACGAAACTCGCAGTTGTCCTTGATCAAAATCAATCGATGGCCGGATGAGAGCCATGCGCGGATGACGCTTCTGACTTAATGCTTGGCCGGTTCCTCGATGGACTAAACACCATTCTCGATCCCATGCCAATCCTTCTGGTCTTACTTCCCACTTAACTCCAACGGGAATGTGAAATCCACCGCAGCTCTTGATCGGAAATACAGTGACGCTTTTCACATAAATATCTGGTTGCTCTTGGTGTAGCAAAGGGAAGGACGGCGGTGTAGGATCTGATATAGTAACGGTGCGGTAGAATTCGGTAATGAATGCAATGAATTTGTCCACGTCTGAAATGGTACTCATGGCCCCCAAGCTAACTCGGATAACTCCGGTCGGTCTCCCATTAATTATATCATTCTCTGTTCCGCATCTGAAGCCCGCAGAGAAATTTTTCTTCATTTCCCACGGCTTTAAGTTGAGAGAATTTGCAATCCCACCTGGGTTACAGAGTCCTCCTGTGCGAACATGGAATCGTTTTAATACCGCAAGCTTTTCGAATTCGGCCAAGCTGATCCATGTTCCTAAATGATTTCGCAAGTTGAAGGCGACTACTGGGCCATTTCCCAAAGTAGATCCTAGTCTCTTTGATACCAGTGATGGTTTCGAGTACATTGCACATACTGGTTGGCCATTGCTGTGTTTCAAGGTAGCCAACCCGTCATGTAGCCTTTGACTTAGAAGGGATGTATGGGATGAGACGTCTTTCATTGATGTAAATAACTGGCGGTGAACTTCAAGCGCCGCGTCCAACGCTATGATATTATGCACTGGCAAGGTTCCATCTTCCAGGGACTCATGCAAGGCTTGTGTTTTGGGCATATGCCACTGCTCTTTGAGACAAACTACCATATCAACGGTGCCGCCTCCGAAATATTTTCGATACTGAAAAACCGACGTCGCTTGACGCCTGACAATGAGTCCACCCAAATCCGGAAATCCGAATAATTTATAAAAACTTAATACTGTGAAATCTGGCGCTGTTTCGGAGTCGCTTAAGTCTAAGGGGGATGTGGCGGCGAATGCCGCGGCATCCAGTAGTGTAAAAACTTGGCGACCCGACGCTGCTTCAATCCGGCGTGGCTTGTCAGACCAATCTAGAAGAAACCGGCTACCATCCATATTAGACTGTGCCGGATATGCGAAAAGAAGTGGCCTATCATCGGATCCAAATTCAGTATCGGGATGAGTTCCATCAATCCAATTATTTATGGCGACATCGTCGACACACCGATTACTTGCGGATTCTTCTCGAACGCCTACCAAGCTAGTGTGACACGCCTGATGGTACAAATAATCAAAACCAATCGGATTGCCCCGGAATGCCTCGGTGACAAGCTTGATACCTGCAGTTGCGTTGGCGACGAAGACGAGATCGAACTCGGAGGGGTCGGCATTGAAGAATTGCAAGGCTCGAAGTCGAATATCTTCAATTCGAGATGTTGAAGTCTGCGAGGACAAAGATGCTGAATGAGGATTGCCAAAAAGATTGGATGTCATATCAGCGGCGAACTTGTCCACGAGGGACTTCGCATATAATGTTGTCCCAGCATGATCGAGATAGATCTCATCTATTGAATTCCTTAGTTAACGTCCATGTAAAAAATTGAATGATATCGTAGAGGCTAAGTGAGGGTTACCTCGTAGCATAGGAAACTCATCCTTTCGGAGCGCCTCGATGCGGCTGTTATATGCCGTACTACCATCATCCGTCATATCGATGGTGTTAATGAAGCGAGAAATCCAGACATTGAAGCCGTCCTACCCACCGGATATGCAACGGGCTTGATGTAGTATATGATAGGAATAATTTGAGTGAATGGGAAAGGAAAGACAGAGTTGATTGTGATTCTTGTAATTATTGTGAAAGGTGAAAGACACACACGCACATACAACTCACCGTCTGTCTAAGTCAAAAGTGGGATCCATACCCAGCTTTAGATGTATGTTAGTTGATGTGGCGATGGATAGAGTCAGATAGATACCCGACCATTACCAAACGATTGCATACCTACTACTCCCTACGGATGCCGACGGCGCTGAACCAATAATAAGTTGTAAAGAGGAGGAAAGCTTCCATTCCAGGTGTCCCCATCCGGAGATCGCCCTGTTCCAAAGGGCGGGGTGAACTAAAAACCCGGTACCTAGGTACTTTCCTATCTGCTCCCTAAGCTGCTAAGTGGGCTAAAGGTGGGGGAACCTGATTAGGTACGTGCAACAGTGTGTTAGTATGGGATTAGTACAAGATTAGTGCGTGATTGTAAGGTCGCGTGTCTGTAGCAACCTGCGCCCCACTAACCAGCCAGCTTTTAGCGCGAACTCTAGGGGGTGATCCGCGTTGAAACCACTTAACGCGACCTTTACGCGTTCCGAGCGCTGTGACTGTGGACCCGCGTCACTTTCTTTCCCTTGCTAATTTCAATTGATCTTAAACCTTTTTCCCCATTTCCATCTCCCAATGCTCCTCCTGCACAACTTCAATGCACACTTTACATTGAACATACCCATCGATTATCGTCTGTGATCTCTTCTTTCCTTTCGATAAACTATCATAAGTAAAGATGGTGCGATCTACTCTCGGAAAGAGAACTAGGAGTGCTAGAGAAATTGGTAAGATGAATACAGTTCAATCACCGAAGAGAAGTAACTGACAATAAATCTAGAGGTAGCAGATGCACCTTCGAAACGAACAAGACGACAGACTCGCAGCACTTTACAAAACGACGAGAACGTAGATCCCGAAGAAACTGTCACCGGAGACGATCTTGACGATGATTTAATTACAATAGACGTCGCGAAGGACTCGCTCATCAAAAACACCCCTTCCCGACGAGGTCGCGGTGTAGAGATCACTAAGCAGGGTAAGGAAGCTTCCTTTTATGCCAATTGGGATCCAATTTAACTAACATTGTACTAGAATGTTCTCCTCTTACACCGAGTACACCGCGCCATCGAGATGCTCTTTCCAGGGTACCCGTCACTCCTCGTCATCGGGTCATGTCGGCTGGGAGAATATCGAAGCGACTCTTCCCACAAACACCCCTCACACCTACCGCCGTTCAGACCATCTACCACCACGCCCGTCAACTCTTTTCTAGAAGTGCCGACCCGGGTCAATTGATTGGACGAGACGACGAACGCGCGCAGCTTAAGGGGTTCCTGCAACGATGCTCGAAGCCGAACCCTAGCGGATGCATCTACGTCAGCGGTCCCCCGGGGACGGGAAAGAGTGCAATGATCAATGAAGTTACGCAAGAATTGGTCGAGAACGGGACGGTGAAGAAAGCTTACGTCAATTGTATGAGCATAAAGTCGTCCAAGGATCTTTACGGAACACTTCTAGACCAGGTTTGCGACGACCCCGATATTTCCGAAGGCGATGCGGCAACAACGGTCCAAAAACTCTTTATGCCACGGAAGAAGTCGACCGAAGTCTATTTGGTGGTTCTAGACGAAATTGACCACATTCTCACTCTAGACTTGGAAAGTCTATATCAATTATTCGAGTGGTCTATGCAGAAATCGTCACGTCTTGTGTTGATTGGCATTGCGAACGCGCTGGACCTAACGGATCGATTCCTCCCACGCCTAAAGTCTCGAAATCTAAAGCCGGAGCTACTTCCTTTCCTACCCTACTCGGCAGCGCAGATCAAGACTATAATTACTACCCGCCTTAAGAGCCTTGTACCCGAGGGCAGCCCTTTACCATTCATCCATCCAGCTGCGATCGAGCTTTGTTCTCGCAAAGTCTCAAGCCAAACGGGCGACCTACGAAAAGCATTTGAGATTTGTCGGAGAGCTATTGACCTTGTGGAAGCGGAAACAAAGCAAAAGCATGAAGCCGAGATTAAGGAAACGATGCTTCTCGCCACGCCATCCAAGAAGCCTCTAGGAGAGAACGTGAATATGTCATCACCTAAGCGATCCACGGAAAGAAGCCCCTCGGCACTGCTAGCGGAATCGTTGAAAGGGTTAACAATGGAAACGGCTCCTCGCGTAACCATAGCCCATCTCAATAAGATCACGGCTGCTGCTTTTAGCAACGGAACGAGTCAACGACTTAAGACCTTAAATTTGCAACAGAAAGCAGCTCTGTGCTCCCTAATGGCACTCGAGAAACGAAATCGAGCGTCCCGAGCTTCGTCAGTACTAGCCACGCCGACCAAGTCGCAGACCGTTGCCCCTACGATCAAGATATTGTTCGACACGTACTGCCTATTATGTACGCGAGAATCTGTCCTGCATCCCTTGTCGAGCTCCGAGTTCCGGGAAGTCATAGGAAGTCTAGAGACCTTATCACTCGTTTCTGCCGTTGATGGAAAGACAGGTTCTCTGGCTATGTTGCAGACACCAAGCAAAAGGGGAAAGAAGAACGGGTTCGGGTCTGGTGTTGGATTGGCGGATGAGAAGAGAGTGGCGAGTTGCGTGGGAGAGAAGGAGTTGGAGCAAGCTGTGGAAGGACTCGGTGCTGATATTCTGAAGAGCATTTTGAGCGGCGAGGCGTTGGATTAGATATGGTATGGCACATAATGCATGGGTATGGTATTGCATGAAAATGGCGTTGCATTTTCGGCGTTTATAGGCTGGTTTATAGCCTAGGGGAAGAGATTCACGTCTAACGAGGACGCGTTAATTGATAATGTAGAAAAGAAGACTTGCGATCAGCATTAATATTAACAATTGCAAGGAATTCGTGTTTAATGCTTTACAAGTGATGCTATGAATGATACTAGTAGCAGCGAGTTCCGAATTAAGCGGGTAGAGTATATTGAAGCGCATACGGTATAGTCGCCGTAGAGGCGGATATTTCATAGTATAATCGATACTTGTGTTTATTTAACGCTAATCGACATACCACCATCAACAGGCACGATAGCACCCGTCACGAAACTAGATCTCGGGCTAACTAGGAAAAGAGCCACATCGGCGATCTCCTTAGCAGCACCTATACGGTTCATCGGGATACCGTATGTGATAGTGTCCTCGTTGAACTGTGGGATTGCCTCCTTGCACTGCGCTAGCATGGGTGTGTCGACCCAGCTTGGACATATGCAGTTTACGCGGATGCCGATGGGGGCGCCCTCAATAGCTGCAGCAAGTTAGCAAATTATTCAAAAGATAAAGATATCAAAGTACTTACCAGCAGTCTTCACGATTCCGAGCACGGCGTGCTTTGCGCCGACGTATTGGACTAAACCCGGTTGCGCGAGGAGCGAGGCTGCGGAGCCTAAACTGACGATTGTGCCGCGGGTGCTGCCTATCTGCGGGAGGTTGGGGTCGATCGGCTTTGGTTCTTGGACTTTCATCGCTGCTGTAATTTGGCCTAGGACTAGGTATGTGCCGTAGACGTTTATGTCTAGGTGTGCCCGCACTTCGGGGAAGTTGTCGTCGGAGATTAGGGCGGGTACTCGGACGGGGATCTTTGGGGGTTTAAGGATGGTTAATACGAATCGTCTTTGCGGTATTTCCTTGTCGGTATGGATTTGAAGGTTCTTGGGGGTGTATGTAGGTACTTACACCTGCGCTGTGTACACAGTAATCGATACGGCCGAAGGACTTGACCATATGCGCCACGGCGTTCTTAACCGAATCTTCCTTTGAGACATCGACTTCGATCGCCTCCGCGCGGAACTTGGGGTTGGTCGCGGCGGCTGTAGCTTCAGCTACTGTTTCTTGCGCGGCTTTGAGGTTAAGATCTGCTATGAGAACCCCTGAGGCGCCTTCTTTAGCTAAGGCAATGGTGGTAGCTTTGCCAATACCGCTTCCTATTACATGTTAGGGCTCATGGAGTTCTAAAATGGTTCCCGCATGATTTACGTACCACCACCAGTAACGAAGGCATTTCCAGTAATATCCATGGTTTCGAGCTTGTCTGAATTGAAAAGTCTAGCGTTGAGGTCGTGAAGGAAAAAAGATTGCGCGTGTTATGTTTCACGGGAATGACCTTCTTATAGAGCTAGCTGAGCTTCAGAGAGCCGAGGGGTCAGCAAGCAACAACCCAAAAGGTATACTGCTTATTAGGGCCTATTGCCTTGGGGGTTGGCGTGGTTAGGGTAGCAATAGGATCGAGTCACATAGTAGGAATGTTATCTGCGCCCCTTACAGACACACGTTTTAATCTGCACGACTTCCGCTATTACCAACACCAACGACAGATTTGGAATCTCTGATTTGTTCACTCTTGATTGCCCCGCGGTGCGAATCCTGGCTGCTGTTATACCACGCCTGATGCACGTGTTGCAAGGGATAGAGTCTAGGTATTTCAGCTCGTTCGCCTCTTATGGGTCCCGGCGACGGTATCCCGGAGTAACGTAAGTCGTATTACATCTCAAATGAGATTAATGTATCGATCTTGGTATATCGTCTTGGAATCTTTGCAGATCCGGAGGAATTGAGGGGCTCCATAGCTCCGGAGCGAAAGTCGTTCGAAGGATCAATCAAATTTCAAGTCCAAGGCTACGTTGTAACCTCAAGGGTAGTAGCAGGTTTTTCTGTTAGTATTAGTTGAATATTTTCTCCTATACTATGCATGTTGGTTTGAGACAGATGATTGTTTCCTTAGATACCTACTTAGATAGGTAGTAACCTGCTTACTCTACCCCCTAAGCTGAACGGTTTGTTGGTTGAAATCAGTATAACTTCGTTACAGAGATGAGTGATAGGTCGGGTTTACGCTAGAGTCTCGGGGGTTTTGGGGGCCTTGAAGGAATGATATAGCCTTTATCCCGTGTCTTGGCTTACCTAAGTAGTGCTATAATCCTAGATGATTCTAGCTTCTTTAGCTGTCTTGCATACTGTCACATTAGCCCCCCACTCTAGCTGAGCCTGTGATTTAGGGGGCTGGCGCCATGCTAAATATCGAGATTGCCCCCTTTTAGGTCATTTTAACTATCCCCTCGAACATGCGTGTAAGGATAGTTCCATGAGTATAATCCTTCGTATACACAATACCTCAATTCAAATATAGTCCAATATCCTTGTAGTCGGGCATCTATATCTGTCGCAATGGCGATGTTGAATTATCACGATACTTTGTACCGCTATAATGGGTCGCCGCGAGAGGCTTGGGTCGAAACTTGTCTGTAAGGGCTGATACTAATACGAAACTCCATACTGCCTTGATAAAGTCTTCCTTTATATTATGAAGTATGAACGTAACCTAACGAAACTATTCTACTGTGACTTCTACCACGTTTTTGTTAGTGCAACGAAGGCATATTTATCATCAGACTCTTTTCGAGGCTTATCATTCCGAAGTCTATATTTAAACGAAATGTCTGTTGGTTTCTGGCATTGTCTAATGGATGGTCGGCGAGGGAGGGGTTAGAACTGACGGTAAACGAATGTTTCTATGGCAAAGTCGTTTCAATGCTATATCGTCTATGAGAATTTAGGCATATATGTTAATAGGTTTAATATTAAGAGGCTCAGCCTCAAAAGCCTCCCTGCGGTTATCTAGTTAACTTTAAACCCATCTGATAGTTCAGCGGTAACTGAGCATCGCAGCTTAGCGCAGATAGCACTGGCTGTTGGCGCATAATATGCTGCCATCTGATCAATCAGTAGGCTTTCCATAGGTACATATATGTTAGTAACTAACAACGAGAACTATAAAGGATCGGAGTTAACCTTTACTAAAAAGCGAATCTTCAGCGGTTTAAAGTGGATAGCATAATCATATACGTACAGATCTTGGTTTTAATTCTCGAGGGCAATCTACTATTTCTGGATCACCTAGGCTTATGGAAATGTAACTCTGGTGTTGGTTAAGTTGTGCTACTATTCGAGAACCCTTGGCGAGTCTCATTAAGTAAGAATTCTATATTTTATGCCACATTTGATTCTAAGGATTCTTCCGTAATTCTTCAACTACCGAATCTATTCTGAATCGAACGACAATAATGACGTAGAACGTGGCACGAGTGAATCGTGATCCCGTTGAAAGTAATGACTGAAACCATCTGGATAAGTACTTACCTAGCGTAGCTTTGCGGTTAGTTCCCGAAGCTTGATGGTGAAGTATGAAAGATAAGACCGGATAATCCCCAAACTTCTGGTGGTTTTCATATATGAATGAAGCAATATTCGCACCCTTGACATACGACAACTCTATTCAAGACTGAAATATATTGCGATGCATGTAGGAAAATAGAATATCAATATTAGCGAGTACCTAGGTACTTGACTTCTTCGCGGGGTTCTTTTGATACCCTTGGACGTGGTGTAACTGACAATAAAGGTTAGTTTGGGCCTAGACCGAAGAGACCTTGGCGGCGCTCATGGGAAGCTAGGGTACCCGGTAATGCATGGACCGTCCTTTTCGGTTAGCTGCCGACAAGCTAAGCCTTACTTGGACAGAAAGCTTGTTTGATTTTGTTAAGACGCCGGACAATTTCACTTAGACTTTAAAAGTTAGGATTATACAGTAGTATATGAACTATTCCTACAGCTTCCCCTTAGTTCGCTTCAGAATACACCGAGAGGTGACGGGGCTGGGATTGAAAGTATAACCTGATCTATCATCATGAGACCTTTTTACGTTTTACCGTGGAGCGCCTTTAGCGCCTGTAGCTACCGTGACGAATTTCGGTACGTCCTCATGATGCGCGGAAACGGAGAGCAGGGCCGGCCAGAAGCAACAAGAGACATCACACAGAGGTATTGTTTAGCGAATGCATGTAGCTGGAGTACATCCGAGTTGAGAAAGAATTGTAACTTGAAACTCCGGAACTCCGATGGCTAACACCAACACTGAGCACATACATACAGCAAGTAGCATATGTTGTGCTGCGCTGCGCTGCGCCTTCAGACCTCTTACGCGGCTTGCCGGATTCAGCTCCCGATTTTCAATGGCACCGAACCACATCCGTAGCCGGATGGCGTATTTTGAGACCTATCGATTTTTCGATTTCACACGTAATCTTCTAAGCGATCTACAATATGTACGAGAGGAGAAGATCTTTTCTTCTTTAACGCTACCGAATTTCGTATCTCTTCGTTCGGGTAGGCAGGTAGGTAAAATGTAAGATTTCGCACGAAATACTTGGTGTTAGTGTACTGCGGCTCGAGCATACGTTTCTTCATTTACTAAGACCATTACTAGTTGAGTTGATCATGGGAAGAATATGCTGAACTGTCTCACACCCGAAGGTATAAACCTCCGTCTAATCTAATCCAATCATAGGGTGATTTATTCTTTTTCTTCCGCGATTGAGTTTCATTTTAGTCGTTATACATTGGGTACAAATATGTACGTATTCGCGCTAGTTGTTGTATCGTCCCGGCCATTTTGTTGTCGGGACTTTGACGTTTCGATAAGTGGCCGGTTACCCGCTGATTCTAGTACCTGACCGTTCCAATTTATACGGCGTGTCGCATCTTGAGGCGTATGGATATTGGATTGTTTCTCGGCTCTCGCTATGCAAAGGAATAGGATTGGAGGGTTATTCTACTTACGTCTCTTGTCTGCAAGTACCCGTCTGTTTGTGACATGTACATACATAATCGGACCCCACTCAACTTGAGTTTCGAGTTTTGTTTTTGAGTGGGATAACTCCCTGTAGGTACATGTATGTACACAAGTCAAGTGCATCCACACTTACATAAAACTCACCTTAAGTATCTAGGTACCTAGGTACTTTATTACTGTTGGGGTTTCCCTCTCTCTTTATTTCTAACGGATTCCCGTATTTTTTTTAATGGTTGGGCTCAATTTATGGATGTACCTACCCGAATTTTAAAACCCCAAATTTACGCGACTCAATCAGTCACCTGCAGTCAGCATCAACGGCAGCGACGGGTAACGGGCAATAGAAAGAGCAGAATTGAGTTTAGCATTACACAAAAGTGCTAAAATTGACTGGGCAGCCAGGCGGCCTGGGGTAAGAAGTGACAACCTGCACAAAATACCCCCTAACGACCTTAACGCATTTTAATACGCTTAGCACTACTTAGCATGGCCTAACACCCCTAACACCCTTAACGATTTTATCTATTAATAATGATAAAAGCTGGAGGTCCATCTCTTGGCAGCCGTCCCTAATCCCAAGTTCCCTTCTTTACCAAGCCTCTCCCACAGCTTGGCACATGCAACACCCAAGATCTTAGTAAACCCTTCCGAAAGCCAATTCCAACTGGCCATATTTCCAAGCTTGTCGTCCTTGAATTGTAGAGACGTCCTAGTTATAGGGCTCCTATAGGGGTCCTCGACTTTTCCCCGTTGTCGCCTTGGCTTGCCCCCGCCAATCCTTCCATCGTCCGACCGCCATCCCTACTGGCGCTTCCGAACCACCACGCGAAGCTCGACCCGACCACTCCCCGCGTGATCTCATCTCCCGCTTCGACCTTATAACATATTGGATGAAAGGACGGTTGACGACGAGCCTCGTGTGGTGTCATGCGAGGCACGCACGTCGTTGTCAATTGAGACAAGCCGAATAAATGGGTTCCGACGCCGATAAAGCAACTAACGTGTCGCTCGACGACTCGCCTTCAAAGCCCTCCTTTTTCTCGCGCCTGACCTCTCCGCTTCGATCTCGAACACGAAACCTAGCCGATTTTCACGTTCGCCTTCAAGAACCTCACCGCCAATACTCTGCCGGCGACCATGTTAGGGGTCATATCATCCTCTCCGTTGTCAAGCCTATCCGCATAACACACCTTACTGTTGCTTTGCATGGCTTCGTTCGCGTTTACAAGCATGCGGGCGCGGGCGCCCAGCTTAGCAATATCAACCCGGCCATTATTTCCCACGAGAAAAACCGAAATGTCAGATACTTTGGCAACGGGGTCGCCTCGCTATTTCAAGACGAACAAGTTCTATGCGGTGAAGGGAGGCTGAAACCGACTAGATTTGAGTTTGAATTTGATCTGATATTTCCTTCTAAAGGACTTCCCAGTAGTATTGATGTATGTGCGCCGCCCCTACTATTAATGGATTATACTAATACTGGGTTTTACAGTTTGAGAGAGGGACCATCTCTTATATGGTCACTGCTACTTTAACGAGACCAACCTCCATTGCCGCGACATCCAGCTGTGAGACAAAAGTAGCGCTCGTCGAGAAGGTGGATATAGGCTTGCTTGGACCCCCACATGAGCGGAAAGTATGCATGCAAACGTTACGCAGGAGACCCAAAAAGAAAAAGAAGCTGGCACCACCCGTCGCATCGACTGCCAAACAAGGACCACTGTCGATAGAAACCCAAGAACCAGCGTCGGATTTGGATTCTACCAGGGTGAATGAAAATTCTACCGGCAGTTCCGTCAGTCTCGCCGAAGTCACAACCACAGCCGGACCGGGCGGAAGCCATCTACCTCGGAGTCCATTGCGGAGCGATTTAACGACGGGTGACTTGCAAAGCGAAATTAGCGGGGATAGTGCTATAAGCAATAACAGCGGCTCTAATAGTGTTAGAGCCGCTGGTGCAAGTGCTGAATCCGTTGCAGCAAGTAAGTTATCCGGAGGTGATGGCAGAGAGATTACTGCTACGGTTGAACTGCTCAAAGGAGGTTGTCTACCTGGAGACATACTGCCGGTAAAGATTCGAATCGAACATAACCGTCGTATGAAAAGTATGCATGGCATCATTGTCACACTTTACCGCCAGGGTCGAGTCGACTACTCACCGCCGATATCTTTATTCACCACGGACTTATCTAAAGAGGAAGCCAAGCGGCTAGAACGCGAGGACTATTATCCAAGGTCGAGAACTGGCCTCGGAGGGTTGTCCTTATCCTCCGCTGGTTCTTGTAGCGTATTCCGAAAGGACCTGTCGCAAGCGGTCGCGCCACTTATCATCGATCCTGCTACACTCTCGGCAAATATCACGACATCTGTCAGAGTCCCGGAGGATGTATTTCCGAGTATAAGGAATGTTCCCGGGGGCCTCATCAGTTTCAAGTACCATGTTGAAGTCGTATTGGACCTAGGAGGCAAGCTTGCTGGTCAGTCGACTGGAAGTTCGCAACAACCAAGTAGGTTGGCTTCATTGGGTGTTCCAGGTGGCAATCCTGCCGCAGCGGTCGGGTCATATGATCTGAAGCGTCTTGCAAATTGGAACGGTACGATCGTGGACACCGATCATCTAAGGCGCGAAAAAGGTGTCATCTCAGTATCATTCGAGGTTGTCGTCGGGACTATGGATTCGAGCCGCACACGGGGCAAGTCCGTTGTGCGCCCCACACTGACAGTGCATGCACCTCCTAATGAGGCTGGCGATGCGGAGAATGGTGAACCGGATTATACTTGGCACAATGAATATGATGAGAACAATTACAGCGGGGACTACGTTTCGGGACAACTCGAGCCGTCGCCCCAGAATTATTTGCCACCTGGTGCGTCTCCTCAAACATCATATTACGACTTTCAAGATCGAGAATCACACGCCCCGGTTTATATACCGCCACCAGAATTGCCTAGGGATAGTGAGTTATCAGAGAAGGAGCGGGTACGACAAGCCGAGCAAAGACTGTTACCAAGCCAGCCGCCGTCAGCACCACTTCCACCTCAACAGCCTTCTGATTCGGAAGCTGGACCTTCACAACCATCTGCCCCAGGCGACCTTTCCGCTCCAGCAGATAACGTCGACGATTCAGATGCCCAGGCTTTATTGCCGACCCCAGAGAATGAAGGGCCATCGGCTCCCACACTGGGGGATCTGACACCAACAGGTCACTCAACGTCGCATGCCGATGACAAGCAAGAGCTTGAACGTCGTCGGTTGCTTCAGGAGGCTAGTGCCCCTCCTGACGTCCCCGAAGACTATGAGAGTAGTGGGCCGTCGGCGCCTCCTCTCGGCCAATCGCAGGGTCTGGAGCCAACAGCCCCAGTCTTCAATGATAACCACGACTACGAAGCTCGAGATCCCTACCACGATATCGCCGGACCTTCCCAGCGACACACAGGCTCAGAGCCGTTACCAAAGTACGAGCGGTAATGAATATTGCAGTATGATAAGCCTCTTATTTTGGATTTTGGATGTTTTTTGTAGATATCCAGTCACAATTGATGGTTCGGAACGGAATTCGACTCCGTCGACACTTTGCTTTGTATATTGCATTATAGGGCAGTTTTGCATCTGATCCGATGAACGACCTGCATTAAAATAGCGATTTGGAATTATTTATTATTTAACAATCTACATACACTCTCCGAAAGGATTATGGCGGAGATTTGGTTGTATATATCGGTCGTGGGATGGATCAAAAAAGGCTTATTGAATATCCACAAATATTTGCAATCCATGACTGCGACCTACTGAATTGCTGATATGTAGAGGCTGCCCGATAATGCCGGCCGAAGCTGCGAGCACGTTTGAATGAACTGTCTAGGTCCGTCATCGTCGCCATCCCGCTTGTTTCGAGCTCCTTGACTTTTAATATTATTAAGAAGCCATCCCTAAATATTTGTCGTCGGACTATTCCCTTCAAGACCCATGATTCGTCTATTTTTTCCTAGGGGAATATGCTAATACTGCTCGCAGTGAATCGTCATTGAAGTCCTAAAGTTAGACTTGACGATATAGCGGAATCATAAACCATCTTTCCCGGCACATCATGTAATAACCCAACCCACATGAACGAATGCAATACTTCTTGCATATCAGACCAGGAGCGCACGCCGCATAATTCGATGTTAACAAGTAACCATGGGTTTAGCCACGTGGCGCAATCGACTTCGCTGAACACAGATACCGCGCCCACGGTTAGGAGCCAGAGGAGTAGGCGTGGAGATATGGGCTTAGGGTTATCGCCACCGTTCTCATTATCACTGTTATTGGGATTGGGATCTGGGAACTCAAGGTTGGCAAGCGCCTCTTGGTACGAAATCGGGAAATGTGTTTGTGGTTGCCGGACACCGACCCATTGCAGGAATAGCGTCGACGCGAAAGCTAGTAAGCCGAGACGCACGGCTTCATCTAGTGAACCCCGCGGCGAAGGGGGTTTGTGGATGAGTCGGTACGTGGTTGAGGCCATGGCGTCTAGGAGGTAGTCTTTTGGCATCTTGCGTCCGGTCGAGTGCGCGCGGTTTACGAGGGCGCTGAATTTGCGGAGTTCGAGCCAGGGGGTTGATAGAAGGGGGTCGAGGGTGGAGAGGAAGAGTTCGTCGGAGGGGGGGATGGGGTGTAGGGGGTGCGTGTTGTAGCCGGCGTAGAGGGGGTACGGCCAAAAGGGTTCGCGGAGGGGATTGGCGAAGAATAGGGGTTTGGTGCCGCTGTGCAGGGCTATGCCTATGTCGCACCTACAGGGGTTAGTTTGTGTGGAGAGGGGTGTGGAAAGGGAGTTGGGTTACCTGAACATTTCGAGGAGTTGCTTTATGTTTCCTCGAAGAGCTGATAGTTCGCCTTTCATATCGACGATTTTGCGAAGGCCTTGCATGTGATGTCTAGCCGTCTGGACCTCACCCATGACGTGTGCATAGAAGGCGAGGCACATGATTACCGCGGTTGTCGTGAACCATGATTTACTTATATCCAATTCGGCATTGTCTAGCCTCTCGCGCAGCAGCTGCAGCGTCTTGGCCACGTGCATATATGCTGATGACTTCCGATCTTGTCGGCCTGGTCGTAGGTCGAAGTAGATCTGCGTTGAGAATGCCATGGCGTGGAGGTACGCCGCGTCGATGGTGAGGGCCTCGATGTATGCTAGGTCTTTGGGGCCGAAGTTTATGCATGTTTCTAGAGGGAACATGGCTTTCTTGGCTTGGCTGGAGACTAGAAGGAATGGGGTGAGACTGATAACTCTAAATACTGGGAGATGAAGGGGGTTGTGTATGAGAAGATGGAAGCAGTGCTCGCTATACATTGAACTTAACACTTACACTCCATGATAGTATTGATAGCAGACTGTTCCACGGTATCCGCAAATTGAATAAACGATGTGTTGGTACCAACTCTCTTAGGGATGGCACGTAGGCTTGCTGAGAGTAATATCCTGTTCTCAATATATATATCATCCATACTTGAGGTGACATCACTTTTCTCTGTTGTAGTATCTGGTTCCTTTGATTTCTTGTCCCTTTTGGCTCTAGGCCCAAGGGTCTTCCCTCGGTTCTTCCCTACCATTACATGGCTCCTGATGAACTTTCGTAGTTCGGGGTCAGCCTTTTTGGTGCTTGTCGACACTATGAAAGGCAAGCCATCTATTCAATGGGATATAAATGTGAGATTTGGTCATGGCAACTTATAGCGCATAGCTCACCTGAACCGCTAGCGGCCGGCGCCATGGCGCTGGAAATAACCGGAGTTTCTAGGCGGAGATTATCGAATTTAGCTAGTAACTTCGGCTGTAAATTCGAATATGTACGACCGGAATTCGGCATTCAGATTGTATTCCTAGATAAGTCAGGTACCCGAAGGAGCGATATAAAGATTGTATTCCCAGAAGGGAAAACAATCAATTGAAAGAGGCATAAAGAAGAATAAATAGGCGCTTGAATGACTCGATTTAGTTAATAATTAGGGGTCTACGCAAGCTACGTATAGGGGACATGATCTCACTGTATAAGCCAGCACTAAACCAATCAAGGTTAAGCTTATCTAGAGATTGTTTTCCATTTCGGGTATGGCTTCGATGTAGGGCTGGAATAAATGCTACGCTACGATTTCCTTGAGCTCTGATTGGCTAAATATTTCTTAATGAACTAACAGATTCTCTTGCCGATTTCAATCGCTGAACTTAACCGTAACATCATCAAGACAGGACAGCCTCATTACATAGAGCTACGGATTTCGGAAATATCAACACAATCATGGCTTCATTTATAGTATATAAGATGGCAGGTCTTTTCTGTCGTGTCAATGAGAATCAGCATCTTGCATCGCGCTCTCAAATACCCTATCAAGATTAAAAGATAAAATAGCACTACAACTCACTATAACTTACTCACTATGGCTTCATCGAAAGATTTACCACCATTGGATGTTCCATTCTTTCCCAACGTCTTTGTTAAGAATCAATTCTGTACCAAACCAGACAGACCACCAGCGACAACCGATCTGACCGGGAAAGTTGCTATCATTACCGGAGCGAATACCGGCTTGGGGTTTGAGGCTGCCAAGCAGATGCTTGCATTGAAGCTATCTCATCTGATTATCGCAGTTCGAAATAACGCGAAAGGTGAAGATGCTGCCGCTAAGCTCCGAACCAAGTTCCCGAAGGCAATAATTGAGGTTATGTTACTGGATATGACCCGATATGATTCCATTCAGGATTTCGTCCGACGTGTTGAAAATGAAGTCCACCGTCTTGATATAGTCATCCTGAATGCCGGCTTAATCAAGATGAAGTATGGAACCGTAGCATCAACCGGCCATGAGGAAATTCTGCAGGTCAATTACCTATCAACCGTATTTCTCGCTATTCTTCTCCTCCCCATCCTAAAAGCGAGGTCGCCAGCCGGTACACCTGGTCGCTTAACCATTATCAATGCGGCCTTAGCACTCACCGCACCACTGCCAACGATCAATGGCCACAAGTCCCTCCTAGCCGCTCTAGATGACCCTAAGGCCTTTGCCAATTACACCGACAAGCAATACAACACCTCAAAAGTGCTCATGCAAATGTTCGCATACAAGCTCATCGACTATGTATCCGCGGACGACGTCATCGTGAACTTAGTCTGTCCTGGCTTCGTCAAGGGTACGGGGCTAAGCCGCGATGTTAATATCTTGATAAAGCCCCTTATGGCTGCATTCGCTGCGGCGGCGGCGAGGAACGTGGCCGATGGTGCGTCGACGTATTTGGATGCGGCTTTAGTGAAGGGGAAGGAGAGCCATGGTTCGTTCATTATGAGTTGGAAGATTGCGCCGTAAGTTTGAGCTTGTGTGGGTGGTGCCCCTTTTATAAACGCTTATTAATCTGAACTTCAGGTACAATTCTTTCTTGTATACCCCCGAAGGAAGGGACGCTGCGGATAAGTTGTGGCGGGAGACTATGGATGAATTATCGTTTGCTGGTGTAAGTGGTATTTTGGAGTCGATGAAGAAGCTGTGAGATGTCTTGCCCTAGGATAATTTAGGCGCTTGGCGGGGAGTGGTGATGGTGTCCGTATCCGTATTCGTTTACACAATACTCTTCCAGCCACAGCTACATTGTTTTTATATGTTTTTTACATAGTGGGTATTCCTTTCGTCAGTCGTCGTATTCTTATGTTAGGTTTGGTACGATAGGGTGACTCTAAGATCCATAACAATCTTACAATCCATTAGATGATCACGACGTTAAACAATAGCTTTCAAGCAAATGCACAATAAAACACATTCATTATTATTTGATAACTCGCCTTTTATTCATTGATACTATTCCCGAGACTTAACTTTTACCCTACCTGGATATAATCTGACGCAATCCCTAAAGGAAACTTGAGTAGATAACTAGCTCCCACCTAGGTAGGTAGTGAACTATAATGCATGAAAATGCAACTCATGGTAGAGATATTGATCTCGGCTCCGCTCTAATTTCCAATGCCCACCTGGGCACGTACCTTAGATCCTAATCATATTGATCACTCACCATGTAAATACCCTACTATTAGACTCAAGGTACGTATCCATAACAGTCTGGTGAAAGTGCATGCTTGCAGCCTCAAACTGCACCGGCCCACACCGGTCGGGGTTCCTGAACACAGCATCCGGGGCTGCGGGGAAGCAAGTGTCAGCCAACGTCCGAGATAGCATCGCGACGTACTGGAGGCGGCAGTGTTCGCAGTGCGCCGGGATAGCTCCGCCCTCTGGGATTGTCATGGGGACCTGTATTTCCCGGGGTAAGTCGGGCATGTACGGTAGAAGGCGGATATCGTGATCACACTCTGGGTAGCATAGGTCGAACCTACATGCAGGACAGTTCGGGACTGCGTTTCTGTCCTTACAGGCAGCGATCCATGCCTGCATGCACGTGAAGCCGAAGAAATGCCCACAGGGTAGTACAAGCATTTGCTCGAGCCGATTGTGCTCACCGGGCCGCCGGGAGGGGGTTACCGTGGGCGGCACCTCGAGTTGTTCGGTGCGGCAGATGTCACACGTCAAGTTCAATATGATACGATTACCGTAAATGTCATGCCCTGTGGATAAGAACTTGGCGATGTCGCCGAATAAGGGAGCGTGTTCGTTTCTAAGGAAACGACTGCGACCTCTTAGCTCGTTGTGGTATACCTGGTAGGTTACCTGTTTAGGCTGCGTGACTCGTACGAGACCTGGTGGTGGGCCGGCAACAGTTCCGGTGTAAGTACCTTCTGGTACTCCCGGAAGCAGAGGGGCTCCAGTTACCGGCATTGGGCTGCCCGGGCGGGGGTTCCCGTTGGCGGGGCCGTTGACTCTTTGTTGAGCGTCCATAACCCTTGATATGACAATGAAGCTAGAGTATGAGTAGAGTAGCCGATTAAGAATCAGAAAAATAAAGCCGAAAAAGGAGGCTTGGTAGGTTATCTGAAGTTTTTCGTAGAATGATAATAGGAACTCTAGATACTTGCTTAGGATAAAGAGTGAGTACGATGATGATAAACGACTTCTTGAGGGCTGGCTCGGGCTTTATACACCTCTGGGAGTAGGCAAAACATGGTGATGAGTTGCCGAACAGCGAATACTAGGTATTGAGTATCGATACAGAATCATCGTTTTGAAACAGACGAAGTATTCATGAACTAATCATTGTTTATCGTTCGCTCCAGAACTTGATCGCCATTTGGACTCATCCACGGGATAAACCCAATGAGCCCTAGGTGGGTGAGGAGCATAATGTGTCTTCATCAACTAGTTGGGCCGCGACGTATGTTATGTAGGTAATCTTATTGTTCGTTTTGTTAGTTAAAATATACGATTTGAGCAAAGGAAAAGAGTTACTCAGGGTAGAGATTGTTTAGATAATAGTATGGTATTATGCTGTCGTCGTGCCCTCTTCTATAGGCGGTCGTCGGCTTGTCAAATTGTTGTTTATTCTAGAGTAAGTCCAACTGAGCGTTGAGCAATTAAATTCATGGCTAGGGCTAAGGCTAATGTCAATTTTAGCACCGACATGTGCTAAAGCCCCCTGGAATCATAGTTGGATTTAGTACAAGTTCCCCACGGTTACAGGCAATGGATGCAACAGCTATGAAAAAAAAAAAAAAATCACAGGCCTGAGGGGCTAATCACCACTATAGTTATAGGGAAGAAGGCGCTATAAGTCACCATAAAACGGACTTTAGGGCCACCGCTAGGCTTGATGATTTAACAATCCAGGTCTTACGTTTTCACCTACACAGGAGCCTTGAAAGATCTATGTACACCATTTAGGAGATTGAAAAAATGTTGAATGCATCGCTAGACTCTCGACACTCTCATCCTCGCCATCAGCTTTTGGCCAACTCGTGGATTTATGAGAATAATATGTACAAAGATATGCTACCAAAACCTATTACTCGAATTCAACCAGTAACTTGGTGCGCATGTAACCAAAAATATATACAAGAATAGGGTGGCTAGACTTTAGCCAATTTGTATCCCATGGATTTGGTGGCGTGCTTTCTCGAATTATTGCGTTCCCTCTCCGCCATGTGTCCTTAATGTCTTGCCTGTATATTCTGAAGAATATAGAATAGACTGAAAACCAGAAACATGATTGATTAGGGCGTAATTGTACCGTTACTCGCCGGACACGCCGAGCATGTTACTTGTGTACCCTTTCCATTGTAGTTACAGCGACCTCCAGTGCAGTTCAACACACAGACGGAGCAGTCCGGGTAGTAGTCGGCCTCACTACACCCGTAGCCGTCACCAGGAGGAGTTATGCAGTCCCTGTATAACGTTAGTCGGGTTCGAATTTAGATGGCGAGAACGAATATCTACCTAGGCCACAATGGCGTCAATGGGCTCGCGAAAGCAGAAGTTCCGAGGAACGCGACGATTATAGAGATAGTTAACATGGTTGATGTGATTTTTATGAATTTTTTGGTTCATAAGTTGTATTTACATATATTTAAAGAGTGTTGTTGGATGGCTCCGGTTCGATGCAACCCAGTACGTATATATACCAAAGTAGAAGAAGAAAGGTAATCATTAACATGTAGTCATTACTTACAACATTACCTGGTCACCCCCACGATAGACCTGGTATCATATAGATCTTTTCAATCTTAGTAAGTAGAGTAAATAGGAGAAAATATATTATCTGGGGTGACACTGTTGGTAACACTAAGCGATCAGATTATATCTACCACCTGCCATAAATATTGGTCGGTGACCCGCATTCAGCGATGTGAACTGCCAAAATCGACGATGCGACGGAAGGGAGACAGGTAGTATCGGTCCTATGAATAACCTTGGGCGTGATAACGACTGAAATAAACCACCAATCATGATGGATGGATGGCTACAGAGGCCTCGAATGTTTTACTTTTCTGGAGTTTCTCTTTCTTTAAAACCACCTAAGTATCTTGCAAGTGATCATCATGTACTACAATTGGAACGACTTTCAGGGCAGCTGGAGCATTCGGGTACTTAAATCTGCAGCTATCCGCGCTGATAGGGACCTACCTAGGTAGGGATGTCGATCAACGGCAATTCCCTGTCGCTAATCTTCTTGGCTAGGGGTCTATTGTCCTATTATATTAGCGAACAGCGCATGTAGCTTGCCATACTTCAGGGGCAGCAGACCACCTAATAAATCGCAAACCACTAAAATATTTCAGCACAGGCGGTCCTAACAACTTATGTCACGATCATGAGAACATCAGGTTTCCCCTTAAGGTGCGACAAGGCGGATATTTTCCCCAGTAAATAAAAAGTCATAAGACATTCATTTCCACATCGTCGTCATTATACTCATTTCTAGCTTAGAAAATCGCCAACGCATTCGGCGGGGATCCGATTAACCCAGGAATATTCAACGGCACTGACGTGAGCAAGAAGCTGTACCGTTCCGTTGCCTTACAGTGTTCCGATAGCGCCTTCAAGTCCCAAAGCTCACCGATCGGCATGCCGAACATCGATAATAACCAAGAATGGAGATCTATTGATTATGTGAGTAAGCAATTATTGATTCAATGCTGATTTGAAGCGCATTCGAAATTGCACAAACTCAATATAACATACGAAGAGGGAACTAAAAGGAAGGAAAAGGGAAACTTACAAAGATCCGTAGGACCGCCCACATTTCCATCCTCCTTCAACGGCATCAATGCCTCGAAAGCCCAAGAATCACCCGCGACAGCCGCAAAATGCTTATTCCAAATCCACTTCGCAGACTCCAACACACCATGCACACCCGCGATCTTCTGGGTCTGTAATTTGGCCAAGTCTTCCGGACGTGGGGCTTGTAAGATTTCGGTGAGACCAGTTCGTACGACGAGGATATCCCCGGGTCGGAACTCAACACCCTGATCCTTGGCCACGGCCTCTAGCTCGGCGACTGTGATACGGTGCCCGTCGAGCGGGTGGAACGTAGCGGCTTCCCCGGTCTTACCTTCGGCGCGTGCACGCACTTCGGCCCAGGACTTGAAATCGATGAGTACACCCCGCGCGACGACGCCGCCGGCCGCGTGCCAATGGTCTAGAGTCGGCATCGTATTCGCTGCGGTATGCGGGACGCCTAGCGCTTCCTTACTGACGGAAATGCCATTATACGCCAGACCTGAGGGTTGGTGTTGCCAATGAATCAGACTATCCCATTGACTGCTAATCTGAGTATTAAACGTAATCTCGTCGTCCCACCCCGTTCCCTCGGAGATGCCTGACTCGCGCAGCGTCACCTGTTTGTGGGTAGGTTGCCCTCTTCCCGGGAGAGGGAACGGTATTCCATTCAGCGGCCAACTAGGGTTCCACGTAAGCTCTAAAGCTCGCTAATTCCACAGGTAGGTGAGTCGGTACCTAGATGGATAGACAGGACTTACTTCAAAGAGATCGACACGCCATCCCGCGCCTCACTGAACGCGGCCTTAACCACGGTCGGAGTTAGGATATTAAGTGTGCCTAAGAGATCTTTCTTTCCGTCCTTGTCGAATACGCCCCATGCGCATCCTTGGGGCATGTCTGGGACTTTCGGTAGGTCGTCGAAGTCTGGTACCTTTGTAGGTTCCATCTTTTCTAATTGGGCGGGTTATCAGAGGCAAGTTATTTCTTTTTACTTATCGTCTAATTGAGTGGCATGTAAATGGCATGAGATTACGATATCGTAGGTAAGTGGTAGTAGTGGATATAAATGTAACGAATTGGTTTATGTGAGGCTACTCAACGCAGGCACATTTACAGCCCGTCTATCGTCCCTTGCAACCCCGCCGCTATTGTGCCTAGAGAGCTATATAGGCAAGAGGCGCGTTGGGAGGCCAGTACATACATGCATTATCTAGAAAGATACCAAGGTAGGTAGGTATTAAAGTACTTCTCTATGTACTCCAAGTAAATATAACCCCATTGTCAATCGATGCTTACACATGTTAAGATGTTATAACGACTCACCTACCTTTTAGGAAGTAGAACGTAACCCAGCTATCCTAGCTAGTTCTATAGAATTGCAGGGATTTTCTTTGTCTACAAAGTCCTACCCCTCCAACGATCTGGAGACGATCCAATCTATTCACTATAAAGCTCAAGTATCCCTGGACAAGCCTCAAGCAGACTGTTGCTTTGTAATGTACTTGGTTGGCTCAACCACAAAATCCGAATACGATCACTTCCCTCCCAAGCGACACGCCAAGTTGAGCTTGTTCATGGGTTCGTGAGGGGTTTCCGGTGTCTATGTGGGAACTTGCGATAGGTCGGGACAACCTAACCGACAATTTCGTGCTTCTAGCCCACCGCCGCCCCTTCCGATGGGTACGATCTTAGTCTCTTCCCGTTGGAGATAGGTTCAAGGGTATACTCGCGAGAGGTGTCGGATTTATAAAATACGCTGTTCGAGGCGGTAAAGACTAGCTTGAATCCTCCCCGGTAGCCAACGATCCAACGAACCTCGACCAATCAGGGAACCCGAGCCCTTGCATCGCCTGATTAGCCACCACTAGACGGCACAAACAATGTAAAGAGGCGTAGAAGCCAGCGAGCGCCGCATAAACTTCCCCATATTTGCTTAGCTAGCAGCACAATATTATATCAGTCATCTATCCGTCGTGTTCGTATATATATACGAAGCAGTCGTCCTCTCTTAAGTGGGAGCAAACAATATATTCCAACCCAGCGGCTCCAATTACCTACTTATACCCAGAAAAAGAAAGTCGACTGACAATATTACGCTTTCCGACTTACCTACAAAATGGAGGACTTCGCGAGTGTTCAAGGAAAGTTCGCCGAGGAAGCGCAGAAGCGTTTACGCTTGCGTCCCGAAGGCGTGGCTCAATATGAGACTTTAGCATTCAGCGAGTCGGATAAGTTACGCCACTTATCAGACGACATCTGGGCAGACCACGCTGCTCTCGATGCGCAAACTCCTCCCCTAGCCTCGGGTGACCGTCCCAAGTTTCTTATCGCAGGTGCCGGGATTGGTGGACTCTTAGCTGCTGTCCGTCTAATCCAGGCTGGATTTTCGGCAGACCAAATTCGAATAATCGAAACAGCCGGTGGCGTTGGTGGTACATGGTACTGGAATCGGTATCCCGGATTACATTGCGACATGGAGGCTTACGTCTACCTACCGCTATTGGAAGAGATGGGGTACATGCCCTCGCATAGATATGCCCCCGGGGTTGAGATTCGGAACTATCTTAATGATGTAGCGAAGCGTTGGAATATCGACGACAAAATCCTATTTAGGACTAAGCTCGATAAGCTAGAATGGGACGAAAGTTCTCGCGCGTGGAAGGTCGACCTCACTACGGGGAGAGGACCTAATGGTGCAGAAAAGTCCAGTTTATCAGTGACGGCTGAATTCGTATGGGTGACGGCTGGGTTATTAACTAAACCTAAGATCGCAAAGCTAGGTGGTGTTGGGTTTGAGGGTTTCAAGGGTGAATTCTTTCACCCATCAAGATGGAACTACAACGTTACAGGAGGTTCACCCGAGGAAGCCTTCCCAGTCCTATCGAAGCTGAAAGACAAGAGAGTCGGCTACATTGGTACCGGCGCGACAGCAATTCAGGCCGTACCACAGCTAGCCGAATACGCCAAGGAGTTATACGTGTTCCAACGAACGCCCGCCGCGGTCTTCTCCCGTGGCCAAAGGCCCACCGATCCGGAGGAATGGAAGAAAATCGCCGGAAAACCCGGCTGGTACGCGGAGCGTGTGCACAACATATTATTACACCTAGCTAACAGCGCGCCTCCTGGTACCCCCAACTTGGTAGACGATGAATGGTCTCGACAGCCCGCCTTCGCGGCCCTGGTTGGTGGACAGGAATTTCCGGAAGTAGTAGGACCAGAGCAAGTGCCTGAGATTATTGCTCACTTCCTCAAGATAGACGCCCCAAACACTGCGCGATTACGAAAGCGGGTTGCCGAAATCGTGAAGGACAAGGAGACGGCTGAGAAGCTTACACCGTGGTACCCAACTTGGTGCAAGCGGCCAACGTATAGCGACATGTACCTAGAGTCGTTCAACAAGCCCAACGTACACTTGGTCGACACGGATGGTAAGGGTGTTGAAAGTGTGACGCCTCATGGCCTCGTAGCCAACGGCGAAGAGTTCCCGCTCGACATCATTGTTGTAGGCACGGGGTACGACGCCGGTTTTATGGCCGGCGGAGATCCCTTAGCTGCTGCCGGTGTCAAGGTATTTGGCCGGGAAGGCAAAACGATACCCGAGAGGTGGGAGTCAACGGGATACTCTACGCTGTTCGGCTGTGCGACTAACGGTTTTCCGAACTTCTTTTGGTTAAGTCCGTTCCAGGCCGCTTCTACTGGAAATTACTCCTCAGCTTTAGACACGCAGGCTAGCCATATCGCTTACTTGGTGGGTAAGGCGCATGAAAAGGCGGGTGGTCTAGCCAAGACCGGGGTAACCGTCGAAGTTGAAGTTCCTGCTCAGGAGGCGTGGAGCACGAAGATGATGATGGGAGCAGCCCGGTATGCGACATTGACACCTTGCACGCCGAGTTATTTCAACAACGAAGGCAACCTCTTCGACCCGAACGCTACGCAAGAGCAAATGATGAAGTCGGCAAGGGCGACGATGCACCCTACAGGCATGCCCGGTTTCATAGAGGATTTGAAGAAATGGCGTGAGGAGGATAAGCTGAGTGGCATCAAGGTAACCGTCGCGTAAAGCTCCCTAGCCCTGGATATAATAAAGTAATAGTAAAAGAAGCCCTTGATATAAGTGTGCGCTACATTTTGAATTAGTTCCGCCTGCGTTTGGTTAAAAAACCATAAAAAAAGTCGGGCAATAAGTAAAATACCCCTACGCACATTAATACACCTGATATGAAAGTTTACATATAGTCTAGAGGGGTATGTCGCTTGGATATATGAGTAAATTTCCCTAAACGCTATATGATTCGTGAATCGTTATAGAAAGATATCCGTAATGAGATCGTATTTATCGTGCCAATATGCGTAAGAGTCGGGTTTAGATCTAACGTGATATAGTTGTCTTGCTCGCTTGAGAATTTCGGATCGACCTGTATTTCAACTCGGAAAATCTCACTAGTCGTCATAGTACGCTTCTTCGTACTCCTCCTCGTATTCCTCCCGAGCCTCGTGGAGCTCTTCCAGGTCGCTACTACTAGCGTCGGAGTCTTGTGCCGCAGCTAGCGCCTCCTCGTAGTCTTCACGGGCGGAGCGCACCGACTCGCGATCGCTAGCATCGACATACTCACCCTCTGCATTATATGCTGGCTCATAGACTGGCTCAGAGTAGACAGGGGCGGGAGGAGAGGCTGCGTAGACAGGAGCCGGTGCGTGATGTTTTTCCTCGTCGGACGAGTCATCTAGGTCAGAATTAGCACGATATCTTAAGTGTGAAGCGAAATGAAAAGGAACAGCTGGGGAAGTTACCGAGAGCATTGGCAAGAAGAGCTCCACCAATAGCACCAACCGCAAGGCCGCCCGCGGCGCCCATTAGGAGGCCACCATGGCCCTTCTTTTTCTTCTTCTCTTCCTCTCTGTATTCGCCGTGACTTTCGCTTGAGTGATGACCGTATCCATGATCACCTTGTCCATACCCATAGTTACCATGCTGACCACGGCCGTCGTTAGATCCATAACCGTGGGATTCGTGGGGAGGATATCCATGGCTGGGCGCGGCGTGGGATGGGTAGTTAGATTCACCATGCGATCCCCATCCTCGATCTCCAGGACCTCCTGAACCGTGGTAACCCGGTGCTTCCCACTGCGAACGGCCAGTGGCTTGTTCATAGTAGTACCATCGTTGGTAGTGTTGGTCGAACTGAGGAATCCACCCAGATGGAATGGGAGGTTTGTCTGACGGAGGTGAGTAAGTTGGCCCCGAGCTTTGCGGTGGCGGGCTGCTGTAGTAGTTCTGAGGGGGAGGAGACTGGTAGCTGCCTTGGGGTCCGGGCGGAGCAGGGCTACCTCCGTACGGTGGATACGGTGATTGACCGTGACTGCCGCCGCCGTATTGTTGAGACGGAGGCGGATAGCTAGATTGGCCTAAATTTCTATGTTCAGTCTTGTTTATAATTGGAGCCTCATGAAATGTGAAATAACAAGCTACTGACCTGGATATCCTTCTCTTTCTCTTGGTTTTTCGGAGCCGAGATCCAACCCGTCAAGCTTGCTGGTTATTTTATCAAAAAATGACATTCTGTATAGTTGAAGCCTTTGCTTTTTGCTTCTGATGTCTTGTCTATTTACTAGACTTATGTTCGAAAGAAATTAGTTGATGGTATGTTATATCTTCGGTGCGAGGTATTATGGTGGGATATGAACGTGATCTCTCGCCGCAGAATAAAACTGAGAATAGTGAAAGGGTTGGCACGCTGATATCCCGCAGACTGCAATGAAAATGAATGGGTCAAAATCCTGGCTTAGCTGAAACCTGCAGCTAATTTACTCCGCACGATGCCACCCAATTTGTAGGACTATTAAGTCGGATCGTGTGGAAGAAAATAAAAATGAATGGATTCTTGGCTGCATTTTGAGGAGGTGGTTGAGAACCTCGCAGCATTCACAAGGAACCAGTTGAGTGAGTTACGGAGTATGTTTGTACCTAAGTGGGTGAAGCGGGTGGGTGCTAGTGCCCTGCACGGGTGGTTACACACAGGCTCCTAGGCTGTCAGGTAACTGAATTTAGAATTTAGGTAGCTAGAACCCACTGCGGTTCTTCCCGGATATCGGCACAGAAAGGTTGTTTCCATATGGGCGGGTGACTAGGTACCTATTACATAACGGTACTCACCTATGTGTCAAGAGGCAGGTAGCACATTCCTAAGGCAACAGAGGATCGATTTAGCGACGGAAAGTACACGCTACCTAACAAACTAGTAACCCACAAGGCGCATAATGATAAGCGCTGATGGTGCATGTGGCGGCCTCCTTCCTTGCCCCTCCTCATAATCACACGGCAAGAACCATCCCTTTACGTTGTTACGTCGCCCACCATCAGCCCTAAATTAACTATATTGGCGGCTACTGGAACCCTGAATCCTTTCTCCTTTGGTTTGTCATTCCTCAGCCGCAGAGATCTCTTAGATCTACCTATTAACGTAGAGAAACTCTGATAAACGTTCTCTCGTTCATTGAGATCATTTAAGCCTAGTTTCTTTTCTAGATAGACGGAAAAGGAAGCTAATTATTCTCTCTACTTATCACAGAAGCTTGCGTCATCCTGCGAAAATGTCGGGTTGGGGTCAAGACCAGGGTTACGGAGGGGGATACGGTGGAGGGTATGGCGGCGGCGGTGGTGGTGGATATCAACAACATCCCCCTCCCCATCAAGGATACGGCCATAACCAGTATGGACCACCTTCAGGACCGTCGCCTCCTCAAGGATACAACCAATATGGACCTCCCTCGGGGCCACCGCCTTCTCACGGACCTCCTCAGGGTTATAATCAATATGGTCCTCCTTCAGGTCCTCCTCCTCAGCACCATGGTTATAACCAATATCCTCCCTCAGGACCCCCGCCCCGACAGCACGAGTACAATCAGTATGGTCCTCCTAGCGGTGCTCCCCCGTCCCAGCATCACCATTCCAACCAATACCCGCCACCTCAGCATCCTCCGCCATCCGGGCTAGATTCTTATGGTTATCCGATTCATTCTGGTGGCGGTTATCCCGGTCAGGGCTACGGAAATGAGCACCGATCCGGCCCGCCTCCGCCCACGGCACCCCAGCAATTCGGCCATGGAGCTCCGGATGGCTACACCTTCCAGTACTCAAACTGTACTGGTAAGAGAAAGGCCCTGTTGATTGGCATCAACTACTTCGGCCAAAAGGGTGAACTACGTGGTTGCATCAACGATACCAAGAATGTCTCTCAGTTCCTCATTGAGCGTTATGGGTACAAGAGGGAAGACATGATTATCTTGACTGATGATCAACATGATCCCATCATGATACCCACTAAGGCTAATATTCTGCGAGCCATGGAATGGCTTGTGTCTGGAGCTCGGCCCAACGACGCCTTGTTCCTGCACTACTCGGGCCATGGTGGACAGACAGAAGACCAAGGTAAGATATTCACATAACCTGTTATATATCACAATGCGTCGCTGATATTTGAATTTTAGATGGAGATGAGGAGGACGGTTACGATGAGGTCATCTACCCCGTTGACTACGAACGTGCTGGCCACATCGTCGATGATCAACTACACCACGTGATTGTTAAGCCCCTTCAAGCTGGTGTGAGATTGACTTGCATCTTCGACTCTTGCCATTCTGGTTCAGTTCTTGACTTGCCTTACATCTACTCGACTAAAGGTGTGCTCAAGGAGCCCAACCTTGCCGCCGAAGCTGGTCAGGGATTGCTGAAGGCGTTCTCTTCCTACGCTTCTGGTGATACGGCAGGAGTTGCCAGCGCCATTCTTGGATTCGCCAAGACTGCGTATAGAGGTGACGACGGATATAAGAAGACAGTTGAAACCAAGGTAAGTCATTTCCGAGACTAAGTCTCTCCATCCCTCGGCCAATGAAATAATGCTGACATCAAGCCCCACAGACCTCTCCCGCTGATGTTATCATGTGGTCTGGAAGCAAGGATGACCAGACATCGTAAGTAACAATATTCAATAATGTGTTTGTCAGTTTTTTAAGTGCTAACGATATTATAGCGCGGATGCGACCATTGCGGCTCAAGCAACCGGAGCTATGTCATGGGCGTTTATCACAGCCATCAAGCAAAACCCGAAGCAGAGCTACGTCGAACTTCTCAACAGCATCCGTGACGTGTTGCAAACCAAGTATACTCAGAAGCCGCAATTGTCATGCAGTCACCCTCTTGGTAAATTATTTAAGCCCCTTAAATCTGGGAGCGTGCTAACGATGTCAGATACCAACATACTCTTCGTGATGTAAATCATTTACTTAAAGACCGTGCATCAAAAGTGGTGGGAATCTGAAAAGGGAGATTTGATCTCGTCGATGAGTTAGAGTAAATGCGATGAATTTCGAGAATTAAATGATGATTATTCGGGAACTGATCTCTTAGGGGTTTGAGATCTAAGGCACCCCATTTGCATGCATTCAGTTCTACATAGTGAGGTATTAGATTATTAGGACCTTACATGATTCACAGGCATCTAGTACCGTCTAAATCGTCTATAGGCTGATTGTGTTCTATCTTTTTATACTGGCCCCTATTATCAAAAGCAAAAGTTCGGGCTAAAACCCCACAATCACGATACCAGATGGTACAATATGATACGGATCCCATACGATTACGTGGCATTAACACGCCGTATTCGGGCTAAAATATGCTATACCGCCGTCTAATAACCGTTTCTTGCTCCACTCTAATGTCGACACCTGGCAATTGAACATTACCTCGAATAAAAAAAAAAAATTCCCGTCGTGTAACTTTTTTTTTCATTATTAGATAAACCTTGAATGTTTTCTTTCGTGGATTTCGTACACTATACATCACCATTGATGCGACGAACGAATTTCTACGGCTAGTCTTGCCTCTTCGGCGTCTTAACCTCTGGTTAATTGTCATATTATCCTTTTGCTTCGACGCTATTTGCTTAGGTGGTTCTTTGATATAACTTCGTTCTACACTCGGAGCCAGGACTCCGACGTAGCTACATGCGACGATGAAGTTTTCGATTTTCTCCCTCGGCCTGTTGGCCGTCTTCACGCCGTTATCAGCGGCGTGGACTAAAGAAGGTATTATTATTTTCTCTCACCTATTGCTATTTCTACGAGCCCATGCTTGCTCATACTAACTCCCCATTCTAGACCGCGAGATCTTCCGCCTCCGCGACGAAATCGCCCAACACGAAGGCGCCAACGTAACATTCTACGACTTCCTCGGCGTAACCGCTCGCGCTACACAAGACGAAATCAACAAAGCGTACCGCAAGAAATCACGCGCCTTACACCCGGATAAAGTCAAACAACAACTCGCCGCCGAGCGCGCGCGAGAAGCTAAGAGTAAAGGGAAGGGGAAGAAGAAACCAGGGACTACGGTTACGAAAGCGCCGACGCAGGCGGAGGTTAAAGCCGCGGTTAAGAAAGCCGGGGATAGACAGGCTAGGTTGAGTATTATTGCGAATATTTTGAGGGGATCCGGACGTGCTAGGTATGACCATTTTATGGCGCATGGGTTTCCGGTTTGGAAGGGCACGGAGTATTATTATAGCAGATACAGACCTGGGCTCGGTACTGTGCTTTTTGGCGTCCTGCTTGTGGGTGGTGGGGGCTTCCATTATTTGGCGTTGTATATGAGTTGGAAACGCCAGCGCGAGTTCGTCGAGCGGTATATTAAGTTTGCACGACAGGCTGCTTGGGGTGATAACTTAGGAATTCCAGGCGTTGATACGCCGGCTGCGGGAACACCGCCGCCTCAACCGCCTGCGGATGATGAGCAGCAGGGGCCTCCTATGCCGATGAACCGTAAGCAGCGGCGTATGCAGGAGCGTGAGACTCGCAAGGAATCGGCTAAGGAAGGTAGACGCCAACCCCGTGGTAGAGGCCGTGTTGGACAACAAGCTAGTGGAAGTGCGACGCCTGTGCCACAGAGCCAGGGTTCCGGTCCGTCTGGTGCTAGGAAACGAGTCGTGGCTGAGAACGGAAAGGTTCTTGTTGTTGACTCACTTGGTGATGTGTATCTGGAACAGGAGGATGCCGATGGCAATGTAGAGGAGTTCCTTCTTGATGTAAGTTGCATTTTCATATGGGATATTTGCAATCTTGGGATAATGGCTAACATTCACATTTAGCTTAACGAACTCCCCAAACCCACGATCAAGGATACCGCTCTCGTCAAGCTACCACTATGGGCCTACTCTAGAACCATCGGCCGTATCCTCGGAACCCCGAAAGCCGCCGATAATCTAGATGAGCAAGTGGACGAGGATACTGAGATACAGGTAGTAGAAGATCTTGCCGATGATTCTTCCTCGTCCGAACCCGCCCAGCGAACACCATCTACCGACTCTACCGAGGACTTCGAACTACTCGAAAAGAGCGTTGAGGAACTACCGAACAAACCTAAGGCAACGGGTAGCCAGGCGCAGGGTGGTAGCGGAAACAAGGCCAAGAAGAGAAATAAGAAGCGTTAAGAGTCGGACCTCACACAATGAAAGGGATAGCTGGAAAAGGAGGCGGGGGATTCGTGGGTGGTGGGGAGAAGCCTTATACAGCAAACATTTGTTTGTCGTGCTTTTATGCCCGAATTCTCCGTGATACATAGATTATTGGTTGGTTGATAGGAGTTGAGCGTCTGAAATACTATTGAAATACTACTCATATTACCGGAAAGTTTATTGCACAATGTTTATTATCTTGTGGCTATTCATTTAGCACTTGAAGAATTTTAAAAACATGGTAGTTGAGTAAGGATATGTTTATTTGATCACGCTACCTAATTCAAGGAGATGCTGGAGAATGCTCAATACTAGACCGAGTATTTGGCGCTGGTGTGGGGGGGGAAGGGGTGAAGAGGTATAATTGTACTTACCAAATTTGTGCGACGAGCGCTGAACATGGGGAGAAAGAAAGAAAGGGAATGATGGAGGTGATGGAGGATATAGAAAAAGGTATACTACAGTATTGGGGTTGGGTAAACATACCTCGAAATCAAATGTTCAAGTAACTCTGGAAGTCCAAAGCGTTAGCTATACACTGAATCAATGGGGGAGATGAGGGGGAAGAGATATAAAGGCTATGAAGGAAGAAATCCTCAACTCCGTCCTCACGACATGAATTTATGTATGTGCAGTCCAATCTGAAAAGTTCTCGCAATGAAACCACTCCGCCTATGCTCGACCGTAATAACACGCCCTGCCTCCTTCATGTGACACTTTCCCAATAACCCATCCGCAAAGGTACCTAGGTATCTGTCTAGCCAATAGACTATGCTAGTATGCTATGTTATTCTGATAAAAGGTATGTACAAGTACATTTATAGTTCCATCTGCTGGAAAGCGCCGTATTGGTTCTCCATTGCTTGCTGGCGTCTGATCCAGTCGTTATCGTAAGCTGGGTCCGTTGCTGGACGATAGGTAGGTCCGCCAACCGCAGTACCGAAATGGCTGTAGACATCCTTAGGTATCGACATAGCCTCTTCGTATTGCCGTCGCGCGGATTCTTCGTATTCCCTTCGAGCCAAAGCTTCATAACCTGACATCATGTAGGGCTCGACATCCGACGTAGCGACCCATCGGCCATCACCAGTTTGAACTGGTGTTAGGGGTGTACCATCCATAGACATAACAGAATTTCGCTGTTCCTCTTCCGCAAGCTTTCGCTCGTATCGGAGTTGGGCCAAAAGTTCTTCTTGCTCGACCGTCGTATTGTTCCAGGCAACAGACGGGTTCTCTTGGTTGTTGGTAGGGGGGCAGATTCGCCATAGCTCAATAAGACGTAGCTTTTGAGCATCCTCTGCTGTCTTGAAGAGTTCGATCTGTGCCGAAGACAGCGCGGTGTGGTCAATACCCTGTGAATTTAGAATGGACTCAGCGGATGGTTGTTGGGTCTGGGGAGGCTCCGACGATGGTCGTTGGTGTTCGACGGGTGCTTCTTCCTGGCGAGCAAGATGAGCAGAGTGGTGGTAGTGTTGGGAGATGGAGTATATGATCTGCGGTTCGGGTTCCTGAGGTTTCGGGGATTCTCGGGGAGTTTGGACTGGTTGGGGTTGCAATGTTAGATTGCGAGCAAACATTGCAGCGAGGTCATCGCTGTTTTGCATGTCGGGCTGAGCGTAAGTCATTGTCTGAGAAAATAACGAGGTTAGAAACATTTAAATAGTATGAAGGGGGACCAAAGATATTCACCGCGACTGAGGGTGATCCTGTATGACCTGGATAATCAATTTGATGTGTCGATTATTTTACCGATCTCTGTATAAAGACGCGGTAGACTATCGGAAATGTCGTCGTGGATAGAGCTGCGTTCGGATAGTGATGGCGATATTGGTTAGAATAGAAGGAATGATCAAAATGAAATGAGTTGATGGCAGCGAAACGAGAACTGCAAGAATTCTGTCTTTTATTGACTATGCTAAGTATTTGAGAGTAATGCTATGTCTCTCGTTGCGCCTTGAAGGACAATGTCTAAGGAGACAAAGTTATTTAGAAAGGGGTTAAAGAGCCCTTTTTGTTCGCCTTGGGACGTGGACTGGTGACTCGAAAGTCGATTAGCGGTGGACAAGCGGCGGTCAATGTTTACGATTCTGGTCCGTGAACTGGACGCAGGAAAGAGGCCAGATGCTGTAGAAGAGCGGGGGGCAAAGACGAGGGCCCTGACACGAAGGCAAGAGTCAGGGGAAGCGAAAGTAGACAGGGTAAGTAAAAAGCAACAGCAGGGTTGACTGTTGATGGGGAATGGAAAATGCTTAAGAAATGGATGTATCAGTGATGGTTGATGTTTTAGTGAGAAGTTGATGGGATTAGGCAGTTAGTGAGAGAAAAAAGAGTAAAGAACTACGACGAGACACGTAGGAAAGAGCAAGTTGTTGCATTGGAGATTAGAGGCATAATCAGAAGGGACAATAAAGTGTACATCGAAGGCAACCGCGCGGGAGATGACGAAGGGGCGAATCACGATTCAGGAAGGGATAGAGGGGGAGGGGTAAGTCAAACTAGTTGCCTACGAGGGGTTCCCTTTTAGTGGGTTAGGGAACTAGGCAAGGGCTGGCAAGGGGTCATCGGCGCCCAAAGCTACCCGAATAACCCACTAAATCTGCACCTAAAGCCCAATCTTGATCGTGGCAGCATCCATGGATGCGTTTTTGTTGTCGAAAATGCAGGAAGTAGGTACCTAATATCTGCTAATGCAAGTATATACGTATTCTGTTTTTTCTCCCCCTTTTTAGGCTTCATTCCATCCGTAAACTTCCTTAACCTTCAACCTCCTTGCATCCTCTCATGTAACTCAACTTGCATAGGAACTACACTATGTCGTGCAGACAGTTCACGAGGCGAATGCATTCCTCGAATAATGCAACCAAGTCAGTTATCTTGAAGGGCAACAATTCAGAAATGGTGAAAGAAAGCGCCTCAATGCTCATTTGCGTTTGCGAATTTCAAGTCGTATCCGGTGCCGAAAATTCCCGCATTATGGCGCAGGTAGTATCCAGCTAAGTCATTTCGATATTTTATTCGACGCAAACCAGAACACAAATACTGGGCACAGAGGTTACCTATATACTTGGAAACGTAATCAGTACCAAGCACGCGGTTTAGGGTGTCATCGCCTTCGCTCACTATCTCTTCGCGGACCTATACACATCGTAAGCTTACCTACCTCAAAATGTGTTAGTCTTGAGATTAGCGGAAAGGCTGTTTTGTTCATCCATCTACTTGTTGAGATCCGAGATCTCCTTGGAGATGATGGTATGCCTCGATGACTCCGTATACTTTGACCATCGAGGTGCTTATGTAAACCGGAGCGTTAGTAATTGTATACCTATGGTAGTACAATTTTTATGTAAGCTATATCGCATCCAGTATCCAATACTCATTCAGCCCTCATATTAGACAGTAATTACCTAGGTATATGCCCATGATTAGTATCATCTGGATTACGAATTAGAGAATACAGGTTTTGCTGACTTACATATCAATAGGAACAGGGTATTCCAATGCAGCTACAAGGGTATAATAGGCCTTAGGACTTAGGAAATATCTATATCGATCAAGAATCTCGGAGATGTCTTCAACTTGCCTAAGAAGCCACTAACGTATTGCGCCAGATATTCATCACCATCTTGTATCCGGAGCACGATAATTAGATTTCGATGACTGATTGATCAGCATATGGAATCTTTTTGCACCCAAGAAATGGATGTCGATAGGATTAGACGCACATTTGCTAAGCTTTTCAAGAAAGATATCAGTAACGACATGCATTTAGTCACGAATACGAAGCGCTAGGACGAGGCGCTTCGAATCTATAAAAGCGCAAGATGATCATGCATGATTTCGATATATGTACACCAACAGCAATAGATTCAGACTTAACACGATCTACTCACTAAATACATTCCTCGAGAATTTCGACATTCAGACACTTACAAGCATATAAACCCCAAAATGACGCCAAAGGTCCTTATCGTACTGACCTCCTTTGGAGATATTCTCGACTCAACCGGAAAGTCGGTTAGACAGACTGGATGGTACTTGGTAAGTCCCTATGATATATGAAGAGTCCACGAAAGCCCCTCACTCCTTCTCACTGATAGTCAACTAACTTTTCGAATTAGCCAGAGCTTGCTCACCCATACGAAATCCTCTCAGGAAAGGCTGAACTCGTAATCGCCTCGCCTAAGGGTGGTGTCGCACCCTTAGACCCAAACTCGTTACAGCCATGGGTCCAAGACGATGAATCTTCAGCCAATTTCTTTAACACCAAGAAGGCTGTTTGGGAGAACACAGCCAAGATCTTAGACTTTCTAGGCCGCGCCGATGAATTTGAAGCCATCTTCTATCCAGGTGGACACGGCCCTATGTTTGATCTTGCGATCAACCAGGACTCCATAGCCCTAATTAGTGAATTTTGGACGAAGGGGAAGGTGGTGGCAGCTGTATGCCACGGCCCCGCTGCATTCGTCAATGTAAAGCTTCCTAACAGCGGAGAGTACATTTTGAAGGGCAAGAACGTGAGCGCATTCTCTAGCGCCGAGGAGTACGCTATGGATATGTCTAAGTATATGCCCTTCGTACTTGAGGATAAGATAAACGCAGATGGGGCCATTTACCACAAGGCATCCGAGCTGTGGGCTGCGACGGTACAGGTCTCTGGGAATTTGATCACTGGTCAGAATCCAGCCTCGGCAAAGGGGGTTGGAGAGGCTATCGCGAAGGCATTGGGTAAGTTTACATTCTAAATCTCGCCTAATTATACGAGACGAGATGGTTGACAGTGTATAGGTATTTAAGTTTCTCATCAATCGGTGGATACAATCCATTTTCTTTAGAGGACTATAGAGAAGAGACTACCCGCTAATACAAGAAGTTCGAAATACATCAGTACCTTTTATACAATCCGTAAAGTGATATACCCGTGATGTTATTAATGAGACACCTTCGAGCATTTTGGAACTCTTGTTACGACTATCTAGGGGTTTGTTTCTTATCCCCAGGTATGACAGAATGGTAATGCTGAATCCTACAAGGCAACACCCCCGAAATGCTAACATCCTCATTCGCTCGATCGGGTATCACAGAATGCGACGACGGGATATGATAACATATCATAGCAGCCGGAATCGGCACTGCGTGGGTAGACCAACTCGAAGGATATCCTATCGAACTTGAGATATTTACCACGCAATTTCAATCGGCGATGTATTGCCAAATCGCGAACGTCCGTCGACGACTATAAGAAGTTGTTTAGTTCCTGGTCTTAAAGTTGGGTTCTGACTCTCCCTGCCCACACACAAGACACATTCACAAACCCTGTATTACCTCAATTAAACGACGACGAAGTTGGGGACGCCAGATACCCAATCGGCATCCTACCATTGCCTATGAAACATTCCTAATTGGGACTATTAACTACCGTACCGACGACATTTCCGAGGCTATAGCTAATATCGGCAGGGCATTGCTTCAGCAGCAAAACATCCTGATCTAGAAGGGCCGTCGTCGACTGGAAAGTAATTACCGAAGTGCGGGGAGGACTAATTTGGATGCGCTTGGTCAATAACAGGTAAAATGCGAAGATCGCGTCGCTTCAGCTACGGATAGACTGACGACTCCAAACAGGGGTATGTTATAAAAAGTTGGGGTAGCTCTCGGCCCTGGGAATAGCTTATATACGTCGTGGGTCCTATGAAACCTGGCTATAATTATGCCCAAGTAGCTATTCACTATCTTTTTCGAACTTGTGATGATATAACCAGGGCTTTCTAACGTGTTGGTTTGGATTAAGCGGAATCATGGCGGCCGTCGCGAAGATACCCGAGACGTCTCTCTGGGCGAACCGAAAATGTTTACTTATATGTGCCATCGTCGCGATAGCGAACATGCAATACGGTCTAGACTCAGCTGCAATTGGGTCTCTACAAGCGATGCCAGGGTTCCTGGCAGTATTTGGCTATAAGGATCCTACCCAGGCGTCCGGATACGCAATCGAGGCAAGTCAATTCTATCAAATGCTTTACACCCTTCAGTATAATAACCAAAACGCGTAGGGAACGTTCCAAAGACTTATTGGATCGCTCTTAACATTGGGAGCTTTCTTGTCTTCACTCGTCGCCGGCGCGTTCGCTCACTTCTTCGGTCGAAAAGTAGCCCTATGGCTTGCGTGTGTTCTCAATGCGATTGCATGCATTATTCAAATATCTACAACAGATAAAGTGGCAATATATATCGGACGCTTAGTTTTGGGTTTAGCAAACGGATTTTTGGTTACGTTCTCGAATATTTATGGTATGAACTCCCAACACCCCTATTCTCTTGATACCATCTAACGTCCTCATAGTACGTAAGAATATCTCTTAACCTGAATATCGAACCTGTCGCGTCCCTTCCGAAGAATTGAGATTTTAAGGGATTCATGATACCTACCTAGGTAAGCATGGCATGCTGACATTCATTAGACTGCCGAAGCGGCCCCAGCTCATCTTCGAGCTGTTATGGTAGCGCTGTTCTCGGAATGGGTCAATATAGGGAGCATCATAGGAGCGGCAGTGACCAATACCACTAAGAACCGACTGGACAAGGCTTCTTATCAGATTCCGCTCGGAACCCTTTTCATCGTACCGACATTCTTAGCTCTGGGTCTTCTCTTCGTACCCGAATCACCTCGATACCTTCTTTATAAGGGAAATACCGAAGAGGCACGAAAATCGCTCCAGAAACTGAGAGGGGATTCATTGTCCCCCGAAGGATTTGAACTTGAGTGGGTCGAAATGGTTAAGGGTATTGAAGAGGAAAAGCAGGCAGCCAACACGATTGGTCCTCTAGACATGTTTAAAGGTAAGAATGCGCTCGTATGTCCGAAGGTTGTAGAAGAGGGGAGTGGCTTACAAGAGGGACATAGGAACCGAGCTAAGACGTACACTTTTGTGTTATGGCGTAATCGCGACCCAAACAGGAGCGGGTTCATGGTTCATCATCAGCTATTCAACCTACTTCATGATTGTGGCGGGGTTAACTGTCAATGAGGCCTTCAAGTTCTCCGTCATGAACACTTGTCTCGGATTTATTGGCGTCAATTTCGGCATGTACTTGATGCGTCATGTTATGGGTCGGCGAACAGTTTTAATGACTGGATCTGTGACTCAGGGGCTTGCCATGCTTGGAATGGCTGTTTCCGCTACCGTCGCTTATGGCACGGTATCTGCTCGAAATTGTGTCATCGCATTCACTGCCTTATACCAATTCTCATATAATGCATTCGTTGGAGATGCGACATATCCGACGGCGACGGAGTTGGTGAGTACCAGATTGAGGTCGTGGTCTGTTGGATCAGCCATCAGCCTTGGTTATTTTCTCGCTTGGCTTACGGGATTCTGCTCTCCATATTTCATCAATCCGGAGGATCTCAACTGGGTAAGTATTCTTCAGTTACGAGATGCTGAACTACTTTTCTAGATCCGATGAGCTAACAATAAAATAGGGAGCTAAATATGCTTACATATGGGCCGCTTCAAATCTATGCTGCTTGGTCTTCTTTTACTTCTGCGTCCCGGAGACCAAAGGTAGGACGCTGGAAGAAATCGACGAGCTTTTCGCGAACCGCGTGTCTGTCAAAAATTTCAAAACATTCAAGACTACTATTGTAGCCGAGGCACTGAAAGATGTTGAGAGTCGTGTTCCAGGATCAGATAAGAAGCTTTCCGTTACCGAGCATGTTGACGAGCCCTGAATGAGTTACCCGGACAAGTTATAAGGACATCAAAGTATGGTTCAATTATGGATTCATAGGTAGTGGGTGGCTTGTTGCATTAGAAGAAAATTGAACATACCTATAAATCATGATAATTCTACAATATTCGAGGATGTTATTCACGAGTAAGTTCTTTATGGCTCTATGGCCATGTTTGCCCATACGAAACGAGAATGAAATCCTACACTAGTGGCCACCACAACACTCCAAAGGTAAAACTATTTCTGAGAAGCTGATGGCAGAGGCTCCGAGCTTGTATCTTTAAAATGCTTCTTGATATGGTCAGGCGCCTACCTCATATACAATATTGCACGGCAAGTGTATAAATTACCTAGGTATCCTCGATCAGCTCCCCGAGAGCAATTCACTTTGCCAAGCTCCACTTGCCAACAATACCGAGGTATCCCATTTACGGCTCGTTCACACCATCTCGAGTAACCGACATGTCCACATTGACAGAATTCCAATTCTTCCTCCGACTCCCCATAGAGATCTAATATGCGATCTTGAACTTTTATCGCAGCCAACATGGCTTGAGACATTACTCCACCGTGGCCAATAAGAAGCGGTTCTATGCCGCTATAGATATCGATACTGATAAATTCATCCAGAATTACTCGGGGACGAAGACCATTGCAAATGAGTCAAAATGGGCTGACATGCATCCAGCCTCGGGTGAAGAAGGCGAGATGGTCCCTCTTATGCTGACTTATGTTCCCAAAGGAGGCGACCCCGCCAAATCGATAATTACTGCGAAAGACAAAGAATGGTGGACCTGCAAAAAACACTACACCAGCGTTCGTATTAATTTTAGAAAGGATCTCATTGTCTTCGATGGAGAGAAAACCAGGTCGTCTTTAGGCTATCTGTCACCTTTTAACTGGCACTTCCGCCAGTTAGATGGACTTCACTGGTTTAAAAGGGTACGACACTTGGCCATTCAGTTAAGGCCTTGCCAGCTTAGACTCGATGACGAGGCTGTAATGGAAATCGAATCGATGCCAGAGCTCGAGACCATCCTCGTGGTCGTTTACCGCGATCCAAATTGCATTTACGGCGCCCCTCGGACTTGGCGTACTTTTCACAAGGGACTCATGGACGAATATAACTATATTTCCTATGAGACATTCGAGAAGCACCACCCGCAGAACAAAAAGTTCAGGTGTGCGTGTTGCAAATTTGGCGACAGTGCTCGTTTTATTCAGAGGTACTTGAAGGACAGAATAGGGAGTTACTGGAACTACGTATGCGAAGATGTTGATTTCAGGGTCGTAGCGGATCCTTATTGAGGATAATACACCTGGGTACCTGCCTAGATGAATACAATTCACAAGAGAGCTGTCAAGTTAGCAAGGCATCTACGTCATCACTAGGATAGTATTGATAGTGACGAGTCTTAGGAAATGTTCCCTAGGTAAACAACAATGCTTACCTAGGTGTATTCTCAGACAACCCACCAGAACCCCTCTTGATTCACGACTTGAAGCTACCTTTTTGTTTTTGTTTTTCGTGATTTTTCTTGTGAAAAAGGTGATCGGATATCCACCTTCTTAATTTCTAGTGCTACCTAGCTATGTAGGTGGATAACCTCAAATATTCGTGACTACCTGGGTATGACGACTATCAAATTTTGCCCTTTTTAGGTCAGCCAATCATACGTAAGAATCTTAGGATATACGCTTACTACTCGTTAATTATTGTGGATTTGTCACCAGGCACCATCCGCTGTTACCTTAACCTGGCTCTCACCAACACCTCGATGAAAACGTTGTTGTTGAGTTTGAATTGCAGGATCTTTCCAGGTCCTTGGTGGGTTGCATGCGGTAGAGCGGAAAGTGATGCATCTCTGCTGTGAAACATACATACTTCATATCGACGTTAGATTTGCGACAGTTCGCCTCTCTTACCTAGTCTTGGCTATATAACACACTACTGTCGGACCAACTAGCCAACCAACTAACCCGTAGAAGTCCGTGGACGGAGAATCAGCGTAGTAGGCTAAGCTAAATATGGAGCTGATTTATAAAGGACGGACTTAATGGCAGGCAACTATTCGGCTGACAAATGGGTCCCACCCGTCCGACTGAGACACAGACTTAGTGACGGTTACGAGTATATATTAGTCGGCAAGGATTCAGAGCGGTAATGCAAGCCCCCGACAGACTCATCCGAGATAGTTAATATAATCAAAACCCGTCAGCCCTTTTCGAAGACTAGGTACCCAGGTCAACATCATGCCGGAGGCCCCTAACCTAAACATCCCCGCTTCGGCATCCACAGTAAATGTCTCCATCGTGAACACCACGGGGACAATTTATGGGCTTCCCGTTACCCAACTCTTCGAGCCTGCAATCCCGGGGCATGACTACTTGGCGACGCCGATCTACTCGTTCTTAATCCAACATCCGGCTCTCAACCGCACGATTGTGTTTGATCTTGGCATTAGGAAGGATTTCTCGGCATGGCCTGAGGGACTTTTGGACACCTTCAAAAGCTATGGCATCTCGATAGACGTACCGAAACACATCCGCGAGATCCTCGATGAGCAGGGCGTCGACACCAAGAGTATCGAAGCAGTGGTGTGGTCGCACCCGCACCTCGATCACACAGGCGACCCCTCCACCTTTGAACCGAGTACGACATTAATCGTCGGACCCGGAGTTAAAAAGGACGTACTCCCAGGTTACCCAGCGAAACAGGACACCTTCATCCTCGAGGCCGACTACGCCGGTCGAGAGGTAAAGGAACTCGACTTCACCGACTCTAAAATCAAGATCGGAAAGTTCCCAGCGATCGATTATTTCGGCGATGGCTCCTTTTACTTCCTCGATGCCCCGGGACATTGTATTGGGCATATCTGCGGCTTGGCGCGTGTGACGAGTAATCCGGATAGCTTTATCCTGATGGGCGGCGATATCATCCACCACAGCGGTGAATTGCGTCCTCACCATTGGCATCCGCTACCGGATTCCATCTCGCCGCACCCATTTGAGCTCTCCTCTTCGGCGCCGTGTCCGGGCGAATTATTCCATAAGCTCTTGCGCGACGGCAAGGAGGAGCCATTTTATTACCCCGCACCTAACAAGGAGGGTCAACAAGCGGTTCATTTCGACCCGGAGCTGGCGAGAGAGAGTATTAAGAAGTTGCAGGAGGTCGATGCGCATGATAATATTCTTGTCGCGGCGGCGCATGAGCAGTATTTGTTGGGTGTCGCTGATTTCTTCCCTAAGCCGGCTAATGACTTTTTGGCGAAGGGATGGGTTCAGAAGACTCGTTGGGCGTTTTTGGCGGATCTGGCGAAAGCTGCGGGTTATGAGGGTAAGGTGGAAGCCGCTGGTGATTATACACCGCGGTCTAAGAAGGAATAGAGATACATCGCACGTAAATTAATAAGTCCATACGTTAAAAACAAATGGTATTGACTAAATATTTCGGATTCTAGATTGCTTTGATCGTGCCATGGAAGTAGAAATCCCTCAAGGTCCTCATTTTGAAACCGGTTGCATGACGGTAGCCAATATTATTAATATGATATGTGACGAAGATGCGCCACCAAATTATGTAACTGGTTAAACCTGTACAACTAAAAATATTCTTGCGAGAGCTAAACCTACGACTTATTTCCACAGCATCATTAATGGGAAGATTTTAGTATGGATTCATATTCTGGGCGACGGCGCGTTGGCTTAGATACACATTTGACAAAGAATAAGTCTGCGCTTCTAACAATTCACTTCGAAATTCCTGTTAAAATTTTTGCCCATGAGTACGAAGTCAATGTGAGAGCCTCATGTCCACTAAGCTTACGGCAGATGCGATGATATTCTGGTGGGTGGTGGGGTTGAAGCTCTCGGAGTCAGCATTTAGGTCACTTTGGTGGATATCGCGGGGTTGTGCGGATGGTGTTGACATGTCACTTATCTCGGATGGATGTCCCACTTGGACTTGTTGGATCAAGCAGTAAGATCGGAGAAACAAAAGGACTATGCATGAGAAACGATGAGCTATCAGCCAACGGTGCGAGTTTAGTGTATCATTATCGGGAGACCCGATCCGATGCCTCGGCGGTTAGCTAGCTTGGCTGACCTGTCAAGGCTGTAAGACACTACCCTCTATCGTTCGACATGATCCGCTAGTAGATAGATAATAATGCATATAAAGTCTGGAGAGTTCCCTGAAAGCGCACTTTTATTTCCTTTTACCCCCGCCCAGGCACCCGTGGACGACAAGTATTATATAACGCCCTCGTCACGCCAACCCGAACACATAATGTAACAATGGTATATCCTACGGCCTCGTTTTTAATAGCCGGGTCTATATTATAACAAGGGAATTTGTGTGGTCATTGATAGAGCCCACCGAGCGAATTCACATCACCCATCTCATGAGGCATTGGGTGTTGCATGTTGGGCCAGACGTTTTGATACTGGTCTAAATTCGATGCAGATTGATCTGGATGGCCAACTAATGTCGTTGGATCCATACTCAATTCGAACGCAGACGCCGCTTCTGGGTTCCCCGTCATTGTGTTGAGCATATACGAGAAGTCGGCGCCCATTCCGGGAGCCCATTGGCCTTCGAAGCTCGCGAAACCTTTCTGGACATTCGGATCTATTTGAACGGGGTTCCGTGGCTCGTGCTTTCCTTGTGCGATGATATCCATTATGGCGGATTTTATGCGCTCGAAGACGTCGCGATATTTCCTCGCCGATGGGTAACGCTCTGTCACGATGTATAAGAGGATTTGGCAATCCGTTAACGGGCCATCAACATTGATGAAACCAGGAGGAGCCAGCCATGCGCAATATATCAAAGTCAAGCCTATCGAACGTTAGTATCCGGACCTGGGGAGGGTTGGGTAGTGGATGGTGCCTACCTGCTAAGAAAACGGATTGTATTGACAAGGCCGAGAACCCAATCGGAAAAGTGTGGTGTAACCGTCGATAATCTGTGACGATCCCTATGCAGGCATCTGCGCAGAGCTTCATATAGTGTAAGTTTACAGGATTCTTCGCGAGTTGCGGGTATAATAAGAAGCGAATACAGCGGTAATAATGTAGCGTGTATAATTCGGCGCCTTCAAATGCGTTCTCTTGGCGATGAACATAGTGCGTTGTGTCGAAAGGTATCGCATTCTTCCATGCATTGAGTCTATCTATAAACGTATTTATCAAAGCATCGGAGACATCGTTCGGTCGATCGACTCGGTAAACGTCGTGTTGAATTTCTGATTCGATTTGCTTGAGTCGTGTCCGATGGATAAAAGAGGTTAACGTATTGGGTGGGTTAACTGGGATATTACTGGCATTAATTGATGCTTGACGGATAACTTCGTCGTCGATGGTATCTTCGTTGATATCTAGAGGTAATTCGGCATCAATATCATGATCTGATATACTCGGAGGGCGCCCGACGGCTATAGAAATATCTCGATCGAGGAAATATGCTGTCCAAAATCGCCGTTTGTCCATCTCACCATCAATGTTGAGTTGTGGTCTTCGTGGTCGACGGTGTAACCCTAATTCTATACATAATCTCATAGCCTCCCCCACATAGGTCCATCCGCCTGGTTCTCTGGGGGCTCTCGTGCAATATAGGGCCATTAATAATAGGTAGTTGACTGTGCGGTAGTCTCGAAGACGGAGCATTGTTTCTAGTTCCCCGAAAGCGATATCATAATGCTGGTCGCTGAAGAAGTGTCCCATTTCGCCGGCTGATTCCAGCCACCTCCCACTGACTGCGTATATTAAGTGAAGAATACTCTGTTCGTACTCGTCCGTGAGGTTATCCCGGTTGTTGTGGAGCTTTACTACTTGAGTTGAGTGTAGTACAGGGTACCTCGTAGCTATATGCCGAAAATAACCGTGAAGAAGTCTTTCGGCTACCTGAGGACTCAGAAATGGAACTCCAATCATATCCCCAGCGCTTGTTGAGTATATGGACTTTGGCGCTGGATTTTCTTCGTCGTGGGAAATTTGCTCTTCGTGGGTCCCCAAAGTCGAGCTTTTCTGGCTGTGCATGAATGAATTGAGCACCCGCCCTATTGTGATGTTCGAAGAAGCTCCAACATAATGACCAGATGCCGAAAGTGAAAGATCTCTGACGGCTAGTAGGATATCATTGCTATCGTCTTCATCATTCCGTTGGCTTTGCTCAGGGACTGATGTCTGACCAGGCTGGCTAATTGACACTATCGGTGCATTATGCGATGATGGCGCCGATTGACCTAGGCGGCCTAGATGATCGTTTCCGACTCTAGAATGACCAGTGGATGAAAGATATGCCTCTAGCTCGGCGATGCGATGTTCAAGCGCTTTGATGTAGAGCTTCTTCTCGCCGGCGGCTGGGACGAGTGGAACGATATAAACTTAACATTGAAACATTGTTAGAAGAGGGAGCTTGCCAATGTCGGTGAGGGTCACACACCGCATTTCAAGGACAAACGGGCACATGAAGCACACGCTGGTCGTTGGCCATCGCACTATAATACTATGTTAGGCTAGGTTGATGGACGTAATAAGGATCGTATTTAGCTCTAGCTGAGCGTGACAAATGTCGCAATTCTCTCACGTACCTTTTGCTTCCTAGTTTTACACCTTTCGATGAGTTAGCAAGCAATGTTAGATCCAAGAAGAATTGGGGGTTTTCACCTTTGGCAAGCTAATGCGACACGTTCACGTTTAGCTGGCTTACGTGATGCCACTGACTTCTCCGGAGCCGTAGCACTGGGCGAGGTTCCTTGACTGGTACCGGCTGTGTCCGGAGAAGATCCAGCGGGGTCCGGAGGGGACATTGTTGGTGAAGTTTGCGAGATGCAAGGGTTTCCGGTGAAATTAGGTATCCCAAAGTCATAAGTTCCGATGGCATCAAACACAATCCTATGTAGACTTGATCGCAATGACGCAAGAGACTACTAGATGCCTAGGTAATTGGCAATCGTCATGAAACTAGAACGCTGAAATCCTCCGAGCTCAGCTCGATCAATCAGCACATAGGGCGATTTCCATTAGAAGTCCTAGGATGAAGTAAGCGAGGAGTATAGAGATGTTCACAAGGACTGTCGTAATTCGCCAAAAGTATATTAGTCAAGGCCCCTGCTAGATGGAAGCAATTAGTAACTCAGACCTAACATGCATGATGTAGGTGGCTCGAAATTGACTTGTCACAATATCGACCTAGCGAATGCGGATCTACTTACCGTAGCGTAGATGTGGGATCGTTCAACCCGATGGGGTGGTAGAAGTGAGAGGTTAGGAAGTAATGAGTCCCAACGTCTTGGTATAAAGTTGTAACAAACCCCGCCTACTCGGGTAGAACTTAGGAATTGGTTCAAAAAGGGATTCCCATCAAAATCAACTATGTTCGGTTGACAGATGCCGTGGCCTTCCTAGAAATCGACGATGTATGATTGGTGGTGGTAAGGCCCCCGTCCGTTATTTCGGAGAATCGGTGGATCACCCCCTTCATGGTACATACCATGAATACCTCACGATGGGTATATCGTTAACATCCGGATTGGGAAGACTTGGCGCGTTCGGCGAGTCGATGAAGCGATAGCCGAAGTATACGTTCTTTAGGAGTTGAGAAGGCAGGAAGGGAACAGTCTAAATCCTGACCGTAATGATCAGGGAATAGCGATGAAGTAAGTGGGTAGAGGCCAGAACACGGCCCGGCGATGAGCCGTGCGTAGAAATATTGGACCTCATCTTGTAGGAGCTAGCCGACGGGATATTCCATCAACAGTATTTTTCAAGAAATACATAGTAGAGTTTCATCCATTTTGGCTGATCACTACCTGGGTTAGGTGCGTAGTCTTATAGATTAGGCGCGTAATTACCTATTAGATGTAATTTACACCTGCATCTTAGTTCAAATAGCAGGGAAGTTAGGCCGATAAACTAGGCGACTATAGCTGTTATGGCGCTTGACGGGAGAGACGGACTTAGGGGAGATTCGGGGGTAATGCTGGTGAAGGATCCCCCACGGATCCTCAGTAATATTAGTATACATAATACTAGCCGCCAATGATATAAGTGACGCAATTGAGATCTTCAATCTAGTGCTCTTTTATCGGCCGAGACAAGTACCTTCGGATTCGGATAGATAACTAACAGTCGAGGCGCAAGCCTATAATTTCGGTTGTCACAACCTTGCAAGTACCGATGCTCCCTAAATGTGAGGTAAGTGTTTGCGAGAAATAGTATCCTGTGGAATTTGATCCAGGTATATATCATCGTTAATCTGGCACTAAGCACCTCCTTAGACCATGTACGCTTTCTCTTCGCTTCTTCCGTCTTCTTGGTGGCTACATGGCGTTCAATCTCTCGTATTCGGTTCTGAGCCGTTGTAGGACAGCTGAAGAATGCACAGGTGCGGCTTGCTCTCTCATCTCTATGCGCTATACTTTTTGCGCGTGGTGGTAGAGGGGTTTCCGTCCCCATGTTTTAGTTCTTACCAGTGTTCGATATAGGGGGAGGTAGGTACTAAATATACTTGCTTTTGAATGTGGCTTCATTGATTTGCTTAGGACCTGCGGAACCACGGCACCCATCGGAACCTCACTCCCGCTAGTTATAGTGGATGGGCGAACAATTCCCGCGCCAAAACCTCTGCAAGGTGCTTTTAACAATGCATCCACGTAACACGATCCAGCCCTCCAAGTTCACTTGCAGGCGAAGAATGTCTCGTAGGGTAACCAAAATCTGGGAATGACACAACTCTTCGGTCGCACTTTCGGATGGCTTTTTTTTCCATCTACGGCATGATGCCCTTAATCGAGGGGGCTCCGTGGTTGTTCCCGGTATCTACCTAGGTAGACCGACCCTTCAGCTTAGGGAAGGAATGCGTGTGTGAAGCCGAGATCGTTCCGAGCCCTAAGTCTTCAGCAAGATGTTTCGCTGGATGACTTGTGATGTCTTGAGGTCATAAGAGAGTCGAGAATTCTCGAAATTCTGTTTCCCATGTGGATACTATTAATTGTCATATTTGCGCCCTTGGTTGATCCTGGAATGAGATACTGACGCTAAATTGCTAACCTCTCTTATACCATTTCTTGTCTAATATTTAGAGCGTGTTGGAAAAATTCCATTGTTACTCAAGCCTAAGATTCTACTTGCAGGACACGAAGAGTTTAACGGGTCAGGCTATGGAGTCACCAGTCCAGGCTCCTCCTAAAATTGCAATTCTGGGAGCTGGTATCGCTGGCTTAGCAGTTGCCATTGGCCTCATTAAGCGCAATGTGCCGGTTACCGTTTATGAAGCAGCGGATAGATTCTCCGTTGTGGGAGCCGGCATTGGTTTGGGCCCCAATGCGATGAATGCCATGGACTTAATCAATCCAAATTTCCGAGAAAAATACGAAAAAGTGAAGACGCGAAATGAAAGGCCAGAGTTTGAGAACAGCATCTTCGATGCCCTATATGCTGAAGATGACTTTGGCGCAAGGCGAGGATGGACCCGTGGTCTCATTGGGGCGCCTTATTTTACGCGAAGTAGTGCTCACCGTAAGGATCTGTTGGATATTATGGAAAGTTTCATTCCTGAGGGGACTGTCAGATTTGGAAAACGAGCACAATCAATTGAGCAAGTAGAGAATCATGTTTTAGTCGGATTCGAAGATGGCACGACCGAGACCTTTGACGCAGTAATTGGTTGCGATGGCGTCAAAGGCATTTCGCGCCGAGCTATCTTGGGCGATATTGCGCCTGAAGAGGTTCAACCAGCATTTTGTGGCATGTACATCTATCGAGGCATTATCCCAATGGAACAAGCGAAGGAAATCCTAGGTGTTCATGCCGGCGATGCGAAGTTTTTCATGGCAGATGGAAAAGGAGTAGCCATCTATCCAATATCACAAGGAAGAGAGGAAAATTTCGTGTTCTTTGTCTTGACACCTGACCCTTGGACACACGGCGACGTCGCGATACCATGCAAGAAGGAGGATATGATTAAGGATCTAGAAGGATTTGATTCCAGACTTTTAAAGCTCCTGGATTATGCCAGACCTCTCAGATGGCCGACTTGGCATCATCCTAAAACCTCTACCTTCTATAAGGGGCGAGTATGTCTACTGGGCGACGTTGCACATGCTTGTGCTCCTCACCAGGCCGCCGGAGCGGGTCAAGGACTGGAGGATGCGGCTTTACTTTCTCAATTAATTGCTCTAGTCGAGACCCCCGACGAATTTGATGTCGCTTTTCAGGTTTATGATGCCGTGAGACGGCCCAGAGCACAGAGGGCAGTCCTCACTAGTTTTGAGGCGGGATTGCTTTATACGTGGCAACATCCAGAAATTGGGGGCGACATGCAAAAGATTGCTGAGAATGCGAACCAGCGGCTGCATTGGATTTGGCAGTATGACCTTGAAGCGGATATTAGAAAGGCTTCGGAAGATTTCCGAAAGTTAGTATTACAGAGACGGGACACGTCACGAGATGGTAACACAACAAACCTCAACGAGCTAGGCTCGTTAGGCCGCATAAAATGTACGTAGGCCAGCTCCCAAGAGGATAAATATATTCATTATTTTATAAATCCAGTACCTACACCTCTTTATATATTGTGTCTGTGTCTTGGTGTCCCGCACATAGCGTCATCCCTGAAATAGAAAGTATCTCGGGTCAACAATACTAGGAATATGTTCGATACTTCGCTTCTTAGTCGGTCGTCTCGAACGGCTTCTGAACCGCGTTAAAATAGGGGCCCTCGTCAGTGTCTAGTGGTCAGTTTTGGTTAGAATGGAGGTGGTAATTCGTCTCTTATTTTGGGGACATCGTCTTAGCGTAGGACACTATGGGCGATAATAATTTTACAGGGCGTTGCCCCAGCTCAACGGATACGGGAAGTCGTGCCGTTATGGGGACAGCTAAGTAGAGACACTGGAGAAGAAGAAAAGGAAAAAAGAAAACATGTACCTACCACTGAGGTACATACTGAGTATTCGAAACGATACCGATACCGACTAATTGACGATCACTGAGGCCTTGGAAACTCCGATATTCCCCTGTCTCAGCGCTCTTTAGCGGGGTGCTAAACCAAGGGACTACTACGGTGATCGAATGCAAGCGCACGGCGTAGCTCACCATTCAACTAATATTAGGCTTAGTATACTCGAAAGAGCGTTTCACTTGAATTGTAGTGACGCTCGATATTTTGAGTCAGAGATAGAGACCGAGGTACCTACCTAAGTAGGTAGGTTCGCATCCGACGATGCCTGTCATAGAGAAACTGGAGAGCTAGTTAAGCCATGCCCTGTCTTGTCAGCTTGTATAGCACTAATGTGGAGGTGATCTAGGCCTTCGGTAGGTACATGTATCTAAGACAAGCTGTAAATCGGTGCCGACAGAAGGGGAGTCTTTCATCTATTAGGCTTAGTCCCCGGCCCTACGCCTCCTTGGCACATTGCCCAATACTTTGGCCTTATAGCGCGACTATGCCCTATCAAGCTAACGACAATCAATCAGAATAGCACAGTCTGTTCAGCAATGCAAGACATCCCGTGGATTAGGACTCACTAGTACCGAATGGACATGCAGCTAGCAAGCGGTCCCTTATAAATCAAAAGCCTGGCAGGACTGTTAAAACCAGCCTCGGCCTCAGAAATTGCGTCCCGTCTGGAATCGTCAGAAATGATTTACGTCGTTGGTACAGCAGGGGTGGTGGCGTTTTGTGAACACGGCACGGCTTAATTTCTGTGGGCTTTTCGATAAGATGTACGCGTCAACTCGATTTCTCTCCCGTGTTCATTGCTTTTTCACGATTTCTTTTTCGAGTAATCCTTGTTCGTAATGGAACGCCACGGCTCCTAGGCCGTTGTTCTATTTGTCTCCATGGAAGTCTTTAACAATACGTGGTCCCGTTAATCTTTAGTATAACGCTGTTACTAGACAGCGACGATGAACGAAGACCTCAAATTTGCCCTACGAGGGGATGAGGCATTGGAGGAGAAAAGCGATGGATCGATAGGTATCAGCATCAATAACAATCAACCCGGCGTCTCCACCGAAGAAGGGCGCAAACTCGACCATGTAATCCGGTGGAAGCGGGACTTGGTCATCGTGCCGATTATGGGTGTTTTGTACATGCTTCTGTTTTTAGATCGGACAAACATCGCCAACGCGCGAGGCATAGGTCTTGGACACACAGATGGCATCGAGAAATCCCTAAATATGCCTTCTAACGGCTTCAATACGACGCTTTGGGTCTTCTATATTCCTTTCGTGCTGGCTGAAGTCCCAGCGAATTTGATTCTCAACCTGAACAAGATTCGACCGGGGATCTTTCTTGGCGGTCAAATGTTTCTTCTAGGTCCGCTACCCTGCACTCCATGGGTTGTATTGGCTGCTGTGATATGTTGAATACTAACAGAATTGCAGGTGTCCTAGGCATGTGCCAAGGCCTATCAAGAAGCTATGGTGGGCTCCTCGCCGTCCGATTCCTCCTAGGCGTCTTCGAAGCTGCTCTCCCTGCCGGCGCGACCTATATGATATCGATGTACTACACAAGACATGAAACTGCTACCCGATTTGCTTGGTTTTTCAATTTTGCGCTGGCAGGGCCATTGTTCTCAGGACTTTTGGCTTACGCCATCCAAAATCTTAACGGTGCTGGTGGGTACGAGGGTTGGCGATGGATCTTCATCATTGAAGGTCTAATGACATGCTTCATTGCTGTCTTTGTCATCTGGCTGTGCCCCAATTTTCCCCAGAATGCGCAATCTTGGTTTCTTACGCCTCAAGAACGCGATCGTCTAATCTACCTACTTGAGGCTTCCCGCGGTGCTGAAGCCGAGGGCTCGGCTGTCAACAACGTTCCACTTTGGAAAATTCTCATCGACTGGAGGATCCACCTTCTCACGATATGCTTTTTCTGCTGCGATGTCACGGCTTCCTCGATAGCTTCGTTTGCACCCACGATACTTACCGAACTTGGGTGGGTATCGACCGTGGCACAACTCATGACAATGCCAGTTTGGGCTGCTGGTATTATCTCGACATTTGTCATCACTTGGCTTACTTCCCATGTTAACCTACATGCGCCATTCCTTCTCGTGGCCATATGTATGCAGCTTGTGGGATGGTGTATTATGGTGGCTTATGTGCCACAGGCTAGCGTGCGTTACTTGGCATTGTTCTTCATGGCCGCAGGCACATTCCCCCAGATGTCGATTCTCATGGGTTGGCTCAGCGCCAATCTACGCGGTCACAAGTATCTTGCGGTCGGCATGGCATGGATGGTAGGATTCGGCAACTGCGCAAACTTCATCAGTTCAAATGTCTTTATCACGACCGAGCGACCGAGGTACCCTACCGGGTTTGCCACAGGCCTTGCCTTCACGTTGCTGGGCTTTGTTCTTACATGTACCGCATTCGTACTGCTATTCGTCGGTAATCGGAAGCGTGACAAGACCCGTATGCATATGACGGACGAACAGCGTGAGAGTTATGATGAATTGCACTTCAAGTTTGTGTATTGAGATAAAATCGCATAAAGAAAAAGAAATGATTGCTCATTCTATGGATCGTAATATGAATGGCTCATAAGCGTAACCCACTGAACCCGCCGCAAGGAGAGTCATAATCTAGACCGTAGGAATACGGCTTCATACATGCCCGAATGGCTAAATTACAGGGCAATATGGTCTTCAGTTCCTTGCGCAGCGTTGATTATGCCTTAGGACTGAGTACCAGACACCCCTCGAAGTACTTCTGTAGACCGTCGAAGTCCTCAAATTCGCCAATCCAACCAACGTGCTGGTCAGGCCTTGCTACTACCACGCACCCTCGTTCTTTGTCGATACCGTACTTTGTGTAGGCATCGGCGAAGCCCTCATGGTAGGTCTCATCGTCAGCGAACACTTTGTCATAGTCCCATCCATCGTGCGGGTCAAAAGGGTGAAGGATTTCGGGGAAGTCTCTCAACAACTCCGTGTCGGTTCTCTTGGACGAATGGACGGTGAGCACCTCAACCACACTTTCCAAAGGCGCACTGGAAGGAGTAGCAGTGTGGAAGAAGCTGGTGGGTGAGTCGAGCGCTTCGCAGAATTTTTCTACACGCTTCCTTTGCTCGACATCAAGAATATTCCCCGCGAAGAGGACAACACGGAAGCGACCATTAGACTTCAGCTTCTCTTGGATATGCCAGGGCCGAGCGTCAGCTTGGCTCACCACTTTGACGCTGTTGAAACGCATCCCAATTGGCAGGCCAGGAGCAAGAGCCTGCTTCTTTGCGAAAGCGTCGGCTGAGATCCCCACACTGGATGATCCATTCAGTCCACCGTTTTCAATTGCATCAGCGGCCTTTGCGACAAGTACGCTAGGCCCATAGTTGACACTTAGACCAGATGCGAACATATTACCCTTCAAGAATGCCTCTTTAAATTCTTCCATGCTGACACCCTCAGCATCCATGAGGTCCTTAGCGGGTCTCCCTGAGAAGAGCCTGCTGAAGCGGTGGTCGAAATCGATGAGATCCTGAGCCACACGGCGTCGCTCGCCTTCATAAGTGCTCAGGATGCTCCGCTTAGCAATACCCTTTGAGACAAGGGCCACTTTCCAGCCAAGGTTGAACGCGTCCTGCATGGAAACATTCATGCCCTGACCAGCCTTGGGGGAGTGGGTATGCACGGCATCTCCGGCGAGGAAGACGCGCTGGTGAGCGTCGAAGTTCGTACCGACTCTTTGACCGATCTGGGATGAGCCGGATTAATATGCGACACTTTATAGGCACACCGAAAAGGGGTATTTTACCTGGTACGCGGTCCACCAATCACAATATTCATAGTCAATCTTATAGGGGCTGAGTATCTTTTGCGCAGCACTCAAGATGAGTTCAGGGGTGATCTTCGACCTATCTGCACGGCCGGTGGCATCCGGAATGACTTCTTTCAGCTGGATATAGAGTCGCACCAATTTGTTCTCTCGAGGAATCACCATCAAACTGCCGTTCTCTGCCGAGTGGATCGCACATCGCATTCGGACATCAGCTGCGTTCATTAGGTCAGCACATAGAAGTGAAGCTAGGTATGTCTACGATCGATTGACTTACGGAAGTCTGTAATAGGAATGATATCCAGCACACCCCAAATGAAATCGGTTGCTTCGCCTTGCAACTCAAAGCCTAGCGCGCGCCTAGTCCAGCTTCGCGCGCCATCACATCCAACGACATATTTGGCGTGGACAATCTCAGCAGTTCCAGCTCGCGCGCTGCTCTTCCGAATTAGTTCTTCCTCATCGTCTTCGTAGATCAAGCTACTTCGGAACAGGCCGTCGGAGACCTTGCTTCCCTTTATTTGCTGCTCTGGGGTAGCTTCTTCGTCGCTGAGATGGCGTAGCTTTACGGTGACTGGATGCGCGGACGGGTCCTCAACCTTTTCTTTATCAATATCTAGAGACTCTGGAAGAACTCCACGTTCAACGTCGATAGTGTCCTTCGAGTACTTTTTGATATTGTCGAGGAACCAACGTTCGACACGTCCCTGGTGTATGACGCTCTGTGTGAACCGGGACAGCCCAACGATGGTGTCCGGAATACGGTCCGAACGACGTATCACCCCATCGGGGCCCGGGTTCTAGTGTAGGACGTTAGAGAAGGGGTGCATACTCCAATGCAATTGGCTTATACTCTAACTTACCCACATGCATATCTAGAAAAAAAGTCAGCTTGCGTATTCCAACGATGAACCCGATGGTGTTACCTCAATCATATGATTCGCTTCTTTCCATGCCCTGTCTGCGAAGCCTAGACTGTCGAATATTTCGAGACTGCGGCATTGCAACCCGTCGGCCTGGCCGCAGAATATCTTTGTGTTCCTCTTGTCGACGATACGGGTCGTGACACCGCAGTGTGCCATCCAGCACGCGGTCATCAACCTATGTTACGACAATCGTAAGCTTAGGACATCGGGAAAGAGACTCGTAATATAGGCATTATATAACTTACCCCGCAGGACCGGCGCCAATGATGAGCCTAGTCAAGCAATTAGCACTTCTAGTCCGAAAGCTTCACGTCCCGTTCTGACGTACACATCTATATTCGACTCGGGGAGATGTCCATTGGTTGCCATATTTACTGTATGCCCTCGTTTTCGCTCTAATGTGTTATCGTGGGATGTTTGGTAGATTTGTAGGCGCAAAGATAATGATAATGTTATGGTAATATTATTACCTATGGAGCTATATAGGACAGCTATCTGGCGGTTGACGAACAGGAATAGAAGTGGTGAGCACAAGGGAGGGGAATAGGGACGCGGGCAATGTGTTGCCAACGAAACCTATCGAGTTGCCACCCTATCATTTGGCCAGCTCGGGAAAAGGGATTCAGATTATCGTGTTACAAAGTTGGTAAGAGACGTGTATATTTGGGATTGTCCAAGGGTACAGTGTTTGTTGCGAGATAATCCCTTAGCCCCATATCCATGGATCATCGTGGATCGGTCCGCTCGCATCCGACGTCAACGAGCAGCTGACCGGGGCCTTACTAGGTACCATCGCCGGCATCGACAATCGGAGTCACCCTTGGCAGCTCCTCATCGAATAGGGGATTCAACAATTACGTGTAGTGGTACAGGACCCCAAGACATGTTAGGTGTAATGGTGGGTGTGAAAATCAATTGAGAGGTCTCTTGGGGTGACATATTATCGGATCCTACAGTACATCTCGGTCGACATATAAGATTTAATTCTCGTTGGTATCCATTGGCGGAGAAGGTATATTACAAGGGATACACCAAATAAGAAGCAAAAGTTGGAATAAACCGTCTCAGAGTATGCCTAGCCAAAGTGATAGGTTTCTTAAAGGGGGATCTACTCTAGGTTCTTTGAATGCGCGTTTCAATTTTCTAAAATCTAGCCTTCTCTTCTTTGTCGTATCATTTCGACATCATAATCGGTGATGAGATGCGATGACTGCAGATGGTTTGGAGTTCCATTGTGGCTGACAACCTAGAATGCCTGCCGAACCCCATATCCGATCGCAGCGGAGAAATGTCTCCACGAGACATCTAGTAGCTATACTACCTAGGTAAACCAACCAAGACCATGGCCGCCAGCTGAAGATTGCGCAATAATTTCTTGATGAGGTATGGCGCAAGTATTGAACATCAGTTACTAAGCTGCTTATAAACTACTGCACATATGTCGGGCATAGGACTGGTTACTTTTTTCTCTCATCCTTGCACCCGCTAAGCTAGCGGATCAAAGCTCGACGGTGCGAATAACGTGGGGTATCCAGTTACGCGACTTGGCGAGCTACGGATGCGACTTAGGCGAACAGATCATTCCTAGCAAGAGCATAAACATTTTATGCCCATAAGATAAGATTATCTACCTCGTAATGAGGTGAATTGGAGATAATATGTGTCTGAATAGCCTCAGAATGGGCTTTACGTCACTAATAGGAGACTACATAGTTTTGGCGTATAAACCGCAGCACCCCAGAAAATGCATGTCTTGCTACGTACATTCGTTCCCAATTCTGAGAACGCCAAATAATCTCGCAGCTGTGACACGATCCTGCACTCGCATTGGGGATTATGTGGCTTCCAGAAAGTACTAGGTACTCACCGACTCAACGACTTCGATATTCCTGTATCGTATGCCCGTGGGCGGGGCGATACTCGTACATCTCCCCAACCTCTGCTGAACATGGTATCTATTGAGTCAGACGTTATTTTGATGGACTTCTTATTGGCCGCGTAAAGTGCATAGCAATGTTTCCATTGTACTCACTTATGAGCGATTCTGTAAATTGAAACTAGGAGTGCTAGGATGGAAAGTCCCTCATGTACATGCCAATTTCAGCTTTTTACGCGAGCTTACAGCATCTCTACAAACATCGTGTTATAGGCCTGGATTAACACTTGATTGGCGTCTCATTGGCCCTTATATTGTGGCGTTATGCTGTGTAACCAGAAGAAAACGACGAGATCTACATTTATAACGTGCAGGCCGGCAGGAGTTGCTTGCTCTTCTTTCTACCCCTTTTCACATGGGTAAGAAACAGGCTTGCTACCTGAATATACCTGAATACTTCAACGTATAGGAACTGGTCTGTGAGCACAGTTCGAACTGGACGGATCGACGGATTGAAAATTCTTTCAACTTTAGCGAATATGACTGATTTCCTTTCTTTTTTGTCCCCTGGTCAAATTGCTCAGATGGCGGTTTCAGCCTGTTAAGATGGGCCGACTTTTATGATAAATCGCAACTTACAAGCAAGGTAAGATAACCACTTCCAAGTATCAAAGATCAAATGATCGTCACCATTGCAGTCTAAATATTCTCATGCCTGATACATCCTATATGCATCAAGAGATAGAACTGATATCGTGACTAGCTAGACCGAGAATCTTGATTGAACTGTGGGAAATCGCCGCCCCGGACATGTAGTGGCAAGGTTGAAGGCAACCCCTGGAGATCGGGGTTGCAGTAGTTAAGTAAACAGTATGCCTAGGATATAATTCAACAGACTTCATCGCAAGTTTGCGGTTTGAGTTGACCCTTACCTCTATTTAGGACTACTGTCAAAATCTCAGTACTCGTCAACAGTCTACGATACAATGTCAGATTCCGAGGCCAAAGCCTTCATCCAGGAGGTTTGGGGGCTCCAGGGCACCGCCTATTTTGTAGTTGGTCTCCGTTATTATACCAAACTTAAAATTATGGGATGGCATAAGTTTTCCTGGGATGATTTTATTATGTTTTTGGCTGTTGTAAGTTATAGGAATTTGCAATGCCCTTTTCCTTTGTCTAAGCGTTATCTAACGGTCGGTATAGTTAACATACACGGCGGAGTCCGTCATGGCTTATCTTGTTGTGGCATATTGGAAAGGTCTTGCCAACAATGCAATGACGGACGAGCAACGCGCAACTCTTGATCCAAACTCGGAAGAGTGGTATTTGCGAGTTAGTGGCTCGAAAACCCACGTAGTTGGATTACTTCTCTATACAACGCTTCTCTGGCTGCTAAAATCGTGTTGGTTGGTGTACTATTCTCGACTAACGTGGGTTGGCCGCCAGAATCCGATGGTTTGTCTGATACTGACTCGCCGTCTAGAGATGGAGTTAACAATATGCGACAAGTGATCCTTTGGGGTGCCGGTATCATTGCAACAACATACATCTCTTGTTTGCTTGTTGCCTTCCTGAAGTGCATTCCTTTCAATCATCAATGGCAAATCAATCCTTCTCCTGGGAGTGAGTCGCTTACACCTGTAGATGTTTGCTATCAAGCTTTGCTAATTTGGATTTTGCCATAGATCATTGTATGCCTGCAATCTCGTCGATTCAGACTATTTACGTAATGATTATGAACTCACTGACGGATTTCTATCTAATGGGTATACCTATTCCTGTACGCAAACCGAATCCCATGAATACTCAGGAATACTAAACTGAACTAACATTTAATACTTAGGTTGTCTGGAAGTCACATTTGCCATGGAAGAAAAAGGTTGCTCTTCTCGTCATGTTTAGTGGTGGTTTGCTTGAAATGGTGTTTGGTATCATGCGATGTGTTTCGATTTTAACAGTAAGGGTGCCTCTTCTTTCCTCCCCCCTTTTGTGTTGTTTATACATGTGGTAGCACTTTATTGAGAGAAAGTAACTAATAGATCCTATTTAGCTTGGTGACATCGATCCTGCCCAGTCAGGTTACTGGTCCGTTCGCGAGTCATTCGTCTCTGTGGTTCTAACCAACATGCCGATGATACATCCGTTATTCAAGAAGTTTATTGATAAGAGCCGCAGTTTGAGTAGGTCTAAGGGTACAAGCCAGGGTGAAAGTCGAGGTTACAAACTTGGTAGTATTCCTGGCCGCGAGCTCACGGGAAAGCGGTCGAAGCCATCATACTCAATTCCAAACGAGACAACTTGGGGCTCAAAGGAGCATATAGTATCCGAACGAGATCATGGTGGTGCTTCAAGCGGAAAAGACACATCTCTAGACCTCCCGAAACATCAAACTTCCGGTGCGTCAAGAGGGGAGAAGGTATCCAAGAGACCAAGCAAAGATGATAATCGGATCCTTGTCACCACCGAATATACGGTGACGGAAGATACTCGGAATTCTAGTTCTAGAGAGGAGTTCTAAGATGCCTCTGGGCCTGTGAAATATGGGTCGTGTTTGTTAAGATATTAGACTTCATTGCTTGGATTATTGTATAACACATAGTATATACCTATATAACGACGACGTTTGCCTATTAAACATCGTGGGCTCTAGAATACCACCTTTCACAATATGCCATGCGCCTGCTTTAATGCTATGATGGAGTCGCGATCATATTCCTGCTTCTTGTCGAACCAATCCAAGTACATAAATGTATGTGGTGACCCCTTGTATCGTTTCAATGTGACCTTATTACCACCCTCGACGAGTTTCAATGCGTAGGCCTCGCCCTCATCACGTAAAGTATCACATTCAGCAGTCCTGATGAAAGTGTCACAGAGCCCATTCCAATTCTCCGACTTCAAGGGGGATATCCACCATTCAGGTACGGAGGCACGAATTTCGTCGGTTTTGTCCGCAGGGAAACACTGGTCGCCAAAGAACTTGATTCGTGCCCACGGTAACACTGGCCCGTTAGCGAATTCGCGGAAGGAGGCGAAAGGGGAGTCGGTGTAGTCCTCATAGAGAAGTGCACTTGAAGATGGGGGTACAGTTGCCAAGCAGAGCCTCAGTGGAATCCCGGCGTCCCGAGCCATATGTTGTAGAATGAGAGTAATGTGGGCTCCTGCTGAAATACCACCAATTGATACCGAATCAGGGTTGATTTTCAGCGAGGCTGCTGATTGTCGGGCCTGTTATTTAATTAACATCAGCTTGCCACACCATGAAATTGTTCAAATGTGGTGCATACCCATAACAGCACCGCCCAAGCATCTCGCACACCTGAACCCCAAACTGCTTCTAAGAGACGGGATTAGCCGTTGTATACTTGGGCACTTATCACTCGAGGCTTACCAGGACAGTGTCGGTAGTTCACATCGATGACGACAACGCCGGCGCCATCGCGCATGCTCAGGCATAATTGCGACTCGGTGTTCAGGTCACCTAAGACAAAGCCACCGCCTAAAATGCGTTCAGCGGCTTGTCCAAGCGCCCTGTAATTGGATAGGAGCCAATACCATGGAAATTGAGGTGAACGCCATACGGCCCATTGCCGAACTGTGCAGAGTTTGTCTGATAGATTTTAATTGGGATTTCTACACCGTCTTGAGAAGTAACATTCGCATCGACAACCCTTTCCCATCCCGTAACGTCTTTTGACCATGGTAGCGCAAACTTGGCGGGGTTTGCACGGATTACTTCGATACGGGATTCTGGCTGTGCTGGTGCGCCTGCGGCCCTGACTTTCAGGATATACTTGACGATTTCTGGGTCGTACTTTGCTAGAACGTGAGGTTCAAAAATATCTTCCGCTTTTATTTCCGGCTGCGCAGTGCCCGATGCTTCTACGGGTGCGGCCATTATACTTGCTGACCGGTATCCGTGAGAAGGCAGGTGAGTAACCGGGTAAAGCTACCATCCTACCGGTAAAAGGCGAGGCAAATCACGCCAACATACATAAGCCACCTGCCACCCTTGGTTACCTAGGCATTCTAGCAGCTTCCCCTCTTCGGGAAACCCCCAAACGTCACACTAGAAAGCTTCTCGTTTATCCGCACGTAATTTTAACTCCGCCCAAAGCTGCTGTGACGAGTTAAACATGCAACAATAGAGCAGTATCCGATGGGTACAAATGATGCTTGAGAACTAAATAGATTTATTTGAAGGTATTTTATTTCATTTTCAATCATCCTTATGAATGGAAGCTAGCTACTACATCAGGCTTAGGATTGGACGTACTTTGCACCAATTCCCTTCTGCACAGCCGGGCGTTGCGCAATACGATCAATCCATTGCAATAGATGCGGGAATTGACTAGTTTCCTCCTTGGTGAAGCCAGACCTCTCCCAATTCTTAATCCAAGCCCACGTCTTGATATCCGCTACTGAGTACTTGCCCTTTCCCTTGCCAGCTAGGTATTCTCTAGGCTCGCCGGTATACTTGCCAGAAAGTCGGATCTCGAGCACACCGTAGACTCTGAGTGTTTCGTTTCTGAAGCGGTTGATGGCGTAGTCAATCTTTTCCGGAGCGACTTTGGTGAAGTGGTTTACTTGGCCCTGGTAGGGAGCTCCAGATCCGTGCCACTGCGATATCAAGTCAGCAATTGCATTTCGTTGGTTACTGATGGTGAGGAATTGACCAGTGGGGTCTTCAATTACTGGATTGGGTAACTCCGTCCACTAAGACAGAGCGGAGAGGAGGGGAAGAGAAAACAAAAGCATGGTACCACGTACGAAGAACGTCCATTGGACTAATTCGCTTTGTTCAAGATCGTCTGCGAAACCGAACTTAAGGTCCTTGTCGACTGACTTTAGGAGGTATAGAAGTTGCGCAGATGTTTCGTGAACAGGGAATGGTGGGTTTTGGGTGTTGTCAATTATAACAGGAATTCGGCCGTTGGGGTTGAGTCGTAGAAACCATTCCTTCTTTTGCTCGTTAGTCGAGATGTTGATTAAAGTGGTGGTCCATGTTGTTCCATAGGTCTCGGCAAGTTCTTCTAAGAAGATTTGTGTCGCTTGTCCGTTTGGTGTGTTTTGAGTGATAAGATGAATACCCTTGGCGTTCTTGACGTCGTCGGGTGTCTCGGAAATGTACAGCTTGTCTGCCATAGTTGCTTTTGAGAAGTATTGGTATCGATTGATGATATTTTTAGTGGTGTATGAGAGTTGCTTGGTGAGAGTATAGCTTCGCAATGTAGTTAGACATCTAAGAGGGATACCGATCATTATAAATATACCGAGGGGTTATTGAGGAGACTACCACCTCAATACGCAGCACGTCATCGCGACAGATCCGGACTTAATTGCGAATTGCAAACCATGATAATTACTTGTCAGGCTTGTTGCATCTTAGCACGCACTTAATTTGTAATCATACGCCTTTATCCTATTTGTAATCGTAGTATTTGCGCTATGTATGATGCCTTATGCACACCATTGACAAATCCCCACTTCCGAAAATGTCATCGTTCCGTATCTTCTTAGCCTCTAATACGTTTCGAAAGATATTACGCGACTTGATGACTGTCGTTCCAACGTTTTCGTGATCGATCTGATGATGCGATTAATCCGAATGGCGGATGCGTATGTTAATGTAGGATTCTCATTCGGCCTTCGGTGTTGGAGGACATAACAAAGAGCGTGCCTAGGCATTTACTAATACGATTAATAAACCCAACAAATAAGCAAAGAAAAGAAAGTTACTGTTAGACACCGAGTGCCGGCAAAGTCTGAAATCAAGATGGAAATTCGGGTGGAGAGATTCAAGACGCTGCGGGGAAGAAAGGGAAAAGGAATTAATTGCGTGGAATAGGGGCTGACGATCATTTATATTGATCAAAGCTAGGTCCTCACAGCGATCTTTTTACCGAAGCACCACTAAAAAATACACCTAGCATTCGGAATATCGACAGAGCTGCTTCTACAAAAACAATGTAGCGAACAGCATCTACGCGTTAAGGAGCTTCTCCTGCGCACCACCATAGCGCTGCCCACTGATAGGCAAGGTGTCAAGGATTTTCTGAATTTCAGCAATTTCCTCACCAGTTAGCGACGCTGCCTTGGTGTTCTCAATAACACGCTCGACTTTGGTGGAACCGGGGATGGGGATAGCGCCTTGATGACACACCCAACCAATAGCTACCTGCGCAGTTGTCACACCTTTGCGCTTAGCGATTTGCTCAACAGCCTCAACGAGCTTAAAGTTTTGATCGAAAACATCGGGCTGGAAGCGCGGTAGCCTGTGTCGAAAGTCATCCTTCGGAAGATCTTCGAATTTGCGCAATTGGCCCGTCAACCAGCCGCGACTGATGGGACTGTATGCCACGATGGCGATTCCAACTAATCACGCCGTTAGTTGATTATTTTGACCTTTCACCTCTAGTCTCTTCTAGGGCTACCTACGTTCATGGCATGTATCGGCGATTCCATTGTGTAGGGGGTCAGGTGTGAACAGACTAAGCTCTATCTCGACAGCTGAGATGGGATGCACGGCATGAGCTTTGCGAATTGTGTTAGCGCTAACTTCACTGAGTCCAATCCCACCAATTTTTCCCTCCTTAACCAATTTGGCCAGTGTTTTGATGGATGTCTCGATAGGGACGTTAGGGTCGACACGCGCGCATTCAAAGACATCGATTGTCTTAGTGCCGCCTAGTACTTTGAGAGCTTCATCGACAGACGCACGGATGCCCTCAGGGCTAGCATTAGGACCGGTATGGAAATCGAAGGCGCCTTTAATGCTGAGAACTACTTTGCTGGCATCCTCAGGGTACTGGTCGAAGTAGTATTTTAGGAGATGCAGCGAATTCGCTTCAGGTGTACCATAGTGCATGCCCTTTGTTCATGTCAGTTTCCAAAATTGTCTCAGTTCAGTGGCTACACTTACACCGTTCCAAAAATTAGCGCCCCGTTCTAGCGCTGTCTTCATGACCTTCACAGCAGCAGGATATTCGACGGGGGCCCATGGTTTCGTCAAACCTGAAGGCACACAATGTTAGTGAATCTTCGCACATTATTCAATCAGCTACGTACCCAACATGCCAAACCCGACAGGGCCAATGGCTTTTCCGCCAATACTGGTGGGAGCTAGGTTTCTTGTGCTCATAATGAAATATATTATCTTTGAATATTTAGGATCGGAATACGTTCAAATATTGAGGCATACGACATTCTTCAACATCACTTGAGGAGAAGTGATACCATTGATATATGTTGTCATTTCTAGTCATTTTAGCATCGCTAAGGGACATTTATGCCATGGCAAGCTTTCACGAATCGCCTCTTGTGTCATAGAGCGTCACTGTTTGAGGTCATCGTGGAGTTTGTCTTTAAACCCGCCATTGCTCCGTCACCCTCCGACACAGAACGAAACCGATAGCGAATTTTATTCCAAGTCGTACAATTAACCAACTATATGAATTGCAAATCGAGCGAAGTGCATATACCATTTAACAGGCGCTGTATCGGTGGGTTATTCGACGGAACTTATATATGCCTCCGAGCCCGTAACTATCCGATTCAGTGTATTAGCGGAGTTAAGTACCCGCCTGAAATTCCGGGTTCTAGGCGGTCCTAGCGGGGTCCGCGGGCTGACACAGGTAGTGCGGATGCCCTGTAATATCAAGATCGCCTACTACCTAGGTATTTTTCGGCGACAAGGCTAATGGCCGCCTCAAAGCCGACGAATTGTGATACAATTGTTTCATTTCTCAAGTGATCATTGTTCCCTATAGTGAACTAACTGAACATGTATCAGGCTATAAGGCGCATTATTCCAATGTAAGGATCTTAACGAATTAAACAAGGTGCCTTGTGTACCCGAGTTCGTACAAAACCGGAAACGGAAGCGCTATCAACAAACCGCCATGTTTATGATAAAGACAACAATAACCGTTAACTCCGGGGGTTCTATCTACTGATGGAGGCACAATATGATCGAATTAATCGAGAAGTATCGTATCGTACCACTTTAAAATATGAATCGTCGCACTCTCAGGAGCTCACGTAAGCCATCTCTGCAAAGCCAGGCATATTTAATACGAAGCTTTTTTGAGTCAGATTTGAAGCAAAGATTTTATCTAGAAAAATTCCATGCTAAGGGCGGCCAAGGTGGTGTATACAAGGTCAAGTATGTGTCGTCATCGGTTAAGGCATCTAATCAGCGGTTGCTAGTGCTCAAAATCGCAGATCCCCAGAGAGGTTCGGACGTCGAGGGGTTACGGAGGGAGGCAATTATCCTAAAGGTAATGCGAATATATTCCCGACCTAGATTAATAGCTAACGATGTTGTAGGGTTTGAGGTATTGTAGGCACATCGTTACGATATTTACTAGCCCCAACGACCCTCTGAAACCGGCTAGGGAAAGCTATGGCTGGGCCTGGGCATTCCTAGAACATATCGAGAATGACACCCTCACGACTTTCATGGTGCGAGCGAAAGAAAAAGGACTTAAGGTTCTGCCAAACCGTTTGCTTTGGTCAATATTCTTCTGCAGTCAGTTTTCCTACATTAATCTATCTCCGATGGTTAGAAGTTGACGTTTTCTTGTATCAGTGATCCGTGCCTATATTGCAAGTAAGTAACACTAGAGACTCATTATTACACATAGCCCATCTAGGACCTAGAACTTTTCGATCTAGGTAAATGAATTGAAATGCGAAATTTGCGAGTACTGATCTTGACGGCAGTGGCTTGGCCTGTCAAAAATTATAAAGACCTTGAGACGGCTAAGGCGATAGATCCTAGCGGACTAGCTCAGTAAGTGCCCATACCATAAACATCCAGCCTATCCCGGAGGAAACTCCTGGGACACGGTCGAATTTAATTTTGTAGTTCCTAAAATACTCATTCATTGTTAGTAACGACATACACGGCGATAATCTTCTGTTTGGATCATACATGCGTGGCCGCGAACACGGCCTCTCCCCGATATTGAAGTTACTCGACTTTGGGCTAGCAGATTTGTCGTAAGTCGTATACCTTCCTATGTACTTTGATGATTGAAATGATTCCATACGTTGCTAAATGTCAACTCAAATCTAGGGAGGAAGATAGTCATGCCCGCCAACACCCCACAGGCGAACAGAGCAACATATTGGACATAGGTATAGTACGTAAAGAATATCCATCACACCTACCCAATTCCCCAAGCCAGGTTTCCATTTAACTAACGCGAGAATAGATGATGGCTAGCGTAATAGGGCTTCAAACAGACCGTAAATACTCTGGAGAAGAAATGGAAGTGGACCTATCCGAACTCGGCCGAGCCGACGACGTCTTGTCGCCCGCTGCGGGTATATTAGAAGATTTCGATAATGGCACGCCGGACCCGTATCCTCTCGTCGATAAAGATTTACGACTCGTCCTTGCCGCGTGTTTGGCCGTCGACTATCGCGATCGCCCGACGTTGGAAGAACTTGAGAGGTGGGCTGGGGCTAAAATCTTGAATACCGATCCAAATCAATACGCGCACATTAATCGTGGAAGAGAGCAGGAGACTGATGAAAGGATTCACGCGATTGTGCAGGCTTGTATATTTGATGCGTAGGTGGGAGTTTGGGCTCTTGTCTCAGCTAGTGGATGCACCAGGTTAGGGTTGCGGCCGTATCCGGGTACCCAAGTACTCGGCCGTGTATATAGGTATTGGGGTTGCTATTGACTGGCGGAAGTTTTTATCGTACTATAAAGAAGGGCTATCAGGCCTCAATATGATATCCCAGCTTGTCGATAAACGTCGTCGATAAGGGCTCGGCTTTCAAGGCTGCTCTATTCCAGGAATACCCGGGTATGTGAGGTTAAGATGGTGATAGGGATGATGCTGGTTGAAAATGTGGGCGTCGGCTGGATAATCCAAGACATGGGACATCCCCCGACAATAAAATTGGCCCTCCAAACGTAGCCGTAGGAAAAACCATTAGTTCTATCAGGTACTGAAGCAATAGGTGCGCTAACACTGAGCTCGATTCACCCTTTACTATCTTGACCGGGAAACCCCATAAGTAGCTCGAACATACGGTGATGTATTAGGCGGGAAAACTTGAAAATATTTCCAAAGATCAGGCCCCTCACGCTTGCGCAATCGACGTCAGCGGTGGTGCGCCACGGTGGTACACGATAGAGCCACCGGAAAATGTTTTACGAACCCGATTACGGCAACACAAAGCGATGGATTCGCTTCCGAATATATAAAGTAGCAAATAAGTCTCGGAATTCGCTCTAGCAAACCTCGTATTGCTCTGTTCCTGGCCGATTTAGTCTTTCCAGGTACGAAACCAATCAGAAGCTGCAAGCCGCAAGGGACGGTCAACTACATCTCGATCACTGGCTACGATATCTTTCTCGATCCCGTATCCGACGATAGTTAGGTCACCATCTTCTTTAGCATCTCCTTATCTAGTTTTTAATCGACGAATTGAAACCCGCCGCATTTCTAGCTTAACGAAAGTGGCGCACAGTAGACAGAAACCTCTAGGTTCCATTTTTAGATCCGTCGCTTTCAAGTGTAACAATATGACGCGTTGTATCAATTGTAAAAGAGTCTCGAGGTGAATTAAAGGATTTTAATCAGTCTCTTCCGGGTGGACTTTCGGTCTACGCCTGTCTGAGATGTCTTGCTTCACTTCGCGTTCCGGTTCTTACACCAGCGAATCTGCCATCACCAACGAGCGTCATGATTGCCATCATTTCTACTAGGAATCCATCTTCATCATCTGCGAATCTGTCCTCAGGCAAGCGCATTATAAAAATAATAATATCTGTTTCTACCGTCGTAGGCGTCGCATTGGTTATCGTATTTGCAATCGCTTGTTATGCGATACTTCGCCGCCGGCGACAAGCCTCCCTTCTTGCCTTTCAGGCTGCGCGCCTCCGGGATCCAACTTTAACTTGGGAAGAACATGCCCGAAGACGTCGATTCACAAATTCACGGCTCTTATTCGAGGAAGAGGTACAACGTAGCACAATCATCCGAAAATCGCTCCAGAGCCGTACATCGCTCGCACACGCACGAATACAGAGACTCGGAGGAAACTTTCACCCTAAGAATAGTAACACCAAGGGAGTCAAGGACGGAGATGGGATAGGACTTCAGTCGCAAGAAGGCCATGGACACTGGCTCTACCAGGTGTCATACTCGGAGAGTCAGCAGAGACTCTTGGGAGGTAAATCCTCTCAACCACCCACGCGATATTTGCAGCCTACGGAAGAAGGCGACGAAAGTGTCTCACTACCCCCACCACCCACACGGCTCAAGACGCCACCACTGCTAGCGCATCCAGCATTGAGGGATTGGGCTCCGGAGATGGTGCGGGCGGGGTAATAAAGAGGACGTTTTGACTATTTTGATCCTGATTTGGTGGGCAGGCTGCGTAAATTGAATTCTGTAGTATTTTGAACTGACGGACTCTAGAGTCCATAATGTAATCTTAGTCTATCGTCTGGAACGATTTCTCTTTATTATACCCCTAATGCGATCAAACCTCCCCATATAGATCAAGTTTCGCAATAGCCTGTTCGCTCCTGAGTTAGCCTTAGTCCCAGAAACATCCTCTCATCCAGGGCTTAATATAGCCAGGACTTGCCCTCCAATTGCGAGTGCGTCCTGACTGCCAATAGGGGGTAGGGCCATCGCGCGCAACTCTGAAAGCCTCGACATTGGAGTATGGACAATCCGAATCTTCTTCACCACGCTCAACTTTTCGGAGATATTCGTTTTGTTCTCGGTTTAAATTCGTACAGCGAACGCTGAAAATCTCCTTTCCAACCGCATCATGTCGATCTGAAAGGGTACAGATGAAATTAGACGAGTTGTCATTATGCCATAAGGGATTGATGCGCTTGTCGTTATAGAAAGGAGAGGGAGGGAAGCCAGACTTGATCTCCAATGTTTGTATCTTAATTAATTTGTCGATACTCTGTTGTTGTAAATACCGAAACAGTTTCCCGGCGGCTGAGAAGGTCACATAGGGCTCGGTGGGGTTGTCCTCATCCGCTATTCCAAGTTGAAAATATAATTTGAGATGGCATAGTCGGGGAAATGATGCAAGTATCCTGAGTGCTTTATATGGCCATCCATCGTCGCGATAGAGGTCGAGGCCCAGTTCCTCGATGTGTGGACATCCGTCGCGAATCTTGGTTAACGTCTCGATATCAATGGCCAACTTTTCCCACCTTCCATAATAATCCTCCTTCTGGTGGATAGTCAGCCTTTTCAAGCTTTGCCTATGTACTAGCACAGCCTCCAATAAGGACTTCGACCCATTGACACCTTCGGGTCTCGAGATAGCAATGCTCTCAAGAGCACTTGGGACTTGATTCAGAAAGATCATGGTAAGCCCAGATGCATAAGAGCTGTGGAATTCTTTCAGAGACGTAAGATGCGGCGCGACTTTAAGTATAAGTTCTGTGTTATTCGTTGCGAGATGTAGAAGTCGAGACCAGTCGAAGTTATCCGCCCAGTAGCTCGTTTCGTAAGTGTAGTCCTCGTAGATGCCGAAGGGGTAATTGATTATATCTAACTCTTCTAGAGCAGGTAGACGCTCCCCATTAACGAACCCGAAACCTCCCGCTCTGTCCTCGTTGGAGGATGTACTACAGATTAATCCATAATGGGGCTGCGGTCGGCAGATATCAAGTCTGAGTTTGCGGAGATTTGGGCATGATAATACAACGTGTTTGAACGGCCTAGACCAGCGCAACCCTTCCTTCGAAACACGATAGATTATCTCCAAGTTTAGGGAAACCAGATTTTCATTTGCTTGAAGTCGATCAATGATCTCGGGATCCCTTGCAGGGGAATGATTAATTACCTCAGCATGTAAATGAATCGAAGGTCTTTCTCGAAGAAGCTCGACTATTCGCTCGGGTACCTCGGTTTTCGACCACACCACGTCGGTAAGGCCAGTCATCTTGGGGATCAATCTGCACAATCGGGGGAGAAAAATCTCATCCTTGTCGTTGCGGACTTCTAATCGGCGGACAGCTCCAAAGGTCGCGGTTTTCTCTATATATGCCAGCCGCGTGGTTGAACTAGGGTGGGGATTGCCTTTCACGTTCTCAAGTAAAAGCTCTCGGTTTTGGGTATACCTCGCGATACTATAGTAGTTGGAACAAACAAGAGCGAGAGACGAGATTGTATGCGGACTTGTGTCGTGTAATAAATCAGCAATCATTGCAATGACCTCGTTACCTAAGCATGTTAAGGTTGGTAGCTGTGGATTCTCTGGCTGAGGCATTTGTGGTTCAAGCAATGCCGACGGCTGGTGTGAAGCCGGGAGCTTGCTTTGAAACTTGGACAGCATGGTGATAATTCGTTAGGGTGCAGAATTGGTCGTGAGTTAAAGAATGTTTGGTCAGCATTCCCTGGTTGGCTTCAAACATCTACCTTGAGAATTGGCGCCGACTACTCATAGAACGATCCAAAATACGATGCCTGGGTACTAACCAATGTGATATCGCCATGACTATCATCATCGTACGACGATAAATCTCAACTTATGTTTAGTAGTTGTACCTCGCTAATGAGTCATAAGATGATTATGGAACACACTCTGTTGGTGATGTTGGTGTATGTAGGTATCTGGAGTGATACTAGAGGTGCTGAATTAGTGGTTAAATAGGGCTGTTGGGTTTGGAGATTGGCCTCTATTTCCCCTCTTTCTGCGTGATGTGGGGTAATGTACTCAGGTACATAAGTAACATTTGAAACGTGCAACATTTTCACTTACGATATACTTTTGTAAGAGCCATTAAGCTCTTTAACTTCCATCCAAGCTAACTGAAGAAATTAATTCAATTCATCAAGCTCTAAGTACGCTACAAATAAACCGTGACATTAGTAACAAACAAGTATCTCACTCATAATCGTGTCATATGTGTAACGAAGACATTAAGCTCACTACAACCCCGCTCTTCGTACTATTCGTCTACATATTTCCACTTCCCATCTTCAAAAATTAGCTCGCAAGCATAGCCCAGCATAGCCTCAGTTCATTATCTTCAGAGACCTCAACACTCCCATCGATTTTTACTTTTAACATATCCATCAATTCTCATTGCCCGAGTATGATCTAAATATGACCACCGATTCGCGTTCCCTGCGCGACTACGTCGAAGAACCAGATGAACTTTTCCAACTTCCCGATAAGGAGTTCTTCCCACTTATCTATGATGAATTCAAGCCCGAGGTAGATCGGCTCAAGCGTGCCTACTCCGTCGGTGGCAATGACAGTAAGCCATCGGCCGTATCACCCTCAGTGATACTATACGGAGAAGAGTATGATGAGGTCAATCGTACCCTCGTTGGACTGCTAGCATTGAGATGGGTTCATAACAATCAATACGATATACTAGTTTCGAACCAAGCCGAGGCCCTACGACTTTCTCGTGAGTCGTTTGATTGGATACATAACTTCTACAGGGAGTCAATCAAGACCTCGGAAGAATTGTACTTTATCATTACTTCCATAATAGTAAATGATATAGGAAAAGATGACCAACTTGCGATTGACTATCAAACGGCAACTGGAGAAGATATTAGCCATTTAAATCACGACATGATTCTTTTGAAAGCTGCTAGAGGAGGCCTGCTAGGCTGTCTGGAGCGCCTGTCCGAAGCAGATCGATCTGATATGATATACGGCATGGAATTGGGGGCCGAATTCAACTTTGGGCAATTGGCTCAGGCAGAAAATGTGCCTGCTTGCTTGGCCAACTTTGAAAAAATGAGGGACCATGCCCGCAGCTTTCGGCTACGCTTCCTCGAACAAATGCTAGACATTGCGGGCGCCGCCGGCCACCTTGATTGGACTTGCGCAAAAAAGCTGACTCAATCGAATTTTGATGCCTACTCTACAGTATACGAAGTCGGAATAGGCATAATATCGGATGGCTTGACTTTACGCGAGGGTTACGATCTAGTCCTGACGCGTCGCCTCGAGCTACTTCAAGAAAAAGGGTTCCGGAAGTTGGATCTGGAAGTCGAAGATGATCGGGCTCTTGCACGACTCTTATGCATGACCAGTGCTGCAGACCCTGCGACCGCTGAATTATACGACCGAGCGTGGACGACTCTTGAAGACGATGTGAGGCAGTCATTACGCGAATCCCTCAATATTGACGGATCTGTCGAAACCCCAGCCGTACAGGTCACATACATTCCGGCCCTCATCACTCAAGCAGTTGATGCCAGTGGCCCTGGAACGTCAGAAGCTAAGGAGCGTCGGCTTCAGAGCGCACTCCGTTACTTAAATAAAGTAATGTCTGCTCCCGAAAAACCGGATGGGCCCGTTAGTGTTATAGAACGGAATGTATTGGCTACTCTCAAAAACGTGGTACAGAATCCCCAGTTCCGTGAGGACCCTACCACCCTAGAACAAGCCCTAGTACCAGAAAGTCTCGTCGCGAAGATGGAATCATGAACGGCAACCTGGGTTAGAAATCGACTCTCATCGGTGCGTTACAGAGCAGACGATTCACCCCAGTATATTTCCTTGCTTTGCTAATTGGTACGACATACGATTGGATTTACTGCATTATGCATCACTATAGCGATTATTTATAAATTCATGTATTATTTCTCTCTGCGCGACCGTCTTTTTACAAATTACCCTGAAGAAGTATCACCCCACCTTCACTCGCATATTGTTATTGACCTACCCGCGCGTTGAAAAAGATATTAACGGCAAGTATTACTAGGCTGCAAGTGGGACTACGTCTATCTTGAATGGCACTCCGTAGAAGCCTTTTTTTAGGATAGTATACTCTATACACACTATAGAGGCAAGCCATAGACCAAGATGGTCGTAGCCAAGCACCATTCCCTAAACCTTGAGTCGCCAACGAGAAAGAGATACCACATGTTGCCTGTTGAAACCAGCTCACCACCTAGCCAAACAATCGACTGGCCTCCTGGGCTACCTCTCTATCCAGTATCTATCTAGCATAGCCAAGAAAGATTTATATGTTGCCTATCCTTCGTATACGTTCGATCCATGCACCGCACTTTATTTTTACAGGTATTAACAGCGTAAAGCTACTCACAAACTAGTGAGCGACCCGCCACGCATAACCCGAACAGTGCCTCCTCCGCCATGACTAGCGAGCGTACTCGGGCAACTTATATCACTCCCCGCATCATCGCTACTCCCTTGACCATTCCCCGTATGCGTCTTACGCCGTGCTAATTCAACTGCTCTCTCGCGCTCCCTCTCATGTCTCGCAGCAACTGCATCCCGATGTCCCCGCGGAATTCCCCTACGCGAATCACTTCTCGCGCGTAACTCCTGACGTAAAGCCGACCAACTCGTCGAAAAGAAAATAACGGCATTCCATACACCTTGTAGTGGTAGTACGACGGCACTCGCCAGGTTCAACGCGAAACTAGCGCTTTCGGCGTAGATTAGGTCGTGTACACGGTTTACGCTGCTCGGCGTCCACGTTACGAATACGCTGATCGCGAAGACGAACGACGTGCGCAGGTAGGCCAGTTTGACTGGATCCATGTGACTGAACCGCACGCGCCAGCGTTGAATATTTGCCCGTACCCTGGCGCGGAGGTTTTCACGTGGTGCTGGGTCCGCGGTTATTCGGGTTACGGTTGTCTGGTACGGGTTTGGGGGCGAGATAGGGGATGAGGGGCCGTCGTAGTAGGGGTGTGTGTCGGGGGGACCGTCGAACCAGTGCATTGGTGCGGTTGGGGAGGAGGGGCTGGTGAGTGTGGAGGCTGGAGCCGAGGTGGAGTTTACGGTTGTTACTTGTACGACTTCGCGGTTTATGCTGCCCATTACGGCTGCGTTTGTGAAGAGGGTCTGCTGATATCATTAGTTATCTTAGTCTAAGCTGTTAATCACGCGAAGTTGGATAATGAACTTACTTTCTCTCCTGAGTCACGCGACATTGGCGGTTCATGGGTAGGGTTGCTTAGAGATAGGTTGCGTAACTGGTTACGCTGCTTGAAGACATAGTAACCGACGGCTATGTAGATACAGGTTGAGAGGATGATGCAGACCCATATTGGGAGGTAGTACGTGTAGATGCGAAGGTTGGACCAGTCCTTATCTATCCAACACCATATCTAAGCTAAACATCAGTATATATAATAAAGGCTTGACGCGAAGGGATAGAGGTGGCTTACCGTCGCATCGCCGTATACATTCTGCCCGTCTCCACCGTGAACAATAAGTAGCCATAACGAGGGAATGAAGGGTATTCCGTAGCAGACGAGGAAGTACGCCCACCAGTAACTAAGAAAGCTCTTCGGGTTGGCGGAGAAGAAGAATACCATGTATACATTGACTGCCATGGCAAATGACCACCATGGATCTGATTGCATAAATCTAGTCTGAGATCAGCCCGGGTTCACTTTCCCACCCCTGAAAGGAATTACAATTGACTTACAGTTCAAACATGAAGGCTTGTGCCTGGCATAGATGGCTATTCGACCCCGCTAGTACCCCTGAATATCCTATTAAACAAGCAATACTAGCTCCCAGGTTCGCGAAAGAGGCGAAAACAATGAACGTATTCGGCACGGTACGAAGTCTTTTGAAAACAGCGTAGGCGACGAATATGAGAAGGACCCCAGTGACGGACAAGGCAGCACCCAATCTCTCGAAGATAACGATGGTTTCGATATGCTGCTTTGTGAAAACATTGGATGTGGTGGTCTGACCCGATCCATCAGGGTCGTCTATGTGTATCGTACTATTCATAACGGCTATTATCACGTCTTCGGAGTAATTCGGAGTTCATAGGAATATTGATTGAGGATGTAACTCGTCAGAGCGAGGAGGTGAAGCCGTATGAGCGCCGTCGTGCTTAGTATAACTCAAATCCAAGAAAGTAACCAAATTGAGGAGGTAAGTCGGTGGTAGTCAGCCTGGTTTCGCCATGAATGGAGATGAGCAGGGTATTTGAGTCTGATAATGTATCTCGTTATACAATCACGCTCCGCGATTCCAATATCCGAGGAAGACCGATAACACCTAGTAAAAAGAAATGTAAAGAGATTCTCGATAGTTTGACTACACTAGACTAAGACAAAACAATTGCTATAGAATAGGAGACCCGTGTGAGTGGATGTTGAGGAAGATGACTAAAGTGAGGACGCGATGGATCAGGTTGAGTATGGACACAAATCCTCACGTTTATGAATGAGATGATGTGACCTATTACTAGTAAGGAAAGTTTTGAAGTTAATGATTGAATAGGGGGGGTAGGTTGGTAAATAGTGAAGAAAAGCGAGCCCAGAAGGGAGTTGCTTTAGGTAGGTATGCCACTCGTTCGAATAATAGGGATTGACTTCGGAGTAACAACAACGACGAAGAAGTGTAAAAGGTAAGTTGAATTAAGAATTATAATTGAATTACTGCGTGGCCCAACCGAGGCGCGCTGTATGTATAATAAGGGTTAACGTGAAAATATCGAGGTATCGATAGAAGCGAAATAGTAGAAGAGCTTTGGGACGCAGGTATCCGCAGCCTTCGCTTCCCGGTTAGATATAAACCACCTCTGTACTGTATCGTGACGGTATTGAAGGAGGAGTAATGTACATAGGTATCTAGGTAGGGAGAAATTGTTGATTGGATGGATGCATGTCTAAGGACATCCTCAGCCTTGGCTATCTATATGTACAGCTAGAAGAGGCGTCCATGAGTACCTAGATATTAAATGGAGGTTGGTCTAAGGTACATCGGATGCGAAACTGAAGGAGAGAGGCGAGTCGCAGAGATGAGGTAGAGGGTGGTAGCATTGGTCAGCAATTTACCAGTCCACCCCATTGTTCCTAGACTTAGACTTGTACCTGCTTTCATTTACATCGTTACACGACCAGGCAATACTATCCGAGGAAATAGAGAACTAGACATGGAAGGCTGCAAGGAAATCACGGTAGGCCGTTCTCTTGAGAGCATTTTGGTCTAGGGACCTGCTTGTAAGCAATCGCTCACCATGACATTTGGATACGGGAAGGAGTAAGCTAATGCACAGCAAAATTGGTATTAAGTCGCTCACAGCCTTATGAAAAATACTTTCATTCAAGGGATCGATTCCTTCTAGAAAATGCAGAAATATAGCGGACGTTACTACTAGATTTGTTAGAAAAGTCCGTCTAGGCCTTCCCTTCCCGTTTGATCTGGGGGGTGACATGCAGATGCTAAACGCACATGGGAGCATGTAAGGGAAGTATTAGCTTTTCGCCATAGCTCCTAACAAGCCATTTCGGAACGGTAGCTAAAGCGCTGCGGATCTACAGTACAAATACATAAACTTGCGTCAAAATCCCCCGCAGATCTCAACAGCCCGCATGACCACGGAAGCCTTCTGAAATGATACTAAGTCAGGTTACCGAAGAAACCATCAGCTGAAAGAAGGTGCATATCTAAGTGCAATTCGGGATTTTTGGAGGATTGAGCTTTTCACCCCGATCGATTAGACAACTAGGTAGACTTCAGATCTGAGTAGGTAGACATAATTAGAACTTCCAGCGCTTACTCTTCGCAAGCAGCTCGGGCGAATTGCTAGTCTCTTGTAAGTTTAAGTGAACATCGTGGGAAGCAAACAGACCAATAGACTAGACTTGGAGATCCAAACAATTAGGTACGAAGCGAACCCGAACCTGTCTTTAATCCCTGTATCAAATTTATAACATCCCGCGCGTGTCTTACATCCCATCCTTCTCCACGTGGACTCTCTGGTTCTTAAACATTAACAGGGTCTAGAAAAGTTGGTTCGATCGGCTAAAAAGCAACATGTCAAAATTTGTTGCCGATCGATTGGATTGAATTTTCCAGGGGTAACTGCTTTAGAGTGTGCAAGCTCATGATCGACATCCGAAGATTTGACAATTTACTTAGCTGATAGCTATGATTTGCAGCTAAGAACACCTCCAATCAAGTGTATCGTGGGGATCTTAGCAGGGAAGGGTAACGCACCGCGAGAACACGCTTAATCGGCGTGTTCGAATTACCGTTGCGGTGAACAAAGGCATTGATTAAGAGCGCGGGCGGTTTGCTACACTACATGATGCAAGCTGCACCATCGGTCCAATGGCGAACGGCTCCTACAAATTAATGAAATGCACCGAGGCTAAGTACCGCCGATTCGAGGTGCTGGACCAACCGTAACGGAAGGGTAATGCTGATTTTCGGTCACGAAATGAGTTGTCTAGCTATGGTCAAGGTTACCTGCACCAATACCTATGGAAAACTGCAGCTGATGACAAGGCTTGCTGCGACGCTACAGCAACTCTTTGATCCGTACTTCCGAGGCCGACCTAGCTTCCAAGGTCCGAATTGAATTGCCATCTTCCTACATATCTACCTAGGTAGGTATCTAGGTACTTGGAGCAGTCTCAACAGGCTAGGCACATAACATAATCTAGACAAGGGGATATGTCTCTGTATCCCTGCCAAGCATTACGATCGTTGAAATCAAACTGTCGAAGAAAACTAAGACTTACATGTACGTAAGTATGTACATACCTCATATTTAAATACGAGTGGAGTATTCAACGGGAAGTTAGAACGTGAGACCCATCTTTTACCCGTGGGGAGTAAAACCCGGCGCTTAAGTATTGCCGTTTGTGGTAGCTAACGTTAAATTCTCGCGAAATGATTGGCTAACTTAGATTTATCCCGCTGAACCCAGCGTGTTTAGCTGGCTGGTTTAGCTTGGAAACCTTCAGCTCATGGACAGAACGAGCCTCCCTGGATTAAACATTTCCTTCCCTTACGTCACAATTTCAACTACAAGTTGCTATTACCACGGTCGAATAAGCGTAGGCGCGTTTGCCTTAGTTGTTGACGTCTTACGCTAATACTTTCAGTGACAGGGTATGTAAGACCCTAAGTCTGATCCATGGTTTCGGGAATCCAGGTGGTCTCGAGGACCTGCAGAAAGACGTTGCGTTGACTCGGGTCCCCTGATCCAGTATAATCTAGGGACTTCCACCAGTTAGTGCTCTAACTAAACTGCACTCAAAACTGAAGTAGACATGCATATCGAGGTAAGCATGCGCTTATACAATATCAATCAAATAATTCTACCAGAAGCAGAACTCTTGAGCAAATATATAAGCGATCTTCAATTTATCGTAGGAGTTGAATTGAAAATACTAAGCATCAAGCCGCCGACCAAAGCCTCACGACATATGAGACCATATGCCTACATGTACCTATTCCCTCTGTTGCGCACCCTGGGATCTCTCGACGAACTCAGAACCAGAACCCCTCCGGTATGGATTGTAACCAGCGTCGAAATATCTGTCTGTTAAGAGGCTGTGAAGACAAATACGATTGGGGGTCGATCCCTAGTTTTCGAACAATGTACTTCGTATATTCCGCAAAATGTGTTAATGCGTGCACAATATCCTCCTGGCCCTTATCCGTTAACTTAACCCACTTCCCACATAGCTCATCCTCTTCGTAGTCTTGCCTATGTTCTTTGTCGGGAGGGACATATACAAACCTAAGACCGGAGAATATCGGCAAATCCTTAATAATATCCGCCGCATAAGCATGCATCACCAACCAGCGTAACGTATAGTGATCTAGCCTTTTGGGGTTCTTCTTAATCGTGTTCATCTTGTGTAATACGAAATTGAAATAGTTGCGTCCCAATGAAAGATCTTTTTCCGCGTTGAGGGCATAATCAGATATTCCCTGGGGGAATGAATCCACGCTGAATACGTTTCTTGGTGGGACCAGGTCTTCGTATTTTGGAAGTTGGAGGCCATATGGGTATTCCTTTTCCAGCATCCTTTCCTTTGATACTGCCATGCGGGGGGGGGTTAGTAGGCACTGTCCTCCGTACGACAAATGCACTATGTCAGTATCAACCAAAAAGAAAAAGGCGGGGGGGAGGAAAGACGCACATGAAAAGATCTCATGCAATCACGTCAAATCCGAATCAAAGCAGTGTCCATAAAATAGTTCTATTGGTGATACGCCTTTCAATGCGTCGCCAAAGAGTCTCACAATTACTGCAGGGGAATCCCCCCGAACACTAAACCCATCTTAGTATAAGCTTGGTGCCCGCGACGATACCTGGGTGGATATGCTGAACGTACATTGAGATGTTGGTCTTGACATCGTAGACAAGTCCTAGTGTCGAGTTTGTCCTGTTTTAATACTCTCTTACGCCGTCTTTTCGCCGGTTGCGGACTCTTAGAGACTTGGAAAACAGAAAAGCCCACTTTGGGGGCACCGATGCTGGCAGTCACCTTGTCTAGTTCCGAGTCGGGCGTCAGTCTCCTTTTGTTGCGTAGTGTGCATGGAGGCCCTTGAACATTGTGACCCCGCGTTGTATATTGGTTATCTGTCACTGGGCTATCTTCGGAGCGCTGGATGCAAGGTAATTTTGGTGCGATGGGTCGGCACGGCCGATGCTGCAGTTGGGTGGTTACTTCCTTTCGTGACTCCGTCGCTGGAGGCGTTGTGAAGTCTTTACTGGGCAAGAAGATAGTATCTAACGAACTGTCAAGTCTTGTGTGCTGAGACCGGAGGGTACACACGGTCGCGGATGTGGCATCCTCAAATAAATTTGACGGCGAATGTATAACACCTATTTCGGTGGCCTGGTCCGAGAATAGCCCCATTTCTGCCGTGACTGGCTGACCATCACTTAAGAAGTGCCAATCCGAGCCCAAGTCCAAGTCGAAGGCGGAATCTATGGCACACGGGGTTGGATCCGTATTGGATAGCTCGTTCGGAGGTGCATTCTCGGGCATTGGAAGCAGCCACGGGGGCTGCTCAAGGAGCGCTCGTTCATCATGCGGCTTAGCGGCGGAAGAGTAATTCATGGATGCTATCAAGTTGCCAGATGACATGTTTTCGGGCAAGTCCATAGTTGGATGGAATTCCTGGGCTTTGGGGTTTTCAGGAGCGGCATCCCATTGAACTGGTGTATAGGGTTCGAACACAATGTCTGTAAATGTACCTGATTCCATGGTCTTAATTTGAATATGACTGGGGAAAGGATGATCAAGCTTTCCTCTGGCAATGATGGAGTCCCGAACAGTTGAACCGAACACGTTAGATGGTAGCCACAACTAGTGAAGGTGCCTAGGTATGTAACATTCAGTCTGACGCGATCGATGTGATTATAGAGAAGAAGAGGATGTAATAGCGTCAATGGAGTAGGAGTGAGTCTGATTAGAACGAATTAGGGCTCTTATATATTGGCGTAAATGGTGGCAGGGTGGGCATGCAAACTTTAGGACTTAGCCAATGAATATACGGTTCCAAGTTCCGGTCGTCTTTTTTATCTACTCCTGTTGAGAAATTGTAGTTTACTGGCCGAAGGAGCTGGCCAGTAAACTTGAAGGCCAGCCTCCGGTTCCTAGATTGGGAGTTTCCGGTCGAGCATGTTGCTATGAGTGGTCTTTTGATGCGCAGCTCGAAACCGCCAAGTTGGGATCAAGAATATCTTGAATATATCAATATATGATATATATTCTAGCACGAGATGGCTTTAGGTATTCTTTGCATCGCGTTCAATTTTGATCTTTGGAAATAAGAAGATTCGATTCCGGAAGTTTTGGCCCTTTATTGTGTTATCCATCTGTTCAAACATGACGTCCGCTGGCGCTACAGAAGATGGTACATGGCCAAATTCGACCATAATTGGCTTGGTCACTTTGATTTTCACTATTGTCGTGGTGTTAATTGAACGGACTCTCCATAAATGTTGGACTAGAACAGGTAATCCACTTACATCATGTCTAGATCTAACATACCACGAGATCCTAATCATATTCATTGAAGTCGCGCAGCCCGTTGAGCAGCAAAATACGCAATGTGGTGCTGGGCATGACATAGAATTGGGACAAACAATAGGTAAGTGATTAATAAACCACAAATTGATTGTCTTTGCAAATCGACCTGCCAAAATAAGTCTAATTTGCTAAGTAGGTGCTTCGGAATTTACGAGCGAATTGGCTTGAGACTTGGCGAGCGGGCGGGCGGACGTCGGTCGGGACATCAAGCAGTGCATTTAGCTCAGTGAACAATTATATGGAACTGGCGCACGGTAGTACGACCTAGATGTGAGAGAAAGCTTAGGATAGACCCTCGTTGAATTAGAAATACCTAGATGCAGGTTATAAGCAATTGAGTGCTATGAATTGTCCAGTTTGCGGTATTAGAACCTTGGAATGTTAAGTTACAGAGCAAAGGCCAGGGTGCCAGGCTTTCGGGTGTGATGTCATGGGTGGGGCGTTACCAACCTCCCCAAATTCACAATTTAGAACATTTTACCCTCTCTATCCTTCGTCCCCTATGAATGTACACGTATATGAGTAACAGACTCCCAACTCCTTTAATGTCTTTACCTTTCGTAATTGTATCCTCATTTGCAATTCCTAAAGAGAATTTCCGAAGCTAGAGCTTATTATCCATCGCAGAATGCTTCTCGGGTTGTTTGAATGCAATCAAGTATTCGTGCTTAGGGGTCCATACCACCAGTGCTATTTCAACTAGATAATATGAAGTATTTGGACGCCGGTAAGCATATATAGGCTAAAGATTCACCTATTCCGTCGCTTTCGTCGCGTTGGTTCCTGCAAACGATGACGGGTCCGGGTCCCGTTGGCTAACAGTCTTAATTCAAGAGAATTCGGAGTGGAGTTGGAAACATCTTGGCGCGGTGTTCGCACAACTCGGGTTTGCCTCGAATTTCTTACCACCACCACCACAAGATCTTGGTAGCACTGATGTTGATTGAAGAGAGGCGACCCATAACTTACTAAGGCCACTCTATTATACGTTAGCAATTATTATATCGGCTTTGCGTCCCGTCAACCATCTATTCACTGACCTAATAACGGTATTATTATTTCGGCCCGAAAGATCAGACAACATCTTGAGTAACCTTGATGGCCAGAATCGCCGCAGGTCCTCAGATTGGCATAATACTTCGATATCGACTATAATATAAAGTAACGGGATACCTTCGAGGACTGACGCGAGTATGTTAGCCCACTCGTCTTCGGTCTCCGCCGTTTGGCATGGTCTAAGACGCAAGCTCAAGGTCTCGTCGTTTTGGGTTCTGTTATTGAGGTGAATAGCCTGAGCAGTAAGATATTTGAGAAGGCTGACTGTGGACACGTCACTTGCGGTGGCCTCTCCGTTCGGAAGCATTGTTTTCAGGGCCCAGATGACTGGGATCTTGGCCTCTTGGAGAATCGCGATGGATCGAGCACAGAAGTCCCTAATGTAAAATCGCGACCCCCCTGTCCCTTTCACCATCACCAGGGATGACCTACGGAAACTATTCCAGTCTTGAATCTTGCCATCAAGCCAGAATGCTGGCCCCGCATTCGAGGGTCTCTGACGATGTCTGTTCGAGAGAGCCAGCGATGCTCGAAACGCCTTAATTGGGTCAGGGAGGGACGTCGAGGCAAAGTGAGCTAGGATCTGGTCGATTTGAATCTCGGGAGATGGCTGAGGAGGCCGAACTCTTGTAGCTGCTTCAATGTTTCTGTCGGCCGACATTAAAGCTTGCAGTTGGAGTAAAATTTCATGATCTTGTTTGTGCTCACGGAGTAGCTGTTTCTGGCTACGAAACAATTGTTTTTGGCCAAGAGACAGACTTTTTTGCCCACGAGTTAACTGTCTCTGTCTGCAGTATACCTTTAGAGTGGTTGCATGTATGTCCCGTTGCTCGGCGTGGCTGCTAGTATTAGCAATTTCATTCAATTCTCGGGATAGCGCGGTTATGCTCTCCAGTATATCGTTGAATCGTAATTCGAAGGGCCTCGTGACGGCATGGATCGCGTGTTTCCACCTTTTCTCCTGGTACCATTCAAGCGCGAGCATGAGGAACTTCATGACCTGGGCGTATATGGATTCGATGACATATTTGGCATGTGGGTATAGCTTCACGGTAATTTCTGCGCGGGGTAAGATGCTAGCAATATGGCTCAATCCAGCAGAAAGCTTGCAGATCAATTTTTGATGGTTCGTAACACCCTTTACATTCGATATGAGAAATCGCAGGATACATAAAATGGTTGATTTGGAAGCTCACGACAAATAGGAATTTCATAGCACCCCAAGCTAGGGCTACGTATTCTACACTTTATGAGAAACTCATATCGGGGTGATGAAAGGGGGAATATCCAACTTACCGGGATGATGGGATACCAAAACATCCATTATTCCGCTGTAAAAATGGATCTTCTCTGATATCTCAACAAGTACCTTTCGAACCTCCGAATCTCCCTTACGTGCTTCATAATGGATTTTGGCATCTAGGACTGCTTGGAGGACGGATTGAAGATTCCCATGGTTCGCATCTGTAATAGATACCCGGTCGGTTCTCTCGACGGAGAGTGCCGTCGAGAATGCTGCGAGCGCCTTCTCAAAGACTTCCCGGGCCAAACTACAACGATAGTAGATTAGCAATAAGGCTCCCTACCTAATCACAGTGTTACCTTACACTCCCTCTCCGGACTCGGTAGTAGAAAAGGAACGAAGATCTGCCATCGAAGATAATAAAAAAAATCTTTTTCTTTTTCTTTTTAGAAAAAAAAAAGATAATAAACGAAAACGCTCATAAAGAAGAACAATTCTCTTCAGTGACGTTCATTTCCCACCATGTATGTTACAGCGTCCCTCTTGATTGACATCATAATTGGTGGCCAGTTCGCCTAACATAAGCCACGCGGCTGCCTGGCTGCCCAATGCTTCTCGTCAGAGAAACCCAACACGGGATGCATAAATCCAAGAAATCTGTCTTAAAGGCTTCGAGAAGGGTCGTTCTCGATGATAGGAGGTCTTCACTATCCCTGGCATTATCAAGACAGCATCGACGAATTTTCCAACAAAAGAGTAGTCTGGACGAATCCAACGATCATCAGAACGAAAGCGAAGGCGACGGCGAGGAAATCAATAGTGAGGAAGATTGCGAAGGATCCGACGACAAGGAAGCCAAGAGCGAGGAAGACTACAAGGAAACCGACGACGGAGAACACAGCGAGAGACATAGCGAAGACGACAATAGGCCAGACCCTCACAACAAACCCGTTCACTCGTTTGGAAGGCGCGGAGCACACCTAGACTTCATACTTGGAGCAGAGCGACCGGATCAGAAGTCCGAACCGACTCAACATTTAACCCCTAAGCCTGTCAAGCCAAAGGTACATTCTGTGCAAATTACTATTTCCGACGATAGAACCCACGATAGCGAGCATCAGCGCGAAAGTCGAATATATACAGCTCTAAATCGAGATAGAAAAGTTGACAAAAACTTGGGCTTTAACCGCAGTAAGGTTAAAACTAGTGTGGGAGAAAACGAAAAGGCGAACAAAGATAAGCAACCGGGCGTTGGAAACAACGGTCTTCAACTCGGTGGCTTCGGGCCCGCTATATATCCCGGCGCTTCGCAAGATTACCAAATGCAATCGATGCTCCTCCAACAGCAGCCCCTAAAAATTTCAATGGCTGGTCTAAAATACATGACGATGGAAACGAACACAAGCATCGAAGGTCCCTCCACCTCCGGCTTGGGCGCGGCCCACGTCGGGAGTGGTGGTAGTGGTACATGCAAGGATTGTTTCCAGTCCTTCGCAAAAGTATTAGATATCCCCGAGGAATCCGCGTTGAACTTGGAGAGCCTTCAAGCGTATATCCGTGACCTTCAAGGAGTAGCACGTCATCTGCCAAAGCTCAGGTACCAGATAGTTCACCGCATAGATAACCTTAGTGGTTCCCCGCGGATGTACCTTGACCCCCCATTATGGATAGACGGCGCAAACAAGAAGAATGAAGCTTTGGTGGGAAACCTACCAATACGGGACATTCCATTTTATCTTGAGAAGAATCCAGAGGTTTGCTTCATGGTATATCGGAACTATACCAGCTCGACCAAAACCGAGAAAGACCCCGGCGATGTTGCGCCCTGCCCAGAACACCGGTCGGAAACAATCGATCTAGCTTCTGAGGATTTTACTGCTACAATGATGCAGTTTATGAATTCCCAAGGCTTTAATATCGACACTACCGAAGGCTCATCGAGGGGAAACAATCTCCGAGATAATGGATCCATTGAACTCTCAGCTCCGTATCCTGCCATCTACCACACCCGAGGAGAAACACTGAACCCTTTCCTAGAATCTCTAGGTCCCTTACAGCAGGAAAAGCTTCGATTGTTAGTCTCCTACGTTACTTCACAATATGGAGACGAATATGATGCTGTCAAGAAAATGACTGATGACGGGAAGATTATGACGCGATATCTTCCATACCTTTTCAAGCCTGGAGGCGTGGTCGTGCAGAGAACAGCCAATGAAGTAAGAGGCTTTCTGTGCAATTCCTGGGCTACCCCAGAGTTTCGCCGTTCCCCGAAGGAAACGTCGTCCAGAAAGGGAGAGGGCAGAAGGCACTATTTCATTAAAGCCCGCTGTTGGACTTTTGATGGTGTGTTTTCATGCAAGGATTCCCTCTTAGACTGGGACACCGATACGCAGAACGACTCGGTTCTGGAAGTCGAGAAGCTCAATATTTTCCCCTTAGAATACGCTAGCAAAGGCTTGAAAGCCAGGCTTCGTAATAGGGGAGAATGGTTTTGGAAGTGCCGCACAAGACACCTGGTCTCATACCATGAAGGCGGGGATCGAGAGTCACACTACTCGGGTGACGAAAGATATATGGTCGACATGGCGGTGTACCGTGAGCTACATAAACCCGAAGAGGGCAAAAACGGGTCTCGTGATCGGTTCTCAGAGAAGCCAGGCACAGATGACCTAGGTCCCGAAGCAATGAAGCAAGATAAACCCCCCACCGATGAATTCCTATACTTATTACCTACTACAATCAAGGGATTCAACTTGAGAAAGAAAAAATGGTTGGATCTGAAAGTTGACAACATATGCGAAGTAACATGGAATACAAAAGCATTCGAGAGGCTTGTTCTTAAGGAGGAAACGAAGAGATTAGTACGAGCTCTCGTCAGTGATCAGATCGAGACCGAAATGTCAACCGACCTCATCAATGGAAAAGGAAATGGTTTAATCCTATTGTTACATGGAGGGCCAGGCACAGGGAAAACCTTAACTGCCGAGAGTGTTGCTGAGATCGCGCAGAAGCCTCTATATCCCGTTACTTGCGGTGACATAGGGACGGAACCAGAAGATGTCGAAACCTACCTCGAGTCAGTTCTTCATCTCGGGAAGACTTGGGGGTGTGTGGTGCTCCTTGATGAAGCCGATGTATTCCTAGAGCAACGCAGCCTTGAAGACCTCCGTCGAAACGCCTTAGTGTCTGTGTTCCTCCGGGTACTAGAGTACTACGAAGGCATATTAGTCTTGACGAGTAACAGAGTTGGAACCTTCGACGAGGCATTTAGATCACGTATCCAGTTATCTATTGGCTACAAGAATTTGGACTACTATGATCGCATTAGGATTTGGGATAATTTTATCGCCCGCCTGGAGGAATTGAACGATGATGTAAGTCCTAGAGAGGCTAATGCTAGTAGCCGTGTAATTCCGCGGGCGAAACTAACTGGAAGTCAAAATAGGGCATTAATTATACGAGTCTAAAGGACCATGTCAAGGAGTTGGCGGAATTCAAAATGAATGGCAGGGAAATCCGGAACGCCATAACACTCGCGCGACAGTACTCCCGATGGAATCGAAAGCAACCCGGCCTAGAGAACGACGAGCTTGACTATCGTGCGATTAGATCCACAATCGAAACTGCGGCCGAATTCAACCAATATATTCAAAAAATAAACGACGGATACACTAGCGATCAGGTTGCGAAAGACCTAGGCTGGAGATGGGCAAATGATGCTACCGATTCAAATGGCGTAGATTCTCGTAGCTAGTGTGGCCTTCAGGTCTCGTCTTCTTTGTTTTTTTTTCCCTTCTGCCTTACTTGAGTACCTGCGTACCTACCTAGGTACCTAGGTAGATATTCGGCGGTACGCCCGCCATATCTATATGGAGGAATAGGTATAAAGACTACAATTACAGCGCTGGAAGCCCCTGCCGTCAACGCGGGGTAATACCTAGGTACCTAGGTAGCCATAACCTATGCTTTATAGACTTGGCACTAAACTTGGTTCTGAAGTCCGCTATGACTTAGGTGTACATTGAGTAATAAATACCCTTAAGGAAATATATTTCAATCGTAATGAGCAGAATGGGAATCATGGGCCTATAAGGCAACTAGGGATTAAGCTACCCCTAAATAGTCGAATAAATCCTTGGCGCTGAAGACACATAATGGTGAGTCTAGAGCAGTAAGCCGAGTCTCTTAATAGAGTGCCGGCCCCAATATGCCAGACTTAGGAAAAACGCGAGTTTCTTTTCCGGCGCTATGTAAGAGACATATCCATAGCCAAGAGGTTAAAGATATCCAATATGCTTATATATCCTGCACCCATGCGATCCAATAGACTCCCCCTATCATCCCTCTTAATCAAACGGTGTACAAAAAGTCAGGTTTGTCATCACCTAAAGCTTCAATCTCCTTAGCGCTCTTGCCCTCGATACGGTAATCTCGTCCTCCTTGGCGCCTCTTCTTATTCTCGATGCGAAGCAACGTGGTCATTAACAAGCTGCCGCCAAACAAGAACAACGCCATGTATGCTACCATAACCCCGTGGCCTTCGAGATATCTCGGTGGGCTGAAGTAGATGTTGGAGCTGACAATTCCGTTCAAATTACCCCAGCCGATGACAAAACCGAGGACGACACCCCTCTTGTATACACCCTCGATATTGTTTGCCATCCAACTGATAGTGTTCGAGATACAAGGGTAGATGCCCAATGCTCCGAGGAAGGTACCAGCGTACTTAACCCTAGCATCGGTAGAAGCTAGAAGCATCAAAAACCCAGCAACACCGATAAGACTAACAACGATGTTGCATAGACCACGCTGACGGGTTCTATCGGCGATAAAGCCAATAGCGATCGTAAGGACGGCTGCCGCGGCGTAAGGAGGCACGCTTAGAAGCTGAGCTCGGACTGTACTACTGCCCCAGCCTAGCTCCTGGATAATGCTGGGTAAGAAGAGCGAAAAGGCGTAAAGCGGCATGTCGCAACCCATGTAGATAACCATGCCTAGCCACATCTTCCAGTCCTTAAGACCGGCGATGAGATAACTCATCTTCCATTCCTCGTGCTCAGCTGAAGACTGTTGGTCGAGTTTCAACCGACGGACTACGCGAACGCGATCGGCGTCTGAAAGGAACTTGGCTTGGTCGGGGAAGTCGTGTACCATCCAGAAAGACGCAAAACCGAACACTATAGTTAGCAGGCCTTCTAGTATGAAAATCCATGCCCAACCAGGTCGGTTTCCTATGCCGTCCATCAGTTCTATTGCGGCGGCGAGGAGTCCACCAAATGAGCCGGAGACCGCGGCTGCGGAGAAGAAGATCGCCTGTAGTATATTAGCGACATAGGAATAGTGTATGAGAAAGGAGACAAAAGCTTACAGCACGAACACCAAACTCCGAACGCTTATACCAACACGAAAGATAGTAGTTGATACCGGGAAATAGGCCGGCTTCCGCAAGACCAAGAAACCAACGCGCGGCTAGGACGCCGGAGTAGTTATAGACGAATCCCATGCCCGTCATGGAAGCACCCCAAAGTATCCTTTAGGTATTACGGTGTTAGTGTCGAGGTCTTGTAATTGCAATTGCGGAACTTACATGATAATTGGGATGAACACGGACGGCCGGAGCCTCTTGAGCAGGACATTGGTCACTGGCTCGAAGACAGAGTACGATATGAAGAAAATGGTCAACGTCATATTGTACTGTCCTGGTAGCTGCAAGTGCAGGTCTTCCGGAAAACGCGCGACTTTCGCATTGCCGATGTTGGTACGATCTAAGAAGGCTAGAAGGTAGAGGATACAGAGCTAGATACATTAGAATATCAGTTATATGAGAGGTGAATCACAACATGAATCATTCGCATACCCAAGGTATGAGTATCCAATCGAGTTTCCAAATTAACTTGCGATCCTGATTGAGTTGTTAGCCATTGTGAAAAAGCTTCAGCGAATCTAGTGGCGCCCATTTAGTTACGGTAGCGCCAAGGTGGTAATGCTCACAATCTTGTCTTTCTCCTCCTGGCTTAGATGAGCGTCGGGATCAGGTGGTAAATCTGAGATACCTTCGACATTGTTCTCATCCTGAGAATCATGCGAAGCAGAATGCTTCTCAACGTCACTCATGATGCCTCGAAGTCGCGCGAGCGGTCGTCGGAATTAAAACTATTTTGACGGGAGCTAAGTTTTTTGAGCGTTGGGAGGCTGGCTAAATAAAAACACGCGGAAGACGTAATAATGTCCGAAGCAGATACTAGCGTACTAAGTATCCCTCGCTCATCAACTCGGATTTAGCACGATGAACAGCCAGTGCAGTCAATCGGACTAAGATAGTATATAGGAGGCTGAGCGCAATGGACCCGGTGAAGTGGTAAAGGACCGAAGGGATAACAATGAAAGAAATGCGGCGAAAGAAGGGAGGGTGAGGTAGATTGGGAGATCAAAGCATCACGGGGTGTGGAAATTTCGTAGGTATAGGTGTAGCTATATGCGGGTTCGGGCGAAGATGAAGATTCCTGCTTAGTACAGCGCACGGTAGGCGTTACTAGCCTGGGTTATAACATTCGTCGCAGGGCTACCTAGGTACTTAAGAAATAGTCAAGTTGAAAGATGGGGGAGGTAGGTCAGGTAGTAGTAGGCGAAGAACAAGGGGGTGGGAGAGGACCAGAAGGATCGGCAGTTTATAAATTGGGGACATGGGGATGGATGGACACGCATCTCAAGGACGGGTGTAATAACCGGCTTACCAGTTTACGTGTGCATTAGAAGATGCATGTGCTATCGTACAAGCTGAAGCACATATCGGCGAAGCAGATGAAGGATTGCCCAATCCAGTAGCCCAGAGGCAATGTCAACGACAGCCTGCCTTATCCTATACCTAGTTAATTATCGGTACGAGATGAATTGAACCTCCTTGCGTACCCATATCACACTAGGGAGGCGAGAAAGGCCAATGTAGATGAATACTTGACCCATAAGCTCGGGCCTTGCCTAATAGCGTATCCAGCTCAATGGAATGCGGCGACACGTTTTGCTAACGGCTGCCGTTATTTACTTCCCATTGTCGGTAAATATTTGCTTGTTTAGTTATATAGATTTGGAATGAAGGAATATTGAGAAGGGCTGCCCAGTACCAAGACGTAGTATGGTACTATCCAACTTGGCTACAACCAAGATGAAAAAAAAAAAGAGACGATGGAGTCTAGCGGCACAGCAGGTAATTCCAGAAGCTGGGCAATAGCGGTATTGCACTTTGGGGAAATGATCAATGACCAATCATGGCTGAGACATGGCGTTGAACCCCTGTTATGCGCTTTTACGAATAGGGCTTACGCTCGGTAGGGGGTGTACTAAGAGGGGAAAGAAAAGCTTAGACTCTCTCACTAATGCTGCTCCATGCCGTATGAAGCTCCTAGAGAAGCTTATTAGTAGGTTACTAAGTCGAGATCGCCAGCTTCGTTGCGAATATCTGTATATCTCTACGTGGATATCGTGGAGTTGTTAGATCTCATCCTTGATGCTGTCACGTACATTACCAGATGAAGTCGTTGAACGGTACACGAAGTCGGAAGGGGATATATTCTGTGCTTGTAAAACCGCTAGAGCCTTGTTGTACCTCAACCTCGCATAGTGAAAGGTTGAGGCGAAGTTGTTAATTTGTCTTGATATCCTCGGTTAACATCGACAGATCCATCATCGAAAGCGACAACTTCTCGTCGTACTTGGCGGATTGTTCCTATTGAGGGGTCAAACTCGAACATCTTAGCCGTGACGATATGTTTAAAGTAGAATTTTTCGGCTCTGGGAACCTTAGCCGCACGAAGCAAAGGTATAGTTTCTTCCGTTGCGCCCAGCTAGTAAGCCCAGCTGGTAACGCCGGATGGCACACCATTACACGAATCTCATACTACTTCTTGACGTGTTTCAACTTCGGTGTTCCACCGTCATATGCTGTGCGTATAGGTCTCTTGTACTATCTATCACCAAGTGATTGTTGCTAGAATCGTAACCCTGCCTCCGTGACCGTTGTGCTAGAGAAAAATATCAAGACGTGTTAACCAATTCTACTTCGTCCTCATTCCGTTGGATGTTAGCGAATAATTCCGTTAAAATGTTTCTCATAGGGTTGCATTGGTATAGTGGATATCGCCTCGAGGTTGTGTTGCCGAATATAGAAAGCTCATGTTGAATAGCACGTGTATGATAGAGACTAGCATTAAAACATCGTTGTCGCATTTCGGCGCTTGAACAAAACGATGTCATTCGGAATTGTCGGTCTTTTTTATCCACGAGACTGACTAATACACTTGCTGCTAGGCGAGTTACCCCGCATACAGCAGGGAAGCTTCAATGGGGTTTGGCCCACCAGGTCCCGCCCGCTTCAAGGGAACTACTTCCCCCCACCTCAGTAACTCCACTAAGTTCATGACGCTGCGCGTGTTGGAAGTAACAAGGTACACTAGAAGGTAATCGCGATCAAATTATAGTGAATTCTTATTTCCTAAATTGAAACGTAAACCGAACAACTTCTTTTGTTGGGAATGTCTCCTTCAATCATCAACCACCATCAATTAGAATTACTGTATACTCCGACCCTCCCACGCTAATGCTATTCCGAACTAGTGAGTCTTGAATGAAACGACGGTTCTAGACAAACTACCGATTTTTATAGAATACCTAGAAAGGTATACGAAATTAAGAAGTCAAGGAATAAGGACGGCGCGGTCGCCGTGCCACTTGATTGCTTTATGGTATCTAGTATCACCGACTTCAAAAACGTCTTCCAGTTATTTCCATGACAGTTTCATTTCCGGGCATAGTACTCAGCCCTGTATGACAACAGCAAACCCACGCGACAACGTTCCCTCAATTTTACAGCATCATAGTTCCAGATCCTCGGACTCTATCACAATGCTTCTGTAACACAATTTCATATCACTTCAGCTGACGTATCCTCATACGAGTCCCCATTTTTGGTTTTTGGGAACCAACACGTCCCTGGATATACCATGTTTGACACGTCTTTCAATAAGGGATGTGATGTAGCACAGGCCGAAACTAATGCAGCTTCCCTTCCAGATATCCATTTCTCTACCAAGGACGGATTGGCCGAACTCGTGAATACGCGTCTAAAATGACCTCCGATGTCCAGAAAGAAGGAAAAGAGTTAAGATCCACGAAAGGAGAATGAAGATTCGTTCTTTGTAATAGCTTATCCAATGCTGCCCGCCTCCCTGCGTACCTATCTAGGTAAATCAGGCGCCCACAGGAGAATAGTCGACCCGCCGTCTTAATAGCTGAGAAATCATCGCTTCTGTAGGTAGAACATCTATTCACTAGGGCGTAACGAGTCGGACTTATCGAAGGGCGAGCTAACGTCGAGTATCTCATATGATTACTTCAGGCCAAACCCTGCCAATTGCGCCGCACTTAGATGTTAACTGAATGCTTTTGAAGTTTCACATGAAAATTCCAGGTGCCTACCGAATCGTTTCGGATAGAGATTTAGCGGTACTAAACGCGGCTTGTCTAGGGAGTTCGTTAATATCGGGCTTTTCATACATGTCCGTCTCATTGCTTTCTTACAATACGTAAGGAAAACCCCTGGCACTCGCCATGTACAACTACAATCCCCCCTGAGAAAATTAATCAGAGTACACCTGACTTCATCTGGACATCCTTACAGCAGCAGAGTGGGTAAGCTGGCGGGAACATGCCTAAATTTGCATACCCGTTAATTGGGAGCAGCTGTGCTTTAATAAGCACGTGTAGGTTGTGCGGGATCCGGAAGCATCCGCAGAACTGCTCAAAAGCCAAGGACTTTATTCCAGCCGACTGGATGTTTGCTTCTTTTATGTTGCGCCCCGCTACTATTCGGAGTGGGCTAAATGACGAACCTTCAGGTTTAATGCAGCGATAGGAGAATGGAAAGTTGCAGGAAGGGGACCATACGATGATATGGCACGATCGATTTCGTGTTTTCGGCGGGTCCGCTCCGACCGGTATAAAATGTCGCGATGGTATACCAAAAACGTATTCGGTACGGAGGCAAGTTCGAGAATACCGCCATAGAAATTTCGGTCCCGATCTCGAATTAATTTAGGAGCGGAACCGAAGCATGGTCAACACGCCTTGGTGAGATGTCTCGGGTCGCATCAGAGAATGCAGATACCCGTCTTTTTGATGCCTAGCGGTCGAGGCTCCCGCCGACTTGCCGACAAGTATGCCGCACCTAGTGGCGAACTATCGGGCCCCTGCTCAGAACAGTATTTGATACGAGGTTCGGATTCTCTCCCCTTCAAGACGAAGAATACTATATAGCCGGGAACACCCGAGCGCCTCCTAACCCTTTCGAAATTTGGACACTGAGGAACTTTTCATCGTACAGGGGGAGAGCCTTATCGGTTGATACGTTCGTCGCTGGTAATCGTCAAGAAAGTGCTGGGTTTTTTGGTTTTTTTTTAAAAAAAAAAAAAAAAAAAAAGTAAATCTTATTACTTGTCACGTACCTAGCCTCATTGCTGTAATCTCACGGCTAGCGCTTCATTAGTCCTAGTTTCCTTCCGAAAAGACTAGGCACCTATTTTTGTTAATGGGTAAGCCCTGTATTAATGACCTACCTCACAAAATCGATTGGTTAGATGCGCTTTATTTGGCGTTTTGCAAATTTCCACCGATCATGTATTTTGCTTTTGTGGGGGGTAAGGTGATACGAGACCTGCAAGCCTGTTCTAGAGTAGCCTGCCCTCTAAAACCGAGATCAGAGGCTCCTGTTTATTGAGCGATATAAATCATAGTAGCATTCATTGCGGTTTTACGCCCAAGAGCGTCCATTATCTAGGGATTCCAGGATACGGTTCACGTAAAAGAGAAAGAGTAATAGGGGCTCGACTAGTGGACCTAGAAAATGGTTAAAATTCGGGTTATTGCGATTGCGTCAATCCTAGCTCTATTTCCATTTTAGTACCTCAGACGCTTCCTCTTATTTCCAGTCTCATCACAACTAGTGCTGACTGCGATGAGTCGAAAATTCCCAATTGTTGAAGCATTTTAAAGCTATGAGTAGATCCAGTTATTAAACTGACGATTTCTGCAAAATCGAGTCGTTGTCGCGTCCGTGCATCTCGGCCATCTTCCGTTGGAGACATATCTCTCGATTTTACGGCACTTCCCGGGTCCCGGCCGTTGGAAGTATGGCCAAGAGCGTCTGTATAGTGGGTAGGATAGTCTACACCAAATTCTTCAACGGCCAAACTCTCGATTAACACATATCTTAGGTGCCGGCCCTTCTGGTCTTGTAGCCGCGAAGACATTATTACACGATGTCCCCGCAGGCTCATTCAAGGTTACCCTCTTTGAAGCCCAATACCGAATTGGAGGATTATGGCCTACAAACAAGGATGATACTGGTGGTCTTGTACATCCGCTCATGGTAACGAACCAGAGTAGACATACTGTTCAATTCAGCGATCTCGCCTGGCAGGACTCCGATCTCCAATTTCCTAAGGCGTGGCAAGTTGGCCGATATCTAGAACGATATCTGGAGGAGTATGGGGGTGCTGATATACGGCTTGACCATAAAGTCGTGAAAACCGACTTAAATAGTGATGGTTCGTGGGAGGTACAAGTAGAATCTGATGGCAAGACCGAGACTTCTACATTTGATTACTTACTGGTGTCTACTGGATTCTTTGGGGGGCCGATATGGCCGGATAACATACCGACAGAAGCGGACGTGCCAATAATTCATAGCAGCAGGTACCGGGATATCAAAGACCTTATACCGGACTCAAACCGACGAGGAAGCAAGATTCTTATTGTTGGTGGGCAAATGTCCGGTCTTGAAATTGCTGCGACGATTGCGACGCATCTATCATCCGCTACTCACTCCCCGGGTGAAAAGATCATCCAAGAGCCGGAGAAGTACTCGATACACCATATAGCCCACCGGCCAGCATGGGTCTTCCCGCTTCTCACATCTCCAAAGGTATGTTAACGACATTGCTTTAATGTTGGAAACAAATGCTGACCATCATATAGCCGGCTGCGTCAGCGCCCTCATTCCTCCCTTGCGATTTACCTTCATACAATCTAGCTCTTCGGCCTCAACCCCTGACCAATAGCCAAGGTCACATAAGCGTTGAGGGAGCCCGCATCTTCAACACCATATACCAATCCGCGTTAGGTACCGACCAATCCGGATTCTCGCCAGAGACAAAGATCGCGGGCGATCAATTAGAGGACCAACCATTCGTGACTATGAGTTCATGGTATATGGACTTTGTACGGTCGGGTCTAATCAAGATCAGTAGAGGGAAATTATCCTCGCTTTCAGGAAACGTGGCTACTATTTTTTCGCCGAGCAACGAGCAAATTTCCGACGTCGCCGCCGTGGTTGTAGCGACTGGTTTCGATCCGTCCCCATCGCTTTCCTTCCTCCCACCGTCAGTCCTCGAAACTATTTCCCACTCCCCTCCACACCCTAACCTTCCCGTCGCACTTGCCTTCCACGGCACACACCACTCGGATTTACCTACCCTAGGCTTCGTCGGCATGTACCGCTCACCCTACTGGGGTGTCATGGAAATGCAAGCACGCCTCGTCGCTCGTTTATGGACACCCGGCAGCGACCACACCCCCTCTTTACGGCAAGCTCTCGCGGACGACGATAGTATCGCCCGCACAATATCTCTACGCGATGACCCTCGTGTTTCGCAGTTTCCTATGGGTGACTACCCTTTTCTAATGCAAGACTTCGCACGCGCCCTCGACATCTCAATAACACCCCCACTTAGTGATACACCAATTCTCGCCAACGGTAAACCCATGGATATCCTAACACCAGCACGGTATTCCGTCCCAGCCGCCGCGACCGCGACCAACACCATTGCCCAAAAACGCGCCGACGAAGTCACGAAAAACCTACGCGCGACACACGATACAGCCATAGCAGGCCTCTCCCGCGGGCGTTTCGTCGCAGGCGCCGTATTCCGATCTCTCCTCGGAACATGGCATCTCGACCGAACCCTAACCTCGCGCCTCCCCTCCCATCCTAGCGGGCGTTTCATAGGTACCGCGCGCTTCGAGCTTCGCGAGGGGACTAGTGACGGACGTCCACATTCCCACGGGTACTCAGTCGAGGACCCAGGGCTTGAATACTTATATATCGAGGACGGAACGTTTACCGCGCGGGATAACCCAGCTTTATCGTTCCGCGCTACAAGGCGGTATGTATACCGCTACGACGAGCGGGGTGATCGATTAAGTGTGTGGTTTGCGCGGACGGATGATCCGAGTAGAGCGGATTATTTGTTCCATGAATTGGAATTTTTAACTCCTACTAACGACGAGGACAGCGATACGGGAGCAGCGGTGGAGAAAGGGAAGGAGAAAAAGAGGGGTTGGTTGGCTACGGCGAGTCATCTCTGTATTGAGGATTTGTATGATGTGCATTATGAGTTCGGGTTTAATGCGGTGAATTTGAGGGATTGGAGGTTGGGATATACGGTTAATGGACCGAAGAAGGATTACACTATTGAGGGTGTATATACGAGGCCTTGATTTTGGTGGCAGCGAGGAGTTTATATTGGAGGGGACGAGGGATAGCATTTGCGGTTGGCTAGAATAGAGATAATATGAGATTGAGTGCATATGACTGCGGCGTAGTATCGGTATTCATAAGATCTCACTACATCTATTCGTAGCTAGAAAAACCACCTAGCTAAGCTACATGTGTCTTCCAGACATAAAGCTATGGTATACATATAAGTTAAGGTTACTTACCCACCATCACTCACCTATGGTATGATACCTAGAACGTCAACTTCAAATCCGTATCGGGATGGACTCTCTCCTTGCTGGCGCCAATCCTATCTTATCCTGAACAAGTGCATTCTGACAGCTCTCCTGGCGCAAGAAGCTACCTAGATTGCGAATAGTACCGTCGGCAATCTCGCGCAGCGCCTCTTCCGTAAAGAAGGCTTGGTGACCGCACACGAGTACGTTGTGAAAGGTAGTCAAGCGCATAAGCTCATCATCATCGATGATATGACCCGAATGATCATTATAGAAAAGCGCACCCTCGCCTTCATATACATCCAGTGCTAACCCGCCTAGGTGTTTGCTCTTAAGCGCCGCGATAACAGCTTTCGTCTTTATAAGACCGCCTCGTGATGTATTGACTAGCATCGCTCCTTTCTTCATCTTGGATAGTGTCTCATCGTTGACAATGTGCCGCGTCTTGTCCGTCAGAGGGCAGTGTAGGCTAACAAAGTCGCTCTCGGACAATAGGGTATCGAGGTCTGTGTATTCGCCGTATTTCTCGAAGTCGTCGTTTGGGAAGAGGTCGTAGGCTAGTAGGCGACAACCAAAACCATGCATTATGCGAGCCAAAGCTACGCCAATGCGGCCCGTGCCGAGTACACCAACGGTCTTGCCATGTAAGGTGCGGCCAAGCAAGCCTTGAAGGCTGAAATTGCCCTCACGAACACGATTATAAGCACGATGGGTATTGCGATTCAAAGTCTGTATCTGCGCGACGGCGAATTCGGCAACGGCTTCGGGGGAGTACGACGGAACATTAGCGACGAAGAGGCCTAGGCGTTGCGCCGCCTGTAAATCGACGTTATTGTACCCCGCGCATCGTAGCAGTATGGCGCGAACACCGCTAGCGTGTAACGATTCGAGAACTGGGGCACCGAGATCGTCGTTTACGAATACGCAGATTGCGCTCGCGCCTTTGGCTAGGGAAACAGTTTCGAGGGATAGAGCGAATTCGTGGTGGATTATTTCGGCTTCGATGTTGAGCTCGGTCGCTCGGGTATTTGTTAGGTACGTTTTGTCGTAGGGTTTGGCGGAGAAGACGGCGAGCTGCATGGTGGCTGCGAGAAGGAGGGGTGTTGATATTGCTTCGGGAGTTCTTATACGAGTGATGATAGAATTGGTGGGTAATTGTTGCAATTTCAACTACCTAGGTAGCTATTGAATGTTGATAGATTAGTTTGCTTATACAAAATAGAAACCTGATTCTTAGGAGCGATCATTATGCCGTCAAACGTTTATTTCATGCAACGGATCTTGGAACGGTTTGTCTAAGTCGATTCCTCATCTTGGCAGCTGAAGTTCCACAACCTTGATGACTCAAGAATGGTGCATAAGAGTAACGCGTTGATGCCTTATTGTGGCTTTTAATCAATATGCGGAAACAAGCATATATAATTTCGTCCATTGAAGCGGTCAACATCCGATCTTTGATAATTGTTCTTGTAAGTTGGAAGGTTGGAACAGATCGAGACACAGCGGGATTAATTGAAGATATGCACATATGGAATAGTTATACGCACCTAATACGTACCTATTATTAATATAAAACTATTCCAGAAGGGCATATTCATGTAAAGTACAGGTTTCACTTAAACATACTAGACTTATTCTCGTAAGCTTCCAATATCTTAATATTACAGATGCGAATACCTTCAAATGCGTTTTTCATATTATTTTGGCGATGAATGGGGTTGCTGAAGGATTTAATTAAGCTTTGACTCATCGATCGTGTGTCGACGGTCTGGCCCAGGGGATTCCTTCATTTCTGTGGGGTGATTGAACGCATAAATCTTCAGCTAGGACGTACATATATTCATTTCCCTGGAGTGTATTTTATTGTGTCTTCATAACATCTTCTAGTCACATTCATAGAGATATCATGTATTATAAGATGAAAATCATCATCGTTGGTGCTGGCTTAAGTGGCCTCAGCACGGCTATCGCACTACGTAAATTCATTCCTACCAGTCAATCCCTAGAGGTCAAAATCTACGACAACATCAATCCAGCCACTGGCCAAGCTACAGAACAAGAATCCTCAAACGTCGCCACGAGCCAGCTAGGTGCCGGATTAGGACTTGAAGCCAACGGCATTCGTGTTCTAGATAATCTCGACCCTACACTGAAATCAAAGGTCTACGCAGCCGGCTTTCCATGCACGCATTTCACGTGGAAGACCGCGGGCGATTGGCTGTTGGGTCGTGAATATGTCGATGTTTTACCCATATCTAGACCATTCCTCATCAATTGCTTACAAGAAACTCTTCCGGCGGGCGTAGTGATACATCAGAAGGTGGCTAGGGTTATTACGCGACAAGGGAAGAAACCTGTAGTCCAATTTGAGGATGAGTCGCCGGACGAGACAGCGGATTTAGTTATCGGCGCCGATGGAATCCGCAGCACTGTCCGTCGGGACCTGTTTGGTGAGGATGAAAAATACCGACCTCAGTACGCGTAAGTTTTAAATGTTTTAAAAACTCATGGCTTTTTATTAATTATATGTAGGGGCATTTGTGCGGTAGGAGGCGTACTTGACGTCCCTCTACCGAAGCATCTTCTCGATAACCCCACCATGGTATTTTACATGGGATCAACAGGAGTATTTGGCTACACCGGCCTTACCCAAGCCGACAAAAACAAGCTCCTCTACTGGTCTGTCTACGAGACGGACCTACCTGGAAGAGGTCTGAAATTAGACCACGATCTTATGATTCAGCAGATACGCGAGCGTCATGGGGATTGGACAGATCCTCTCATCCGCCAATGTCTACAGAAAGCCAACCTAGACAACGTTTATCCTATCTTCGTCATGCCGGATCTTCCATACTGGGGTCGCGATGGATGCGTGCTCGTCGGTGACGCTGTGCATGCATTGCCCCCGCGGAGTGGCCAAGGTGCAAGCCAGGCTTTTGAAGACGGAGAGGCATTAGGCCTGCTCTTATCCGGATATCTCGAGAAGGGATATGACACGAACGAGGCTATCTCGCGGTCAATCCTTGGACTTTTCGAAATTCGCGCTGGAAGAGTTCAACGGATTAGAGCAGATGCGATGCGCTGGAAAGACCCTAAGATGCCTATGTCGTGGCTGAAAACTTGCGGCTTGTACATCACACTCTTCATTTTGGTTAGGGTGAATCGAGTGTTGAGCTTTTTCAGGCGTGGGGAAAGTTGGAACGTGCGAGATGCTGTGAGTAAGTACCTAAAGCGATGATCAATTTCTATATCGTGTTGTCACACCCTCAAAAGATGAAATATGTATAAAACGTACAATTAGATTAGGACTATCCCCTCATACTCAGATATATATCCAGACAGATAGTATTATTCTACTTTGAATTTGTCTTTGTTCGTAGCAGACCCACGTGGGGTTCAAAGAGGAATCCTGATTGAAAGCTCACGATTGCGCAGCTCGTATTTAAAAAAGAGAAGAGGTTGGCTAACGAACGAGGAGTGACGTCACTAGCGACAATGCTCACTTACCTGAAGATTCACCGCCAGCTCTAATTCTTACCGTTTTTATTGATTGATTTTGCCTACATATAAAACCGTATTAATTATAAAGCAACATATCAATCCTGCCTTGATACTTCAGTCTTTAAAAACGCAATTACACCCCGAAAATGTCGCCATCGCAAACACAAACACCCGACAAACAGGCCGCGCAATCAAGCGGACCGGCGGTTCCGCAATCCGTTCAGGCCACACAACCCGTACCTCTTCAATCCATGGGTATGTCCAACCACATCCACAGGTAAAGATACGCACTACTGACAAATATTATAGACCCCAAGCGCCCGCAACCCGAGCAGCCCGAGTACGGAAAATTGCGCGGAGGAGAACGCAGCTCAGTGTGCCCAGGTCGCTTCTGCTTCTGCATTCCGTGTCCGTTGCCGTGCGACTTCTGTATTATTTAATTCCAAGTTGCGGGCGTGTATTCCTTGGTATTTCGTGGGGTCGCTATGGGTTTTATTTGGTTATTTAAATACCATTTTGGATATCTCAATGTTACGCGTCTACCTGGGCAGCAAGGTGCCCAATTGTTTCTCATCTAGGCGAATTCGGAGCATATTTTAGACAGTCTTCGACGTAATATTATGTCTAGCTGAAGAATTGTCTCTATCGTGCTCGTTCTACACATATTCAGGCTCGAACATGGATCACAGGTTCAAGTCTCAGGTGGATATTTACATCATTGATTAGGTAGCATAGCTTGATGAACGTATCGAAGAATAGGTAAAAAAAAACAAATACGTTTTGTGTCAAGTCATCCGCCGTATTGCCTCATAAATCTGCGATGAACCCTCCCCAGAACTTTCTTCTGGCCATCCGAGTAACGCTACTATCTCCACGCGAAGATAGGCAATGTGTACCCCTTTCCCCCGTCGTTTTCACAATAATATCCATGCCTTACAGCCAGTATTCTGGCATCATTCCTCTTCCACCCATCCCGGCTCACGGGTTGAATAACCTTGTGTCGCTCAGCGCAAGGACTTAACCATATCGATAGCGAGTTCCGGCAAATCTCTCAATAGTTGCAAGAATCAATCGTCATTGATAATATGCTGTTTGATTTGAGCGAAAAACCTCTTCGAGATATCTCGGAGTCTATAATATGACGCCGAGTCCGCACCGTATGCCGTTCTTGCGAGGTAGATAAAATCAGGAAAGGCCTTTTCCATCTGTGCTTCCTTGGGCTTATTGTGAATATCAGCAAGAAAACCCATCACCTCCCTTAGCCTTGTCTTGATAGTCTCAATCGACTGCCTCTCTAGTGATTTGATTTGCAGGAAGTCCGCAACCTTGAAAAGGTCGATAGGCCAAGATTCTAGTGTGTCCTCAGGGGCTGTTCCGATTCTATCATTAATTTATCGTAGGTTAGAGCAGTGCAGTTTCGGAAACGTACCCTTCCCAGTATAGAGGTACCGGATGGCTTGATCCACATATTCAGGTATCTGCTCCTTTATAGTAAGGTCACCAGTAGCAGCTTCCTGGGAATAAAGTCAGTAATTCCGCTGTATTATATTCTTGAGTGCCCACATTATCGCATCTTACCTTGAAATGGCCATTGAAAGCCTTGTTAAAATAAGGGCATCGAGAACAGGTTATAGCCTTGTGGAGTTTCCAAGTACGGTCACCGCAGTTCACTGTTACGTCGGAAAATAGCGATGTCTCTAGAAGACTGTAGATACAAGGGGGGGAATGTGTCAGTTCTGTATGGCCAAAAGCGATGATACCGTTGGACTAGGCTTACTTTGCTCCAGATTCGCTGAGCATGACCTCCGCGGTCCGATAGACTTCTTTCGTGTCTGACATATTGAAAGTATGCGATCGTCGAGGCACGAGGTGGTTCAATTTTGGATACGTTTTCGAGTAGTAAAGTGAGTCGGTGAGCGTTGAGATAGTTACTTAGGTACCTAGGTAGGGTGGAGTGGATTGGATTATTGCCTACGTGGGTTAGCATCATAGGTAGGTACCTAGGCTGGAGGTAATCTTTCGTTCTTTCCTTCGATACCCTAGAAAGCTATTACATGTGTGTTGGGAAGGTATGTGGGTGCCCGGTCTCGTCTTCTAAGCGGTCGTTCTTGCTTCGGCTTGTATATCCAGTGCCAATCTAAATACCTAGGTATTTCTACCACGAGTGTTTACCGTAGGTACCTAGGTATTCTTGGTTCTCCGCGGGGTCGCAAGCTATTCATTTAATAGTTAATTTGATGCGATTCTTGGTATTTCGATGTTAGGCATATATGTACCAAACCTTTGGTCAGGGCCGTCAGAGAAGACTGTCTCCTGGCAAGATGAATTGATAATTTGGTTCCAAAACAGCGATTTATATTTGAGTAAGATCAGATCTTACATCGATATTGGCATCTCTAATAGGCGTGGCAGAACGAACGATAAGAAAAACGCAGAAAAGGCGCGCCTTATTTCAAACAATCTGTAGCATCGACAAGTACACCTAGCGCGCTACTATCTTCGTACAATGGCTACCCGGTAACTGAGACGTTAACGCGGTTAGTTCCCTTTACCTTCCATCCCAGAGTGATCCATCCTTCTGGAACGCGCTTTTTCCATCTCTTATCTCCACCCTGATTTCGTGACCTCTCAACCCTTTTTCTAACATCACTCATCACTCAAATCTAGTGAGTTGGTCACTAATATCCCCTTTTCTACCCGCACAGAGCCTTGACCATATCGATAGCCAGTCCCGGGGCATCCTTCAATAGTTCAAGGAAACAATCGTCCTTGATAATGGATGTTTTAGTCGACACAGCGAAATTCTTCACCACCTCTTGCAGTCCAGTATACGCCGCTGAACTCGCGCCGTATGCGAATCTTGCAACACGGATAAATTTGGGGAACAACTTATCTAGATTGATGGGTTCATGAGTATCATAACGCCGAGGTTCGCAAATCCCATGAGTTCTACCACTTTTAGAAATACCAATGCCGACGTAGTCCAGCCTTTTTTTTGATTATTTGACATAACTCGTCTGCTAGGCCTTTTATTTGAAAGAAATCCGCGGCCTTGAAAAGCTCAATAGGCCAGGATTCTGATATTTCTTTCGAAACTGTTCCATAATTCCATGATTAGCTTATGCCATGCTATGCCAGAAGGTGAGGCTCGCGAACATACCCTTCCCGGTATAAAGGTATTGAATGACTTGGCCTACCTCTTTGGGGTTCTGCTCAACTAAGGTGAGCTCCCCAGTGGCAGCCTCCTAGGAATACACAATCAGCGGCCTCGCTCTATCATATACCTAGATACCTGCCTATCTGGTAGGTAGGCATATTTTCGCTTCCACAAATGGATACCTCTGAACTGTATCCGAAAGATAACCGGTTATACGTGTAGGAGGCCAGAGTCGAAAATCGTCCGCACCAGTGTATCTCACCTGAAAGCGACCATTAAAGACCTTGCTGAAGAAAGGATTTCGAGGACAGATTATAGCTTTGTGGAGTTTCCACGTACGATCGCCGCATTTCACTGTTACGTCGGAAAATAGAGACGTGTTCAACAGACTGCAAATAAAGCCAACATCTATGCAACAATACGAAAAAGCGATTATGTTGTTAAATTGAAACCTACTCTTTGCCAGACTCGCTGAGCATAGCCGCCGTGTTCAAATAATCTTTTGTTGTCTTTGCCATGTCGAGAACCCGTATTTACTTCCTGGACACCTAGGTAGGTAACCACGAAGATGTGCAGCCGTTTGGGATGCCCGGAGCTTTTAAGATGATGGGGGTAAGCACAGTACCTCGGTATATAAAATGTATTGAATTATTACCTGTCATTTCAAGTTTTTTCCACCCTTGCCGTGAAAATTAGGCACCCATCACATATGTCTCGGGAGGCTGCATTGGTGGCGTATCGCTCCCTGGTCCGTGCATTTCACGCCGGTTTCATCTTTCCCATTCTATTCCCATCGGCTGGATTCCAATCTGCAATACATTGAAACCTTCTCAAGCACCAACATGAGCAATATTATCGAGCGCCGTAGCTCTCCAGCCTGCTACCAGCTCTTTCCGTTGATCTCTTGGCGAAACCTCTACGATGGCCCGCACATAGTTTACCACATTCTGCATCGCTTCCTGCCGCGGTGACACAAACGCCACTTGTTGGGGAAAAAACGAAGTATTTCTTTTTTCACACAGGGAAGTAAATAGCTCCCACAGTCGCCTCTTCTCCGCCATCCCCGCTTCACCGGCCTCCCCCGTCCAAAGAAACGCCCGCACCGGATCCCAACGCTGCGCAGGAACGACACCAGAAAACTCCCAATCGAGTATCGCGGTAATCCGACCGGAAATTTTGTCATACAACACATTGGAAAAATGCAAGTCCTTGTGCGCTAAGATCAACTTCGTATTATTCAGTTCTGCGCTACGCGACGGCAGAGCAGCTACGAATGCCTCCAGACGGGGAATATCATCGCGCATGAAGGCAAGCTTGTCGTGGATTCGGATAAGGCGGATATACTGGCGAATCTGTGCCGAGACGTAGTCGACGTAGTTTTCGTAAGGTCCGGCGATGTTAAGGCTATCTACGGTTTCGTCGGCGGGCCAAAGTCCAAGATCGGGAACAGTCCAGAATGTCTCGTCGACTATTCGTGCCGATTGAACTTCACCTTGCGCGTCTAAATTGAGACCACCGATTTGGTTCCAACTATGGCCGTGCAATTCTACGACAATGTCCGCTAGTTGGTCCAATATCCCGTCGACCTGTTCAGCATCCAGCGTAGAATATATGTTGCTGAGAGTTTCTCCGGTGACGCGAGCTAACAAGGTATACTCATGAGCAATGGGATTGTCACGCGAGTCGTCATACGCAACCAAATCTGCAATCGGTATCTTGGTATTCTTGGCAATCCATGACATAACGCCAACCTCATTTGCGGTCTTAATACGTGGAAGATGATGACCAGCTACTCGGAGAACAAGTTCCTTATGGGTTGTTATGTCGTTAGAAGGCAACGAAACCATATAGATGGAATGATACTCGGCAGTAACCTTGGCAGGTACGATTCTAGCCGCCTTAGGTAAACCAATTGAAACCAATAGTTCATCTATAGTATCCAAAGGAATGTGTTTGGGAAGATATTTGGCTGGGGTGCCCATATTGCGTGTTGGTTTGTAGTTGGATGCTTAAGTAAGCGGACCATTGGGAGCAATTATTTTCAAGAAAGGGATCGCGATCACCTGACACTACCCACTTCCAAGGTCAAGGTAGCAATAAACCCCTAGGTAGTTTAAGTCAAAAGCTAGCCCGTGAGGTTCCGATTTCTGATTATTTGTAGGATGCGAACATGAGTTCAGCACGGTTTGCTTCGGCAATTTGAGAAGTTGGGAATTTGGTATCGAAGGAAAGGTTATAGGTAAAGTACTATAGGTAAAGTACGTTATGATCACGATTGGAAATGGGTTTATCCATTGAAGTATACGCATCCGTAAATCCAAAAAACAATCATTAAGTAGGTTAAATCTTCAAATTTCTTAATAAGATGACGGAAGTGAACTCTTAATTGGAACCCCTTGGTTACGTAAGCATATATCCTTCAAAGCTAAGGCGACGGCATTACTATCTGATAAGGGTGGTTGAGCTGCAAATTTATCTTCCGGTAGACATAGGAGGATTTAGTGTAGCAGTCTATGATATTAAAAATATCACGTAGTTTTGATTAGTACAGGGAATCATGTCACTGGTTTCGGGGGACGATTCAGGGGCTGCTGACTAATCATTTTCACACAAGTTATCGCTGGCTTTTGAAGTCGGCGTAGTGACTATTCCGTCTATTATAACTTGTTTTTATGATGGGCTGGTTGCATGCATCCAATACTACGTTGTGCCTACTTCGAATCCAGGAATCGTCGTCTGGGAAGCTCAGCAGCCACGAAAATAAATGATTCTCTCAATTTTCCCAAAGTGTTTTGACGGGTACGAATTGGAAAACCTTTGATAGTAGTTCAAAATGATAATAAGGATATTTTTTCAAACTCAACAATTAGTATTCCCAAGCGCTGACACCATCCGCCGAATACGTTCTGACCTCGGTTCCGTAACAACCGTCGCTCTTGAAATCTCCAATAAAAAGCTGATAAGGTATCTCTCGAGGCTCACCCTCACCAACAGGGCAAATTGACCAATAGCGACCGGTGTTGTATAACCCTACTGGAGCACCAAAAGCCTCACTTCGGCTACGCGCGAAGCCTGTAGCTACAGCACCGTCGGGCAATGCTCCCGAGTGCGGCACGGTGTAGGAAAGGGAGCCATCCTCGGCGATGTAAACTGGTTTTAAAAAGATTTAGCTCACTGGATTCGCAGGTCTGTTCTCCAAAGACTTACCTTGCTGGCCCCCTGGGACGGCGACATTTAGGGATAGCGTGCCATTTCCTCCGGTAAACACGGTCTCGGAGCCCGGATATGCAGAACAATCTAGGCCTTCGACGTCACTGGGACATTCTGCACTCGGCTCCCTGTTGATCCAAAATTTGCCACCATTCGCGTTGATTGCCGTGCCAAAGAAGAAAATATCCGTTCCTTGTGCGATTTTCCAGACTCCTGCTGTCCAAGGGCCTGGCGGGGCTGGACCTGAGCGCGGCGCGACCGCCGCCGTAGCTACGGCAAGAGGAAAGGCGAAGGAACTCGTGATAAGCTTCATTATTACCGTCGTGTCTGGCGTCTTTTCCTTTTCAAATTCCAATTGGTGCGTGCGGATAACGAGTGAGGGTGTACACAAATAGAAAGAGTGGTAACGAGGCGAGAGGGACGGTATACTAAAAATGCCAATGGAAATTGATGATATTTTATATAATAATCGTTGTCGTAAGCGCCACGGTCTTGTCAATAATTATTCTTAAATATAACAATAAAATCATACGTTACTTGGTTAATAATTGCGAGAGCATACGAAAACTATACCCACTACTAGGTTGTAGGCGAACATTGCAACGTCAACTGTGGATGACGTCCATAAGCCGCCTCCATTCAGAGCTTCCGCTTCTGCCGGCTAATATCTGAATGGTCGTAGAAGGCACGCACAATCTATATATTAATACGAGGATCTAGACCCTGTAGGTTTGAACTTGGCTAGACCTAGTTAGCATTTCGTAATGGACCCTTGCGGCGAAGATAAATGCATCGTCCAAAGTTACACGATTTCTAACTACGTGTGCAGAGTGTCATGAACTACGGGAGAAACTACAGAACTTTATGTTTTTCTCTCTCTTTTGCTTCTAAGTAGCATGGCCATATTGAAGAGAAAGACTTGTCTTTATCAAGGCCAATCCCATGAAATTGTTTCTACCATGAATTGAATTTAAATTGTAGTTGGAACTTAAACAATAGGTTTATTTCCATGTTATTATTATTTTTTAAAAGGGGGGGAAGGGGGTGCTGCCCACCGAAGAAGATTGGATGATGATATGTACATATATCTTTTGAAGATATAATAGAAATCCGCCGTATTCTATGCTAGGTGCCCATTGTCTTAATTCCTAGGTAAGCTGTTGGTAGGGTTTAGAAAGGGCATCTATATTCAGCTGACTGGCAGGATGGCAGAAGGTTAATTGATTGCGAGAAGAATGAGCACTTACCTACTAAGGTACCTAGGTAGGTGGCCATGCGGACACCCCAGTCGATATCTACGCATTGATTTTGAAGGGCGTAATAATATTATAAAGATTTGTGTCGATGCACCAATGAGAGCATCATAAAATGTTAAGATGCGAGATAGTCCGTGGTAATGGAGAAAACATATTCATCTGGCAGGAACGTTCTGGTTATCGGTACTAATACGCTGGCAACCGCGGCGACGAATTGGCGATATAGTGGGTACACGCGGCCGAGTGACGACGAGGGAAGGAGCGAGAAATTGTGCAATTACCCCGAGTACAGACCTTATAATAATTGATAGGTAAGTGGTTTTCAGAAAGTGTTTGGTACCCGTGGTACAGTGGTTAAGGACCGCAGTCATTGCTTCTGTGCTTAGCACAGACCGTCCTAAGAAATGTCGTCTCTCCTTTCTGTACTTAGTACAGATTCTTAAGGGCACTCGTTCGAGTCACACACAGGTATGCGAATTTTAGGAGGATAAGGAAAGCAGGGCAGCGTCCTGAAGAAGGGTGCTACTGTAGACCGAACTCTGAGAACTCAAGATATCCCATACAACTCTGACGTATGTTTCCTTTTTGTCTTTTTTTTTTTTTTCTTTTTATAAACATCTGTATCCGTACTCGTTTCTCCTTTTCTGCCTCATTTTTTCGCTTCCATTTTACTTACGACTTTTGCCTAACATCAAGCAACTCTGTTTTTTTCCCTTTTCTCTTATTGCGACTTGTCGACCTTTGTAATTTTCTGGTCTTCCAACTCATTGCCTGATAGCTTGGTATCCAACATAACTCATCCTGTTTTTAAATCACCCCTGCCTTCCCACTACGCGCGGGTTTTTAATTTTTTTCGTGCGTAATTTTTCTTTCTCCTCGCGTTGCCTCCTTACTTTTCATATCCTCCATTCTACCTCAGCTTACCAACCAATTAATCCGTCCTAGGGATCTTCAACCCGCACCATTCTTCGCATTTCTTGGGGCATCCGGATTTTTTTCTTTCTCAAGCCTCTTCCCAAGTTATTCGACAGTGTTTAATTTTGATTTCTTTTTTTCGCATTGTGCGATTTTCGCCCTCAACCAAACAACAACTTTCCCACGTATGACGCGATTAATTAATCCTCTCTGACCTTTTCTCCGGACAAAGACATTCATCCAAACACCATCATGACTCGTACCAGGTCCCTTTACTCTCTCCTGCCCCTCTCCGGGTTCTTTTTCAACCCTTTCCCGTTGATGAGCTCCAACGAAGGGGGCAAGGCTATAAAATCCGCGCTACGCCTTAACCTTAACTCGAACGTCCCTGTCTGGCAAGGTGTCGATAAGCGTCTTTGCGAGCTCTTCAATGTCTATTACGCGAAGAGGAACTCCATTGAGCGACTCGGCTGGGAATCCTGGTGGCTTCATGTCCAATTTTCCGTGTCCTGGACCGAAAACGACATCTATCTCAAAGAGGGATTCTTGCGAGAATTCGCCGAAGGACTTACAGAAGCTCGAGCGAGGGGCCGAAACATGACTCTATGGAATCAACAAAACTCTAACAAGGACAAGCAACAAGGCGAAGTCCTAGTCTATCTGGACGAGTGGCTCGATTTCTTACGCGAGTTCTATCCCAGTGAAGACCTTGACGGCGAGTCGCAGTGCGACAACCCATTCAACCTCCGGCCTGAAGATGTAGAGGACTATCCTTCGAACCGCTCTGTGGACGATACTGTCTTCGACAACAACGAGGACATGGATGATGCACTCACCGAGGCTCAGCTCGAGTACCAACATCAAGACAAGAAGTACAATGTTCTTGTGGAGATGATGGAAGATATGGCCATCGAGGATGATAATAGACGCAAGATCTCAGAGAGAGCGGAACACTGCCAACAGAGAATACGAGAGCTTTTTGACGGCGGATTCGAGCTCTTTTTGGAGGAACCCGATGTTAAGGACGGAGAAGTTGCCGACAATGCCAACGAGGAGGCTAAGGACGACGATTATCTCGAAGAGGCTCATGATACCGAGCGGACCGACCCTACCGAGGAGTTGAAGTGTCCCGAGAAGGTTGAGCACATCGGAGAGGCCAGAGACGTCGAGGAGAAGAATGCTGAGGAATTTGACCTTATCGAAGAAGCTAAGAATATTGTGGAGTCGGGACATGCCCAGGAGATTGAGCGTCCCGAAGCAACCGAAGACGTTGAAGTCACCGAAGACCGAGGTGTTGCAAGCGATGGGGTTGGCGATTATGACGAACACAACGATGTCGAATGCCATGACTGCGATGACGATAGCAAGGAGGAGGGTATTGACGACGTTGGAGTTGACATCTCGCTACGTAAACGCGCTCGAGATATCAAGGACGAGCCTCGAAAACGCGTTCGCACGGATCTATGAACTTGCAGGAAATCCGAAGTTGTGTACATCTGAGGAGGGATAAACATGGTTGCTTGTACATCAAATAAGAGAGTGTAACGCTGGTTTCTCTAGCCTGAAACCCGTCGCATTGTCTTTGTAGTAGATGTTTTGATCGCTACATTTGGTTGTCGCCCCGTTTTTTATCGACGTCAATGAGACCACCTATAGGGTTTTCAAGGGCTTGGTTGTAAAATGTCATAGGTCGTGCCTCGAGTTTCTTGACTGTCAATGAACGATTCGTGGGAGTATCGTTGAGAATACTACTATGACGGTCAATTGATATTGTATTTTCTAGGGTTAGAATCCTCGAGAGAATTGATATTTTACATTGCTGGGCGCCTCCTCTCTAAATCACTATAATTAGCAGTGTGCTTTGCACTATAATGATTGGTTGCTAATGTACCCTCAGTGCGTCAGCATAACTTATTAGTTGCGAATACGCCCGGAATGTTAGGTTGACTTCCCAATATACCAGCTACATCGGTTGCACTGGCTCTTAATATCACTGAAGAATTGTTGCGTAAAGCATATTGTTCGCCTCTTCCTAATAGATATCGCATACTTATGAACTAGATTCCATCCGATTCCATCCAACAAAAGAGATAACATTATTCCATAGATTCCGCGTGATATCATAACTTACGGCTCGTGCTTCCATCGCATAGGTAAATGATCGAATGTACAAGAAAGATGCCCAACGTTCAAAGGGTTGAAATGGTTAGAAAATCATTGAGGAGATCCTCGCGGGGAACCCTCAGCTTGGTGGCGACGATAAACATGGCTGGACGAGGCCCGTGCTTCTTATTTTGCTTTTTCTCCGTCCCCTCTTTCTTTATTCCCCAGGCTCTCTAACCCTAAGCTTTTCCCACCGCGCTCCTCGCTACAACAAGTTCAGCAATACCTACGATAGGCACACCACCTTGTATTCCAGCAGTCGGAATCGAAGCTTCGAATTCCTTCTGGATCCAATTCTTCAAGTCGACAGCCATGAGCGAGTCCACACCATAGTTCGATAACGGTTTAGTCGGCTCGACATCACCTGGCGGAATGGACATGGCACGCGCCAATCTCGCCGCGAGAGCGTTCAGCACGATCACCTTACGTTCGACCGGATCGGTCGCTTCGCGGAAGAGTACTCCCGCCCCCTTGTCGGCCTGCGTAGCTTCACGATTACCGTCTTTGGCGGCCGCTCCCGCGCCTGGGATGTAAGAGAAGGCGGCAAATAGTGGGCGGTTTAATAGAGGCGGCGGAGTTTCTTCCTGGAGCAGGCTATCAACGGGGGTACGCAATCCGAACAAAACTTGGCCTTGGTTTCCAGACGGCGTTGGGAGCGGGTCGGTGGGGTCGCAGCTTAGGGTCAATAGGGCAAGCAGCTCGGCATCGTCGACAATTTGCATATTATTGGTGAATTCGCGCCGGGGTTGGGATGCACCCGTCTCGACCATAGTACCGATATCGATTGAGTGCGCCTTCTGGCCTTGGGTAATGCGGTAATGAGCCAATGCATCTTGGAACGAGCAACCGGCGGCATAGTTGGAGCTGGCTAGCTGGCCGGTAACACCTGCTAGAGAGGATAGAAGGATGAAGAAATCGAGATCCTTGGGCAGAAGACGGTGCAGATTCCATGATGTCTGGACTTTGGATCGTATAGTCAGATCCCACTGTGCTAGCGTCATGTTCTGGAAGATGGAGTTTTGTAGGGTCATGGCGGCATTGATGCAACCTTTGATAGGTGGCATGCTGCTGGCATACTCTTCCAAAGCATTGGCGAGGCTAGTCTCCGACGATACGTCACATCTCGGGGCGACGACATTAATGCCCCGCGCCGTCAGCTCGGCTACTGCTTCGGCCGTAGCCTTAGATGTAGAGCCGAATTCGGATGGGATAATCAGGTTCTTTGCTCCGCGGTCGACCATCCATTTCATGATCGTCGTTCCTAGACCATTAGACCCGCCAGCAATCAAGTACGAGGCATTTTCGTCGAACGTCCATGATCGCCTGTCCTGGATAAATTGCTATAGAGTACGCTTATTAGCATCACAACGTCATAGACTAGACAGAGTGCCCCGAGAAAGGGGATCTGATTGGGAATAGTTGACTTACTGGAACTACGTCCTCGGCCTTGGGAGTGACAATCACACGACCGAAGTTCTTGCTGGTCTGTAGTTGCTTGAACGCTTGCTCTGTCTCGGACACACTGAAGTTATGCAGTGGCTGAGGATCTTGGATCTTGCCTTCGGATAACAGCTGCACAATCTTCTCCAACAGTTCGGTGGTAGCACTAGGCTCTAGTCTGGTCAGATCAACAGCCGAGAATGTCACATTCCTTGCGAAAATAGCCATAGGCAACGCTACATTCGCATCTATGTTAGCGCGGCCGATCTCGAGGAAACGACCGTAAGTGGCCACAGATTCGCATGACGCCTGCAGCTTGTCATTGCCCAAAAGCGTGTTGAAGACGACATCGACACCACGCCCCTGTGTGATGCGCAGTACAGATTTCGAATATGATGTGTTTTGATTGGTGAAAATCCGGCTCTCGGGGATGTCAAAGTTGCTGACCAAGAACTGCGTCTCCTCTGGTGATGACGTGGTGACGAGGATATCTGCACCTTGTGCCTTAGCTATCTGGACAGCTAACTGACCCAGGTTCCCAGCCGCCGAATGGATTAGAACCTTGTCGCCTGCTTGCAGTTTACCAATATCTACGAGGGCATGGTAGACTGTCAAGCTGGGAATAAGAGTAGTTACAGCTGCTTCGAACGACAGGGACTCGGGGATCTTGAGGATGCTCTTCTCGTGCGCACGGGCGTACTTGCGTATGCCGTCCAATGCCGCTATGGAGACGCGATCACCTGGCTGGATTGACCGGTCGCATTCTTGGCCCACTCGGGTAACGATTCCTGCATAATCAGCTTCTGGCAGCTCGCTTTGACCACTTGGGGCGTCTCGGAACTTCAGACCCCAAGCTCTTGTCTCCACCTCGACATCATGTGATGCAATATCGGTGTCGTAGGTGTCATCCCGGACGAATAACGGAGTGTCGCCGCTGCCCACCGATAACTGCAGAGCCGATCCTTCACCCCAGGTCTTCTGCTGCAGCTGTGGAGAAAGAAGAGACCGTAGCGTTCCGTTTCCGGCCACGTTCTCCACAGCTCGGCCTGTTACAAGGACTCCATCTCGTACCACGTACTCAAGTTCCTTGGATGCAGGTAATCTAAAGGCAGACTGGAATGCTTGAGCTATAAAGGACGCGCAGCTCTCGTTGTCCAGGGCATCTTCTATGGCTACGGTTACGATTTGACTACCTTGCTCCGCTCTAATTGAACGGAAGAAGCCTTGTACGATGCTGTAGTCGGGATACTGTGCGTTGCTAGTCGTCGTCGCTGTAGCCCACAGCAATTTAGTAGCTTGCATAGCCAGGCGCTGGAAACATTTTAAACCATCCTCCGACAATGCCGTGAGCAGAGGCTTGTTGTTGACCTCAGCAAGGCAGACGACAACGTCGTCCTTGGTCACCTCCATAAGAGCTTCCGAGAGGTGGTCTAGGGAAACAATACTGACATCTTTCCGTTCGCCCTTGAGATCAAGTTGACCAAGCACCAAATCAGCCAACTGTCGTTGCTGTTCTTGTTGCTCAGGCGACTCGTCAACCACCAAGAGGAAGTTACTCCGCTTAGGTTTCGACTCATCTATCTGCGCTGGATCTTCTTTCGCGGTCGAAATGATGATACTAGCAATGTGGCAGCCATCGTTCTTATAATCACGGATGATCATGTCATTTCCTGAGAAACCGTTTTCGCTAAGCACCCTTTCCCAAATGTCCTCGGACACACAAGCGGAATGAGGTCGCCACTCTTCACGGGAAACCCACCAACCTGGTAACAAACCAGCCATAAAGTTGATGGTGATATCCTCTGGGCTAATAACTTCCAGTAGGATCAAGCGCCCACCTGGCTTGAGAAGCTTGCGCACATTGCGGATGGTGGGCTCTAAGTTCGGTGTGGCATGCAACACACACCCAGCGACAATCACGTCGTACGAGCCAGGCTCATATCCTTGGCTTTCGATAGGCTTGTCTTGGTCCAGTGTCTTGAAGTTCATACGGCCTTCGGCTTGGAGCTCGGGCCATCGACTCTTTGCTTGTTCGAAGAACATGGGAGAAATATCAGTGTAGACGTACTCGGCGAAGCTAGGTGCCCCAGTGCGCTTCTCGCGTTCCTGTAGGATCGATATGGCGTGTCCTGTTACACCACCGGTTCCCGCTCCAAGCTCAAGGATACGTTGTGCCGGGTTCTCGTGCGCGGTAAGCTCCAAGAAGCGGGCAAAACGTCCATCTGCACACACGCTTTGGAACAGCGCTGCATAGAAAATATCGGCAAGGTCTGCTCCGAAGACAACTTGAAGGGGGCCGACTTCGCCAGACAACATTTCTGGTAGTCTTCGAGCACACTCTGTGTATAGTCTCCATGCGGGTAGAATCTCATCTACCTCGCGTAATTGAGCTTCGAGGTCGGCATCACTCATTGCTTCTCCTTCCTCTTTACGCTCGGGAGGTAGGTTGCTAACGTGGTATTCAATCCACTCAGCATGCCGGCGGAGTGACTCGGGTACCTTGGAATGATCGATCTGCTTCAGCATCCGAACGCAGACAAGGTCCAATGCATAGCGAATCTTGAGATGCTTTTCCAGGATAATTGTCTCGTCTTGGACGTAAGCGTTCGCCTGGCACACCTCTTCAAGTTGCTTAGGTCCGAGAAGACTCAGCTGTGGCTTCCATTCGATATCATGCAATAGCTTCTTCTCCTTCTCCTGTACGCCCTTGGAAGCTGTCGCTGTCACGGCCTCGCCAATAGTGCATAACACAGTTCCATCATCGGCTAACGCATAAAGGCTACCTCGTTCCCCAAAGCCGGCTCCAGATGCAGCAGACGATTTCGAACTTGCCAGCCACCTAATCGAGTTTGTCTCTGGCTTTTGCCAACCAGGGAATGCGAACCATGCGTTGCGCACATGGACTGAAGCGTTAGCGGCTGGCTGCTGACCGGCGCTAATCCGTAGCACTTGGAAGGCGGTCTCCAAAATGGCTGGATGTACCAAGCTGGTGGTCTGGTATTTCGCCTTGGTTACGTCAACACGCGCTATGGCATTAGACTTGCCATCGTAGTGCACGTCTTGAATTAATTGGAACCAGTCACCATACTGAAGGCCGTGCTCCGCTGCGCTGCGGTAGAATGCCTGTGGGTCCACGAGCTGCCCACACGCTTCAGTGGCTTGCTGGTATCGGCTTCGTACGCCCTCATCAGCTAGCTTCTTCTCCTCACCGCCGTCGGCGTAGTAGGATTCTTGGTATTCGAGGTGGACCGTAGCACGGAGGCATTCGGTCCACTTCTCACGATACGTATAAATGACAATATCGAACTTGGTCGGGTCTTCCTTGTCTTCCGGATTCTTCACCGGTCTTAGGTGTAACTCCGTTTCAATTCGGTCATCCCAAGCATCTTCCACAACAATGGGGTTTATGAAGTCGGCCTTTTCAATGAGGAATCCCGCAACGGTGCGGTCAGCTGAAGCCATTTGCAATACCGCCTCAATAGCCATGACCAATATGCCTCCAGCCGGGAAAACCATCTTAGTGTTATACTTATCACCGACGATCAGCATTAATCTTAAAATGCAACTAGTCATTGCGTTTTGGAAGATGGACTTACCACATAGTCGGCGAGCCACGGCGTGGTCTCAGTGCATAAGAAATTCCTCCACCTAGGTTCCAAGGGATTCCAATCCGACACACGAGCTCCGAGGGTTTCTCCCTTGACCGTACCCCGCAGCCTAAAGTCATGGCTAATACGTGGCTCAGCCCAATGTTTTTGTGAGTGGTCAAAGGGATATTCGGGACAGTTGATGAGGAAGGAGGGAGACCCGTCGGTTCGGCGTTGATTGACGGCGGACACAGAAACGTTGTGCCCGAGACAGAATAATTGACCTGCTAGCTCTAGTGTGGTCTGAATTGGGGGTTGGGACCGATGCAGCGCACTTGCATACCGGATCTTGATCTTACTGCTGGCCCGGCTGATCGTATCCTGCACTGGACGGCGTAATGCCGGATGCGGACCAATCTCAACCAAGTCTGCCACAATATCAAGACCAGTCTTCAGCGCGGATGACTCCTTAGCTATAATCTGAAGAGCATCTGCAAAGCGAACTGGGGACACCATGTTGTCGACCCAGTATTGCCCCCTGACCAATTCGGCTGGACGAGCAGGCTTACCGGAAACCGTCGAGACAATGAAAATAGGTGTCGTTGCCTTAAGATCCTGAGGGTCCGCTCCGTCGAGTTCGCCCATCAGGGATAGGTATTCCTCAGAAATTTCAAGCATAGATGCCGAGTGATACGCAACTCCCGTCTTGAGCTTCTGCGCGAATATCCCGTCCTTGTCGGCTTGCGCTTTGACCACGTCGATAGCCGCCTCGGAACCGGAAAGCGTACAATTTAGGGGACTATTGACACAAGCGACTGTGACCGAACCGTCGAATGCTTCGTCAGTAATGCCTGTGAGGTAGCTTGCGACTTTATTCTCAGCTAGATTGATTGATATCATGCTACCGGGCGTCGAAGCCTTTGCAGCCCTCAGCTTTCCAGCCAGCTGTCCTCGGAAGTACGAAACCTTGCAAGCAGACACCAGAGATAGTGCGCCAACAGCATAACTATTTTCGAAAAAAGTAAGTACGGAACATGCACGTCTTGAATCGGTCATTATAAGGGATGCGATGGAGTTCTACTTACGCTGCAGCGATTTCACCCGAAGAATGCCCAACAACAGCCTTGGGGGTGATACCAAAGCTTCTGAACAATTCGATCAAAGCTATTTGAATGGCGGTAGACAGAGGTTGGCTGTATTCTGGCTTGTCAATGTTCTCGCTACGTCGTAGCTCGTCTAGTAACGTATGAGGTTAGTCATTTTGTACTGTATTCTTGCGTGGACCCGCTTACCGAACAAAGACCATGTGCTTCCTAGACTGCTGTATATCTCGTCTATGCGCTGAAGTGTCTCCTTATATACGGGATATTCTATGAGGTCCCAGCCCATATTGACGTACTGTGCTCCCTGGCCAGTGAACACGAACACTAGCCTCACCTCCGTCGAACTCCGAATCGGTTTAGCCGACGGTAAAGCTTTCACAGCCTCAGCCCCCGACCCGTCATTCCCGACGACCGCAAAGGCTCTCCAGAGCATATGACTTCGTCGTGCACCTAGAGTAAAGGCTAATTGGTTGAGCTTGGCAGGATCGTTCCAGATCTTGTCAGCGTAAAAACTTTCATAACCCTTCATCGTGCGCTTAACAGCCTTCTCGTCATATGCGCTCCAAACAAGCAACTTAGGTAAATTAGTCCCAGACCCATTAACAGTACCAGCTGTTCCGTTGGTGTGAGCTACTCCATTCCCGTTGGTTAATCCATTAGCATGCGACTCTCCATTAGTGTGTGTTGCACCGTTGGTGCGTGCTACCCCGTTAGTTGATCCATTGGTGTGGGAGATTCCGTTAGAAATGGCATTCAACTCAAGGCTTGGGATTTCAGGAGTGGAATGGTTCCCAGTCAGGCCTCGAGACTGTAAGTAATGGAAGGCATCGTCAAGAATGACGTGCGTGTTAGAACCGCCAAATCCGAACGAATTTACCGATACTCGACGCAAGCCTGAAGTCGGCCAGAGAATAGCCTTGGTCGGAACCTGGAACAGCACTATGAGTACGAGAGAACTTGGTAGATTTTTTTTCGTCACTTACCGCAGTATGATAGTAGTTCGTATCGATCGCGGGATTGATTTTTTCGAAGAGAGCGTTCGGAGCGATGACACCCTTTTCGACAACCACTTCGCATAAGCATTAGCAATCGATCGTTCAATGCATCAGACGAACGGTAGTATCCTGCGGGTACTCACAGATGGCTTTTATCATGGCAGCTAAACCGCAAGCTCCTTCAAGGTGCCCAACGTTTGTTTTCACAGAGCCTCTGCTCAGTTCGTTAGAAGATACTCTACCAATGTCACTCCATGCGAGTGGGGCCAAAGGGGTAGAAGCCAAACATACACGTAAAGAGGGTCTTCTACTGTACGATGTTCCCGGAATACCGCACCTACAGCCTTCATCTCGATCGGATCACCGATTTTGGTTCCAGTGCCTGCCATCCGTTTATTAGGACGATCACGTGATAGGTCGCAAAAGGGGGGTTATTCATCCACTTACCGTGCGCTTCGACATAACGGGTCTTATCGAGAGGGAGATTAACTCGATTATATACATGCCTTATTAATGCTTCTTGGGCCTGTTGGCTGGGCTGGGTAAGTCCAGGAGTATGGCCGTCTTGGTTTGAGCCAATTGACCGAATAACAGCTCTGATCATGTCACCATCGCGCAGAGCAGCGGAGATGGGCTTAAGGATAAGCGCCATAACACCTTCGCCTCTCGCGTACCCATTCGCACGATGGTCGAAACTGTAGCAGACTCCATCTGGAGATAAGTAATTTTGGGTAGATAGATATTGGGTTAATCCCGGGTCGAGAATTAGATTAGTTCCTGTGACAAGGGCCTTTTAAATAGAGAAGAGGTCAGCAATGCATCACGAGCGAGGAGGCAAAAAATAGCCCAACTTACACATGTAGCATCTCCGCTCCATAGAGATTTACAAGCCATATCAAGGGCTGACATACTACTTGAGCATGCTGAGTTCACGTGCATGCTTGGCCCGCGCAGATCGAAGTACCAGCTGATCCGGTTGGGTATGACGCAACTAACGGAGCATCCAGTGACAGCCGTTCGTTCTGCATTCTCGGGGTCCATGCCCACCATTCTAGCGAAGTCTTCAATCATGGAAGAAGAGAAGACCGCTGTTTGCGAACCCCTAAGGCTCTCAACAGGAATACCCGCTATTGGCATCAAAATCAATATCGTTTTTATTCACAATCACTTTTGATTGTATTATTGCACTCACCCTTTTCGAAGGCATGGTATGATGTTTCCAAAGTCCATCGCTGCATGGGATCCATTGCCGCCGCTTCTTTCGCTGTGAGCGAGAAAAAGGGGGCATCAAATGAGCTAAGATCTGCATTGAGAAAATGCCCACCCGCGCTACGGAACTGCCACGAAGATAAGCCACACCGGTCACATAGTTGGTCAAGTCTCCATAACATACCTTATGGTGCTTATCGTTAAAGAAAGCTTCTGAATTGATGCGTGTTTTGGGCCAGCTCGTACTCAGGTTTTGGCGACCTTCGAGTACCTTCCACAGGCTAACATCGTCATCCACATCTTGGGGGAGCTTAAAGGACATCCCCACGATGGCAATATCTCCTTCTCCTGACGTCTCCATGTTTAGACCCGTATTAGTCCCAGCTTAAAGTATTATAAACGAAATAGTGCAGTTATATATGAGATATATGGGAGACGGGAAAGGGTCTATTGGATATGATGGGTAAGTTAGGTACATTGACTTGCAAGCTGACCCGGTGGGCTGGGACTCAGGGACGGGTTTTTATAAGCGAGATACCCCTTGACCAGGGACAGAGTCAATGTAACCCCCAAATGTAGGCCGGTCATGTTGGTTATAACAGAATAAAGGAATTATACCTGTACCAAAAGTATTGCGAGGCCGGACATGCCATGGGAGACCCGGTTTATGAACTATAGATACTGGCATGTTGACTATTTCCAGCATGGGCATGAGCGCTTAAAGGCATATGGGTCATTACTGGGGTATTATCCATAATATGAGAACCAACAATAAGGTTGCATCAGACTTTACCAAACTCTCCAGAAGGGTTACAATCGCTTCCCAGTTGAACGGATAAGGTTACGCACCTCAGGTTCGACAGCTTATTCATGGAAATAAGTCCTATACACCTTTTAAAACGTGTATTAAACCTCATCGCTCCGTGGCTAATATCGCAACACCGTTTGCGCAGGTATCGACTTTCTCCAAGAATATTGTCCTTCCTCCGGCTCTAAGATGTATCTCAATTCGTTAGCAAAGTGCAAGTACAGGACTGTAACAATACGTAAAAATACAAAGATTCAGCCTATAATAATACTACATGTAACACCTGACATGACCTATGTGGGGTGGGTTATCTCCTCTCTCTCCACCAGGTGATGGGGTGATTTAGACCGGATTTCAATTGTCTGCCAGAAGCACTTCAAGCAACTAGCAATTAGTCTGCTGCTGGTAGAACCCTGTCATATCCAATGGATCATCAGTAGTAGCAAGTATATAATGGATTGCCTAAGATCAACAATCAACAATATATATTCGTTGTAATCTAGACTTGGGACAACTCCACCAGGGCCATATAATACACGAGTAGATAAGGCCTTTTATCCAGGAAGGTGAGCTGGTCTGGATCCGTCAATTTGATTTGCTATTTTCCCCTTGCTTGATGCAAAGGGAAAGAAAAAAAACTTCAGTACATATGTAGTCCCATTGATCGACCGGCCCCACAGTGATCCAAACTACTGGGCTATAATATACAGTACCTACCTAGGTAGTATACAGGGTGGTGTTGTCAATGTGGATCCTGCACAAATACCCTAGGCCAATGCCGATTATAAATTGTGGTTACATACATTGTGACAAACCCCCATGGCGTCACTCGGGTCGGTCGAGCTGTAGTAACATGTGATGGATCAGTTACATTTATTATTTTCTCACCCTGTTTCCTTCGCTATCTGCATAACATGGTTAATGATTGCCGACAGGACGGTGAGGTTTGAGCTTACGCAATATCTAATATTTACCGAACTTAGGTGTGGTTTGTGGTTTGTAGTTGAACGGCCCCAGGGCGGATCAAGTCGGATAGTTTGAGAAGTAGATACATGTATTACCCGACCGCTGACGTTTAATACTTACGTAAATCGGGACAATGAAGATCATAGACGTCCTGAAGACGTAAAACTCCTGTCCAAAGTGACTGATGACGGCCTCGCAACTATTATACAAGAGTAAGCTATGCATTCCAATGACCTATCAAACTCAAATAAGGAACTTTCAATGCGCCGATACCTGTATCGATGCTTGCCCGGGCGCATACCTGAATACCTAGGGACGTATTGCGGTGTAGCTGAAAATTCTGACCGGTTTCAGCGAACGCATGGTTGAATAGTTCTAAGCCATGTCAATCATGGGGTCGAGCATTCCAGTTTATATCTCTAAAACTTAGGTAATTAATATAACGGGCAGAAGTTTGTCAATTATATAGGAATAAAAGGCGCTTACTTGGGTGGGTAAATATTGCTTTATGTCAGTTGGGGATGAGATAATTTCAAAATATCAGCGTTAACGGGACAAACCACTAAATTCGTGTTAGAATATTATACAGGGCTTCGTTCAAATAGAAATGACTCAGGAGACGGCGAAAGCTTCGAAAATCAATTGTACTTACGAATACTCTGACGAAAACTTCGGTCAGTGGTTTGGAAATACCTAGGTACTTCAGATAAATGAATGTTAAACAAACCTAGGCACACATTTCATCATACATGTTCTATACCTAGGTAGTGTGACTTTGTGGCACCCGTTAGGCGAGAAAAAGGACTGATATTCCAAGCATATACATCGCGTTTTAAAGCAAATTATAGACAGTACTTGTAAGAATTTAGGGTGGTAGATATGCATTTTAGATAACGTAGTAATAATAAAGGCTTTAAATTTAAATTTTCGAAAATTACCTGGGCACCTTTATACTCGAGTTAATAGATCATTCTCGAAACACATCATAACAAGAGTTTAGTTGTCTAAGTAATTTTCTTAAGCCTATAATTCCTTTAGTTTTAACCGGGAGAATTAAAAAGGAGAGAACGTAACTTCATTTAAATATCGTAAATCTGTGGTTAAGTGATTACCTAATCTGGTATTCAGGCCCTGATCTGCGATGAAAGAATGAACACGGTATGAACTGATTTTGATTTTATACTGGTAATAGCGTGAGGTTTTGCAGGTATTACCAGGTAGGTATGCCTAAAAACCAGGCCTCTTCATAAATCCCATAATTTGAATAGCGTATGTCTTGGAAAATGTCCCACGATATGTGCATCAGCGGTGGACTCAATGTATATGTAAGATCTACAGCTGAGGCAATGCAACATAACCCAGAACCAGGGTTAGGTGTCATCGTCCTTTCGTCCCGTCCCGTCTGCGCCGCTCGCTAATCAAGTACCCATTTCCCCGGGGTCTGTGTTTCGGAGTGGATCGGATGAACCGGGATGTTGAACACAACAATATAGAGTCATTGAATCAATCTCAAAAGATCATAAAAATGAACGCAAGAAACAGACACAGTTACCGGGACTGGATGATGAGAGCGTCACAAATAAAGAAACACCAAGATGCAATAGCTTAGGGAAAACTCAAGTAACGAAGATGTATACCCTTCTAGTACCGCACAATGCACCGTATACATATGATCTACCCCAAAGCGCAGGATCGCAGTTACAATTGACTGTTCGACAAGATATGGGGTGGCAGTGCATGAGTTTGGGTGTTATGTAACGGTACTTCCCACCACTACCAACGCATCTGACAGAAGATGTAAGACTCCTATGAACCAACCTGTTGGAACCAGCGAACCATTCATATAAATAGACTACAGTAGCATCATCTCGTAGCACCGCATATGCGTTGTAATATATTATGGTGCTGTTGTAGAGACCCGAGAGACGGGTTTGGTGATGTGATGATGGTGGTGTCGTTTCCATGGTCTCGTTTCCAGTGGCTGTTTGGAACGCTACATAAGAGGAGTACAAGAATGATTTGTGCTTTTTGTTTGAAAAAAGATTATTTCTGGTAATGCCGGATTACTAATATAGGGAAATTGATGAATGTGTACAGATTACGAAATAGACATGTTATATAACGAAGAGGTTGTACAAACCCTCAGCATTAACCCCACCAAAAGGGAGGTACGAAGCCATAGTATTCTCTTGCTTTGACTGACTTTGTACTTACTAAGATGTATTTGCGACATCCTTTCAATGGCGTAGGGCTCGACGTTCCAAATCAGGCAGGCACACAAAACCGATGCGATGGTCTTGGCCTTTAAGGTTGAAAGCCCAGGGTTCGTTACGCAACAGACCAGCCTTGTAGTAACTACTACGTCAAAGCGTCGCAGTTTATATACCAGGGCTAATTTTTATTTCTGTAAAATAATTATATAACCAAGTATGCCAAAATCAACTTATGTTCCTATAACATTTGTGTTCATTCTTCATTTGGCTCGCCTGTCGCCACTATTTGAACCGACTCACCTGGGGTAATACGCGATAGGCGATTCTCTACGTAAGCAACATTGCTTGTCACCGTATAATATTTGATACGGTTATGAATAAGTTATTTTACATGAGTGGGGGGGTTATTCTTGCCGCTTCATGGGAAAGGAAGGCTGGTATGGGTGATTGGGTTTCAAAAACCATCTGTGAGAATGCATAGGTGAACCACAAGCCACCTGCGTATCGCCATGTAATTTTTGATACGCGTCTGATCCAAAAGGATAAAACCACCGACATCATTATGATAGAATGGCTAACAACTTGTATATTCTAAAAATGTTGATTTGGTACCTAGGTCGGCTACCTCTTTACAAGTTTCATTCGAATTCGAATTTCACCTTATTGCCAAGCTGTCCTTGTCGGCGTAACTACCTGGGTATCTTGTTAGTCATATTATCTATATATGAGATAGATCACAGGTTATCGGGCTTATGAGTTAATCAGGATTATATTAGATCTTTCCATACTATATAGCTTTGATATAATAAGATGGGATGAACCCCTCACGATCTTCCCGAAATTAGAATATGCCCAAATACCAATTTGTCTCAGATTAGTCCATCCCTGTCCGCGGGCCGTCGAATCCTTGTTCCTTGTGTCCTCCTGCCCACTGGGTTGGGAAACCTGGATCGTCACATACGATCCCTGTATAATATCGACTACCTAAAATGGATATATGTCAACCGGTATTGACCTAGGTGGGACGTAAGGCTCATGCATGCCACTATCTCACCTCGAAATCGCACGTGAAGCGTAGCCTGCGTATATCGATGTCAAATGCGCGGAGGAATTCACCGAAAGAAGAAAATGTCAAGGATGTCGCCAAATACATATGTGTTTGCCAATAAGGTACCTAAGTGATTTTCGGTATAAGAGTAACTAGGCTCCGCCGATCATCCTGCAGTGTAATCTAGAATCCTAGCTCGCCTTTACTCAGATGACCAGAAGTACGTGCTCTCTAATCTGATGCTTTTGACAAACCAATCATCATCCTTCCTCTTCCAAGTTTCGTAATAGTGTCCTCCACCTGTGTGATGGAATTTGCTGTTTGATTCTTTCGGACCAGCATGAAAGACAACGGTCCAGACTGCTTTGACTTCGTCACGACCAATCTGTTCCAAATCACCTGGCCCAACGAGGTGAATAGTTTGAAGCTGAGGGAAGAATATTTCCCCGTAGAATTTGACGAAATCCGCTGTCGAGGAGAAGTTGAAATCGACTCCCTCAAAACTCATGAAAGACCCGTCAGTCTGGTAGAACTTGAATTCCGCGCCAGGCAGGGCGATCTTCACCATGTCGGGCCATTGTTTAGTATCGGCAATGCGACAATACCACAATTTCTTGCGAGTAATGATAGCTGCAACCTCTGGTGGGACCGACATTTTGTTCGTCTGGTTTGAGGCTTTTCAGGACTAGGTGGTGTCGATTCTGGCTTTTACAGTTACTGCCACGTCTTCATGTTAGTATCATACATGAAGTTCTTTTATATCAAACATCAAAGCGCGAAGCATCCAGCAGTAAAATCCTTACGTAGACCATCATTTGTCCTTCATCGATAATAGCCTATCCATTCTTATGTAAGTATTGGTAATATGCATTTATACCCGATCTATTTACATACGCGCCGCTTTTTTTCAGAACACAGAATTATTAATTTCCTCATGTAAACGGCGAAGAAAATCTTGGTAATATTTGTAACAAATTGTCGCAAATATGACCCTGTAAACCTCTATCACCACTTTACCTCACAGCATGCGCCCTGTCCGTCTAGTACGCCTTCATAAGCATTAATTTGTTGCTACAAGTCACGAATTGCTCTGTAAGCTCCTGCTAATACCGTAAGCGGGCTTAAGTAATACTAAAGCTTCCCTTACTAATGCAATTCAAACACCTAGAGGAGGCCATAAGATAATATGAAGACCGGCGCATAACTTGCCATACTCTGATACCGAATGTAAGGGAGCCTGAGGAGCATATTGACCCCGGACGCCACGGCTGCAACTACTCGAGCTGCATGAGGGTTTTCCCAAACGTAAAGCAACCGTGTATCCACCAAATTCGCAACTGCATATCTTCCATGTCTCAAGGCAAAGCAAGGTGAGCCCCACCGGTCCTCGTGGTATGACATATAGGCGAACGAAAACGTGGAACAGATAAAGAAATAGTTCGGCCCGTGGTGGTATTGGAAGATTTGCCTATCTAGGTAGTAATCCTTTCCAAAGGTTGAGGATGCAGTAATCCAATAAATTTCCGTTTGAATGTCACTGACGATAAAGAGGGGTAACAAAACTCGCTGATCCCGGATAGGTATGTTTGGGGTCCCACCTTATTCGTTGGAATATGACATGCCTTCGTAGTTGTCGATGCAGCAAGACGCCTGCTATTAACAAGCCGAATATTTAAGGCTTTTGCATGGAGCCTACCTATGATGGAGGAAAGTCGAAAGATTATGACCCCCACCTAAATTGATCGTTATTAAAAATCAATACGATTGCTGGGAATAGTATCTGTTTGACAAGCCGTATACCCGCCATAGAATTGATACCCTTTTCTAATTGGAGACTTTGCAGGAGTTACATTGAGTTACATCAGGTTGCATTACATGGTATTATTCTTATGTCTACGTATGGGATAACATTCCGATTCCGCTGAATTTCTACAACGGATGGCTCGACATACCTCATAATATCTTAATATCAGCTAACTTATGGGTACCCTGGTAGCTTAACGGCTCCCACACACCCACCCCGCAGGCTAGGCTCTGCGCAGTCCCCTAACCCAGACTTTACTTGCGGAGTCATGTCCGGTCTTCACAGCTCCATTGATTGACGAATTGTTACGAACTTCGGTCCAATTCTAAGGCGAAAACAACAAGCTCTTCATCGGGGGAGAAAAAGTCAGCTCTAGCAAAAATCCAACACTCAACCACAATATCAATGGCGAATTTAAGTCATCATGAGAGATATGCTTATAACGATAACGAAACAAATAGGTACCTTATGCGACAAGTTCCCACTGCCTAATAACTCCCGTCTAATTCCGTCAATAGCAAGGGCATAACGAGTAAATATTGCGAAAATTCGGCCTAGCCCTGGATATTAGCGTTGCATTAGAGTCAAGGGTTAGGAGACCTACGTGTCGGTATTCAACTTTCTGTTTTTTTTTATCATGTCCGTAAGGGGCACATTTCGCACGAAGTTGCCCGTAAAAATAAACGTATCCGCGCCCTGTGCCGCGGGACCAACGCCTCTCTCGGCAATTTCATTAATTACCCCAGGTACCTAAGATAGGAAATATACCCATAACTTCTTGGGTCCTTTCTTAATACCTTAATGCGCCCAAAGGAAAGCCAGCATACGCGAGAAGCCCCACCAGCTTCTCCCAAAGTCAACCCGCATTCTAAATCGAGATATGTATCATTGCGTAAATTCCTCGAACCACTCCCCCGGGACCCGTGACTCTGTTCAAGTGAATGACTAAGTCTATGTGGATTTCCTTAACTTCCGGGATGAAACCTATGGATCTCGGCCCGAATGAAAGCACGAAGTCGTATCCGGCTTTAGATATTGACAATACGCGCCGCCATGCAATCGTCTCCACCGTATACTTCCCCGCCCGACCCCCGGGTAAGGAGTACTGGTTCTGTTAGAGACATCCTGCATATGGTCTAGTACTGGGTCATCCATATATCCGTTCATGGTAACATCGGCGGTGTTGGCATTTGTACATTCAGCGCCGATTGAATGGTCCTAACCCAGGCGCGCGTTCGCGTACGGCATTCCCAATACCCTTCCGCATAGACACGTCTAGGTCGTAAGTGTCCACGAGCCTTGTCGGGAAGTCTCGCTTAAAGGGATCCTAACGGATAGTTATATTCTCCGTGGAGTTTGCAGATAATATTCTCAATCTACAAAAGGTACCCATGTATACAATTAATCACAATTGTCGCCTTGTAAGGACGCTGAGTGTTCTAGGACTAAACCAAAATGCTGCTAGAGCGTCACCGCGAAGAAGAGGAAATAGCCGCATGGAAAGGGCTAGAATTAACCTCGTAAGAATTCAACTGCCGTGTAACAGTCAAAGATGCATATACGTAGAATGGTGTGTCAGATTACATCTGCTCTTTACAAGGGGAATGAAATAGTCATACCTTAATATCATTATGTGTTCCTGAAGAACCGTTTGAATGGGTCAAGATGGTTCAATATTTCCTAACCGGGTTCGTTGCACTGCATATAGAACACTGCATTGGCATGGGGACTGGGATAGGGAGTTCCTTAATAGTGGAAGTAACTAATCGATCTACCAAAACTTTTCGGGATGATCGTAAAAATACGAAAACGTACCATATAATGAGAACGGTTAGTAATAGCAAAGAACTTAGGTATGTCATAATTCCAAGAGCTAGGGAAATTGAGCTATGTTGTAAGTAGCTCGCCTGCTATAGCCACCTGGGAAGTAAGTGGCGGGATAAAGGTCAGGAGGTATAGTTCCAATATCGTAAGCCCCCTAGACAACACGCCACCAAGCAATCGGTGAATAATTCTACGTATGGCGGGCGACTGTATTTGGTCATCCCAGCCAGGTCTCATCCTAACGCGAAATGCCATGGCTTATAGCAGGATATCAGTGTACGGTATGCCACTAGAACCCTATTTGAATTCAATTCACTACCTATCAAAGCACGACTTTATTCTATCTTTAATACGTACCTAGGTAGGTAGCCACTTATACATACAACAAACTCAGGTCAATACCCAACCCCTATTTTGAGAATCTACCTTCAACAGGAGTTACGAATAAAGTTTGGTTATCTCCCACGTCAAAACTATGTAGTATAAAATGACTAAACTCACGAGCCGCGCACTCTCCAGGGGAGCCCCCACGCCCAGACTTCCGGCAACGATACAAATGGTACTTGGGGTTGCCTACCCTATCTTAGGGTTGGGGTTTCACAAAGATAGCTGTTGCTTGGTCATTGATTATTAATGTTCAGCTGAGTAATAGGAAACTGGCTTGCCAACTGCGATAAAATGATTCTATTGCCCATGCTAAGGGCTATTTCGTCCGAATCTCTAGGTTCCCAACCAAACAACGTACGTAAGAGGTCGCTATATCCTAATTGTTTCGGCCGACCGCATCCTAGGGCTGTGGACTAGAGAGATATACATGAATCGGTACGTCAATAATCAATGATCTCCTCTCCTCATTTATTCGTACGTCGACTTCAGGGGACTTGAATTCTTATCATATAATTGGTTAGGCCCCTATACATTTGTGGATGATATAGGAAGAGAAATAGAGAAAATGTTGCGCCTATCTGAGCCCTTGGCTTTATAGATACCTGGGTATGTAACGTTAAGAAGCCACTATACTGCCAGCAGCTTTAGGGGCCCGCTGCACAGCTCCATAGCACTGTTGTAGGGCTTACATATTAGGCAGCTTAGCATCAATATCTTAGGGAGTCACGGTGGCGCCGAGTCTGCACTTTTAGTGGGCGGTCTTGCACTAACTCCTACATACCTAAATGGCCTGAAGCCGCCTAAAAAAAGTCACTAATTATATACCATGGACTCCTTTAACCCTGTAACTAGTTCAGCATAGGCAGAGAACCACCACCTAGCCCCTACGAGGGCCAACTAGCGACGGTAGCTAGCGTCTCATGACCCAAGACGAAAGTAATGGAACCACTTATGACGAGGCGTGCAATAATAAGACCTGTGTCATAACACTAAGCAGTGCCCAAAGAGATAGGCAGCTCCATGATAGATAGGGGTATGAAAGCGAAGGGATTAGTTAATCGGTTGGTGGATAACTTGATGCATCCCCATCCCCACCTATTTCGTCGCGACTATAAGTCGAACTCGTCAACAATATAGCTTGTTTCACGCAGTGTCCGATATCAAGGATGATAGCTGATTTCGATATCCTCAAGCCTAAGCGGAGGGTATAGGCCTATACCTAACTTGTCGGTTTTCTTTTCGCAATCGATTTCTCCTACGGCTTTTCACTCTTAATTACCTAGGTACGCATCATGTTTCTGCTATTGATTCTTATAAGAGAGTTAGTGAGGCCGCGTATCGCGGGCTACCACAGTTCGCACTATATGGGAAGCTTGTATTTAGCTATACGTATACGCAGAGGGAGTTGCTTTGCCTAGGTCCTTAGATTTCCATTATGTTAGAGCAGACACAATCCCAAGGGCTTCTATCGGGGGGATATGGACTAACATGTACATAACGAAGTATATATTAATCAAGTACTTAGAAATCTCGGTTGAGGGTCAACAATCATTCCAACCATGGGTCGATCCACGGCACTGTTCAATAGGATGTTTTCAGTATAGATAGAGTGCCTAGGTAATGCATCAAAACACGTAAATACCACCATATATAATTAGAGGTAGGCAAGCAGTCGCAATAGAGTTCGCGGTCGGAGGGTTAAACTTCCTCATGACGGATTTAGCATGGCTTAACTGCATAATAAAAAGTCAATCTCTCTTATAGCCAAGATGTTGCCGAATTAGGGAACTTTGTTTTCTGCATAGATGGTTCTATTGCATGTGAGCATCTGAGTAAATGAATAATCAGTTCATTTCATTAAATGTCTGTTGTTTCCGCTTCGGTAAGCTACGCACCCTCATTTAAGAAAGCAGTGATATCTAGCTGTGACGTCATCTCCATAATCTGCTTCGTGGATGCGGGTAGATGACGCGATCTTGCTAGGTTTTAAGATTCTTATTCATTACATCTAGGCGAGTTACGCCTAATCTCATCTAGGCATCATTGGATGCATGGATATCACTAGAACAGATCATCCTTCTACACTCCGGAACGCCTCCAAAATCAATACCTTCTAATGCGCCTGCTGTTTTACAGTTGGGTTATTCCCAATCCTTCTCGACGAGCCATTGGTCCTCGAGCTTCAGAGCTGTTTCCTCCACCAGATCGCAACCTTGATGACCCCATTTCTGTCGGAAGATCTCGCGACCGGCTTCTGCTAGAATCCAGAATGATGTTGAGAACCCTTCCGCATTATAATAGTAAGGCTCTCCAACCCCGCCGTGCTGGCTGTTCTGCCATGAATTCCGAGCGTTCTTGTCATCGCGGTATTTGTGTGCACCCATGTCATTGCCAATATTAACGAGCTCTCGGAAATACTCGATCGACCTGACAACATTAATACTGCTGGTGCCATTGACTCTCCCGTCCCTTTTCTCCGCTTCTTTCTTTTTATCATCTTTCTGATTTTCCTTTGGCGGCTCCTTCTGTTCTTCGGGATGTTCCTCGGGAGGAATGGGATTCGGATCGATGAACTTGGGAGTGACATTTGGGTCGCGATACAATGCGGCTAGATCCTCCAATACGGTTGATACATCATTTATAATGCCTACGCGACGATGCTTCATAGTCCAGCCATCCATTTGTAGTCTTGCATTCATGTCGCAATCACTACCATAATATGGCATCAATGAGTCCCAACCACCTACGGCGTCCAGCGCCTCTCTGTTCACCAAGGTCAGGTGGTCGTACTGAAACCAACGGAAAGCCCATCGTTCCTCGGCCTCCAAAGTTCTGTTTAATTCGCGAAGACAATTTTCGTAAATGGTCCGGTAACCGTTCTGACCGGCAGCAGGAGGGCGCATAATATCCGCTTCGTCTTGCTCATCATAGAAGAACCAATCCCTATCGCCGGGCCGCTTCAATGTGTCAGGGCCATCCTCAAATGAAAATACCAACACATCTTGGTGAGAGTAGAAGTAATACGGCCAACTTCGTGAATGTGCAGTGGCCAGGAAGAAGTTCTGCATTTGCGAGAACGTCAACAAGACAGGTGTTTGTATGATATTGACACCAAGCTTCCGCAATATGGCGTAGTCGAGATAGAAGGGGTTTTGCAGGCTAAGTTTAGCTTGCGAGTTTGAGTCTTGCACGCCTGTGTTTTCAACGACGAAGATGGACTCAGGTGGCCAGCCAGCCGTCAAGTAGCCGACTACACATTGCAAGAGCATCGGCCATTGGCGTGTGAAGCCGATAAAAAGAGGTGGCATATATGAAAGGCCATATTCTCGGTGTAGCCCAGGTCGGGGGATATTATATTCGGGTATAGGTGGTGGAGCGGTGGTTGGCTTCGCGAGTAAAGGGAAAGGCTCGGTTACAGGTTGTGTAAGGTAGGTGGGTGTCGGTTTGTATTTTGGGGGTGCATGGGTATTTGTCGGGCGGTGGTTCTCGCTGGCGCCAGCTTTCGGTTTTCCATTGTTGATGATAGGGAGATTTCGTAAAAAGCTGCCATTATCTCCTATACCGTGATAGAGGGCCACAAGCGCAAATGCGAGGGTGATGAATCCAACAGGAAAGAGAAGGGACCGCAAGCCTCGTGGGCTACCGACGAGGGTCATAGCGATGATCAGGAGAAATTATGTCATGAGGAAATGAAAAGTATGTAAAGTACAAGAGATCGTTCTGACATCTGCTACTTGTGTACTTCAGATCTCAAGTATGAGCATGTTAAAGAATTTTTGGGTCAAGTTCGACAGCATGTGGCACTGTCACAACAGAAATGAATACAAGTTTGTTTGGACGAAATATTTTGACAAAAGAAAAGGGTCAAGTAAAAGTTGTGACGCGTACTTCAAACTAAGATGCCCTGATAAGTAACATATACATGTATCACGGCCCGCATCATGATCTGCATGAGCTTCAGCTACCTCTAGGTCATCCCGCCCTTGGCATCCATCCAATCCCCTGCATTAGACCCAGGGGTAACCCACTGCCGGTTTGATAGCGTCATATTTTTAGTGCACATCCTTGTCTCATTGCGAATCTTCAACATCGCTGAGGAAGCAGAATAGTTTGTGAATGTCTCAATCTAGAGGTCAGATAGAAAGCTCTGATTTAGAATATTTCCACATGTTTCTTCATTATGATTCCGTGAGGTAGCTACGTAGGTATCCATAAATCTATGTGCTATATTAAACATTTCTTTTTATGATAGGTATTGAAATTGCATGAGATTATCGCGATTTGCTTACCTGCCTGCCTGCTAATGACAATTCAAGATCCCTGCCTTATTCAGCATAATTCTCCGCTAAATGGCGCTAACACACTCACTATTTCTGCTACTACGGCGATTCTTAAATTATTCTCCTCTTTAATTCATCATTTCCCTACTTCGCGAAAAAGTACAGGAATTAAATCATGTCGACAACGTTCACAAGAGAAAAATTAAACCCTCTACTTCGTATTTCTCTACTTATTCTATACGGCATCGAAGCCTTACGGTTTAGATGGCGCTACATAACTCGCTTCCTAAATTACACAAGACGGAATGATTGTCGGGCATTAAGCAAACGTCGTGAAACGGGAATCGGCATTATTGAATTGGCCTACGCAATCACGACGAGTATAACGTTACATGAAAACACTGTATACACGAGGAAATATTAAAGTTCATTGATTGGTTATCTTCAGTTCAAACGACAGCCTACCTGGTATATTCCCTATATCGTCGTCTTCGTGCTTACTTTGGATGTGTTGGTTGTTAGATCAGGTGGGGGTGATAGCTGTGCCTCATCCATCTCTTACCGCTATGCCTCAGTTAATTATTTACGAGCAACATGGTCCTCGCTTTCTTTTCGCAGTATCTTAGCAACATTGATAAAATCACTTTAGAGGACAGCAGTATAATGGCCGCAACAGATCTTCGTGGAAAGGTATGGCATCTGCCCTGGTTTCGTTCGTTTGAACTTCAGCTAAATTAATTAGACCGTATTTGTGGTCGGGGGTTCTGGGGGGTTAGGGAAAGAAATGTCCAAGGTCATCGCAGCTCAAGGTATCCGCCATTAATGCGAATTGATTAGAAATACATTCTAACAAAATAGGCGCTCACATTACGATATTTTCCCGCAACCAAGAACAACTTGATGATGCCAAAAATGAAATCCTTGCAGTCAGGCAGGATGAAGCTCAGAAGATCAGTGCTGTAGCAGGAGACATGGGGACTTCCTCTAATGTCTGACATTCTTATCCTCTCCGTTTGAGCCCCGATCTTAACAGGTAGTACAGGCACACTCGTCAATCGCGACACAACCTTCACTGCCAGATATCCTCTACTGCGTAGCTGGCGGCACACCAAATGAATGTGGCTTTCTGCTAGATCTAACACCCGAGGTTTTCGAGCGATGCATGACAAACAATTACTACTCCAGCGTATATCCAGCCCAGGCGGTCCTAAAGCAATGGGTAGAAGACGATAGCGTCTCCATGATTCCTAAAAGTCCGAAAATCCGCAAGATTATTTTCGTGAATAGTTCCGCCTCTTTAGTCCCAGCGCCAGGCTATCTCGCATACTCAGGTACCTATCGCCCGCTAAAAGCACGCTAAAATACAGAACTAATCGCCCACTAAAGCTGCTAAGGCCGCCCAACGCGCACTAGCCGACACCACGCGACTCGAAGCTATGCGCTACTCGAATTCGAAGTCAACATACATCGTTCAGTATATTTTCGCTCACAATTTCATCACGCCGACCTTTATTGAAGAACAGAAAAATAAACCTGAATTGACGAAACAGATCGAAGGAACAACGGGCAGCCTCGCTGAATTGGAAAAGAGCTTCCCGTACGCCGCGAAGATAGCGCCAGAGATCGTAGCTGAGGTAGCGAGTAATAACTTTGCTATCACGGACAAGCGAGTCGAACCGCAATTTCTCTGGGCGAATATGATAGGAACTTCTCCGAAGAGAGGCTTCGGGATCATCGATTCCTTATTAGCATTCTTGGGGCTGTTTGTATACCCTTTCCTTAGGCGTGAGATGGAGCAAAAGTGTAGAGCCGACCCGTCGCGGAATTCTTGAGTTACCCGAATAAACGTACCACGTTGAGCCACAGAAAAAAAGTATCTGCTTTTCAAGTCACCATTGTCCGAATATCCCTCATGCACCGTGGCCTCAAAGCCTTCCGTTTAAGCATACTAACACCAAGCACAACCTCTTCGTGTCTTTTATTTAAATATTACTTGCGCTTAATAATAACGGCATAAATATGGAGAGGTAACATCCCGAAATAATGATTGAGTCATGCGAACACTAACTGATTACCTAGATGCCTACCTAGGTACTTAGGCGACCATCTACCTATATATGCGGGCGTCTACCTTAGCAAACTACCTAGGTACGTAAAGGCGAGGGATTCACCTACATGACTCGTTCTCCCAGCGAGCTGCTAGCTTAATGCAGCTTTCTCCAGATCCCCCCCTCTGGGGCATATGTAGCACGATAATAGCAGGATCATGCTCCTATTCGCTGCAAAAACAGTTGCCCCCAATTCTACACTGAAGCTCTACCCGCTGCAGCTGCAAGCCCACAATCTAAGACAACTTACCAAATACATCCCAACATGCGTTCTAGTTTAGTACGGATTAGGCAGTTCTTCAGTGTGAGAATATTCTAGCTAAACATAAAATCGGCCAGTCTCGCTCACCTGAGATCCATGCTTAGTTACAGATGTGCTGACCCTAATCAACGCCTAGTTACACTTCCCGAAACTCTAGAGTACCACGGACTTGGTTCGGAGTAGCCGAAATATCACGATGTTGTCCAAGACCCTACCTACCCGTCGATGGCGTGAGTTCTCTGGACTGGCTCGGGATACAAGCGCCCAGACAAAGTCGCTCGGCTACTTTATGAATATTATGAATCATCACGGTCTCATTACTATGAGGGCCAATGTTAGAATGAGAGCGCATTGGTACTATCCTTACTTACGCTATAGCGTACATAAGGTTTCCAAGTCTCCTAGCCCAAAGAAACGGATAACGATGGTTTTCTTATCCTAAGCAGGAATCGTTTTTCGCGGTTCTGCCATAGACCATCATTTCACCGCCCAAAATGGTCAACTCCAGGAATGTGTTCTTAAGCATACTAGCCACATCGTCCTTCGGCTTCCGCGGTGTGGACGCCTACTGGCGCATGTCATGCGGCCTCATCCAAACCGGTCGCCTCGACCCCAACATATCGCCCGGAGTCGTCTCAGCTCATGTTCACAAGGTTTCCGGAGCTAGTAACTTCGGCCTATCGAACACGTATGAAAATCTTATGGCCTCGAGGTGTACCTCTTGTGAAGTTCAAGATGACAAGTCGATATACTGGACACCACAGCTCTACTACGAACATACCAACGGAAGCTACGAGGAAGTTCCTAATGGGGGGACCGTTGTGTACTACCTAGGACGTGGTGAAAATCGATCCAACATTGAGCCTTTCCCTCCAGGATTCAGAATGGTGTCGGGCGATCCCTACCTTCGCTCCAACGACACCACATCTTTCACATATTCGGGCGGCAGCGGCTCCCCAAGCCGACTGATCTCTGACCGTGTATCCTTTGCTTGCCTCGATAGCTCGGGCACCATCCCAGAAGAAAACTATATGTTCCGCACGGACTGCGATAACGGGCTCCGCGCTCAAATCCACTTCCCATCTTGCTGGAATGGGGAAGACTACCAACTCGATCAATCGCATGTAGCTTACATGTCGAGTATCGACAATGGCGTCTGCCCACCCTCACATCCGCGACAGCTAGTACATCTATTCTTCGAAGTTTACTACGGTGTCAATAACATAAACAAGGAAGATGGGGGTCGATTCGTTTTTGCGCAAGGCGATCCTACAGGCTTCGGATTTCATGGCGACTTTATGAATGGCTGGAACGCAAGTGTGCTGGAGGAGGCGTTGGATGAATGCGTTAATGACGACAGCTTCAACGGCCAAATCTCGAAATGCGCGCCGCTAGCAAGGTCACAGACCCCTTATTATACCACCAATTGCCCCGAGCGCCAGGCGATCGTTAACGAACCGGTTAAGGGAATGATAGATTGCCTCCCGGGATGCAACGTCGTTACCACTGGTCCGGAAAGAGCAGTTCAACTTACATGCCCTGATGATACACCTACCGTCAACGACATAGATGAGGATGGTCCATGTACTATGTTTGACCCTTCAATAGGCCAGGAACTTGCCAGCACTACATTTACCTTCGCTGGGTGCATCGCGGATGGCAGTCCAAGGACATTAAGTGGATATTCCTTCCAAGCCAACAATATGACCATCGAGGCCTGTACTTCAGTCTGCCACGCCAGAGCTTACGCTTTCGCGGGTCTTGAATATTCCCGGGAATGTTATTGTGGAAGTCTTTCCTCTACCGCGAGCTTAACCGACTGCTCCAGTACCCCAGAGATGATATGCGCCGGCAACTCAACGCAATGGTGCGGTGCGCCGAACCTCCTAAGTGTCTGGAGCGACAGTTCTTACGCCCAACTGGCGACAACGTTGATAACGAACACTACTACAATCAATAACGGAAGCGCAACCTACATAGGCTGCTTTAGCGATCCAAGCGTTAGTAGCAGGGCGCTAGTAGGAGATAGTATGTACAACACGACAGGAATGACGACCGAAATGTGCACGACTTATTGCGCAAGTAAGGGTTACTCCTTCGCAGGGACTGAATATGCGCAAGAATGCTATTGTGGCAATGTGAACACGGGCACTCTTATTACCGATGACAGTCAATGTGACGCGAAATGCAAAGGAAATTTGTGGGAGTATTGCGGTGGCAGTCTTAAATTGAGCGTCTGGAGTCTTGCTCAAAATACACCAAGTCAGACTCAGATTCAATCCACCACGTCCCAGTCAAGCCAGACGCAATCTACGCAATCCACTCAGTCTACCCAATCACAACCCAGCCAGACAGTAACAGTTCAGAAAGATGATGGTACAATCAGAGCAGCGAACGGGACAGCAATTTATCTCGGTTGTTACACGGACAGCGGTTCCGACGGTCGGACCCTATCCAAAGATTCTTACGTTAACGACTCTATGACCGTGGAGTCATGCGCCTCATACTGTCAAGGTAAGAACTACGCGCTTTTCGGCCTTGAATACAGTCGCGAATGTTATTGTGGCAATGCCCCCAAAACTTCTGCGACTGTCACTGCTGCGGGAGATTGTAACATGGCGTGTAAAGGAAACTCGACGCAGATGTGTGGTGGAAGTTCTAGAATTTCCATCTGGAATAGCACGTTGTACGTCCCGACGCACAATTTAGCTACCACTTCTAGTGGGGGATACACGTACCTTGGTTGTTACACAGAGGGGACAAGTGGAAGAGCACTGGGCAAGGGGACCAGCGTAACAAGCAAAAGTGACTCAACGACAGATTCCAGTATGACAGTGGAGAAGTGTGCAAGTTACTGTACAGGAAAAGGCTACAGTTACATGGGTGTTGAGTATTCGCAAGAGTGTTATTGCAACAATGACGGGCTCGTAAATGGGGCAACACAAGCCAACGAGAGCGATTGCAGTATGACTTGTAAAGGGGATCTAACAGAGTGGTGTGGTGGCAGTAACAGGGTTAGTGTCTACAAGGCGAAGAGCGCTTAGTTTTTTGGCATTGATATCTTAATATTCGAATTGTATATATATAGTAGTATTTGGTATATAATATGCATAGTATTTCTTAGCTATTGGTAGCCTAGAAGTAGTCGAGTTTTATGATACCCCTTCAAGGGGTATTGAACGGAGCGCTGGAAATTAATCATCGTCTATTATCTCATATATCCGCAGCCATATTCGTGCGCAATTGCCAATAACAGAAACTAAACGATGGAAATCGAATCGCTCATGAATTAAAGAACTAAAATGTATGATATCGCGAAGGAAACCTGTTCCGGGTAGCGATGAACCATTCACTCCGAATATCCCCACTGCCAGCCGCTTTCATTTGAAAGTATGTCCCTAACACGGGAATCATATATCCGCTTCGTTCATCCTATCCAACACCTCAAATATAGTAGGCGGCTCATCATGCATCCCCTCCTGAGGTCCAGCCCATCTCACAACACGGGGTAGCACTGGGCTATCATAACCCCACATAATCAGATACCCAGCGACAGTGCGAAGTCGACATCTATCGCGATCATGCAACACGCTCAGATCGTCAACAGCAACTAGATCAGCTACAGTCTTACCCTTGATACCGGAGCTAACAGCCGATTCCAAGAGCCTCCTATCAGCAAAGTTATCATCCGTCTCTTTAGGCAAATCGGCATTCCTCAATATCGCTTCACTACGACGAGAATCGAATAGACTAGTCTCCTTATCGTTGATCAAGATCCAATACTCCTGTAGCTGCACATACGGCCGCGCGAAGAACCCAAAGAACTTCTGGACACCCTCCTGATCACCTGGATTGATCTTCAGCATAGCATGGTACATCTCCTCGAGCCGTACCACGATATGCGGCCACACAACCGGTTCATATTCAAGGGGCACGTAAATCTCCGGGTGATCTATCACCTTAGTATGATAGTTCTCGAGGAAATGGAAGTCAATCGGCTTTCCATCGTCCCCGTATCGTGGATACGTAATTAGATCCCGCGGGTCACGCATAGTTTCCTCCCTCAAATAATTAAACTGCCTACAAGCCTCGCTGGAGCGCTCAAAAGGCGTGAGTGCTGTGCTCCAGTTCCAGACTGTACATTTTAGCGTTGCGTCTTTGTGCATGTAGGACTTGTAGGATGGTATTGAGCGGTGCTCGGGTACGAACTGGATGTAGAGGAAAATCCTGGTTGACTAGCGCCGCCCACCTCGATGCCGACGCATCGCGCCAGGTTAGGTCACTCTCCTGGTTCATCTTTACGGTTATGGATTTAACGTCGTTTTTTCGGCCGTAAAGGCGATTCGTTTCTATGGTTTATACGAAGGAATTGCGATAATAGGTAATCAAGGTTGCGTTACCGAGGGCCATACCAAGTGGACAGTCGAAAGTATGGTTTTATAGAAGCGCTTAACAGTAGAAAATCCCATCTTTTCTCCTTACTCAACCCCTTTCCTGTAAAAACAGAGGCTTTGTTCCTACTCAATTTCTTTCATGGGTATAATGAGGTTTTATCCACTGGTGTCCTTTTCGAGCGTTAGGAAGACTAATAAAGTACCTAGTCAGCAGTAATACCATGATAAAATGTTAGGCGTTTGTAACTGTAATCTGAGCTGTATTTCCTTGTGTATAATTACGTGGAATTAATCTGGCCTTTATCACAGCAAGTAGTATAATGAGTCGTGTCATAACGGTAGCTATGAGAATAGGAGGGATATAAGGCCAGATGAGGGTGACCTTTACAATTTCTTGAGGCACCTATGATTCACGTACGAGCTTAGTAATATGTTGAGTATAATGGGTCGGGATGTATAACTTACTAGACAGGTACTTTGAAGTAATTTATTTAACCTTACAGATCTCTCGAGACCAGAGATCTACTTAGGCAGGCTTGGAGATAAGTTGAAGACCGACCCGTCCCAACTATAACCCCTCACCCAGCCAGTCAAGCATTCATCCCCTTACAACATCGTTTGTCCCCTTAGGAAAAAACTACGAGATTCTTCACATAACCACTTATTCACCATAAGACAAGCCCAACTATATCATAAAGACGGAGTTTAGCCCGTAGGAAATCTATCCGGGTATCAAATATCAATTAACTCTCTTTCCCTTTGCTCCTCTGCCCCCCTCCTCGCCTCTTTCGAAAAAGGGGGGCACCAGCCCAACCCAAGTTCATCGTAACGTGGAATTCGATAGGTTTGCCCCGTATAAATCTGATACAATGACTATCTTCACACCGTCCTAACATCAAGGCTTCTTCCATCCTCGATTCAACAAAATCCCGCCTCTCTTCGATCTTTGAGGAGCAACCAGCTTGTAGCGAAGTGTCCAGCGCGTATTGCTAGTCATGATTATGTGGTTGTTGATAGGTACGGTGTGTGTAGTCCAAGCAGGTATGCCTCCCTAAAATATTCCCCTACAGCTTCATATTCCAAACATATTAATTTGCACTCATTCAGACCCACTCACGGGCCTTGAACGTTGTGCCACCACCTCTCTTGCATAGAATTCAACTAGCATCGTAGCATATGCTTCTAAATCTTCGACCGGTACAGCAAGTCGGAAGTCGTTCAACAGGAGGAACTGCAGCTCGAGATGGTTGAGCTCAGCTAATGGGAGACCACCAACCTAATGATTATTGATATTAGCATATGATATCCAAGGAGAGCGGGAAGCGATGTGCTTGATATGTATACAAACAATGATGCAATGGCTGATTGTTGATAGTAACATACCTTAGCATATCTCGAATTGGTGTAAAACACATCCGAGAAGAATTTACTGGCGCAGGTAACACCTGCAATTATTAAACGATGTATGTTGAAACTGTCGACGACAAAATACGTAGCCGGTGCGACGGGAGGGGATAATGGTGGTTCTCTAGCTTTCTTTTCTCGCGTGGTTCTCTTTCCCTTTTCCTCGGGGTCGGTGTCAACAATGTCTGACTCGGTCTGGTCACTATCGCAATCCTCATCCCGCATTTCACTGTCGGTCGTCTGGTTGGGTTGTATTTCAGGCACAGGGCCTCTGGAATGTTGAGCCTGCGACTGCCTTCGCGCCGCCTCAGCATCCATCACCATATTGTTAACTCGCTCTGTCATTCGGTCAAAGTAGACTAGAAGACTTAGGAAGACTTCGTAGGTAGTCGGGCAGTACTTGTGGATCCTGCTTAAGTAGCTCAAGATTGTAATCGCAGGAACATTTTTGCCATGAAATGCAAGAACAGAGCTGCTAAGGGGACTCATAGAAGTACCCTCGCTGTTATGAGTAGCGGCTGTTTGCTGATGTGTCGCATTCCTGTGTAGAGCATCATGTTGGAGGTCGTTGGTTGTGGTGATCTTGGTCAGAAGAGCAGCAACCATTTCGATAATGTCGCCTATTGGCATTTGGCTAATCTCATATTTCATCGCCTGAAGCGGCGGATCGTTTAGTATACCAGGCCCATTTCCCCCGTTCATTAAATCGGCGCGAGCGAGGCTCTGGATATGTGCGAGGTCGCGTACATAGACTGTGTGGCCCTGCTGAGGAGCGGGGGTGCTATCGGCGTGGGCTCGAGGAGCGGGCGACTTGTATGCATCGGAGTCGGGTGAGGGTTGTTGCTGAGTAGGTGTAGGGGTAGAGCTATTAGGTACTGCTGTAGCAGTGGTTTGGGTCTCTGATGCCATAAATTCTTGCGACGGACTCCTTGCATTCTGTGCTCTTACGCGGGCAGAAGTGGGGTTAGGCGACGAAGAATCAGGTGGCGTAGGAAATCGCGAGGCACCGCCTGTCGATGAGAAATGTTTCTGGTCAACTTCCGTCTCGGTAGATTCCCAAGGCCGCTTGGAAGGCGTCGCACTCGGCGCCGAAGTACGGTATGACGTTGTAGGAGTATTGGGAGTGTATACTGTCTGGGACGGCGCCTCGCGCGGTCGGTTCCTTGAGTCGGAACGGAATGAGGATTCGCGAGGCCGCGAATGTTCGTGTGGCAGACCAGAGGCTGCTATCATGTTATGTAACCGCGTATGATCTGTGACAAAGTCTCCGATGACGGCTGCCATTGCATATGTTTGGGAGGGTGGTGTATGATAGATTTAGTTGATTGATTAATATGCGAAGGGTGATATCGCGGTAGTGATAGAGGAATTATCAAGAGGAACTAAGAAAGATCGGGAATCTAATGTTAGCAAATCGGTCTATTGTTTCAGCGGATTGCGATGTTTGTCTCGTCTTGTCTAGTGTCTAGAGCGAACGCGACTCAACTCAGCTCAGCTCGGTCAGTTGGTCGATTCGCGACTCGGTGCAGTATAACTTGAGTCTTGCTAGGTACTTTGCTTGGCCTTGCCTCGCTTTGGGACTTTAGAGAGTAACAAGAGAAGGGTCTGGCTGGTCTGGGACCCCGGGAGTGGAGAAAAAACGGGTAAACAAGAAAATGTTCGGGCCACAATCTCGACAGCCCAACGACCCACGAAGAGACAGATAAGGCCTAAACGGTGGAACGGTCCCATATGTCACAGTGGCTCCGGGTGGCAATGCTCACGGTCCCACGTACAACAACAGGGAAAGGGACGGAAGAAGAGGCGAATTGTATGCGCTCTTTAATTTGCCCGAGGAGAACAAAGTGAATCATCCTAATGTTTAAGGAAATGAATGGGATGAATTAATAGGGGAAATAGGTGACTAGGGAACTAGAAGATAATCAGGTCGAGGGAGAGAAAGACGCCTGGACTTTGAATGATCATCTTTCTAGATAAGAGCGACAGCCCAACGCCAGACTCGCCGCCGAACAAGGCACATAACACAACAATCATAATGTTCCTACACCTTCACCGGCTTGGGTCGCTAAGGTAGATCGCGAGGGGTATGAATGAGTAGGAACCGATCGTATTCGAGAGGGAGTAGGGAAGTATAAAGAATTTGTTCAAAATCAGGCCATTAGGTGTGGTGGATGCGAGCGAATGCGGATGTAGACGAGCGCGCGAAAGTAAATCAAAGATGCGAAATCGCAATGCTTACCTATTTAAAATGCCAGCAGCCGGTATGACGTTGTAAGCATTTATTTATTATCGTCGGCTGGTCGCTATTGAATGACAGGATGCAGTGGTGCGCGCAGGTCCACGAATGTCTTTCTTGGTAGATCAGCAAAGATTACCAATGGAGTCGGGCGCAACGATAGCCTCGACCAATTGTCGAGGTCGCGCAGTAGCAACTGCGATTAGTATAGATGGATGTAATAGATTATATCGATACGGTTTACAGCGTTTCGTTTATGTTGAAGCAACCGTCCCAAATATTTGGAAGGATTATTAGTTTTTTTTTTTTTGTTGATGTGGGAGGGTAGTTGGGAAGGAAGAGGAAAAAAATTGGGAATGCGTCGATATTGTTAAGGTAAGGATCAGGAGTTGGCTGACAATTGATGCTAGGGGGGTTTGCTAGTAGTTTCAAACTGAACTGCGGTGGAAGGAAGGAATAATAGGTGGTGTAGTAGTGTAGTCGCGGTCGCAGTCGCAGTAGTAATGCTGGTAATAGTAGTGGCAGTCGCAAGTGGCAGTAGTGGCGGCGGCGAAGATTGATACCGCAGATTAGAGAGGAGCAAGCATACGTCAAAGCCTTAGATGTCTCGGCGCTTGGCCAGGGTGTGCCTGCCGATGATAGGTGCTGAGACTACCGAATAATTGATTGACGGTGCGCAAAGTGCGCAGGTATGACATAAAAGTAGCAGCTACCCCCAGTGAAGAAAAAAATAAAAAAGAATAAAAAGAAAATAATAATCAATTGTACAAAACTCAATGCAATTGCAATACGCTGCCTGAACCGAACAGCGCAATGTAATGCAAGGTAATAACAACAATAACAACAACACTAAATAATATGGTTGACCCCTTTTTGGACTTGCGTGTTTCGTTCACAATCTTAGGGTATTGTATTGGTATTGATATTGATTAAAATAGATAAAACACTGAAAGCCACAGATATCCTGATTTCATTCCACGAATAAAGAAACAGGTAGAGAGAAAAAAACAAATCACAAAAGCAATAACCAGGAGGGGTAATCAGAGATTACGAGGGCGAGAAAAATGAGAGGTCAAGAAGAAAAGAGAATAAAAATCACAATTTTGATATCAAGCCTAAATTTAATAAGGGAGACAGCGGCTGCATATAAAAATAAATGATAAAAAGATAAAAGAAAATATTGAAGATGGAATGGTACAAAAAGGGGGGGAAGGGAGTACGACGAGATGACGTGCGATGGGCTGAAAATCGACTCTTGAACAACTCTCGCAGCTATGATCCCCAGTTTCTCTTAAACCTCCTTGATCCCGCTGCTTGTTCATTCGTTTAGCACGTGTTCGCGATACTCGGGATGGATGGATGGCAGACAGATAGACAGGATCCAATCGAGACCCGGCTCCGGAACTGCAGGTAATAATTGCATCTTACCGAAACGGGTAATAGGAGAGAGGCGGTGCTAGACTACGGTCAGCAACTAATGCAGATAAAAGCTTGAAGCTTGTTGGTTCGCAGGATTCAAAGTCTGTGCTGTTTCGGTACGCTACGCTGGTTCGCCCGTGGGGGGAAGGTTTTTACATATGGGGGGAATGACAGTTAACCTGGAAGTTTATTGAAGCTATAACGAAGATTCAGCAACGGCTGAGTTGCGAGGCGTATTTTGAAAGAAAAGACGATAGCCGATTTTAGTTTAACCTTATAATATTTTAACATTTAGGTATTTGACACTTTAGCCATCAATTTCCTTTATGGGTCTAAGTCGTATGCATATAATGTACTCAAATCTTTAACCTCTAAAGTCTACGTCATCTTCTCCTTTAAAGAACAAGTCCTTCCGGCAATCTCATGCACGCGAATAATTTACGGTGGTATCAAATTTCACATGCTTTAAATACACGTACAAGCGGAGGAGATTAAATTGAAACTCTAGCTTAAATACCATTTGTCTAGATATATATCTATTTGTATAGATCCGAGTGGTATTGACGATACCTCCATCTAGGAAGGAGATATTACGTGGTCTTTAAATCGGTGAACGTAATGGCGATTTCTAAATCGCATCCCGCACTACCCATACCCGTATCCTTGAATTTGCCCACCCGAAAACGCCTACCTATGGAATACTAAGGCGTCCGTCGTGCACGCCGATAAAGCCGGGTCCATGGTTCGTTCGCCTAGCTCAGACCCATATTCGGCGTCCACGACTCAGTAGCCTGTTCTAGATCGAAGCATATATGCCGATCTCTTCATCGCTATCCTCGAATAGCTGCTCGAGTTTATGTCATGATCTCGGAGTGATTATGTGCTGACTTAGATACATCAAGAATGTATTCCAATCACTACCAAGCTTAACAAGATATGTTGTGCTATCGTATAGATATGCCTAGGTAACTTTCAGGGTCGTACTTCACACGGCAAATTCAATATATTGGTTCGTAAGTAATTGGCACTTACATAGTATACGCTATCCTATCCCATCTTTTGTCTGTAGGTACCTAGGTAATTAATATCATCCCGCACCCTCCTCCCCGTGCCAAGATCCTGGCTACAGCGGGTGCCGTCGCCCCCCTGAAGAGGAGAGGCTGACATGCGGCGTCCCAGAAACCGAGAAATGCTTTTGTTACCTGATGGCATCATCGTACCTCCCCGTACCCTCATTTCCACCCCCACGAAATCCCCCGATTTGAGTGATGAGATAAGAAATAAAACACGGGACGGGCCTTCTAGCTAATAAACTCCTTCCTGTCGAGCACCTGCTTGCCCCTGTTCCGCGATTCCTCACGGATTCTTTGAAATAATGCAATTTAAGGTAGGTACAAAGGTAACAGCAGGGTTCGGAAAATGCATTTAGATAACTCATTCCAACCCGTCCTCGCATCAACACATTTTGCCAAGACCAAAAGCTACTCGTCCATTTCAGGTTTCAATGTTTAGGCTAAAAAGAAAAACCCCAGCCCGAGGGGAAATCATGGGGTGACTTCCTGTAGCTTCAACTAAAGTACCTACATTAGGTAGGTGATCATGGTCATACTTCCAGGTGCATTAGACATCGCCAGCGTAGCACCGATGACGACGAGGGAAGCGGGAGGCTGGTCAGATATGTTGCAATGTAGGTTCATATTAAGAAGATCCCCGTTTCATCGTCTCTAGACCCGAGACCTGGAGGGAAATCTTACCCGTACTCCGACAACACCAACAAAACGGCATAAATTTATCTAACCCGTAAGAAATGTCCCCGGTAGCCCGGATCGCCCCGACGATAGCCAGTCTTATCAACATCCGAAATCCATCACAGTCAGGAGGTATATACCATAGGTAGATAAGTAGGTTGTTGGATTAGCATTAGAATCATCCAACGGTTTCGCTCATCCATCAGCCGTACGCGATTTTATTGGCGATGTCTTCGTTGCGCCATGTGACAGCCCGGGCTAGATGATTTGTTCGAAGTATTTTGCTCACCGCTTGATTGTGTGCAGTTTGCCAAGAATTCGAACATAGAGATCCCCCAACCCTGCATCGCTAAAGAATCCCATTCATGGGGGGACATATCGCCACGGATTAAGCATCTAATTATTCGTGGAAATGGAAGGTTGATGCCTCATTGTGATACCCCTAATTGAGCTCAGATAATCACCGTCGCCATGCAGCTTGCAGCGGGTGCGACACGTGGATTTATGTAATATTATACAGGTAGATTAGCTGTAAGCATGCTCAGCCCTGAAAGCGCCATTGGGTCTTTCGTCCGCACCACCGCTTTAAATGCGATCTATTAATGTCGCACCTCGTACTTTTCGTCCGGGAGGTATAGGTGACGGTCCGCTCCTTTCTTTGTAAGGACAACCATACGGATAACACCTCCTGAGCTACCATCCCACTTGATCGCCTCTTGCAGCGCACCCTTGACGAAGTTAACAGCATCCTTCTCCTCCATACCTTCCTTCCAGTGCGCATCACAGTAACCGTAGATGTATGTCGAACCGGAACCGCCGATCGCATAGGCTTGTTTGTGTAGGGAACCGCCAAGGGGAATGGAATACACCTGACCACCGTGTCGCTCATCCCAACCCGCGATAATTAGACCCGCGCTACGAAACACAAAATCCATTAGTATCAGCTGTACTAAGAACATATTCTCAAGGTGTATTGAAGCCGTGTATTTACCTTAGCCGGTCTTTGTTGGAATAGCAAACCTCCTGGAAGATAGATGCTGCAGTCTGTGTGGTAGGCGGCTTGCCATTTCGCATCGCGAACATGCCCAGTTGGTATTGTACTATATCGGCCACGGCTTGTGTGTCGGCAGCCGAACCAGATCGGCAACACCAGATTGTGTCATGAACTTGGGTTAACTTGTCTGTAACTCGGTTCGCAATGTAGGCCCCGGTGGTGGTTCTGGAGTCGGCACCTGGAAATAGGCGGTAGTGTTAGCAGCTGCTCGAGAACAGGGAATAGGGATAATGATGCCCAACATACCAAGAATGACGCCGTCCTTGAATGTTACGGCCATGCTAGGATTGCATTAATTTTAAACGCCATCGTTAGATATCTGGGGGGAGGATCGAGCTTACATCGAGGTACCAAGGCTAGCGAACAGATTGTTAGCTCGTTATTTTACAACGGGACATTGCAATACTCACTTGACCTCACCCTTCTTTAACCTATCCATGTCCACATGGATTCCATCTGCTCGAGCGGTTAGCTGGTTCAGCTCTATGCCCAAATTGAAGCTCCCAAGAGCTCAGTCCAAGTTCCACATACCCTCACTCAAGACGCCTCTGTTGCCAAACTCCATTCTGAAAATACTGAAGGCGGAATCGGGGTGTTGATTGGTTTATAACAGTACCGGTTGGGTTGAAAGTTTCGTTTTTGGTGAATAAGATGGATGTAGCAGAGGAAGGTTGGTTGATGTCGCGGAAAGAGCTTCAATAATTCGTTGATGGATTGATTGTTTAACTAAAGCTCAAGGCAGCTCCGACGCGCAAGGCTAGGTCGGGAGTCGGGACCTGGGGTCGCCTATCGTTAGAGTTGGACAGGGATCCGTTATTAGTCACGTGCAGATATGTACCTAAGTACCTATACATATGAATATAGCAGATTAGAAGCATCAAACTTGACAAAATCACGATTATTCACGTGGTAACTAGTTGTACATATTCCATCGAGGATTCTGACAATCCGTGGTAGAGCTATCAGAAAGTACACAATAAATAACCTAACTCTCCCATAGAAGCGCGAGCTTTCAATATCATTTAAACGATGGAAATAGCTGATACATCGAAGAACAGAAAACCACAAAGTAGAAAAGGGGTCTGATATTTTATATTCCAATAATGAATGCCTATAATAGAGAACACCGGTCGCTATGCAGTAAACACAAGACAATTACACCTGATTATTACAGGATCAACCACCCTTAGTCAACCTACGGATGCAAATTAGTACCAACGAGAATTGTTCAGCGATCTTTTCAAATGGACGAGACTCACCCTTCCTTCTCTAGCTTCAGCTCTCCTATGCTTTCGGATTCTTCCTTCTTCTCATCACCACAACCACAGTCGTAAAAGTCCCCAAGGTTGTTGCAGTCGAATAAGGGCTTCTTTAATCTCTCGTTGACTTGGTTATGGACGAAGCATGCCCATCCTGCAGCCGCGTTGCGCGAACTGACCTGTGGCGGATACTTGGCAATTAACTGTTGAAAGTGTCGCGCACAGTCGCCACATGGGTATAAGCGTGCGAAGAGTTGGATAAACGTTTTGAGGGTAGCCGAGTCGTCTTCTGTAGGCTTTTCGGGGAATCGCGCCATCATCGTATGGAAGAATTTCCAAGTCGAGCGACCGAGTTCAGCTCTATGGTCATTTTATGTTAGTACAATTCGTATTATGTCTAATATACATCTTATCCTCAGAGAATGAGTGCAGAAAGAATGTAGAGATGCATACTTTATGGTAGCATTCTCCAGCTTCGGAGCTATAGCACCTCCTGATAGAATGTCGCTCGTCACTGATGCGAAGTCCGGCTTCGTGTTTTGTTTCGCATCTGGCTTTGTGTCTGGTTTTGTATCCGCCTTCACGTCTGTTTCCACGGTTCCCTTTATATCTACACTGGTATCGAGCTTTGAATCGAACTTCGTATCCGGTATCGTCGCGTCGGAGGCAGGTAAGGGACGCTCGGGCTTATTGACGCCTGGTAGGACTTGTCGGATTTGTTCCGTCCTGTCGCCAAATGACGACATGAAAGATAGAATTACAAAGCCCGCGATCGCCAAGATGACGATAACGGATAGATGCCGTGCCATTTCGGAGGGGAGAGATTTCGTTCTATGGGTCGAATGATCTGGTTCACGAAAGGGTGTCTGTACTATAGGAGATTTAATGATCGGGAGGGGAACTGAGATAGTAGCCCAGCGTAATTATGAACAAAATAATACTCAAGAATGATAATAATGAATTAAAGTAAAAGAAAGTTATCGCAAGTCTAAAGAACACGCTGAATCGTTCGACAAGCGTCGCAAGTTTGCTTTTCAGGGGTTCGTTTCAAGGGTTCGATTTAGCGTGGGTCTACCCAGAAAGACTTAACCAAACATGGAAATCAATAACCCCGGAGTCATCTACTAAATCCGAAGATCTGTACGGAGATTAGTAAGAACCTGTACCTATCCACCCATCGACCCCACATCGTAAAAGCAAGTTACCCCTGACAAAGTCATCCACCATTTCCAAGATTATTCCACCTACCACATATCTCGATCTATCGTGTATAACCTACATGACTCAGTACTTTTAAGACATACGCACTTATTTTGCAATACTACAAGCAGACTTAAAATTACCCAGATAAACAAAGTTCCCACCGAACGAGGACAACAGAACCTAGAGAACTGGCAATGCTAAGAGCTAACATGACAATCATTAGGTATAATCGAGCGAGGCTCTATCGACGGACTCTAGTTATTTGACTAATTGGTAAAGGGTGACTGGAAATATTAGCACTTGCCTAAAGATATAAAACGAGAATACTCATTCATGGTGTACATGCGCATCCAAAGACCCGTATAGACCGCCGATCAAGCGATGATACTTCATATATCTTGCGTTGGTTGACTCGCATACAGTCTTTCCTCATCGTGCATCCATTCTCAATATGCCCTGAATTTGGAGAATTCGGGGACTGTATAATGCCTAAACGCCTAATGACGACTGAACTCGTAAGTGCACTTCGAGGATGTAAGGAACGGGGAAATTGGAGAAAGACGCCCATCCTATACGATACCTACCCACTTCCAGGGGGTAGTTACAAGTGCCGTACGATTGAATGATTAGGGTCACATGTACTGTGTCCCGGTGGGAAGATTATCTTACTTAATTATTGGGTACGAGATATATCCACTTTCATGCGCACACGGCTCGGAGTCCCGAATCAATCCAGTTAGCGGTTCCCCGAGCAGCCCCTCGAGTGCCGATCCCGACAGCACATAGAGTAGTTCTCAGTTTAATTGGGAAAGACATCATTTGTGGCTTGCCTGGCGTCTTTCAAGGGGCCTACTCATTTGGTTATTACTCGGTGTGCGGGGGAGACTCATCTCACCAAAAAGCAATAGCAAGGGTAGAAAAACACGGGCGATGAGGCAAGTTTCTTGATGTATTAGTCAATTACTCTGTCGCGGCTAATTCATATGGCAGATGTGAATTATGCTCCAAGAGACATAACCAATGGTTGTGTACGTATTTCTACCCTTCCTAGGCTATACGAATAGCCGCGGAGACGAAAAAATGGTGCCAAGACCCTGCTCCAAATAATGCCTGCCCGCCGTTTCCGACCTCGATATTGTTGCATGTATGGAACAGTGGTAAGATGTATTGGTTAGGTGGGTTGGGAGCCGTGTAAGCCAACATCAACCTGGAATTCCTCGGCTCAACAGAGAAAGGTAATTCCGTAATTAATGATTATGCTTAATCGTCGCCGGGGTTGCCATTGAAGGCGAGCTTGTTGACGGTGCCGCTGGGGATGCTGGATAGAACATCCGAGTTGGCGGTGGAAGCGATGTAGCTGCAGAGCTCCTGGGGGCTCTTCTTACCCTCCAGTGCTAGGAGGTAGGCACCCAGACCGGCAATGTGGGGGGTAGCCATGGATGTACCAGAGATGGTGTTCTAGTAGAGAGGTTAGCCTAATTATCCGTGAAGGGCGGGAAGGGGGGCTTACAGTGCGGTCATTGTTCCAAGTAGATAGGATGGAGCTACCAGGGGCAAAGATGTCGACAACTGCACCGTAGTTGGAGTAGCTAGCACGAGCATCGGTTGAAGTAGTAGCACCGACGGTGCAGACACTAGGCTCAGAAGCAGGAGATGAAGAAGCAGCATTCTGGTTGTCGTTACCAGCGGCGACAGCCAAGAAAACACCTGCATTAATGATGGCCTTGGCAGCGGCATTGATCGACGACGAAGAACCACCACCAAGAGACATGTTCGCGACGGCGCCCTTGGCACAGGTTCGGGTTTTGACGTCCGAGGCTACGAAGTTCATGCCAGCGATGACACCGGAGGTCGATCCAGAACCGCTCGAGTCGAGCACCTTGACGGCGAATAGTTGAGTCTTCTTCGCAACACCGTACGTCTTGCTGCCCTATTAAAGAGGTTAGTACATTGAATTCTTAATTGTGGACAACAGTGTAACGAAATACGTACGATAGTACCGGCAACGTGAGTGCCGTGACCGTTACCGTCCGTGCTGGAGCGGTCAACGTAGTTAGCCGCGAATTCGGCACGGCCTTCGAACTCCTTAAGGCGATATTAGCATTCATCCGCAAGTCCCTCTCATGCGTAATACATACCTCGTGCGCGGTGTGGATACCAGTATCAATGACATAGGCGCAGGTTCCCTCACCAGCGGTAGAGTCGTAGACGTAAGTGTTGCTGCCGGACTTGTGGGATAGACGCGAAATTCCCCAAGGAGCACCCTCCTGAGTAACGTAGGCGTTGATTTTCATGACGGCGTCTTGCTCGATGAACTCGACCTGTTAGACAGTTGGACATTAGCCGTAGCCTATACAAGATGCCGACAAGTGACTTACGTCAGGGTGGTTTTTCAACGTCTCTAGGTGCTCGGTTGTTAAGCTGGAAGCAAAGCCCTTGAAGCCCTCAACATTGTATACGTGGTCGGCATCGCCCTCGAAGGTGCTCATGGCATCCTCAAGAGCCGTGACTCCCGAGTGCTCGTAGAGTTTGACAATGTACTTGCCCTCAATGAGCTGGGATCCCCGCGGCTTGACGAGAGGAGCTGGCTCGGCCCGCTTAGCTGGGGCAGCGAGTGCCAGAGGCAAAAGGGAGAAGAGGAGGGCTGTGATACGCATGTTGAAGCAAATTAAGGGGTAAGACTAGGGAATAAAGGGTCCAAAGTGGTTTCTTCGTGATTGATATGGGACAGGAGGTTCCTCTCAAGTCGACGGCATCGCGACTATTTATCATTGTGCTCGCCTTGTCTGAACCTCGCGGCAACTCTCATCCGATGATCTTGACTTCCCCTGGAAGGGTACTCGCAGATCTCCTATACTCCGTGGGGTCTTACTCGGCGGCATAATCGGAGAAGCTAGATGACGATGTAGTTTGTAATAAGTGACTATGCGAAGGGTATTGGACAGCTCCACTGAGGAGACCCTGATGACCTAGACGGTTACCGGTACCTTATCTGCAATCCCTGCTAGTTAAACGGCATACGTTGGCGACTTGTTATGCGGGACAAGATCCTGACGCTATCATGGGCTAGAGAAGCGCGGTAGCTATTAGAGCTCGGTTGTTAGGCATGGGGAAGCATTGATACCCTCCAGCACTTCGCCCGGAGGGATTGGCGGCGGTTGTTGGCTCCAAGACCTCTAGGGTCTTCAGGGGTCCCCTAGGATCTCCGGGGTTTAGGGCCATGGCTCCTGGCTAGAGGCTAGAGCTGGATCCGAACCGGGGATCAGAGCAAGGATTTGTCGACTTCGGGCGGCCGGTTGCAACACAGCCTAAGACTCGAACCCAATAGCGTGGGGAAGAAGATCTACCTAGCAGTATAACGATGTAGTAGCCGAAAGCTGCGCCAAGTCGTCTTTTCACGGAAAGAAGTCTCGAGCTCGCGTCGCGTGGTGCTCAATGCACGGCCTTCCTAATCCAGTAATTAGCCCCCTCCTATGTTCACCTTATCATCACTCAGAAGAAGAAAGGCCAAGAGGCCAAGAGTGAGCTTGTTTCTGGTTGCAGATTGTATATAGTGTCCTAAGAGAAATTATACGGCAAGTCGAGCAGGCTTTTATATTATACTACAGGTAATACGACATGATGTGATCCGTCTCGACGCCGCATTTACCGAAAATTCGGCATTGATAACCGCGGTTCGCAACTTCGCTTGTATCTTACAACATAGAAGACCTCATATTCTCTATAGACGATCATCCATAGCATAATAACCCTTATCAATTAGCACGTCACAAGCGGATATAGCGTGATCAATCTTTTAATCTACCTATCCAGGTATTTATACTTATAGAGTAATAGTATATCAAGGTTTAAATTAAGCTTATCTAAGGTCCCGCCGGCGCTAGGAACCTTATTAGTCGTTGGATGCCGGCTTTACCGGAAGGGAGGTACGGGACCATCGAATACCTTGGTCGCTAGTTCCTTCGGAGGCTATTTTCAAGTACCGTTACTGCCCCGCATCTCTACAGTGTTGTATATGTATGTGAGACATGCTTACATCGATCCATTACTTACAGATGCAATGCACTGTAAGATTGTATCACGGTAGGTTGGTGCATGTGGTGGGCAACGACTTTGCACGATTAGCTTTAGTACACTACCAACGGATTCTTCTTACCTATTGGGGTTTGGACGACGATCTCACCTTCATCAAGTAGGCTCATAAACCCGTCTCCAGTCCGGCTGGTATTCAGGACCACCCCACTGGGCAAGTTTAGATCAGTTTCTAGCGACATAGTAGTTATAGAATGCCATCATAGATTTTGAGGGTGACTTAATATTCGATGAAGGAGGCAAACCCACGAACTAGACACCTTCTTCGCAACATATGAATGCTGCCATACGCAATCAAAATCTCCTAATCGGCGGGTAGATTACACCCTCATTATCAAAATGAATTCTCACCGAATCATCGTTGTCAGATAGGGGAATATGGCCGTCGGACAAATCCGTCTGATGTGTGCATTATAGTTTTTAACGTCACAGGCACGAAGCTTTCAAGCTCCCCCTTGTCCTACTTCGTTCAGAAAATAGAACAGCGTTCCATAAGCTAGCAGCAGCGTAACCTCAAGCGCATTCTGGATCTCTCAATGAACCACACACGTTAGAAGCCGATGACCCGTCACCTTCCCAAATAAGATTGACATCCCAACCATGTCACCCAGGTAATGTGCCTAGAATGCGTCCCTGGCACAAGGTTAATATATTCGCCTGGTTGCTAGGGGAGCTGAGCTGACCGCATTCATAATTATAGTTCATAGCCTCGACCGTTCGGTATGTGTGGTCGATTATGAATGTTATCAATGGAAGATATGTTTTGTGGACGCAGCATTGAGTGCTATCGCTTCTAGTTATGTTATCTATCCCTGGACCTATCGAAGTAGGTTTGTCGGTATAGGTTCGGCATAATCATAACTGATGTAAATATCTCGGATTTCGGCGATAGCTGTGCTCGAGTGTAGAAGGCATACCCGGCTGATTGATAGGGCGTAACTGAGTCGATTTGAGATACCTACCATGTAGTACTTGGCCAGGGGCTCAAGCCAGCATCCACGAAGTTGGGGAACACAGGCTCGCACAATTTACTTAGGTAAGATATGACGACGGGTGCGCCTGAGCGGGTATTATGACTATCGAATAGCAAACAGATCCATTGCCGAGAAAACGTCAGTGGCGGCCATGTCTCATCACAAAATGCAGTATGTAGACTTATCAACGGTGGGACAGGTGGCCTGGAAACGTAGCTACCCGCGCCACACCAGGGTTAAATGTCTCACCTGGATTATAGCGAGCTTATACCTAGGCGTATGGCCTTTCTAATAAATACGCCCAACAATTGGCAACTAGGTGGTGCTAGGTATATAAAGAACCCACAAAGCTATTGTTCCAGAACATTGAGTTATATAGGAGCCAATCTATAGCTATACTTCCGCTCATCAATATGTGCAATTTACCTTGTTTTTGCACAATTTTTACTATCTCCAACGATGCTTGAGTTAGTTAACAACATGCATCGTACAGCTGACAGGGGCGGCATGTAAAGTTCGCGTCCAGCTCACTTTCTGCTAGATGCTAATTCCATTGGGAAAACATACCTATCTACTGATACTTCATTGACATACGAATATACATAGGTACTTGACACCCGTTCGTAATCAATCCATTTACGAGGCTTGAGATATCGGCTATATAACCAAAGCCAGCATGGATAGTACTAGTTTTAATATACTCTACACTATCTTAGTGATAGTCTTCACATTTGGATTCTGGATGCTCTACCTATGGTTAAAGAATAGAAAGAACATGCAAAGACAGAGGTTTGAAATGCAACCGCTGCCGCCCAATAGTAACACACGATCGGCAGCGCAGCAACCGTCAACACCGCGAGAGGAATTGGATTTGTTTGATAGGTACGTACCGACGTCTATACGCCGACCGCCACCAGCCCATGCACACCCGGGTAGGGAACCCACTCACCACCCCGTTCCCCATAGTGGTGAATCAAGGGCCCCGCTGCCTGCATATGATGATACTCGTGAGAGAAGCCGTGGCGGAAGTCACGCAAGACGTCCAACTGTGTCTCCGTTTGCGGACCCATCTGAGCTACAGGACATTACATTTGTGGTGTGAAAGATGATTCCAAAGTATTGGGTTCGTCATATTTCATACCTGTTTTATCCTAGAGCTGGACTCTACATATGAATTGATTAGATATTTAAGTAGGTATTTGAGTAAGTTAGGATTGACTTAAGAGTATTTGTAATAGACCTAATAAAAAAAATTAAAAAGTAATAAACCTCAACGGCTATGAACGCTTGTGATACTGTTTCTAGAGACTATGTTGTTGCTATTTATTGCTAGGCCCCCTTGAATGGCTTGGCTACCAACTAAGATGCTTTACCTGACTCGTGCCTTTAAACTAACACCATTCTTTCATGGTAGCAATTCACCATACAATGGCTTTGTATACCGATGAGCACGACTAAGCTAATTAAATCACAGGGAGGCTACGCATAGGAGCTAAAACACAAGTTTTTGAATAAAAAGGCTAATCATAGGCAGGGCATACCGTAGTAGGTTTGGGATTGAGTTATTACACTGCTCAGCTCATGACCGTTAGGGGTACCCAAGTACCTAGGTAGGTATTAAAGATCCCCATAACGCTCATCCACTATATCTCGTAGCGCGCCTGTTCTCTCGTCACGTTCCAATTGGCCATCATCACTCCATTCCATGCGAATGGAGAGGATATCTCCCAACTCGCGATGATACCTCCACTTCGAAAAGTCTCTCCATAACGCCTTTTCAATTCTATGACGCACTTCACCAGCGTTTCCCGGTTTCTCTAATGCTAAGCGTATGATGAGTTTCTCGCCGGATCCGTGGCAGCGGAGAACGCACTGAAATTGACTGGTAACGTCTGTTCCGACGGCGCTGTCGACTATGTTCTTGACGTACGCCCAATCTAGGGTGATATTGGCAAGTTCGATCTTTAGTGATTCCCTGCCATAGTACTTGAAAGTTTGAGATTCATAATCGACCCATTCGGCAACATCGCCAAGGGGATAGCGAATTATAGGCTGCAGTCGGCGCATCAAGTGAGTGATGACAACATTCCCTTTAATGCCTGGTTGCTTGATAATGGTGCCATCGTCTGCCATAATCTCTAGCTTCGCAACACGTTCGCAAACTTTATACGTCGGGTCGATATCGCATCCTTCGGAGGTCGTGATAGGGGCTGGAACACCTAGGGGACCTAGATCGATCTTGTCGTATAAAGGCGCAAATAATTTAGCGTTCGGAAATACGGTAAGCCATACCGAATGGAAGGCCTTAGGGACTGTTCTTCCGAGGTAAAGTATGATCGCTACGGACTGCATTGTAATGTGATACCTACTGCAGTGCTGAACAATTCGAGTCAGATCAGACATATCCCCAAATATGACGTTCGTATTGAACCCGATGATCTCTCTTGTAATCTGCGGCTCAGATCTTTCGTTCGATATAAGTAACTGGGCGCTCTCGGCAGGCGCATACACGCCGTTGAATAAATTGGCCATCTCCCAAAATCCGACCTGTAAATCACGGGGTGCCATGATGTTGACGATGCGATCGCCTTTCGCGAGATTCAAGGCCTTTGACCAGAGGATTGCTTTCTCCCTAGCAAGGTCGCGTACTTCATCCTTCGTCAAGTAGACATTGCTAATGTCACTAGCTGAATTGTCGGTGCAATAGACCTTGCCTTCGGTAAATGGCCTAGTCAAGACGTGGGAGGGGTCGATTCTCGCCAAAGCCCAGTAATGGCGTGCGCGGATTGTCGGAACGTCTTCTAGATCTGGATTGTCCTGTTGGACATCATGGTGCAGGTTCTGGTAATAGTTGGTGTTTTCTCTAGCGAAGTTAATAACATCCTGGACAGTGGGGATTTCCTCGTTATCCATGATTTAGTGAGAAGGTATAATGATCGGGCGGATTGATGGGAAATATTACCAAGATCGTGGGCTTGATATTTTCGGAGGTCAATGCTCGAAACAATTATGTAGAGATTTCTTGGATCCCTAAGTATGTGTGTCAGAGATAGTGACTCCATGCAAGTATCAATCGTGACTAGCGATGATAATAGTGATACGCTTGGTTTATTGCACGTCACCTACAATCCGGACTGCACAGCTGGCTGGGATCTTGGTCAGAAAATATTCTTCATCCTACTGTATAAGATTAGATGTTTTAATTCCATAATCATTCCCTGACTGTTTGTCGTACGATTGGATGGAAAGCGCATTCGATGTTCTGCGCACCTGGCACCCGCCTAAACATCAGCTCTTCCCCTCCGAGGATCTTCCTACTCATCATCAAGTTTCCATATCCAATGCTTGTAACTCCCGTACCTTATCACTTTTTGAAAAAATCATTCATTACAGCCTTCATACGGGCCACTGCAATACGGTCAGTAATGAATTCGAGAGGGACTTGGAGCGTCGAGACTAGCGTACAGACGCCTCGAATAGCAGAATAAGGAGGAGGTTATCCCCGACAACGTACCAGCGTCCGGGCATATTTGCGCATGTAGTACGATCCTGCCGGTCAAGTCCCCTTTCATAACTTTTAAGGCGTAACGATCTACCAGTGTCAGAAATATCTGCTTCTCGCTCTCAGTGAGCCGTAACCATAACACATTCGTCTCACATTCCTCCTTTAATTCGCCCCCTAACGATTCCTAATGGTGAGAGAGGCCATAGGTATGGAGCTGGGCACGCTCAAGTGCGTCTCCCGCTATAGCTTCTTTAACGGCGATCTCGGCGGGGGCCGTAAGAATCCCCGGCGTACGAATGAATGCTCCCCACTAGTTGCACATGATCCGAGCGGTGAAGAGGGAATCGGCCTTACCTACCAGCACCGAACCGGCCGGAGCGCATACACCTTTTGTTAGACATAATGAAACGGTATCTGCATACTTGCAAAATTCTTCTAGAGTTCCAGATCCGGCAGCTATTAAGACGGATATAAAGTGACGTTAGTCAAAAAGAATACGGCCTGCGGAACTGATCGGAGAACCTGGTCGCACATACCTATGGCCTCCCAAAGTGTCTCTCCGTCTAGATGAACAAAAGCAGGCGGTTCTTCCTTCTTCGCCCATTCGTAGATACGCTGCTGATCATCTAATGGCATCATAGTACCCATAAGAGTGTTCTGAAGACATATCAAAATAGCCTTGGTTTCATTAATGTTCGCAAGAGCATCTTTGATATCGTCTAGTGTTAGGTGATGCCTATTGAGTGGCTTGACGGCGTGCACCTCGGCTCCTTGGAATGTCCCGGCAAGGTTGGGGGTTTGCTTCACGAGGCTGCTTCGATCATCTACTATGGCGGCCATCGGTGCGGTGACTTCTTTTAGTAACGCTATCGCAAGTTTGTTCGCTATTTTATGCGAAACGACGAAGAGAGCCGCTTCTTTCCCGGTGATGCTTGCCATCCATGTTTGAAAATCATGTGTGGTATGATCTCCCCGTAAAGGATCATCACCAAGTTCTGCCGACTTGATAGCTTCGATCATGCTGCCTCACGCGGTCAGCAAATCGCCTCGCGAACAAGCTGAGAAGTAGCGCGGATAATTCTGGCAGCCACCCACTTCATTGTCGGAACTGTACACTCGTCCGATCGAAAGTCATATGCGTGGTCAGGTCGCTCGATTAGAGGGAATGTTTGACCACCATCTTCGCTTTGAGCAGGTTGTGCGGGATTGGGTTTTTCAGGATTAGGCTCCTTAGGATCGTATTCTTTGGTACCTTGGTCTTTCATCGGGGTATCCATGGCTAACAAATCGTATGCGTGTGGTTGACTGAAAACCAATAATACAAGATTAAGGTAAAGTAGAGTGTAGTGTGTAATGAGGAATGTGCCAAGCAAATCCTCTGGGTGCAATTGAATGATACTTACACATAAGTCCTTTCTACTAAGCACCTGCCTCTTCATCCATCTCACACCATTCCACGAACAGGCAAGTACAAGCGTCTAACCCAATAACTTTATCAGATACTAGTCGAAGGAAAGAAAGTGTAGATAGAGGAATAGTACTGGAAGTCCCTTACTGACCAGGGCGCATACGAGATAACCACATGCAGGCCAGAGGCATAGACTATTACTTGCGTATGTACGTACCTAGATAGGTAACATTTCGGATTAGACTTCGAGTCGACATCGATTGCCATGCGGAATCTAAGTCTTATTATCCATCGTATATCGGCAATGCGATAGTGAATAGATAGAATTGCCCTTTGACGTAGCGCCGATTATGGGCTACCCTTTTACGGCGGAACATATGCTGCGAACAACACAGCATCGTATAACCGATTTAATTGACATTCCTTTCTCCGATCTAAATCTCACTAACCTCGATAACCTAGCTTCGTGCCGTTGCGATCACGATTGATGTAGAATTGGGTAGTTTTGGATGGATATCTTAGGTCAGGCGGGCATCTAGACTAGATGCAAGGCGGCTCTGCTTAATAGGTGGAAACATAAAGAGGGTCAAGTTCGAGACCATGGTTTTGAGGGTTACTAAATAATTCTAGTTTGAATTAGTTCACCAGCGACGAGCTGAGTTAGTCAGGTACAGCAACTATTCAAGACGTTCTGGAACATATAGAAACTCGAGATGGATACCTAGGTAGGTTAGGTCAATACTTGATGTATGGACAATGCACACAGAAAATCCACAGCGGCTCGTTATGTGATAAATTGAATGTAGTAATTAGTCGAAGGTATTATGAACAAAAGAAGCGATGATACATGACGCCGTGAGACGCGTTTTGTCTGGTAATAAAGCAAAGGCAATAGGGGAATCAATCGTCGTGTAGAATGTCAAATCAGAAGGCTGTAAAAATCAGAATTTTCGTGACTGAAACCAGATCAGCCGCCTATCGTCGGGTCCACCTAGGTGAACCAAGGAAAAATCGAAAAAATTAGATGAGATTGTCAGTGATCGGCTCGTTAGGTGGCGGCACCACTCCCACTCGGTCCACTTAATGCAGCGTCCGCGGGATGCTTTCCTGTGTATTCCTTGATTCGTCTCGGTTCTTCCAGTAGCTCCCAGGCCCTCTCCTTCTTCGAGCGACGACCCACATCTCCGGATCTTTCCATATCCTCGAGGTCGCTAACATCATCGGAGCTAAACGAGTTGGCGCTGGGGCTACGGTTCAGCACCATGTTGACCGTCTGGCCTTCCCTCTTCTTCACCTTTCGTTGAGCCGCCTTGAGATTTTGATCCTCTTCATCGTCGCAACCTAGCGCTACGACACCTAGACCAGGAAAATTACGCTCCAACAACTTCTGCAGATCAGGTAACACTGATTTATCAGGTCGATATGTACCGCTATCATTGTCAATGACCAATTGATAGTATTGCGGCTTGGTTGGCGGAGGGTCATTGGGTGGGCCGCCCTGTAAAATTTCCTCAGGATGAGTAGGCTGACCAGGATTAGGGTCCTCAGTTACCTTGGGCTTTTCCAACCTTCGAATGAAGAACTCGCCCGAGCAAGCAATATAAATCGCAGCATCACTATGCATAGTATGCTTACTAAGAAGGTCGATACCAAACTCTTTGCCAGTTTCTGTGAATCGCAGGATTCCATCTAACGTAATAACGTAGGTGAATAGTCGTCCGCCTTCATCAAAATGGGCCATCTTCAAGAATTGGAGACTTGCTTCCTCCGAGCACGGTTCGAAAGTGCCAAAATGCGTTCCTTTGTCGAAGTTGTAGATACGGTTATGTTGGTGGTGGAGAGCCTTGTTCAGAATCTTGCCGCGTAGTCCACTACTCTTGAATAGGAGACCAATGATAGGTCGGAACTCAACATATCTGTGGTACAATCTCTGTGGGACTGGACCAGCTAGCTGTATTTCATTGGCCTGGAAATCGTACTTCTGTGTCCTTCTTTCTGTTTTCTTGCTATTGCTGTTGGATCCAGACGCTGCAGCCGTAGATTCGTGGTCGTTTGAATCCTCGGCCTCATCCTTATTGACCTTGATACCGGTCATTCGGCCAATCATGGGGGAGAAATGCTTGAAATAGTACGTTGGGCCAGCTGTGTATATCTGGCCATGCGGCGGATCAGACTTGCCTAAGACGATAATACTCACATATAGCCTCGGGGTCATGGAAACGTCTTTGCTGAAGACGCTAGTGCAGGCCTTGAGAATGTAGGCACGCTTGCTGCCACTACGTTTCTTGACCTCGAATTCCTTTTCATGGTACCCCTCCCAATCCTCACGTAGAGGATGGACTTCTATCACTGTATTACCCAATCTGTCATCGTGGTCTGGCCAGTCCTCGTCGTATAATCGGCACTTAAGCTTAAATCCGGACGGTGGGACATTGGCAACAATCCATTCTTGCTCCCACCGAGGCTCAATGGCTTTTCTGATGGTGCGCGTACGGTAAACAAGATCAGGATCTTCTTTATGTCGCCTGGGTAATGAAGTGGTGAGGGTGGCGGTCAGGAAGGGATCTGACGTGCCTGTGCTTATGTCGGCAGCAGGTAAATTTTCCGCTCTATGAAATACAAATTTCACCGTAAAGCCAGGAGGCGCATCTGGAAATGGGGTGGGGTCGAAACCACCAGGAGGCTTTGTTTTGGTCTTGATCTTTTCCTTCTGTTCCTTGAACCTGTTCTTAAAGGTGCTACGACGAGGAAGGGGACCATTTTGCTTCTCATTGAGGCCATCAGCATCGGTGTGCGCATTCTCTCCTCCATCTTGATGTGTATGGTGATCGTCGGGGATATGTTGGCCACTTTTTTCATTATCCACACCGTTAGTGGTTCCTGGTTGTGACGGCCGGTCTTGGCTAGGGAGGGTCGAATCGGCTTGCCCGTCAATGGGGGCGGAAGTAGGAACAGACATGTCGAATGGGCAACAAACTGTCGAATGATGTCACAAATCGTAATCTCTCTCGGCCCGTTCGTTGGACCCAATAATATGTAAACCAAGCCAAGGCAAGGCGGTTGAAGCCTTCCCTACTGATAATTGGCAATTGGTAAAAATAAGATCCTTGTTGTGGTTCGGGATTCCGAAAGAGAGGACGCCAAGGTGGCAGCTGGCGGAGAGGAGTGGATGCGATGATGCGGTGGTTTGGGAGGTATTTCTCGGCGATGATAGTAGAATCTCTCTATCTGTCTTGGTTCCACACGATCTTTAGGTAGTCTTGGTAGGTTGATAGGGTAAGGTACTTGGAACCTCGGAAGTCGGGACTCGAATGACAAAGGGACAAGAATCGATAAACAGAAGGGGGAAAAGGAAAAAAAAGCGGCACTGTTGCTTGATTTGCGCAGAAACCTGGGAAGCTTGGCAAATCAATTACTGTGATGCCAATGAAGAGGCTTTTTGTGAGAAAATTCCCGAGATCATGGCCAAAAGACCCAATTGATGATGATAGGGAATAATACAAACAATATTAAATGAAGACAGAAAAAAAGAATGCGATTTATTACGCGACAAAATCGTTGCCTTCGTCTATTATTATTTTATGTATGAATTGTTGTTCATCCATGCCGCTTTGCCGATTCAATGTTGGGTTCTTCGCCCATCAACATCTGACATGTACCCACGTACCGAACATAGGTGTGGCTGTGGAAGTCGGATGCTACGTCACAATTTGCAATTAGTCAAACCTTAGGGAGGAGATAGGACCAATCAAATTGATTCATTATCATCGCTGTAATATTTAGCGTCGGATAATTTATTCATCCTACCCGAATAGTCAATTCCAGAGGCATCCCATCCCTAGCGCAATAGGTCGATCATTCGAGGGCATCGCTGATGGAAGTGGCGTTGCTATGGATGTTAGCGGGGCTAAGCAAGCACGCACGCAAGCACGTTGAACAAGGATAGCTAACGATGCCGACCTTCCGATCTCTTGTCTAAAATCCTTAAATCTTGCCAAGACATCCAAGCACTTGCAAAATACAACCCTTTAGTTCAATTGGCACACCTCAATGTTGATCCAATACGCCGTGTTAAATATTAATAATTCTTACCTACTTCATAACGCCTGACCTTTCGCACCTAAGTTGTCCTGCCTGTTCATGAGTTAAAGATATCGACCCCGATAATCGTTCAATGTTCGCAGATAGCACGCATCATCCCCCAAAGCTGAAGCGGTCCATCTTGGATTCATAAGTACAAAAGAATACCATTCAACTCAGATCGTCGCTGTCTAAGCATCGAAACTAATGAGAAGTAGCGACCGTATCGATACGGTTTCCGTTTCTTCTAATGGTATTCTTAGGGTGATAAATGATATTTAAACGTCCGCTGGCAGCCATATTCATGCTACGGGGATTACCTGGTCCGCCAATACGCACATTTTTAACAATGCGACATAGACATCGAGTGCGGTGACACCGTACATATTAAAGACATCTTCATACATCCTGTCTATAATATTGATTGCCTTGTTCCATGCGGTTATGTCCCATACTATCAATGGTGCAAACGCCAGCTCTACCGGGAAATTTTCTCATACCACTGGCAATCTCAAACACCTAAGTTCTCACTATTCTATACTACCTAGGTGTGGGAAGGATCGCATTTGGCTCCATATGGCCGTTATTTACGTCAGTCGACGGGTATTACCTAACTAGTTAATTCAAACTTGAGGACAGCCGAATTTATCACCCCGAGCAAAATCCACAACATGACCAAGATGCGACCCGCACTAACTACCTAGGTAAACGGCGACTCCCCACGATAAGTATTTGCCCGTTACCGCGATAATCAGCATAAGAATCCAGTCTCATTCAGACGTTCTGCAGCATATTATCTTTTGTCATTCAGTTGGGTTTAGGACAAGCAATGACCCAACGTAGAAGAGTAGAAGAAGTTCTATTTGATAGAAGGAACAGCTCAACAAAGACGCGAATTCTTCGACAGCCTACCTGAGACACACCATCATCTAAATAACAGTTACACTGCTTGGCCAACAAATCTCGCCGAATACTCCAGTAATATATGACAATTTATTGTTCACGCAGACGAGAACAATATGATGGTATGCGACCGCCACCGGCCTAAACATAACTCCAGACTGCGTACTATCGGCTGTGGGATGGAAAAAAAAAATTGCATTACTAATGAATAGTCGACATCTACTGGCTGCAAGCGGAATTGCGGTTGATGCTTTTTAATTCTCATGTCTGATCACCAATTTGCGATTTAAGACAACTTGTTTCATTGGCCTTTGACCCCTTTTCCTCCATAACGTCATTCACACGGCTGGCAAGCTCCCGCTTCCGCGTTTTCAATTAAACAGATTGACTGGAACAGCACAGTTTGGTTCGTATTTTCGTCAAAGCCAGCAAGGTGTCAAGCTGGCACCCGCATCTCCGCAGCGGTCACTTTCCGGGTAGACTTGTTGCTTCTTCCAATGCTTCCGCCACATGAATAATGAATTAACGCCAGCACTGACACCAATCAATAGCGCCACTCCACATATAAGGCGCTATTATTGTTCAGTTTACAGTTGGCGTCGGGCTATTTGTCAATTTTCAGCTTCGGGCTTCGGTGTATCTTCTCCACGTCCAAGACGCTAACTCAAGCCTGTCTTTTACTTTCTAGTATACTTCTGAATACGAATTATGACTGTATTTTTATAAGCACTAACAAGACATTGACTAAAAAAGGCTTGCAGTCTGTCAGGGGTAGAAAAATGAGGTTGCCGGATCGAGACTACATTGTCTACCGTGTGCCGAGGCATGCCCTTCCCCTTTTCGAGGCCAAACAGAGGTGCGTTTGTAAGTGGTGTTGTCATACGGGCTGCCACCGCGCCAGCTTCCCCGGCGAAAACCTGGGGTAGGTATACGCAGTGAGTATTCCTCCAATGACTCTCCAGTTGATTATTCTTGTATAACCAAAATTCTCGACGACGGATGCAGCACATCTGTAGCTCTCCGTACACACAGAGGGGAAGCCTGTTAAGCCAAGGATGTTAGTGTCAATAGTACGAAGCGGGTCCAAGCAGGTGGTGATGGATACGAATTCCGCGAATAACAAAGAACTATTCAGACATTTTATTCCACAAATGCGGGTATTCTCGTACTTCTTAGATCGGAGGATCTATGATAGCAAGACCAGGTACTCAGCTTCACTTACCAAATCCGGTTACCTCGTATTTCTTTCACCATCCATCTTCCTGGTTCCCTGGACGGTGCCTGCATGTAGCGCGCGTGGATTCCGTGTCTAGAGCAGGCCAAAAGTCCCAATCTCAACCGAGATTTGACATTGGGATTGCTAATCCCTGCATGTCCCGCCCAAATAAACAGTAATGGTCTGAAAACGAACCCACAAAGAAGAACTGTGGGTAGACGAACCAGATGCCCGGAACAGTATGGAATAGTATGATGACGGACTCTAGGAAGCCCACAAGGCTCTTGTTTTTAAAAAGCCGGCTGCTTTCCAGCATGCATCCTTTTCGGCTTCTCCCCTTTCTCTCTTTCTTATCACATTTGATTGTGCCTGCCAATCGCTCTTATCTCGTCTTGTGAGCTTCGCAATCGCTTGATCAGTCTAACTTCAGTCATTCGCTTGTCGTGAAGGAAACATCATCAGTATGGTTCGTCTAATGAAGTACGCTGGCGCTAGCGCCCTGCTAGCTGCTACCGTGAGCGCCAACTATGTTACGAGCTCGGCGTCCGAGGAGGATAACTGTGAAACCGAGACCTACAGCGCGACTTCGGTTTCCTCTGCTACCACCACCTCTTCTGCTGCTGGATACCCCGCTGTCACATACTCAGCCACTCAGTCAACCAGTTCGGAAGAGGATGACTGCCCTCCTGAGACGGAGACCGAATCATATAGCGCTACGTCCCCCGGTTACCCGGTCGTGACCTACAGTGCCAGCTCTTCCAGCTACCCGGCCCAGAGCGAGACCGTCTCGTACCCCGTCTACCCAACGGGATCTGAGAGTGCTACATACCCCGTGTACCCTACCAGCTCTGTCAGCGCCTCCTACCCGGTCTACCCCACTGGCTCTGAGAGCGTCTCTGTACCCAGCTACCCAACCACCACTGTTGTCCCCACTTACCCTGGTGGCCAAACTCTGACCAAGTACACGACCTACGTCTCTACGATCACCTCGTGTGCTCACTCTGTTACCAACTGCCCGGTTGGATCAACCACAACTGTTGTTGTCCCTTGCTCTGAGACTGAGTCTGAGTCTTACCCGGCACCAACCTCTGAGGTCTACCCTACTACCGTTATCTCCGAGACCTACCCCGCGGTGACTCCCTCTTCCTCTGCTGAGACACCTGTCTACCCTACCAGCGAGGTTGCACCCACCTACCCTACTTCCTCTAAGGTCCCTACCTACCCAGCTGAGACCCCCAGTGCGCCGGCATCTTCCTACTCTACCGTCGTTCCCACATACCCGGCTGAGACTCCTGCCTCATCCTACCCCATTGGATCTACCAGCCAGGCTGCCCCTACCTACCCCGTTGGATCTACTAGCCAGGCTGCTCCCACCTACCCGGCGGAGACCCCCAGCCAGTCGGCTCCTACTTACCCGGCTGTCTCCGAGTCCGCTCCGGTCTCGACTCTATCCACTGTCTACTCCAACACCACCTACAGTGCGACAAGCCAGACCGCCGCCTACCCCACCGAGACCCCGTCTTCGACATACACTGCGCCCACCACCATCCCTACCGCGGGCGCTGCCATCGTCGGGTCCAGCGCTACCGGCGCTCTCATCGCCTTTGCCGCTGTCTTCCTCGGCCTCTTCTAATGGATATGACGTGATGGAACTTGGTTATACGTGGATCAAGGGAAAATAAACGAAGGAAACTGAACTCATGTTGGATACGATTATAGTTGTAAACATTTTCTTCTAATATGTATGAGAGCTTATGGCTGCATGACGATGTGGATGCTCTTGTGCTACTTTTAATATTCGATTACTTTATTGTAAATATATTCATAACTTTATTGGAATGTCCAGTTAGTTGTTCCTCCGTATTGTCTGCCTCTACGTTTATGTCTTGGTGCAGTGAATTACTGGCAGTGAAATATGTTTCTTAAATGTCTATTGAGTACCTAACGGTGGACCAAACTGCTGCTGATATAAGCACTTGCATAGAAAATCAAATATACGTCCATGAAAATGGCAGGCTACTATAGGTTAGGCGCAATACCCGTTTATATCCCGAACTATGTCCAGCTGATAATCGGTCGTGTGATGTAAGCTTTCCGAGCGATCCGCAGCCCGCTACAACGCATGCCGATGAAAGGGTTCCCTTGGCATGCAGATATGTTTTTGTAAGATATAAAATCATAAGACTCTAGAAGGCATTAAAGGAGACAATTATTTTATAGTGTATTGTCTGTCCGAGTAAGCCCTGGCAATAAATCAGATACTTGGGTGTATAAAATAGGCCGTCTTGATATAGTGAACTGCAGTGAATCTATGTACCTAGGTATGTATAGTCCTGTAATCGAATCTACCGCCTGCAAGCAATTTAAAACTTTTTAAATTGACAACGAATAGCACGGTTGTGAAATGTCGTACAGCATATTCGTAGGCACCGAATCGTTCTACTCCATACCTTAGTAGGCATGTGTAGATTAGAAGTTGCAAACCAACCCTCAAGTTAAAATAATATCCCTTATAATATATTGTAACAGAGGGCTAAGCGCTTCAAGTGCTTTTATATGTTTGAGTAACGATAGATCGCTACGCAAATTCCGGCACGTAAGTAGCCTTCAAGCGGCAGTAGTGAAGGAAATTGGCTCGCAAACACTTTCAGGGGCCACGACAGCCGCACGAGAATTGTGTACTACTTGGTGTACCATAATATTGTAAATCAACATTGAACGCGGCTACTACCCGTAGCTAGTTCCATGTATGGCATAGTAAAGAAAATGAAAACGAAAAGAAATGGTGTGATGAGTAACAGAAGGCGTTGCGGCGGTGGTACGGGGTGGGATATTTTCCAAATAAGTGGTGGCTGAGATAATAACTCTTAGACTGAATAGGTAGTTTCAAGTTTGCGATACGGTATTGTAAACGACGATACCTACTTAGATACTCAGGCAGGCAGGTATATTAACCAGATCGAGTAAGCCGCATAGTTATAAGGATGGAAGAATGTTTGATATCTCCATAACTGAGGAGTACTGATTTCTAGAACGACGTAGCGGCAGGATAAGGTAGCGATCTGCGCTTTTTGAAGAGTTCGCTGCTGGTATAGTTGTAAAGTAAAATATTTCAAACCTTCTGGTGTCCTTCATGCAGTATAATAATTAGTCTCGCAGCATGTGGTCGTCTCCCCCTTTTATCCCCCTTTTATAGGCGGGCCAGTGCTGGCATCTTCTCCAATATTCCAAGGATATCTACCTAGATCAGAATGATCGTACGATACGGCCTTTGCCGCTTCGTACAGCACTCATGGAACATAGGTAGGGAAATTCTAGGTGCCCAGAGCTACCTAGATAATCGTAGAGATTCTCAGGGGTATATCTAGGTGGAATCGCTATCAGGGGGGATATTTATCGGCACTAAGTTTGCTATCTCCGGAATCTAAGAGCTACCAAGGATCGAGAAACCGGGAAACTTACCCCATATACTTATAGAAGTACTTGAGACGTGCCGGAAACATGCAGTTACTTCTGTAGTCTTGGTGGCTACTAATAAGTTTGGTACTGGGGCAGTGCCAATGGGATCGTTGCTGAAGGACCCAATGACGCGCGGCTCATTCTCGACCCCATACCCCAATGGCAATCTATCGTGGCTCCCCTTCTCTTTTCGGGTATGCTAGCAACGGGTTCTCGAACCTTTCCGCTTGTTGGGTTGGCTTCTTAGTGGTTCCCGTCCGGCTTGCCACGCGCGTCTCTGCCCATCTCGCAGCTTGGATGACTTACAGATGCCGATCTGGGTAGGAATACAGTAATACACGGCCAAGCCCCGATGAAGCGTCACCCTAGGGCTGGATCACTAGAGTCGTGGCGATGCAACCAAAAGTTTAATCCGACGTCCATAGCATTCCTTAGACAGAGCCGCATACCTAAAAGAAATGATAAGGAAGTTTTCGAGTCTCTGATTGGGTGTATGGAGGGTTAGTCAACAATCGAGGTCTCTATGCGCTCTATTGTCGCTAGGACTCGAACTAATCGATTAGAGAGTAACAATGAGGTTATGCCTAACGAGTGGCGTCAATCAGGTGCAATTGAACAACATTACCAAGAAATTTGATTGAGTGCAGATTCTCAGGGGATGCGAAGAATGAGGGATGAAACTGGACAAATCAATTTTTTCCTGTCAAATCTGGATTTGCGGTGTATTCGAGTTTGCGATCTCCGATCCGAGGCGACCCGAGAACAGTCGGTTAGCCGATTGTCAGAGTGACGAGAGCTGTAAAAGTAGGATGTTCAAGTCTGTCACAGGATCAACTGCGATCGACATTGGGATCGTTCTGATGTTACCGTACACGATACTAGATACCGCAACTCCGTATGTAATGCACGCCGAATGAGTAATAAAAACTGGGTAAGTACTACGATCAAGCGAGGACAAACATGGCTAAGTAGCGCCATAGTTCGCGAACTACTGTATGGTATCACGAGACAAGAAAGAATGGGAAAGAATACCTAGGTAGGTAAAGAAGTGTGATTTCTAAGCTGAAATGTTGTAGGCCCGAGGGTCCGGTCCCGGCAAAGCCGTCGGTGGAGAGATGATAGGCGCAAACAGGGTAGAAAGCCGAACTGCAACAAGAATTATCTAAAGATAATACGAGGAAGCGAGGAGAAGAATAAAGAGAAGTAATAATAACAATAATAAAGGAAAAGGCAGGTCAGCATGTCTTAGTCCAGCATAATACGCAGTAATCGATTTTGAGAAGAAATGGCGCATCGGCGAAACAATTGTATTTCCCTTTTTGATGTTGTTGATGATGAAGATGTGATGAATATGGGGAATATGTGGATGTACATGGGGAGAAAAAAAAAAGGTGGAAGAGTACGGGTACATCTTGTGGCTGTTGTTGCTGCAATAATTGTTATTTCATACCTAACCTGGGTAGGTACAATGCCGTAGGTACGTATAGCAGGTACCACCGTAATCTGCGAGCCCGGAAATAACCTGCAATATCCCATGTAAAAAGCGAGGGGCGCGCCGACCTCTCCGAGATGGGGATGGAGGGGGTAAAGGACCGGCCGGAAGGGTCAATCGAATTTTCAGATTCTAGCAATGGCAACCACTGCGACCCAACAGCCCCCAGTCTAATGCACATGCGCAGTCTAATGACGGAGAGGAAATATCAAGGAAGTTGCAATGCATTTGTACCTACCTGGGATCTGATGTATCTGATGTATCAGACCATGCACGAAGGTATACTTATGGTAATAGGTACGTCTTGTACATGTAAGAGGGAAAGAACCAGTCACCGGCATGCACATCAATTATATGTTATGTACAGCTCAGCACACAGTTTACATGTACGAGGTAGTTACAGACCAGGCTAAGTACCTAACCTAACCTAACCTAACCTAACTTGAGGGAAGGCAATAATCCACATTGCAATTGCCATTACCATTGCCTTAAGTCACCGGCTCACCCGTCGCCGCCGCATCGAATGGGGCTACATAATACCATTGAAATAACCTTTGATTACCTAGCAGTCTACATTGGGTAGCCACCTCTGCTTTTATTTCTATCTACAAATGTTAGGTACCTAGCTTCGATGTTTGTAACCAACATTTAAACCTTTAAACCTTCAATTATTTAGCATTAGGTAACGAACATCTTATATCCCTTAAGCTCTAAGCCGCTTACCTACCTCTATTTGTCTAACTTGCTAGGACCTACTTATAACCTTTTCTTTTTTTCCCCATCCATCTCATCCCCCCTTATTACCCTCAATGCCATTCTTTGCCTAGCTTGTCTACATTAGCTACCTAGGTAGTTACATATACCTACTTCTTCGTACCCTATTGACTCACCTACCTATCAGCCTACCAGCCTACATACTGTATATCGCCCTAAGTTAATACCGACCTGCATTCCTTCGGGTCGTTCGGAGCAAACCTAGTCCCCAATCATACGACGGGGAGACCCTTAACTTCTAAGTGGTGATCCGCTAACTGGGTCTTGCGGAAAAAAGAAAAAGATAAACAGAACTGACTCAAAGTCATTTCAAAACCCTGCGGCACGGTCTGTGTTTTATGTGCAAGTCAAACCACTTTCACATCATACACCTACACTTGCTACATCTGCACCTACAGCTTCGTAACAATTTACCTTACCTTATCCTGACGCAAGCGGCCGCGAAATATACAGACACTCTCTTTGACACACGCTCGCCCACTCACCTACCTAATTCTATACACTCTGTGCACCTAAACGTGTCCTAGACGCAGGTACTGGTTCAGCCTCCTCACGGACCTACCCACACCACCTTTTCCAGAGGTTATAATCCCCCCATTCCTTTTTCTAGGAGTACAAAAACGTTGTAGGGTGCTTCTCAATGGCCGCTGTGACTATATCGCAACCACCAACAGCTCCTGCGATACCGGGTCGGAACGACAGCAGTGACAGCTCTCGTTCTAGTCAAACTAGCACTGAAAAAGTCAAACTTGCCTCCACGCCTCACACTTCATCAGTATCAAAACACCGTAACAGCCATGACAGCCAATCTCACGTCGACCGCTCCGTCTCGCCGAAGCGGTGGAAGACGTTTCTTAAGGCTTTCAACCACATCCGCAATTTAACTCCAAAGGAAGTTGATGATTTTATGGCATCATATGAGATTTACAACTTAGATTGGGCCAACGAAGATGAGATGGTCAAGGCTTTCGGCCCCAATTACCAGGAACGTGTCGGGGATTGTCTTCGAGCGTATTATTCAGTGCTTAACCACCTTTGCAGTCTCGGCGATGTGGAAAAGATGTACATCCCGCCGCTGATGGACAAGAAGAAATCCGTTCTTGACAATCAGCTACTCTATGAAGAGACTATTGCGAAGGATATCGGATTGAAACCGGGGATGAAGGTTTTGGATCTTGGATGTGGTCGTGGTCGTGTCGCGGCGCATATGACGAGTTTCAGTGGAGCTCATGTAACGGGACTGAATATCGATGCCAACCAGATCGCGCAGGCTAAGGAATGGAATGAGAGGTGTGGTTTCGACAACGAGTTTGTGGTACATGACCAGAATGACTTGCCGCTACCGTTTGAAGACGAATCCTTCGATGCCTTCTACGAGATCCAAGCGCTTAGTCTCTGTAAAGATCCTTCGGCCTCCTTCAAGGAGATTTACCGAGTGCTGAAGCCCGGCGCTAAATTCTCCTTGCTGGACTGGGTTAGCCTGCCGCCCTATAATCCTGAGGATCCTGTTCACGCAGGGCTCATGCGTCGCGTGAAGCCTCTGATCGGCGCTGTCGGCACTCCGACACCGGCAAGTTTTGAGAAGGCTCTGATGGATGCCGGCTTTACCGTCTCAAAATCGGATAATCCAAGTATTGATGGGCTGCAAGCCCCGCTCATTGACAAAGTGGACATTTATTTCCGCTCCGTTAGGCGTGTGATTCACGGACTGGTCCGATTACATGCGCTCCCGCCGCATTTCAAGCTTTTGATTGACAGGTTATGTCTTGACGGTCAAGCATTTGTGCAAATGGACAACATGCGCTTAATCACTACGACATACCGAATTATTGCGGAGAAGCCTTCGACATCAGTATGACGAAATATGGAAACGGGTTGAAAAGAAGAGAGGAATTATGCTTATTTTTTTTTATTCGATCTAGGAAGGATTTGGGATGCGGCTCTCGGAAGTTCGGGGATCCTATGCTTACCTACGAAAGGTATGGGGCTCTCAAACACTTATCAACGGCATGGATGCTTTACGTACACTTCATCATTCCTCGGCGGGGCAGAACTTTTGTTATTCATAAGCGGCTCCCACTCTGCTCTATCATTAGAAACCCCTTCACCTTTACATTCACCTTTCTACTTTCTATTCAATCTTCTTTCCCTAAACAACTTTTAGACCTCGGCAAAGCATCGATCGGCATATTTAAAACTTAATAGCATTCTGCATATTGCGCTGCTTTTTACTGGAAAGGGAAGGGGTATTCTATTCTTGTCATCTTTGCCTCATACCTAATGCCTACATGAAAGCTTCATTCTACGTTTGAGTAAGGAGTAAGAGTGGGAAGAGTCGCTTTCACTTCTCCTTGACTTCCGACCATCAAATACAGCGGGAGTTGAGCAATACCTTTTTTGACTTGATCAGGGCGACATGGCGTTTACTTGTTCGCTTTAACACGACATGAGTACATAGGTGGTAGTGCTAGTCAATTCAACAAATATTCCTCAATCATTAAATAGCCAAAGCGAAATGGTGATCTTATCAAATATGAATTGTTATGAAGATGCGCCACAATCAATGGTTCGGTACTCCCGCGCACAAGCCTAAATGCGACCGATGTCAATTAAACAACAAAAAAAACAACAACATTGCAAATAAAATCGAAACTACCTCAATGAACAAGAAATAAGCAGAAACCCGCCATACCCGAACCTCTACCATACACCTTTCCTCAATCCGACCGATCTAATCGACGATAAAGCCCGTCCTGTTTGCGGCCTCGCCGTTCTTTGTTGCGGGGTTCGTGGCCGCATTCCAGTCAACCCACACCGCACACGTAAGAGGGGGTAACACATACACTACGAGCTACAATCGGAAGATGAGAAGAAAGAAAGAGAAATATGGTCTAAACTAGGGCTAGATATGGACGTGGGAATGTGCGCATTATGATGTTCGATTAGGAGCTACCTGCTTGGGTAGGTAAGTAATTAAGACATTCGAGCGTTTACAAGCGCGTTCTCGGACAAGATGTCTGAGCTTCCCAATGGCATTTGCTAGCGGAGGTCGTGGATCGTGGAACCGATCGCGATATATCTCGAATATCCACCTACCTACCTAATTACCTAGGTATCTACCCCTTGACCACCCTACTTCGTCCACATATTTTGTCCTTTCTTGTTGAGATAGCTAGCCCAGAAGGGTCCTCCATAACGTCAACTCCAGTATAAACATCACCGCGCCTCTGCTTGGGGACTCTACCTACCTGGGTAAGGACCTAGGTAGGTATAACGTATCGCAACCATGGCTAGACGGAGTTACGCCGGGAGTTTCGTGGATCGTGGCGGACCAATATATACCCCGCCGGCTGGTGAATCTTTACTCGACTTTATTGCTTGGGAAGAACTCGACGAACCTTCTGTAGGTGGCAGATCGAATGCTGTAGAATCCGAAAATGCCTCGCCGGCTGAACCGCAGCCGACGAATACAGGCCGATTGAAGTTGAAAAATCTCCCCAACTTATACAATATTGTTGATTGGATTATGGGCCGGAATCTGGCATCACAAGAGTATGAACCAACTAAATGCTGTGTAGGGAAGGACAAGGGCAAAGTAAGAGATGAATACGATGAATATCCCTACCCTAGCGAACACCGAATCGTGGAAGACGATTTCGTCGATATCGGGGACGTTCGGGACATATGCCCTGCTTGCGCGACGCCGTATTGTCAAGCCGTCGAGTCGCTACCGTTCAAGAGCAGCCTTAGACTTGGATACAACGACCCGGAGACGCATACCTGGCTTATTGGCGATAAGTACATCATGACAGAGACTGTAGACGAGGTGGGGCCGAACGAGTCGGATGCGACGTTCACAGCGTCAGCTAGGGTAGCGCAGCGCATGTCGGAGGCGCCAGTGCCGAAGGTGATTGCAGGGTGGAAGGAAAACGGAAAAGCAATCACGATTACGGAGAAGGCTCCAGGGCGGCGGTTGTATGACATCTGGTGGGAATTGCGGGACAAGGACAAGCACCGAATAGCGGTGGAAGTTGCGCGCTACGTACAAGGGTGGCGGCTTCTCGCGGCGACAGGCATCAAAAATCCCCATGATGGTCCGGTTCGACGTTGCAAAAATCTATTTGGCATGTTAGGGAAAGAGGTTGGGCCATTTGACTCCGACGACGAATTTTGGGATGCAATTCATCGCCGACTGAGGAGTCGCAACGTCGACGAGAACGTAATTCGGACGTTGAAGGATTATATGCCAGATTCAGCGCCTTGCCTATTCACGCATGGTGATTTATCAACCGCTAATATTATGATTGACAATGGTAGGGTGTCCGCCTTCTTGGGTTTCGAAACCGCTGCGTACCTTCCAGTGTGGGCCGAGTACGTGTCCGTGCACTTTTGCTGCTGTAAAGAGGACGAACAGTGGAAAGCGATTCTCAGTACGTACCTTGAGAGCTACCCAAGAGCGAAAGACTGGTGGGCACTATGGTCGGCGGTGGATACTAAGGCACCGAACAAGAAGCGTGTCGCCACACTACTGGCCCGCTGTCGGCGATGGCAGAAACCACCAAGAGAGAAACGACCGTACGATCCTGCGGCTTCCGACTATGAAAGAATACAAAGCCCCGTCTCTCAACTGGCAATTTCCAGGCCGCCGCCGCAAGTACAGTCATCCCATGCTAATAGCCTCCCATTTAGAACGGGCAGCGACCCGTCCAGAACTTCGCTTGGGATGAGGTATCTGGATGGTAGGGAATATTCCGGATCCCTAGATGATCCACACTGGCAGGTAGCGATCCACTCTCCAACGGGAAGAGTTGGAATGGAAACAGAAAGCAGGGAGGGGGATTTCTTGAGGTTGACAGAGGAGCAGTTGAGAGCCCAGGGGGTGAACATAGGAGAGTACTGGAGGGCACAAGCGGAAATCACCGCCGACTATAGAGCACAAGATCGAGCTAGGCGTGTAAATATCGAAAAATGGCTTACAGAAAGTGTAAGGGGGAGGAATGCTATGCGACCACTTCTACTTGCGAAAAGAACCGGAGAAGGGGAGAAACCTACCCAAGCAAAGGAACCCCCATGGCGGGAGAGGCAGAGATCTTTTGAGAGGCGGGGTAATGAGTCTAGAGGGCTCAGACCCTTCAGCCTGCCTTTGTCCCACGTATCAGAAACCATCAAGAAGGACTTACGAGAAGTTGACGCGAGTGATGACAAGGATAAAAGCGTTAGGGGCGAGAGTGAGGATGGAGAGGGTAGTCGTGAGCAGTCCATCGAAAAAGCACTACGCGCTTTAGAGTCTGGACGAGACGACGCCGCCGCCGCCACCAATACTACCCTACCGCAGCAGAGTCAGTCAGGTGGTGAGGGGCGCAGCCCACCGCTCGAGCGGAAGCGAACATCGATCTTCCGCGAAAGAAACAGGCCAGGGTCACTGTACCTCGCCCTTTCCAATACGGCGGCGGAGGGGAGAAACAGACGGTACCGAGACAGCCAGTCCGAGGAGCGCGTTTTAATGGTTGAGGATAACGAAGAGACCTATTGATCTGCGACGCTAAGGGCCGCGAAGATAGACCCCACAGATCCGTAGGGCAAAACGAGGCAACCTCAGCGGTGGATGCCTAGTCATTACTTTTCAGAGATACAGATGGCCAAGCATCCTGGGTTGGTAACTCTGTCTCCAAGTTGTCCATCCAGGTGTGGAATGGTGTGGAAGATTCGGTGTGATGAGAGAATGATTCCCAGCCTCACTGGGTAATTGAATCAAGACACAGCTTTAGGCCAAAGCTGTCGTGATAACCATAGTAAATGCAGGTAGACATAAATAATGACAAATACGTATGAAAAGGCGCACCTATTAATGTGTTACCAATAGAGGACATTTACTACATGTGAGGTGAAGGCGAGTCCAATATCTCCTATTGTACCGAATGGGGAATTATGCAGTTTTAGGAATCGAAGTGAGGATTTTTCTTTTTTCCTGAACGTATCTCAATATCCTTGTTTTATGCCTGCTGGAATAATAAATCTCTAATTCTTAATGTGACGAGTCAAATAATGCCACAAAAGAATATAATATTAGATGGCTAACAGCCAACCAAGTTAAATTGCTAACTGTATGATATATACATAACGCTTCCTGCTACGATAAGAACAAGATAGCACTGTGATAATAGGCATGTACATGTAAGCACTTGGGGGGTCACGCATTGGTTGCCTACCTAGGTACCCAGGCGATGAGCTGGGATCAAAACCAGGTTGTTTTGCAGCACATCTAGGTGACCCCCCTCGCACTTGACCGCGACCTGCAGCGTGAGATCTTAGGCATATCAAGTCAAGCACCAAATAGGTACATAGGTCTGTATCGGCGTACCTTGATTTCCCCCTTTTCGATGGAATTATTGTATGACCCGTACCTTACACCCAAAACAAGAAGAAACTTGTCCCAGGTCTTCATCGAGACACCTATAAAAAGACGACCTAATCCCTCTCGATTCAAAAGACTCACTATTAACGGAAAGCCAGCGTGGATGTCTGCCTGACCTCGAAACTCTTAAGATTGCCTATGAGAATAGTTTCATTTTATATTTGATCGTTACTTCATATACATTCTCGATTCATCTTACTTTAGCTAACCAACCTCCAAAACCATCTATCCTCAACCAGAAACATGAACTATTCAAACAAAATTGACGGCAGGAAGATACGCGAGTTGCGCAAAGCCTTTCTAGCAAACAAAGTAGCCGACGACGATGAGAAGCTCCTCCGGAGCTCCACCCAGTACTGTCAATCCTTGCTGGAGACGCTGACATCTGATGAGGTACAATATGTAATCGGTCGTACATTCATGTCGCCCGAAATACGGAGCATGTTAAGAGATGAGAACGATCGAATGCATTCGTGTACGAAAAAGTTAAGCAATGCAGAGGAACGTGCCAGTTCATCAGTTAGCATGTCCTCTGAGCACTTGAGCGAGTCTTACTACGCTACTTCCGCTGATAGTGGAAGTGAAGAGCTATTTGTGCGGCAAGATCCAAAGTCCGCCGAATTTAACAAACGCGAGAGGAAATCGAAGAGAAAACGGAGTGAATTCCCTACATTTGGTAAGTGTCAAGTATCTCGATCGAAAAATTTTGTCCCGCTCACAGCAACTTAGCAAGCCTAGCCGGACCCTCCGAGTCTGCTCCACGATCGATACCAGGAAATAAGACCAGAAAAAAACATTGGTGTGATTCTAGATTGGAGTTAATGGATGATGATCATGATTCAGACGATGCGCCTCTCTCTAAGAGTATTGTGCACTGCCTCCCAGACACGGGGAAAGTGTGGGACTATAGGATTTGGACTTGTAAGTAGCCTGCTTGATGTCCTTACCATTCAGGCTTTCGCTAACGCTCGTAGCTTCCTCGGGTCAGACTAGCGGTACTTTCGGGGCGCTGATTCCAGAGGGCTATAAAGAACATGACGACCTTAGCCGCCCATGGATTTGCCCTGTTCGTTCCTGTCGAACCTTATTTCCGACACTCAGGGGACTTGGTGGTCATTTTAACGTAAGTTGAAACCTCATTTTGACACTTCTAGTGATGCTCACATTATCTATAGAGCGGACACAGAGCGATGATATTCAATGACAACCAGGATGGTACCTTGTCTTTTATCGACACAAGGGAGGGTATTACCTCTAAAACGCCTGCCAAAGTAGTATCAAAGAGGCCACTAGATCCTAAAGAACCTCCTATGCGGGAGCCCACAATTCCAGAACGTAGATCTAGGCAATCGGAGATATCCCGGCCTACGTGTAATTCTCAACTAGCCGAAATACCAGAAGGGGAGACTCGTAAAGCGCTCTGGAAATATATACAGAGTCAATTACAACATAACCCACCAGACCCAATACCAAGAGACAAGCGTAAGTGGTTTTATATTTTAAAACTTACGTGTGCCCACAAAGAAGAACTGACACTGGGTTGAATAGGCGTTCGAATGCTTCTAAAATCCCTAACTCGAGTTCGAAATATCGAGTTTAACCCCCAAACTAAATATTCTTTCAACGAGTCAAAGAATCAAGATATTCCTGCGATGATTGTGCAAGTGACTGGCAAGGAAGCCAAGCACCCATGTCGGAGGTGTAAAGAAGGGAAGGGTCCTTTTTTGGGCTGCTATATTCTCCCTGGCACTGCCCCATTGGATGCCCAGCAATCGATACTGGGATGCGCCAACTGCTATTACAAGGGTTCCCAATATCTCTGTGATTTCATGAAAAGGTCTGGAGATCTGGATAAGGACTTAGAATCCAACGTAGGTCTGCCACCGACTACTAAGGAGACACCAAGTATTACACCAGGGTGGGTCCATGATAAGGAGAGCGATGCTGTTGATGGTATGAATAGATCCAACCCTTCTGTTGTGATACTTGACTAATATTTACATTCAGACATCGCGTTTTCGAACGCTGTTTTAACTCAGGGTCACGCAGTGCAAGTCGGGCACAATATATCGGTTCAAAATATCGATATTGAGCCAGGCAATATATATGCCCGGAAGCCTAGCGCTATGGAGCTCCGTATGTGTCTTATACTATCAGGGACGCTACAATTTAGGATGCCTGGCCAACAGTTTAGCATGGGCTTACATGACACGGTAATAATAAACCCGGGCGAGGACTGCACTGCTCGGAATCGGACTTACGCGGGTGCTGTATTGCGTATCACGGTGTTTCCAGTCAAAAAATGCGGGTTGGTGGATAGGTCAATCGTTACTCCTTGACATCTTGGTGGGTTTTATGGTAGAGGTGGATGCCACAGAGATGTAGGACATAACCAGAAAACTCTGCGATAGGTATCTAGCTCTTAGGCAAGAGGTTACCTAGCCACATTGAGTAATACGCTCGTGAAATAGCATAGGCCTAGTTATAATAGATGTACCATAGGGAACTATTATGAACCCCCCTCTCCCCGTAAATGACATATCATTATGGGGAAATAGCCGCGCATGGCGGGTGACGAAATAGTTGGAAGTTACCAAGGTACATGGTATAGATCTCATTCACGGAAGCCGATATATTTTTCACGTTATGATATATAATATTTTCTGCCACAACAGGGATATTAGCGAAGAAGTCGCTGCATAATATGACGACCTATCTACAAGACCTTCAATGCTTCAACCAAGTAGTCAACTATCTTTCTTATTGATAAAAGTATTCAACTACCACATTAAATCTGCCCTTTTAAAACATCTTTTCTTGAAGACTCCATTGAACAGATACCTCTTAACAGGGGCGTAACCAGGTATTTCTTTACTTTAGTTGCGGTTACCCCCGTTTTGGTACCTAGGTATGTAAGGGACCTCTGATAAGTAACCTTCCCTTAACATTGAGGAGCAGGCTTTACTACGCCATATCAACCCTTACCGCGTGTCACTATTGGCTCATAATTGGCCACCGATACTCATCGAGAGTTTGCCCATGACAATATCCTCAGCCGTAATGGAAGCGGCTCCTAGTCTTGGCACCAGCCTGAAACAAGCTATAATCATCGACGATAACGTAAGCGTCCTTGCTAATGGCCCTGGGCAATCTGGTTCCATAGACGGCCCGGTATATAAAGGAGAGTGTTGTGGCTCATTCGAGTTTTCGGATAAGCCGTATTATGGTCTAACACCTCGGTCGATCTACGAATCACTCAACCAGAACATCAACATTATAGATGGATTGCCACCCTGCCCGGCACCAGTACAACCAACGCAATGCACGCAACTTACTGATGCCGACGAGCTTGGGAAAGGTTCGAAGAGAAAGCGCGATGAATCTTCTTCACCAGGTGAGAAGCGAATGAATAAAATAAATTTTATCACACTTACACAAGTGACATTCAGGAGGCTTTAAGGCTCCTTATGGGCCATCGAACGAACTTCCTATGTATATAGCTAAGTCCCGGTCGCCCGCGATGGGATTACCTGCTGAGCTGAATGCGAGGTTTAAAACGGATCAAGAATCGACTGATAGCGCAGATAGCTCAGACGATGAGCCCCTGAAAAATCACACTACCACATCGATTTTAAGCCCGAAAAGTCAGTACGAGTATAGAACTTGGACTTGTAAGCGGTTTACCCAATCACTGCATTGCCTGCAAATCAGTGATAGCTAACCTCCCTAGCACCTTCGGGGCAGACCAGTTCCACCTCAGGCGCATTAATTCCCAAGGATTACAAGCTCCACGATGATCCTAAGTTCCCGTAGATCTGTCCAGTCCGCTCATGCCGTACCTTATTTCCGAAACTATATGGGCTGGGTTCTCACTTCACTGTTGGTACCCTATTCCGGCACCGCTTCGCCCGTTGATGCTTACCGTTGTCATAGCAGAAACACAAAGCGAAGTTGTTCAACGATAATCAAGATGGGACACTATCTATTATCATGGGCGGTGGGGGTTCCGGTGTTCCTGAAGTAGTATCTTGGAAACCACTAGATCCTAATGAACCCCCTATGGTACGGCCCTCCCTCGCACTCAAATATATGGAACCTGGTAAATTCGCTACGCTACAGCCTATGCATGATGGTTATGAATTGGACGGATCGCAACAGCCACGCACATCATCGGCCATAACTGACTTACCCGACGCGGGAAAACAAGTAAGAGATAGCATAGAGTTATGGAGATATACCCAGAGTCAGCTAGCATATACACCACTTTATCCGATACCAGAGCGTGGCCGTAAGTACCCTGTGATGCTCAACACGGGTTATCAATCTATGGCTCTATAATGGCAGATGCTAATCAATATAGACGTGCGAGAGCTTCTACAAAGCTTAACCCGAGTCAGAGATGTGGTGTTCAATCCCTATTCGCGAACCCGTTTCTGTGAGATAGGACCTTATGATATCTCGGCGATGGTCGTTCAAGTAACCGGGGAAGAAGCCAAAGTGCCGTGCAGTAATTGTAAAAAGGGAAAGGGTCCCTTCGCGGGGTGTTATGTTATGCCTGTTGAAGCTCCATCAGATCTTCGACGATCAATCTGGGGATGTGCTAACTGCCTCTATAATAGCAATCAATGCCGCTGCGACTTAAATAAACAGTCTCTGGAGGAATTTCCAAGGCCCAAAAGAGGTCGGCCCCGTCTAACCACGCCAGGATCATCGAATTCTCGCCCGGTTATCAATATCGAAAAAAAGCGACCGATGAAACGTCGCCAGAGTAATTTATCGAATGCAGTCGCTACCTCTGGTGCCACCACAGGTACCGATTTGAGGTTTGCTTCTCCTCCACATACTAGGAGTGCGAAGAAAAAGGCCAAAGGAACTTCGATCTGCGGGTCTAAGCGAGACCCATCGCATGGCGTTGACGGTACAGTCGCTATTAATCCGGCTCAAATGCTAGAATTAGAGACGTGGGAGGTTGCGCCGGGCCGCATCGGCGACGAAGGAAGTGATGTTACCAAGAGTACGTGGCAATATACTCGTATCCTGAAACATCCCCAATCTTACGTTGCAGCGTTTTGCTAAAGAGGCTATAGACTTCGCTTTCTCAAATGCCTACCTGGCTCAGAACCACGCTGTCCAAATTGGGCGCGACATTGCGTTCCAGGTCGTGACTATCAAGCCGGGCACTACTTACAGTTGGGGCTCGAGCGCTAAACGGCTGCGGCTGTGTTCATTAGCTTCAGGCAAGCTTCAAATCAAGATGCATGGCAAAGAATTTACGATGGGGCCGAATGGCATGGTAAGAATAAAACCATGAATTGAGTGTACCGTGACGAACAGACTTTATGTGGATGCTATGGTGCATGTGACGGTGACACCAGATGGTTTATGCTGATAGTGGACGCGTACACAAGATGCGAAACCCATGCGTTGAATTGGAAAACGTATTAGTGAATTTCATGGTGTTTGAGTTGGCATAAAAAGAGTCGTTCTACTCTCGTTGAAGAATTGAAAAGAGAAAATAAAAAAGCAATTATTACTAATGATCGTTTCGGTGATGTCGGAATTGCTTCACTGCATCAACCCCTCCTTTTCCGAATCGAACGCCCACTCTAATTGATCCCGAGCAGTTTTTGAGGTCTATAATCTAAAACAATCGCCATCCTCGAGTTCAACAGGCACAACCCATCTAGTCCCTTAAGACAGGTTGGTCATGACGAAGTCAGTGTTGCCGCGGTAGATGGTCTCGGAGGTGGAGCCGAAGCTCTCGAGGGGGAAGTCGGTGGCGGGCCACTCGTGGTAACCAGCGACCTTCTTAGCACCGTCGTAAGTGTAGAGGACGACGACACGGTAGTCACCCTCGGTGCCAGGCTGCGACGGGTCTTGGCGGAACTGCCATTCGACGGCCGCATCGTCGCAGGCGCGTAGGGACACTGAGGGTAGCGAAGAGTCGGAGGTGAAGTCCGAGTACTTGCAAGTAGTGGATACTGAGGTACCGGGGACGGCAACATTGAAGGAGATACTAGGTGATTTGTTAATTGGGTGTGTTATGAAAACATAAGGAAGGGTTGACTTACAAGGCACCGGAGCCGTGGGGTTGAGTGTTGGCGCTGAACTTGGTGATGTCCAGCTCAGTGGGAGCCTGTGCTTGCCTCTCGGTAACGGGGGCGGCAGAGACGGAGGTGGCTCCGAGGAGTAGGAGGGAAGAGAGAGCTGCGACGGTCTTCATTTTGATTGATGGTGAATTGATTATTGGAGTGGTTGGTTAAGTTGAAGGTATACGATTTGATGAGAGAGTTAATTCTAGTAGTAGATGTGTTGATGAATTAATATTATTTCATTGGAAAGAGCAGCGACGAGCTCTATCCTTATATAGACCCCATGATGGTGCAATATCCATCGTGGCGGTACCTCTTTCTCCTCGTTGAGCTTTCATCGTGTATTCGTTGATTGACAGTGTTTGCACGTTAAGATGATAGGGAGACAGTGGGATGGAAGTCACATCAACTAATCGCATTGAGTTCCAGTTTCCATGTAGTTATTCCAGGATTGCCAAGCCTGCCACCAGGACCACCGGACTTCGTGTTCTACCTGCTGTCGCCATCTGGGCGGGACTTGGATGATTACTGACTCCGCTTCAGCACAGTCGCTCGCGATTAACAGGGAACTATACAGTATAATTTGAGAAAGCTTGATTGGGCCTATAACTTCCTCGCTCCTTTTCAGCTCTTCACCGCATATAAGAATTTACCAGATTATATGACATGTTTGAATTCTTCTCTTGGCTGAGCTGTGGCCTTCGGTAAGCTACGTTTGGAACCGAGAACGAGGTATAGATGCTAGTATAGGAAATTATTGCACCCGCTTGTCCCAAACATTAGGTAATGTATTAAATAAAATCACTGATGACGGACGATGTTGATGATTTGTATACACGTGGATCGAGTCGTCTATGACCTACAGATATTGATAGTTGAGTGAATAAAGAAAAAGATGGAAAAGACAGAACGAGATCCATTGGCGTCATCTCGTGTTTTAGGGGGGCGCAGCTTAAGCACAGGTTTGAGTTAGGCGACCCTCAGGCGACTTTAGTAGGCTAATGCATCCATGAATGGGATAAATTAGCTCTTGACTATAGTGCTTGGCATAGCGGTTGGGTTAGGTCGCAGCGCTCATCGTACTTTATTCCATAGGGCTGCAGCACGTGGTGCCGAGCCTGTCCCAGCCACAAGGTCAATGAAACCCCCTAAAAGCTTAGCTAACACCGCTAAAAATAAGGGTTACAATCTCGTGTTGTCGGCTCTCTCTTACCTTGGAGCTTTGTTGTTACGAAGGACCTATCTAGTTTCGGAAAGGTCAAACGACATTTATAAGCGCCTGGTCCATTTAAAGGGAACGATGCTCAACTCTTGGGGTTTTAGACGGTGTTTCTTCGAGTTGGTGCTTGAGACTCGGGATTTATTCAAACAGTTTTTAAGCTTGGCTATAACTCCTCATTTTCTTACTACTTGCTTCATGCCGTTCATTTCAGGCTTGCTATTGTCTTTCTGTTAGATTATGTACCTCCTACCAGATGGTTTCATTCCCTAGGTACCTAGGTAGTTTCACACGTCATGGTGTCTTACTCCCGAATCTACCTAGGTAGATCGGGAGCCGAACGTGCACCTACTATGATAGGCGAAATGGACAGTGCGCCCTTCCTCTTCAAGCGACGCCGCATGTCTCCCACCGGCAAACTTGTTTTGTACCACCATAAGCTACCACCCCTCTTGATTAGGGAATGATCGGGCTCGCATCCTCCGGGTTGACAGAGAAAAAAGCAATGAACTTTCGACCCAGCATGACTATGTCAAGCGATTAATCGCTTGAGATGAATGGTCAGCTTAGTTGAACTAATTCGTTTGCCACGAGGAAAGTGACAAGCAAAAGTTCAACTCAAGCTTCCATTTCCGTTTCGGGAAGTCAGGTAAGGGCCTTGTTCTAGGCGATAGAATAACTGCCGGGTCTAGATCTCTCTTTGTCTTATTCAGTTTCCTCCTTCAGATTGCAAGATCATTAACGATTGGGACGCTGTGAATGGTTCTCTGGTCAACCACATACGACTTCGAGCCCAAGATGGAAGCAACCAAACCCCATTAGGGAACAAATCTATTGTTTCCCCGCAGAGCTGCAAGTGTGTGGCGCGGGATATGACACCTCCGATTCATTTTTTCATTGGTGGGCACTATTCGAATCCTTTGCTCACCCTCTTATCATGAGAATTTTTGGAGGCGTTTGGGAGAATGAATGCAATTTGACTAGCGCTAGGAACGGGTAGCACAAAGAATTGCCAGTTTAAAAGGATCAACTATTCGGGTTCGTAGCAAAGTACGATGGCGGTGAGGTGAGTGACCGGGCTAGGGGTGACCAAATAGTGATGTCTGTCGGTCTAGTCACAATGGCGAACGAACTTTTCCCCCGCGTTTGGACCTAAACCCCAGGGGCCCAGTCTGGAGCTTACCATCATCTTCTTGTATTCCCCATTTCTCCCCAGAGTTAGCTTCCTACAAGGGTACCCTTATCCCCATATTCTTTCCTCGAACCGACGAGCCGCGGGTCTTCTCCAGGGCCTTGCCTTTCCGCCCTTTTAAAATCGCCCTCTCTACATCACGTTGCTCCCTTCTCCTTAGAATACTTGGCCCGAAGGAGCTTCACTATTCCCAATGGCGTCCGAAAACCTACCTAGTGACGTGGAGAAGAGCAGCGGCCCTGTGGCCGAGGAACATGAGGGGAAGCATTTGAAGAATGTAAGTTGCTTGCAATCATTCGATAAAATTCAACAATACCACAGTCTCTCATCATTCTTAGGCCGCCGTCAATACAGTCCTCACCTCTTCCGCACCCGAGCGAAAACTAGTATGGCGGCAGGACAAGCGCATCGTACCCTTGTCGGCGGGCATTTATTTTCTGTGCTATTTAGATCGCTCTAATATCGGCAACGCTAAGGTCCTCAACTCCAGCACCAAGAATGACATGCAGAGCGAGACCGGGGCGTCTGACTACCAATTCAACGTCGCGCTTATGATCTTTCTAATTGGTTATTTCTTGTTCGAAGTTCCATCCAACATTTTATTGAAGAAACTTCGCCCATCGAGATGGCTTGCTTTCCTGATGTTTTCTTGGGGTGTCATCACGATTGGTATGGGTGGCATTAAAAACTATGGTCAAATGACTGGTGTTCGTTTTCTGTTGGGCGCATTTGAAGCTGGCCTCTTCCCCGGTTTGGTGTATTACCTGACATTCTGGGTGAGTACAATGAAATTTGTTTTGCCAAGTTGATCTAAGCCGAAATCATTTCCCCTGGCTAAGCGACTAGCTGGCGCCTTGGCGAGTGCACTGGGATGTCTCTTGTTACATGGTCTAACTTGAATGATTCACTAGTATAAAACCGACGAACGTAGTGTACGAGTAGCCTTCATCCTAGCTAGCGCCACACTTGCCGGAGCTTTCGGCGGAGCAATCGCTTATGGAGTCGGCCATATGAATCGAACGCGCGATCTTTCTGCTTGGAGATGGCTATTCATGCTTGAGGGAATCCCATCATGCCTGTCAGGTATTCTCGTATGGTTCTTCTTGCCTGACTGGCCTGAGAGTGCCCACTGGCTTTCGGAATCCGAGAAAGATCTAGCGGCACAGCGGTTATATCACGAAGGCGCTAAAGGTTCGGCTGCATCCATAACGCGGGAAGACGTCAAGGCCACTCTTACCGATTGGCGTCTTTATGGACACTATGCTATTTACTTCGCCGTATCTTTACCCTTCAGCTCACTTTCGCTCTTCTCTCCCACGATCGTCTCCGGTCTCGGTTACCATGACTTGGAAGCGCAGCTGTTGACAGTTCCTCCGTGGGCTGTTGCTTATGGTAAGATATTACTAAGCTTACGGTGTCGAATACCTGGCTAACGAATTAGTTGCTCAAATTCTTGTATCATGGTCCGCCGACCACTTCAATGCTCGAGGCTATCACTGCGCAGGTGCCGCTGTAGTCGGTGCTGCAGCCTTCTTGGCCTCCGCCGTACTACCAGGCGATGATTATAAGGGCCGCTATGCCTGCTTAGTTATCGGGACAGCGGGAGCATTCGCTTGCATTCCACCTATGTTAGGTTGGCTCACTTCAAATATGTGGAGCACGGCGTCCATTGGTCTAGCTGTGGCGCTCAACGTCAGTATTGGCGCTGGACTCGGGCAGATCCCGGGTGTCTGGATATACAAGGCGAGTGAAGCGAAGAGGGGCTACCCGACTGGGCACGGTGTGAATTGCGCCATGCTCTTCGTTGTAGCTATTGGTGCTATCGGGCTGAGGTACTACTACGGGCGGAAGAACCGAGCTCTACTAAATGCAGCTTCCGACGGGATTGCACCAAGATTGTACAAGCTCTGATTTCCGTCAAATCGCGATATATGGCTTAAATTTGGCATACGAGTTGCAGGATATCCATTTCGTTCGTTTGTTTAGACAGTTTACGTCGAATACCCCGATGTTAGTGTTGTCTGCATTACTTTTTGTCGCATACATGTTCTATCTGGGTACCTAGGTATATAGCATGAAGATCTAAAGGACTACGTAATCAAATGCACTCAAAGTGAAACACAGTAATTGCGAAATAAAAAGAAAAAGCCACTTCCGAACTAGTGACAATATTCTTTGTTTTCTCTGATGACGGTTTAATCTACGTAGCCAGCCACAATCAGGACTATGCAGCTTTTTTTCCTACCACCGGGTTTCCCCCAAGCTCGCTCCCAAAAATAACAGAGTCCACGCCAGCTCAGACACTTACGACGACTAACACTGGGGACCTGCATTCGGAAAGAACCGAGCAATACCTCGGGATCTAACCGTCTTAATCACCTTACTACCTTGGTAGTAAAATCATTCCAACCCCGGCAGGAATGTAGCTCCATTGTTCCCGCGGGTAGGGTAAAAAAACCCCGCACCTGACAAAGGAACAAGACAAGGGTTATATCCTGTGTGGGCAAATTGGGGAAGGTAACTTGGCCAGGCCGCTCTGTTGGATACCGAATTCTCGTAACTTAGTGAACTAAGTAGTGAGCTAACAGTAAATAGATGGTCCCCGTAGCTTACCCCAGGAAAAAGAATCCCGTTAGATCGTTACTCACAGCTCCGGTGCCTTGGTCTCATCCGCTAAGGGTGCTACGGCCAAAACTAAGTGTGACTTTTACCCCAGCCTCCACTATTCCCTCATGCCAGGGAGGGAGATCCGCGAGCTTGGTCATGTGTGGCCGGTACCTTGGGAAACGTGAATATACGTAGTGTGCTATATATATGCGCACGTGTGTAAATTCGTAGATCCAAGATCCGCGTATCGTAGTATATATATTATCCCAAACTTCATTCAGCCTGAAGTCGTCGACCCAAGCTCTTCCACCCAAAAGAGCAGTTCCTATTGTACATCAGTGCGGAGGAATGGTACGCTCGCGATGATGTGCTCAGGTTTTCTCCAATCCTTTGTTCGTGTTGTCGCAGCGGTGGTCGCACTCTCTGCCGTCTCAGTGTCGGCCAAGAGTGATGGCGACGCCAGTAACAATCGTCCCAGACAGACGGGAAACGGGAATTGCGATGCCTCGACATTCTCCAGCATACTTCCGACCGGGGCCAAGGTCGAGAGGGTAGAGTATGTCAGCGCCGGAGACACCTTCGGCGAGCCCAATTCGGATCTCATGTACCCAATTGCCCCGACGAATTTACCAGAGCTATGCGCTATCATTATATATGTCCCATCGTCAACCGTCTCGGCGTATAGGTTCGGCATATTCATGCCAGCGGAGTGGAACGGCCGTTTCCTCGCCGTTGGAAATGGTGGTTTCGGAGGTGGTATCAATTGGCTAGACATGGGTGCTGGTGTCCGATACGGTTTTGCTGTCGTCTCAACTGATACAGGTCACAACTCAACATCGGGCGACATCAAATGGGCACTCAACAACCCCGAGATGCGCACCGACTGGGGATGGCGTGCATTGCATGGCTCCGTCCGCCTCGGAAAGACACTTGTAACCACGTATTATGCCAAACCTATCGGCCATTCATACTACAGCGGTTGCTCGACTGGTGGTCGCCAGGGTCTCAAAGAGATGCAGATCTCGCCTGGTAGTTTTGACGGTGTGCTTGTCGGCTCGGCCGCCTGGAACACCGCTCATCTCAACACCTGGGTCTGCAAGATCGCCAATTACAACTGGCCCGCCACCGACGCCAAGCACATTACCTGGGAAACCCTACCGCCCATCGGTTCTGAAATCGTTCGCCAGTGCGACGCCGCAGATGGTGTTACCGACGGCATTATCAGCAACCCCAGCAATTGCACTGTCAATTGGGACGACCTACGATGCGACGGAAACAGCAACGCCCCATCCGATTTCGCGAGGTCCGAGAATTGCATGAGCGACGCGCAGATCGGCACTCTCCGACAATTGTACGACGGCTACGATTTGGACTCAAACGGCCAGAACATAATGCCGGGATTCCTCCCAGGCTCCGAAAGCCAGCTGTACACCGTGCTCAACTACTCCGACTCGAGCCCGTATGGTTTGGGCTACATCCGATATTTTGTGCTGAACGACCCGCTGTTCGAAGCCCCGCAGTATAACGACTCGATCATGGAGCTAGCGACGGCGATTGACCCCGGTAACGCGACAGCTGATAATTACAACTTGACGGAGTTCCGCGACCGCGGCGGCAAGATGTTGATCTACCACGGGTCAGCGGACGGTCTAGTGCCCGCGACGGCAGGTAGTGATTACTACCAACATGTCGTGGACACGACCTCAGGCGGCAACGTCACGCAGACACGAGACTTCTTCCGCCTCCTAGAGATCCCAGGCATGCAGCATTGCTGGACGACAGCCGTGGATGCGCCTTGGGCCATGGGCGGCGCGAGTCAAGCTGGGGCACTGGGTAACGATACATATAGTGTCCCGGGGTACGCCGACTCAGGGCACGATGCGCTGCTGGCGCTTGTGGATTGGGTTGAGAACGGAAAGGCTGTGGATCAGGTCATTGCGACGACGTGGAATAAGGCGACGGACCCCTCAACGGGTGTTAAAAGGCAGAGGCCCATTTGCGCGTACCCAGAGACGGCGCAATATGATGGAAAAGGAAACGTGGACGATGCGTCTAGTTGGAGTTGCAGGTATGTGCTTCCTTTCCTTTTATTCCCCTTTGAGCTTATAAATTGTCATCATTGGATTTTGCTGACTTATAATTGCCTTTGCAGTGGAAATACGACGGAGCAAGTATCGCATAGTGGAGCTGCGATGGCATATATGAACCCCTTCTCGGTCATTGTGGATGTATTTAGAACCTTCGCGATATGACAATGGTATTGGTAAGGACGGTGGAAGTGGGAAAGCGGGCGAGATATAGTTGTATATATGAACATAAAATACCTAGGCATTAATAGCACGTCATGATTCCATACGCTTTATTTTATTTTCTTCCCCGGTGGACATTTATCCGCTGGTGGCCTCCTTTATATATTACCCAGAGAAGCGAGAAAGGTTACGTTCTCAACCTGCCGTGCATACATCTACCGATCAGCATACGTTTCCATCCGCGTCAAACTGATTGAAAAAGTGGATGTAAGATCTTCTATTAAAATAAGCCTCGATGATCGAGGGGCCGAACTAGGGCATGGCTACGGCGTAGCATATCTATTATCTAATTGCACTGCCCCCGTTGAAGGCATTCCTTGAAAAAAAAAAAAAGTATTATATGTCCATTCTAGAAAAAGACAATGACGAAGATAATGTACTGATGTAAGCTGAAGCACAACGCTGCCCCCGGTCGTGTATTAAGACACATTTTTAAACGCCCACCAACGAAGATCCAGTATGTACCTCATATATCCAATCCAACAAATTTATTACCGAAATTATTGCTTAATTGCGAAGAACCAATTCTCACCAGCTTGCTGGGCACCGAGCGATCCCTTCATCCAGCAAGTGTCGCCATCACCCACACTGCCCCAGCCAGCGCCAACACAGGCATCGTTTTCCGCGCACATCTGGACACATTCTTCGGCGCTGTCCGCCGCCTTGTTACCAATATCCGTGGTCCCACTATTTCCATTGCCATTGTAGTCTCTGTTGCAGAGGATGAGGAACTTTTCGTTGTCCGTCTCGTATACCGTTCCGTTGGATTGATTTTGGTTACAAGGGAGACCGTCTGGCGCGGCTGGTGGGGATGATGTAGAATCTCTATTTTGGCATTAGCAGACAATTCGGAGCTGAACCGAATGATTAGAGGACTCGTTGGTACTACTCACTTGTTATGCGAGGTCCCTAGCCCTGCTCCAAGGCCCACAGCCAACCCAATAACAACCAAAGCGATAAGTGGTCCGATTATCAGCCAGAATTTCTTCTTTCTTATACCCAATATCATTCCATCCTTAGGTGGCGTGTTGCTCGGAGGAGATCCATCAGTAAGGTAGGTGCCGTCTTGAGAACCTCCCCAGTATGGCTGGCCCTGAGGCGCTAGTCCAGGATGAGTCGGGTACGCTGACGGCGAATACCCGCCGTTTGCGTAAGCATTATTTTGGTAGTAGGCAGCTTGAGCAGGTTGGAACTGAGGTGAACCATCATACGGCTTCTCTACGATGGTCGGGCCTTCGACGACATGAGGCAGCTCTGGCTCGGGAGCTAATTCTAACCCGGGCTGTTCACGGTGGTGATTTGACGACATGGTAGAGTCTAGTTCCCGCTGATGCGGGCGGGCGAAAGATTAGCTTCGCCACGCTCGTGGTACTTGATCGACATCAGCGATCGAAGAGAAAAAGAACTGATGATAAACAGGAGCAAGAAAACTAAAGGGGTGATGAAGGATCCATCTCCCTATATTAAATACAATCAACATTTACGTTTAGTAATCGTGGCAGTCCTAAACCTGAGTCGAGGCCGCTTCGAATCTTTCTTTTCTGGAAAAGCCCCTGCTATCTGGCCCCCAAAGTGGAATCCCAAGGCGCACCCGACCCCTGGCCCCCGCGATGAACTTGGCATCGCTGGGACCCATTGCGCCCCCCTGTAGAAACGTGTTTTTGTTATTGGGCGAATCGTAGCTTCCCGTGTGTATCCCACGAGTGGTCGCCTTTTGGGGTTGTGTTCACATCGGCCCTCCATGCGGGCGAATCCTTCGGGTTGTTTCAGAGACCTATCAGAAGTTCATGATACTCGACTGACGATTTTCGGCCTGCGACCCGAAAGGACCTTTTATGTACGAGATAGATGCGAGATATACGCTAATTATATAATTCATGCAGATATTGCCGGATTCTTACCACCAAAGCATTGCCCGTGTGACCTTATGGCATGGCCTCTAACACCAACCGTTCGGAAGTTCGTAGGGCTAAAGGGTTAAGTAAGAAGCGAGCCGCAACAATATCGGTATGGTCCTTGTTCGGTGCCGTAGGTTGCACAGGGCTGCAGGCCATGGTAACCAGTGCTTCGATAGGTAGCATCTATAGATGTTACGTGCTACACTTGAATACTACTATATTCCTCCCCCGCCGCGGCAAACCGCTACTATAAGCTCCTGTCTCATGCATGTCTTGGGTGATTAATTTTTAAGTCAGGGTCATAGGAGCATGTAGTGTAACCCGAGATAGATAACGTATACTCCGACAAACCAGTATGTGTTTCCTGTTTGCCGACCGCGAGGTCTAGCGGATAGAAAGTATCATTTGGGGTGGTCGATGATGATACACGTGCGTAACAGAGAAGAACAAGGTAACATGTCTCTTCAGTTTTGAGTATAGTTTGAACGAGCCAAGAAATTCATAGCCTCTCTATTTTTGACATCATGCCTTTCACATGGGATTCAGCGGTTCGAACGAGCAATTACTTTTGCTGTTGGGTGTATGCTGAAGCACGGCTTGGTAAGTCAATAGTTGGGCGGATGTCGCCTGATAGTAACATCTTATTACACTATTAGCTGGCGTCATCCACCTAAATGCTCATGTCAATTCCAGTGTCTGGAATCAAAGTACATCGTTTTCGACCGTTGGGTTTACTGCTGACCGTTTCAATTCCTCAATATACATAGGCTATCATCCATCAGCTACGTAGCAGTACAGCACCTGAAGCAAGTACCTAAATATTAATTAAGGCTAATTTACCTTCTTAAAGTTCTTATGGCTGCTCGAGTTGTGCAATGTTTCTATCGCAAGCCACTAGGTAGTCACTTTTTATTCCTTGTAGGAAGTGATTTGCACGCCACAAAAATCCAACTAACTGACCGATAATACGACGCGCGTAACAATGCAGGTAGCTTCAAAGATGAGTGGATGAGCTAGACTTGTACGTCACAGTAAGCTATTGCATTCGTTTTTTTTTTTCTTCTCTTGTTTCATGCAGCCCATAAATTAATTGGCTTCTCGATCTACCAAAATGGCTGAATCAAAATCTTTAACGTCCGTGCTGTATGACTTTCACACCCACGCCAACCCTGGATATGAGTAGCTACTTTGGTAATATAGCCAAAAATAAAAAAAAATAAAAAATAAAAGAATGGGCTCAGTGATGAACATTGAACTGAAGAGCAAAAAGCCTCAAAAGCCCAACACCTAGAATATGTAAGTTATTCGTGAGGCCAAGTGTGTACATGTAATATAACTCGTGCAACTGTTAGTCTCCTTGTTATGGAGGGAATTCGCTGCTCCTCTTTCAGCTGCTCCAAACATCTATAAGGGGGTTCCTAGTAATATATTCGTATTACCTACCAAGCTTGGTACAATTCTGTAGTACTGAGGCATATACTGACGTATTCACATCCTAAAAAGCAAAGTCGTTCGGATTCATGTGTTTACATACATAGCGTACTTAGGTACCTAGGCCCAGGATTTAGGAGTAAAATCAAGATCCCTTGTCCTTGCCAAACAAACCGGAGAAGGAGAAATCAGACTCCGAAGGAAAGAACGCTAAAACGCTTAGACCACTATGGTGCACGTACCCTCACAGGTAAATCTACCTTGGTACTTGCCTACGTCCTAATCCTTGCACTACCATCGTCGCAGAGCGCAAATATTGAAGCTCTCAGCAAGTTCTACTCTGTATTTCATGGCCCAAAATGTCTTCACAAACAGAATCAGGCGGTGACCCATGGAATAAAGATTCAAAGCGCAAGTTTGAGAAGTGAGCATAGTAATTCAAAGCCCAGTCAAAAATCTCTCTCTTAACCATCACCGCGATAGCAAATCAAAAAGCGAATTCTTCGATCCTTGCCAAGAAGCAGCCGCGAGAAGTATCCGTTGTCTAAATCGAAACGGAGGAGACAGGCAAATGTGTACTGATTACTTTGAGTGAGTATAAGAAAAAATATTGAACAGTAGATATTGTCATAATGCTAACAAGAAATTCTATTCAGGGCTTATCGCGCATGCAAAAAAGAATGGGTAAGCATGAATTTGTATAACTGAGCTCCAATGTCAACGACTAACTTGATTTTTGTGAAAGGTCAATAAGCGCAAACAAGAAGGAGGTGGCTTCTTTAACAAGGGATCTTGAATACCTCTAAAGTACCTAGGCATCGTAGGAGGTATCTTTGGAAAGCACGTCTGGAGAAGAGAAACGGCGTGCAGAAAAGGAAATCACGACGGTTCTGCTTTAAGCAGGAACAATTGTAACATCACATGTACAACAGAAAAGGGGAGAAGACATAGGCAGTAAAGTGTACATGTATATAGAGCCAATTCTTCCTATTAGCTATTTCTACATAAATTCAACTCATTATAATTCATACAAGGGGTGTACTTAAGTCGTAATGGAATAATATAGGGCATCAACGGACCTAATAGGGGTCGAACCTAGTACTTTGTTCAGCACCCTAGGTTAAGTATATAAAAGGTGTTCGTACCGACGCGACTCCCTAAGTTAGAAGTCGTAGGTGCCTAGTTGGAAACGATAAGGCGATAAGGCGCCTAATCGCCTGTCTAATCGGTACCTAGGTAGATCTAGGTGGGTGGACAATAGCGTCCCGCGGTCACCGCCTACTTGTTATAGGATATAGTGGGAACCTACCCACTAACGGCAGAATTCAGCGTGTAGAATAAGGAACCTTGGGAAGACACTCACAGTGACTGATGCCCATCCCCTCCAAGACAATATTTACTTGAACAGAACATACCTACTCATTCACTATGGTTCAATAATACACGATAGTAGTATCAACTATTCGTTTCTGCCTTCTTGACAAGTCTCTATCATTTTTACGACTCTGTTATTTATTTTCCCTTGAGATGATACCCCGCAATGATTTCTTCGTAGTCGGACTTCCCAGTTTCAACGCCACTATTTCCTACCTACTCTACATAAAATAAAATAAAATAAGAGTAGCCCAACCTTCCCATTACAACATTCGCCATGGTGCCTCCTTTGGTGCAGCCGACTCCTCGAGGCATTAGCCTCAAATCGTCTGCACCTGTTGGTTTATTATCTACCTTTGCCGAAGAGCAATGGACCAACGCAGCCAACTTAGCCAGACAACGTTACAGAACTACTAAAGACGACTATTATCTAGTGAGTTTAATAAATATCTCTCTACTTCTTTCTTTTTAACCCTATATTTTTTTTCTTTTGCGTCCTAACTTAAGTCGTTATCGATTCCCTTCCTTCTCTTGCAGCAGGCTTGTCGCCTCTTATGACAGTTCCTTATTTACCTACCTCAAGGCCTGCTTATGGCGATCGCGTTAACAATTTGATGATCGGCGACCTTTTTTGGTGTATAATATGGTGGCGTTTAACTATCAGCGTCCTACGACCGTCTTCGTGGGTTTAAACTTCGATGATTGTGGGCTGATATGGTCTGGTTACATTGGTATTTCCGCTTTCCTTGGTTGAAATATAGTACCATTTTACCTTGGATGGCCGAATAATCCTCTTCTTCCTTCCTCTTACACATTTTCTTGGCATTACTAACCAACTATTCGCTAGGCCGTCGAGATTGCAGCTAAATCCCAAAGCGACAATGTCGCAGATCGCAACGCTGGCAAGGTCATGGTTGAGACCATGATCAAGGATAACGTAACTATCCTAGATCCAGACACGATTGACATGTATGAGTTCGCCTGTTCTCGGGTTGACATCAACTACTCGGAGACGATCGGTGTACTGCGTGCAAAACTAGTAAAGGCTCTCTCTAAGGACCCGAAAGCTGGTATTCGATGCTTCGACGCTTGTGTATGGAATTCGGACTGGAAGAATGCCCAACAGGTATGGTTTCATCTGTTTCCATCCTTCTTATTTCGTTACTTTACTAACCACAACGTGTAGATCGCGGCTTCATTGAACAAGAACTTCGCTAGTGATCGAAGATTCCTGTTTCGATATATCCTGGCCACGTTCCAGTACTCCGTAAGCTCCGACCATGACTGCACGTATCTTTATTTCTAACTATGAACAGCTTGCGGAGAACTGCCCGGATAATAGCAAGAAGATTTTTGCATCACTTGCAAAGGCCCAGGCGGACAAGGCACTTGATTACCGTCCTACTGTAAGTGGGAATGGGTTATTCCGAGGAAGAAATTCTTATATACTAACTATCTACAGAAGAATGGCACGGAGAGTCGCGTCGACCGTACCGCCTTCAAGGAGTCCGAGGTGGGTTTGTGGCTAAGCATTCGAATTGCTTTGTGCAGCCCCGAGGAGAACTTCGACCTATTCCGAAAACCTGGATTTGGCCCTATTGATTTTCTCGAAATCGGCCAGATGCAGCCGTACTGGACGGTCGTCAATTATTTGAATAAGCAGCAGGCATCCGAAGATATGCTTCGCTTCGGGAAGTGTCTTCTTGAAGAGGCGATCCGTATCACCCAATCGGAGGCTTCGATTATCGAGAAAGATGAACAAGTCATCAAACTACAGAAGCTAGCAGATGCGGAAGCTCGCCAAACACCACCTGGGACAGATTCCTCCGTAAAGAAGGATCTAAAACTGGCAATAGAGAAGGCTAGGCCACAGCGAACTACGAGGGATCATACCCTTATTGGTGCTAGCTGTGAATATGCTCTACTCTCGGCTCTTTTCATGGCCGCCAGGGCTCAGCCAGACAAAAAACGGTAGATATGCCTAATTCACATCGAATTTTGATACTGACTTTTCGTTAGAGCGTTGAAACAGCTTCGTCACTTGATCGAGAGAACAAGTAAGGCTTTAACTAGAGCTGGTTGCATGAAGGCCATCTTTCAGAGGACGCACGAAGTTCTAAATCTGGCCATACTTGTTGAAAGAGATGAATCAGCGGCGATAGACCTTTCAGGCTACACTACACGAGTCATCGGTATGGCTAACCATATCGCCGAACGTTACAAGGACGCTGGATCCCTCACCGAAGTCATGGTATTTGTCAAGGACTTTAACCAACCCGAGGTTGCTGCACTGTTGAGTTTAATACGGACAAAAGGCATTAAGGTAATTATGTCTACTACATATGCAATGGCTTCTTCGATTAGACTGACCTTCCTTTAATAGAGCGCCGATCCTTTCCAAAAGTTCGTGTTGATATCGTTAGCCCTGAGGACCCGATATGCTATGGCGATGGCGGACAAGAATGCAAAATGCAGAGTTTGTGACGTGTCATTGGAAGACTTGGAGTGTACCTTCTGCCTTCAGTCGATCGCCGTTGGTGCTCTTGAAGCATACAAATCTGGTATAGAAGATAAAGATCTTCGAGAAAACGGGATACCGGGTCAGGATGTAAATCCTCTGTCCGACCTTGCGATAATCGGATCTATCTCCCTTTTAAGACTGTCTGGACTCGGTCGATCATCGTCACCAGCGTGTACCAACTCGTTGTACCGTGCGAACATACAGCTATTTCTACAGGCTGTTCTGTGGCTAGACACTTGTTTAAAGATGTCACCACCAAGTCACCACTCTCATGAGGTGATTCTCACCAAGTTGTACCTTCTCATGGGTTGTGTCTCTCGAGCGAAGACAATATGGAGCCAATTCGATGTTAAGAATGCCCTACTCGATTCGCTGGGTCTACTATTTCTCGATCGACTGTCTTCAGTCGCCCCAGGTCTTTTCACTACAGGATCAAACCGCAACAGCCCTGTTGAACCTTTCATGGTCCATTTTACACGAGGGCTTATGACTACCACCCCTAAGAGAATTATGGATTCTTTAGATATGGGAAATTACTCAAGTGTCCAGGACATAATTTATCATGCTGGCAGACAAGCGGCCAGTCTTAGCATGGTCTTAGCTGTAGTGGAAGAGCGACGAGGTCAGAGGTTGAAATTCGGTAAGATTGATGCGCCTATCGAAGATCAGCCTCTTGTTCGTAAGTTACGCTATGACTTATTCACATAAAATGGAAGTTGCTAACATTATTAGGAAACATCACTATCCGACATGCGCTATATGATACGACGGATTATGAATTCTTCACGGTCCCGAACGGTGAGAATGCTAAATCCTTTCCCGGCGATGAATCATCCCTTCAATCTATTGTTAATTATGGAGCTCTTCCTACGGTTTGTTTCTTCTACCTGGTACTCTTCAAGATCTAAATGCTAACTGTTCCTTTAGACCATTCGTGGCCATCTGGGACTCCTAGCCGAACGCTTCCTTGACCTGGTCTGTTATGTGCAACCAAAAGAGTATAAGCCGTCGAAGGCTGGACATATTTTGCAGCTTGATTGGGAGTACGCCTTGTCTACTTCTTCCAATTTAGAGCGAGACATGTACACCATACTAAGAGGCCGACAAGAGACAATAAAAGTTTCTCTCACATCGGCGGAGTACTGGTACTACACAGCAATGTGGAAACTGGCGACTGTGGTCAAGGGTGTGCTTAAGCACAATATAATGTCGGCCTCAGACGGTCCGAACCGAGAACAGACCCGCATCCTCATACAACTTGCGTTAGAGGCGCTCGAAGAACAGACCAAGGATTTCCTTGTGGTACCTGAAAACCTTCATTCGAAGGTGTATGCCTTCCACGGCTTTGCGTCTTTGCATGCTATGGGCATGTTGCGTGAGACAATTTTAGCCGTCAAGCATACCGCCAATTATCTTACGCTCGCCTCCGACAAGGCTAAGAATAGTGATAAGACTCGTTCGTCGGTTGACTTAGCGTGGCTTGCACCCGAACTTAAGAAGATGATTGCGGCCGCAGCCGAGTCAGAGAATACAATCAAAGCTCGCGTTAAACTTCTTAGGGCTTACCTTGACAAGGTCGATGGTTGGCGAGATCGCCTGTGCGATTGGGTGTTCGGCGATTATTACGTTACACCATACGATCAAAATGCGGACTTCAAAAAGGAGGTAACCAAGAACCTCAAAGCTGCCATCCCTAAGGCGAACGCCGAGTTATGGGCTGACAGTATTGGCGAGTCCTGGCGAGAACTTATGAAGGGTTGGGTTACCGTCAAGTTTGAGTAACCTTTCCTGGTTCTATGCAGTTCCGTTCTAAATGGTATTCAAAATGTACATATTTTACGGCGATTGTACAAACTCTCGAAAAGTTCCGTGGTGGCCGGCGGGGGTATCTACAAAAATGGGCCGAATTGAAGATGGGTGGATAGGTCAATGAGCTTGGGGATCTCATGTTGGCTAATGAATCGGTGGAGCTATTGTACTGCTACTTCGCACATGTCGGAGAACTTTACACATTTGCTCAAACGGATACTGGCATTTGCAGATATTTCCTCAGGTGCTTAGGTGTGTAAAGAATGAACAGCTACTCAAAAAGCTTCATCAAGAAAACATAGCATGCACAAACAGATAAAAATACAAAATCATTCTTCATGAAAACTTGAACTTGTCGCGATGTGAATAAACTATCTGTGTGAAGAAAAGGGTATCTTCCATGTCTTCCCTGCCTTCATCTCCCTATTCCTCTCCATCTTCTAACGTTATCTCGTGCCAAGTCGCCAAAACGAAGCCAAATGCCGTAGAAATGCCAACACCAGTGCCTATGCCCACGCCAGTATATGCTTGTGAAAAACTCCACCAAAAGACATAGCAAGCTTAGAAGGAAATAGGTAAAAAGGGGAGAAATTCATATCTATGGATGGGAAGTCGAATCTCAATAAGTCTCGGCTGGATGGAATCTGGCTAGCAGATTCGCAGGTTGGTTTTTTGGGTAGTGTATACCTCTCCCTTCCCTGATAACCAAGTTCATCTTCCTACGTCCTAGCCAGCCAATACACCATATGACGCATAACAAATCAACACGCAGATGACTCATCTAAAAGCCTCGCCCGTTAATACTGCTGCTACCTCTCCTCCTCTTGCGCAAGACAACCTTCGCAGCCTCTTCTTTCAGCGTAACCCAGACCCAGAACCAACTAATAAACTCGAGGAACGCGAATGTGAAAAATACGCGATTCCGCAGACCGTCACCACCGGGGGGTTCTGTCGCAGCTACGAACGAAGGGGGCGCGAGTGGATGCGACATATGCGACGTGCCCGAGCGACCGTAGGAAGGCGTCGAGAAGTAGGAGAATAGCGATAGGAAGGCGAACAGGGTTATGCGGAGGGGTGCTTGTGCGCCCCAGTAGTGCAATAGCCAGATTTCCTCAGGCATCGAGAGGGTTAGGAGGTCGGATATTCCGAGGAGTAGGAGGGAGACGGCGAGGAAGGAGGAGGAGCCCGACGGGGCTGCGAAGGAGGCTGTATGAGGCTGTGGCTTGGTGGTTAGCTGCCTGATCACATGGAGGTAGGGAAGGGGAGTTCCGAGGGGTAGATGGAGGACTTACCATGCCCATGGCTTCGCCTAATACGTAAACGAGTGCTTGGTCGGCGATAGCATGCGGGTTCGTGTAGAAGAAGTAGGCTAGGGTGATGTGGAAGAGACAGAGGGAGGTAAGAATGGTCTTGACTGATATGAGCGCCATGATGAGTTGCGTTTTTGAATTTCCGTCTCTTCCTCCGTTTTGGTTGTTGGGTTATTTTATCCGGTCGGTCGTTTGTGTCGGGTTATATATACGCACGGCGTATTCAAGGTATTCTTCTGATTTCTGTTCTGATTCGAAACGAGCGTCGATGATGTCTTATCCTCCACCTAGTAGTAGGGCAGATGCCTAGCCTTGATAGATAGTCGAAAGAGAGAAAAAAAAGTTCTAGAAGAGACGTGTTATAGTAAAGTAGTCGTCGTGCGACCGTTTCCTCCTAATGAACAGGACAACGCCCACCTAATGATAGACATGCGGGATTCCTTGGAAGAAGGAGGGGGGCACAGAGACTTGTGTGTCAGGTTGGAGACGGGCACGGGGAGGAAAAGTGCTGGCCATCCAATTTGATGCAATGCCAATTCACTTTCAGGGACCAGGATTAGTCCTTATCGCCTATCGCGGGTTAAGGAAGCTCGAATAGGAAATATCTACAGATTATGTAATATGGGACGTGGCTTTCTTCATAGCCACACACGAGGGGTTAAGGTTATCTTCCTTTCTTAAAGAGTGGGGCCGTATAGGGCTGATGCAAGTAAGCTGGAACCTAAAGGCTAAGGACGGAGGGGTAACCGGTAGTAGCAGGAGAGCAAGGGAAGTTTTAATCGAACGGAAGGTGAAGGTCAATACGAACTAATAAGTTTAAGATAATTAAATTTAGAGCCTCAATCTTTATTTTTTCTTCTTCTTAATTTATTTTTATCTTGGCCTCCCTCAATGTCTTCCTCTTCCGACCAACCCCCTCTCGACGCCGCACGCCATATCCGTTATTGGCAACGATGTTTCCGATCCGTACTCCCCCACCATTACGTGAGCAACGATAGCATCCGTTTGACTCTTGGCTTCTTCATAGTTGCTGCTCTCGACCTCCTATCTTCGTCCTCGTCATACTCCCAACCTCCGAGTGATCCTCTTAAAGCCTCCCTTATTACAAAAGAAGACCGCGCCCGCCTTCGAGAATGGGTTCTATCCTTACAGCATCCTCAAGGTGGATTCTGCGGTTCACCTCATCATGTCTTGCCCAACAAGTACAGGACTGATTACGATATCATAAACAAAACCGAATCTGCGAGAGATGCAGCCAATGCCAACATAGCTGCTACATACTTTGCCCTTCTTTTATTGGGTATCCTAGCCGAGGATGATGGATCCAGCGCGTTCAATGGTGTAAACCACATAAAGACGCTCCGCTGGCTCAAGACGCTACAAAGAGATGATGGAAGTTTCGGGGAGATTATTGATGAGGATGGCTACGTTGGAGGAGGAAGGGATATGCGGTACTGCTACTTAGCTGCTACGATTAGGTGGGCACTTGGAGGGGCCGAAGCGGGCGAGGATTTCAACGTCGATGCGCTTGTTGCGCATATACGACAAGGACAGACGTTTGATGGAGGATTAGGCGAGAGTTCTACACATGAGAGTCATGCCGGATACGTATACTGCGCTGTAGCCGCGCTCTCCCTTCTCGACCTCGCCAATCCAAACGCGGCTGCAGAACCCGATCGATATCTCCATGCGGGCATACCCTCAATCCCCTCTTTAGTGCACTTCCTTGCGTGCCGACAATTGGATTACCAAGAGTCTGAATCCGACGAGGAGGAATCTGAAAACCACCCACTCCCCGATCTATCTACCTTGAATCTATCGGATTCACCCGAAATAGCCGGATTTAACGGCCGATTAAACAAGCTTGGCGATACGTGTTATGCGTGGTGGGTCAACGGAGCACTATCGATGCTTGGCCAGGGAAAGATTATCGATCGCGGTCCCGGTAGAAAGTTCCTAATGGAGACACAACACATGATCGGCGGATTATCGAAATACCCCGGTGGACCTCCTGATATATACCACTCATACCTCGGACTCGCAGCTCTGGCAACGATGGCCGGGGAGGAAAGCGAGGGCGGAAAAGAAGAAGGCCTAGGTAGATTTGATCCGCGCTTGTGCATAGGACTTGAAGCTTCCGAGAGGGTTGCTAAGGCGCGGGAGGCTTTACTTGCTCCCGAAGAGGACAGCGACGATGGCTGGGAATCAGAGATACAGAGGATGAAGGATAATCTCGACTGGGATAACACGCGGAACATAATTACGCATTTGGAAGTTAAGTGGAAAGCGGAGGGCAAGATACCAATACTGGAGATGGACAAGTGGAATCCTTCTAATCCCCCAAATTTGGACGAATTAGCAGAGTAATCGGGTCTCTACAGTCCTTCCTCTAAACTTCAGCTAGCTTCGCATTAGGGGAAGCCGGGTAGAGATGAGAAAATCTCGGATGAATGTATGTATGAATGATACGAAGTCAAGAATGAGTCTATCTACCTAGGTATAGCTATGAGGACGTGCAAAGATGGAGGGAGATAGAAAACGATTCTACGACGTAGTTTCGAAAAAATTCATGATACCCCTAACTTATCATTTCAATATTTGGATTGTGAAATTTTTGATAAATCATTCTTGTATTTTGGAGCATAGCTAAGAGGTAGTTGACAGCTGATATTTGACTTCCCACATCAGACATAAACCTATGCACGCATACTCTAGAGTTGTATCATCACATCAACCCCACCAACCTTCTTCACCTCACGCAACAACTCTTCCAGCCCCATCACCACCCTGTAACCTCTCTACATCTAATACCAACGGGCCGCCGCCGGGGCCACTAGCATCCAGACTTAACGTAACCCGCGCTCTATCAGCAAGAACTCTAACTGTCTCCCCTAGATTCCGGAAATCCGTTTCAAAATGTGCTAACGGCGGGCCGCTAACACTAGCACCTCTAACACTTTTTCCTGGTCCGTCAATAGGCGTGTTAACAACACTACCGGAATTCTCGTCGTAAGGCCTGACTTCGCGGATATCAACGCTCGGGTATGGGAGCCAGCCCTCGCGTAGTGGGACCATGAGAATTGGAATTTCGGCTTCGGTGTCGGGGGTGCTTTCGTAATCTCCTAGGTCATTTTTGCCGTCGTTTGAGGAGGAAGGGGCCGGGATGACGAAATGGCCTTTCCGACGACCACCTAAAAGCCATGTATCCGGTGGCGCAGTAAGCTCATAGCTGAATTCGAGATCGGTTTGCTCGGAAGGCGATGTAGTGGTGTCCCATGTGCGGGTCCACTTTAAATGCAGGACAGCAGGTAGTAGTTGGTTGGTGCAAATGGTGGGAGTGGTTGAGCCCGAGGGGAGGGGTGTGAAGTTAGGTTGTGAGGGTTGTTGTAGCCGGATGTCCGCAGTGTGTACGATATGCAGGGAGGGAATATCTACTGGGATAAGAATGGATCTGGGCTGGGAGGGTGCCGAATTTGTTTCGAAATCTAATTTCGGGTTCTCGGCCTGCCACTTTCGCAGGAAGGACGCCAGAGTCTTTGAATAGTCCGTGCCGTCGGGCGCCTTACCCAGCCCATTAAAATACTTCGTCCAATTAATCGAAGACAGGAAGGCAGTAGGAACGGATTCCAGGAGAGCTGCACGTTCTAACTCGTGCCCCGTGAAACTCCGGCGAATGTGTGGAAGAATAGTCGAACAGAGAAGCCGAGAGACTGGGTGCAGTGGCGTATCTTGCAAAGATTCGGTTAAAGATTCTTCGAATAGGGACTCAATCTCTTCTCGTAAAATGCTGTAGTTTAGTCTCAGGTACATTGTTTTCTGAGTTTTGGGATGAATCTTGACATCTAGTTTACGCGAGATTTTGTATAGCAAGCTAGCTGGCTGCTTTGGGAAAATGACGACGGGGGCGCTAGGTGGTACTCCAAACTCCGATTCGAAGACTTCCGAACTCAACAGTTCGCTTTTGAATAATCGTAGCGGGCTTTGGCTCGCGGTCGACACAGTAAAGCGAGAATAGAGAGCCTTGTGTTTGAAGACATCCTGTACGTTGACTCCTAGAGCTAGAGCTGTATCGATGACGGGTGTTTTAGAAAAGAAAAATGTGCCGTTTTCTGTCGCATAGGAGACTTCGACCCGTATGGAAATGCTCAGTGTCTCTTGCTCTACTGTATATGGAAATCGGATTCGCACGGTTTCATTCTGCGCGACAGATTCAAGACGGAACAGACCACCCTCAGGTGGCTTGGAAAAGTCAACCGAGGAGCCAATGCACTTTGCTTCGCTGGTGAGTAATCTTAGGCCGCCTGTTGCCGCCTTGACTCGAATTTCAGCACTAGTTAAATCGTTCCAACCGGAATCGAGTTCGATGTCCACCGTATTGTTGCGATCCAATTGAATATGACTTGATGTGCGTAACCGTACGTCTAATGTATCGGATCGGTGGTAAATAGTTACATGCGGTGATTGAAGGATATCTCCCGTTTGATTCGCAGGTTGACCGGTTTCGCGTTCGTGATGAAGACGTAAATTGCTGGCTGTAATATCTATTTTGTCGATTTCATATGAGCCTGGTATTGTCGACTACTATAATTAGCGAGATTTCGATTATACGTTATAGAATGGACTTACATTGCTATTCAGTTTGAGCCGGTTCTTGCCCGGCTTCAATGTTATCGGGCCTCCGAGCTCAAACCAGATTTCCTTCGACAATTTGCCAACATTGCCAACGACCCTTACTCTGGCAGTGTCAATTTTAAGATTATCAGCCAGCAAACTGTTTATCCTCAAGTTGATAGAAATGCTGTCTTGTCCTTGGTGATATTCCGGAGGGCCATCAACTTCAATAATGGAAAAGAAGCTAGAAAGGGGTATTCGCAGTTCGTTCGGTAGTGTTTTGGTTGCTGCGAGTAGGTCGTCTAGTGATCCCTTGATAGCTTCGCTATCTGGATAATCGACGTCGTCCTTGCCTATTCGGAATGCCAACTTTTGTTCCTGGCGGTCCTTCTCGGCTGCAGCCGCCTTTGTCAATAGTTTTAACATAACCTTGACATATTCTTCTTTTCGCTGGAGCTGCTTCAGACAATCCGAGTACATTACCAACATAGAAAGCTCAAGAAGACTCCAACCGCTTTCTCCAAAGAAAGGGGTAGTTCTCCAAAAGTAGGACGAGGCGGAGTTATAATCGCCAAGGTGGTATTTCAACACCGCAATGTCTGCCATGCTAGTCTGCACTGAGTGATTATGGTCTGCAACTGTATAATGTCGCAGTGCTTTATCAGTGAGTGTCTCGTAAAGACGGTAAAAGTCGTCGCTGTTATCCAGCGCTGTCTTGAGCAGCTTGCTATTAACACCAGATATCGAGATCACAGTCTCATGACTAGGTGGGTTCTCGTCTTCAGCTGCTGGTTTATCTTCTTCATTGAGGTCGATGTCAACCATATCGACCATGGTTGATTCTCCTATGACTGGGACGTTAGCCCACCCATCAGTCCAACCACGTTTCTTTCCGCATTCTGCAAGGATATTCCTCGACAGTGCATAGAGCTCTGCTCTCCTAGCAGCTAGATCCTCCAGTCCTGCCTTTAAGAATGTGGATGGACCCTGATCGTCCGTCGAACCTGGCGGGCGCCCAGTGAAGACATTCGGGCTAGGAGGTGGACGGGTAGAAGTAGTACCTCCGGTCCGTATAGCCAAGGATGAACTCCTAGCTGGATGCATCATCGTCTTCGGTTCAGGTATAGCCGCTTTTGGCTCTTGGGAATCTGGTGAAGCTAGTGTAGATGGAGGTATCGGTAAGGCTTTGGTGGATGTTTGAGCTAGGATCTGTTGAGCGATTGAAAAAGCAAATGAGGCCACCAGATTATCGACCACTTCCGAGACTAGAGGGTCATGCCGACTCGCTGCTGCGGTGTCATCTCCATCTGATTTCGCCATTTCCGAAAGCGCGGCGAAGACATCATTCCTCATAACTTGGGAAACCGTTGGGATGAATTCCAAAGTTCGTCGGCAGATTTCGGCAAGCATAGTCAGATCTTCATGCTCATTTTCTTTCTGCTTGGGAGGTGGTGCTCGTGGAGCGACGCCATGTAGAACCGACTCTTGTTGCTCCTTGAGCTTAGCTAGGAGTTCCTCTCTTGTCGACCATGCGTTTCCTAGCCGAAGTAAGAGAGATATTTGTCTAGCAAAGATATAACATCTGAAGTCGAAAACAGACACATTGTTGGCAACGATCATGTCGCGGTAGGACTTCTTCGTGGAGCTGATGGGAATATCATCATATACCTCCTTAGATTGCGCCTCTTCAGCTTGAGACGACTGTAGGTCGACGAGTTCGTCTTCGTCTTCATAATCGGCACCTGCAATCGCTGCTCTAGCTTTGAGAGCAATTTGCTTTAACTCTTCCGTATAACTCAACAGCGCATTGGCGGCAGACCTTGACCCAGTCGAGGCTTGATCTTTAACTATCATATCCAGCCCCACACTAAGCTCGTCGTACCCAACCAGCGCATCCTCCACTAGACCCACGCTTTCGAAGCCTCGGGCAAGTCCCTCCTTAAGGATAAAAAAAGTGCAAAAATTCCACCCAGGCAGGCTTCGTTGCGCATCCTTCTCCCTGATATCTTCCTCGTATTGACTAACTCGCAGGTCGAAACTTGACAGGATGAGGCTGCGAAATTTGGATATAAGATCGGTCCATGAGTTCTCAGTCTCTTGTTGTGTTTCTGTATAACCGCTGGGCACTGCTGGCACTACGCGGGGTAGGATATCGTAGGGAACATCGTTAACGCCGATTCGTATCTGGGCAATTCGATCCATCGCTGCCTTGCTAGAGGTGTTGAAATCGGATTTCATCTTCTCAAGGAGCGTGCTTGATCCGGGTCTCCATCGGGACGCAGCCGAACTTTTCTCAGGTGCGGAACCCGAATCCCGAGGTTGAGTCGCAGCGACGGTATTCGGTATAACAACGTGAACGATAAGCCATTCGAAAGCATCGTGGTTTTCGGCCGTATTTCGTTTGGAGCCGGACGGGGGCGTGTTTGTCTTGATCCAATCGCGTATTTCTTGCCTCACGTGTCCCTTATAAGAATCATTATCATCACATCGTACTAATAGCACCTTGAGATATGGAGTCCTCCTCAGCCCGGGAATCTGATGTCGTCGCACAGGTGTACTATTGCGGTTTGTTGGCTGGTCAGCTGCATCGGCGGACAAGACCGCTCCAATCTGGGTCTGGAAGCCATCGTCGCGGGCGGCGCTATCTAACGGTTGGGAGGGCGGTGGAGAAGAAACGGGTGAGGTAATGGAGCTTTTTTCGCCGGCTGGAATGAGTTCGATATGGAGAGTATCGATGGATCGGAGGGGGCCAGCATGCGATTGCCAATGTAGGTTTCGCAGGGGAAGTCGGGGTACTAAGCCGGGGGCGAGAAGTTTGAAGACATCGTGAGGGTCGAAATACTCGACTATATGCATGAGGTCAGCAACGCCGGCGCATGATTTAAAAGGGGAGGATTTACTAAAGCACCTGTGACTTTGGAAGTAGAGAATGGCTGTTCCATGACGAACAGCTTTAGGACTTAATATCTACTTCATGGCTAGACGGACAATGAACAAGGGGCGTGAACGCTTTGGTATTGTTGGCTACCTCTTGCGAACTTTTGAGGTTGTCGCTGGAAAATCAAGCGTCATTCCTTGTTACAGCGAAGAAAAGAGGTACCTATAATTGACTTTAGGGGCTATATACAGCCGACAAGGAGCTACCTGCCATCATACATAGCGCTAAAACAGAGCTAAAGAATCAGGGGTAGTTGTTGGAAGGCGGTAACGACCACGCTATTAAATGATTAGCTGTAAATCCCCCACTACTGTATGGCGGGGTCCCGGCAGAATTCTCTCGATTTCGCCATCCATTGATACAACAATTTGACGCGATAGCGGAACCATTATTCTAATCACAATGGCGAAATTTCCCGCTCATATAAGAATTCTATACTTGTCTTTGTAAATCCTAAATCCCAATAAACTGTGAAATATTTCAATTCATAATTAAGCCAATTTTGAAACATTCTTCAGGACAAATCCCAGGGAACAAGATGTCAGGCCTTCAAGCGATTTGCTACACGCGGGGCAAATTAGAAATCCTCGACCAACTGAGATTACCCCACGAACACCACTATGATGAGGTCGCAACAAGCGAAGAGGCATTCGATTCTATTAAGTCTATGAGAGTCAGAGGTAAACCTGTCTCCAATTATTAGCCATCTCGTAATTCATTCAAGCGCTCATTAGTTTTATAGGTGCGCCGGCTATAGCCATCGTTGCTGCGCTAGCTCACGGTGTCGAATTACATAACGGGAGTTGCAGTGAGTGCTTTTGACGTCTTACGAGCTTCCTCGCAGCTATAGACTAATCCCAATCTAGAGGCGTCAAACACAGAAGAGACGATATCTTACATCGACTCGCGCTTAGACTACCTCAAGCAGTCACGGCCAACTGCTGTAGATCTCACTAATGCTATCACACATCTAAAGAACACGATTAGGTCCACGGATGTGTCTGGGAAAGAAAATGACGAGACAGGGCGTGATGCGATTATTAGTGCTTATACCGCTGCTGCCGAAGAAATCTTCCGCAAGGATACCGAGACAAATCTCTCGATTGGCAACCACGGAAGCAAGTGGTTATTAGAGAATGCGCCAACGAAGTCCGTCGATGGCAAAGTATCGGTTTTGACGCATTGTAATACTGGATCGCTCGCCACGTCGGGTCACGGAACAGCCCTTGGTATCATCCGCTCCTTGTATTCTGGTGGCCATTTGCAGCACGCTTTTTGTACTGAGACTCGACCATACAACCAAGGAAGCCGGCTCACTGCTTTTGAACTAGTGTACGAAGGAATTCCCTCCACACTTATAACGGACTCGATGGCAGGCGCCCTATTCGCTACCAAGAAAGCCGTAAACAATATTGCCGCCGTCATCGTCGGCGCAGATCGAGTTGTTCGCAATGGAGATACCGCCAATAAGATAGGAACTTATACACTCGCTGTACTAGCCAAATACCACGGATTGAAATTCATCGTTGCGGCGCCGACAACAAGTATCGATCTACAGACCGAAACCGGTGCAGGGATCAAGATCGAGGAGCGCAAGCCCGAAGAACTAACGCAAATCACCGGCGCCGTCGTAAGAAAAGATGGAAAGGTTGACGTTAGTCGTACGGAGCGTGTAGCAACCGCACACCAAGAGATTGGCGTCTGGAATCCTGCGTTTGACGTTACACCGGCAGAGTTGATTGATGCCGTAGTAACAGAACGGGGTGTCGTTGTAAAAGATGCGAATGGTGCCTTTGACTTCAAAGGCATCATGCCCGAAAGATGGGCAAAGGTTGTTGGGAAATAATAAGGGATATGAGGAAGTACGCCTCGTGAATAGAAAAGAATAGAGATTTGAATCAAGCGATTAGCAGGGGAGTCTCAACGGGTAATTGGAAGGTATCTCATATGTAGGGTATCCTATGATGCATACAAATTAGCATGAATGAACAAACGACGAGAGCAACGCTTGAATCCCTTCGGTTTCCCAAACACAAACCGCTTAGCTCTCAAGAGCATGCAGGATGAGCTTCTTGTAATCCTCGACCGCCGCCTCCAATTCGCCTAGTTTAATCGCCTCATCTGGTCCATGGGCTACGAAAATGGTTCCGGGTCCGTAGAGGTATCGTTTGTGATCTCCCTCTAGGTGATGTACGTCTGTTCCGTAATTGACGGTTGTGGTTTCGAAACCTGAACTCGAAGTTAGCCGAGATAATTAGCGTTGACAGACAATAAACTAGACATACCTTCAACATCGCAATCACATTTGACAACACCGTACCCAAATCCAAAGTCGATTTCGAACGCTTCCTCATCCACGCTTCGTAGCACCTCTTCTAGCCGCTTAGCAGCGATCCGGTCGCCGCCGATTTCAGGGCCAATAGCTACGCGAACCGCAAGTCTTGCGGTAGCTGATTCGGCGATAACATTAGGAGCCACCCCACCATGGGCCAATCCAATGTTAACTGTCGTATTACCAAACTCCTCACTACTGCCCAAGTCTGTATCTAAAACTTGCACCAACCCGCGCATAAGCACCTCTAGAGCACTCTTACCGAGCCATGGGTATCCGCTGTGACCCGCACGTCCGTGTACCGTAATATTGGCCGCAAAAATTCCCTTGTGTCCACATACGAGACGCCGCTCTGTCGGCTCGCCGAAAATCGCGGCTTTGAAGTTTGGAGGTGGGTCTAGCTTGCTGCGCGTAGCAGAGAAGTATTTCATTCCGATACCTGTTACCTCCTCGCCGACGACGAATAATAGCATTACGGAGTCCTCTTTGCCAGAAAGAGTGCCCGAGTCTAATAGCGATTGTAGAGCGATGATTTGCGCAGCAACACTAGCTTTCGCATCGACGCTGCCGCGGCCTGAGAGTACCGTATCGGCGGTGGGGTCGGCATCGGTGCGACTGTAAGGTATGAAGGGCGGGACGGTATCGATATGGCTGCTAACGAGGACCTTAGGATCAGGTTTTCGATTCGGGCCTGGCCATGCGAGGACGTTGAAGCGAGGTTTGCTAGGTTCGGTAGTATTCGACTCTGGAGGGATGAATTCGAGTTGGACGATGAAGTCACGCGCGGTAAGATACTCGACTAAGAAGTTGCCGACTTCATTTTCGTCGTCGGTAATAGAGGGTATTTCGACTAGAGATTTATGTAAGGATACTAATTCGTCGCGATAAGAAGGAGGCGCATCGGAAGAATCGTGCGGCAGCGATATTGGAGTCGAAGCTTGAGCAGCTTTAAGAGGTTTTTGGAGTTCGGATCCCCAAGCTCGGGAGCTGCTAAGGAGGAGTACGGGGAGAGGTAAGAGCTTCATATTGAAGAATATGGAAGCGAATTGGTGAATAATTCAAATTGAATTTCTTTAATTCAAACTTGGCGACGGCATTGACTGTTTTATTCCAACGTTGCTATTTCTCGACCACCGAACTAGGTGGAATGAATAGTTCAATTCCATCATCATCGTCGGAATTGTGACAGCTAAATTCCCAGCCACCCCACATTGTTCAGGCTAGCGCCCAGGTACATTGAGGGTACCCTGATGTCCACTATAACTTCCGCCGTGTTTCCCCTCTATTATAGCAGCTATTTAGGCGATCTGTAGGCCTAAGAGCGATATCGAAGTACAGGATAACAAAACCTAAAAAAACAAAGTCGACTTGTAAGTATGCCCATGGCTCCTCGCTCTAAAACGCTAGCATTTACGGAACCACCCGGAAGAGGGTCCGCCCTACTGATATGTACCTAGGTAAGTTTGGAGCTACGGACTGTGCTGGCCCCTTTCTTCTAGCGTCTATAGAAGCCAAATTCGAACATCATTGGCCAGACCCCAGAAAATGGGAGTGAAGTAAATATCCACTAATATGCTTGGAAGAGAACTGCTTCCTCACCTAGCTTAATATTTATGTAATACGAATCGCCAAATGGCACGATATTCCATATAGGGAGACGAAAACAGACGTGTATATATGTCGACTAATAGAAAGAATCCTCGTGCCTTGTGGTATGGTGCATAGTTGGATGTTTCCCAAATGGGACATCGGAGTTTAAACACAGTCAGGTTCGTTACCTTTTCAAGTATTATATTTCGAGACACTACATAGATCTCTTCAGCATGTCTATCACTCACGTCGGGCGTAAGTGCTATTTGAGAAATATTCTCAAACACGAAATCAATCACAAAGTCCTTCGTCTTTTCATGCCCACGGGCTCGATACGAAGAAGTCATTGGTGTATACTTGAACCAGTCATGTAAGCTCTACTCATACATCTAAATAACCCGCAAATCCGATTTACGAGATAATGATCCTACTTCCTATGTTTATACACCCATAAGTAGTCGAGCTTCTATTCATAGGCCATAGAGTCGGTGAGCGAGCAATACTTTCGCCCGGATTGGTGTTCGGTGTTATGAAGGTAGTTTAAGAGTATATTGCTAGGCAGTAAGATGGCACATCGATGACTCGTACAAAACTCACCACATTCTAGGTCTTATGTCGCTCTATCAAGTTATAACCTTCTAGATAGACGGTGGCCGGCTTGGGTAATAAAGTCGTGCTACCGGGGTACTATGCGAGCCGGTTGAATACCTACCTCAAGGCTTAAATCTAGGTTTCACCCCTTTTCCAAGTCACTCGGTATTACGTAAGTAGTAACTTGTGTCGCCGCGGATTCTATAGCTCGCTATAACCCGCGAATTAATACATAAGAGTCATGCGGGTAATCGCGCCGCCCTACCGCAACGCGAGATCTCTATAATGTTGGGCTGAGCAAGGCTCAGGGCTGAACCGCTGTGCCGCGAAATAAAATTCCATGCACTCTATAAGTGGATCTCTATAGGCCCTTAAAGATCGTTTGATAGGGCGCAGGGTTCGTGTTTGAACTTGGCGTTAGCACGACGTTACATGGTCAATCCTAAGTACAATTCTTGGCCTGGTCTAGTTAGGAAGCTTAGGACCCTGTTTCTGGTTGGCCGAGATTAACATCTCACGATCCTCGTCGGATATGCTTATATGGAATAGGACCTTCGGATCTTCCTTTGACTTTCCTGTCCGGTTCGAGTATAAAAGGACTGGGTCGTCTTGTATAATATTCACGATGGCATCATACCTCATCAACAGCGACCTCCCGATCCCTTGAATACTATACCTCGCATATCCACTCTCACATAACTTCGAAAATGCGTCCTAGCCTCATAACGCTCTCGGCAGCCGCCACCGTCGCAGCTCTGCCCAACATCACCGTGGTTCCAAAGGAAAACAGATGCAGCAACTGGCCGTTTTTCCGCCAGTATGAGAGTGTTGCCGGGCCATTCGCCATCTTCGCTGACTCAACCGGCAAGGACATTGACGGAAACAAAGCCAGCTACCAAACTACCAAAGAAGTCACTATCGCTTCGGCTTGGGTAAGGATCCACACCCATAATCCAAAATCCGGATTCAACTAACACATAAAACAGCTCAGCATCGCCAACCAAAAAGACGTAGCAGTGCCTCGAATACAATGCCAGGTATTCGGCAGCGCAGAAATGCTCGCCATGAGCGTAGACAGCCAATACCAGCCATTGAGCATTTCAGAGTACATCTACCACGAGTACGACGGCCTAATCTTCATCAAAAGCGTAGCAAAGGGTGCGCCAATCGAGCCGCACTGGCATTATTACCCTAATGGAACGCGACAAGCCGGGACGTTTCTAGGATGGAACAACTTCACGACCTGGGCGTACTTGCTTGATGAAACATCTGGCCAGTATCGGGTTAGACTTTTGACGGATTCTCAGACTCTTTACGATGGGGAATTCACTGGTTTCGTGCGAGCCGGAGACCCTAGCACGTCCGACTAAGAGTACCAATGAAAATGGTCCTTTTAAGCGACATGGATGATATGAAATGAGAAATAATTTAATGTCTAATGAAGACTCATTTGTTTAAGCTGGTCTAGCTTAGATTTGGAGTAGTTAATGAAAGACAATATCAGCAAGAGACATTTTTTTGGTAAATGAAGTTGGACTTACTGTTGATGATGCGATGTAGTGGTACTAGCCTCAAGTCTTCGTTCTATAATTTTCAAAAATCCTTCCAGTGCAGCGTAGAAGGTAATTACCTAAACACCTACATAGGTAGGTAGTAGGCGAACAAATAGGATGATAGCCATTATGAGATATATCTCATCTGATATATAATACTTTCCCCTTCGAAGCCCGTACAACATGCGTAGGTAATACCAATCATACAATAAGGCCTGTATAGATCCAGTCGCCTTTGCGATGTCCTGCTGTCCGCCAGACAGTGGAGAATGACAAAACCAAATACCCTAGGTAGATATCTATATAACAATGCATCCGAAATCCCCCATTATGATATCACAGCTTGCTGTGATATGATGCGTCCGTACTACTACATGGTATCAAGTCCTTGCTCCTTATGTCAATCATTTAGATGTGCCAGCCTCAACACTAGCAGCTGCATTTAACACGGCCTCTTTAATTTCTCCTTCGACTTCGTAAATTTCTTCGATCTTTTGTCCGGGAATATGCGCAACGGGGCTAAACTGATCAACCTCCTCAACGTCATCATCGGCTTCGATATCGGGTATTTCTTCCTCCGCCTCCTCGTCTTCTTCCTGAATTGTTATCTCACCGCTTCTTCGCCCTAGCCCGCTGGCGCTCGCACTCCTGCTATGGCCGCCAGAATTACCACTACTACGGGACTGGCTGCCGATAGAAAGCATTGGTCCCTTAAAAATATTTCGTTTACGCTTAGCGAAAAGTACCGAAGGGCTATTCGATGAAAAAGGGTTGGGGGAACCTGGGGGGTTTGGTCCCGACTTAGATGACGGCATGCCTTCGTTAAAATTCAAGGACAGCGCGGGACCTCGAACAAGGCGGATATTAGATGGGAACGACTTGTTTGTTGGCGTAGCTGGCAGAACCTTTACCGAATGATGTGGTGAGCGTCCAGGTGTCTTCGTTGTTGATACTGACCCCGTAGAGCTTGTTGAGCTGGCCTTCGAATGTGAATGATGGTGATGTGGCATAGTCCGAATAGATGATAGAGAAGACGAGGTCGACTTTCTACCTCGGAGACCGGTTGAAGAGCGACGGATGGTTGAACGAGGTGTAAGTGGGACTGGTGATAAGGATTGGCGTTTATATGATGAGGCGGCGGAAGGCATACGACGCGGTCCCGAGTTGGAAGGGGTCCTAAGAGGTGTTGGTACAGGCTTCTTTGTTGGATTACTACCACCAGCTGCTCCGGTGCTTTTAGCATTCCCGTTAGGTAGACTTGGTGAGTTTCCACCGCTCGATGTTCCAGCACCTTGTAGGGAAGCGGGATATTTGCTAGTATGAGGTCGAGGGCTAGCATCTTTTGGGTTCTTGTTGCCAGACTGTCCATCCTTAGTGGCCAAGTTAGGCGTAGACATGCTCCCTCGCTTATTAGGTTTGTGCCGCCTGGTGTTTTCAACAATCCAGTGTGTCCAATTCTTCCACGTCGCAACAATTGCTTGTGAAGGCTTTTTCCGGACTTTCGGGGGAGGATTTAGCTCCCGAACCTCGCTATTTCCTAGTGCATCCGAGGTAGTCACAAGATGCAGTGTTGAACCTCTCGATCTCGCACTTCGAAGAATGCCTTCTTTTGGAGGGGGTATAGGACGTTGGTGTCGTGATGAGCTGACCGACCTCACCGAATCCTTATCTATTGGAGGAGGTGGTGTACTACCATCGGGACTTAGATGTCCCTTCACCTGTGACTCGGGCAAGTTTGGCAACTCTGGAATTTGGGAGTCGCTATATCGAGCGCTCCTCCTTTCCGGGCGCCCTCTCGTCTTAGGTAAAGGTGGTTCTCCAGATCCGCTAGGGTCTTCGTCGAGGATTGGTGCCATTCGTTCGAGCTTACTGGATGCTGCCGAAAAACGGCGAGAATTCCGGTTCTCTGATTCTTTCTCCTTCCTCCTCCTCTCACGCCGACGAGCCTTCCTTTCTTCCTTTTCCAATAGTAGTGTCCACCAACCCGCTAGTACGTCGCATCGTTGGGCTAGAACACTCTCAATGACGGCATCGATATCTACGCCAGCACTACGCATTCGCTGTAAGCAGTCCTTTTCTAGGTGGGTTGTAAACGGCGGAGGTTGATGTAACTTGAGAATTGCTTGTTGCTGAGGAGCATGTTCGGCGAGGAAGGGATGAGAGAGAATTTCGGGAAGGGTAGGTCGTAGTAACGGTCGTTTAGAAAGTAGGAGCCTGATTAGAGCAATAGCATCGGGTGGTAAACGTTCTGGGTATTTCGGTTCCTCCGTTAGGATTTTCGTTCTCGTAATATTATCGTCGTCTTCGTCAAACGGCAACTCGCCGCATAACAGCGCATAAAGAATTACACCCAAACTCCACACGTCTATCTTCTCGCCAGCATATTTCTCCCCTTTCAACATCTCGGGTGCTGAGTAACATATTGTACCGCAAAACGTTTGAAGATAGTTGGCTTTGCCCTCATACTCGCGCGTAAAACCAAAATCGACCAACTTGACATTCTCGTGTTTGTCGAGCAAAATATTTTCGAGTTTTAAGTCGCGATGAACACATGATTGTTGATGTACATAGGATACGGCACCGACGAGTTGCGTAAATATCCTTTGGGTCTTTTCAACTGGTAAAGTACCATTCTTGAGAAGGTAGTTGTAAAGCTCGTCACCTATAAATAATTAATAATGCCTGAGCATAGGATGCTCTTAGCAAAGACATACCTGGACAATATTCTAAAACAAGCCACACTAATGATTCGGTAACTATTATTTCGTATAGCCGTGCGATATGGGGATGGACAAATTGACGATGGTGGTGGATTTCCCTGGCGAGATTGGAGTCGTCCTTGTTGGCTGACTTGAGGACGACCTGTTGCAATTAGGAATAATGTTCGAAAGGGATCGGATGAAAGCCTATGGGTTCGGGCAAAGACTAACCTTGGATCCATTTGTGAGTTTATGATTCGCAAGATAGACCTTGCCGAAGGAACCCTTCCCTATCAGCTTTCCCAGAGTGTAGTTGCCGACATTTTTTAGGTCCTTATCCGAAAATTCGCTATTAGGGGAAGGGGGCATTAGCAAGGAAATAAGTAACTTGTTTGCGAGTTGTCTGGATTCGGACTTACTCGAGTAGCTCCTGATACGAGTTGGCAAGCTATTTATTTGTCAACAGTTAGTACCTGAATATTGTCGGTGACCTGTAAATTTGTGAGATACGTCTATCTCGGCATACCTTTGCCTTCCGTCCCAGCGCCTCGGCCTTTGCTTTATTTGATTGCATATCCCTTTGAGGCCCGTCCTCAGCGCCGCGCGCTCCCTCCGAGGCGCCGAGTGTTATATATTATTGCTCTAATATCTATCGTTGACTTGCTAGTGGATTCGAGGAATAATCTAGGATCATGAAATACGGCTCGGGAATGGCGATTGGCGCCTAACGAAATCCGATAGCTCATGAACGACCTGGTTTGTTAAGTTATGAATATAATAGTTGGACGACCGACTCGATATCGTTGCACGGGTAGAAAGGTGTACGGGGCATATATTCGGGGTGGGCGAATGCGATTGATGGGAGCTTCGAAAATTATTCAGGGGTCTCGGCGATCGTGTGTAGGTAATCGCGTCGTAGCAACGTGTCGACCTACGAAGCTTCAATGGGGGGGTATCGTTGGGTGATGGAGGAGCGCAGTGGGAAAATAAATTAATCTAACAACTACACAGGGTTTGTTTCTTGTCGTCTTGTTTACTTGAAGCCAAAGTGAATACTGCTCGGAGCAGCATATTGAGTAATGTATTGTCACAAGATTATTACAAAGAACCTAGGTAGGTAAGGTGGGTAAAATTGGTAAAAGTTTCTAATTCTTCGCAGGCGACCCGATGATAGGGACGGGTAAGGATCGCCATTGCCCCCCGACCAAAATGTACCAAAATGCACCAGGGACGGGGCTGCCCGAAGCTTAACGGCTGACATTAGTATGATGTTAGGCGGTTGACCCTTGCAGGGAGTCGACTCTAGGGTATTTTAGAGGTCCTAGCGGCCCCTATTTATTCCTTATCGATACCTATCTTCAAATGTCCTACAGCACTAACAGCCTTGAAGCGCTAGCAGCACTGTTCCCCGTAATAATAAAAAGGTTCAACTAAACCTCAATTGTCATAAAACCCAAACATCCCGAGGTCATTATACGTTAGGTATTTCTATATTATTATTCTCCTAAAGAATTAAGAATATCCTTCATCAATTCCATTACCATACGATATACTCCAAAAGTTCGCCATTCTGTAGGAAAGCTATCCGAGATAGAACCGGGTCAACGGCCTTTCTAAAATAGATACGATCTACCCACTCATTCACCAAGGAACCCGCCGCTGAAGATCACGATCTTAAATATTCACACGCACTCTTACCCCATCGTATTCCGCCTTTATACACCCACATTCCGGGAGCGTTCCCAGTTTTTAACCCTTGAATGGCGTCGGCAAGGTCTGAACCAAGGCCTTCTGCTTTTATGTCCTCGATAGGATATAAGTACGTTTTGAAGGAGAAGAGTATAGTTCGCGTCTTGGGCATCCGTGTTAACGTTTGTAATTCCATTCTCACATGAGTCTACTTATTATTAGTATGTCTCGAGGCTGCCATCATAATACGAATCTTACCTTCTTTATATCAATGTCGATACTATCCATATTATCGCCTTCACTTACGTGATTTCCGGAGATGTTGAATAACTCTGGTGTCGACGTTATCGACCACTGCCCGGTCGTATTAGTCACCCGACATTGTCATTTCAATGTTCAACACGCAAGAGAGAATAACCTACGTTAATCCTAGATGCGCTCTTACCAACTTCCAGCCGACTGAAATACTTCTCCATACTCGCACCGATTTTCTCATATGACGGCACCGGCTGATGTATATCCTTGAGTAATTTACCAATCTTCGCTGCGGGGTCGAATCCAGAGGGGCAGCAGCATAAGAAAGCGGTGCACTGGTGGCCGTCGGGTGTTTCTCGCAGAAAGAACATGTCATCTTCCACAGTCCCACCCAGGCTTTTCAGTGCTGTGACCGGATCCTGGGGAGGTAGAAGCGGAAGAGAGACGCCAGTAACGCTATTTCGAAAGAATTTATCATCCTGGGAGAAAATTGTTGGATATCTCGTAGGAAGATATCCTCCGAGAAGGTAGGTATACACCTCCTGAACGGCTTCGACGCCACAAGGTAGGCATCCAATAGTGTGGGATTCGTGCTTGGCCATGACGACTTTACGCTCCTGTATCCGGGATAAATAATTCTGATCTATAATTATGAGATCCGATGGAGTAGTCGACTTAAGCGCTACAGAATATCAGCATCGCGAGCACACCGATTCTATCAGCAAATACCGGTACGCATACCCATCGTTATGTAGTATATCGATTTGAAAGGTCTGAACCGTTGCGGCTCTACGCTCGCCCAGTCAAACTCAGAGAGGGGGTCTATTATAGGTTCAGATGAAGTGTATGTTCGGTGCCCTTTCTTTGGTATGTTGCCATAGTTCTAGATGAGACCTCATCAGTTTTGGAATGCATCCATAAAAGGTACGAGGATATATCTACCTTGATGCGCTTACGCTGGGTCCATATCCAGATAATTGTCAATAAGACTAAAGCTAACAAAACTAACAGGATCGACATATTGTAAATATTGATGTTGAGATCTCTTCATGATGACCTTAACATATAACCATAAAGAGCGAAGCACCTACTGTTATCCCCGTGATCGTCTTTATACGATAACTTTCATACGAGGATACACTATTTCGCGTACTACCTTCCCCAACTGCGCCTAGGGGGTAAGCGTTCTGCCCCACAACGACAAACAGAGCGCCTATGATAACTCCCGCTTATTTCTTGGCCTCCTGCCGATGCCGGGCCCGGAATCGGCACCCAGTTTAACGACAGCAAAGAAGACGTCGAACCAAATGTTGCTTCCTCAGATTTAAACCTGGCGTTACCCAACGTCGTCGCTAGCCGCTCGAGTTGGACATATATAATACGAAAGTACACTTTACACCTGGTGCTACTATAAAAGGTCAAATCGCTCAGCTTTTCTTATTGAATCGATGGATCCCAACCCCGTCCCCGTTGCCACTACGACCATGGCACCCTTTCCTCGCTAGCCCTGCGATACAAATACCACCACAGACTTAAGAAGATTATCAGTTTACCCAACACAAGACATCGGAAATAACAAGCAGCAATTTCTTCCACCAATACTACCACCTATAAAGATAATCACGAGTCGCAGTTCATGCCGGCGACCTCGATTCAACTATCACACCATGGGCCTGGCATACGTGAAATGATGTTCTGCTCCTCGACCAAACTCCAAAATTCGCCCGCGAACTCGTCTGTAGCTTCACTCCACCAAATATACCAGTCATTTACATGCGGTCCGATCGTAAAACCAATTACGTCATAATAACAAATCCACATATTTCCGACTATATATGAAGCTCTTTTGTCGATCAGATGCCGTCTATAAGTTCTAAATTGGCGCCTATCTTCGGCGAGAAACAAGCGAATTTCCTTTCGCCCATAGCTTTCCAGGTCGACGCCAGCCGACCTCAAGATATCGAGCCATCTTTGAAGTGCTACCTGAAATTGCCTCTCAGTCTGGGATTTAGTATATATGGCGCCTTCACCTAGACCATGCCAAAAAAGCATGCCTAATAGCGGACTGAAAAAGTACATGTACTCATACATCGGCGAACCATGATAATGAAAGGGTAGAGGAGTATGCAGGTCCTTTGTTTTCCGAATAACATCTGCCGCGAAGATTCGCCACTGCATAAGCTCCTGGCTTGATGTTCCACGCTTCTGAAAACGGACAATTTCGTCCAAGCTATCGTTTTACGCTTCTTTACGATAGAATAAATCATGTCGTGCGGGGATGCAGGATCGATTGAGTCGTGGTGGCGTGCGGACGTCCCCTCGGCTTTGGTGGTAGCCGAAAGATGAGGATGTTGGGCGCCATCTAACCCCAATTTGACTTTCCGAGCTACAACATCTGGGTAGACATGAACAAGCGCGCTACGACTTATCAGATTTGAATCATATAGTATTGTGTAGGTTCTGTACTCACATAAGATACCCTTGCTGAGCCAGCTGAAGCATACTCACTGCGCTTTTCAAACGTCTTTTAACTATTTTTAAATCGTCTTTCTTCAGGACGACCTTCACACAGGCCTTTAATCGGACAATTCGCTTCCTCGAACTGATTTTAGCAGCTAAGTCATTAACCACGAAAATCACTTTCTGCAGGGGCTTGCGGCAGTAATTTGCGCTCCGCATTGCTACTACGTCACTCCAAACCTGTGGTGGAAAACTCCGCGGAAAATGGTCTTCGGCTTCCCAGAGCGCTAGGTCTATGCAGTCGATCTGCTTCATAAAGTCAGAGATGTCCTCGGGAACGTTTTTCACCTCATTCCATAGTTTTTTGAGTTTCGAAACAGCCTCTATAGCCGTACCCACCAGCTGGCCCACTACGATACCGCTTGTGGTGGCGCCTAGAGCCTCAGCCATTCTAGGATCCCATTGGCTGCGTTTAGAGGGTGCGCGATAATCGCAGGGTGATGTGTCTGAGTTAAAACTAGCAAAGCATTCGAAAAAAAGGAGGAGAGGATGAAAACCCCAAATAAGGCTGGGGGTTCAGTCGTAAGGTATTTTTGCCAGGTAGTATATTAACTCCGCCGATACACCGCCATCATAACACTCTTCCTAGCTTGTTATAACCTTAAACTAAGGCTGTATATAGAATGCCCCGACACTTGTTCCCCTTGGCGTGGGGTAGAGGGATATACAATGAAACCTTTCGCCTGCGAAAATCATCAACCTGGACTTGCAGGTAGTGGGATGTCATTGCAGCTTAATGGATTCTAAGAGGCCTCGGCCGACTCACTTATAGCTCTTCACGAGAACCCCTCGCCCTTCGCAATATAAGATATCGCGAAAGAAACGGTACAATACGATACCAATATTATAGATGACTAAGCGATGACTAATATATTTCAAGAAAAGGGGTAAATTCTAAGTAGAAGTCAAGACTCCTTAACCGATTTTACGAAGTCACAATAATCTTAGGAGATCTGTGAATTGGAGTACATTAAGAATTGACATGTTAATGCATTGTATTGCTTTGTTGATAGATAGAGTTCCTAATACCGACATATTACCTTAAGTACCTAGGCAATGGCTTGGGCAGTGACTCCTGATTGAATACAATTGCGATGGACGTTTGGGAAGTGGAATAATCAAATGGATTACATGTATTGTTTATCTTCTAGTTTCTAGTTCGAGCAGGGTACCGGGTTTGTAAAGATAGATAATTCCAGAGCTATGGGTTTTATTTTGTAATAAACTACAAATTTTAACCATCTAACAGACTCTTTGCTGAATTGGTAATGTGCATGGCCATAGCAGCTCTAACTACCAGCCGCTACCTAGGAAGGGGGCCCCAGTGACTAGGTCGTTACACGCTCAAACCCCCATGACTTACCATCTTCTGGCGCCCCAAAGGTGCTCTGTTCGATCCCGGGATTTGTTTTGGTTTTCATTTTTATGTTTTTTTTTCTGCCAAATATTCATTCCGGTTGGGTAATGAAATTATCCTCCTCTTATTTACTATTTAGACACTTTAGTAACCCACATATAAACACCTTAGCTTCTCCATGGCCCGTCTTCCCACTCATTCACAAGTGCCTAACCATCACGCGAGGAATATTCACTTTATTCTCAGCTAATATCATGTACCTAGATATGCAAAGACATTATAACCCGCAGTATTACGCGCCCACATCGACGCATTGTGATTTAAATCCTTCTCCGTATGTCTTCACGCAGTTGGCGGTAGAAAACGCATCAGCTCGTGCCGCACCAACCGTGCACTATAATTGAGTGAGTATTAGGCTAATTCTACCGTGATATAACGTTGACATACCAGTTCCTGCCCTTCGATGCCGCCACCAAGCGCCTGTCGACTGTTCACGCCGCCGGCTTGGTCGCACAGCGGGGACATATGATTGACACCCGTCTCGGCGTTTATACAGTTACACGACGGACTTAACTGTGAGATTAGCTAGTCATGCCCGAAATGGCAAAGGAAAAGACATTAGTTCAGTATGGGAATGCTGATGGTACTTACAATGGCAACGCGCAGCCGTTTGCATTCATGGGTAAGACGGGATCACTAAATGGAAGACGTGCAGGGGGGTCGATGAATGAAATGCTACAGACACTCTGTTATGGAATTGGCATTCCTTTCGCTAGGGAGACACTGAGAAATATGAATGAGGTTGTCAACAACTTTGAGGCTGACATGGTTATAACGACTAGCTCGCAATTGAGCGAAAAGATCGATAGAAGCTATGTTGTATGAGGTAGTCTGAATATGGAGTCAATTTTAGGTAGGTAAGTAGGTCCTTACGCCAGGTAGATATATAGCCGCGTTATAGTTAGCCCTATGACGTGGATAAATAGGACCTTGATTATCCATAATGATATAACCCTACCATACAAGACAGACCAAGACTCCGGTGAACTAGACTGTCGGTAGTTATGATTCCTACCAATAATATACCACCAATTGGCCCGGAAGGGTAATTGGTAAAATATAAGACCGTGTACTATACGTTATTGATATCAATGCAAGTTTTATAGCGCCTTATACCCTAAAGGATGTGTAATGTTGTTAGGCGGAATTAGGCAACCCTCAAGAAGAAAATGTTTTACTCATCCGACTAGAAGTGCCAGAGTATACTTTGCATAGCGAAAGACTCACCATAGAAATATTATCATAGTGTTCATTAGTCTAGGCGTCTACTCTACACTGTATGTAGCAAATTCTTGCGCCATTTGAGGACCTCTCGTAGCTATGAAATCAAAACAACTTTACAATGGTATGTGTATACCAACAACGGCAGAAGAAACAAGAGACTCCAGATATCCCCTCCAATATCCCCTTTCATACAAGAAGGCCATTAAGAAGGAATACACCACACGTACGTAAACGCGCCTGACATGGGCGAATACAGAAACAAGACCTTGTCTTATATTCTTAGGCGTCGAATAATCCAGTTAACCAGGCCAATGGTCCCCGGTGGCGTTCCTCCAGTCGTTCAAGACGCTCGTTCAGCATCTGTCGTTGGTCCCGGATCTTGTCAAAGTCGCTTTTCAATTCCTTCAGTGTAGCATCCTGGGCTTGCATTGTTTTCTGCAAGACCGAAAGATCGGGGCCACCGTTAGGTCGTCCCAACGTAACCTCCTGAGCTCCCGCCTTTTCCTGAAGATCTGGGATCGTAGCCTTGAAACTTTTAACCTCGTCTGCCGAGTCAATTGATGACTGGTTCGATGTGGTCGCAGTAGCCTCCTCGGTTGCTTTCCTAAGTTGCTGATCATGACCTCCGTGCTCCTCTGCGTTTTCGTTGTGGTTGACTGATGAAGATGAGACGAATCCAGTATGATGCTTGCGATCTTCACGTGGAGAAGGTGTGCCTCCAGTGGCAAGGCGCTTGCGGGGTGGGACTGGATTGAAATAAGGACTTGGCTCAAACAGAGTAGACGATCTCTTGCGAGAGTTTGAGGGAGGCTCAGACGTGTTCGTAGAGGGTTTCGGTGTAGCTTTAGGCTTAGAATCTTGAGCGGCACCCAGAAGGGCATTAAGAGGGAAAAGACGAGAAGCGATAGCGTTTTCATCGTCGGTACCGTTATCGCGGGCTACCTCCTTGCCTTGCTTCTCTGAAACCTCTCCATTCTTCTTGCTTGCTAAACCTTTGATGGAAAGCGATTTCTTGACGGTAGGCTTTCGTGAAGAAGCTAGGAAGGAGAGAAGGTGCTTTGGCCATAGGTTTTGCTTCAGCTGAAAAGCCTGTCCAGCTTCCTCGTCTATGGCTCTAAGAAGATGATCGGTTGTCTTTACGCTGATGCATGCGTCGAGCAATCGAGAAATTTGATCAGGTGGTGTGATTATGGCTTCTTCAACATCACGGATATAGAGTTCTCGTGCCGATATGTAGAGATTTACAGTCTCCTGGAGAATAGGTCCGGTCCAGTGTTCACACAAGGTATGGGCAAGGGAAGGCCAAAAATCCTCCAATGCCCTGAACTCGTTGAAAAATAGGTAAGCTTTTAGCGTGACGATGAGGTTGATTTTGTAGCGCTGAAGAGGGGTAGGTGCCTCGATGCTTTCAGGCTTTCGCCCACATAAAAAGCGTCTGATTTTTGCGCGTGGCTCTAGATCGTCGGCGAATTTGAGGCCATCGAAACGGCAAGCCTCAGCGGGAATCTTGGGTCTTGGGCTCATTGTGGCTACGAGAGAACAATACGCGATGTTTCCTCGTGCCTGTGCTATTAGCTACATCGATGGTTAGCAATGTCGATGATAATTGTACCTGATAGTTGTTGAACAAGTAGGACCGTGTCGTTAAATACTTACGAAGGAGGAGCCCGAAGCTGGATTGGCCAATTAGCTAGGCCAATATAATCGAAAATATATTATTTAGGTCCTAGCATACGGGACGAAGACGCAGGTAGATGGAAGCTGGTTTGTGTCGAAAGGACCTTGTAGCTTAGAATAATGCGGCAGTTTAGGAAACTATCCGATTTAAAATAATAGTTGCCTAGGCAATCAGCAATCAGGTGCAATAATTTGATGCGGACATGATTACTATATTATGTGTTTACTAGGAGAAAATTGATTCAATGTTCTCTCGGCCGTTGTGTTTACGCAGTGTGTCTTTGCCATCGTGGGAAGTCACCGAGTATCAATTAAATGATAGATGGGTCCTGACTGCCTACTCAAAAGTTTGCCTTGTGTACCTTTTTGCTATATTTCAGCGGGAATACAACAGGAATTGTGTGTCTGATGTGTGAAGCATCTATAACTTGTAGTACTGTGTTCCGCGTACTCATTTGTCGCTGTAGATTTTGAACAATTCTGCTCTCGAAAGCCTCCTACAATTTGCAACCGCATTCCCTATTTGGTACATACACTTCCACGGTCTTATTATTAGGTGATCAATGGGGATTTATGTATGTTTAAATGTTGAGGATTAATAAGGGGAGGTCGACAAGATGATGAAAAGCCATGATGCTTGTAGTAGTCGCTGGGTTTCTTCATCGAAAAAAAAAAAAAGATTCTGAATGCAACTAAAAATAAGATTAATGTTATCTCTCATTACGAAAAGAAAAAAAATTCATGTACTCAAAGTGAAGAAAGTAGGAGGAAAAAAAAGGGGGCAGGGGAAGGGGGAACCCAGATTTGAACAGAGACCCTCTGGGTGGCCATAAAGTGGAAGGGTAGGGAGTCTTGAAACTTAAGCGACCGAGACACGTCGTGCCTGGGGAATAAGCCAAGTGGCTCGTACCAAACCACTTGACCAGAAGGGCTGTTCGAAAGTGCACACTTGATTACTGGTTTCTAACTTATTAGAATAGATAACTCTAGCAACGAATACTTGTGAATTTTTAGGTACCGAGGCACCCTCCTGGTTCCAACAAGAACACCTGGGATAAATAATTATGAACCAGCAATTACAAGAAATAATAATTCCCGATTCATTTTATTGCCTCTATTAACTATTATATATAAACTTCAAAGCTGATCGATGACACCTCACTGCTACTTGTTCTAACGTCTAGCTAGCCCCTTTTTTTCGGCATCAACCCCTATTATCAAGAACCTATTAGTCATCGCTTAGTCATCCGCGGGGGATCTGTTGTCCCGCCTGTAATGACGCTATGCTGCACCCCTACGCTTCTATTTCAAGCACTATATTTAATACCTATAAGTACCTAGAGCCGGCCGTACAAGCACTCTCATCCTCATTATACTATCAGCTTAATACGTCCTCTTTTGCCGATGCGCGCACGAAACACTGCCGCATTTAACTTCTCAAGACTTTTTTCGACTTGGCTATACCATCTTATCAGAAAACAAGGGACGGGGTCCATTTCCCGCTACGCGTACGTGTTGTGGTTCAATGGCGTCGGAATGCAGGCCGCTGGGTGTTCATATGAATGATCTTTACTATAGCTTATACCCAGCCCTCGAACTGAGGAAGAATGAATCCACGAAGTCAGTCCGGAATCAGATTCAATGGACATACTATTCATTGCCGTAGCTCGACAATTTAATGTAATAAGTCATAGGACTCGTATTCGATGCGGTAGATGAAGTGCGCCACTACATCAATAATACTACCTAGATATTAATGAATTCGTGAAGCAGATCGTAAAGAAAACTTGCTAAAGCGTCAATTAATTTGAAATGACGCTATGATAGTAAGACGTTATACACTGAAGATTATGGCGATATAACGCACAATGCCCTATAATTATAGTGGCCACATTTCGCCGAGGTCAAATACACACCTACCTACCTACGTATAATTAATTATAGGATGTTATTCGCTAATGCTTGTCAGGCTATGGTGTTCTGTTTGCGCCATATACCAGGTAGGTACCGGGTGTTTTTAGGGGTTAGTGGAAGACCCCCGTGGGATGACCCAGTCCCTCTATCATGCCCTTGAATATTCTCTTACTGCAGTATTTGCTCATCAATACAGCGCGTATATATTCTCGATATCAACCATATCTATGGGATCAAGCTTTCTTCGAGTGACCTAAGTCTTATACAAATACTGGAATCACTTAATGATCTCAAAAGCCGGTATATGCGTTGATTGTAGGACACTTGCTGAGGTTCGCCCAAGCTGAGAACTCGACAGTCAATATTCCTTCTGAAGCCGCCATGCCAACTGAACCCCACAGCACTCTTCTACCCTCCTATCATTTCCCGAACTACGAAGATAGAATGCAGCAATACATGATACACTTGATCGTGAATGACGGCGTACGGGTCTTCTAGGAAGAATTGTAGTCTGTATGGGGGATAGTCATCCTAAACTCTTCATGTCGCCTGCTGCTTCATGAGCCGCTACTCGGGTTTTAGAGTTGCTTCATTATGGCAAACATACCTACCTGATAGGTAAGCAATCAAATGTATGGTGGGTGGGCCAACATTGGCTTAGGTAAGAGAAATCGTTGCGACAGTAGCAGCCTCGGTTCAGCTGGATTAACGAAATATAGTTGGGCGTGTGGCGTCATCTACTGCCAGGAGTTATAGCGCACCTAATCCTACTAATATACTTATTAATTGCCCTTTTCGAGCGCTACCGCTAAGATGTTTCCCAGCATAACGCTGTAGCCCAATTCCTCGGTATATTCCGCCTGAGCGATGCATTTAGCGCTGCAGTATTTCCCACGATATTCTGCCTAAGGCAAGCCAGTTCTTCACTGAATTTATTGCCATTTTCGTTATATTTTGAATATTTAGGATGCGGGAGGAAATTGAATGGGTCTAGTAGGTAGACTTTTCCTCTGCCACTTTAGCATCATTCAATATTAACTAACATCAATAAATTGTCGAATAAAGGAAAAGGATAGTGTGTAAATGGCACGCTTTGGTTGAATTTCTGTTTATTTAGTGGTTTTGGGCGGTAAAAGGCACCCCACTATACCGTTACTACTTATATAGGCCTCCGCTAACGCACTGAAAGATCATCTGTAAAGACCTCAGCGGGCACACACAGCTGCCAATTCTTAGCTACGATAAACCGTGGTCAACGTTTAAATCCCCCCTCACCCCCCCCCTATCGTACCCCTTCAGATTCCTATTTTTGTTCCGTCCATCGCGATAATCGGCAAAGCCATAACATAATATGTTCGTCTATACAGGTGTAAGTTCTATTAATTACGTGCCTAGGCCTTAGCACCTTATTCTCTAAAATACTTGGTCGGAATGCTGCTTTTTAGACCGTCTAAGGAAATAAATACAATGCCCAGAGCCTAGATAAACGTGATGTTGATTACAATAGGGAGAAGAGAGGATAGACCCACGTAACAAAGATACTAGCTACGATGAACCGATGGACGGTATTTATGAGCTCAAGTCTTAAGAGGAAGTCCGAGGATGTACCTACGAGAAAATGGAAGAGCTGATGCTGGAGATTCCTATATACGCTGATTAGTTTTCCCTCGGATGATTTGGACAGCGTTACGATTGCCATTCACCTCGCCATAAATACAAGGAGCTATGTGCTGTACCATAGTGGTCAAATTCGGCCGAATGGATGGTGGTACTATCCACCCAAGTATCATATGTCCCACTAAATTACGGCGCCTTGCTCTTGGGGAAGCCCCGCCAGTACGCCACCAAATCATTTAGCCTGCCTACCCACCTAGGTAGGTACCTAGGTAGGCACGCTTACAGTGGGCTACTCACTAGAATACGGCACTTTATGCCCTACGTTCTTAGTGTAAAAAGGCGTAGTATGGACATACTATAGTGCTGAGTGAATTTCTATCGTATGTAGTTATATACTTAGGTAGGTATGTATCCCGCTGACTTACTAGGCGCCTATCTACCTAGGTAGGCATGCACCTATTTATTTCGAGGACAATACTTTAGCATTCTAAATAGGGGTAGATAACCCACCTACATACACCTCACCGAGAACGGCGAACTACATCGTCAGACTTACCTTCTTGCACATGATAATTTTTTTGAATTAGTCCTCATGGCCGCGTTATTTATGTAAATAATGATCTACCATAGCTAGACGATTTGAGTCCGCCAAGGGAATCCCACGATGAGTTACTTGAAAAGTACTAGGATATGGGTGGGCCCTTAGCACCTGTGGGTGCGGTACCTGGTTGGATTGATAATCTAATCTAATCAGATCATCAGCACGTATAGACACCCACGTATATATACTTATGTATGCGCATCTTGATGTAACAACACTTACATTGGAAGCTGCCCAGCTGGGAAGGATTTACCTTCGTTATGTAGTGCCACACCAGCATATATCAAAGCTATGCTGGAAACGAACATGTCTACCGTGTGGATACATCCAATGGAACGCAAGAGCTAGCACGACATGTAGTACCAGTGCCTTGGTTTAGTTAGAATTTGGAAATAGTGACATCGATGATCACATTCGCCCTGATCTTGGCGCTGATTTCAGGTGTGAAAAAAGTTTATGGTTGGGCAAGAAAATTTTACTGACCCTTGCTGGCCACCCATGTCTACTGTTGCGATATCGCCGGAGGAGCTTGGGGGTTGCCTTCTCGACGTTGGAACTACCATAACGTAATGTAGCAAGGGAGGATATCTACGTCGATCTCGGGATGTATAAAGTCCCCGTCGCCCATCACGAACATGACTTTGATGCAGGCCTCCAGATCCAGGCATTAGAGTCTTGACTCTTGTCCATCCGCCACGATGTTAGGCTTTCGCATTCTACAGTCTTTCCTTCTCCTCGCTCCCCTAGCCTTATCCGCTCCCTCAACCCAAGGTTGGAACTCCACGGGAACCGCTGAAGATGACCAATTCGACTATATAGTTGTCGGGTCTGGTCCCGGAGGCGGTCCGTTAGCGGTAAACCTGGCCCAAGCTGGTTACACCGTACTTCTCCTCGAGGCTGGGCAGAACCTTACTTCGGAAAACAGCCAACAAGTTCCTGCACTAATTGGCGAAGCTCAATGGGACGAAGCGCAAAGCTGGTCATTCTACGTGAAGGACTACAGCAACGAAACACAGGCTGGCCGAAACGACAAACTCGTATGGTTGAAGCCGGACGGAGGATACTGGGTAGGACGTGACCCGCCTGAGGGCTCAACCCAACTTGGAGTGTGGTATCCTAGGGCCGGAACACTCGGAGGTTGCGATACCCACAATGGAGGTCTAACCGTCAGGCCGTCTGATTGGGACTGGGATAACATTGCGAACTTGACTGGCGACGAGAGCTGGACACATGACAAGATGATCCATTACTTCGAAAGACTCGAGCGCAACCTGATCCTACCTCCTGGCACCCCTGGTCATGGCTTCAGCGGATATCAACCTATCGGTGTTGGCAATAAATCGATTTTCGAAAAAGAGCCCCAGATAATGGCGGTAGCGCAAGGTTCCGCCGCTGCGCTCGGGTTGGATGCCAGAGCCAGTTCCACCGACTTCGACGTAATCGCAAGGAAAGATATCAATGATTTTCGCCCCGATCGTGACCTAGAAAATGACGTATACCAAATCAGTTTCAAGAAAGACGAGCGCGGTCGGCGTTTCTCCGCTGGTTCAAGAGTGAACCAGGGAGTCGCGCTAGGCCTGCCGTTGACGGTCCGCCTTGGTAGTCTTGTCAGCAAAATCAACATTGATGACGGCTTACGAGCGACCGGAGTCGAGTACCTTGAAGGTGATAGCTTGTACATGGCGGACTCTCGTGCCAAGAAGAATAACACAGCGATACGTCGCACTGCTACCGCAAAAAGGGATGTTATCATTTCAGGTGGTGCTTTCAACACCCCACAGCTGCTTCTCTTGAGTGGTATTGGTCCAGCCAAAGAGCTTGAAAAGCATAATATTTCGCTACTTGTCGACCTACCGGGTGTCGGTACGAAGCTCCAAGACCATTATGAAGTGCCAGTTATTCAAGAGTTCCCCAAGAACTTTACCTTATGGGACGAATGCGTTGCCCCTGAAGGCCAGCCTAGTCCATGCCTGGAGGCCTGGGAAAAGGATGGATCCGGTCCATGGGGAACTTTAGGATTTGACGGCTTCGTTCTACGCACGTCTTCGGTTACGCCTCGACCTGGCGAGCGAGACCTCATTCTTTATGGAGTCGCAGATGGTGTTTTAGGACACCTCCCGCCTTATGTCAACCTTACGGGTCTACTAAGTGCCAATGATGTATACACCTATACGATATCGGAGTCGCACTCGCGTAATCGCGCCGGAAGTGTAACGCTTTTATCTTCAGACCCTCGAGACGTGCCTTTAATCAATTTCGAGTATTTCACTGATGGTGGTGATGACGATATTCAGGGTCTGGTTGATGGTATCGAGTTCGCACGCAAGATTTTCAATTCCCTGCCAGGTCTCGACGGTGCTACCAGGGAAGTCTATCCGGGACCAGAAGTCAGCACTGAAGAGCAGCTTAAACAATATGTGCGTGACCAGGCGTACGGGCATCACGCATCATCTACCGCCGCCATCGGCTCCGATGATGACCCTTTTGCCGTCTTGGATTCTAGATTCCGTGTTCGGGGTGTTAAGAATTTACGCGTGGTGGATGCTTCTGCTTTTCCTTTAACTCCTGGCACTTTCCCGCTAATTTCGATTTTCATGCTTAGCGAAAAGGCGAGCGATGTCATCTTGGAAGATGCGGCCGCTACATATGTCGAGTAATTTAAGATGTAGACCTGTTGGTTAAGTTAGACTACTACGCTCGTAACTGTAATTTAATAAAAGTTATAACTTAACACCAAAGATGCGTATCTAGCCTCTAGTGACTCTCCATGGCTGCTGTTGTGGCGCTTACGTGAGGAATTTTCTATAATGCGACGGGATACAGTATACAGGTATGTTAAGCTGTAACTAGGCTCAGGTAGAAGAGCGGACCTTTTCGCGCTGTCGTCCGCTGTCTCAGGCGCTGTAATTCGGTCCCATTAGGGCGAAAAAGCTAGGCGCTTAGGTGCATAACTTTTCTAGTTAGTCCTGCCGAGCCCACTAGCGAACGTAATAATAAGAGAGGAAGGGGTCGCCGATGTCGTCTTACCAACCGCCAAGATGATTTAGCCGTAGAAAGATATATGCACCGTTAAATAATCAACTTGCATGGTTAGCTCCTCGGGATCACCTATGTATATCAACAAGGAAGGTACGATAGAAGTTACGTAAAAGGTACCTGTACGGACCGTTAAAAGGGGGGAAATGGACCAGCATTTCTCCACAATAGAAAGTTATCAGATCCGTCTTCATTTCTTATCTGATCCGAAGAAATTGGGGCCGATGGTAGCCAAGACTGCCCAAGTATAACCCGGTATATACGACTAGGTAGCTATACCTCGTTTTGCTATGTAAGTAGAGCCTGCCCAGAAAGTGCCAAGTGGTCTTGGCTGCTACCACGTAAAATATTTGGCCGGTCACGGGCTGCGCCGTTTTTACCTCGCCTGTTTTATTGTATCGTGTCCAAGAGCGAATATCGAAAGACGCGAAAAAAATGTAAGATCGTGACTTCAGTTCTTTTCCACCTGGGAGAGGTCACAAACCATGGCGGTAGGAAATACTGGCAATGGTGATTGGGGCGAAGCGCCCCCAAAGAAAACAGTAAGTAGGCGACTCAATCGCTATCTTCTTGTTCAAATCCTATGGTCGGCGTAAGCTCTAATTAGTTGTGAGCAGACATGGCGGAAAACCCTTACTTTCCTCCGGCTGCTTTTCTGCTCAGAGCCGACAGCATTAGACCTTGGTCTTATGGCTGCGGGCACTCTCCTTGCAATTGCGGCTGGTATCCCATACCCGTTGATAGCGATCCTGTTCGGTCAACTAGTCGATAATCTGAACATGATCGCGTGCAACGTGGAATCCAATAGCGTCGACGCCTCTCAGTCTCAAGCAACGATCGCATCTCTTATAACCAAACTCGTGGCTATCGCCGCCGCCCAATTTGTCCTTGTCTATTGTCACACGGTCTGCTGGAATATCCAATCACAGCGATTGATGCACAGATTAAGAGATCGGTATTTTCGATATCTTCTTCACCAGGATTGCGCCTTCTTCGATAATAAACATGCTGGCGAGGTCAGCGCTAGGCTCGACGAAGATTTCACCGCCATCCAAACCGGCACAAGCGAGAAGGTTGGTCGAATGATAGGTCAATGCTCGTTTTTCACGACAGCATATATTGTCGCATTCATTAAACAGCCTGTTTTGGCGGGGATCCTCGTATCGCTCGTCCCGGCTTTCCTACTTTTGACTGTTGGTGGAAGCCATTATTTCAAGAAATTCGCGGGAAAATCGGCAGCATCATTTGCGACCGGTGGCTCGATCGCATCGGAGGCGCTCTCACATATTTTCGTCGTCCAAGCTTTCGGAGCTGGGCCAAGACTCGAAGCGAAATTTTCGAAACACATGGCACTCGCGCGTAAATTCGGTATCAAAAAGGCCATTGTCGCAGGTATACAGGCTGGATTGCTATATTTTATAGCATATAGTTCCAATGCTCTAGCGTACTGGCAGGGAAGTCGTATGATTGCCGATTCTCTCAACGGAAAAGGGAATGCAACCTTCGGTCAGGTGTATACCGTCGTCTTTTTGCTTGTTGATGGTATGTGCCCCCTCAGACAAATACCAGAGACAAACAATTTTCTAATCTTGGACTCATTCAATAGCATGTATAATCATGGGTGGACTCGCGCCCCTTTTCCCCATCCTCGGAGCCGCTTCCTTGGCGTATGAGAGACTACGGGCAGACATGGATCAACAATCATCAATCAAGCATGATTCTGGACGCAAACTTCCTTGGGATACTCCTGGGTGCATCGAATTACGCGACGTTTCCTTTTCGTACCCGTCTCGGCCTAAGGATCTAGCTTTGAACAATGTGAATGTGGCTTTCGCAGCGGGAAAATATACAGCCATTGTTGGCCAGTCGGGTAGCGGGAAATCAACCATTGCCGCCCTTCTCAATCGTTTCTACGACCCAAACAACGGAACTATTTTAATTGATGGTACCGATTTTAAGGAAATTGACGTCCGAAATCTACGGGGATTCGTGAGTTTGGTTCAACAGGAATCTGACTTGTTCGACAGAACCATCTTCGAGAATATTGCTCTCGGCCTTGTCAATTCCCCTCGCCCCGAACACCAGAATTTGCGATCGGCGATTGTTGGCAACGAACTACAGGATTTCATCGCCAATTGCAACCACGACAATCTCTTAAACGAAGCGTCTCATAAAGGTGCTATTGCCGAGATCGCTACCTTAGTCCAGAAAGCAGCTGACTTAGCTGATCTCTCCTTTATCAACGGCCTTGAAAAAGGATACGGTACACAAGTCGGCGTTGGTGGAAAGCTCGTGAGTGGTGGGCAGCGTCAGCGTATCGCCTTGGCTAGAGCGCTTGTTAGCGATCCTAAAATATTGGTTCTCGATGAAGCCACAGCCTCACTAGACTCGGCTACCGAGAAAAGAATTCAGGCAGCCATTGATAAAGTAGCTGTTGGCCGAACCGTCATTTCAATTGCACATCGGCTGTCCACTATTAAGCACGCTGATAATATTGTTGTTATGCGGGACGGCGAAGTGGTTGAACAGGGAACCTATGAAAGACTCTTGGAGCGAAGTGGGCCCTTCGCTCATCTAGCTAGCTTGCAAGGACTAGACAGCTCGGCGGGGAAGACCTCGGAATTGTCGTCGCTCAATAACGTAGACATGGAATCTTTGGGCGACACAATTAGTAACCGAAAATCAACTTCTTCAAATGCCACAAGGGAAATCTTGGACGAAAAGCCCGGCCCCAGGGAAGGGAATGCGCCGATCACTCCTAGCAAAGCCACAACCGACGATATCAACGATCCTCTTTCTTCTCGTGCTGTTCTCTCCGGTATGGGCGCACTAGTCAGGCCAGACTACAGATGGCTGGCTCTTGCTGTACCAGCCGCTATCATCGTCGGGTGTACTTTCACAGCAATGGGTTTGATATTCGGCAATACTGTCAGCGCTCTTAGCGCTTGCCATGCAGCAGTCTCACGCATCTTGTATCTTGGTCGATTCTTCGGTGGTCTTATCTTCATGCTGGCGGTCATCGAATTCTTCGCCAACTTAGGCAGCTGGTCGTCGTTCGGTCGCGTGTCCGAAAATCTCGTCTACAAACTCCGAATACTTAGCTTCAGAACTCTGATGGAGCAGAACGTCGAGTGGCATAGCTCCGGTAATCGCACGCCTAGTTCTCTTCTGAGCGTTATAACAAGGGATGGTGCTTCGATAGCAGCGTTTAGTGGAAGCATCATCGCCACGACCTTCTCAATTTTGGTAAACTTCTTCGTCGCAATTATTGTCAGTCATGTCTTCGCTTGGAAGATCGCCCTTGTGTGTTTGGCAATGGTCCCCATTTTACTCGCGGCTGGCATTTTTCAGATCCGGGCTACTTCTCGGCACCAGGAACGAAGCCATAAGGCATTTGTACAGGCAATCGGGATTACCGTGGAAGCAGTAAATCAGATCAAAACCATTGCGAGCTTCTCGTTAGAAGACGAGACAATCGGTCGATATCGAAAAGCCTTAAAGGGACCCAGAAAAAGTATGATCAAAGAAGCCTTGCATACTTGCATCTACCTCTCCATTTCGAATAGCACGGGTTTCTTCATATACTCACTTTCTTATTGGTGGGGTTCACAGCTTATAATACGCGGCGAATATACCCAGACCCAATTCTACATCGTTCAGGTTTCGATGCTAGTGAGCGCAACACTATGGGGCCAGATGTTCTCACTTGTTCCTGAATATTCAAGGGCTAGGACTGCGGCCTCGAGGGTATTAAATCTTATCAATCTCAGAGGTGACAATAAACCATCGGAGACCCTCCGCCTGCATGAAGACGGTCAGGGAGAAGGAGAAAAGGACCGTGACGTTGAAGCTGAAGCAGAGGGTAAATCCTTAGTGACGAACCCATCTCATTCCAAGGGAGTGAGCGTCGTTTTTCGCGACGTCCACTTTGCTTATCCATCTCGGCCAGACCAGCCAATTCTGAAAGGTCTATCCTTCACAATCCAACCCGGACAGTTCGTTGGCCTTGTCGGGCCCTCGGGAGCAGGCAAATCAACCATCATGGGTCTTATTCAGCGAATGTATACTTCAATAGGATCAGTCGAAATCGATGGTGTGGATATTGGTTTGTGTGAGACCGCTGACTTCCGCGACAATATTTCAGTCGTGCCGCAGGACAATGCGCTTTTCAACGGCAGTATCAAGTTTAATGTTGGCTTAGGCGCTCGTCCTGGTCACGAAGCCACCGACGCCGAGATAGAGGAAGCTTGTCGCACTGCGAATATCCATGATACAATTGTCAGTCTCCCGCAGGGCTATGATACGGAGTGCGGGCCAAATGGGTCTCGCCTTTCTGGCGGCCAACGTCAGCGACTTGCTATTGCACGTGCGCTGGTTCGTAACCCTGACTTGTTGTTGTTGGACGAAAGTACCAGTGCACTAGATGCCGAGAGTGAACGGGCGGTACAAGTAGGCCTTGAAAGGATCGCGCGGCGAATGACGGTGATTGCTATAACGCATAGGCTACACACCGTACAGAGAGCTGATGTTATCTTTGTGGTGGAAGGCGGTAGGATTATAGATAAGGGGAGTCATGGGGAATTGATGGAGCGAAGCGAGAGTTATCGAATCAATGCTATGCAGCAAATGTTGCAATGACCTTTTGGTCATTTTATCCTGGGTTCGTCGAGATGAGGGTAGATAATGAGGTTATAATAGAGCGAAAATTTGAACTAATTCACAGTTTTTAGGGCTTGACCCTTCTATAAATAGAGACTCAGTGAGCATAATAACCCCGCCGAGCACCTAAGATCGAAGCTCTACCCTCTATATTATAGGGGGTATACGCGGAGCCATAGGGCGATCGGCGGTTCAGCTGCGCCAATATCAGTGAGTTAGGTCCTAAACAGGCGGTACGAATTTAAATATTTTGTTGTTATAGTGTATAAAAGGAATCAGTCTGTTTGTTGGGCTAGACGCGCGGATTTACGCGTCGCAACAATTAATCGAGCTCTCGGTGTACGGGTATCTCTTTTAGCAACCGAAGCAGTTTTCGATATTTTGGGACTTGAAGTTCGCGTGCGCGGTTTCTGCGGATATGGTGTCTCACCACGCGCCAACATGTCGACGAAGGCAGCAATCCTTTTTTCGCGTCCGGCCTGGGTTTTTAGGGCAGTCAGGCGGTAATAGATAGCGAACCGGTTCTGCTGTGTCAGCGTGTCGTAGGTGGCTTGAGCAGTGGGGACAGCGGCTACAGCGGCAAGGAATTCAGGTGGAAGGTCCGCTGTAGCCTGTCCGGCGTACGCGGCCTCCCAACGACCATCCGCCTTAGCAGCCTCTACAGCGAGTCGCCCAGCTTCCGTCATTCGACCTTCGCGCTCGAGTCGCGCTATATGTTCAACATTGCGCTTAGACCAGGAGCTCCGTGCTGTTCGTGGTGTAAATCGTTGCGTGTAGCATACATTCACGGTGTCGCCTTGCCCTCCACGGACCTGCCCGTCGATCCAGCCATAACATAATGCCTCATCGAGCGCCTGGGCGTAGGCTAGCGATGTTGGCTTTATCGCGCCTTTCTTGGCCAATGTCAGCCAAACACCTTTAGACGTGCCACCATTCCGAGACAGCCAACTCAACCACGCGGCTGCGTCGGCGACGGTGAGAGCGGGAAGTTCTATAGGCATGATATTGTTAAACGAAATAAAGAAGGGCAATTGATTAAACGGTTTAGATCTAAGATCGCAATGCGTGAAACGCGCCACTAACGGTCGGCCGAGATTTTATCGTTAAGGGGTAAGATTAACCATCCGCTCATCTATGTTATCACGGTTAATGAATGACTAGCACCTCATAATACCAGTTGTGAAGTAATGTTCCCCATTTAAGGTCGTAGGAGGAAATAAGAAATGAGGTTTAGTAGTTGCGACGCTAATTGTATAGAGGATAGGTGGGGTGTAGGTGCCTATCATGTGACCCTCTAGGCACCCTACAGGTATCTGCAGTTAGCGTCTTTGTGTACCTAGCCGCAGCACTAATCGACGCACTAATCCTTCGTAAAGTGCCCTATTAATGTAGAACCCAACATTACCTAGGTAACCCCTACTATTTCTCACACCCCGTTGATCTAGAAATCATGGTGCGTTACATCTAGGCGCTGGACACATAACTATGTCTCTCCAAATCTGATGGTAAGTACAATCATTCAGATACCTCCCATATTAGTAATTTAGATGGTGCTAAGAAGTATGTTCTCGACACGGTCATCACTGTATACCATAGTTACGGGTCGGCAGCCATGTTGCCTACCTAGGTTAAGAGAAGGGAAGAATGGTAAGTCCAAACCCAATTGTGTATAGAACAGAAAATCTTCATGTGGTTAATGCCAGCATCTTCCCATTGATCCCACGAGGTAATATCATGTCTTTAGTTTATACAATAACTAAGAAAGCAGCAGATATAATTAAGGCTAGCCACTAGAATACAAGCGACACATTTACGTGGATGATACAAATATAGTATTACACGGTGCCATTGGAACCCGTATTGGGTTACCTAAAGCCGGCAGAGAATTCTTCCCACCATGTGTCAGCCCCAAGGTCCATGAATTGCATCATCTGATTCGGATCGAAATCCATAATGTTTCCTTCCGCATTCGTCGCCGCATCGCCATATGTCCAACCTGGTTCCTCTCCTGTTTCCGCTGGAGCCATCTTGGCGGCAGCCCACGCTCTAAACATCTTCATCAGCCTCGAAACCTGCATAAATAGGTCATCCCCAGGCGGTTCGCTAGCTTCACGACTAGCTAGCTCCGCTCTCTCAGCTATGCGGTCGAGCGCCGCAAGCAGGTCTACTGTTTCGCGTACAGCCTTACGATCCCAGGCCGGGTCTTCGAGCGTAGACAACCGACAAAGTACTACCAAACACCGCGCCATTTGCGCCCAGAAAGGAAATGCGATGCCTCGCAACGCCGAGGGCGATACAGCAAAGAAAGAGTCTAGCCACAGCTTAATCGCTTTTACAGACCCCCATAGGCATTCCAAACGCTCGAATCCAGAAGTTCCGCCGGCCGTAGGCGTAGTGAGGACTGGTGCATCGGAATTCGCCGTATGAAATGATTCATTTATGCAGAGATTGACATAATGGATTTGCGCGATAAGAGTTCCTGGTCCGCTTGTCAGCGCCCGTGCATTCAATGCAGATTCAACGATGCAAAATGGCTTTTATCGCTCAATCCTATGGACTTACGTTCTTGTTCGAGCTTTGAGGATAGCTTCCCCCGAATATCCTGTAGCTGTCCCTGTAGCGCATTGACATAGGCGAAGGCCGGAAGGGATGCGGTAGCTGTGCGGGGGTAATTCGACTCCTGCTGTTCTCGTACATGCGCTGCTTTTTGTGCAACTAGCTGTAGGCGGACTTGGAATGCGAACATATTGTCGGTTGGACATTCCTTATTAGAACTGATGGCATTTAGAGCCTCGTCCATCTGGGGCGTCCATCGCATTGGATCTATCTGCGCATAGTACGACGAGATACTAATGGCATGTGATCGCGTCGCATCAATTAGTCTAATTTCAATCGCGAACTATGGGATTTGGATATTTGGATGTGAATACACACATAGAACTTAGAATAAAGCACCCAAGGACAGCTCGTTGCCTCTCGAGATGGCGCTGTTCTGGATCTTCGACTTCATCTTTTTGAGGCTTTATGAAACCCGGGGTGAGGGGCCCTATCATGTGTACATCCTGTGGTAGCGGTTTATTGAGTCGCAAGTTTCCCACAAACGACATAGCCAACATCATAAGGCGAGAAAGTGTACTCGATTTCGTTAGGAACGGGTCCCAACCCCACGCTACGTATGTGAGCACCCCAAGGAGCAAGTCTAGGCTTGACCGATTATCGACGAAGGCGCTCTGGGCCAAAACACGCTTTAGCTCCTTACCCCGCGCCATCTTCTGGTAAGCCATAGGCGAAGCGACCGTGACGATGGCCTGGAATAGGAAAGGTCGGGTTTGGCGTAGCTGCTCGGAAGTAACATCGAGAGGAATATGGATAAAGGCCAAATCTTTCAGCATATGGGAACGGAAGAACCGGAAATTCTTATCGGCTTCTTCAATTGATAGCTCGTAAGTTGGTTCAGCATTCAATAAGCCATTGACCCTTAGATAATGCGATCTCGCTAGCGGTGAGGTAACCCCGCCATCATCAGCATCAATCGCAGAAGTACCCTTAGAGATATTACTCGTGGACGAAATCGGAGTGGTAGTTTGAGGTTCGGGCTCGTTGTCTGGTTGCACATCACTTGCTAAGCTTTCGTCAAGGATTTTGCGTAAGGCATCGGAAGAATCGGGTGACTTGGTAACGGATTGTAACAGTGATACAAGGCTCTCAAGCCTTCCTTCTAGTTGCGCAATTCTAGCCGTGGAGTTTTGGTTCTTCTGTGCATTTCGTTTACGGAGCGAATCCGAAGGGCGGCATTGCTTATTAAGGCGGTGGCATCTAGCAGTATTAGACAACTGAGGTTCTAGGCTCATCGATGAAGGGGGTACGAAGCAGACGTACTCACCTCTCACAGCCGTCGCCATCAGGACGAGAGACACATTTGCATTTAGACTTAAAACAATGCATGCAGGCCTGGCCATATGGGGCCGAGTGACCCGGCCCACGCCTATCCATGATGAGCCTACTAGGTTAGATATCCTCGAGACGGAAGCGGAAGTCCGTAGCCGATAACACTCTCGTGGCCGCTGCCGCTGATGGACACCTATAATTGTCGCGGGTTTTGATGTCTGCAAATCGGGATGAAGTTGGAGAAAGTAATGGCACAATGCGATGTTGGATAATTGAATTTACCTCTGTTCTTTCTTCCTGGACCTCGATCTTCTATCAAGGGATCTTTACCTCTGCTCCAAGGATAGGTGTAATTGCTCGTAGGTACCTAGGTACTCAAAGAATTGAACGGATTTAGACCGCCGAAATCCGAGAGCCGAGATCCGAATTGTATCGGAACGTTCCGTCTACTTAGCGGGCGTCGGTTCCCACCCTTTAAGATTTCACGTCTTGTCTGCTCCGTATCGCGCCTTCTTCACATCACTGATCCCGTCTCCCAGCTTGCTATCGGGATGCCGACCCATTTATCTAGGCCGTTTCCATAACATGCACCTCCTTATAAATCTATCTAAGCGATGCATTGAGGCCAACCCCTTCAGATAAGGAAATTTGAGAGGTGCCTTACCTAAGGGCCCTCCAACAAGGCACGAACCCTATACTCGCGGACCATGCCGTTTTACATTATCACAATCTGTGGTTGCCGTCGAGAATCCAGAAGAAATCCTCTACAGTATCACGATCCTTCGAGCCGGTACTCTTTTGTTTTGAAGATCTATCGCCTCCTGGGTTTTCTCAAGACCCTTTCCACCACAAACGGTTCTGGGGCGGAGATAAGTTGCCACCGCCAAGCCCGTGGTAAAAAGTTGCGAAATACAAGGCGACTAATCAACGTTATTGGGCTCGCAGATCCCCTTATTTCCGACAAACCTAGTGCGCATTTCGGTGAAGCAAGTTATTAGGGGAGCCCGTCCCATCAAATATATCGAAGATTCAAACATTATTTCCGATGGTGATATCGTTACACAGAGTGGCGTTATGGCAGTCGAACACTCGAGTGGCCCCAGAGTTGTAAAAAAAAATTTATTCGGTGATGCCGTGGAATAGACTCCGAAACCAGCTGAAATTGCGAGCTACGCGGCGTTGCTGCCAACGCAAGATGAACCGTCTGTAATAATGATGGCCTTCGTCGCATCGCACGGCGTGGCTGGTACAGTAGGCTGGTCTAGTGCAAGGTGGCCTTGACAAAAGGACCACAAGCAGGGGCTAGCAACGCCAAATGTAGCACGACCGCTTGCTTTTATGGCATCTAGCTGAGGATAGTGGCAGAAAGACAATTGCGGATAACCGCGTAGTGCTGAAAGGCATCTTCAGCTAGGCCATTTGATCCCGGAGCGGCAGCGATTGTTTGGCCGAGCCCGGCCCGGATATTCCCCACGTTGACTCCCATTTCAACTATTTATCCAGCTACATGGGGTAGTACCAAATTATCGGCTGATTGATTGATCCGATCAAGGGAAATAATACTCAGAGCTTTGTTTTTGGTCTGGGCTTGGTGTCGTGTAGACTGCCAGGCCGATTCGAAGCGGGTTGATACACTTGGCGGGGAGCCACGCTGCTATATTATCGAGAACCATACTTGAGGATGCAGAGTTGATGCATCCAATTGAGGGTCAAAAAAGCTTTATGAGGGAATGACTTTGTCTCAATGCGTTCTCTACAACGAGGGTACTCTGCTCTGGCAGGAGATTAACGGGTTCTCGTGCGGAAAAACGATCCCCGAAACGATTACTTACGATCATTCAATCTCATTTGAGAATCTAATTAGTGGTCGAAATCCGGAGTCCGATTCTCAGTAAGACAGATCGACCTCGGTCTCGAGTATGGAAAAGAAATTGGAGATCAGGTAGTCTTGAAGTTAACAACTACGGATTGTTAAAGCGAACTTTGAGACTCTTAGGTGACCGATACCTCACTAAGGGCCATACACTCGATGATTAGGTTCTTGTTAACCTTGAGCTTCTCGTACCTCAGCTCCTTACCTACGCAGACATAACACCGTTCTACGAATTAAATCTATTTGCATCCGACACGAATTTTGCCAAAACAACCAACCCACCCAGACAGGATTTTGAAATTTTGGCACTTAAACTGGGACAAGGCGGGCGGGGGTAATTAATGGGTTTCTTCTCTTTTCAGATTTACGCATCCATGCAAGTCACCTAAGGGAGAGGAGTTCGTTCATGGCATGGTCGGCTTTACAACAGCATAGGCGATGACGACGATCCATTGCTTGCCGCCCTAACCTCGCCAGCCCGTTGCATATCTATGGCCATAGAAAAATATCACATGCTGCATCACAAGCTATGTTATCTAGGCATAGATTAACCCATTTATTTACGAGTAGATACCTCGAATGCCATACCCCCGCGTATTATCTTAGAACCTACGCGGGTGCCTAACAACCATGCAGTACATGTATGCAGTGTTGGTTTCGCATGTCTGAATCAGGCTGCGAAACGGCCCCACTCCGAACCCCTTACCCGATCGGCCCGGTACTCTTTCGGTTCCATATTTTGATCGGAGGATTTCGGATCCAGGCAGAAAAGGAGCGCTACTGACTTTCCCAATCAATCTAAATGTAGTATTATGCTTCAAGAAACGCGATCGTTTTAGCATGAGGAATAACTAGGGACAGCTACATCAAACGGCTATATGCAACACATATACTTGAATATCCATATCTGTCAAAAGAATATGTGGCAAGGAATAATGAAGCAATCGCGTAAATTTGAAAGGTTACTCGACTAATAAGGACGGAGCTAAGAACCAGAAGCGCGTTCTGCGCTACTGAGGTCTTGACTTATCGCTAGGTTGGTCTCGCCGCCCGACTGTGTCGCATTCTTGAACAGCATACTGGCAGTCGTTTGAAGACTACCCAGTGAGAATGTATATTCGGCAAGCCCCTGCAAAAAGCTGTACAACGTTTCCGCACTATATCAATCTGCATCCTAGTTAGGCACTGTGTTTTGGCTCATTGTCGCTAGACCATCCGCATCGCTTACGACCCAACGACGATTGCGACTTAGGTGCCCCACGGACTTCCGAATTCCTATCCACTCCAGCTAGGTGGTAACTAGGTGCGGGTGCCCGGTGCAACCCGTAGAATTTGTCCAATCTTGCACGTCTGGGATAGCAGTGGAACAGAAGCCGACTCCCCAACTATGACTCGTAATACGAATACCTAGGTAACTTGTTGGGAACGGTGGGACTATCTCATGGATAGGGGGCTTATTGATTGGCAAATCTCCCCGTCGAATATATTTTGTCCCAACGCCATGCTCCTGGGACCATTATGACCCATGATCATGATCAATCGTGGGCATAATCCGATGTAGAAAAATATCCTAAACGGAACAGGGTTGGGGTACAGCTGTTTCAAATTATATTCTATTAGCTTCCATAAAATAAGCGAGGATAGCAAAATACTACCTATTCGTACGTATTATGGGAATATACGGATGTCCCCTTCATGAAAAAGGGGAATGTAGGGGAAGTTTCGAAGGGTATATTGATAGCTTGATTTTATCTAAGTCATAATGCAATTACTAACCAGTACAATGAGCTTTCGTAACACGATGACTCTTTACATATAATCAGCGCCCTGTAAATGATGGGTAGTGCTGAAGACTCCTCTGCAACCAAAGGTATTTACCTAAACATTTGAGTCTGAATGGAACCAGAGTGGAACTTTTATTGGAAGAGGTCCAGGGTATGGTCATAGACCCCCAATTCCGCACGGAGTATACGATATTCGCCTATCTAATTTAAAACCTGTGAACTGGGTGTCTAGGGTCAGGTATTCATTACCAATATAATCATTCGGCGATACATACCGGGGTACAGTACCCAGAATATATTGTTCTCTTGTGACGGATCTGCACTCTAATACGACGGGTTCATGCGAGCCTACTTATCCCTAGTAATTCATACGGGATTATAGTATGAAAGAAATTTATGGGAATTGTTTATCCCCATACCTGGGTTTTACTTAGGTATTTCAACTTAATGAAAAATGCAGGCACTACGTTATTGACGTTTAACCGCTGCTCCTTGAGTACCTAGGTAGGTGTGCTATGAAATTTATAGTCTATTGAATCCCGAGGTAGGTATCTATCTATATAGTATCTGTCGAGCAAGATGCGTTTGAAACGTTCCTCCCTTGACGTTCGAAGTAATTGGGGTTTGGGTAGCTTTAAAATGACGTAGTCCAACGCTATTCTTTCTCTATTAAGGTAAACAAAGCTCATGGCAAAGATTCCACCAACTCAAGTACCTTATGATCTTCTAGGGCGGCTGCAAATCGCAGAGCCATGGGAACGATGTTTTTCAACGGCTGCATAGTTTCAGGGCAAAGCAGCCAGCCTACGCCAATAAGGATATTCTTGCGATACTCCTCCATGACATCTTTGTCGTCCCTTGAAAACGATGGACCGCCTAGCCTTTTCAACGTCACGAGATAGTGGTCGACGAGTGAAAGCTCGTTTTGGCGGCGGTCCTCAGTACTCAGCGCGCCACAGATGAAATAAGCTACATCGTGAAACACTGATGATATATGAATCATCTGCCAGTCAAGGAAGTGTGGCTTGCCATCACGTCGGTAAGTGTTCGAAATATGCCCATCGGCGTGTGTGAGGGCTGTGAACCTGGGATTCCTGGAGGCGTAGTGCTTTTTCAGCACCGCTGTAATTCGTTTTTGGTCCTTTAAGAAGTCGGGAATAACTGGACGTTCAGGACCATTCACCACAGCTTCGTAGGTTTCCATTAGGCTTAGAAGAGCTGTGTCGTAATCTGAAGTAAGCCAAGGTAGTTCTTCTTTAGTTACCCCCCACGTCTTCGCATGGAGAGCCGCGAGGTCGTCTAGAGCGTGGCGAACATCCGATACAGGCCAGGCCTCAGTGACGGTGCCAAATGTGCAGCCCTGGGCGGCAAGATCATCCATTATCACTATGCCTTGCTTCGAGTTATGCCCAGCCCACCACGATTTAGGGATTTCCATGTGATCAAGGGTTGGAGCGATTCGGTTGAAGAATTCGACCTCGCGTTGGTAAATGCTGACGATCCAAGGCATCTGCTCGACAAGTGCGGGGTTGAAGCCACCCTTGATGCATAAATGCGTTGGCCTTAGGGTCGCCTTGTCTGTCTCATCGTATTCGACGGTCACGAAGAGCTTGGTGGCCGTGCCAGGTACAACTTTTTCCAGTTTGATCGATTTAATTTTAGTCCCGAGGACTCCGGAGAGCCATGATGCCGTGACTTCCTCAGGAACAGTGGGCAGGTCCAAAGATTGATCTGGACTAGTTCCAACAACAGTGGTCGGTGTGTCCGCTGCTGTTTTCTCGGTCATTTTCGTAAGATTTGCGTTGGTAAATTTATGAAGAGATACACCAGACTATCGAGCCTTCCACAATGAATGTCAGGAGAATGAGTCTTTAAACAAACTTTCTCCTCGGGTAGGTGCCCGACTTAGAGGAAAATAAACAGATACTTGCCTAGTACACGTACTGCAAATACTATTGGATTCCCTGGCTACCTGAAGTATTCCCATCCCAATTAGGAAAATATTGCACAGTAGGTCTGCAAAAAAGGCGACGCCTACATACCACACAAAGCTCGTACCTTGGAATATCACTTCACAAAGTTACAGATCATTATTTTCCAAAGCAGGGGACCAAGTATTATCCTGTCTGTTAGCTAGAACATTGGACCCCCTAATTACCCTAATCACTCATTCGCTCGTGAAAATATTTTCTTTCAAGGGTTGGATTAGCGTCCTTACGTTGGCATGTACTAGTCAAGACCATAATATGCCCAATACCGTGGCTGGTAGAGAGGTGAGGGTTGTGTCACCGTTGCAGGTGGATTGGCTGCTGAGCGTATAAAAAGGCTGCATTACATCCTGCAGTCCTCCTTAATCGTTCGATGATTATGTCGATCATTGCCGATTTTGGTATTTTCGTTAGTCGCTCCTATGGATTTATACATGAATGCGAGTACATTCTCTGGTACCAATGGGTCCCTACATATGATAAAATACGTGGCTGCTCGATGCAAAGAAGATGAAAGAAGCTCAATCTACATATTCTTCTTATCAACCACTCGCTTTACATCCCATTTGATATTATTATACGGTAACTTAGTCATCAAATTAAGGTCTAGAAACAAATAGTACCTAGCTAGCTATGCATAGTACCCGCCCGAGCGTAGATCAGCCCCCAGGAACATGCCGCAGGAAAGGAGAAAGCCAATCAGAGTTTAATCTAGTATGCAGGGAACCCTTGCCCTTTCCGTAGGAGGAACATTGCCCGTTGAAATTTTGACTGGCTACCAGTATGAAAGCTTATTTGTAACTCAGGGTTCATGCAGCCACACCTAATATGGATTTTGGTACGACCTTACCTGCATCTACATGCTATGCATGTATATGTATTACACAAATGTCATCGTCGACCTCTGTTGTTATTAACAATAGTATTTCAAAAGATAAATGGCGGTTATTTTCTTGTAAGCGATTCTGCTAATTCATCAAGAAGGGTCGTGTAACATTTTTATTGACTTGCTTATATAATGCTTCTGTCATGCCTTAAGGTCTTTCCTACGGCAATTTGTTGACATTTCCTCCTATATAGTGTATGTTAATCTGTAACCCGCTTTCCTCCGTCACCGCGGGTCTGGACATTTGATTTCTTACCGGTACCGGGCTGTTTATAAATTACCTAGTCCAGGGTATCTTGTCGTTCGGTTCAAACTGGCTCTTTACCATGTCTAAAAAGGTCGAGTGGTTGGACTTAGTATTGATAAATCTTCAATAATAGTTTGGGTTATTCTCGTGTTGCCTGACTTCTACTTGATAGGTCAATTATTACCTTACTGGTATCGTTGAAACAAGAACTTGTGTTATCAATAATGATGCCAACATGCGTGCATCTTCATTTCACGAAATTCATTAGCAAGCACACCTGCAGTCTTGCATATACTTCCAATCATTTCTCGGCTATCTCGCCGTCTCTCCCAGCTAGACGAGCTTGCTTCAATGATGCTTCTATCGTAACTCACTTGGGTAGCCATGTCAAGGTCTGTTCGCCCCCAATATTCACACCTACCTAGCTAGGCAATTAATCCCAGTCGGTTTCATTGGATGATACCAGGTATCAGAGAGTCGGTTCCGGGAAATAACCCTTGCGGTTGATCTAAAGACGGCTTGTTCCCGCGCATGGGGTCGTCTTGGGGGCGCCTTAACTAACGGGAGAGCATACCCGTTTGCCGCCTTCCCTTAATGGTAATCCTCATGGGTCCATGTAACTTCAGACTAAGCCTAAACATCAGCAACAGGGGCTCGAATTCTTTTCGACGCGCTTCGCTTAAGGCTACCGCATCATGTTTACGATCAAGACGAAGTAGCAACCGATCGATTATATATCGTGACGCACGTCAATTGTGTCGATTCAATTGAGCTGATCGTTATGAAAACGAACTTGCACAAGAAATTGCGTATAGCCTATCCACAATTTGTCTATCCGGAATTGTGATGGAGGTATGCTTCAATGTTCATCCCCAGACTTCGCCTATTGAGTTCACCCCATAGTAAGCAACAATACTACGTACGTTAGTGAAGGGGTTTTATCTACAATTAAACGCATGAATGTTTCGGATGGGTCGAGACCGTAAGATTATTCCCAGGGGGTTCCCTACACTGTGCAATACACCAAGCTACGCGAGATCTGATTACACCTTGTAAAGAATTCCATCCCCTGAAAGTACATAGTGTGATCATCTATTGAGTAGTGCTCCCAAGAACGTATGTTGCACGGGCTGTCGACCGCTGTCTGATCGACTAGTTTGTTGTTCCCCCTTTTGCTCCTTTTCCTCGATCAAGGGACAATTAAGCCTATAATATTTATCATTTAAATAGTTATTTTGGTTTCGCTATATCATACTTCGACTATGTGAACAGCTTTAGCTCAAATTTTGTCTTTTTATTTTCTATCACACTCTTTTAGCTATATTCCGATACAGACACTTCAAGATGTGGGGTATGTATACGAGCGTGGTAGTTATTCTTATCGTGCAACTACAGATCTCCCAGAACACGGCTAATTTGTATACCCAGAAGAGGCGAGAGACAGTTTACCACCAGTAATATATACGTTCCTGGTTCTGGACATAATAGCTGTTGCATTGAGGGCGTTCGTCCGAATTCGTCTAAGCAAGTCTTTCGGCTATGATGACTTCGCTATGGTCTTTGCGCGTACGTGGTTTATAATTCTTTATCATCCCTTTAAACCTGTTTCGAGTTGCAAAGTCCCCCATTGTGGCTACTGCTGACGTTCTGATATAGTGGTATGCAAAATTCTGGAAAATCGCCGGGTATAGAAGTAGTGGGTTATGGACTAACATACAAACAGGCGGGCTTTATTCTGCTCTGCACGTTCACTTTAATCTCTCTCAATAACGGTTATGGTTCCGCGGAGATGAGACCTGAATGGAACCCCATCACGGGTGTAAAGGTGCGTATATTAGGCGGATATGGTTGCGAAGGGGCATCGTGAAGGGACATAATCATTGGGCCGTCTGTTGGCTAACGTTCAAACTTTAGTTCTTTGTGGCTTCTACCCTGGCTTACGTCATCGTTGTCTACGTAGCGAAAGTCAGTGTCGCGCTGGTACTCTATCGAATCGCCGTAACCAACAAACCGATACAAAAACTTCTAATCGGATCCATCGTTGTATTAACTATATGGACTATAACGTCGGCTACAATAGTAGGCCTCCAATGTCAGCCCTTGAGTATGAGTTGGGGTGAGATGCCCAAGGATGGAAAGGGTACTTGTCTTCCGGCGTACGTGTTGGCAAACGTAGGGTATTCCATAAGCAGCATGGATATCGTTAGTTCATTTTTATACAGCGGGCTTCCTATACTGCTACTCAAGGGTGTACAGCTCAGCCTTCGAACAAAGGTGTCCGTCATGATCCTGCTCGGGTTAGGTATAGTGAGCTCCATTGCCACCGTTATTCGGCTGAAATATCTCGTCGACGTCGCCAAATTAACGACAAGTGTGGGAGTAGAAGCATCAAAGTAAGTAATACGGACCGATCTATTGCCCCTTTCAACGATTTGGCAGCGGAAGTTATCCACCTTGCCCAAATCTATGGGTTTTCACCCTAGATATTATAATTCTTCACACTGAGGCATACTAACACGAGAAAAGCGCGTATTTAACGACATTCGTGTATTCTGTAACAGAATTAGGTCTCACGATCTTCACAGCGTCACTTGCTGCCTTGCGTCCGTTGTTAAAATTCCTTCCCTTCGGAAACTCGACAAGCCAGGGCTACGGCAGTTCAAAGAAGAAGTCGGAGATACGTTCAAATATGGGCCCTCCTGTAAAGTTAGATGACCTTGACGTATCAGGCAGCCAAGAACATATCGTTCCACAGGGAAAGATCCAGAAAGAGACGGAATATGAAGTCCATTATTCAAATGTCTAGAGCCAGACAGCTATATCCCATATGTAGTTGAACCAGTACGTACCCAGACACATGACCCGCAACTTTAAAAAAATTAAAGTTTCCACTACCCAAGTAGCTAACCAAATGTATCTTAGTAACCACAACTGTCAATAAGTGTGGTTAGGTACATCCCTCAAGACAGGAGTGCGACATATTGTTCTCAGATCACACGTATCTTACTACTTAATCCAAAGTGTATGACAAATTTCGATTCTTAAATTTATTCCTATTGGTCAGGCATATCCTGCTATAATTAATTGCCCCTAAGCATGTGCCTGGCAGCCTGCGTGTATTCATATTCATATTCAGAACACCTACCAGGATAGGTACGTGGTGGATGTTGAACCGTGGTCTATTAAAAGATGGATATAAGTAAAATTCCCCGCCCACTCTTCGGCGAGGTTGTCACATAACCCCATTCGTGTGCAGGGAAACGTGTGTTCCGCATATCAGGAGATGCAATGGTACGTCTCCTTAATCCACCCACTAACGTCCGCTTTTCGCTGACTCTGACAGCTTGCTAAGAAATATCGCCCCACAACTGGTCACATCTCCGGGTTGTATCTCTCGCAATTACTGCTCCAAAAACAGTTTCCTCCTAAGAGCAACCCCATTGCGTTGACGTACTTAACCATCTTCGGTGAATTTTTAGACCTTTTCAACAGCTCCACACCTAATTTCCGGACTTGTTGCTCGTGGTATACCACTAACCCTCGGAGAAAAACGGTTGCGTCTTTTTCGTTCAAGTTATATTGCTTCATGATCAGTGGGACCGCATTCCATTGCCGGTCAGCAGGTTCTTTTCGCTCCACGTTCCACGAAAAATAATCATTCGTGAGTCCTAACACCCGACCAGAAGACAGGTAGAAATCGCGAGATAACTCTATTTCAGCTTCATTAAGGGAGATGCCTAGGGTCCATTGCATGAAGCTTTCCATGATCCTAGATTATGTTAGCACTGAAACCATAAGCTTAGGGAACCCGGGAACTAACCCAAAACCGACATTCACTCTCCTGTATTCGGTGTATTCACCAATTGTGGCAAACGGGGTCTTCCGACTATCGTAGTTATCAAGGTACGACTTTAATGAGTCTATTACCCGCGGCGCCCCCTTCCTATCCATTTTAATCAAGCGTTCGCCAAAACGATTGAATAATGTGGAGACCTGAATCTTGGAGCTTGGCTTGTCTGGCTTTCCTGCTAACGAGTCTCGGACACCGGCATGCACCTCTAGAGCTCCGTTGTGAGGTACATCTTCAATAACGTCTTATAGCACCGTCAGTTGTGATAGCTAGGAGACAGGGTAGGCATGTACAAACCATCATATAACCATAAAGTCTCGATGATCTCAGTGCCCAGCTTTACCCTTTCTGTTATGCCGTCAGGCCATGTTAAAGCAAAGAAATTACCATATGGGCCGGAGGAATGGGATCTATAATCAGCATCGGGAAGAAGGCCTTGGAAATTATTTCGGGCATCAAGAGCACTCTGTGAAACTTGATCTTCGTCCTTGTGTACACGCACCGGGAATGCCGTGATGGACTGCGGAGCTAAGGATGTGTCGAGCTTGGTTGAAGAAGTTGACGAGACTGAGGATTGACTTAATGAAGATTTGTGTCTAGGGATGAAATTGGGGAGATTATTGAAATTTGGTTTCTTAAAACTTAATGTGAAACGTAATGTACTAGTCTTAGACATTTTGCTTAATATTTAGGATATCACAAAGTGTTGAAGTCCTATAGAGTATGAGAATTCTCTTGGAATAACCGTTCTAGAGGTGGTAAATACAGTTCCTATATATTCGTATAGATCTTTTTACTTTCCAAACGAGGGTTGGCGTTACGTGAGAGGATCACAAGCGACGATGTGAAGTGTTGATGTCACATGCATACCAAGGTAAGCAGCCAACTCCAGATGTACATCACATCATGCAGAGAACCAAGACTTGTCTAGAGACGTATTAACACCCAACAGTGGAGTATGGCCCTGTATTCTGGGTTGCGAGGTCTTATTGTTGACAAGGTTGGTAGTTAGACTGATGTTGTCGCACTCATAGGCTATCTCCAAAGATAGGAAGATTCGCCAATTATATCATTAGACTCCGAACCGAGGGAGATCCCTAGCTATCAACGGTTGTATTTTCTATGACTTGTTCGAAGGATTTTGCCTAGACCCCCACATGAAGTGCTCGTAGTTGTTTAGGAAGGAAAATCTCGGCTAGGACTATCCTACGGGGACCCAGTATACGGAATAGTATATTCTAAAACACACATTCCGAGTACCCTGGGAAGTTTTGTGGCCTTTGACTATCAACACAGAATTTTCATAGCCACAATCTCGTGCATCGTATCAATAAAGTCGAGAGTATTACAACAGCAAATAGTTGAAAGCTCATTGGCTCCTCTTTCTGCAGGTGTCACAGAAACGGCCTTGAATCTGATTTGCTAGATGGCAGTAAACCAACCCATAAAGGGAAAGTGCCAAGTTCCGAGACCCTTTGTGGCGCTTCGGGAGATGTACAGCACCAATCCTAATTAGGAGGTACAGAAAAACGCGCGTAGATCTCATACTCAACTGTTGTCATTTTATATGTAGCCTGAGAAATGCTTGCCCTTCATGCCTTGGGAATTAGTTGTTTTAGAGTTGATAATAGGTCAGGTCTATTCCGAGTTCCGGATTGTACCGCAGTTTCGTCATGATGTGGTCCTCGTTAATCCGACCCATGTATTGTAGAACCTCTTTCGCGGTTTAGTTCGGATTCTTAGTCTATTTTCGATCTCTATTGAAATTTAGAATTTACATATACTTTCTTTGCCTTCTCTGATCTTATTCGTTTCTTTTCTTCTCCTTTCTCTTCTCCTTTCTCTTCTTTTTCTATTGTGGCGTAACATTCCTCTTTTATATTAATTTGCGTTGTAAAACCACAGCATCGTCATCAATACGAGTATTGTAGTGCGTATTCCCTTGGATACTATTTCTTAAGCATGCCAAAAGCGATGGGAATATGGAATAGGAGAGGTCGCGATTCGTAATACCCCGGCTGAATCTTGGAATCAGGTAAATTTCTCGTTATTCTATATGATAATATATATTCATTATTCTACGGCGAAGATAGGAAGTTCTGAGCGTTGCATCTACCAGAGTCGCCTACCCTCTGAATGGTCTCTTCCTGTATCTACCCTACTAAAATGCTATATGGGTACTAAAATATGGTATCGCTAGTAAGAACACCTTGTAAGGTGTATTTGATTATTTGGCCTACTTTACCAAACGAAATCATGTCTTGTTTCAAAAATACGAGATAGTAGCGGTTGTAAATTATTTTGTATGTGGTACAGCAATGAGTTGCCCCAGAAGCGATAATAGGCGTGGGCCAATGAGCTGAAATGGATGTTCCCCATGGGGTCAAGTATCTAAGTACCTAAGTAGCGTTTCGATTGATTGGTCGCATCCGCATACATGTACCTAGGTATATACATACACAATTACAGTACCTATGTACATTTGTAGTCGTAGGGGCTTCCCTGGTCTTTACTAGAGTATTCATGTAATTATAGCAACTACAAATGAAATATCTATATGGTTGATTACCTAGGTATATATAAGAATGCTTTCAAGCTATGGTACTTGGGTACCTACCCAATACGGACTCAGCCATGAGTGCACCTTCCTCCTGTTGTGGTAACTTCCTATCACCTACATTTCAAAACTCTATTCTGCTACTATCAACGAGTGAAGTACCCATACCTACGTATTGATATGTATTTCCCTATACGTCCAAGTAGAACTACATATTGTTGCTGCTGACTCATTCAATTTGAGCAGCCGTAGCTTCCAAGATCGAGATCCTGCTCAGGTAAGCACTTGTATGATCCACTAGCCTCCAACTTTCCTCTCCTCTATTCCATCGTGAATTGTCTGTAAGCGAATTCGACATCCTACATCGTTAAGAAACCGTAGAGCTTCAGTTATATGTTTGATCACAATTGTTCCCATAATGCCTTCCTCTACCAAGCGCAGCTCTAAGGAGAGAAAGGGTGTTCGTGCCCCACTCGAGCCAATTGATGGAAATAGCACTGTCGTCGCCCCTCAGACAGCTGAGGAGACCGACGCCGCTCCCTGTAAGGACATAATATTCTTAGTTTCCAAACAGTACAGTCTTCATCTTGTAGCCCTTCTCGGAATACCTAGTTATATGCTAGCTCCCCAGCACTAGATTCGGGAAGATTGACTCTATGTCTTCAGGACTATAATGGTTAGCGAGTGCTCCCACAAGTCAGCCTACCTGTGGTCAATGCGAGTTCTCCCTGATGGACCCTATCGCATGTACTTTGCTTATCTCATCCCCAAAAGAGATGTAGGAATCGGTATCATCGTGCCACAAGAGGTGCAATATCAAATTACATCCCTTTTGGAATAGAATCCCTCTGCGTGTTTAGTGGTTTCAATGTATATCGTAACACCTGGGAACAAATTGAGATTGTCCTAACATAGATCGTTGCTAGCGACCCCCGCCCGACCTCGTCGGCAGGCCGCTGCCGCTGCTTCAACTAAATGGGTTCTCATTGATCCCCCGGGTGCTCCGACAACACCCTTAGCCCCCAAACTCGACGGCAAGAAGGATGTAGCTGCGAACCTCTGCGAACACGATGATGGTGGTAACAATGCCGATACCGAGTCATTGCTTCTTGAAAGCTTGTACACTGGGGCGCCCGAGGAAGAAGAGGACGAATATCTTGGTCTGTCGGACGATGAAGAAGGGGATGTACATCTCAGTCTATCAGACGAGGAGGAGAAGGATGACGACGAAGACCTATCTGCTGGCCATGTTGAGCCCGATGTCGCCGGCAATAAGCGAAAACATCAGAGCGATAATACATCACCACGAAAGAAGGCTCGGTTCACACCCAACCTTCCTATGGATGAATTCATTGTTGCGTTAAATAAGAAGTTTTCAATTAAAGACGGCGATTTGGAAGTCCAGAATTTCCGTGCGAACTTGTCATAGATACTGGATAAACTATGTCATTGGGCTCGTTCCGATAGCGAGGCAATTCCAGAGTGGTTCCATACTCCGCGAGCCCAGCGAGAGGTCGCGTCCTCATGTAGGAGATTTCCCCTCCGCCGACATGTTACAGCAGAGTTCTTGATGAATAAGATCCTTGCTGCTATACCCATGCATTGCCAGAAGGTGCTAGGAAAAAAGGGCCTCAAACCAGCCGACCTTCTGGACCTACCTAAAGAGTGGCGTGCAACCAAATTGTGGATGGTGTATTTTGATATACCGACCCGTATGCGACCAGGGGAAACGACGCAAGTACCCGAATTTAGCAACGGCCTGCGTAAGGGACTTGAGCTTCCTGACTTTGTAACGCACAGCTTGAATTATGCCTAGTCACTCTTTCAAGGATTCCCTGGGGCTAGGAAGCATACTTGTGCGGATTGTATAACGGTCTCTTCAAGCGTTTGGGTTGCGAACCCGACAAACGAGGAAGAATCGGTACCTATGTATCAACTGTTCAAACGCACTGGTAATCGCCGCATACAGACCTTGATCGACAAAGAGAAAATTTTGAGAAGGCTAGGTTCGTGTTGTTGTTACTATCGAAGATAGGGGGTGCATTAATTGTTGTCGCGCAGTTAAAAAGAGCGAGTGGATTTACGCCGACTTGATGAAGATAAAATGCGATGTAGTAGTTGCAGCGCATATTTCGTACGACACGATGAAGAAAGGCCTTTCATCTACAGCGAAGTAGATGGAGAAACGGTCCCAGTTTTCAAAATGCGGGCGCCTGATGGTGGAAAATGTATCAATTGCGGTTGTACCTAGGTAGGTACGACCCGGTTACTGGGTGGAAATACGTTGACCCTGAGACTCGTGATTCGACAAAGATTCATTGTCACAATTGTTGGCATTATCACAGAAAGTACGGATCGGAGAGGACGCGTAGTATTTGGGCAAAGCGAAGGTTAAATTGCCTCGTGCTCAACGGGTCTGCATCGATTGCAAACGAATGGAGAAGAATGGAGTTCATAGTTGGGCATTTCTACTCGCCCAAATTCTCTGCTTCGGTGAACCATTCATTAGTGATCAACATCTATCTACTACCTGCCTTCTTGACAAGTTTTACTTCTAGCAGTGGGAGGGCAGGGGAAAGCCCACCCTCAAAATTACTCTGCCATTTCCTTCACCTTTCCTTTCCAAAACACATACACACACCCACAGTCGCGCGTACGTTAAAGCGGTAGTCATTATTGAATATTGTTTAGAGCCGTGCTGATTGAGGGATGTAACAACGGCTTACTTGAAGAGTGATTATATGGTGTTTGCCAAGCTTGTTGGCGACCTGTGTAATATCATTTTATGGTGTGATTTAGGTAGATTTTAGGTAGATACCTAGGTAAGAAGAAAAATAAGAGAAATAAGAAAAGAAAGAAGAAGAAGAGGGAGAGAAGGAAGGGGGAAAAAAGGAAGGAATGAAAGAAGAAAAGAAGTAGGAGGAAGAGGCAAAAAAAAAGGGGGGGGGGGAGGGGGGGAATACGTAACGTACGTTAATACGTACGCCTTAAAAAGGTATGAATAGCTTCGGCTACCTGAAGGCTTGCCGGCGAACTTAGCGTGATCACTCTGCGATTAGTAAAGCTCTCAAAAGAAATTTCCAAGGTTACCTAGGTAGCTATCCGGTCGTATTCACCCAAAAGTCCAGCGCCACGCGGTCTTGGTGCCTTGGAAGATTGGTGGCTATGGAGACGGTTTTGTACGCGCCGGTCAAATCAATGCGGAAGTTGAGCCCCTAGCGTACTTTCGCATTAGGCCTACTGATATCGTCCTTGGGGCGCGGCACGTTTCGATATATCGTTTCCTTCGAAATCGCTCCCCGGGAGCGGATTATTTGGTCCACCGTCAATCCCTTCTTGTTCTAATTCCTCTTGCCTGGCGCCATTGTAACTCGTAGCTCAGTGGATATGGGGCATACATATCAACTTTATTTATTAAAAATGTAGATACTAGTATCTAGATTTTCAATAAGCAGGGATAGGATTTTTGGCAACCACTTTTTTGTAGGAAAGAGCTTCATTCGATATACCTACCTAGTACCTACCTAGGTAGGCAATGTCCATTCCTCGTCTGGCGCTTTCCCTAGGATGGTGAGGCATTACAGGCGACTAACCTTATTAACAAGGAGGTGCCTTCCCTTTTAACTTCGTTATCTGAAATCGATCTTTTTCCTCCTATAAATACCCAGCCTACCCCCCTCAAATCCTCTCCCGAATCTTTACAAAGTCACCAACCGGAATCTTCACGGGGCTAAATCTCATTTCCTAACCCTTAATCCTTATTGCATCATGGCAGACACCAATGGCCAACCCTCAACTACCAAAGCGAAAGGCTCCAAGTCACGACACAGTAAAGCAAAGGCGAAAGAAAAATTCGACCCTTTCCTCTACTACCAAGAAGTCTACCAGGGAAACATGAAGATCCAAGACGTTGTGAAATCAGCCGGCAAACTTTTACTAGTTTGGTACCCCGATCCCGTCCCTACAAAGTTTGTTTTCACTGAGTGCACCACTGCTGGGGATCCGACCAATAGCGAAATCGATTCATATCATAAACAATGGTCAAGTTTTACAAATGGCAAAAGCCTCGCCGCGCCCCCATCCAGAATAGTGAACGACTGAGTTGAATCGATTGGCACATCCGCGATATATGTTGGTTTCGGTCCCGGAGGAGTTTCAACCTTTGTCTTCTGGATCGATAATGATGGTATGTTCTATATCATTAACTACTCCACCATTAGCTCTTCCCATTTACATATCAGCCTACATACCTTGCGGCCCTTTACTAAAATATACAATAGTTGTCGAGATCCTCGGCCCCATGAGGGCTGAAATGCAGAAAGCCGGCGTCGCGTCCAGTGGTTCACACTATAACCGAACCCAACTCTTCCAAACCTTATGGGATTTGCATCATGCCGGGGAGTGGCACAATGAATATTTAAGCGAGTGGCTACAGAAAGTCAACGGAGACCCGGACTTCTGGGGTATTCCCCAAGGAGTAGCCTACACATTATCTGGTGTGTACCAGTGGCTGTCCACCGCTGGTATTATCCGCCTCATCAACCAATACCCGGATTTTTTTATAGAGAGCAAGCTGAATAACCCAAACGTCGAGGCCGATCCCACGAACCCACCACTCACTATGTACCTTCTCGAGCACAGCGGTGAAGATTGGTGCCGAGCGAATTGCGTCATGTGACACTTCATGAGTAGACGAAACTCTGGAAAACTTGGAACGGCCAACGAAAAACGCTTCGAAGCAACTAGCACATCGCATCCCCTGAAATGGTTGAAATCCGCGTCTCAAATCCGCGAGGAAGCTACCTCTTGGCTCCTTCAGGCTGAATCCGTCACAGACGAGTTGGCCGAGTGCGGTCTTACACGACCGTTGTCTGAAGAGGTATGGGCCCGATACGCACCAATGTCATCACAACAGAAGCAAGAGATGGAAGAAACCCACCTAGATGCGATAGAAGATTTCAGAAATCAAATATATGATGAATCTGAGACAAGCGGTCGGGTGAAGAAACTTCCGGCTATGACGCCCGACGAGCAAGCTGCTCTGATCAAATTCTTGATCAAAAGATACCGTAATGTACGTTTATAACTCCTCAATCCCATCAGCCAATTATGTCGTCGCCCCTAACCAAGCCTTAGCTCGAACTTGGACACGACATTGATGACGCTTCGGTCGTCGAACCAAACGATTTAAATTTAATCGACCAGGCCAACCAGGCCAACCCAGATCTTTTCGAAGACGATGATAATATCCGAAAGCCCGAGGACGGTGAGTTGCAAATTGCGAGCAAAGAAATCCTCCAGGCTACTTGTGCCGAAAAACGAAGATTTATGTCCTATTTGGACGACCTACTTGGTGGTTCTGATTCTCAACCATTAGATTGGCAAAAGGTAGAAGAGATTACCGGTTGGAATTGCCACGACCTCCGTATCGACAAAAGCAATCCATAATCTGAACGCTTCCAACCGCATCAAATCATGGGTACGTATTCTTATTGACTAACATAATCTATCCATCCCAATTCCATTTCTCACACGCCTATCCGTTGCAAATCACTAACCAATATTTCTTTTTAGATGTGGCCTTATCTCTGGAGAAGCTGTCGCTATTCCCTTTCTGTTCCATGCTCACCAGTTCTTGAGGGATCGGCAAGACCGTAATCATGCTTGCGACGCTGGCGCAACTTGGCAAGAAGCAGAGAGCAAAGTGGGAAAAGCAGAGTGACGCCACGCCGCCTAAGGAAAAGGTGAAATTTGCTGCGAGTTTATACCAAATGCCGGCGGTGTTGATTAAAGCCGCATTCACCGAAGCAAGGCACTGGTTTGGTTCCGAACTAAAACCTATGATATATTATGGCGATGCCAGCGATCATAACTCCGGCACGTCAGGCCAAGACTCGATCATAGGTTCGCACCGTCTGGAAATATTCTTAGAAGAGCATCCCGATAACGACCCAGAAGTAAGTTTAAACCTAAACGTCTTTTATTTTCTTCTCCTTCTTCTCCTTCTTCTCCTTCTTTTTCTTCTTTTTCTTCTAATATTACTTTCTCTTAGACATCAAAAATAGTTATTCTGAGCTCTTACGTTACATACAAGAGGCGTGAAACTATTGGTACCAAGAAGTTGAGGTCGCAGTTAAGCCAAGAGGACAGAGTGTTTCTCGCCTTACATTTAGTGGATTCGAATAGCAGGCGTGGTCCCAACGTCGAAGAGCCAGACGAGGTCGACGATTTCGAGCTACCGGAAAACCAGATGGAGCGCCCTGAAAAGGTCGGCAGGGCCCCAAATGAATACGTCATATTGCGTCCTAGTTTTCCCTACAAGTATCTCGCCGTACTATGCGATGAAGCCCATGTGTTGACGAACAGACATTCTTCGATCCACAAGACTGTGAAGTGCCTAGATAGGGCCCACCTCATTCTATGTACGGCCGCTCCTATTATAAACACGACGATTGACCTACTAGCATACGCCTTATTGATGTGGCCAAAAGCCAAACCCCCCAAGATGCCAGCGGGATTCTCTATGAATTCATTCTACGGTCCCGGCGCTCTCCTAACCAATTATACCCACTCTGATGTAGGGGAGAGATACCTATCTAGGGTCACTAAGAAAGGCGTAAGCCTGAATACTATGCTCCAGGACATCGACACCTATGCCGCTGAGTTGCAAGAAAACTTGTCAAGCGGGTCGGAATCTACTGGCAAGGCTCCGCTCATAGACCCTGGAGAGTACCCGGACGACTACGACGACATCGTACTATCCGCCGAAGCGGGCAGGAAGCCATGGGTTTTTAACCCATGTCACATGTATTGGGCGCATCGTGAATTTGATGACAGCTTTTCGGAATCACGTAAATACGGTGGCGATTTTTTATCGGAAATCGCGATAAAGAGGGGTATGAATACCCAGCTAAAGTTACCTAACGGCAACATTACCACCCCAAGCGACACCATACCTGCCGCGAAATCCGTCGTGTCCAACATCCAATTTAACGAGAAAGAGCAGGAGCTCTACTTAGAAATCTATAGGCAGATGGCCAATCGACTTTTCACGCCCGAACCCGAAAGCGGCGAAAAGCCAGACGCAGCACGTGGTCGGGATTTAGCGCAACGCCGCATCAATTCGTTAGTTTGGCGGATCTTATTATTGTCGGCGCTAGACGTGCAAGCAGTGGACTTGCTGCTACCAAACGTCAAAAATATAGCCTTCTCTACGGTCTTCGCCCCCCCTAATCACAATACGGGTCTGCAACTCCTCGGGGGGGCTACCCCGAAGAAAACCGCTGGCGGAAAGCAGAAAAATACTGCAACGCTGGGTACGGATCAAGTTGCAACACTAGCGACCAAGTGGGATGATGGGGGTGCCTCTTGGTTATTTGAGACTCTGAAAGCCGGCGAAGAATATTCCCTGCCTACCCGCCGCTTCGCCTATGTGCAGTGGGTCGCGGCCATGTCACCGATAACCGCCCGTGTCCTGATAGAGGTTGCTGAGGGTATGAAGGAGCCCATCGGCCCTTCTGGTCTCCCCAACCGTTTCGTCGTGATGGTCATGATGCCATGGGCCCAGCAGTAAGTATTCATATATCCTTCCCCAGCCCAGCCATTACCACACATATATTCATATACCGATCTCCTCCCGACCGGCTCGTCTGAAAGCTCCTTATCCTCTTCTCCAATCTACTCTTACTAACTCCTTCCTTCTTAGATCGCTAGCCCTGGCGCTTGAGATGTTCGGATATAACGTCATAAGCTTACGAGCAGGCCATTCGATGGCCAAGAGGAATCGTTTCGTCGAAAAATTCAACGATCCGAAGTCTGACGTACAAATCTTAGTCATCTCGATGGAGCTCTCTGCGTTCGGACTTAATTTGCACAAGTCATGCGCGAGGGGTATCATCGTTCAATGGCCATGGTCGGCCAACCATCTCATGCAGATGTTGGGTCGTTTGCCTCGTATTGGCCAACAGAGACCGGTAAGATGGACCATCTATACGATGCCAGGGACCCTCTGCGATAGAATGGAGACCATAATTTGGTCAAAGTATGTCCGACAACCCCCCATCGATGGCAAGATCTCCGCCCACCTAAACGGTGAGCTCGCGTTGGTTGCCGCTTATGGTATCCTATACAACGTGTTCACGATACCCACCCATAGATACCTGTAGGACAGGTACACATAGATCTAACCATCCAAGACACGATCGACCCCTTACACCAATGTCAAAAGTTATCAGTCTTTTTTGGGGATTTGGGTCAGAAGCTCATAACAGAGCTCAAACAAGGCTGTGGCGATGCAACTATCACATTGATAAAAAATCTCGACAAGAGAACCCCTGGTGACCTCGTAGCAGGTGCTGTCATATACGCGAGATACCATTATGACAATGATGCCTATCCCGAGCTGTCATGGGAGTGGCTCAGCCAGGTGTGCATGGTCTCTCAGTTGACCATGAAGTTGGACGAAGAATGGATAGGTGCCTTCTTACCGGACACCATCCTACGCTCTCTAAGAGGGGAAGAGAAACGCGATCGGGTCGAACGAACAAAGTCTTCCAAAGCGGAGTTGAAGAAGCTTATACCTGATGCCACCGAAATTAGCGACGAAGGCAATGAGTCCGAGAGATCCGACATGGACAGCAACGATTCGGAGCCCACGAGTAGCAAGAGAAAGCAAAACGAGGAGGAATCATCTTCGAGGAAACGCGCAAAGTCCTCTGACGAAACGGAAGATCAAGAAGGTATGGAATTTATTCAAACCTTTGCATAGTCCTTACTATATGATAGCTAACATTATTATAGGACAAGAGTCGCAGTTGAACGACGATTAAGTCGCTATCGAGATAGCGGAGTAGATGGCCGAACGCGGTTTGTAGCAAGGAACGGGAAAAGGGGGTGGGGTACTTAGATTGTATGAGGTTCAGGAAAGACCACAATTTACAAAACATGTAATGGGCCGCATTATTCATAGTTCATACCCAAGCCCTTAAGGCTGGCATTGCAATGTTTTATTAAAAATCCTCCAGTTATTCCATCAATATGGTCTGTATTTTCCTATGTTGCCTTGGTTGCCTTGTGTCGCTCCCTAACCTTATCAAGTAACATCTTGGCCTCGGGGACCTTAAACTCGTTTGGATTATATTTCTTCGGTAATTGCTCACCTCGGAAGCAAGGCAAGCCCTATGGTTTTTTTTTGTTTTTTTTTTAAAGTAAATGACGTATAGGCTAGCAATTAGAACTACTTACGATTAACCATTGTGGAGGTAAATAATCTAGTTCGCCGTGAGATGCGATCGGGAGGTGGAGAGCATGGATGCGGCGCGGAGATATCATCGGGGATGTATGTGGAACTAATAATGCCCGCGTTTTCGAATGATTTAATGAATGACTTAGGATAATGGATGTTAAATTCAGTATTTTTATGGTTTGCGCAAGATCTCCGAGGGGCCGTGAAAGAACCAGGAATCGATCCGAGACCACTAAATTGAAATCATGACGTCACTCAGCCCGGTCGACCCGGAACCGTCACAACAAATATTAATGTTAGATCTTTTCTTTCTATCGCCTATAATCTTTATCATTCGAATATGAATTTAATAATATTTTTTAATATCTGGCCGTGGATAAATTTTTCATAGAAAAAGTAATTCATTCTTACCTAGATAGATATCGACGCTCGCTTCTTCCTTGTTCTCTTGCACCAGCGCTTCTGGGATCGGCTTGTCGCTGAGTAATCGCCATACGTGTGCTGCTATCGACTACTACTTCATGCCTTTTCGTTTCGATAGCTAAGGTTATTGTAAATACTATAACCTACATCCATAAATATTTTCAAGATGAGCTCGTCGGCCATAACGCCTCCTTTTGGGGCATCGGATTACGTCAAGTTTTTCGGCGCCGGTGCGCTGGCAGCAACAACGACACATGCGACCGCAACTCCTATCGATGTGGTCAAGACGAGGATGCAGGTGGATGACTCGTTGAAAGGGCTTAGAATGTTGGCTGCTGGACGACAAATAGTAGCTAAAGAAGGAACATCGGCATTACTTACGGGGTTTGGGCCTACTGCCGTTGGCTATTTAATTCAAGGTGGTGGGAAGTTCGCCGGATATGAGTTCTTTAAAAAGAAATTCATCGACTTGACAGGTTCTCAGGAGAAAGCGACACAACGGCGCACAGCTATCTACCTGGGCGCTAGTGCGACGGCCGAGTTTTTTGCTGATATCGCCTTATGTCCGCTAGAAGCCACGCGCATCCGTCTCGTTTCGCAGCGCGGCTTCGCCTCGGGGATGGTGGGGGGCTTCATGCGTCTCGCTAGGGAAGAGGGTTTTAAGGGCTTCTATTCGGGCTTCGTACCTTTACTATTCAAGCAGGTTCCATACGCGGTGGGGCAATTTTCCGTTCATGAGGCCGCTGTCGAAGTGATTTATCGGACTATGGGACCAGAGCGAAAAGCTAAATTGACGCAGCTGCAATCGACTGGCGTGGAACTGACATCGGGTCTCGTTGCTGGTGTGGCGGCGGCGGTGCTTTCGCATCCAGCTGATACGCTGCTTTCGGCTATTAATAAGGGAGCGGGGGATCCGAAGCAAGGTGTCACAAGCAGGATGTTCTCGCTTGCACGAGAATTTGGTCCGCGGAGATTGCTATTAGCTGGTTTGGCCCCACGTATTGTTATGACGATGGGTTTGGTATCGGGGCAGTTTATCATATATGCTCAATGCAAGACACTGGTTGGTGCGCCGGCTGGGATAGAAATTCATAAGGAGTAAATGGGGGGAATTCATTTCGGAGATTTCGGAGATTTCGGGAGTGGGGGTAAAAGGAAATACGTACGTGACAATGCTTTATGAGGATACCTACAAGGGAAACTTGTGTAACTTATGTGGGCTATTGCTTTTTGAAAATTCAATAGAATATTACGCGTGATTCTATCGGAATCTACCTGATGCGCCCCTGTATTGGCCAAATTCCCATCTGCCTCCAAAATCCTCTCCCGTCGAGTACTCGACCCAGCGAAGGCGTATCTCTTGGTAGAGCTCGTATACCCTCCTCTATCATGAGCTCGCCGACCCAAGTTAATAATTGTTCTTGCCTCTGAACTTTGGACACGGGACTGTCGACTTGACCGTCGCCGCTCTTGGCGATCTGAATTGCCCAGTCCTGTACCAGATCCCACCAATCGTAGACATGCATGTCGCTAATAAGCCAACGCTTACCCGGGGTGAAGTTTCGATGCAGCGCAACGATAGCTCTGGCCACATCCTCACCATGTACCACATGTAGTGCACCCTTCCCTTTTAGATCGGCTTTCGATTTCACTACGCGGTCAACCCAATCTCGTGGCTGACGAGAACCTCCGTACAGACCTGCTAGATTAAGTACGGAGCCGTGTGAACACGTCATTAGCTCGTCCTCAGCAATTGCGCGAGGATCAGCACTATCGTAGAGCGATGATTCGTCCTGCCATGTCGGCGCTTTCCATATACTCGTGGCGCCCAATTGAATGAAGTGTGGCTTGTTTGTGTGTGTCGACTCGTACATGCGTACTAGGTGCTTGGCCTGCCCCTGACCAATGAGCGGAAATGTGATCAGCGCTGTTTCAGTACGCGGTAGCGCATTAAATTGCGTCGGGTCGCTTGATCCGGGGTCGAATCGGAAGCGGATTGTTCCATCTCTGCCATCTGTTGTTGTAGCTGCGAATTTGATCTTTTCGTGTTTAAGAAGTGGAATTAGGAACGTCGACGTCCAACCCGCCCCAAGGATTAATAGATCAACATGACCATTATCGTGTTCTACATCGGATTCAGTTATCTGCATGTTGATTGTTTAGTGAAGATTTAGTGAAGATGCTGGCGACGCTAATGGAAAAGCAAAAGGAGACGGTGCGGGCAGCGGGGTTGAAATACATGTACAGTACCTAGGTAGAAGTACATGTATAGGTTGTTTTCTCAGGTACATCCATGCAAGTGTAACGCGACAACTCGCTTTTAATGACCTCATTCAATACACTCCGAGTGGTCAATCCGGAGTTACACGATCGCCTTTGTACACCTAAAATCTGAACGACGTCCCAGTGTTCAAGGCAAGCTACATGTACCTAGGTAGTTAGGTTTACGATGGTATACGACACCCCTGAAAAAAAAAATATTGAGTGCCTAGGTATCTAGAAGGGCTGAAGGTGAGTCTTTTCTTCGATAGTGGTCAAATTGGATGATTAATCTATTCTAATTTCTTCTTTATTTAGATAAAATCGCGGATTCAAATTGCGCCTCATTTGCATTTTATGTATAAGGTGACGGGCGACCGCGGGAGTATGTACGAATACTGTCAACTAGACGGCTGTCTTTATTTCTTATCGTCTCCGTACAGTTTCATCGCTAGGTTGTCTCGGGTATAGAAGGTCGACATGCGATACTTGGTCTCTCCGCGATATTGTTCCAATTCTTCAAGAGCTTGCTTACCTTCGCGCTCTATCGTCTGGCGAATCTCCTCATTGCGTGGCGCGATGCTACATTCAAATGGTTGAGGTCGCATGTTCAATCCGTTTCTGTATTCATGTTAGTATCCGCGTAGACCGTAATTCCTTCGTGTTGGGATTCACTAACGTATAATTAAAGATATCCACCTCAACCGTGCTACCGTCCGCGCGCTTCTTCTTCTGGACATTAAAGCCCCATAGTATCCTTGCTACTGTGATCCAAGTTCCCTGTTCAGCCAGAGCTTGTCCCGAACAGACCCTACGACCCCATCCGAAAGTCATATATCCTCTCTCTCCAGGGAACGGTCGGCTATCAGGGTGCCCAGGAAGGAATCGATTGGGGTTAAAGCGATCGGGATCAGGGAACTCGCGCTCGTTATGGTGAATCGCCCACACATTGCCTTGAATCCAGGTACCCTTGGGGATGAGCCAACCATTGTAGTAATCGTCTTGTGTCGGTGCGTGAGGCTGTCCTCCGATGATGGCCACTGAACGCCAGCGTAACACTTCCTTAACAAAAGCTTTGATGTATGGCAAGTTTTCCTCATCTTCCCAGGTTGGACTCCTGTATGGACCGACCACTCGGTCAAGCTCTTCCCATGCTGGTATCAACGCCTCTGGGAATGCACAGCAGGCTAACACAAATGTGATTAAAGTGCTACTGCTCGTGTCAGATCCAGCGCCAAAGAGGTTCCCGGTTAGCGATGATATCTCGGCTTCCCTCAGGTCGTATTTTGTTCTCTCGGAAAATAAGTGGCTCACAAAAGAGTCATCATGGCCCTCCTTTTTAGCCGCCTCGTCCGCTAGGGCGTAGAAGAAGTGGAACGCGCGTTTCCTACCCAACCCATATTTCCAGGGAGCAATCTCGTTGGGGAACTTCGCAAGGAATGGGAAAGTTTCCATCAGCATAGGGAATGTCTTGCCAGGAACGTTTAAATCGGCGGCCAAATGCATCATGGCGATGACCTCGGTAATGATGGGGTCGTCCCAGCTCTCTACACGCCGACCGAAGCCAATGATAGAGACGACGCTTGTCGCGTACCGCTCGAAATGCTTGACATAGTCTCCAGGAGCCTTGAGCAGGTCATAGGCGACCACTCGACTCTCATTGTTCTGGAATTCTCTATATCTGCGGACTGATTGTATGCCAACGCCTTGATGCATTAGTTTACGGTGGACGCGCCATCGGTCACGCTGCTCAGGATTCGCCGTATACATATTCACTAGGTTATCTTGGCCTGCGCCCAACTCTGCGAACACGAGCATTCGTGGTCGTGACGAATAAATACCAGCGCGTTTCTCAAAGAGCTCTGATGCTGTCCATGCATCGTTGATCCAAATTGTTGGATTCCTGTTTCCAACGTCAGCGAGCCCTTGCCAAATGTATGGTAACACCTACCGCCCTATCCATATCGTAACCAGTGGCGCATTGTATTTCTTGGAAAGCTCTTCAAACCAGATCCATGGCTTTTTGCTCGGGAGCATGAATGTGTTGCCAACAATTGGTCGGGGGAAAGGACCAGGGGGCTATGTTATTCATTTCTTCTTAGTTCTACACGTCCCATCTTCCATCCTCCGTATCAAGGGTCGCTAACTTACAAGTTTAGAGCGCATCCATAACATATAAGCATAATCGATTACCAAGGTAACGAAACCGATCGATACAATCGACGTCGCCAAGTGCCACGCCGATATCTGGCTAAATATCCTAGTTCCATCTCCGGCCTTGAGGCCAGATAGTAACTGGTCAAACAACATAGCCACAGGAACTTAGAGTATGTCTACCCCTATTCGCCACGAATGAACTTCCAAGGGGTCAAAGCACGGCTGGCGTTGGGTGTTATGTAGGACAAGTGAACAGGTAGCCATACCTGCATGAATCCTGAGGCTCGTTTGGGGAGGGGAGTCTTATTATGTTGCCAGTCAATCAAATAACTACCTAGTTATTACACACCTCGGTGCTCCTATTCGGCATTTATCCTCCCGGCGTATCATTGGTCGAGGGTAATCTGCCGGGGAACAGCGTGGGGTAGACGGCCACGATACTCCTCATCCAGGAGTTACTTATACTACTTTGGGATTTGGCTTACCCACTCCACTCCGCTACCCCAGACCTAGATCCCAGACTAGCCCAGTAGTACTGGCATATGCGAGTGCGGTTCATCCCAAATCTGATGGCCAACTTGTCCATCAGGAGAAATAGTTCCTCCGAGAATTTACTCCACCCAGCCAAACGTCGCCCGATATCTATCTCCATCTCTTATATTCCATGTTCTGGGAGACCAATGGCCCTATTCCCGAGTTAGTTAACTCGCGATGGTCTGATAATACATAGGATATATACCTTCTAAGACAAGCCTACCTTGTTAGTAGGGACCGCCTATCCGGCAGTTCATGTTACCCTGCGGTCCTCGTCGATTCGATCCATGTACCGTAGAGCCTCCATCGCAGTCTGCAGTATTTCGGATACTCTTAATCTGAATTGGGTTTCGTATAGTCTCTGTTGTAATTCCAGGCGTTCCATTTGCTCATACGCCGCCCGTCGTTTCAGATAATCTCTAATTTTCTTGTTCTCTTCTAGTACGGCGCAATAGTTCTTTCCTATGTTGATTTGCGCCGCGAGAACTGAAGCATCGTTATGGTCGTGGAGGCCGCGGCACATGTCCATCAACTCACGGACGATATCGCTGGCCCCCTCGACATTTCTCTCGAACGCGCCAAAGGCGGATGGAATATCGAGTGTATTCCCAAGAGGCTGTGATTCGTAATCTTGTGTCTGCTGTGCTCCGTCCACATTCTTCATGGACTGTCGCTCGGCGGCCGTCGGCATGGATGAGGTGGTGCCAGGGATATCATAACGGCTATCATCGTCTTGGGAGTCTTTCATTTCAACGACACTATGAAATAGGCAAACATGTGCGTCCGTTAATGTCGTATTGGTAATTGCCTTTCACCCATTATCAAGGGCACCGTCTCGAACTGTACGGCTAGTATCCGTTTCGACGATACTCGTGCCATCCTCGTTGCTTGATCGGGTTGTATGAAGGGCTTCCGAAGGTGGCGACGACGAAGATAATTTTCGTTTTTTCAAGACAATCCTAGTAACGGGTTGTCGGTCACCCTTTCGCTTGCCGCCAAGTTGCGATGCCATCATAAGGAATTGTGTTCTAGGATGAAATATTCTAGGCGTAGAATTAAAGGGTACCTAGGTACACTCTGATATGGATCAATCAGAATTGGTTCTTGCTATCGTATACCATTAGCAATAGCGTGCTTCGACAGAAAAAATATGAATACTGAGTAAATTTTAAACTCACAATTGATCTTTACTAGCCGCTAAAGGGGTTCAGTCGATGCTAGATATGTGCGATGCCAGGGCCTAAGGTGGTAGTTGTTAGGTGGAGGCGAAGGATGTCTAGAGGGCGAATTAAGAAAAAATGCCCTTGGTTATGGCAATCAAAGTCGGTTTTATTTGTAGAAAATCAAGAGAGTAAGTTTAGGGACAGAAAAGTTATCTTGAGAGCTACGTGTCTGTAGGCTAGGTAGTACCCGCACAGTTCGCAGGTGTTGAGTTCTAACATTAAGTAGCTACATAACTAGGTACTCAGTATGCACTGTATCTGTGCCGGCATTTTGACCTAGGTGAGGTAGCTTCATAGGTTCAACCGTACTAGATTTCTATTTACATAGAAATTGGTCGGCGACACAGTGTATGGTGGGGGCACGGGAGATAGGTTAGACGTTTTTATATAGGTTTGGATAAGACCATGCTTAACTGATAGTTGAGTGATAGCTGACGATATTTCTATATCATCTCTACCAATTACCCAAATACGTATTCCTATTCTCTAAAGAGCGTGATGAGACCTGTTATATATACCTAGGCGCCCAACAAACAACCAAAGGACAAGCCTCTATCCCCAATGTAACGAGTGAAAATAGAGATGTCCGTATTTAATGCATCCCATACGAGCATACTCATTTGTTCTCATCATCTTTCTTACTTTAAAAATACAACTAGTGTTTCCAGCGAAACCACAGAGCTAAGAAAACAAGCCCACCACTTAGTAATCACTATGGTTTGCACCCCACGGTCTATTGTGTGTCACACTAGACATCGCCGTATAGTTGGAGTACTCAGACATCTTGGAGCGGCTAGGAAAATGTGTTCCCTCGCCCTTGAGCATGAATATTCTCGTTCGAGGGAGACGATCTACGTTTATCTCAATTCCGGAACTCTATGAGCATTTGTTAGCTCGCTCCTGAGTTGCTGAATACATTATGCAATGTTTACTGACCGATATAGCTCTCCAGCGGAGATTATCCCTCAAGTATGTTTCTACGACATTAGGAGATATTTCCGATAAGCCCGGGATGCTGGGGTTAGAAGCGATTTTGTGCAAGGCAATTGTTAGCGGGACTTGGGCTGTTGAAAGGACGCCTTTTTCGGCCTGCTGCACACAGCTTCCGCAGTGTACTGTTCCTTCTCTCTGAGCGCGGAAACTAAATGTACTCACGCTGCCTACATGGTGGGGATGTAGCGATGGAGACAGAGGCTCATGCCCTGCAACGTCGCCTAAGTAAAAGTGAATGGTATAAGGATCTCCTCCAAGGGCATGGCTAGCTACTGTCTCAGTGTATATTCATTTGCGGTGGAACTCTGCGCGGCTTACCGGTCATATATGACGTTGATGATATAATCGTCATGTTTGTCAAAGGGAATATCAGGAGTTCGCGTGCCGTGGCGATGTTTCATCAGCAACTGTCCAGTATTCATATATCCATCAATGTGTTCACGAATCCTATCAAGATACTCCTGATTTCTGCCGTTCTCCAGCGAAGTAATGTCATAATCATAGCCATATTTCCTCCAATTCCTTGTGAGATCGGAGTTATAGTAGTTGAACTCCCCCGGCTCAGATTCGTGTCGGAACGGAGGTAGGTTGTCTCCAGCTTTGGGGTTATCATTTTCCGTAAACCACTGATCAGGATATAGAGTCTGGCGAATTGCAAAGAGGAGGTCTATGAAGCTATATTCGGTTAGCTATATCGTAATTATAGGCTTCAACAGACCTTCTCACCAATGATGCATGTAGAAGATGGGATCGAAAGCAGCTACGGGGACATTTGACATGTGGCCAGCCCCATCCTTTAAACTACTCCCTCCGATAAAATCCTGCGATTTGTTAGGCTATAATATTGTAAAGGGAGATGGTAGTTCTAGAACATACATGTAACCCGTTGTGGACGTACTCTAGCGATAGATATTCCGTCCAAACGTTGATCTGTTCTGGTTGCGCTGCTGTCGAAGCGAAACTACTAAAATTCTTACAGTAGGAAGATGAGAGAATTCTATAAACAAGTTCGCTGGCTGTATGATTATTGATATCAGTCTTGTCATTTGGGTCTTCCCACGTGTGTGAGGAAATGGCAGCATTTGCCTTGGGCCAATTGTTGATGCCCTGAGACCATTTAGACTCAGGGGTATTTTCGACAATGCCCCATCGGCTAGTACCTGAGCATTTTGACCACTTTTAAAGTCAGAAGATAATTACTACCTAAGTATAATCCTAATACGCACCGGAAATCCAGAAGTGTCTTCGATCGTATACGGCTTAGGAAGGTCTCCCATCTTCGTAAGCTTCCCGCCCACGCGGAGCTGGAAACGATATAGTGGGTTTTCTATTAGCTCTGGGGGGATATTCGACCCATCGTGAGATTTTGGAACACGAATCTTGATATTGTTAATAGTATATATGTGAGGAATTTCGAAATTCTTCGGTCGTGCCCAATTAAAATAGGGCAATCGAAATTGATTGGCCTCTTTAATCCACGCTTTCTTCTCTTCTGCCGAGTTAAACGTCAAGTCGGTTGAAATAACTTCTAGCATAAGCTCATGAATCCGTTGCTAGTGAATCGTACATTAGATGAGCTCAAGTTTTAATTTATTCTGAGGCGCTTTCTGACCTCGAAGAGAAGCATGTACACGCGGTGCCAGGTTGGGAAGGTGATCTGATTGTGAACGCAATAGATACCGGTGGTTCCCCCTTGAATATTTGCGGGGGGGTTGGCGTCGTTCCAAGGCACGTTTGCTGGAAAGCCATGTATTCCTTGAAACTCGGATCAGAATCGTCGATGGCTACAGCTAGAATAGTACCTACCCGCTATTCTAGAGAACGACAGGTCTTGGTCATATGGAAGATCGTATAGCTTCTGGAGAGCTCGAATAAACAGAGAAACTTGTATGTTATTCTCGTGGTCTTTAGCCCACTCGTTGCAGTCGCGACGGACGGGAAGCGGTTGACCCGGCTCAACAGATATTCCTTCTATAGGATAAACAGGGGTCATATTGAACGACTCTCGGAAGGGGGATTGAAACTTATACAACTAGGTACTATGAAAGAGTTGAGGGGGGTGGGAAATCTAGAAAGTTAAGAAAGGCTACCCTTATATATGATGTATATAGGTAACACAAGGACTTTGACTTGCATGGTCTCACCTAGATACACCTGGGTAAGCATAATGTCTTGCCGCGGCACAGGATAACTCTACTCGCCAAGTATATTGATAGTATGATAGCCTCGGATCTAAATTACCTTATAGTAGGTATCATTGTGTGATAAAATCTGCCTCCTAGAGTCCTAGCAACTTGATGACTTACAGTGCTTGCATACCTACCTAGATATATTCCGAGACGTTAATCATGTAAAAAAAAACGAGATTTGTTACATTATACAGGGGAGTCGGGCCTCCTTGTGAAGAGACGCGGGGATTTCGTAGATAGACCATGTCTCTTTGTGGCGATATTCACCCCAGCCTACAGACGGGCTGAGTGAGACGGCTCGAGAAATATAGCATTTTGCGGATGTATGGCTGTTTATAGGCTATTGCTTCTTAGAGTTCCATGTGGCTTGTGTAACTAATAACGCCCTTTGCATTGGTGATTATACGGTTGGTGTCTTTGACGAAACGGTAGAGGTAGGCAGGCTAGAGATCCAGGCCTAGATATCAGCCACTAGTCTCCACGCAAGCACACCGCCACCTCCATGGGCAGGTGAATGCTTGAACAGTGCGTGATGATTGATTGCGGGGTTGATCTAAGTATTTACCTTAACATCATGATGTGAGACAGCATGAGACCTCAAACCTGTACGTTTTATAGAACATTGCAGCGCATCAATTGATGTTATTGCGGTTCCGGGGTACAAGCATTCTATGACATTAGTGATTTACAGCGAGTGATGATGTATTTTGAGTGGTGTAAGGTGCCTGGGACTTGGTGGCTTAGTTACCAATTCAATCCTTGGATATCGTCTTTTAACTTTCTTTGAGATGGGATGACTATCCGAATAGGGATATGTATCTCGGTACCTATTGGCTGAATAAAAAGAATAAGGTTCCGGTCGCTAAAGACAAACTACCGTAATGGTAGCCAATCCGTCTCCGTCGCTACGGATTATGGCAATTTAAATAACGTGGAATTTATTAGCTTTCCATCCTAGTAATCGGGCGCTTTGGCGATACGAAGGATAGCCGTTCTCAATGTATTTATTAGCGTCACGGTCGCACCATATCGCTAACTTGGTCAACATAATTGTGCAAGATCGACTTATGCTTGTCTTTTTTTGAAGGTGCTTGGCATTCTTATTTTTGCATTTCTTTTTTCTCGTCCCGTCTGTAAAGTACCTAGGTATCTAATTAATTCGGACTGCTGATCTTTGAATTCAACCGCTATGGTGAGCCGTGCCGTGTGCCATGCATGCTCCCTAAAGTAGATGGACCCACAACAACATCCGAGAATTCGTGTCTTATTACGCCGTCGCTGGTTTTAGTCACGGCGCTATTACGACTAATTGATAGGTGAAGCTATTGTGAAAATTCCTAATGCTAGCCTTAGGAACCTATAGAAGTTTCGAAATCGTTTTTCTTTTAAACAACCTTGGAAGCCTTCACACCTAAGTAGGCTACTAGTAGCAGCGCCAGATGACGCGTCCCACCGAAGCGATTCGTACTACTTATGCCTCCTCCCTTAGCCCTTGATTATCGTATCCAGAATGAATCACATTCTGTTTAGGTGCAAGAATTAACTAATAAGGCACCTATGTAGGCATTTAGGTAGGTACATAACCTATCGGGTGGAACATGCCAGCTTGTAAGCCATATTGCCGCCAGTAACACATATCCATTAGGAATATATTCGTCGATCCTCGCATGATTGGATGTTAAATTGGTAGATAGGAAGAACAAAAAAAATTAAGTCTCTGTTTTCAGCGTCTAATTCTATGCTGATGGTTTGCGCCCACGCAGCGGAACTAAACCATTTTAGTAAGGACGAGCCGCAAGCCTCAAGCTAATCATAACTAGGATTGATGGGAAGTCCGGGTCGAACGGCTTCAACCTTCTGTGCTATGTACCAATGTCGACAACCACGAGGGTCCACATTAGCGCCTCTTAGGCCCTTTTATTGGCGAAACTTGACTTTAAAAGAGGGACCAACCCGCGAGGGTGGGAAGATCCAACTGTTTTGGGATATAGCCACGGTACAAGTACGTCATCCTTTCTTTTATCATGTCAGCCATGTTAAAGATTCACCGGCGGGCGGAAGTCACCCTTTTGTCTCATATTAAGTACATTTGTACGTCGCAAACCATTCAAATTATCATATGTATGTAGGTATGTAGGTACCCCCACCATCTTTAACCTAGCCCTCAACTTATAGGTACTTACATTGGATCTCTGTATCTCCTACCTTCGATTGTATGGGTATCCATGTTGGTATTTACATATGTACCCGGGTGAGTAGGAGGTTTATATGTGGGTACACAAAAAAAGAACAGAAAGAGAGGACAAGCAACAGCCAAATGTTGGAAAGAGTGACGATGTCTACCGCTCAAAGACGTTTATACTACGTACTTAGGCAGGCGGGTTGCCCGATTGTTAGTGTATGTAGTGTATAGATGGCTTAATTGTGGATTTTTTGTTTCTTGTTTATCCTCGGCCTGCATTTCTCCATCATCCCTCAAGCAAATATCCACAAATTCCACCTAGATTACCTAGATTCTTTGCCGTCTTGGACTGTCCTACGTACCTACATAATAATTTCCCCTCTTCGTCTTGTCGGTCTTGTGCGATCTTACCCTTGCCCTCGATTTTGCTCGGCCTCGTCTACAGTTGTATCTGTTCGTTCGTCAGCAGTTACACGCAATCCCCTTCTACCCTCGCCTAGCTCATTCCATTCCTGAGGGTCCGACCATTTCTTTATTTTCCTCTTACCTGCCCTCTTTAGCTATGCTGCTCGTTCGGTAGGAAGAAAAAAAAAGAAAAAGGGCTTCCCATGTTTCCTTCCAAGGTTCCCCGTGTCTTCGTTCTTGCCAGCGTTGTGCTTTTATTCCTTGTCACCTACACCACTCTCCACCTCTATCATCGTGTCCCGCCATCCTACCCGGCGGCAGATCCTCAAATCATCCCAATAAAAGATGCGTTGACCATAGAAGACTCGTATCATGTTGCGGCTCCAGAGTCTCCCAGCGATGCGTCGACTTCTAGTTTAACAACACCCACTCTACATCCAACTATTGAAAATGAAGAATCGATCGGAAACCCGGATTCTAAAGAAACCCCTTCCCAGCCGGTAGATGATAGCAGCGATGTTAAAGTTGGCGCGGCAGTGGAGGATAATGGGCTACCGCTACCTAATCCCAAGCATTGTCCTAGGGATTTGGAGTTTTTGGTTCGCTCTAGCATCGACCTCGAATTGACCGAACGTGTGCGCTACGTTCGGCGCTATATCCAACCAGTTTTCTCAAGTACCGTCGACAGGGACGATGTCGCAAACATCACAGAGCCTCTCATCGCCAACGAGGTAGAGGTTGACTTATTCGATTGCGGAGATGTCGCAATCCCTCAATCCGCGCCAGTTAAGCTTCAAGTTCCGAAGCCTCACCCCGAATCGACATTTGCGCATTTGATGTTTGGGATAGCCTCCGACTATAGTCGCCTAAATGACTCTATCGGCCCCTTTGCGCATTGGATGTCAGGTACAGGCGCGAAACTCGTGGCTGTAGTTATGGACGCAAAAGAGAAGTCGTCGTATGATATGAAGCAACTACAAGGTAGTTTTGAGGCTGCTGGTATTAATGCGACCTTAGTCAAGCCTATCAACGAGTCATACACAACGTCGCAAAATCATTTCACCGTCCTGATAAACATGCTCGAGTACGGTAGCCCCGATACGGAATGGTACGGCCTTTTAGACGACGATACTTTCTTCCCGACTTTGAAGCCGCTCTCCGACAGCCTTGCCACGTTGGATCACAAGATAGATGCTTACGTCGGTGCCCTCTCGGAGGATTTTCAGGCCGTTCGAGGTTTCGGTTTTATGGCTTTTGGTGGTGCTGGCGCGTTCTTATCGGCACCACTGGCCAAGAAACTCGGTGATCAAGCGCCCAAGTGCATCGATGAAGCAACTGCTAAAGAGGGGGATACTATCATTCGCGACTGCGTATACACTAACTCGAGAGCAAAGCTCACCATCCTCCCGGGACTATATCAGCAAGATATCAGGGATGACGTTAGCGGGTTTTTCGAAGCGGGGTTGAAACCCTTGAATCTTCATCATTGGAAGAGTTGGTACAAAGAACCGGTCGAGAAGATGGCGAAAGTCGCCAAGTTTTGCGGCGACTGTTTCCTGCAACGTTGGCGATTTGGTACAGATACAGTATTCTCGAATGGCTTCTCTATCGCAACGTACAAGGACGGGGTAGAGTCGGTCAATCTACAGTTGATGGAGGGTACGTGGGGCAGAGCTGATAGCAAGGACTTCGACTTCAGTCTCGGTCCGGTTCGAGAGGCATACCCCGCCGACCGCAAGAAAAGTTATAAACTAAGAGAAGCCGAGTTTGTAGAGAATGGGGATCTAAAACAATTATACGTAAGAGTGGGCGATTCTTCACAAGGCGAACTCGATCAGGTGGTTGAGTTGGTATGGCTAAAGCATTAAAGGAATGGCGTTCGAGGAGAAGAGGCGTTTATTTCATTTCGATGCAAGTCCTGGTATAAATCATATTTGGACCTCACCATGCATCTTGGGTTACAGGGAGATGATGCATATTTGGAATGGCGGCATCGCATGCTTTCGCGAGTGGAGTACACGGTACGGTCGTGGGTTTAGGATGTGTGTGCATCAGAATATACCCTAGATCTTGCCTGCGCGGCGAATATGAATATTGTGTGTTCCTCATCGCATTTCTTCTTTACCTGTTTTGTGAATGATGCATCACTACTGAGTTGCTTATCACACAGTGACCATAGCATAGAGTCGTATAGGACTATGTGTGGATAAGTGCATACTACAAGTCGAGTCAAGATTCATTGAGTTACCCGCCTCGATATCCAAGCACCCGAGTACGCATTTAGGTATTCTCAATGAGAATCCTGTTCAGCAACGCCTCCTGATTAAGGACCCACACAATTAGTACCTGGTCTACGAACGTACGGACGGCGCGAACAGCTCGGTCTTTTTTCCCCATTACCACAGCATATATTATCATCCTATATCCATGTGGTCAACGTCATGTATATCTATCATTCTTTGCAACAATGAATCCTGATGGGATTACCAACACCCCAGACTACCCACGTACCTATGATTCTGCAAGTGCATCGTTAGATAATAGGTACCTAGGTACGAAAGGTAAATATATATCCATTGTTTTCTATCATGCGAAAAGCTCCGTTTCATTACTGTAGTTCAATGAACAAGACGTTGTTGTGTTTTTACATGTTTGTCAAAGGGCGCTATATTGCTGACCGAACTGCCCCTATCCAGTTCATAAGGCTATAACACTAGCGGCTATAGAATTAGGACGAATTTGCCTACATATCTACTACTCAGCAATTTTTATTTTCTCTTCATATTGACTTTGGTCTTGGGTATTATTCATTAGCGACAGGGACTGGTTTCCGTCGTTCCAGTGTTAGGAACCTATATTCTTCCTATTGTTTGCGAACCACGCCATTTTCAATCAGCCCAATATAATCAAAACTCACGAGAAAATACTTCTTAACACACCGTCTCCGATAACAAGAGGATACGATGTACCCTATGTACGGATCATACCAACCGGGGAGCGAATATGGAGAACCATATAATATGGACTCTCACGAGGAAGAGGTGATAGATGGCCAAACCCAGCTCTTCATGATTTTTAACTGGATTGAGAGTTTGGCATCACGACTTCGGCAACTAGGATTGGAACTCAACTACGTATTCGACAGTGTAGTTCCTCACTCGACTGCTTGGTGTTCTTGGGACAGCTACTTCAGAAGTCAGTTTAATATCTTAGTTGAGGGGGTCGCCATGCATAGTTATTGGTTAATATACATTTCCAGTATGCAGCAGCAAAGTCAGGTTCCAGCCATCAACGATCCGCAGCAGATATATAATGTACGCCTAAACGAATTGAATGAGAGGCTAGAGTCAGCATATATTGAAGGTGTGGAACAAAGATACCAAGGATGAGGATTTGCCGATTTACGTGCCACGGGATCTATGATATCCCTTGGAGCTCATTTAGGTATTTAGGGAACGGAACTGTTAGCAGTGGGTGTCTAAACAGTGAATTAGGAGGTTTAGATAGCTATTTAAGTAGATTTCGCAGAAAATGTAGGGCCCAAGCACTATGTAAGCAGGGAAAATACAAGAACACCAAAAATCAGCTTCTATAATTAGTTGTATAGCTTCTACACGTAATAGTTATATATATATGTATCGCGCGGACCGCTCTTGGTACCTAGGTAGATACCTAATGACCTATACCCCTATTAAACAAGGGTGACCAAGTACGCATTTCCACTTACAAAACAATGCCATTATTCTGAAAGTTTTAGGTTCTCAATGGACTGTCGTTAGTATGAACAAAGTACCTAGGTTAATTATCTGTACAAAATATATTGATCTCAACATTTTCCCCTTAACTTCACATCAAAGGGTCGCGATCGGTATAAGGGTATTGTAGTATAGAAGAATATTATGCATCAGCCAGGTGTACTCTGATATCAGATAAGCGGTCAGGTGACGACTACCCATCTGAGTCACGTGTCATCCTCGCAAAGCAAAGGAGGGGTTTCGTTGTTTCGTCTTTTCATCTGTTAGCTCAATAAAACTCTTCGATACAAGATGTTGGCACCCATTCAAAAGGAGAATTAATACTTAATAGATATTTTTGCTCCTGAAAACCCTTGCGCCAACATGCTAGGTAATTATTGTTGGAAATCTAGACCTTGGATCCTACAATTAATCCCTGCAGCCCTGCAGCGCAGCCCCTTCAGCCGTCTGAAGGGGTTGAAACACCAACCACATGCTTTAGTATCAAAGTATGCAGGTCTGAAAGTCATGGAAGGGGGGGTATTCTACATATCACATTTGTTTACCTTACCCCGGACTCTACAAGATGTCTCTACTGGCTCGGTATTTCTAAAAATTACCCCTTTCCATGTCGATTACTTATCTCATATGACAATCCTCCGTGACTACTACACCTTGATCCGTTTCGTGTGGCACATTTGGAGTTTACTACCAACTCAAGCTTCACAACCCAAGTGAGAGGTCATATCTTCGAAAAATGTTCCCAATTTGGCGACAACTTGACCGAGGACTTCTCCTGAGGTGTCAGGAGTCGGTCCGATATCACTGGAATATAACTTAAACTATGCATCCAATTTGTTTTACAAGCTTTCATAACTTCAGCCATCGTGATACTATAGCGCTGCCATCGTAAGCCCGTGAACTTCATCGCCATGGCAAGCCAAGACCAACAAATAAACGAACGACATACTTGTTTATGCCCCGATCCACATGACAATAATCTCGCTGACGAATATCTCCATTACTCCGGCTGTTTGAGAGTTACTGAAAGAGAGCATTATCTTGATACACTACCAGCACATTCACAGCAGTACATCCTTGGGGAAATAGGTCGAACGGAGAAATTACGGGCAAAACTACATACGCACCCCGGAAGTAATAATGCACATCGACTCCGCCGCTTCATAGGAGAATATAGAAAATATAAGAAGAGAAACCCCTTTCCAACAAGGGAATCCGGTGTAGATGGGTCAACTGGATCTCAAAACCTTTCCGCAGACTCTCTTGCCCAAGCACCAGTCATATTTTTCAAGGATGGTAAATCGTGTAGCATTCCTGGACGCGATAACCATTTTCCTCGCCAAAAATTTCCAGTTGAGGAACTCCTCACCGAAAATGCAGCGACCAACCCATTAATGCAACATGACGAGGAGGCAATTCGATATTTCCATCTACCCGCAAACAATATGGGTTGGGTAGAGGAGGCTATTGCAAGATACTATAGCGGTGCTAGTCGCAGCGGAGAAGCCATCACGGAAATAATCTTGAAGCCAGAGCTATGGCGAGCACAAAGATGCTTCGACTCGAATTCTGAGGTACACGCCCGTCACATGAAAGCATTCTGTGATATCATTCCTTCTAGTACCGAAGAGACTCAGTCAAGTAATATGGTGCTATTTATGCCTTACCTCCACTGGGAGACGGATAAAGGTAGAAATCGTACCGCGGAGAAGATCGAGGAGGCCAATAAGACACAGCAAAAGAAGGAGGAGGAGGAAAATAAGAGAGCTTCGATGGAAATGGCGGATATCGTTCTAAGTCATCAACGACAAGTTCACCCATCACCTCTTACGCCGACCACCAACATCATCGCAAATGCCTCAAGCGAAGAAGCGGAAAGCAGCGACGCTGACCTACTGTCAGCAATTGATTTAAGAACTAGGAGAGGAAGGATGAAATTATTCGGTCTTATCCTGCTAACAGCAGCCGAGATCTTCGACACTATGGATTTTATCACAGAAGAATCTCTTATCACAGAATATCTTCATAAAGATCAGCAAGCACCACTACATCCACGAAGGACTCTAGACCAATTCTATTATAGTTCCTTGAGAAGTACCAAGACCAGAGATCGAGATCAGGTTGTTTATCGGGCAACTTGTCAAGCACCTCCCCATGAGGGTTGTGGGCGAAGATGCTTGATATGCCGAGCAGAGAGTCGGAAGGTACCCCGTTTAATTATGGTAGACCAATTATGGCTTTGGGTATTGGACGATAGTAAGTACATAAACAACCGAAATATGTTGTGCGCTAACAATTTCACCCCTAGACACAATAATAACGAGCTTCCCACGCCGATGGGAAACTGTCAGATTAGACACCTCAGATGTACACGAAGCCGTCCGGATCAGACTAGAAAATGTAGGGAGAAACACCATTAAGTCTGCATATGACATCGCTCTCATCGTCATCGACGAGTGCTCGCGTGTATTCTTCGATAGGGCTCTTGATAAGAGACCGAAACTGGTCGACATCTTCGCAGATGCCATCGGCTGCATTGTGAGTCTTGATATTCGCGCGCAATATGGGGGCGGGGGACTAACATTATCGAAGGCTTATAAACAGACCGCTGCTTTTGACCGTTTCCTCATCTACTCACATATTGTATCTCGAGAATTTAAGAAGGGGCGATGCCATGACGAAGCAACACAGCACATATTGCTCAATATCAAATCCGAGTGCGAACTTCTAAAAGAAGTAATGGATATAATAGACGAGCTGAAGATCATGATTCGTATCATGGAAGAGCAGCTCATGGTGATAGAAACGTTCATTAAACAATTTGAACAGCTATCGTCGTCGGAGACCTCCTTGACAGCATCCTCGAGAAAGTCCACGCTCATTTGCGCGAAACGCTTGCAAACTTCTGTTAGAAGCAGGACCGGGGAGATGAAAACCCTTTTCGAATTAGCAAGGAAGAGTGCCGACGCTCTCAAAGATCTATTGGCTCTTAAACAGCAACAAGCTAGCGTCATAGAAGCTCGGGAAGCAGTCAGAAACGGCGAAGAGGTTTATAAGCAAGGGCAGTCTATCATGCTATTTACAGTCATAACCATCATATTCGTTAGTGTAACCCCACCAAGACGCGCCAGACAGTGAGACTAATAGCCTGTGCTTATAGCTTCCCTTGTCATTCATGTCCTCTCTATTCGGAATGAACGTTGTTCAACTAAATAGTGGGACTCTGACCTTCACCGAGGAGTTCAGATACATGTGTAAGTCTGAACTCATTAATTTCTCCGGTTCTAAGTCAACTAATGGAGTTATCTAAAGTCCCCATCGGCGCCGGAGTTATAGTTATATCATTCTTCCTCGCATTCAACTACGGTACATTTACGAATGCAATCACAAGACTCCTTAGGTCCGCTTTTTCCTTTGCCTACAATATCGGATTTACCTGGCTTGCAGTACGCACCGGGTGGTATATGATGGAGAGTAAGATCACAAGAAAAACCAACTCGCTTCGGAATAGGGAAGTGGGCATTACGAGCGGCATGAAAGCGGAAGCATTGCGTAACGAGAAGAATATCCGTCAGATGCGTGCTAGTCACGAATTGATCAAACATATGGGTAAAGAACCTAGCATAAGCCGGAGATCGACGTTCAGTAGCCTAGAGCACAACAGCCTCATGAGAGGAAGGTCTCCCTCGAGCGAAGACCTAGAGCAGGGATTTAAGTAGTAGGTTAAGGGTTTTCCAAAGATTCGGATGAGTTGTATGTAAAATACTAAGAGCATATGAAGAGTTTAGAGCGTGAATGTCAACATTTTGTGTACATTAGTTAGCGCACTGTATAATTAACTAAATAGGTGCTACCAGTACGAATTCATGCCCTGAATATGTACCTAGAGTTAACCGGCATGACAGTGCTAAAGACAGTGCTTTACTCACTGTGAGGGGTGGCTAAAACCGAATCTTTACTACACCCATAACATATAACATATAACATGCAACATGCTCAACATAACCTCCCAGAACGATATCTAAATCTCATACCTAAAGTCGGGATTCTCTTTATCTGTCAAGTCATCGAATGCGTGGGCATGCTCAATCTTTTCATCATCCTGGGAGCTAGTTTCCTGCTCGCCTGAGGTGTTAGAGCGACGCTTAGCGGCGTTCCGTCGGACGAGCAACACTCGAAGGAGGACCAAGGATATATTGAATAGCACATAAAGGCAGAAATGGGCGGTAAATCCTTTCTGGTATCGAGGAGCATCTGAATCTTGAAAAATTTGAGGCGCCGCCATATTTCCTGCTGCCCAACTTATGAAGGTCATTGCCAGGGTGGTAGACTTTTTCGTTTGACCTGCAACGTTTCGGGATATTAAGGAAAATATCAGGTTGCCCTCAGCTAGGTAGAATTGTGTGCAGTAGAAGGCGATTAGAAGGCCGACTTTGTTTGAGGGATTCGGAGGAATGGAGTATATGACGGCGGTACCGATAATAGCCGGTCTACATTGGTTAGTAAGTTTTCGGGATTCGACGGACGTAACAATTCACTTACATTGTCCAAATCTATAAATTGTTAGTTAAGGTACGAATTATGTGAATGGGGGATACTAACATGCATGATAATAGCTGTCTGCCTCGTCCAAGTGGCCATCCAGGCGCCACCAATCATGACTATGATAGTGACGCCGCCCTGTGCAATATTGAGCAATTGCGTTTGGAGGTAGGAAAACCCGAACGCAGATATGATGAGGTTGGAGAAAACTCCGAGACCGCCGATGACGAGAGTCGAGGTTACTTGAAGCATCACATAGCACCAGATGACTGGATCTTTGATGGTCTCGAGCATTTGGTATCGCTTGTAGGTTTTGTTCTGGATACCCGTCTCGTTGGCACGTACACGTTCGACCATCATCCGTTTCTGGTCCTCGTTGAAACATTTCGCTTTCATGGGACTATCTGGGAGCCACCAGCCGATGAAGACGGCCCAGACGCAAGTAGCGCAGCCAAGGACGAGAAAGAGCAATTGCCATGACTTGATGGAGTGGCCTTCGAAATGACTTGCGCCGTAGGCGATTAATCCTCCAACCTGAATCCAGTCAGTTTCGATTAAACCCAAATGTGATGGGAACTTGTGTATTCGCACCATTAGTTGAACGCCAGTCATACAGTACCAGAGAGATGTGAGGACAGCTTGTTCGCGTTTAGTATACTATCGGGCCGCTTAGTTACAAGTATAATCGCCGGTCATATGATTATTTCTTACCCACATAGAGGTCCTGTCATTCCAGTTAGTCCTAATTCTATCCAGGCCAAGACGGAATCTCGCTTACATTATGATAAAAGCAGGCTGCACGCATGACTCAAATATACCGAGAAGAAAGCGAACCGCCATTAAGGCACCGAAGTTTTGGGCTGCGGCTGAACAGGCGATAACGACACCCCAGAGGAACACATTGGCGGAAAGATATTTGGCGACGGGAAGTCGCTGAAGCAGTAGGTTAGTCGGATATTCGCCAACGAGGACACCCATATACAGGATCGTGCCTAGCCAACTAAAGACAACAAACAAGGCAAAGTCAACTAATGCGATCGGTGCAGACATACAACTTTCTGGTCTCACCTGTAATCTTGGCCTTGTAGGTTGGCATCTTTTTTAATGTTCATGACAGACGCGAAACCCAGCGTGCCTTTGTCTAAGGATTGACAAAAGTAGGTTCCCAGCATGGAAGCCAGGATACGTTTATTAACTGTCCAGAATAGCTTCTTGTTGGTTTCCTCATCGATGTGCGTGGCCGTTTCGCCGGCGTAGGCTGCGATCTTCAAATTGTGAGCCTGGAAAATACGTGGGTCAATATCAAGGGGGGTAGGGGTCTAACCTCGTTGTCTCTATCGATGTGATTAAGCTCATGGCTCTCGTCTACCGGGGCGATAGAGTTGTCATCGTGCTTCGTTTCCTGCTTAGACATCTTGTCTTGACTATTGCTGCAAGTCGCCGTCGTATGACACCATGTGCAAGTTCAACTCTGGATTATCGTCAGTCAAGGAGTGACCAGCGACAGTCAATTATGTATTCGCTCATCCAAGCAGAGGCTCTTAATTCCGGGGAAATCTAATGCGGAGAACAAGCTAGCAGAGCTGGGGAAAGATGGGGAATTCCACATGTCGCGGCGATGAGCTGCAACGATTATCTTCTGTGTTGGTAGTAGAAAATCGACAGACATGTTGGCGGGCGAAGTTCCGGAAGATCGTCCGACCTCCGTACAACGTTGGATGCCGTCGAATACCCCGGTAAAACGCGTTTACATAGTAAGTAATAGGTAATGGTCTAGACCTAGAACGTCTTTTCTAGTGATGACTATTTAGGGCAATTAAAAAGAGCTTCTCTCATAACTAGTCTAGTTAGTCTTCTTGATAACTTCATATGACACTTTCTCTCCTTTAGAGGTTGCCTTTGGTTGGTCTTTTAAGGCATGTCTAGGTTCATATATACATACCCGTACATATAATTTGGAAGCATCTCCAGATCCGAATGATCCCACAGGCCTCGGGTGTGACCCCATGGGGTTATCGGGAACGGGTTAATGGATTTTCGTCATCCGAAATCCGCATAAGCATGATGTCTCAATGTGAACTCATATAAAAGTGTCTACGGAGTATTAAGACGCACAAATAGAGTAGATAGATTCATCGTTGGAAGAAAAAGGATGGATGGGGGCACACCATCACCCATAGAGGCGCATTAAATGACGCGCACGAGTCATTACCGATAGGGAGAACGATCTACTAGGTACATTATGTATCGGTAAGTACCTTGGTATCTGCATATAATTTCAGCTGAGCCCAGGTACTCCCTAACTCCCTGTACCTAGCTACATAATGTACCCGGTCATGCCACTACACCGCCCAAAAAGGGAGGGATTCAATACTTCAATATTTAGAGGAATGATTGACTGCTAATATCCAGGATACACCATTAATACACGTATTTGTTAATGTATGATTAATACTAATATATGATATTTTAGTTGTAGGAAACACATAAAAGAAGCTTGAAATTTATTCCTTCGGCACATTAGGATGATTATCCCGGTCAAGGGTCTATAGATCGACGTTCCTACTTGTAGATATATATGTACCTATGAAATACATACGTCTTCCCCCCATTAAAGTACCTTCCATGGAGAAAACGAGGCGTGTCTAAGAGGACCCGCCAATCATCTAAGCTTACCTTGTCCACCTTCAGGGCTATCTTACTGTATCTCTCGGTACACTTCAGTACCTAGACTGGAATTGTTAAGAGACACGCGAACTTCATTTTTTTCATCAATGTCCCCGAGTTGCGGCTCGTGGTTCATTCACCAATAACCTCAATTAAATTCCAATGATGAATAAGTAATAATGCGACATTTATCGCTAGGTGCGATATTATTATTCGCTAGATATACGACGAGAATTTCCGAGGATATAGCAGACAGAGATGGATGATGAAGACGCAAGTCTTTCCGCGGATGGCGATGTCCAGCAGCGATCTAAGAAGAGACGTATCTCACGCGACGAAGATGTCGAAGGTCCTGCGTAGGTCATTCTATTATATCCAGCACGGCTAATACCTATAAATGTGAGAATGAATTCTAATTGACTATTAAGTTGTCAATCGTGCCGGAAGAAAAAGGCCAAGTGCTCACGACAACAGCCATGCTCTGTCTGTGTGAAATATCGTATGATTCCCCCATGAACATATCGAGCACGGATCTTATTTATTGACATATCTAAAATATAGGAACTCAATGTGTTTACGACGAAACTCGTTCCAAGCCCGGAATGAAAACCGGTGCCATTGAGAATCTAAGTCAGAGGGTTGGTGAGTTGGTATCTCAATTTTTTCATCACTGTTCCCCCCTCAGTTATACGCCACTTGTTTCATCTTCCCATTTGGGCTAATACCTCGTATCCAGCCAGCCTCGAGCAAATGTTCCTTGGACAGAGCATGCTATGGCAACAACTTTGGACTGGCCTAACGAGCAATGATAATGGGCACACAGGCCCCCACACAGATGCTCTACAAGCCCCGTTATCCTCCCTGAAGGAGCACATAGGACAAGTGAAGTCAAATTTGTCGCACTTGGCCTCCACCAATTCCTCGCAACTTAACAACGTCCCGGAGCGGCCTAAATCAAACCAATGGAATTCCAAATCGGCTATAAAAGATGTAACAGATCATGATCTTGTCAGATCTAGTGAATATGATGAAGATTTACCGCCCAGAGATTTGATTGATGCTCTAGTTGAGATTTATTTTGCAAAAATCCATCCATGGATACCCATGCTCCACGTCCGGGGTTTTCGCCAACGGATGGCCAATGACCGAGAGCGCCCACGATTAACAACCATATTCCACGCCATAGTTTCGCTCTGCGCTAGGTTTTCGCCCGATTCACGACTTGGGAACGCCGATGAGAAAGCTCGAAATGCTAAAAGAAGCAAGCAAGTGGTCTTGCTTCGGAGTATGGAATCCTTCTCAGTAGGGAATTTACAGGCTTTGATCATATGTGCCTTCGATACTCTAGGGAGTGGTCGAGGACCCTCAGCTTGGTCTATCGTTGGCTCCATGACTCGGACTGTGGAACAACTGCGGCTCAGTGTCGAGGAAGATGATCAACCCACCGCCGCGTCCGCCGAAGTCATGATTAAAAGAATGGCATTTCTACCCCCGGCTCGTACCTGGAGCGAGAGAGAAGAACGACGTCGGGTTTTCTGGAACATATTCTTGATGGATCGGTTTTGCAGTATCGCAACTGGCTGGAACTTCTCGCTGACGAGCGCAGATGTGAGAATGCGCTTGCCTTGCGAAGGCGCTTTATGGGAAGCTGGTCAACCATTAGCCACTCCTACTCCCTATTTTGGCGTTGCCGATCAAACGAGTTCCGTCAATGGCGCACTTCCTTCGGTGGGGTTGGGAGGCGATTCTCAGGAATCAATCGGTGGATTCGCTTATTGTATTGAAGCGACCGAAAGCCTTAGTCTAGTCACATCTTTTTTCCTCCAGCAAGTTATAGACATCACCAAGATGCATGAGGTCCAGATGTGGCTGATGAAATTCAAAGAGCTAGATTTACGCCTAGTCCAGTACGTTCTTTTATATTCTATTTCTCTTCCCCCCCTCCACACCCCCTTGCTAAGTAGATGCGATCGGTTAGTTTACTAACGAATGCTATTTAATAGATGGAAGCTATATCTTCCCGAGCAATGGCGAGAAGCCTGTGTTTTAAATCAAGATGGAATCATGGATCCTAACCTAACTCTTGCACATGTTACGCATAATACCGCAGTAGTTCTGCTTCACCAAAGCATCGCATATCCTATGTCTGATTGGCATAATAGCCGAATTCGATTACCTAGTGCTTCAAGCTCCGAGACCTGCCTAGCTGCAGCTACAGAAGTTGCTATAATAACAGAGAAGTTCTTACAAGACTCTACATCTCCGACCAACCCGCAGTTCGCATTCTGCCTATTCATATGTGGCCGTATGCTACTAGCACACGCATCTTACTATGGTGTTCCGTTGTCGAAGGACTTCGACTCCCTTGTTGGAAGTCTCCTAGAGATGTCTAGTCGCTGGAACGGCCCGTGGAGTGCACACGAAACATCGAACTCTATAGAAAACTTAGCATCCAAGTTTGCGATGCGCCTTAGACACGCCCAACGACAAGGCCCTGGCGCTATTGATATTAGACAGCCTGCATATTCAGATGACAACCGACTAGAACAAGAGTCCGAAGCACCGATCACAGTACCCATCCACGCGGAGCAGATATTCAACTCATATCCCAATTCTAATAACGCTCCTACCGCCATGTTCAACGGAGGTTTTCGGACAGACAACGTTGGAGCAAATAATGAGGCCTCCCCCGATAGCATCTCACTGGCGTTTCCTCCTCTACCACTTGCATTCCAACCAGATCGTTCAAACAAGACCCATACATCAGCGCCCCCAATAAGCTTAGCATCCTTACAGACTCCGGGGCCTATGCTACGAGACAGTAATCCAAATCACACCGGAAATATGGATTTTGGAAATTCCGACGTACTTGATTTCGAAGATCTCAACACATATTTGCAACAACCATTCTTACCCACGCAGAGAATAAGCATGTTTTCAGAACCCATGAATGGCCACAGGCCAACTTAACATTTCGACCGGGGAGAAAAGATAAGAATAAAATACCTGAGTGCCGAGTAGATTTTTCTCAAATCTATTCCGCCGAAGGGGGCCATTCAATGAGCAAAACACGAGGCCAGTCCGTCAAACCCTTGAAGAAAAACTACATATTTCAAAACGTCATCTTCGCTACCCATTCTAGACTTCTAACCTCTAACAAGGCCCTCGCCAATGCCCATCTCAAGTAGCTTATTTCCCACGAGCAGAAAAAAGTAATCCGCATATACTAGCCCGTGGTTCGCCCATCTGCGCGGGGCAAATTCATAGTTGTTGATCGTAGCACCATTCAGTATTGTTTCGGCGCCACTGCCCATATCAATTGTCTCCTTCTGGTTGCCCAGCCCCCTCCCATCAGGCGTCTCAATAAAATCATCATGCGAAACATATTCAGCTGGGCTGTTCACATGCGAAGTACATACGGCTCCTATAATTCGGAGAGCATGTTGCAAGTATGTGCTCGGTCGCCCAGCCGCAATCTCCGCTTCATGGATTAACAACATCCCGTAGCTGGCGATCATAGCTGCACTTGTGTCGGTAGGCTGCGGTTCATTCTTGGGTGCTTGGAAATCCCATGGCGGGATACCGCTTGGAGGCAAACGTTTGATGAAATAATCCGCGCAATTCTTGGCGGTTTCGAGAAAAGAGCCGTCTCGTGTCCACCGATAGGTTTGCGTGAATCCTGCGATCGCCCAAGCCTGTCCACGAGACCAACAAGACTCGTCCGAATAACCCTGGTTCGTGATGATCGATTTCATCGCACCAGTAGCCGGATCAAAATTGACCACATGAGCAGTCGAAAAGTCGGCTCGAACATGGTAGCGCTGGCTTAATTTGGCATGGTTTAGCGCCACTGCGTACATCTTGTCGTCTTTCAATTCCGCCGCAGCCCAGAAGAGCATATCCAAATTCATCATATTATCCTAAAAGAAAGAAAGAGTTCAATCAGTTTTAGTCCGGGTCGGGTTCATAACGAAAGAAACATCAATACTTACCACAATAACCAAGAAATTCTTATCCAGGTCCTGAAACGAGTATCTCTTAGTGACACATGTATCCCAAGATCTAATACATCCTACTACCGGACTATATCGACTCGCCAAGCTTTTCGCTGCTGTAATCACAGTATCGTACCCTCTTACATCATTCTCAAGTTCCCAGGCCGCTCGAGCCCAAGGCGCAATCATAAAACCGAGATCGTGCGTAGTTCTTATTGTTGCGTTAGGGTAGAGGCTCGCCGTCCACCATTTGCATGCGAATCTGGTCTTGGTTTGTAACTTGCTTCGCTTCGCGTAATAACGGCGGAACTTACTGCAATTGAAGTTCGTGTGGCACATGATCCGTAGGTGAAAGACCTATACGCCGAAGATTGTGCGCATACTTGCGTTGTCGCTCGAGGAGTAGGTAAAGACACCCTGGGAAGAACCCAGAAGTCCAAAAGTCCAACTCGCGATAAACATATCCTATATCCCCAGGTTTGGTGTATTCCGGGAACAATATCGGCGGGGTTGGCTACATCAAAATCAGCTGTCTATTCAAATATGTCTCATTGTCGGCTTACTCTCGAAAATGCTCTCTGGGCGACACCCCAAATCTTCGCGATCACATTTACCGAATATAATCTCTCGAAATGTGCGCCTGCGATGCCTTCGAAATTTGTTGTCGTATTTAAGCCATGGTAATTATGAATCTGTTCCAAGTCGTCTCGTGTGCTACGATTACGTTTCTGTTACACCATCTCATTAGCTGTAGCCTCTATCAAATATCTCTAGTACTAACCAAGGGTCTATCATCACGAGCGGTGTCCATCTCTTCTCGCATCTTTTCAGCACTCGATACTTCCGTTGTATTCTTCCTCTCGTGTTTAGTAATTATGGTTGTAATCGGTTCGCGAAATAGACGGGACAGCATGAGTTTGAACGTATCCTATTGCTCAGCAAGTTGGAGCTAGTGTCTGCTACCACCCGAAGCGCTCTTCAGTTCGTTTCTCACAACTGACAAGTACCGTCCGAGGTCTACGACCAATCCTTTAGGATGCAAGAAACAAAATACACTAAGAAAAACCGGCAGCTAATAATGCGGAAATTCACCAACCTCGTATCCATCGTGAGTTTAGATCAAATTATGGCTCAATGTCTTTACGGAGTGATATCCCGGCAATTAGCCCGTTCCTCCGGCCCATAAATTAGATATTGTATCGCCAATTTCTTGTGTTGTAGTGGGTCTGGGGAAATGCTGCGGAGAACCTCGTGGGGTGCGGTGCTAATAGAATAGGGGAATCGGGTCATCATTGTACATTCGGCTCTATTAAGGCCGTGGTTGTCCGTGTATACCAGCCGAAGTTGTTATCTTAATGAGGCCGCCCTTCGCGATAACTACAGCGGATCTAGCTAGGGACAAGCAAGACCGACTACCTCGCTTAGGTCATAGTATGGCTTCTTATCTTATTGCTCTTTTCCTCCTTCTCTTCTCACATGGTGTGGCCGCTACAGGCGGCCTCAATGGGCTGCCTGTATTGAATGGGATCATCCCTTCGGTCTCCTCATTCCCGGGGATGAAGACCAGAATTGGTCAATTTGTTCATCCCGGACTTTGGCACACACACGATGATCTGGAACGTATGAGGCTTGGTGTCGAAGGAGGCGAAGAACCCTACGCGTCAGCATTTCGCAACTTCAGTGCCGATACATACTCGGCGGCTAATGTAAGGCTTCCGCTCGCTCGTATCGAATAATCGTGTCCCTTAGTCTAACTCATGCAAGTATATAATCCAAGGGCCCAAGCAGGTCATATGTCGGGGGTCTTGCAGTAACTATACCAGTTTCTCTAATGATGCCCGTGCTGCATGGCAGAATTCCATCATGTGGTACATAACCAGGCGCCAAGACCACTGGAATAGAGCCACTACGATCCTGGATGCTTGGGGTTCAAACTTGACGGACATCATCGGCACCGATACATCTCTCCTCGTAGCCCTAGATGGTGATTTGTTTGTGAATGCGGCGGAGATCATGAGGTGGGAAGGGGGATGGGTGGAACAGGGGGCGAAAGCTTCAGGGACCTCGGGATTCGCCAATCAGCTTTATTGGTTGTTTGCAAGACAGTCGATCATAATAGGTCAAGCAAACTATGGCCTAGCGAGCATTAAGGCCTTACTTTCATTCGCAGTATACCTTGACGATGTAGCAATGGTAAGTGAAACACCAACCTCTCTCCTCTTATCTGGCTAACGATTCTACCAAGTATAACTATGCCCTCAATGCGTACCAGAACGATCTCTGTGCTGGTGTGCTCGGAAATTGGCATACGGAAACCGGGCAAGGTGCGGAAACTGGAAGAGATCAAGGTCATGCTCAAACAGGACTTGGTTGGGCTGCCGAGGCCGCCCGAGTCGTCCAGTCTCAGGGTTACGATGTTTATTCCCTCCACGACAACCTAATTCTGAAAGGTGCTGAGTATACAGCTAAGTACAACTTGGGATACGATGTACCATACGACCCAAAATTCTATCGGTGTGAGGCAATTTTAGTTAATGGCCCTTGGGACGCGCCTTCGAACATAAGCCGGGGTGCTGCCAGTGGACCGCATGTGTGGGATGTAAGGCGCTCTAATCCCCCGACGCTATACGGGCGGTAATGCTAACATTATAGATCTTCTATTACCAATATGTCGTCAAGAGGGGCATTGATGCACCTTACATTACGGAAGCAAAATCTGCCCATGACGCAGCCGGCGGAGAACAGACCGGTGAGTTTCGACATCAAGAATGGTGTCTTTAGTTCTAACAGACCTGTAGGAAATGGAAAGCTTTCAACAGACCATCCAATGTGGGGAGACCTCATATGGTCATATCCAAGTAAGGGGGATTTCTTCAACGACACCGGTCGTACAATCTGGGGAGGGGGTAAGATAGGAGCGAATGGTACCGGGAATCATAACTCATAGTACTAATAATCTGGGTATTAATATAAAAGAATCCCCGTTTGCGATACTTTCTGCTCAACGGGAACTTGATTTGGACCTTCAACCATCTAGACTGCGTGATCTCGTTAACCATATATTCCATGTCGTCTCAGTTCACTGGCTAAGTATGTTAAGGGTACTTTTCATGATGCAAGCCATCTTTCCCTCGCCGTTGATCTTACCTAGTATATACTCCTACAATTGTACCTAAGTACGTAGCAGTCAGCAGCAACGAGGCCCAGCGATTAAATAATCACATAGTTACTTTTAGCTACCTAGATAGAGACCATTGCATTGGGTTATAATTACTAGTTACACCATTTCACTTCCCCCTCTAACAAGACATTAGTAACAATTTGGTCTGGTGGATGGAAACATTTTGCAGTCGGATCTCGTCCGTAAAGGTCCCCAGGTTTTTCTTATCCCATATGTCCCTTATGGACACAGACTTATGTTTGCAAAATTGACGCAGTCCTGGCAACCCGTCCAATTTTATGCCAATATCCGTAGTCTTATTGCCATAGTTGAGGGCGAGGGCAACATATTGATGGCTCAATGGTCCTCCCCAGACTTGGATCGAACCTTCAGTTGATAGATCAGGGACGTAGCTAGCAGCAGCACCCAACCTGTCTTGGGATATAGCGATTACCTCCTTATTTTGCAAGATATTTAATGAAGATGCTGAGATATTCGTGATGTCAGCACCAATGATCAATGGCGACTTGAGAGCAGCCCAGAAAGAAAAGTGCGTCTGCTCTTCAAACTCGGTCATGGAATTGGTCCCTATTTCAAGCATATCCATATCAGCTGTTCAAAGGTCAGTTGGTTCTTGTCTATATAATGATATAGAAGCGCTACTGGCTATGACTTACCCCATGATCCAGGCGATTGGAAGGCAGAGATCTCTCTCATCTTGCGAATCATAGTCAGTACACTGACTCCAGCATAACCTGTATTCAGGCAATAGGCTGTCTGACACACGCCTGACTTGTCTGACGCGAATGACGCCTGAATATCTCCAGACATGCGGTAAGAATTCGCGATCTGGTCCGCCCAATACCAAGGAAACTGATGTCCCCATTGGCACAACGCATAGAAGATGTCGCGACCGGAAGTCTTTAATGCCTGGCCCATTTTTTGGAATCTCTCTTGGCTTGAGATCGTACCAGCCTGGAAACCACCACAGTTATCATACTTAAGGTAATCGATGCCCCAAGATGCGTATGTATATGCATCAAGTTCCTCGTAACCCCAACTTCCCGGGTGGAAGTCGCAGTCGTAAATGCCAGAGTCGCTGAGAAAATGAAAAATTCTTAGTCAGTTATCTAGATACATTTCTAGGTACGTGCTTTGTCTAGACGCGAAATCCACCAAAAAAAAAAAAAAAAAAACTTGAACAGGGCTTACCTGTATATCCCCAATTTCAGTCCCAAGCTGTGGACATAATCGGCGATTCCCTTGATTCCGGATGGGAACAGCGTCGCGTTAGCTTGCTGTTGCCCATTTGCTGCCCTTGTGTCGGTCTGCCAGCCAGCGTCTATCATCACATATTCATAGCCAGCATCTGCTAGACCTAGCTTAACTAATGCCGTCGCCGTATTTTTAATCGTGGATTCGTTTATGTTGGCCTTGAATGTATTCCAAGAATTCCATCCTACAGCTTGTGTAAGCGATACACGTTTTAAACTAGAATGGAATTATGGTGCATACCCATTTGAGGCTTCAATGAAGCATCCGCGACCGCGAATAGCAGCGCTTGAAGGAGTAGCAGCTTCATAATGTCGACTTTGACCGGTGTGATGTCTGGGAACGTTCCAATGGTGTCTTCAGCTGCGTGTGCTAGGAAGTCGGAGGTCCCTAGTACATATGGATGAGATTTGCGCCGCTCTCATATCACCTATCGCCAAGTCACCTCGGCCATCACCTCACCTTTCCATTAAATTATAACCTCGAGAGTAATTACACGAACATAACTCGAAGCGGCAGCGTACCCGAACCCCGGTTCATCCCCATGTCCATCCCCATGTTTCCCCCGCAACCCCGGACTTGCGGACAAAGCGCCGGGACTTTCTCCGGTTCGGCTTCCCAGCCAAATAGGTCTCGGCAGATTAATGAGGTCAGTGTCACTTTCCAAACTGTGAGCAATTAATAATCGCAAATGGTTTATCTTAATGAAATCGTCCGGTAATCGGGTCCGTGTTTTGGTGAGTGTCCCTCAAAGCGACAAGGTTAGATCTTCGTAACTAACAGGCAAATAGAACAACACGATGTTCGGCTTCAAGTCCTTTATTCTGTTATTGTTCAGTTATCTGGTACTGGCCAACGACAGCGCCAGGCTTCCTCTATCATATAGGGCCTCCCCTGAAGGCTTATACGGGCCGCCGAAGCCTGCTGGTTCCGTCTCTTTGCTCGACTATGTCAATTCGAGGACCGACCTTAGCGTCTTAGCCAAAGTTCTTCGAGATAGCTCAGGTAGGTTGGCCACGCCGTCATGAATGACTAGAAGATGTGCACGTAAGTGTTAACTCCTTGGCAGGTTTTACACAGGCATTCGATACCGTGCCCACTTGGAATTTTACCTTTTTTGCGCCCTCGGACACGGCATTCAACCACACTGGGGAGTATTTCAATACTTACGCGGAAACGCCAAAAGGAAAGTGGTGGCTCGGGAATCTAGTACAACATCACTATATTCCCAACTCAAAACTAAGTGTCTCCTCATTCTCGACCAACTACACTCGATTTCAGACGGGCACATTCCTTTATGTCGGCGCGCAGGTTACCGATGGGAACCTTGTTCTCAATCGGGCATTAAATGTAGTCGAAGCGGATATCTCGGTGACCAATGTAAGAGCGCGACGATATTGTTTCAATGACTAAGATAATTGCATCAAGCTGACCAAGTATCTTAGGGCCTGGTACATATTATTGATCGGATTCTCGACCCGTCGACCATGGTATTTGAGGGAGATATAGAAAAGACAAAGCAGAGCTTCATTGCGGGAAGTTGTTCGAATCCAGACTTGCCTTACTGTTAAGTATTGAAGCCATATTCTCTTATAGAATATGGGGTAGAATTTGGGGCGAGGGATGGAAGTCTGAAATTGAAGAAGCTGCAGATGAATATCTACCTAGGTACCTACCTAGTAGTTAAAATAATATTCAATATACCTAGGAAGGAACACTTACACAGCTAAAGCTACCTAAACGTATAAGTCTCTCATCCGTCTATTACCCTCTTAGCCTTTTCCTAGCCGTGTCAACATCAAACATATCCGCCCTACGATACCTTCCTACCGCTCTTGCTACCTAACCTAGTTCCTATTACAACATAAGAAAGTATGCGCGTTTTGAATAGACTAGTCTGTATATCAATTTTAGAAATTGTATTTTCTTGTTCGATTTCCGCGTTCCCAGTCAGAGACCAGGCTTCTGGAGCCGCTAGCACGGGGCACCGTCGTGCTCCGCCGATAGTTTCCGGTCCTCGTCGGTGGCTCAACGATAGTCAGATACCAAGCGATCCCCAGATATTCTGTCGCGAAGAATCCAAAACGCCTATTTACACAGGTAAGCCAGATATCCAGTTCAAATATTTGTATCTGGTTCTCTCCTCTAATTGGGGTCGCATCGCTGAGCATGGGAAACCATATATGTAGAGGGCGATGAAGACCTCGGTGGTCCCGGCGTACGTATCTGGAACCTCGATCCGAATAGCCACGGTGATGTTGAAGGGACTATGTACTTCCTCTACGAAAGCAACCACGACTTCGTGCCCTACAAGTACACAATTGTAAGCGTCTTTAATCTAAAATTGAGTCTTTATGTATCGCGACACTGATTAGACCCCCCTCGATCGCGTTTCTAGATCCTACCTTTCTCATTCGTATTTATTGCCGTGTGTCCAACGTTTCGTGGTCGGATCGTGCGAGGGAGTTACATGAATCTTGACGGGCGGAAGCATCTGCTTGGTACGTGGGCAGAAATCAACTGGCATGCCAACGAGACCGGATCAACATGGGGCGACATCTCGATACTACAGGGCAACGACGGAGCTGCTACGATCCAGTCGCTTGACGGCCTTTCCAGGGTTAAAGGGTTTACGCTCGACCTTCTTCTCAACGCACCGGCTGAGGCGTGGGCACAGAAACCAACGGGATCGTGGTGTCTTGACAGGATAATCGGCGAGGAGGCAAATAATGCGACAAAGATGTGGGAATCGGGTTTCCTGGATCCATGGAATGTGTACCTGGAGAATGATATTGATCCTGTCATCAACTCAAACAACGGGAGATTCCAGGTTACATTTTATCCCGGCATCATATAAGTAGACATGTCGCATCCACCTATTTAGAGCTGGAAAAATAATAGAAGATGGTTGAAACTTTCATTCATCATCGTTGAACATTTGAATTATGAAGGTGTAGAAATTGGACGTGGGGGGCGGGGTAGCTAGAGAAGGGCAGCATTGTCAGCTGTTTGCACTTGAGAGTCTCACCTGCAGATGCTCGTATACCTGCGGAATTTGATTGGTAGGTCCGGAGAAGGATCTCCTAATCCCCCCAACTTCTAATAATATCCTTGTAATTATGATCTCAATCGGGCTGGGGTGGCACGGGCCAGTATAGCGTCGCACGGACCATAAACTACAGAAACGCTACCCGCTGAACCCAATCAGTTGGGATTTATTAAATTGCTCCAGGGCCAAGGTTTAGCATTTCTGCAATACCAAGGTACATACCAAGTACATATGTGGTCTAAAACAAGCTACGATCGTATAGCCAGCCCAGTAAATTGTACGAGACATGTACATTCTATTGCCGGCTAACCGTTTTCAAGGATGTCGCCAAGCAGCCAAGACGCTTAAGCTTTAATGTAAAGGTTCAATCTTGACTCTTTTTCCTTAAGGCTCTCATCGCCTTCTTCATCTCATCTCGGTGTAAAAATAAAAATAAAAAAGATCAAGGAAAGGAAATAGGCTTTTCCCAGATTTACTATCGTATTTTCCCTTCGTCGCGAAGTTGTGAAAACGAAAATAATTCCCATTCTACACAAATCATGGCGATCCTCTATTTTTGCGCATAACTAAAGCATGCTGCACTGACATTGACACAGACACTAAACACTGATATACAGTACTGACATCACCATGATCTAACCTTGGAAGTCATGTGCTCTCTTGTTATTCAGTGCTTTAAGGGTACCTAGCTCGGCATAGTAGCGGAAAGCAAATACAAGCACGCGCGTGTGTGTGGTGGTGAGCGCTTTGGGATTTATCGAATTGTCTAAGATGGCGCCGCCGCCTCAGAAGCAGAAATTCGTTGTCTTAGCCGCCTGGTGAGTGTAACACTCCTAATAATAATAAGCCTGTTTTTATTTTCGTCTTATCTTATGAGACTATTCATCCCGTCATCCTGTCATCCTATCGTTCTTACTTTTGTCTGTTCGAGCAGAACTTAACAATTAACGGCGCATGGTAGTGTTCTTGGCCTTAGTACCACTTTCGTCTGGTCTCGATATTATAAGAGCGCAGCTTTTGGTATAGTAGCCCAACTTCGTCAGACATAGCTGTTGTCTATATATGCTAATTCAATAAATAGAGCGACCATTTCACTTCTCTATTCTGACTTTCCTCTTCTCGGGATTTACCCTCTCCGCCTATGCTAGATATATACTCCGTACCGAGTCAAGCTATGCGCCATTATCCAATGGTGATTCGCCAACAAAATCCTTCTTCTCTGGCATACTGAAATCTCCATTGCGACTTCGATCATTATCGCCCTCATTTGCGCTATTACTTTTCTGCATAATCGCTCGCACTGTCTTGTATTGGAGGACTATTCGTACAATCCACTGCTCGTGGGATGGACTTCAGGTTTGTGCCTATTAATTATTATCTTGGCGAAACGCCCGAAGGAAACGACTTCTAATAGTTACAAATAGGCTTTCCTTCCGTTTCTTCTTATCGTCCATGATATCCTCGACCTACGACCTATATATCTACCGAGACACGGACATGACGCACAAGAACGATCCGCCGCGGCTTCTTCAGCCTTTATGAAATATGCTTTGGTCGCGTTACTTTGGGGATTGGCCGCCACCGACACCCTCCTCCTCTCCGAGCGTACGACCGGCGCCATATGTCCCGCCAGCCCCCATATCGAACGTTTTGTCCCTCTAGCTCAGCTGTTGACGTTAGCCTTAGACGCGGTCTTCATATCCCAGGCTGGAAAGCTGCGGCAAGTTAGCGAGGGACAATCGAAGACGTGGCATTATCTGGGTACACTGTTTCTGACGTCAGCAGCTGTATTGACCTTCCTAGCTGTGTGGTCTTCCATCGACCGAGCTAACTTCCAATGGAACGTCTTGCTTACTTGGCTTGCTGTTGGGGACTTAATTGCTGATAGTATAGCTGTGACCATAGGCATAGTCTCGGCCGTTTACCTGCTTGGCTATTTGCATGCTACGTTGGTGAATTTGTTACTCACCGTGGCGAGTATATTCGTCTACCTACAATGGAGAATCGCGGATGGGACTATGATCAGGGTATGGTCTACCTGGTGGGGTCTTGTGACTGGCATCTGGCTGTTTGTCGGAGCCGGTCTGTTATTCCATTTTGGGAAGACTGCCACGACTCAACTACCGTCATCCAGCGAGGGTGTCATTTTTAGGAATCGCTATGCTTTTTATGGCTTGATAGGCTTTCTTTTAATCTTCACCCAAACTGTTTTCATGAGTCCCGGAGGATTCCAGCCAACGCCTGCTCTAACCATTGTAAACGCCAGAGGCGAGTCGGATACCTGGATAGCTAAGGCAAAGAAGAGCAAATCGCTCCAAGCAGCGACTTCTGAATATAGAGAGCGATATGGAATACCGCCGCCTCCTAACTTTGATAAGTGGTATAATTTCGCAGTCTCGGTAAACTCCCCAATCATCGATACATTCGACCAGATTCATGCGGACCTTCTTCCGTATTGGGGTACCTTACCAGCTGTGCTACGCCAGAGAACGACTCATCTTCTCGAGCATCCATCACTCTCCATGGGTGGCATCCTTATTGAGGATGGGAAGATCGATATATCTCCTCACATTCACGGTACTCATAGGTGGATGATGGATGTCACCAAAGAGATGATTGAGCCCTTTGGGCAATGGCTACCCGATATGCAGCTAGCCTTCAATCTCGATGACGAATGCCGTATCTCGGTTCCACTCGACCGCATGCAAGCGTACACAGAAGAAGGACTGAAGGCAAGGGCAAGGCTAGGCGTAAAAGAAACATTGCTCCCATTTAGCAAAGCTCAAGAACCGCCGTGGGTAAAGGACTTTCTAGGTGCTGACGAGAGCATATGGGATCATAAATCACCTTGGTTCCTGGAAAGATTCAAGCGCCAGATTTTCTATGAATGGATCTCGCCAACTTGCCCTGCCGATTCTCCGGTGAATAAATACCGTTGGTGGAATAGGAAAGCAGAGTGCTTGGGTTGTTCTGCTCCACACATGACAAACGGTTACGTATCTAATTGGACACTATCTGGTGACTTGTGTCACCAACCAGACCTCGCGTACCTGCATGGCGTTTTGCTGTCGCCATCCGCTATGACACCTTCGCATACGCTATTTCCCGTCTTCAGCCAAAGTCGGCTGTACAATTTCGCCGATATACTATATCCAAGCCCGTGGAACTTTGGCGAGAAAGTGGAGATTGAGAATAATAAGAGCATACCATGGGACGAGAAGCTGAATAGCGTGTATTGGCGGGGTGCCTCGTCCGATGGTTTCGCTGTTCATGGTGCCTGGCAGACATTTCTCCGGGCTAGATTCGTACACATGGCTGCTAACGCAAAGATGTCCATCAAAGCGAAATCATTATTCAATTTCATCCCTTCTCGAAGAGATATTCTTTCTTCATTACGCTCTGCGACATCTACACCCCCAGACAATCCGCCACCTGTGGATAATCGCGTGTCTGTAAACGTTTCATTCGTCGGCAATTTCAATCGCTGCGATGACCGCGACTGCGCGGCTGAACATATTACCTTTTACGGTTCACCTGCGGCCGAACCTCCGCCCTCTCTTGACTTCCAAGAACATTGGCGTCATCGCCATCTTATCGATCTCGACGGCGCTGCTTTCAGCGGTCGTTTCCTACCCTTCCTCAAATCCGCATCTTTGCCATATCGTGCGGCCCTCTTCCGTACCTGGTGGGAAGAACGCGTCCATGCCTGGAGACACTTCGTCCCACTCGATGTGCGGCTAAGCGACCTTTGGGGTGCTGTAGGTTATCTGGGCGGACCAGGCCTAGCCGAGGCGGATGAGATCGCGCAGGCGGGTCGCGAGTGGGCGTTCCAATCTCTCCGTAAGGAGGACATGCAAGTGTACATGTTTAGATTATTGCTTGAGTGGGGGCGTCTCGTAGATGACCGTAGGGAAGATCTTGGATTCGCGCTGTGATGAACTAACGGGCGTAATGAAAGATAGAGACCATAGGGTTGGCTATACGTGTGATACGATTTGCATATATGGGATGGATGGATCGGCGGATGAATGGAACGGTCTGGTTTCTTGGTGTTCGCTTTTTCGTTGGTTGGATGATTGAATTTTACACTTGATACCACTATGAAGGAGCGCATGGGGTAGAAATATAAGAATATACTTAATACCACATGCAAACATTTACGACAATCGATTTTTCCATACAATGGCGAGTCGTTACCTATGTGTTTTCAAATGCATTAACATATGATTGGTACACTGAAAATAAGCCACCAATTTCAGCTCCAATATAATTAAGTCATAATTCCTATCACAAGATACATCATGAGAACACAGAAGGAAACCAAAACATCAACGCAGATTCGAGAGAACAATCCATCAAATTAACTAATATGGTATCCCATCTCCGCGTCGGGAAATGGCTATTTATCCATCTTGAAGAAGACAAAGATAAAAAGGTGAGGGAAGAAGAGAAATTGTAAGATGATCAGTAAGGAGGTCGGTAGATGTGTGGTAGGCAAGACTAGCAATTAACTCCTCCCTTTCCGGTCCTGTTCATCGCCTCGAAGATTCTATGTTCCTTTCCCATTTCGTGAGTGATTCATTTCAAAGATCTTGTCCGCCCGTTTCATCGACGCAAGAGTGGTCCTTCATTTTTTAACGCCCCTATAGCACCCCTAACTTTCTCCCCTAAGTAGATTCGGTTGGCAGGGCACTTAGATACACGTTAGGCCTGTGTATCTTAAGATACTCGCCGGATACCTCGTATGTACGCAGGAATAACCTTGCCGAAACTAATATTTCTTGAAATATGGACATATGAGCGTAAAACAAAAGAGACCAAGGGTTGACGATAACAAGCTTTACGCCTTGCCAGCTTCTCGGACTCTAACCATCCATGCGTCAACCTTTTCCTGTTGGTCGGGTTTACTCCTTCCTTCAAGAGCTTGTCGCACTTCAACGATGGTATTAGCGCTGAGTAAAGAAGCTTCCACGTCCAATAATAAGGCAACTGCTGCGCGGATTAGGACGGCGTCTCCTTCGAAAACATATACGTCCCATAGTCGAGTACATTCATCAAGGCTGTAATGTCGGGTGAAACAAGACGTGAATATCTCGCCAAGGTAATCATCCGGCTCAAGACCCAATTCCGAATTTGTAAGATGCTTATGAAGTCGTGGGGATTTCGCGGCAATGGTCTGTAGGAGAAGATTGAATGCTGACGTTTTAGCCCCAATGTCAGAAGCATAAAAGGAAAAGAGAAGAGGACGGTTTAACACGTTGGCGAGAGCGACAAAGGCAGCGGCAGGAGTAGCGAGGTTAAGCAAGAGCATTGCGGCGATAGTCTATTTAGTTGTTGAGTTAGTACACAAACGCTTTAATAAGTTGGGATGAACTCACATTACAACCGAATACGTAACCAATGTCACTTCGGTACATAGCGTAGGCTTGAAGGACGTCGATCAGGCCCTTGTGCAACGGAGCACCAGCCTGGAAGATCTTGAGGTCGGCCCAAGTCCGCTCCTGGACATCGGTCTTGATCTGAGTAAACCAGGCCATCTTACGTTCATCTTCAACACTACCCTTGCCAGTTGCGCAGCGTTCCTCGACTTCACGAACTCTTGTCAGAGCTGCTTGGAATGACGTCTCCGTCAATCCCAATTCGTTCCCAATAGCTCGAGACCACACGGCACCCCGACTGCGAGGCGCAATGCCTTTCCACCATAATTCTCTAGTTCGTCTCTCGCGAATAGCAGCATCCCATCTCTTCATGACGTCTTCTTCCCATACTTGCATAAGTGCTTTGGCGGCATTATCCTTGGTGCGCTCTCTGCTCTTGCGCACAGCTTCTCGCTTCTTGTCTGCCTCAACACTACTAGCCATCATCTTCTGGTACTCCTTAATGTGTCTCCTCTCTTCGGCTGGATCTTTGGGTGGTAGCCAAGATGGTCTTGTTCGCGATAGAACTGCCTCTTTCTCCTTTGAGACGGGTAGAGGATCGATCATAATGTTTGTTCGTCTAAGAGGGGGAAGTTCGGCGAGTGCAGATTTTACTCGCGGTTTTGGTGCGGGTCGGTCGTATGCAGAGGGATATAGACCATGTTTGTTTTGTTCATCAGCATGCTCTTCCAGTTTCTCAGTGAGCGCCTTCGCTTCAGGACTCAGCTCTGATATAGCAGCAGTCCAGCTTTTGGCGCGAGTTTTGAGTGAAGAAGACGATGTTGACCGGAGCGAGTCAGTAGATGACATAGAATCGGTCTTCCACGTTGGAGATTTTAAGCAACCCTGGGCGACTGCAACAGCGGGTGTTCCATTACCAACGCTACGGACACGTTCTTTCGGTCGTCTTTCAGGAGATGTGGAGGTAGAGTTCGGCCTACTAGGTGACCGCTCCATCGGCGGGCGCGGAGATAGGGGAACATTATCTAGTATGAGATCATCCGGGATGTTGTCATCGTCGTCGTCGCACTCCTTTTCCAGATCAATCGCCGACTTCGGCTCTCGTCCCAATTGCCAACTACTTCGACGTGGCTTCGGCACAACCAAACCATTGTCTCGGGGACTAAGCGAACGGGCCGAGAGATTAACGCTTGGGCTGGGACTTCGACGGCGACGAGACGCAGTTGCAGATGAAGAAGATCGTACCGAGAGACCACGGATCGGCAAAGGACTTGATTGAGGCTCGGGGCCGATGCCCGTGCTGAGACTGCGAGTACTAGTATCACGAAATTGTGTGGTCAGGGTCGGAGCTCCAGGACGTGACCCCGAAAAAGAGGCTGCCGTACGGAGCTGTGGCCGCGGGCGCGGGCGAGCTAAGTCACGGGTCTGGGGATGAATCTTAGGGCCGACATGTTTTGTGGACGCAGCACGAAGGTCTGAGGCGAAGGAGGCGCTGTAAGGATTGGGAGCTGATTTAATCTGGGTATCACGGAAATGAGAATGGTCAATAGAGGCGACATCATCATCGAGCCCAATCTCTTCAAAGTGAGCAACATCTGCCGCAATGGTATCGTCACCCTCATCTGAATTAAATGAGCGTACAGATGACGCCCTAGAAGTAATAGCTGATGTAGTCATGCCGGGCGGTGATCCAGGACTCGGAATTGCGAGGTCGAGCCCGTCTGAATGTCCTCCACCGTAGGTCATGATCGCATGGTCGAGCATCGAGTGCTAGCTCGGAGCGATGTAATCTAGAGTCGTCGATGCCAAGTTTTACCTGACAAGAGAGGGAAAACACAAAGCAGAGGTGTTTGTCGCTGGTGTTTCGGTGGGGAAAAGGGACCGAATCGGATCTTCTTCGCACCAAGAGACGGATCGTCCGGATTTTGTCGATCTGCTATCTGAGGATCGTTTCTATGTATTGTCGACTTCGGGCGAAGGAATCAGAGCAGTCCGCAGGATGTACAGGAATAGTAACGGCAAGGAACGGACGAGTTTTGTGTCTAAGACGACGGGGCAGATCGTGACAATGCAGAACACAAGGTTTCGACAAGTTCCGAATGGTAAATGGGGAAAGTTAGGATGACAGTAGGAGTGAAGCCCCTGATCCGCAGTAGAGTCGATGTGGTTAAGGTGAAATGAGGCTTGTCAATTGTCTCACGATCCTAGTAAGGACGAACACCCCTACCTCTTAACGGCGTGGTGTCGTGTGTCGGATATCGGAGATGTCTGACAATTAAAGCTGATAATTATTCAAATTACGCTTTAGATATTAATGAAGATGTAATATCTGTATTCTCGTTCGTACAATGTCGCGTGTTTTTGTAGTAAATTGATGCTTGTAGATATGATTGACAACGATGATATTTGATGTTTTCAATGTTGATCAATTAGGTTCGAAGACACTTTACGATTTAGCAGCGCGAAGTCTATATGGTGTAATTCACAAGTGAGTTGGTATGTAGTAGGTAAACATATGTCGTTCGTGAGTATGTATGTAGGATGTCGATATGGTATAGGGTGGTGGTGGTGGTTGTAGTCGTAATAGGGCTGAGATTTCGTATCGCCGAGTGCGCTGACACGAGATACGATCAATGCAAGGTACGAGGTAAATAAAAAACGAGTGAATGGGGATTAGTTGTTGTTTGAAAGAATGGACGAATATCAATCAAGATTATTGATGATGATTATGATATTCTAGAAAAACAACAACAGGAAAAGGACGAGGCGGCTTGACCGGATAACGAGCGGATCCCCCTAATGCGGCGGAGAAAAGAAGAAGCACAAGGTTGGAACTTGGAAGGAAGAACAAGAAAGTTGTTAAGCGACGATGATGTTGTGGTTGCGAGATTAGAGCTAAGCCTACATCTACCTAGGTACCTCAGTACTCCCTTCCTTCAATGTTCAACCGTACCTTCCTTGGTACGTAGCGCGGTTAGCTGGAGGTAACCAATAAAAGGTGGGCTCCCCCTCTACTTTACCCCTTAAAACCCCCCCGGCCACGATGGAAGGAAGGAACCTTAGGCCTGATCGTCTTGACCTTGGAAATCTACAAAATTTTGTAGGACTAAAAGTCTTAAAAGAGAAAGGAGGTGTTAACCTATATATCGTAATTTCCTACTTGACCAATTAAGTCACACCACATTATCTTGGATCATTGGTGCACTCGACTATCATTTGGCATTAGCATTCTTCAATGCCAGCAGATATGATCAATACACTACTCAATATTACTTCATATACACCCACGTTCCCCTTAATGAACCTACACACGTACATTAGTGGTAATATTTTTACGACGATAGGTACACGTACATATACATATGCATAAAGTTAATTATTACATTACGCATGCATTAGCTAAATATTGTGCATGCATATATATATATACCATAATTCGACATTCTAACAGCGATCCGCAACTCTGACGCAACAAATTCATAAACTTGATGGCTGGATAGAACTATATACATAGTTGACCTTCTAATTATCAAGTTTACAGCGGAGTATCCAGGTATGTCGTGATCTTGCATCGAACCTAAGTACCTAAACAAACCACAATAAAACAAATTCCAGGCAAGCCAGCTAATTCTACATAAAGTAATAGTACCCTAGGCTATGCTAAGTGCTAAGTACATCCACTACCTAGGTACATAGGCACTTCAAATGAACCTCAAGTTAGTTTCACATGCTTAATACACGGTGCATTCGACAGTATATGAAGGCACAAAATCTCCATCTTTACATATTTTATGGCGATTGGGGAATACTCGTGTAATCGGAGTTTAGACGGTTCTACTAGACCTGTAGCTATCCGCTCACCCTTCATGCTATTTGTATCAAATCACATTAAATGCCTTTACACTGAACGCCGCTCGTTGCCAACCGTCCACCACTTTTTCTTGCGGTACGCCCACCAAAACTACTAAGGGACGATCTCTTCGCTCTCCTCGAGCACCTCCTCGACGATCTCCTCAATCACCTGTTCCTCACCATTCTCAGGCAATTTAGCATCAGCCTCGACTGGATGCTTGGGCAAGCCAAGATCGAGCCTCTCTTCCTCAATTTCTTCCTCGACCGATGCGCGCCACGCAAGCCATTCGTCAAGCAAACGTCTTCGGGCTTCGACCACTGCCAAGTCTGCAGAGGCACCGCGTTCCGCGTCTTCTTGTTCGAAGATCTTGGAGTATTCGCGGAGATTCTTGCGGATCTGCTTCTGCTCGTCCTTTGTCAGGAGAGTAGGAGGTCTAGGCCGCCATAACCATTGGCGGAACTTGTCGACGGGCTCCTCTCGTAGCAACTCGCCCCTAAAATCGTAAACGTGGTATCCATTTTCCATCTACCGCTCGCCATTAGCACTGGAATAAACGTAGAATTCCAAACTTGAAAATTGCCAAACTTACCGTATGTTTCCAGACGGATGCCCAAGAGGCAACAAAACGACCCGATGGGTCCCATTGAATATCAGTAACACCGTAGTGGTCTGCTGTGTTCATGAGTTGCAGATTAGCGGTAAGATCCTTGTCACTTTCCGGCTTCTCGCCCTCAAAGTCCAGGTCGAAGAACTCGAGATCCGAACTCTGCTGGTTAGCAACCGTAGCAACAACAACGAAACGACCTCTAGGAGACCAATAGATAGCGTTGCTGTTCTTCTTCTCTAGTGTGCGCAGATGCTTGAAATTGCCAACAGCCGAACCCTTGGCCTTCTCGGGGCAGAAGAACGCTACGGAGGTCTTGGGAGCGACAGCCGTGGGGCCGGTTGGTTCGGGAGTTGTGATAATGACGAAACGATCTCCCTTCGGCTCCCACGCGAAGTTGATAACCGTGTCTTTGATCGTGTCAACGACTTCAACAGGAACACCCTTCTCTTTAATACGGAAAATCTCGAGAGTGGTAGCTTGTGACTTCTTGGACTTGGAATGTCGGTCAACCTTCACCGAGAGATATGTAGCATCAGATTGCCAGTGTAGTTTGGCATCGGTAACACTGAAGAGATTCAACGATCGAACAATCTGCTTCGAAGGCACACTCATCAAGCCGACCTTGGCGGGATTGCTGCCAATCTCCGGTGTCCAGAAGCAGAAGAGCTGCTCGTACTGTTTTACTCCTTCTCTCTGGGGGGTCGAAGGTGCCCATTCGAAGTCCATAACTCCCTCGATCTTAATAGTTGTCTTATCTAAAAGACCCATTCGAGGTAACTCATATACAGATATCGAAGAGCCTTGGGTCATTCTTGCCACATATTTATCATCGGAAGACCATTTAAACGCCGGCCAGGGAAATTTGGGTTGTTGCTTCGCTGGCGCCGCATGGGGGTCGTTGGTGTTAGGTAGGTCGAGGTTTGCGAACGATCGAAGTGGTTTGGCGGTCTCTACGTCCCAGATGACATAATTCTTGCCGTCCTCGTCTATGGACAATTGGGGATGACCCTCATCGGGTATGGAGATGGGCCTGTTGGACCATGTGACAACATACTTCTCGTTTGGCGAAAAGTCAAGCATGTTGACGAAGGGATGCGCAAAACGTTTTTGTCGAGACCACGATGCACCACCCCAAAGCTGAACACCTTGTTGATGGACGGATACTAGAAATGTTCCTAAAGGCGACCATTGTACAAAGCTCTCTGTCCAGTGCTGTCGATCGACAATGTTCTCGGGAGCCTCTTTCTCATTATTCCAGAACACACCGACAACATCGCCACGGTACATGGCGAACTGATCACGCCCACGACCACTCGGATCAGCTAGGAATGAACGTAGGTGCTCCTTCTCGGTGAACTCCTCGATCTTAGGAGGAACATAGTTCTCATCTACACGTCCTTCTCGGCCGTAGCGGTCGATGTCCGTCATCTTGTTGACTCGTAGGGTATGCTTCTTGTCGAGAGGGACCATGTCGAGCTGTCGCACAGCAGCTGCTGCTTCAGCGGGGGAGGCATATTCTACAAAGGCAAATCTAGAAAATCATATTAGTTTTTAAATATTTTGCCTTCAAAAATGTTTTGCGATATAGAATAGATAGCTCAGTTCCAAGCGGGTAGGGTGGAAGGATAATATCGTACCTAAGAGATTCACCATTTTCCATGGGCATATATATCTGATCCTCTTTCGTCTTTCCTACTTGGTTAAGCTTCTTCAATAAGAATTTAACCAGTTTCGGCTTCTGTTCCTCATTCACCACGGGTAGGCCATCGATAACGACAAAGGTATCGTAGCCTTGCTCTAGCTGAACTTCGTATTTTTCGCGCAAATCGGAAATGTCGATCTCATCCTCATCGTAGTCGTCTTCATCGACGTCTGCGTCGCGCAGGTGATCAAAAGACGGCGCCATATTGGGTCGTCGACAGCAAGATATTCGCAAAGGTTCTAGGTCGGATCGTGGGGTTGTGAGAGAAAAAATGCCCCGCCTTTAGAAATGTGTCGATAGGTGAGAATGCGAAATTCTCGGAAACTGATTCAAGTCGCAAATAATAGTGCGAAACAAGAATTTTTATGTTCTAGTGTCAATAAATCTATCGATTCGAAAAATACCACGCGAGGCGAGGTATCGCGACTAAATCTCGATTGTCGACCTTGAGTGGTAACTAGAATGGAGATTGGGGGGGGGAATGAAAAAAGAATGGTTGATTTCTTTCGTTCACGGCCAATATTTTTTTTACAGGTCCCTAAGGTGAAAAAAAAAGCCCCAATTGTGTGTGTGATCCCCGCCAATCCGCTTATCGCCTCCGTGATAACGCGTGATTGGCTTGTTATCTTATGTAATCAAATACCCAGGCAACTGCCCCTGAGCAGTGAAAACCAAACCCCACCTTCAGAACTATAAGCTTTACGTAGTAGGAGCCCGAGCACCTCCCAGCTATAATTCTCGGCAGCACGTTTTTCCCTTAAGGTATTCCCCCGCCAAAGAAAAAAAAAAAAGTGTTTAGGTGCAGCCCGCATTTACATCTGAAGCTCTCGCCAGGCCCACCATCACCATTAAGTAGCGGACAATACGAGACAAGTCTTAAGTTTCGACGAGGAAACGTACCACAACAAATCAACTTCTTACTTAATTGGTACATGATTAAAAGTGGTTAATATGGTATATATACAAAAAACAACACATTCATTACGAGTTTCTACTGACCAAATGCTTCATCTAGTCGTCGTTCAGTCCTACTCAAATCTTCGAAGAGGGCACCACCGAAGAGAAGGGAGAAAATGCCCGTCTCGCCGCCTTCGTTGGCGCCATCGCAGTGGGTGATTTGGTGAAGAGTACGCTTGGCCCCAAAGGAATGGACAAGATCTTACAATCAGCGTATGTGCCAGCCTAACGTTTGATTTCTTATATGGCCAGTATGCTTTGACTAACAACACCAAGTTCTACCTCCGAAATCATGGTTACCAACGACGGTGCCACCATTCTTAAGTCCATAGCCCTCGATAACGCCGCAGCGAAGGTCCTCGTCAACATATCGAAGGTCCAAGATGACGAAGTCGGAGACGGTACAACATCGGTGGCTGTATTAGCAGCAGAGCTCCTACGAGAAGCCGAGAAGCTTGTCGACAAAAAGATACACCCCCAGACTATCATCGAAGGCTACCGGATAGCAAGCCAAGCAGCCCTTCAAGCATTAGAAGGCTCTGCCGTAGATCACAGCAAGAACCCCGAAGCTTTCAAGAAAGACCTACTCGCCATCGCACGCACTACACTAAGCTCTAAGGTACTCGCCCAAGATAGAGACCTCTTTTCGAAGCTCGCTGTCGAGGCTGTACTGCGACTGAAAGGATCCTCCGATCTAAGCCACATTCAAATCATCAAGAAGGCTGGTGGGAAGTTGAGTGACTCCTACTTAGATGAAGGGTTTATTCTCGACAAGAAGATTGGAGTTAACCAGCCCAAGCGACTAGAGAAGGCCAAGATATTAGTCGCTAACACATCTATGGATACGGATAAAGTCAAGATCTTCGGCGCGCGTATGAAGGTCAGCTCCACTGGGAAGTTGGCCGAGCTCGAGAAAGCCGAGAAGGACAAGATGAAGGCTAAGGTTGATAGAATCAAGGCGCATGGTATAAATTGTTTTATCAACAGGCAACTGATCTACAACTGGCCCGAACAACTCTTTACTGACGCCGGCATCATGTCCATCGAGCACGCCGACTTCGATGGTATCGAGCGCCTGGCTTTGGTCACCGGTGGTGAGATCACATCCACATTCGACCATCCAGAGCAAGTAAAGCTTGGCCACTGCGACTTAATCGAGGAGGTCATTATCGGCGAGGACACCCTCATCAAATTCTCTGGCGTGGCTGCGGGCCAGGCTTGTACCATTGTACTTCGAGGTGCTACAGAACAGTTGCTAGACGAAGCAGAGCGTTCACTACACGACGCGTTGGCCGTTCTCTCCCAGACTGTCAAGGAGCCGAGAACAACACTGGGTGGCGGGTGCGCTGAGATGCTTATGGCTAAAGCAGTAGAAGGCGCAGCGACTCGAGTAGAAGGCAAGAAGCAAATGGCCGTATCATCGTTTGCCATTGCTTTACGACAGTTACCGACCATTCTTGCCGACAACGCAGGATTGGACTCTAGTGATCTTGTCGCTAGATTGCGGAAAGCCATTTATGATGGTATGTCGACCTACGGTTTAGATCTGATGGCACCTGGTGGAGGAATAGCAGATATGCGAGACTTGGGAGTGATCGAGAGCTACAAGTTGAAGAAAGCGGTTGTATCGTCGGCAAGTGAAGCCGCAGAAGTAAGTTGGGCCCCTATATGTTTCTATCGGCGTAATGTCAATGCTAATACATCCTAGTTACTCCTAAGAGTTGACGACATAATCCGAGCAGCACCACGGAGGAGAGAAAGACACTGATGGAAGTCGCATGCAATAAAAGGATGTAAAAGTAACATAGACTAGGCCTTAGACCATGGCAATACCCTGACAGAATGAGCAGCTCGGCTTGTCTAGTACAAATACGTCTTCGTGTGAGATAATATTTGCGATGATCTTTATATGTACCTAACTCGGGTAGGCGATAGGACCACTCTCGGACTAGGTATGTGTGACGATATACATATGGGTATTGTGGAGGATTACAGGCAATGACATCCTCTTAGGCACGTTCGGGTTAAAACTGAAAACTCTTTAAGAAGGACGCAGTTCTTCGCATATCTAACGATCTTCCGATTCATCGCCTATTGTTCATCTTCTACCAAGCAATGCCGCGATAATGTATTATAGTACAAGCACTGACATCTAAACATCGAGCAAAGTTCCTTAGATATAACCCCATCTTCTGGTAGCACACAGTATAATTTGCTGACACCGAAACTCCGACAAAAAGCAACTTGCTAGGCCCATTTTCAAGCTCTAGTCCACGAGGTAACGAGTTCATTTATTCTACGTAAACTTCTTTTAATAAAAATGGAGTTTCATACGTGTAGCTAGGACCGCTACAAGCATACGATTTGTATAACCGGGGCTCCCGGGTAGCAGCGCTAAATAATTTCCAAGGGTTTCTAATTCTAAAAAGCAATACCATGGTATATTTCCTATTACGTGCGCAGGTGCCCCAATTTTAAGAGAGCGCTAATCATTATGGTCGACATCTTTACCTGGGTAAGCACCGCCCGCGGAATTAATCACATTTGTTCTAGTGCCACATAAGGAATACATCAAGGTTAGTTATCCTCGAAACCATCAGCCTCACTTGCGGGGGTCTAAGCTTTTCAGTCAGGCAAGATGGTTCACAACATCGAGTTCAATCGCATTTATAGAGAGTAGTAAGAGTGGGAACGAATAGAGGACGTGATGGGAACTAGTAGCCGGGGGGGAATCGCTTCGGCAGCGTCCTAGTTATCAACTTGAGGCAGGCAAATTAAGTGCAAAATACCTACAGGTAGGCAAGTAGGACGGCGAATCTCACGCCTGAGCAACTGCCATTAAGTACACCCGGCTGTAAAATTTTGTCTATCTACAAATCTCGGTTAATTGTATACATACAGGGGATATGCTCCAACTCCCAAGCTCCCGGTACTAGATTGGTAAAGAGATTCAAAAGTGTATACCGTGCGGTGACTACTGTAACACAACAACAAGCCTTGTAAGATGTTTCAGTTCTAGGATGTTTGTCTGAAGTGACAGGTTATATCTGACAGCCAGGTTCTCAACCAATGGATCATATGATACTATGGGGGGCATCTTATGGTCGAATCGTGAAAGACGTACTCGAACTGGAGGTCTCGATACTTGCTTTATATATTAGTTAAAAAAAACTGCATGACAATCTTCTTGTCGTGGGCGAGTTGCTAGGTATTCTACGTAGGCTGTCCATCTATAGCGTGTACCAATACCTACTCTAGCACCTAGGTATTCATTAGGTAGTCGTATATCTTGAGGTATTGATACATAGCGATCAACCGTGCGGGATGTGTACTGCGTGTTGCTTTTTCTCTTGACGACCAGGTCCTTAAGTGGTAGCTAGCGTAATCGCGGAAATACTGGGATTAGACGTTCCGCGTGTCTCGAGACACGTCGCGGTCGACAGTTCCATTCGATTGGACCTACCCTGGAACCGAAAGGGGCCGTGTATCGATGCAGGACTCGGTTCTCCTTACGACTTTCTTTTGGCACACAATTTTTTTTCTCCCCCGTCTATGTAAAAATTCCGAGAGGACATGCCTTAACACCTGAACTCTTAACATTGTATTCTCCTTAATTGCTCACATTCTGGTGATAAGAGACTGACCCGAAGTTTGATGGTTGTTCTTCTCATCAAGAACAACCCCACGCAACATTAACACGCGGAATTCTCTTTCTAAACTGGAGGTTAACGTCAATCATTGGCTACAATGGCCAATTCTAGGAGAAGGAGTAAACGAAGGTCAGTAACTTCGGATATCGTGGCCTCTGATAGTCGAGGGTCGCCGTCCATATATGGTAACCAGCTTGCCTCTCCTCCATCGTCATCAGGTCTATTTGTACCATCAAGTCCTTTGGTGGAACAAAACCAGAATCATGACCATCCCACAGACTACCCGGACAATGTAGAAGATGGTCTCAATGGTTCCTCAGAACCAGTAATAGTAAGATATTGGAACATACACTTATGTTGCCAGCTGAGTTATTAATATTCAAGTAGGTGGTTCCAGAAATGGTCGCCACACCATCGCCGAATACGGAAATAACATCTCTCTCTCGCTCACCTCGAACCCAGCCTATACACCAAGAAGTGCTCGAGCCCGGCGCATCCATCAGTTCTAGTTGTCTGTCACGCTGCGAGAAGGTCAAGCTTCTTCAGATCACTTGTAGGCACGGGCCCAGGCTCTTACATTGCCCAACTTCGGGGAAGCATGCTGAAGAAGAAATGTGGACATCGATTATGGAAGAATTCTCTACCAAAGTCCGAGCTGGTTTCTTCTCGAACTATGCCCAAGTGAAGAGAATGAATAATAAAATATGCCGTAGTCGGCGACGGAAACACATGAAAGAAACTACCCCATCGGAAATACGGTCGGACGACCTTGCTACGTGGATTGATCGATGGGTGCGAGTTTGGAAATATCGGGACCTAGATGTCAATATTGCCAAAGCCATTCAATCCATCCGCGAAACAATGGGCGAGAAACGTCTTAAGCGGATTTTCCGTGATAGAATAGATGGGGATGAGTTGCCCGAGCAGCTTAGAGAACTTATATTTTCAGCTCCCCTATTGAAAAAGATTCGGAAGGGAACCTATGCTATAGAGCGATCCGCGAGGAGTCGTCGTTGGTCTCTGTTCCCCAGCGGAGTAGAATCAGATTACACGGACGAAGATGATATGGAAGATGATGCAGGTGAAGAAGTAATAGAGGAGGAGCCGCCACTACCATCGATCGAAGAGGACCACCGGAGTGGCCCATATTTCGTTGTGTTGGAGGATTCGGAAGTGATCCCTAATCAGCGGGTTGAGAGGGAATCGGAGGTCATAAATACACGACCAGAAACCCTGGAAAGGCTTAATCGGCTTGGAGAAACCTTCGCCGCTGGACTCAAGAAAGCAGGGGGGGCGATGGCGGGTAAACAAGTTTCAGTTCTTGAGTTGGCACAGAGACATGAAGAAGAATGTCCACCCTCACCGGCAAGCGCCCCAAGTCCACCAAGAGTTGTTTCGGACATTATCACGCAACCTCAATCGGTGGCAGTCGACCCGGAGGACGTTACCATACCATTCGCAGCTTCGCCCTCCGGGCATGTAGGGGGATTCGAAGTTGACCCCTTAACCTCCTGTCGTGCCGGTCCATCGGGCCTCGGACAGGCACCACATCATGAAACTGGAGTCCGGCGTGGCACTGGCACCAATGCTGGCCGAACACAGCCTCTCGAACCTGGTACATATCGTGCTCACCAGAGCATTATATTAGGCTGGCATGCTCGCCAGATAGTGAAAGCAGGGGCGAATAACACTGCTGAGCGAGACCATCGGCAAAGCGTATCGGCTACCTTCACCAGGAGCGGCCACATGAACCTCCGGCTTCGTCGTAGCAACATGCAGGGGAATACGGTACCGAAAGGATCCCGTCTTACCGGGATAATATCTGTTTCTCTTAAGGATGTTATGCCCCACCCTCTATACTACGGTATGTCTAATGATGAAATGCGTATGGAGGCGGGTCGCCAAAGCCTTAACGCTGTCAAACAGCGCATCACCTATCCCTGGGTACCGACAACGGCGACCGAAGGTAGGGGTTTAACTGATGATGAGCTACGGCCTGCACTAGAGGTGGTTGATAGGCCATATAACGGCGAGCGAGAGGAGAACAGTACCCAGGAGTCAGAACATCACGAGACTGTAGCTTTAGTATCTCAGAGCCATAGGCCCACCAGCCAAAGCGAAGTCCAAAACACCGAAGCGAATTCGCAATCTTCATCGCAAGGTACGGAGGGTTTGCGCGAGCCTGGCCAAAGACAGTCTCTCGTAGCCTGCTCTCAGAAAACTGTAGATAATCAGTCGAATCGACCGGTACGAGAATCTCGGGAGGCCTCGAATAGGGATGATCCACCTGCTGTGTCGAAGAAATCCCTCGCGAACAAGAAAACACGTCGAAATTCCACAATGGCAGGGAGGATTCCGTCTCGGAGCTCAGCCTCGGGGGAACCTAACCCTAAAACTAAGAGATATTTGAACAAGAATAGGATCACTCCCTCGAGGTTTTATGGGAGTCAAACCTCGGAGGATATTGTTGAGGATAGTAATAACTTAGCTCAGCAGTCTATTACTTCGCCTCAAGTCATTTCTGGATCGACGCATCAAACCGCCAGCTCCTCGCAAGCTAAGGGAAAATCACCGATACTACCCACGTCGATGACTATCACTTCATTCAGCGACGATTCTGACTGTGAAAGTTTACCTACGCCCAAGGAGCTGGTGAAAAGATGGATGGTCAAACCTAAACATCGTGACGATGTATCTACTCCGCGACGGGACCAGAGAGAGCGCCAAGGACCTGAAGATACTAGCAACAACATTGGGCACGCGGAAACCAGCACAAATACGTCTCAAGAATCGACTCATACTTCGTCGCGAACAGATGCGCACAAAAACAAACCAGAGGATACTATTACTCCATCAAGAGAGACGAGTATCGGAGTCCGACAGCCCGAAGATGGGTCGGGGGATCGGGCAGTTAGCATCCCTACCTCGATTCGCTCACGATCGAAGAAGCGTCGATCTACGATGGTATCACCATCAAACCCATCGGGCGCCAAGTTGGCTGAACCATCTAAATTGCTAGAGCTTCCAGAACCAAGCCCTCCGGCCAGGGATGCACAACGTCCGCGAACGAGAATGCAGCTGCCCATTCGTGAACCTGTAGCGAGGTTTAAGTCGATACTTAGGCCAGGTAGGTTCACAGATAGAAATAGTCCCAAGCTCGACATGCGTTCTTCTAGCAAGAGTATTTCTCGCAACGAACCTGGACACTCCAGGAGCAGCCCCGGGTATCAAGGCACGAAGCCTCGGGTGCAGGATCAGTATCCAATGCCTAACGAACGGCCACCAGTGGGAAATTGGGGCTGTAGGGCAGCGAATGGGGAAAGGTGGATGGGGAGGAAAAGTACGCCTCGTCGCCATTCTCCATATGAGCTACCAGGACCTGACATACCGAGACGTGGGTCTTCGAGAGCCTTCAGGAGAAGTGGCGGCCAACCAGCATCGGCTGAATATAGGGATATGTCTGTTTCGTCGCTATCTCCTGCGGCATTCTCAAAGCAATGGGGGAATAGTAGGGGTAGACGACGACGTCAACAGAACAAGAAAACCAACGACAACAATAGGTTTCTAGGAAGAAGCTATAACGAACATAGTGGATCGTGGAAATCTCAGCCTAGGGAGGAAGTTGGGACATCTTACGGCATGAACGCGTCCTGGTAAGGGAGAGAGGGTCGGCTGGGGGATTGCTCATAATCGCAGTTAACATGACTTGAAGGCAATAATTCAGACGGTGGGCTTGGCCTACGTATTCTGGAATTTGTCCTAATGGCCACTGTGTTACGAGAATCCCTATAGTGTATGTACCTAGTGTTTCTGGTATATAAGCGTATAAAACCAACGTCGCACGGTCCGCTGGAGTATGCTGCAGTGCCATCTTAACACTGCGCGGGTATGTATACGAATGTATATCGGGTAAGGAGCACGAAAACGGCTTTGTTCCTGTTCGGACAGCTATCCGACGGGGGTGAACAGACCCAATGATATCAAGATACTGTGGCAATAGGGGAGATCAAATTCCGGGGTATTTCACATGTAAGATGAAATTGTGAAGTACCTCGGAAAGACTCAGTGTATGTCCGAATCAAGATCACCATTTAGTATGGTAAGTATCTGTACGGGTTTATAGTCGTGGTATGTCATGGCTTTACTTTTGGTCTTTCTTCCGAGTCAGCGTCTCATAATAGTAGATCAACTTACTCGATGCAGATACAGATGCGCTGGACGTGGAGGCTGTAGAGGATATCATTGGATCGATATCATTAGAGCTTGAATTGACCTCGGGCGAACATGATGATAATGTAGACCATTGCCGTATATGTATAGTGGCTTTCATCATGAGAACTCACGCCAGACACATGGTACCTAGGGATGGCAGCGAGGTGTGTGATGACGGGAGTCTGCGGTGTCTGCGGTGTCTGCACGTGGATAAACCGATTGGTAAGAAATTCTATTTAGAATGGTACATACCTAGATACATCTATACTCGGGGAATGGATTAGGGTTACAAGCTTGCAGGGTTGTAGGGTTGCAGGGATCTACATATCTCAACAATTGATTAATTTAGTAGGACAAGATCCTAGGCGATCCCCAACAGAAAAAAAAAAAATAGAAAGAAAAAAAAGTGACGAGGACCCAAGGAAGCGGAGAATACCCCATTCTGGAGAGCTAAAGTCTATTCTAAATTGGGGAATCCGCTTTCCCCTGATCGAGTTGGTTTGAACCCTGCAAACCACGCATCGGGAACATGGAAAATTCAGGGGCATGTGAATCTTGCGCATGTATAAAAGTATAGGCCCTTGCATTATTGCATATCTCGGTACTATGCAATGTTGAGAAGTAAAAAAAGGAGAATGAAGAAGAAACTTTTGTCGGTATTGTATGATAGTAGGGTATGTGTAAAAATAATCGGGTAGAGAGTGCTTCTACTTATTATATGTAACACCTGGGTACATATGTAGGTAGGCATGGGGAAATAGGATATTAATGTACACACATCTACAATATAGATAGGGGAAGTGTGGTAGATGTAAGATAAGCGTAGATCGGCCTAAGAGGGATCTTAGACCCGGAAATGGTTACTGGTATCCTGTCATGGGTACGTATTTATACATACATGCTAGGGAAAGGAAAGGAAATATTAGGGAAATGCGTTAAATCTGTATGTACGCAAGGCGGACAAGCAGGATGGTTTCTCATAAACATCTCGCCACATGTCATAAGCCTATTTGCTTCGTATTAGAACTTCGAAATCGGCGACGCTTCAATATGTTCGTTATGGCGCCCTTGCTAGTGCCATTTACGTCCTCTGTCCCATCGCCCGAGGACTGGTATTGGTCGAACGATGGCTTACATTATATTGGCTGATGACATACGACGGTGATGATTCTTCTTTTTCTTTTTTTTCTCGGCATTCTGCAGCCAGCCGGGGGGAATGTGTCGAGACAGGTTGGCAGGCAGGCAGGCAGGTCCGCTTCGCGCGGGGTTAATTCTGTTAGGGATAAAGGGGACACCTGAGTAGTGGACAGCTTCGTCAGTTGTCACGGCTTGTCCGCTGCTAAGGAAACAGTCGAGATGGTCTAATAGGTCGATCAGAAAGTCCAGCCGACCGGCGCCCTACCCAAAAGTGACAATGTATGTAAGAATTGTGTAGTCCAATACCTAGGTACAGTAGTATAAACTGTCGCAAAAAAGGGCAACCTGACCAGTTTGCGGCGTTCGTATTGCATAACATCGGTAGTATATAGGTACAAATGTGTGTGATCTTCATGTCGTGCTGGGTCTAGCCCTGCTGATAGCAATTGGCGGAGAGTCTAAATGGTGGCATCAGACAGACGACACAAATGAAGGGCGGTGAAGGGTAACCCTGATCGAACTGATTATCTTTTTTAGATTTCCTTTTCTTCCTCTTATCAGATGCCGATGTGGGTTTTCCCATATGTCTCTAGGGCTACCTAGGTATTAAGTAGTAGTGTTACAAGATGTAGGTGGTACGTACATAATTCCAATTGTATGTGGATGTGGATGTGGAAGTGTGTGTAGGTAGATACGTATGTAAAATATGTGTAGGAATAACTTTTTGTCTTTACTCTTGCATTATGGAAATGTTTTACATGTGGTGGCGTAGCATTAAAGAAACCTAGGTACTTCCCAAGATGGGTAAGGAATGGCTAATGGGATAAGCGGTGGACCCTGAAATTGGGCTGGGTGCCGAAGCTTTGGGGGGGTTCGAATCATGCTAAATAGGGCGGGACCCAGTCAAATATCTCTTAGCGTAGCACGAAGTACCTAGGTAGCAACGCTTCGCTGTGCGTAAAATGATGCACCGAAGTACATATGTATCTTCTCACCGTTCTATCGAGTAAAAGTACCTCGAGGAAATAACAACCCCCCTGACTTTTTTCCTACATGCAGCAGCACTGGAACATTGAGGTAACGACATAAGCGATTTAACTTTTTTTTTTTCTCTTTCTTTCCTTCGTCTCCCCCCAATAGGTACATAATGCTTGTCTCGTTTTCGCATATAGGGAGACAAGAGGCGAATACTTGACTCCTATTTATCTACCTTTCCTCTTATAAAGTAAAGGGGTCATTGTAACGTTGTCACTCTCTTCCTAACCAATTCGATTTGGTATTGGGTCGTCTTCCCTCCTTATTAACTTCTTTTTATTTCTTCTCAAGCCATCCATACGGTGCTGTACTGCCGTGGGACGTTGAGTTTCCTGTTGCTGATTTCAACAAATCGGCCATACGGACGGCTTCGAAGTTAAAAAAGCCTCGGAAATAGGAAGCTTTCCCTCCATTGATCACTAGTACAATTACTAGTCTCAGAGGTTTAGGTATTCCATTAGGAATAGTTGTCACCACACGGACAACTCTTATTTCTTCCCTCCCTCCCTCCGTCCTCACCTCGTCGACTCGAATTCAACAGATCAACACAGCCTTGTGCAGCTCTGTTGTACCACATAACCATTCTTAGAAAGAGGAGGATACATATTCATCATCATGGCTTCCGCAGTTTCTACTGGCCTTCCGCGCCAGAATCCTGCGCTTCGACGAACCATCACATCTACCACCGCCGACACCGATGTCTCGTCCCCATCTACCGCCATTGGTTCTCCAATCGACTCCCCTAGACCTTCCGCATCATCAACCTCTCTTTCTTCCATGTCCTCGTTCGAACCGAGTAGTGCTTCCCACGGAAAGCTCATTGACACATACGGAAATGACTTTGAGATCCCCGATTATACTATCAAGGATATTCGTGACGCCATTCCCAAGCACTGCTTCGAGAGGTCCGCCGCCACGGGCTTGTATTATGTCTTCCGTGATATCGTCCAATTAGCCACAGTTTTCTATCTCTTCCACACGTATCTGACCCCGGAGAATCTACCCTCTACTCCGGCCCGCGTTGCCCTTTGGGGTTTGTATACCTTTATTCAGGGTCTCTCCGGTACCGGCATTTGGGTGTTGGCCCATGAATGTGGACACCAGTCGTTCAGTACGTCCAAGGTTTTAAACGACACCGTGGGCTGGATCCTTCATTCGTCTCTCCTGGTGCCGTATTTCAGCTGGAAGATTTCGCACGGCAAGCACCACAAGGCTACCGGTCACATGGAGCGCGATATGGTTTTCGTTCCTAGAACTCGTGAGGAGAAGGCTAGTCGTCTCGGAAAGCTGGTTCACGAACTTGCGGAACTCGGCGAGGAGACACCTATCGTCACCCTCCTTACTCTTGTCGGTCAGCAGCTTGTCGGCTGGCCTAACTACCTCATGACCAACGTTACCGGACACGACCACCACGAACGCCAAAGCGAGGGCCGCGGAAAGGGCAAGAAGAATGGTTGGTTTACTGGTGTCAACCACTTCAACCCTTCGAGTCCCCTATTCGAGGCCAAAGACGCCAAGTTAATCGTGCTAAGCGACTTGGGTGTGGCTATCACCATCTCGGCTTTGGTATTCCTCGGCAATAAGTTTGGTTGGGGTAACATGTTTGTTTGGTATTTCCTGCCGTACCTCTGGGTCAACCACTGGCTTGGTAAGTCATTCGATCCCCACTCACAAATGCGTTGTGCTCAATTGTTTCTAACAATCGTGACGTAGTCGCTATTACCTTCCTACAACACACCGACCCCTCTCTACCTCACTACAAGCCTGAGTCGTGGAACTATGTTCGTGGTGCCGCGGCAACCATCGATCGTGAGTTCGGTTTCATCGGCCGTCAGCTGATGCACGGTATCATCGAAACCCACGTCCTCCACCATTACGTCTCCACCATTCCTTTCTACAATGCCGATGAAGCTAGCGAAGCTATTAAGAAGGTCATGGGTCGTCACTACCGATCGGATACTACGGGTGGTTCTGTCGGTTTCATCAAGGCGATGTGGCGTAGTGCGAGGATGTGCCAGTGGGTCGAGCCCAGCGAGGGTGCTAAGGGCGAAGGAAAGGGTGTCCTATTCTTCAGAAATACAAATGGTTTGGGTACCAAGCCTTCGAAGATGAACGCCCCTCAAAAGGGAATGATGATCGGAGCGGACGAGTAAAGGTACTTCGTATTGAGAATTCGAAAATAATCGTTGCCTTCGACGACGTGCGCATATACATGGCACCGTTTCGGCTATATTTGGATACGATCGGGCGATGAATCGTGTCGAAAAGTGACACTATGCTGCGGTGGTTGTAATCTTGTTCCTGCACATTTGAATTAATCAATTGTCTGTCACGGCTGAAGCGGGGAAAGAGATTCATTCTCGCCAGCTTCAGCTTCTTTCTATAGCTTCAAGGGGAAGCAAAAGAGAGCAGCATAGAGGGTGGCAATAAAAAAATTATAGGGGCGCAATGAAATAGATATAGACTAGACAGCTAGCTATGATAATGAGAATAATAACTTGAATAACATTTGATGGGGGTTTTTGTGTGTCTTATTTACGTACCCGAGTACATACGGTTTCCAACCCGGTGTAGGGGGGTAAGTTGAGTCGTTTGTGTGGGAATGAACAAGGGGAAACGGGTGCCTAAGACAACTATGGTTTATACAAAGTTGAATGGATATAAGGAGCACATCCCGGCCGATCCGTGATCTAATACATAAGTCAGCCCGGCGTAACAATGTAACCTGACCTCGAAACGATTTGTTTGGGAGTTCCCTGAAATAGAGGGGACCCGGATCTTCAAAATCTGGAGATTTCCCCGCATTCGAATTGTGGTTACATTATATAGGCCCAACTACCGAACACTACATAATCCTCTACCTACCTAGATACTTTAGTTACGATTTTGTTTTGCCATATTTTCACTCATACTTGATTATTTTTGACATGTTTTCTGAAGTAGAGGCTTTATTACTAGAAGCAATGATAATAAATATGAATACCTAAGTAATTAGTACGTCGATTAAATCAGCACGAACACTACGTAGAAACATATTGCCTATCATTCCATTGTTCATATTAGGAGGCACCTACTTAAACCGACTTATATAAGAGGCAGCAAAGTGTTGGAAGTGTTCCAAAGCAAACCATCTATATAAGTAATATCAACTTACACGAATAGGTACCTACTAAACCACTGTGTCCCTATCTTGTGTAATAGAGTAGGTCCTTAAGACATGCCGCGAGACAGGGTTGCTCATGAACATATGTGTTAAAAAGCCATATGTGTAAGTTCCATGCACCAATATTCAGACACAAGAGGCCTATTGTTGCTGCTGCTGCTGCTGCTCTCGGCGGATTCTAGTTCGCTCACGCTCTCGTTTGCTGTGATTCTTCTTCTTGGCCTTCTTTACCTTCCCCTCGGTCTCATAACTTCGATTATCGTCAGTTTTCTGCTTTTTGGCAATGGGCGATTCATCAATTAAAATGTTTGAAGGAGGAATATTTCGCTTCTCTCCCCTGGTGTCTGATGAGAGTGGATCATTTGTCTTATCGCCACTCCTCGCCCTAGTTCTAGGTTCGGGTGCCCGTCGTGGTGTTCTAGGGGGCTGCTTTAGTTGTTTTTTGTCCTTGTTCGTAAGCTCCTGGGTACATGTTGGGAGTGGCACATTGGGAACTTGGTTATTAGAGTCCAGTGTAATTAGTTTGGATGTGTCCGCCGACAACTTCTTCGGCACATCCTTGCCTGATCGTTTTAATGAGGGCTTCGGCATGTTTATTCCTGCATCGCCCGCTTCCGTCTCTTCCAGCTCTGTGATACCACCTAACCAGTTTGGCGATTCGCGTAATACATAATTCAGGGCTTCTTCCACGTCCGAATTGTTAGATTCCGTGTTTATTGTTGAAGTGGCCTCGTTAATCTCCTTGAGGCTTTTCGGCGGAGGCGTAGAGAAACCGTTGGCTTCCCGAGAGGGAGAGAGCACCTCATATTCGGCTTGCTCTTCCCCGGTTAAAACTGGTAACTCAATCATAATATTGGTCTTCGAGCAGGGTGGACCCGGTGTGGCATTCACACCGATATGACTGCTACTTGCCCTGCTTAGAAGGGGGCCGGACTTCGTTGCCGAGGGCGGGCGTTCTGCCAAGAATCTAGTTGTTCGTCTTTCGGCGATCCCATTCGTAACATGTGCCGCGCTGGGGTGGTCCAAACTAAGAGACTCGTCTTGCTTTCGCCGTGCTGCTACAAGTTGCGGTGGCGTTTCCATCCGGGCAGGAATACCGGAGCTAGATTCGCTACTACTATTGATTGAACCATTGCCGCCGGAGTCAGCTTGTTCATTGGCATTTAGGACTGACGGGGACGAAGCTCGCGCATATTGTTTTGCAGGACTCGAGCTCATCAGTTCTCCTAATTCTTGGTTCGACGGTGGCGCACAATCGTTCAACAGCTGCTGTTCAATGAGAGCGGGAGCTGCCTCAGAAGCAGCGGATGATATGGATGGATTATCATTAGACACCGTGGTCAAAGCCGGTTTCAAGGTAAGTCCAAGTTGAAGTTTACTGAGGGTTGGGTCGGGGGTGTTAATGACTGGTTGCGAATCCGTGGTGTCGCTAGAACTACTAGCAAGAATATAGTGCCTCGTTCTCTTCATACGCTCTGCTCGCCCTGTGGTCTTATCTTCGTGTTCAGGCCCCGAGGCCCGTGATACTTCTGGTGTACATGGTGGGTCCGCCGCGTGACGAGATTCCTCTTTTGAAATGGGTGCTGAGTATTCTACATTGTTTGATACTATCGTGTCCTGGCGGGCGTTTTGCTGAATATTACTTTCGCGAACTTCGTCATCTGGATTTTCTCCTTCTGATGTTAAGTCAATTGGGGAGTCGGCCAGCATCGACTTAGCTCTGAGGGTAGCGTCTTCCTCTGCAATAGCTAATGTGCTTTCACTCGGTGCGTGATAGCCAGGCATATAGCTTCCCTCCCCGGGTCCCTCAAGAATCCAACCACAGAACGGTCCGTTGAAGATTATGGACTTGCCTTTTTTGACCTGAAACATGACTTCGTACTTTTCCATCCACGTATACGGGGTCCATTGTGCCTTTGCTCTATTCTTTGGTCCGTTTCCATTTATGTTTTCACTATCAATTTGACGGTCCTTTCTGGTATCTTTTCTATTTGTCTTGACTTCGCGTTTGCGCGAGCTTGACTTGCTAAGAACAGCGTTACATGCTGATGCTGGATGATCGTGACTTGATCTAGATGTTGGAGATCTGGTGGTTGATTCACGCTTGGCTGGCTTCGATGGTGGTTTGTTGATTGGGGTGAATGAAGTTGTGGGTTCGGGGTACGAATCACTGCGGAGACATCGAGTAGGGCTAGATTCCGACGGTTGTGTGTTTTCAACAGCGCATGTTGGGGTTCCGGGTTTTGGCGTTCGCGACGAGATGGCACCATTATCCGAGCTTGCGATTGATTGTTGCTCATCGTTAGAAGGCGGAAGGTATTCGTCATCAGAGTGGTCGGGCTCCTCGACGGAGACTTTTGGGGCAGGCTCATCATCTGGTAAATTTTAGCAAATATGTTAGCGTTGCTTATGAAAGGTGAAGACGAACCTTCGTGATCGAAATGGACCTTCGCGGCCTTCCTTTCGCTACGAATGGTCGTCTCAGGCGATGACTTTATGATCTTCGGGAGTGCGATGGTCTTTTTTGCCTTCCTAACCTTATCCTCATTGCCTTGACATCGCTGCTGCTTTGGGCCGTTGGGCGCATCGGAGATATGAGGCTGATTGGGCGAGCTCCCAGCCTGGCCGTTTTTTCTGGGTTGTCCATATTCCACAGGCTTTTTACGGTCTTCGTGCTTCTTTTTAGACGAAGTGATATCACTATCGAGTGAAATCGGCGAACTTCGATGTTGACCAAGAGTCGACTTCGACTTTGGATTATTAGACATTAAAACCGGGGCCGTGTTTTGAAGCCCGTCTGTCGTATTTAGGTGATCATTAGTCGCACGGGAGAAACGCTTCCCAAACGATTTGACGGGTGGACGTACGGAAGTCGATATTTGACTAGATCCTACATCGTGAGATGGGGGTGATGATGGTATGATCGCGTTGTCTGCCGGGATCTCGATTGGGGTGTTTCGAGATGAACCAAGGCTATTAGAGGTAGCCGGGCGAGTACGAGACGTTGGTGTGGGTGTCAATGGTAGCGTATATATAGGATTCCTCAAAGAAATGGTATTCGCTCTCGCCTTACTTGGAGACGAGTGGATCCTTTGGCTAGTAGTAATAGATACTCGTTTTCCCCCCGAAGCATCATCGACTTCGCTGCCAGAGGGGATATCATACGGATCTTGTCGGCCCGAGCTAGTTACCTTGCGATGGCTATCTGACATAGCAGTCACATATTTTGCTTTTGTTTCTCCACTAGGTATCTTAGAAACTCCGAGAACGCTGCCAACTTGGCCTGGATTTGGCTTTTTGACGCTGTTTGTACAACCAGATTTTATGACTCGAGCTGTGCTATTCAGTTTTGCTTTTGAGGAGCCGAGAGGTTGGGAGCGTAACTTAGGTGACTCTTTAACGGCCGGCCCACGCTTGGGTCGGAACTTATCCAGGTCTTTTACAGCAGGCAAGTCCTTGGAGTTTGGCGTTTGGGACTTTTCCACTTTGTATGATTTTACATGAGTCCTAGCATTAGCTGGGAGGGATCCAGTTGAAGTTGGAGTGGTGCGTTTTCGCGCGCAGTCTCCTGCTCTCCCCAACTTCGTAAGGTCCATGGACATAGTGATGGGATCATATCAGACATGCGTTCCGGAGTGATGATGCTGTATGCGTAGCATTGAATGAAGCGAGCCTCATATAGGATCAAAAGAGGTGTAGATGACAAGGTTGTGAGTGGAAAGGAGAGTATACTGAGTAGTTCTCGGGAGAATTGGTGAGGAGAAGATTAAGAAGATATGAGGAAACCATGCATCTCAATATTCGGGAACTGAAAAAGTAGAACGAATGCGATAACCTCATGAGGTGGAGTGTGTGTTGATTGATGGTTGGGCCAGTAGATCAACTATCGCGTCCTCTAATTAATCGGACTAAGATAGGTGATAGTTCGAAGGGAAATGAAAAGGGAGAAGAGATAGAAATAAGGATTACTAGAGGCAGTGGAATTGTTGGTGGTGACGGTGGTGACGTGAACGCGAGAAGGGACTGTGATAGACAGTCTCGCAGATGATAACAGTGAGTAGTAGATGGGTTCCCAGTGGCGTTGTTATTTAATTAACACTCTACTCTCCTGGCATACAGAGCTTTACTTATCGTGTACCTATCCCAGCAGGTAGTCCTGAAAAAAGCAAGATGTCTGTCTACCAAGGTTGGTAGGAGACGGTGATAGCACGAACAACCTTCCGCTTGGGTACCTGTTTCCTGGGTACCTGGGGCAGATATTCTAGTCCATTCGAAAACGCGTAGACAATGTGAAATGCAAAAGTACAAATTCACGCACTCTCCCGGGCTGGGATAATGGGATAATGCACAGTATGCGGTGCAGTCTAAAAAAGACGTAGACAACTCCTAGAGAATGACAGGTCATATCAGCTTATACCTTTGTATCCAGATACATGTAGCCATAGCTCATAGGATACCTACCGACAATTACTTATGATGAAGGTACGAGGTATTGTACCAACCTATAAGAAGCATGAGGTAAAATCGTAGCTTGGGAAAAGAAACGCGTATTTATTTGTACATGTATGAGCTTCATTTAGAGACGCGTTTAAGTAAAGTTGAAGTATTCCAGATGTGCCCTTTAAATGGACAAGGTCTATTAAACACAATACGCATATCGTAATAGTACCTTTAAAGTACTTATGTACGTACCTAAGGACATCCCTGTAATTAGCACAACCTCCAATATCTGGGGCTCTATGATGTACCTACAAAATAGTATCAATGATATTTACACGTACGTATGTACCCACATGTAGGTGGCTTGGAGATATTTCCGGGTTCAATGTCCCAACCATTCATTTATAACTCATCATACCTAAGAAATATCACAGCGAGAGGCCATGAGGCTTTTAGGTTGCGCAACAATTGATATATTGATCCGACTTCTTAAATAGACATGTACTTGGCGATCATAGAGGTGCCCTTGGCATGAAGTATTCCTTAAATGTATCCAACTCCTCAAGATCCAGCTTGTAAACGACCGTACAGCATATAATAAGCAAATTCGGGAAGCGCCTAGTCCAAAAACCTAGGTAACCATCTGGCAAAGGTCCTACCATCTTTTTCAAAGGTTCGCTCATATCTCCGTAGTGGAATCGCTTGTTTCTAAGCGCTCGCAGTAGATCCAAGAGTCTCGAACCTGTGTACTTGCGTTGTTTGCCTAAACTGTCCACGAATTCCTTGGGCAGTGATTTGAGAAAGTCGCCTCGGCAGACTTGAGGAGCGCATGCCTCCAACTCCACCAAAGCCTTGGATGGCGGATCGCGAGGCTCCAGTTCGAAGTGATCCGACACATCGCAGAGGAAAGCAAGTCGCTCTTTTGCCGACCAGAAGAACGGGTGCGACATTACATCCCTAGCCGATGGCCGTGCTCTAGGGTCGGATCGTAGCATTGTCTCAACTAGCGCTTTGGCTTCGTGCGCGAAGTCCCCGAGTACATCCAACGGCTTAAGATTAAACTGGCCCTTTCGAATGTTGACTTCTCTCATGTACCGATCGCCACAATCGAATGGGTGTAGACCTTTGGTAAGCACATAGAAAAAGACAAGGCCAAGACTGAAGATATCAATTGCTCGCGTGGCACGACGATTGGGCATGACATCAGCACTGACTAACTGACTCGAGTCGCTGTGCGTACTGGCCATGGACATCGTAGAGGATTCGCGGGCATCGTCATCTAGGAGGAGCTCGGGTGCGCGCCAGCCCGAAGTGCCAGCAGCATGGGCCGTGGTGGCACCGAAAGAGGATTGGCCACCCTCGAGCTTCTTGCATAGTCCGAAGTCCGACACAAGCAGCCGAGGTTTTCCATCTCTACCCATAGTCACAAGAATGTTCTGTGGCTTCAGATCACGATGTACGATGCGGAGGTCGTGGAGGAATCCTAGCCCATGCGCAATTTGTAGTAGAACTCGGGGCAAATCCATTTCACCCGCCTGCGCAAGATCTCGATACATCATAGGCTTCTCAACGATATCCGACAGGGAAGCTTGACACAGCTCTAGCGCAATATATAAGAAACTGTCATTCTTCGACATGGCGAAATATCGTATAACTGTATACACAAATTAGCAAGCGTAAACGGAATGGCGGCGATAATTGGGTTGTACCGTTAGGGTGATGATCACTTTCCAATAGTAACTGGGTCTCTTGTGTAGCGATGTCCCAGAATTGAGTGAGCATACGTTTAACCGCGACATCTCGACCGTGGAATTTCCCTGCGAACACAATAGTGCCATTGCTGCCCATGCCAAGTTGCTCATCTTGATTGACCTCGATACCACCAATTTTGACGATTGGCCCACTCACGTCCTCAGGGTCATTGTTCATTGTCATCACATTCGGTTCCAGTTTGGTAGGCATGCCAATGTTCTGAAGGCCCGGTATGCCCTCTCCAGCATCTACAGTGGTTCTTCCGTCAGGGTTCTCGGACGTGTCGCGCTGCTTCTTGGCTCCTTTCCGGTGCTTAACTCCTCCCCTTCGGCCGCGATGAGCTTTCTTCTTTTTCTCGGGGGACTCGCTTTCAGTCTGTTGCTGTTCACGGTCGCCGTCACCTTCTATTGGCTCGGGTTCCACAATTGTTACCGTTGCTGGAACAGCATTTTCTTCGCTCCCTAGTTCAGCTACTGCTGGCTCGTGTTTCCTGATCGCATCAACGCCCGGCGGATGAACCTCATCAGTAACGGATTCCTGGGAAGGTTCTGGGACGGTGTCGGTGGAGAACACGTATGTTAGTGTATCAAGGTATTCCTTTGGTCCAAGCCGCCCTCTTATCCATCTAATTATGTCCTTACGATAACGGATAAGTAAGTACACGAGGACAGGAACTAGAATTGGGTTCATCAAAAAGTCCAGCGTCTTATCTGCAGCATATTGAGGAAGAGTGATGACTTTGCCAACGATACTGGGAGGGTCAGGGTCAGGGTCAGGGTCGGGGAACGGACTCGGCATAGTAGATTCGTTGTCGTCGTTATCAGACTCCGGTGGAAAGGGACGAGAAGGCAAGCTTGGAGGTAGGGTTGGTGACCACCGTGCCACACTCCTTGCATTCCCAAGGACGTGAGTACCAATCAGTGCCTTGTTTGCCCAGATATTGTCAAGCGTGTTCCAAGGGTTCTCGTTGTTCCATCTATTTCTATGGCTCGACTGTGCTGCGGGAGCATCGACAATCAACGGGTATAACCAGCCCGACATAGCATACCAGCTCCCAGATTCGGTTTGGTTGAGGAAGACACTATGGCTTCTAGCACGGGCAGAATCTTCATCTCGAGCAGGGGGGATCGGTTGAGGAAGTAGGACAAGCTCCGGGTTGCTGCCAGGGGGAGCATCTTCGGGTCGGGCGATGTCAAAGACGCGTGCAACGGGGACGGAAAATTGCAAGGCGAAGGATGTGATCCCGCTGGGGTGAACAAGTGCATAGACCTTACCGTCATGTTGACTAGTGAAGTATCGATTGTCATGAGTCGCTCGGTATTGCTGGTGGAGGTCGTTATCAAAATTGTTCGGGCCCCATTCCGCGTATTTAAGGGTAGCTATCTCCCTGCCGTCGTCGGATCGATGAATAGTTACTATATACTCTGTCCGACTAAGAGTAATAGTGCCGCTATCGCTACATTCTTCACTGTCCGAGTCGGCAAAGCGTCCATTCGGAGGGAAACAGGTGGCGCTCTGGTCGACCTGGGAGCCAGCCTGACCAAACCATTTTAATACGCGACCAGTAGCGGCGTCTAGAGTTATCATGGTCGTCCTCTTATGGCCGGTATAGACCACAGGTGGATTCTGAACTGCATAAGAGCCGAATTCCTCGACTAATTGTTTCATAGTCAAGCCTGTGCTCATCAAACCACTGCCGAAGCCAGAGGGCGTCCAAGCATAAAGGGCGCCATTTTGAGTAGGCTCAACAGCCCAGATATAATCGTCAAGGGGATGACGATCTTGGGCATCCCGGCTGCCGCCCAGGGAACTGTTAGGGCGGTGATGGATAGTCTCGACGATAGGCTGTTCGACTTGAAGGTGCCAACGCTCATCACCAGATTCGCGGTTGACAGCATAAAGATGTCCATCGACGGTCGCCAGAAGAATGTAGTCTTCTACTTCCCATTTCTCCAGACTCCGCGCAGTCTGCGGCGAGGAGAGCCCAGCACCGGCAAGTATGCTAGGCAAGTGTCTTGGAGAATTTGGTGCTCGAACGGGCGGAGCCGGAGCCAAAGTTGCGAGGGCGCTCGCATCGTTAGGAAAGGGTACATGTCCGAGTTGTTGCTTATTAGCAGTGATAGTGTCCATGCGATCAGCGGCCGAGTTCTCGTGAGCGTTACGTGCCGCGGAGGAGGGAACGGCGGCCGCAATGTTCCCTACGACTTGCTCGGCGCCAAAAGCGGACTCGTGTCGGGGACTTGGGATGTCGCGGCTATGAATATCATGTTTATTTAAAGCTATATTTTCATGATTGTATTCGTTAAGGAGGTTAGGAACAGGGGCTCGTTCGGGAGGTGATTGTTGCCGGTGTTGCTGCTGCTGAGCATCGACAAGGTGAAGCCATGGTAGAAAGATGACGACTAACGCGAGTAGGACCTTGCGCTGTTGAGCGACGAGCCGTCCCTCGCCAGGAGGCCGTCGCAGCATATTGAAGACGTCAACGTGGAGTCGGTCGGAAGTGGCGGAAGCTCGAGGGTAGAGAAAGAAGAGGAAGCGATGGGGACAATTGTCGGATCACATTAAGGCGAGTCGGGCGAGGGAAAGGAAGGACTTGGGTATCTGCTGGCTAAACCGACCGATGAAAAGGGATACCAAGATGGAACAGTATCCACAGCACAATATGACGATAGTGATAGGTGACAACCCAACTCGACGGCCGTAAGGGAGAAAAAGACAATGTCGGGCGTGAGGTGGGATGTAAGAAGGCACCCGAGAGAGGACTCGAAAGATTATCGTTGTGCTTCCTGCCGTGGCGTAGATCGAGGAAAATAGTCTGGGTTGACTGGCAAGGCTCGTAATGGATGATTTTACGATCGTCAACGAGTAGTACGTAACCTCGCTCCCAGCTGGGGAAACTAAACCCAAGTCGCCAACGGAACGGACGTAGAGGAGTATGGTATCGACAAACGAATTGGTGGGCAAACCGAAGCTGTCTTGGTCCAATGAACAACCAACAAGGACAGAGGTTCCACGTAATTTTGTCGCTAAATGTCTAACTAAATGGAACAGCGCCTTTTATAGATTCGGATTCGGATTCAGAACATAACCCGTATAATATCGTGTGCCTAGATACCTAGGTAGCTAAGGTAATCGTTTTCTATACCCCGCTGACATCGAGGAACGGCACATGGATGAAAGATGGTAAAAGATGATAGATGCCGTGGAAAACGATATTGGTTATTTAGTAGCTAATAATAGGTGTTGCGTTGATGAGCAAGATAGGCTAGTAGGTATGTGTGTGGTTCTGCCGTGTACCATATGAAGGATTCCTTTTTTTTTTTTTCTCTTTTATTCGTAATGCGATGTGGTGAGATGAGTGGCCAGCATAAGCGGTTAGACTCTTTTGGTTTCGTACATCTTGTTTCGATCGGCTTCGTGAGATAGGCGGACAGGAAAAGACCAGCCCTCTTAATCGTCAGATTGGGTGGAATCTTGTGAGGAACCCACACGCCACGGATAAAATGGTTATTATTGTTATTATTGTACGTGTCCATGTTGTGAGCAGGGGGGCGCCTGGGGAGGGGCGTGGGGATGAGGGAGAGGAAGAGTCGGATTAGGTGACTTATTAGGGGTGGAGTAGGTTGCTTGATTGGTACATTATGTATGACTGGTTAATTGGTCAGATGGTGAGCACTTGCTTGCGCTAATACATTTTCGGACATCGGGGTAAGAACATTGAAGTACGCAGGTACAATATTTGTGGACGCAGTATTATGTTTTTGATATACCAACTGCTGCCACCTCTTTGACAGCTGGCAAAATTATCACTCTTATTGTTTACCCCATTCTCCCCCTAAAAGCATTCAAATCTGCCTTACAATTCAATCAAATTCCAGCCCAGGCACATATAGGTATCCAGGTTGTCCGCTCTATATACACCTAAAATGTGGGTAACTGGGTATCTACGACGGTATTGTATACCTAATTTCACTTTATCTTAGTTTTAGTTGAGATACTCTAACTATTTCCTTCATTTCCTTTTTTTTCTCTATCCAGCATCGTACAGAAGCAATTGCAGCTTCATTCATAACCGTAAACTCCCCGCTCTATGGGCGAGGACCTTCTCCGAACTATCAATCGAGTGGGCAGACGGCTCCCGCGACCTCGTTTTAGCATTGCCCTGTTCAATCTCGACCACTACTGTCGTGACTGTATCCATCTGGATTCCCGTCTCCGCCGCCGCCGTTGTACCCCTCAAGGATTCCTGGCTACCACTTCCCTGGCCTCCCATCCAGCGACCGGTAATAGAGCGGCCATCTCTTCCACCCCATCCTATCAGTTGACCAATCCTGTCTAATCCCCCTGCAGCTCTCCTCCTCTCCCTAGTTCGGCCTTCATCTTCGCCATTGCTAGTCTGTGCTCCACCCTGTACCCAAACCATGTTTCCGTATTGTCTCCAATGTGGTGTCCTCATAAACGCGAATGTCTCCAGGCCTGTGTTCTCGGAGTCGGGAGACGCGTTGAAGATAATGGAATGCCTTGTCGTGGAAAATAAGAGCACATCCAACCAACCATTGGAAGCAATCATCGCACCAGCCAAACAGAAATATGCTATACTGACGTCTCGTCCCGACATGGTCACCACACGCCCCAAAGCCAATGGTGCCGTGCATAGTATGTATATGACGGGGTAGATAAGGAACGCCGGGTGATGGCCAGAGGTATTTCGACCGGATTTGCCGTTTGCGTCCGGTCGTGCCGACGCCGACGACCGGCTGTGCGAAAGTGGTTGGGAGAAAGTCTTCTGCTTTTGGAGAAACATGAAGATGAGGAGATATAACACACTGGTTACCAGGAACGAGAGGAAGATCCAGAAATAGTGAAGCCAGAGACGGAGATTTTCGAACCTAACATTTACCCAGCACCTATCGTCATGTTAGCCCCTTCGTATCTCTAATTTGGAAGGGCAATGGAGGAAAATCATATCGAAGAATATGGAGATATTGATGAACGGTCTACTTACCAGGCTGCTGCCCTAACATAAAATCCACCCGCTCCTCTTCCATTGTTGGTTGCGGCTACTCCGACGATAGCCATAACGTAGATGAACACCCAAAGCCCGGTAATCGCGAGATACAGCGCCCAGTGAGGGGGCTTATAACCCTTCACCACAGTGAGGTACGTGTGAATGGCGATGGCACAGATGAAACAACTTGCTGATAGATCTCCAGTAGACACGAACCAACCTTGAGCCCAGCATGTCGGATTACTAACAGTAATTTCATTCCTTTGTATCCACGGTATATTCAGCATGAAAGCCGTCGATTGGTGCATATCGGCAAAAAACAAATTGTATACAAGGACAAGAAATTGGTTAGGTGGCCCTCGTCCATGTCTCTGTTTTCTCGGTGCATTTCCTTCTTGCTCTTGCAAGATTGTCTTCTTGGTTAATCCGAAATTCCTTTGAGCTAGGCCTAATGACAGGTCATTCGCCGGGGTTTGGTGTCCGTCATCCTCTGCCTTCGGGGTCCGTACGTGCCAGGTAATCAACTTGTACGTCAAATATAAGAATAATGTGGATGTCGTGACGAACGATATCATGCCACAAACAGCAACAGCTATGAGACCATTACGATGACTTGCTGCCAGAGGCGACAGCGTATCGCTGATAGGGTCCAATGGACCATAGTCGTCGGTATAGGTCATGTCCCTCTCGACGTCCCTTTCCCTCAAACCTAACGGTTAGGAAGCTTCGTAGAAGAGGGGGCTAACGAAAAGGCAGCACAGCTAGTTAAAAGCCACTCCCGTGTAAGTGACGGTTCCGTCAAGATTTATTTTCCGATCAGTTTTACTTCAAGGGGAATGGAAAGGTATAAAAACCGGCCAATGCTCAGCGTGGATCCCTCGCCGAGGTTGTGATGATGCGTTAGAGTGTTCTGAGCCCTACTTTGAACTTTTGGGGCTAGTAACGAACAGTTCTCCTGTGGGCGATATTGACGGTTCGTACACCGTACTGACCTAGGGACCTGTCAACTAATTCTTGTCTAGAATCCTAGGCTGAGTCCAAGAAGCCGGGTCTTCGTTTATTCATGCACCTTACCCTTTTATGGGATAGCTTTACCGGCGATGGCATGGCCTAGATTTACTAGCTGGTGTTAGCGCCACCATTGAAGAAGAATTCTCCATGCTAGTCTTCGCTTCAGCCTAGGGGTCGTACAAAGACTCGCCCAACAACATCGCGAACTATATTTCGAAACGTCAAGCTAGCAATGGAAAAGTACAAAGAATCAATTTCGGGGGCACTAGCATTCTAGTACAACTTCTCTTATTCCAGCCACGTGGTGGGAAGCAAACTTCGGTAAGCTCGATCACTCTTATTATACTGGGTGGGTACTACAAAAGGACGGTGCCATGCTAGCCAAGACTTCGCTATCATCCTCTACGATATTATAAAGTGATCTTGGGACCAGGAGTTTCAGCGCGTGGAGAATATGTCGCTTTGACCTCACACTAGTAACTACGATGAATGTAAGTAAAGGCCTCACTCGGTTCATCGCAACATATCAGCACTGCCTAAGTATGCAGATAATTATATCTAAGTATTTATGTATACATTTCCACCTTTATGACTCGAGAGTCTAAAGATGAGCAGCACGTTGGGAAAAGTATGATACGTTATATTTAACTGGGTATAGGAGAGACATGTTTGCTTGTATTGATTATCATATGGGTAACGTGGGCTAGACACGAACTCCCTTTTGGTTCATTAAGCATCTTAATATAGGGCCTTGGCTGCATCTTAGGTTGTGCCGCGCCCCCTGAGCAGCTTTGTCTCCGAGCCAATACATCGTCTAGATATGATGACGCTATTAGAGAATTGGGAATAGTTACCCTAGGGGTTTTTAACGGATGTACGGAATTCAATGAGCCTAGTACTTATTTCATGTATAACATAAAATAATCCACTTTCGTAGCGATTCGGCGAAAAGGAAATTAATACCTACCTAGGTAAACGCAAGGTGAGCTTCTAGCAGCATTCTAGGTGGCTAACTCGATGCGTTCTCGGGATCCCAAAGTGCCGGCATAAAGAATATAATAACTATAACAGCCTCCAGCGATAACTTTGGAATATGTCATACTCAGGTAAACTTGAACTATTCATGTTTGATGCTGCTTATACGACGAGGCATGAATTTGTTCTACTAAGTATGTGCTTCTATATGCGGATTACAACATGGAGCCATTTTCTGCAACCAACTCCCCAAACCAGCTTAAAATGTAGTCGATATTCAGGATTCCGGCAGTCTGGGCAACAGGGCGCCCCTGTATGATAGGTAGATTGGTGAGAAGGATTCGATGATCAGTACCGATCTGACATGATCCCAGGTTTAACCAACCCTACAACAAGGTGGTAGGATTTCCCATATACTTTGTGGGTATGCAAATGCTCCGTCGCGATAGGAGGTATATATAGGAACCTACCTACCTAGGTAGGCATGCTGCACGTTGTTCGTAGCAAGATGTATGTAGCTACTTGGCTTGATGAAAGACGACTATCTGGGGTTCTTGAGTAATTGAAGTGATCACTGATATATGAACATTAGGTAGAGATTGCGGGTTGAACCTCTCACTTTGATGTGATGTATATAAAATAGCAGGTTTATACATGTAGTGATGGGAAGCTGGGTGACGCATTCTACCTGTACTAATACTAGCGGAACTGTTCCGCAACTTCAAACCTGATAGTGAATCATTTTTCCCTGCGGTGTTGACCGATGTAACGTATAACTGCCCTCGTATGACGCTTAGTCTATTTAACATCACTTTAATCAGTGTCAGTTGATTAATGTTGGTATAGGTTTGCATGACGGACTTCGTCAAGCGAGATGGAAATGCAAACTTACCAAGCTAAGCTCTACGGCATGGATATCGCATTGCATCACAATCTGAAACATATGGGTCACGATCAGATGCTGGTTCCTATTCCTCTTCTTATTTTTTTCTCATATTGCGTCTCTTTTAATAAATGGGGATAGAACTTCCTCATCACACACACCAAAGGTAGTGCCACCAAGAACTTAAGGAGCGAAATGGAACTTAACTATCACTTTCCTAGCATATATAGGGTCGCAGTGCGCCGTAGTGTCTTGTTTTGTGCAGTGAAGGCAATGCGCGAGAATGTACGCGGGTACATACTGTAAAGACATTTACTTTTGTGCGTCTCGCGACAGTGCTCTGGGCGGCCCTGTAGTTATGTCATTATGATTTACGGACATAGGTTATCGTAATAGATAGTGAGCTATCATATATGATCATCTGAACCTATAATCGAGACATGATGAGGCCTACATAGGTAGGTAGGTAGATAATAAGTGAACCCGCCAAGTCCCAATAGAACCTACGAAAGTTCAAGCAAACTACCTACAACAAATAGCGAAAGATCGTAAGTATTCCTATACAATATGAGGAGCCTCATCTTTGTAGGAGATTATAAACAAGCACTGAGTACGGACTTACCTTTTATACAATATACATCGCCACGCCCGTATCTTGTTTGCCCACGACTCCCTATACAGTTGCGCTGCAGTATGAAAAACGACTATGGCGCTGGCATAGCACTCTAGTGTTCAAGCATGTAGCCTCGTAGGGCTTTCAGGTTATAAATCTAAGTAAGAATGGTAACATGCGGTAAGGTTTGCTCAATTGTGGTGTTGACACCGTACGTTGGCTATCGATTGACGTATGAGGTCAGGATGAAATAAGGGACATTGCTGGCTCTTCTAAAAAAAAAAAAAGATTGCTAACCATCGCACAAGTATCTACGCTGATGACTAATCCTGATCAAGTTGGGTTATTCTCGATCTTGTAGCTTTGACGATGAGCGAGATGGATGGGTGGTTATATGTTTTTATCCGTCCTGTTTTGGTAGGGTTATGATGCATTTGATATAGTGAACATGGTACCTGGACAGTTAAAGTAGCGAGCCTCTTACGGCGTCATTCCGGACTCTCCCATGTTTTGATGTTATTATGCTTTAGAAGATTCTGCATGTGGAATATTAATAAGCTGAGCTACTTCGGAAGGATAAGAAGACACAAAGAAGTGAAACAAATTAAATTTGTAGTGGAGATGAAAACGACAATTGAGATCGGGCACGTACATATAAGTCTTGTACCTAGGTAGGTACAGATGACTACACCTAATGCGGTAACCTCCATATCTATCTCTATGATTGGTCAGATTTAGCCGCACCCTATGATCTCCCAATCGTCCCGCGCCCTTTCCATTTAGGGTCTAGCGTAGCCGCTGGGTAAGGTCAAATACCAAGTTCTGGTCGGTCACTCCTCTTTTTTTTGCCGACGGTGTGGAGACGAGGGTACAGTGGTTCCTTGTAGATTTGGGCATCCCGTGTATAAACGGAAGTATCTATTCTATTTGGGTAGTCACGTTGGTTTGTCGTTCCTTAAGGTTCAATTTGCTTAGGTATTACTAAGATGCATATGTAATCGTGGGATATTTTAGAACGAAAACTAAAGATATTTACCTAGGTAATTAGAATAGATGATGTTTGGCCTGTATACGAATTTTATGTATTTACTTATACATCTCATGTACATCAATAATTATGTGTATGGCCAAATAGGCATGGTGCTAGTTGTTAGCAGTACCTACTGTCCCCGAGGTAGGTACTACGCATCTAAGTAACTAGGTACATAAATGCGCATACTACATGCAGCTAAACAAAAAGTTACGGCACTATTAGGGTCCTATTGGTCCAGTGACCTTTTCTCTCATCGGCGGGTTCGTCAACGACAAGTCTTTGTGTTGCTCCGATATCTCAAAATCCACCTCCAGCACTTCCAGCGCAGACTACGACAAAAATAATCCCAACCCACGGCAACTGGCATAACACCTAACATCTCACTTCCCACAAGCGGATTATCAATTAGCCCCTTACCTAAACATACGACCTCTGGAATTTTAATATTATCAATCAAAGCGTGTCTCCAATCTTCCCCGAGCCTACGCGCCGCGCATTACCGAAGTAGACGTCACCGGTCGACGATAACCAACTTCGCATCGACGAAACGGGGTGATATCTTGTGGAGTCGCGTTCGCCTATGGTAGAAGATTCCCTTGGTAAAACGTCGAAATAAGGGCGTCATCGCCGCATTCTTAGTACGATCTACCACTGCCACCAGGCATAGGTGTGAATTCCGTATGCATCTTTCTTGAGCTAGCATTTGCGTAATCAGGTTATTTGCCCCGAAATAATTACTGACGATCTTTATATAATATCTAGGGCATTTTTATCCGTTTATCTGCTGCCACTTGTTTACTCCCGGCATTCGCAGTTGGTGGTATTCCAGCCCACGTTTGCGCACTTGAGAGTCGTTCACAAGGATCGTACCTTCTGAGAATTGCACTGCCGATATGCTTTGACCGCCGAGGCGATTTCGAAATAAATTATTGCGCCTACTTGATATTCGTCCGTTTTCCGTCTGCAAACCTATTCTAGCCGTCACAAACCGCCCTACTTCACCTTTCGTCGCCGAGGTCCCAATTTGATCGGTATCTGGTAACAAAGAGTCGGACATTTAACTCGAACACCATGGCTACACCTTGTGAGTTCTACCTCCGTTTCCTCTATGGCTGACAACGTTGGCCGTATGATATTCGCTTGGCGCACAAAATTCGCTTCGGCACGTAATATCTGACTAATAAGAACAGTGAATGCAGAAGATGAGGCTCGCTATACGGAAATCATCGACGGTATCTTGGCAACGGCCGACCTTGAAACCGTTACGCGCAAAAAGATCCGCATGGGTCTTGAGGCTGCTTTAGGCGGTAAAGATCTGAGCGACCAGAAGGTGTGTGATAACCCCCCCTCTCCCACCATGATTGTCTGCTACGCACGAGAATCCCCCTTCACTGTACGCCGCATACGCGCACATGCTACTTGTTCCTCGCTGACTTCTGCGTTTATTTCTTGTAGAATGCAATCAAAGCTCTCATAGAAGAGCGTTTTGATGCCATATCTTCTGCTGTTCCGCCACCATCTTCAGCAGTTCCCCAACCCGATATAGAATCTCCACGCCCATCACCCAAACGACAGGCCAACGGTTATGGTGACCATAACCAAGACGCCGATGAAGATGCCAACGGAGACGAGATTAAGGTGTCAGTGCAGCCGCCGAGGAAGAAGCAGCGCAAAGAGAAAAGCGAGGACACAGAGGATGCCGATGCTAAGTTGGCGGCGCTTCTTCAGGCTCAGGAAAACCAACGGACTCGGGCAACACGAGGAGGTGGTAAGCCGAAAGCGCCTGTGAAGAAGAAGAAAAAGGCCACGCCAAGGAAGAAGGGCGACAAAAAGGTTGGCCCCGAAGACGATAGTGAAGTGGAGGGAAGTGAAGAATCAAGTACCCGACCTCGAAAGGCCGGGGGTGGGTTTCAGAAACCTTTCAATCTCAGTTACCCACTTGCAGAGCTTTGTGGCGAGCCCCAGGTAAGCATATATGCTCGTTTAGCCTAGTCATTGACTTGGCGAGCGGTCATGGTCATACTATAACATTGCTTCTCTGACACTGAATTATAGCTATCCCGACCACAGGTTGTGAAGAAGTTATGGGAACACATCAAAGGCAACCAACTCCAAGACCCAAACGATAAACGACAGATCCGATGCGACGAGAGAATGCAAGCTGTTTTTAAACAAGCAAGAGTAGACATGTTTCAAATGAACAAACTAGTGGGTAATCATCTCTATCCGGTGGACGAGGAGTAGCGGTTTGGGTAGGAAATTTGCAACACGAACATGATTATATTGCGCTGTTCTTCGGCAGCCAGCGAACACAATACGGCTATCTGGGGGTGGGAGTGGCTGGGAGAGTGTGGTCGGGTATCCGTGGGTTTTGCGGCTACACATTCTCGTTACGGGTGTAGCGTGCTTTCGTGGTTATTCTCTTTATTCCTACCGGGCACTCATACATACATCACTCAAGGCACAACTTGGTTCGGACCATTGGCGCTGGACAAGATTAGCGCGAGGGCGAGGCGGATGCAGGCATTACCACATCCATGGATGGCTTGACCTATGTGTATTTGAACGTGGGCTACCTACATCAATATAGGTACCTTGGGCATATTTAAGGGGCAATACACCTCGAGGTAACGTCTCAGATTAGCTAACTCGATACGATTGGATTGAAAAGAAGCAGCGTAATGCTAAATGAGTCTAAGTCGTAACTAAGTAATTGTTCAATTTATTTAAGTATGGTTGGATAAATGATATGTGGTGAATAAGCTGGTGGCATCTTTGTGCTAAACAGCACTGAACATTGTTAATACATCCCTGTACAAAGAGTGGCTTAGAAGTTAGCAGTACATATATATTTGCCCCGCCGTTGTGTGGCTAATTGTTGGCCGCATGTGTCATCGATAGAATTATTATTTCTAGGGCTCTAACTTACCTAGGTACTAAGGTTTAGTGATTATTCAATCGGGATGGTGGGGTATTTTTTTTCTGTTTGCCAGGCCACCTTAGCTAATTGCTAATTGCTAATTTAGTGGGCGTCGTGTCCCCTACCAACCAAGATACACTCATACTGTACTCATACTGATTCATACCATTTTTCAGGTAATTGGTAAATACTCATTTACTATCTACACTACTCTTTCTTTGACTTTTACAAGGTATTTGGGACGAAGCTGGGAATAGCTTTTACCTGTGTTATACCTCCATCGCCAATTTTCTCTGCTACTTTTATCTGAGCTGGAAATCCACCTATTATATTTTCCAGCGGAAACGGCGCATATACTTGAAATCGACCATCATCGTCATCCTAGGTCCCATTCCTCGACTCTTTTACCGCTCGTCCATTCCAACTCTACCGAACAATTGTACTAGTTCCCGATAAGGCATGGATATATCCGCTGGGGGGTCGATGGATGCTTTAACCTCTACTCTAGGTCGCGGGAGAGGCGAGCGCGGTGGCAGAGGTAGAGGTAGAGGACGAGGTCGAGGCGACTCTAGCGCAAGGGGTGGAGGACGAGGTAGATCGCAACGTGGAAGAGGAAGAGGAGGTAACGCACCAGCTACGTCGGCCACCCCTTCCACGACATCTATCCTGCAGCCAGAGGCAAACAAGGCAACACAGATCCTCCCACAACCTCACATACGAAACAAGTCCACCGAGGCTGAAGGAGGTGAAGAGGATGTAGAGGCCGAAGTGTGCTTCATCTGTGCTAGTCCCGTCATCCACCAATCCGTGGCTCCTTGCAATCATAGGACCTGCCATATATGTGCTCTACGTATGAGAGCATTGTACAAGAACAAGGAATGCGCACATTGTCGGGTATGTCTGGCTCATAAGCATCGTAGGTACCGAGTATATTGAATACTAATTTCTGCCGTTTCTTAGACACTGGCCCCTTTCGTTCTCTTTACGGATGACGCTACGAAACGATACCAAGACTATTCCGACGCCGATGTCACCAGTACTGACGAGAATATTGGTATCCGATATTCAAACGAAGACATAGTTGGGGATACCGTCCTACTTCTACGTTACAACTGTCCCGATGATTCCTGCGACTTCGCCGGCCTTGGTTGGCCCGACCTGCATCGACATGTTCGTGCCATACACCATAAGAAGATGTGCGACTTATGCACCAGAAATAAGAAAGTATTCACCCACGAACACGAGTTATTTACCGACAAGGAGTTGGAGAGACATATGCGGCACGGGGACGATCAACCAGGCGCCGTCGACCAGACTGGATTCAAGGGCCATCCGCTATGCGCCTTCTGCGGCCAACGATTCTACGACGATGACAAGCTCTATGAACATTGCCGAAATAAGCATGAGCGCTGCTTTCTATGCGACCGCGCCGACCCTCGACAACCCCATTACTACCGCGATTATAATGCCTTAGAGGAACATTTTAAGAAGGATCATTTCTTGTGCCTCGACCGTGAATGCTTGGAGAAGAAATTCGTTGTTTTTGGATCGGAGATAGACTTGAAGGCGCATCAACTTGACGAACACGCGAACTCCTTGTCCAAAGATGTGAGGCGTGATGCCCGCCAAGTTGACATTTCAAGCTTTGACTATCGGCAGCCATATCAACCACAGAGACGCGGTGGCGGTTCCGGTCGAGATAGGGATGGGGATAGGGATAGGGATCGTGAGAGACGAGGAAGGGGTCGCGATCCAAATGCCGAGCCAATTCCTGCTAGTTCGGCGCAACCACTTCGACGTGACGAACTCGCTTTCCAGCGACAGATGGCCATACATTCCTCGCAGTCCGTAACCAACCGATCCTTTGGCGGTCAGCTATCAACACCTTCAACAAGCAATGCGGGCTCATCTGGTCAGACAAGCCAACGCCCTCCCGTGGATTCTACAGTCACTTCGACTCCTGCGCCGCCAACTTCCAATATGGAAGGCCTAAATTTGACTGATCCGAACCTCACACCAGAGGATCGCGCGCGCCTATTACGACATTCTGCCGTGATAGAACGAGCCTCAAACCTCCTTCAAAACGATCGCGATAAGATCGCCGCCTTCCGAAGTCATATATCATCCTATAGACAAGACAAGATTTCCGCGGCAGCACTCCTAGATGCTCTATTCTCATTATTCTCCGATACATCATCTTCTGCTCTGGGGACCTTGATTCGCGAGACTATCGATCTTTTCGAAGACAAGAGCAAAGGCGACAGATTGCGAAAGGCATGGAACGACTGGAGGGCTGTAAATGAGGATTACCCAACGCTTCCTGGTTTGGGCGGTATGCATGGCGCGACAACCTCTAGTACTGGTTGGGCGGCTGCTGCTGCTAGCTCTCCCACAGCGGCAGCTGTGGCACCATCTCAGAGACATACCACAAGGGTGCTTAAGCTTAAGAGTTCTACGCAGCAGTCTCGACGATCTAGCGTAGAGCAATCCTCATCCCTCTTTTCCAACGCGGGCCAGTCCCGACGTCCACCACCGCCAGCAGCCGCCTCCTTCCCCGCGTTACCACCTCCTAGCAATAGCAACAGAAGTGCGACGCGTTCCCCAGCTACGGCTCTTTGGGGTTCCAGTGGAGGAACACCAACTCCGGCTAGGGCGGCGAGATCTACGAACCGAGATGAAGCTTTCCCAGCCCTCCCCACAGCGCCCAAACCTACAACTACAATATTTGGGTACGGAACTGGGAGTGTACGTAGAGATGCTGGGGGTCCAAGAGGCACTGGTTTTTCATGGGGTGGTACGAATGGAGGTGCTTCTGCTTCTACGGAAGATAACGCCGAGGAGGACACCGGCGATGGAGCTGGAAAGGGTAAAAAGGGGAATAAAGGCAGGAAGAAAGTCTTAGTTCAATGGGGTTGAAAATATTTAGAGGCTCATGTATGACTTTCTCTGAGCATTGTAGCACATAATCATGATGATCATGATAGGAATGGTAATGATCTGAGCATTGGGTTGGCTAATATACTCCAACACTACCCTCATGCTACTACTTTGTGTTCGATGCAGATTTGAATTCAACACTCCCCCGAGGCGCTGCCACCAACACACGGCTCTCCTGTACAGTTGAAACCTTGTGGTGACTTGACATTCCCACATAGATAGTCCGTCGCCGCAGTGCCATTGTCGAATTTCAAATCGACGTCGAAAAGCCCAATATCAGTACAGGGCTCAACAGCACTGCACTGCAAACTGGCTATCCTATTCGATTTCGTCGTCCCTAGCAGGTTATATACGGCAACATCTCGAATTTGGAACTGGGAATTTGTGCAGTTACCTTCCCCAGGAGCCCCGTCGAACCTGGTACACTGGGAAATGGAAAATGCCGCGCCGCGAATTCCTGTGACAAAAACATTGGTGAAATTCATATCTGAAGCATCTATAAAAATGAATGGAACTTGTTAGCGTGGCCCTTTAGTTAATCAAGATGAAGTAATAAATGTTTACCTCCTAAACCCCCGCCTCCCCCATTCGGTGGATACCCATTCTGGTCGGCGGTCCAAGTTTTAAAGTATACCTACATTCGATTATGTCGTTAGCGATGCTGGTACACCCGAGATATCCACAACTACCATGTGTTGGCACTTACTGCGTGGAGAGTATTGTCAAAGGTGACATTTTCAACGCTAAATCCCGTAATGTGCTCCTCAACGCCATAATATTGCCCGATACTCCCTAACGCAATGCCACTACCATTGTAGAAATACGAGTTCGTGACGCTAACATTGTAACTATCCGCTTTGAGTGAAATACTGTCATCACCATTATAAACTGTCCAGTTGTTAAATATGATATAAGATGATCGTATTGTGTCCGCCCCGTCAGTATTTGCTGAGAATATGATCTTGTTAACTACCTGGTATGAGTACATAGCAATCAGGGGATACTTACAGCTTTGCGATCGATTCCCGGTATTATTAACGAAGATACTGTCAAGGACGACGTGATCCGAATAAATGATAGACATTGTCCTAAGAACTTAGTACATCCCACTCGCTACACATACCTAGGTACACTTAAAGGGAATGATGTCGCCACTTACCACATTTGACTCCGTAAGAAACGAAGACCCTTCACCACAGAGTTTCGAAGCCCATTAAAAGTAATTGCGTGTGGTCTACCGGGATAATTGGATGTGTTCTCTTGCTGTGCAATCCATTCGTACCAATAGTCGCCATTACCATCGAAAGTTCCTTCGTTATGTCCATCCAACTGTACTCGATCCCCGCCTAAGATAAATGCAGTTGATTGATTCTGATATCCTACATCCAAGGAGTGGTTCAGCCAGTACTGGATGTCGGTACTCCACTAAAAGGGAATATTATTAGAATACCGGATATGATGGCCGTTCTTAGGTCAAACGTACCAATAGCGTCCCATATATGTCAACCGTCACATTCTCAAGCCAGGTAATGTTCAAGACAGATGAAATATAGTAAGTGGTAGGTTCAAATACCACTCTTCCATTTTTCCCACATTCTTTGAACGCATCAAGTATTGCTGGGGCATCGTCGGTCGTATTGATCCCACTAGATTTCACGGTACAGGTTTTGCCTGAAGCAGGTGCAACTAACAAGTTGCAAGTTGCGACAACAAGAGCGAAGCGTGTAAGGTAATGCTCCATGATGAAGATTTTTATTGATTTATGTGGTCAAAGTTCCATTACTCCTCTTTCTCGACTCCTTCTACTTCCTTAAATGTTTTTATGAGGGGAAGATACCCTGAAGATACCTAGGTAGTCTAGGGCCGAATTTGACGTTGCATCCGACCCGAGCACCCCAGGATTCACGTCGGCGTTTATTATACTGGAATAGGAAAGAAGATATTGGCGGCGGCGGGAGGATGCGATGACGTAATGAGATTTTGAATGCCCACCCGAGTAAATAAGCAACATTAGGATAAATCATCACATTCGACTACGACTGTTGCTCATTGAATACTGGGCCATTATCGGGCTACTACGCAGCTAATAGTTATATCCAACTAGATATCAAACCGATAATATGGAGAATTGTAGTTGATTGAGTTGAAAGCGTAAGATGAATAAAATGATAGGTAAGAAGAAAAAGAAGAACAAGAAATGAAAGAGAAAGAGAAATAAAAGGAAAAAAAGAAAGAAAAAAGCCATGGGAATAAGAAATTACCTGGGTGTTCTTTTCTGTAGGTGCCCCATCGGACACCCGTCTGGGTGGGGAATTCATATTAAGTGTTGTTCTCTAAGCCCATGGCGTACACTTATATTGATCTACACTGATTAACTACATATGTACTCATTGTACGTACAGTATGTAAGCGCTAGTGTGAAGCCTTCTAAGGAGCAAAGACTCGCCATATAAACTCATCTGCGCGCCCCCCTAGAGAGCTACGTTTTCTTGCCCTTTATCTGGGGAATGATCAGATTGGAGGGCTTTAACCCGGCGATGGTTTGGGTGGCCAACCTAGCTTGGTCGCTGGTAGCGATGCCATTTATCATTCCGTAGATGTAGCGACGGATAAGGCTGATCACCAGGGCATTGTTGTACGGGCATACCCAATGGGTTTGGGCAGCGTCCCATCTGGTGACGGATATCAAGTATTGTGCCTGAGAGCACACTGGGGGGTGGGCGAGGGCTTGGTGGTCCTCAAGGAAGCCGTCGAGAGCCGCAGAACCTAAGCCATTCACCAAGATAAAGTCGAGAACATTGTGCTCTACCTTGTACCGGGGTCGGAAGAAAGCGGGTGCCCTCTTCTTGCGAGCTACCTAGGTAGGTGTTGCTGCTACTTGCGGGCCTGTCTTCTGCATTATAGTTGGTCGGCGGCCGTTATTGGATATCGCTCATTCAAATCGGTAATGAACTGCTGTAGGTAGCGAGCTGGTAGGAGGAATATGATTAAGGTGAAAAGAAGTGTGGTGGTCGAGTTAGTTGTAAGAAATAAGAAATCCACGGCGAGAAGACTCTAGGTTATATAGAAAATTTATTATGGGCCCTGGTTGTCCGTTCCTTCCTTCTCTATGCCATGGAGCTTGATCTGATGACCACGGCCAAACTTTATGTGACCGAGGTTCGGCTTTAAAAAGGTTAAGTAACTTGCTTAGGTTGTCTCATGGTTGAATTACGGTAGGTACTTGACAAGATAAGGGAGTGTGTTGGCAGGTACGATGATATTACGTATATGAACAATGTCTCTATCGCGCGTTATCATAAGCCATTTTTATACCGCCGAAGTAGAAATTTTCTCCCTCTTACCAAAGTATGCGCCCGTAACGAGATCGGTCGCTATCCGTAACAACTCTTGCCTGATACTAAGGTTTTGCAAAACCGTAGCCACAAAGATAACGATAATCAATAATGGGATCGCCGTTTCGAAAAATATCTACTCAATGTTTAAGAGTCGGTCATTGTTGGCGGAAGTAAACCACACGTGGTTTTGGACGGCAAAGACGTATGTGACGGGAAGTTATTTCTTCCTATGGAACATTCGTAAATCGGCAATGAACGGCAGCAGATACTGACCTGAAGCGTACCCTGTCGGAGCAAATCGCCGAGGTCCTCCTGCATGGAGAATATCCCCGCCATCAAGCTAAAGGGGATGAAGCCCGTTGCTAAGACCGTCAGCCGGCCAATGTTTTGGTTGTCTGTTAGGCCCCGCCGTGAGTCCTCAATTGACATTACGGCTGTGACGACCGACGTCAGCCGATCTAACCGCTGCTGGTATTCATCTAGTTGCTCCATGATGATTAATAAGTCTTTCTCATAAGACGAGATAGCGCCCCGCTGAAGCCGTGGCATTCTCAGTAACCCGAGGGAACTCTTTTGACTAGATGAGGTCAGAGGGTGTGTCGTAGATAGGGGGCGGTTCCTCCATGAATCTCCCGGTGCCTCTTTGTCAAAGGCACTGATTGTGGTTCTCCCGTCGTTACGTCTGGCTCTATTCGCCTCTGTTTTAACAGATGAACAGTCAAACACACACCGAAGCGTCTCTGCTACCATCTCGCGATATATTGGGATGAAGCGTCCCCACATATGCAACCCTTCGAGCGTGGCTTTGGCATCCTGGCCCGTTGAGAAACTCTCAGGTTTTACAATTTCCAGGTCGATTTGGCATAGCCTCGTTTTGATGTAATCAAGTATTGCCAGCCACTCAGAGCAGATAAAATGGAGCAGGATCTGGATCGGCTCCTGGTCATCGTCGGTTGTTGGTTCCAAGACGAGATTGCGGAATATCTCGGGATGGTAGGCCCAATAGAGGAAATCTTTGAAGATGGTCTCTTGCTCTGCATGGTTCTGGTTTGGGTGGTCGGCGTACTCGTTAGGTTTCGGAACTGGTTGGCAATTTCGTCGCCCTCGCCAAAGTGGGACGCCTGCTTGCACTGTCGGGTCAAGAAGCAATACTCCTATAATAACCTAGCATTTAGAATACTAGAAAGCATTACAACAGTTACCCCTCCGGTAGAGATTAGAATGCACCTACTCACCAATACGACTTTTAGACTTCATATGACGTTCGGGTGACACCCAATATGTGGCTCTCGACCTCGTCAAACCTACCGTCGCACCCTCTTCATCCCACCAGGCCTTATTGCATAGATCGTCATCTACTCTCCTCTTGATATTAAACTGCTTAGCCTGATTGTTCCCTTTGTCAAATTCTTCGGGTCGGAAATATCTGACTGTGACGTAGCGCAATTAGATCCAGTTCTAGAGTCGACCCACAATGTCGAGGACAGGAGGGTCTCTCCACCGGTCGCGGACGTTATACCAGGCGTAGTCTACAATGTGACTCCGGAAGACATCAGCTTCGATGTTGAGTTCATGCCCTAGAACTTCAATGACATCTCGAGACAGATCTTCGACCACGTATAAGCGGAGATGGTGCTGCCGATAGTTTCTATGATGCGTTCTTCATTTAGGAATTTTCGTAGTTCATGGGCGGATTCAATAGGAGGCGCTGGTTCAATAACGTTATTATCAAAATAGTCTAGCACGCGGACCTTGGTTCGTTGGATGCGCTCAGATTTATCACCTAGATCTCCCCGTTTCAAAGGATCGGCTCCGATTTCCATGAAGTCTCGTAAAAGTCTGCAGTGTATCCAGCCCTTAGAGATGTTTTGTACATATTTAAGATATGGTTTCCTAGCAAAATGGGCCAATCAACTGGTTAGTCAAACAATACACGGTGGTCGTTAATATGGAGACAAGCTATCAAATCAAAGAGAGACTGACGGATTATTCACTTTCCATGATTTCCTAAGGGATTCCTGCCTATTGTCATCATACACATCACCAAGGAAGTCGTAGTATTTTGTTCGCAGTTCCGGCCTGAACCACGGATCCTTTGGTTTCATGGACTGGAACATGGCGCAGCTGACGTTATATACGAACTTATTGATCGTTTCGTAAGACCTTCATACTGATTTTTTCGCACTCGTTATTGTCTCCCAACTAGCAACGAACGTTACGAAAAAAGCGAATGATTTTGTAGGGTGTGAATGAGGCTTGAGCCTCCTTTTATCTTCATGGTAGCGTTCGGTCAAGACAGTTACATCATCAGAATACACGTACGCACGGGCAGGATGGTTCAAGGCTGAGTGCCTAAGCAAAAATGCCTTGAACACGTAGCTCCCTACTAACGGTAGATTGACACGATGCGGTGGGAAAGTATTGAGAGAGAGAGAGAGAGAGAGAGAGAGGAAGAAGAAGTCTGCCTCGGAATTTTTTTTTTTTAAAAAAAATTAAATAAATAAAAAATATAAAAATATAAAAAATAAACGGCCGCAGCACATTGGGGGGTGATAGGCATCCCAGATCGGATAGCCCCCGGACATTGTAGGATATCGGTGCTTCAGCCGCAATGATTTTCGCATATGGTACCTAAGCAGGAAGTGCGTAACCACGCATTGCATATAGTCTGCCTAGATACGAATCGTGGAAGCTCAAGCAGTGAAATACGTGGCATGGCTTGTCAACTGAAGAGTAGCCAATACATATGTATCACCTAGGTACTTAAAGTACCATCTAAGGCTGGCAGGTATTACCAATTGAGTGGGACAGGGAACGGACCGAAGCGCGTACGTATTGTTAACCAACTCCCGGGATCTTGTTCTTTCTTTTCTATTGCCTGTGGATACTACCTAGGTAAGTTCCTTTTGTGATATTGCTTATTTCTCGTTATCGTTTTATTCACCCCAATATACAGGATAGTTCTTGCCGCTACGAAAAGCCTTGCAGATTCAAATGTACGAAATGCTCCGGTTAAGAATCAATGAGTAAGGTTGTTGTTCGTTCCAAGATCTCTAGGGTCATCCGACTGGGCTAGATGTAGGTATACTTTTGAGCTCGTAACACGCAGATATCCGACGCTAACCCTCTTCTAGTATAGCCGAGTCAACCTTGTAATAAATAAATCCTCGTCCTTTCAAATTTAAAGCTAGAGCCTCATCTAGAACTCTCATCATAATATCATTTCAATTGCAAAAGTCGGCTGCGATGGTTATGTATGCTTCTACCAGTTGACGAATTGATTCGACTTAGACCCATTCTGTCTTCGAAAGCAATCCATATCCATTTGGCCCCCATATTACTCCACCCCTATATTGTTACTCGACTCGATTAATTAAAAGTGCTTCAGTCAAAATTGGGGTAGGCTTTGCTTGAGTCGGATTAGATCAGATCTGTCCAGCCCAGTTTGGAAATAATTTAGAGAATTTAACCAATCAAATGCGAGAACTTTCATGCGTGGAGGAGTGAGGGGGCTGGCGTAAAGTGGGGGGATGTGGTGAAAAAGCAACATTATTCTCCTTTCAACCTTTCTACCCTTCTACCTAGGTACCCTATGTTTTCCCCCAATTCCCCCACTATGTCCTTTGCCCATGGACACCCTCAAAGATAACACCTACAGCAGATGGTGGATATTTGTATTTGTTCAAATTTACCATTCATGGTTGGAATATTTCTTCATTTGTTAGATGGAAATATTATCTCCATTCAAACTACCTACTTAGAACTAGACAATTGCCGGCTTATAATCGCTGAAATCATAGTCTTCCTTTCGAATCTTCTTCCAAGCAGCAATGGTTTGCTTTCGAGCCAGGGCAAAAGGCAACTTGGAAAGCGGAACGCATCCATCTTTTGTTGCTTCCACGGTCTGGCCAATAGAGCTCGCCGTATCGGTAACCCTATCCATCAAGATATGAATGAAGAATACCATTCCTGGCCGTGCCACGACGTCCAAGTCACGCCAATCCGTAGTACCATGGAACAGAATCTCCTCTTGGAATTTTCTAAACGTTTGACACTATAATGTTGTCATTCTCTAGATGGTTATGTCCCCTTAATTAACAAAATAGATGTTAGCTACTAGATGTTCCATCATTTTGAGGCAGTTCATCCCATGCTTCAATTGGAATAGATTCATCAATCCCAGGTGCCTACCTAGGTAGATATTGGTACATTTCGGCTTGGTGATGGTTAATGGACAACTAATCAATCACGATCCTATAGAGATTGCAACAAATCGCATTGAGTTGATTATTTATTTGGAAGTCTATAAGTGTACCTATCAATTAGAGGCAAGACCCGCAGCATACACCTCCGATATCTTCTGCCTCTCCATTGTATAAGACGCTCTTGTTATTTTCTTGGGTAGACACAGGAACATCTATGCCAGGGTTACCCGTGAAGAAGTTTACGGGTTTGAGACCAACCGTAATCTTTTCATTAGGCATAACTGGCCAATCTTCAATACGGGGATTGTGTGTCATTCCAAATGTGTGCCAAACGACGATGTCCGAGTTCCTAACTGACTGCGCAGCTCCATATGCGTCGCGCTTCTGGATTGCTGAAGCAATTCCGTCGCCCCCTGTAGACTGCATTGTATATCGACCCGCAGGGAAGTGGTCATCGTCTTCGTATCGAGTAACCCAGACAGCATGTTGGCAAAACTCAGACCGTTTCGCATGGAACGAGTCTGGATGGGACAGCAACATTTGACTAGGGTGAGCAAGAAGTTTATATCCAACAGGTGTTCCAGTGATGGGGTTGATTTTGTTTTCGTTCAAGAATTTAAAGACCCGTGCCTTGCTGACATCAAGGTCGAGCCCTCCTTCTTGCTCTACAAAACGGTGCTCTGTGTAGTATCCTACGCCGAACGGGTTATGAATCGCAGGATCCCCAATTGGCATAGATTTCGACTCTTCTATCGCGAGGGTATTGTTTCTCCCATCAATAGCTGGGTCGATTCGGAGACTGAAAAGATGTTGATGGTACGGTGCCATAACACCAGGCGCAACCACAGTACCATAAGGAATATCGCCCTTTTGATCAATATTATGGGGTACAGTAGATAAGATACCCGTAGCGCGAATCTCATAGAAGATGGATGCGTCCTGGCAAAATTGGAAAGCGAAGATATACTCGTAGTTGCTGACGGTGATGATTGTTTGTAAAACGAGAATTCGGGATCGGGTAACCACCGCGTTACGCGTACGGAAATTGGCGTGCTTCCATAAAATGCCATCATCTTGTTCATGGCAGCAAATGATATTAGGTAATTTCAGGGGCTCTCCAAATTGAGTGTTGTGCCAAGCGTCGAAATATTTAATGGTTCCTAGTTACGACGAAATGTTAGCCCTGTGAGTTTTAGAGGATGAAAGGTGCCTTATTCAAGCTTACCGAGGCAATCACAACCTAACTTGAGGTTATTGGCATTGATTCCAGCACCATCGTTGCCAAGATCGAAGGCGGCCTTGCGTGGATATGGAGCACGTGGGTCACCATAAGGAACAAACATTTCCGCAAGCGAGAGACGGTAGAATAGGCTCCGACCATCATAACGGATGTCATGAAGGGTCAGTCCCTCTCGATAGTTAAACCCGACGCGAAAACTCCATTTCTCCCATGTCAGATGATTTCCCCTTGTTTTAAAGGACGGACCCTCAGGCTGAACCACCTGATAAGGCTTGGTTGTAGTTCGAGGGTTCGGTCTTAAGTCTGGGTGATATTCGCTGGCGGACGTTTCGTGTATCTTTCGGCGATCATAAGAGCGATCTTCGTTATTGATTCTTTCCTCTGCGGCACCGGGAAGGCGGTAGACTCGGGTAACCTTGAGCTGTTCAGACACTTCTGCGCAAACATCGAGCGGATAGGCATAGTAGTTAGCATCTGGGTGGTCTATATGGCGACAATAGAACCAACACTTCCGAGATATTAGCATTGCTAAAGTTAGGTACTGATTAGAATGGATTTTTTTACCATGGTGACCCGCTCTGTCATGTCATTCATTCCATCTGTAGCATATGCCCAAGGTTCGACGATGGCAGTCGATCCCGGAGGAAGACGCAATTTACGAATTTCATCCTGTACCTGTTCATCGGCGAGACAGGCAGCTTCGACTTCTCTCATATAACCAGAATCAATATAGGAATGTTTGCCTTCGAGCTGTTTCTTCCCCATTACCTTATCATGGTCGAGGTCAACAAGAAGCTCCCAGAGCTTATTCTTGCCAGACCGGTTCCTCACGATAACCTCCACGCGCGCGCAACGAATAGGAGCTTGGCCTATAGGTTGCTTTCGGTGTTCGCGATCGAGAAATTCCATCATGATATTTTTCGGTGGTTCTTTGAGGGTGACAACTCGAAAATTCATACCCTGCAAATGAAACACGGACCGCACGCACTCCACAGCCTGTAGTTACATAATTGTCAACATCAATCATGGAAACATACGTTTAGTAAACATACCTTAGTGATCTCCTCGGGCCGCAGAGGATCAAAGGGGTGAATCATGGTCGCCATGATGCTTAGCAAGGTAGGAAATAGTAAAGGTAGGAAGGTTTACGGCGACACTCTTGCAGAGTGCTCTTGCTAGACTCTACGAAAACATTCGATATCCTTTACGAGTTCTCCATCTAGAGCCAAGGCGTTTTGCGCTTCCTTGGAACTCGGGATGGTGGCGGTAAGTTGCGTCGGAGGTGTTCAACTCCAGAGGTTTAGTGTTGGGACCCGATCCGCTTGATGACGACGAGGCCGGTACTTCTTCGCGTACAACTCCCCTTAGCGATTGTGAGTTGGGGAGTTGATGAAAGGCTTCGCTTCTAAAGGTTTAGCGCGGAGCTCCGATCCTTTTAGGAACGGCGAAGACGGCCTGCAACATCGACCCACTCATTCTCGCTTCCTTGCTCCTTGTCATGTGAACCATCATTACCGATAATGTGACTACGCGCTGATAACCTCTAAAGGAAAGACCGAATAGGTAGATCGATAATTGCGTGCCCCGGGCTCGTGCAGTGACCTCTAAAGGAAATTTATGGGCGAAACCCGCTCGTTTCAAAGATGGGGAAAACCTGGTTGGAGTCAATCTTCCCTTGGGCCGGCCTGTGTTTTCTACATTCCATGTCGAAGACCCAATACGGAGTAGAAAGGGGAACTGATGTTAGGATTCTTCCACAGGCTTCATCATAACACACCATATAGAAAAGGTACCTACAGGCTATCATAGGAATCAGATTGATATAAAATTTCAATTATAACCTTTTCGCTTGATCACCATGCCGCCACCGAGTACCGTAATCACTTATCCCGATCCTAGTTCTCACCCTCATTATAGACTTACAAGTAAAAAAACAACGGCGACCCAACTACCCTTCCAGGTAGGCTATCTTTTCTGTTAGGTGCAGTGTTTAGGTGCTTATATGCTATCAGCTGAATAATGCGGGCCTTTTCCACCAGAGCGCGCTACGAAATGGCGAATGGGTGCAATCGCAGTCAAGAGACACCTTCAATATTGAAGGTGAGTTCTCAACCTTGTATTACCGTTCGTCGCTGTAACCATGTTAACGTAGTTATCAAATCCTGGCACTGGAAAAGTGTTCGCATCCTGCCCGATCAATAAAACCCCTGACGTAGACGACTATGTCAAAACCTCCCACAAAGCGTTCCTCCAATACCGAGAGGTGAACCCCCGCCAGCGAGCGAAGATGCTCCTGAAGTGGCATGACCCCATCACCAACGCTCGAGAAGATATCGCTAAACTTGTAGTGCATGAAACCGGCAAACCTACCAACGAGGCTCTCGGCGAGGTCGATTATGCTCTCGGATTCGCGGCAACATCGCAATTCCCTCGGTTTCCAACCGTCGTACACTTGTCATCAAGCAGCCTATTGGTGTCAGCATTGCTATTGTACATTGGAACTTCCCGGTGACCATGATCATTATTCGTAAGGTCGCTGCAGCTCTAGCTGCGGGATGTACTATGGTTATGAAGCCTTCTCCAGAAACACTTTTGAGTACACTAGCTCTAGCCGACTTGGCTTTGCGGGCTGGATTTGCTCCTGGTGTACTCAATATCATCATTGCCGACAATAAAAACACGCCGGCTGTGAGCGAAGCCCTCTGTAAGCACCGTCTTGTTCGTAAGGCCACCTTTACAGGAAGCACTGCTGTTGGGAGCCTTATCGCACGACATTGTAGTTATGGGCCAAAGAAGGTGACGATGGAATTAGGCGGCGATTGTCCGCTGATAGTCTTCGATGACGGAGATTTGGACCAGGCAGTAGCCGCGTTGATGATTTTGAAATGGCGTACCGCTGGATAGGCATGCACCTATGCTAATAGAGTGTACGTCTAGAGTGGCGTGTATGACAAATTCGCCGAAAAGATGCTCGCGGCTACGAGAAGTCTTCGAGTTGGCTATGGCGCCGATCTATCAACTACCATGGGCGCACTTACTACATCTTGAGGGATAGAGAAACTTGAGGCACGTCTCGGATGCTGTTGCGAAAGGTGGCGGAGTTTTATGTGGCGGAAAGATCCAAGGCCAAGGCTATTTTATTTCTTCGAGCCTACCATCATCTCCGATATGAAATCTTCTATGGTTAGTTTCAATTTCTTCCAAGGCCACTGCGTATCTTGTCACCATAAAGCATTGTTCATAGCTCCTAAATATCCCAGAGGGTAGCAATAACTGACTATGGACCCTGGCAGTTAACCACACAAGAAAAGATCTTTGGCCCCCTTCTGGGTCTATACAAGTTTGAAACGGAAGATGAAGTTGTCAAACTTGCCAATGGCACATCAATGGGTCTTGCATCATATTTCTTCACCAGGGATGTGAGAGGTTGCTCAGTTTGGAAGCAGACATGATTGGCATGAACACTGGTTCGTATTTGTCGACCTTCTTGGCTTGTAAGCTCTTGTTAACTTGTTTTCTAGGGAATTCTTCATCTGCTGAATCGCCTTTCGGAGGCATTAAGGAGTCGGGTTATGGTAAGGAAGCAGGAAAAGACGTTGCGATCGAGGAGTATCTCATTTCGAAGACTGTAACATTGACGATTGGTGAAGTATCTAAATTGTGACGGTCGCATTGCAATCGCAAATGTAGTGATGTTAGTGATATAGATACATCGCTATGAGCAATAACAATACCTTTTTGGTCGATTATTTCAGATACGTTAGCGGACTAACAGCCTCCATGGGAGATGCCTGGATGGGCTTCTGCTTAGGTACACTACGCCCTAGAAGCGTTCATGGATGTCGCTAGAAGCGGGGATAATAGCCCCCGAGTCCGCGACGCGTTCTTTGGTTTGCGAAAACGTGATAGGATACGCTTGCATGTTGAAATGGTGGTGTTAAAAATAGATATATTCTGTCTTATAAAATGCGACAGATTGATTTTATCGCATTTTTATCTTTCATTTTGCAAAGAAGCCAATTGACGTTGATAGTAGGTAGATAATGAAGAAGATGATTGTAGTATGGGGTAGGTAGGCGGGCAGGTAGAATTATGGTAGAATTGAATTCAAGCTCATTAGCACCTTCGGACCTCCGATGTAGTGGTTTATGCACCTGAAATTTGCACTAGTGTAAATTCAACCAATCAGGTTGGCTTATGCCAGTGATGGGGAATCCTTAAATCCTTGAAGGGAGCACGATTAATTGTTTCTTCCTTTTTTAAATTCCCTCCCAACGCATGTAATGGTTTCTATTACCCAGGTAATTTTATGCCAACGTTGAGATGGTTATAGAGCATACCCAGCGACAATCATTGAGATAATGATATATCATCCAGGGCCTTCGATTCTCTAGGCGGGGTTCAGCTAACAGATACTCCTCTCGTTATGCCACGAACACTTCGCTCCCTCTACGTTAATCAACATACTCAAATATAAGAGGCAACGCCATCGATCACAATCGGAGAAGTCCCGCGTTCATGTAACGTAACCATGACCTCTCGCAGTTCAACAAACCTAAACATTCATGGTGTTCGCTGTCTTCTTCAAAGTGCCTGATTGTTTCCATTCTGTATCTCTAACTATCTACGATTAATCAGCTTCGATCCTAGCGATCATGCAACCTAAGCCCTACATCCTAGCGGAAACGCACATCTCAGCTACTATCCTATCATTCACATCGGGACCTGAGCCGCAACTCAAGCTGACACTTACTCTAGTAGGCGCGCAACAACCCATCACTATTAGCAAAGAGTACTACCAACTATTCACACCGAGTAATGCCTTCATAATTAGTGGGGTGCCCAGTGGTCGGAAGATCTACACTTTATTTGTCGATATAAATCATCGCCTTGGGCCACCATTGCACCTCGACGCTGAGCATGCTGATCGGTTCTTGACTCTAGAGCCTGGCATACCATGCGAGATTCATAACTTCAGTTTCCGGCCTCTTGGCTCCGAGAGAAACAGCCAGAAGGCGGCGTTGGCGCCTGAGGATGATAATAATAAGTATCGCGGGTACAAGTTTTTGCGGCTGGGCATGAACTGGCTAGAACCTGGGGACGAGTATCTAATTAGTGCGCGCCCAGGTTTACAGATTGGGACCTGGCGCCGAGGAAGGAAAGAAGAGCTAATGCCTTGTGCGTGGAATACATCGGATGGAGATCCACTTGATGTTGTTCCGACTGAAGGCATCCGGGTCCGAATTGAGGAATAAATCATTTCCACTCTTAATATTAAGCACAGAAAAGGCTTCATCCAATGGCCATGCTTTGACCAGGGTTTGACCAGGGTTTTGACCGTGGTTGCTGGACGGTGTTCTACAATTGAAAATCAAGAGTGTAGACCTCGAGACGGAAGTAGCGACCAAATCCCATACCTACCTAGGTAGGTAATTAAACTGCCATAGCAAACCATTCCGAGCGTGGATTTATTTCTCCCCATGAATTGAACTCATCCATCTACTTTTCAATCTTCACCTATATTTTATTACGTGCAATCCATTAGGCCTGGTCGAAATCATCTTGCCACCATCTTGTTCCGTACCTTTCAAGGACTAGAAGTAAGTGTCTAATCATGTGTTTTATGGTTAATATTGTGTTCTAACCCGGATATGCAGCATCCGCCAACATTTTTACAATGTCTTCCGCAAGTTTCAATGCTGACAACAACACTCCCTCCTCGCGCCCCGAGCATGGTATGAGCCAGGAGTCGCGCGAACTCTGCGAAGGGTTTATGGAGGCCGCATGGAAGAAGCTCTTCCCTGATCGCGACATCGAAGGCGCTACCAAAACCTGGTTCTGGGACCAGATCTACGTCAACTGGGACCCGGTTGTCATTCCTGCCCTTAGAACGCGAGACCCAGACCGCCCGCTCTCCAGTTTTGCTACTGTAGTAGGGACTTGGAGCGAAGACCTGCCCGTCGCTCACCCCACGTCGCAACAACAGGTCGCTCGCCGAGCTGGCGCAGTGGCTTACATGCGTCCTTATTGGGACCGAGCTCATGGCTGTCCGCGATTTTCCATTGTAGACTCCAATGGATCAATTGCTTCTGAGGAGTTCTTACGCAATTCGGCCGTCCCTGCTGGTACCCTACCGGTTTGTACACGACGGCAGTACGCCACTGCCATCAAGAACTGGGATAACTCCCAACCCCGCTGGGTAACTTCGTACAACAACGGCCTCATCATTAACCTCATCCGCGCTCACATCTGCGCAAGGGCTACACCTGCAATGCAAGCATACCTAGCAGGATGGAGTATCTCAGATCTTAAGTCCTATGACCTCATTACCGAAAAGCTTTCGCCTTCTCTTGAGTTTTGGGAGGAAATGCCCAATCTCATCGGCGCTTTTCCTTCCTTCTGGAGAGACGTTGCAAATGCTGTGTTGAATGATGCGACGAGTCGCGAATTTGAGCTAATTTACACTCTCTAAGGCGGGATACACCCCCAAAGAAATTGCCAATCGGAATGTGTCTCTAGGGATTGCAGGCTGGATGAACTCTCCGAGAGGAGTTCCTGAATGGAGTGCATCCTTGGGAAGACTGGTTGAGTTAGGGCGGAACATGCTCATGAGGTAGATCGCGGAACCACATACCCCTTGCGAATTAGCTATGCTTTAGTAAATGCGTTTCCCATTAATACATGTATTGAAATCCCGAGTATACGCAGTGATGCAACGTGGCAAAGCAGATTTTATGACACAACATTGTCGTATAAAATTGTCCGAGTGGTAATGCCCCGAAACTATTCCCGCTAATGACCTCACCCTCTGCATAGAGCATTTAATTTCTATATTAGGGCAACTTCATTCAGATACCAAGCTCAAAGTAGGTACTGTATACCTCAAATCTTTTTCCCAAGTTAATGATCCTCTCTGGGGTCGGCTCTGGATCAAGCTTCCATAGGACCTGCACAGAAACAGTCTCATGGACCATCACGCTGCTTTTTTTCCCCTGTATGGGCCAGAAGCTAAATCCGTAAAGAATAGAACTTATCTATAGGTAGTTTGAAAACGAAACGACCATCAACAACAATTTTGGGTTTAATGAAAAGAGGCATAGGAAGAGTACCAAGACCTTCAATGAAGTGGCAGCACAAAGGGTTATGATTCTAGGCAAGCCATTAAGAACCCACGATGTAAGCATCGCTACAATAGGCACACAATTGTACTGATTAAATGGTAAAAAGATTGATTGTTCGTCGTTATACCTGCTGGCCGTTTGTACTTACGAAATATATGATAGTGAATATATAGTTGTCTATGCTCCAATGTATAACTCTACTATACCGTTGTTGCCCAGTCGCGTCGCCATGAGTCAACAAACTTCTTGACAATACCACTAGAAACTAAATCTATTCCACCCTTTAGAGAGGGACTAGCCTGTTCCGTAAGTTTGGTGCTGTAGACCAAACCTGCTCGGCTTTCCTCATTGTCGTACTTTCCGGCAAAGAATTCGGTTAACTTGACGGTAGGATTTTTCGTAGGGTCCTGTTCACCTTCCCTTAGGCGCTTGATCCATTCTCTCTGTCCGACAATCTCAAATTCGAGACCCGCGCCGTGAAGAGCTGGAAGGAGATCCTTCGTCCAATGAAAAACAGAAGAATTTACAAGGTGATAGATAACCTTTGGGTCATCGCCATATTGCTTTGCTAAAATGGCACTATCATCCTCTGGAGCTTCCAAGGCACTCAATTCTAACACGGCCTGGGCGACGACATCTACCGGAGTCCACGATGGTGTTTCGTCAAGGGCAGGCAGGGCGCCTAGGGTCGTGGCGCTTCGGATCATCAAGGGGATACCTTCGTCGGGATTCCATCGGCCAAACACAGTGTCCCCCACGATTTGTCCCACTCGAAGCACCTTGGAGATCATCCCGGTCTGCTCGGCCGCCGCTTGCACTATGCGCTCAGCGACGAGTTTCGATCTAGCATAACCCATATTATGAGCGTGCGATAACTCTGGAATTGGTCCCTCAGCGATGGTGGCTGGTCGTGGGGTGCGGGTAGCCACCGAAATTGAGGAACAGAAATAGAATTCCGCTGGGGACTGGCGACGGGAGGAGAGACATAGATTTATCAGGTTGTGCACGCCAGCAATATGATGCTCCTCGAAGCTACGGACTCCGATATTAAAGTTCACCGCCCAAGCGCTGTGAATGACCTTAGTCAGTGTGTTGCGAAGTTCATGGATCACGTCTGAACCAAGACCAAGGTCCGGCCTGGAGAGATTTGAGGGCAAAGCTCGAATCTTCGATATGTTCGTGATTGGTAGTTCCCTCGCTGACAAGGTAGAGATGACTCTGTCTAGGGCAGCGTCGGCCGACGAGGCTCGTACTAAACAGTAAACTCTTCGGACGGATTGCTTTAAAAGAAGCTTCGACAGTATATAACAGCCAAGCGAGCCAGTGACGCCGGTGAGGAGCTAAGTAAGTTAGTCATGAGCAACGCCATAGGAAGGGAGTCAATACTAACCACTACTTCTTGGTCGTCAAGTACAGGTTTCTGAAAGACGGCGTACTTCTTGATTAGTTCAGCCATAATATCAAGTTCGTTCTCTGCTTCCTTTTGCTCTCCTGTTCTTAGGCTGTGCAAATGAACCGCCAATCTCTTTATGTTACCAAATTCGTACAAAGCGTTTTGATTGAGGTTGCCATTTCCAAGGTCTAAATGTCTCTTAATGATGCCGTAAGCCTTGATCGCTTGCAAGCTGTCCATACCGGCCGTGAAGAAATCTGTGTCGGGCTCTATATGATCGAAGCCTAGATCTCGTTGGACAATCCCGACTAAAAAGTCCTCTATGCCGGCCACACTCAAAGCTAGCTTAATCGCGGATGACTGTACTTCGGTAGAATCGCTTGAACCGCTAGCACGATCAAACAGCTCGTCAATTACCCCTTCAAAGTGTTTGTAACATGCTTTTCGAATCAGAGTACCCTTTTCCGTTTGAGGATACCATACATCGACAGGAAGTACCTCGACCATATCTTTCGAGATCTGGCTAAAAGCCTCAGCATTTGAATTTGCCGCAGCGATGTCGGGCCATACGCTGTCTAGTATCTGACCCTTTTCGAGGCCTCGCGCATTTTCGCTGGGCATAATGAGCAGTCCAGGCAAAAGCCTGCCAACACCAACTACGAGAACTTCTTTGACGAGTCTATTTTGTCTTATGCGATGCTCTATCGGAATGGGAAGAACTTTTTCGCCGTTCATGAGGGTGACTCGATCGTCGAGGCGTCCAACATATTTCCAACGATTCGGAAGGCTAGGATGTTTCACGAAGCGATCACTAGTTCGAAATGAATTGGGCGGGTCGTCTGAATTGCTCACATTTTTCGAGGGTAAGCCATCTAGAACAACACACTCGAATGAACCGTCGTCTAGGGGATCGAAAAATAAGTATGGCGCGGCGGTTGGCAGAGGGTGTAGATAATTCCATGCTTTGTCGTCTGGTGGGCGATCTGAAGTCATGAGCTGGCCAAACTCTGTGGCGCCGTAGTGGCTAATTAGATGGACACCACCTGCGACCAGTTTATCGCCTAAATCATCTGGACAGCTACTTCCTCCAAATAGGACCTGCTTAGGTCCTGCCAACGCCTCAATCCCACCGTCTGTCTCCGCAATGAGCTTCAGCGCGTAGGGTACACAATGAAGACTCTCGGGTTTGGTACTCCGTAGTCCCTTGACCAGATACCCGCCTGTCAATGGCAAGGAAGCGTTATACAGCGCAATAGGCTTACCCTTGAAGAGGGCTCTGAAGAACATGCTAACACCGTGGCCGTGGTAGAACGGCAGCGTCACGAAATAGGACTCAAACCCTCTGCTGAATGTGTAGTTCGAGATGCCGGATTTGTGTATGCTAGGTATTGCTTTGGGATATCCTGTTGACCCGGAAGAATGAATGATGTACGCTGTTTTTGTGCCATCCTCCACGGCGCTCTTGAATTTGTATTCAGAAGATTCTGTGCAGCGCGTATACGTGGGTTGCGTTGTGAAGACGAATGACTTCAGGCTGTTGCACTGAGTATGTAGCTCGGAAACCGACTTGACTAAGGCTGGTATCTCTGCGTGTATAATATGGTGACAATCCGTTTGGTTGAGGAGACTCATGTAGGCTTCTATACTGAGGCGTGTCGAAAGATAGAAGACTGCGTAGCCCATGCGAGCTAGAGCGAAGACGGCCACGACGTAATCGAGATTGGCCGGACCCAGCAGCGCAACCACTGGACTGTCTTTCGACGGTGCTTCCTCTTCAGGTCGCCCTAGTCCTTGACGTCGCAGATCTTGGATCGCTCCGTTCACGAAACGATCAAATTGTCTCGCCGTATAATAGATATATTCCTCCGCAGTATGGGGATTGGCAGGGTATCCGATCATGGGAATATCCGGGGTGGAGCGGCATCTTTCAATCAGAATTTCCTCTAACCTATAGAATGTGTTGTTCACTACTTGTGTAGATGTCGGAAGGACGGTGGTTATCGGTAGAGGTGATGATTTCTTCCTTAGCAAGCCTAGTTCGGCGCCAGCATGTGGCAGATGTGAGATCGTTGCAGCCATCTTCGCAAGATGGATACGGGGAAAACCAAATCGCTGCTAGCACCGGAAGTATTCTCACCTGCCACGTGGTTCTCACGTGGGGAAGATGAATAGAAATGAAAATATCGATTGGTAAGGAGGATATCTCGCGGTTTTCAACGATTTTCAAAGCTGGACCTGTGTACCTACGTAATCATATCCAACGAATGCGAAAGACCTGGGGAAATGCGGGCTAAGGATTTTATGTATCGTGACCCTGATCCCCTGCGGACCTTACATGCCGCGGGGGATATCCGCGAGTCGAGCGGGCCAACATCTTACCTAGGTGTAGATCTGAAGGGATTCTGGGGTATTGGTGTACCGAGTAAGGTCTCGGATATCGCCTGTAAGTTGGTAGATGGCCTCTCACCGGAAAACTACCAATAGAGGGGCAAAATGTCTCCGCTCGCTTGGTCGCTTATCCGAGCAGGACTAGACCACCGCTTTCTAGCCGAATATCCAGAACTGTACGGGTTTCGGGTCGAGGAGACAAGCACCGACATTTTCGGTAGGCATCTTGAAAATCGGATACGAACTTTGAAAGTTGAGGGGACCTCGTGCCGATAATTCCGCACGACTCATCCACTCAAAGGAGATTGGGAAAAAGCATTCGCGCCTATTCGGCGGAAGCGCGCTGATTTTTAGTGGCTGGTTGCTATATTTTACGACGAATGAGAGACGCACGGCATAATGCGAGATAGCCAAAATCTTTGAATAAATTTTCCAAAAATGTTCAATACGCGTGGAAGTTGACTTGCCTGCGAAACAATATCACCATCCCCAGTGAACTTGGTAATGAAAAGAGAGAAGGAAAAAGCTTATTACTAAGACTAAGACGATGATTGTTTTTTAAGATTAGTCAGCAAAACCTTAATACCCCCATAAATTTGGGGGATTTTTGATGACTAAGGAAAATAATCTGGATTCTCATGATCTCCGACCGTAATTCTAAACCTAAGAAAAACAACATCAATTGCCCATATTGTACTTAGCAATTTAATTGATATCCGATGCAGGTTATTGTTGGTTTAATGCCTTTTGTTCTTTCACCCATTCATCAGCTTTCGCTTTCGCAACCTCATCACCAAGCTCCCCGAAAATATCGAGACCTATCTTTGTCGGGAAGTTGTTCCTTTGATGTCGTTCTAAGCTCTGAATAGCATCAAAATCATCTTGAGATAATTCGAAATCTTTCTCAAATGATTAGCATTTAAACCTCGAATCATTCAAACTGATACGATAACATGCTTACCTTGGTAATTATTTTCTATTCTTGCCGGTGTCACAGACTTTGGTAGAACAGAGGTGCCTCGTTGAACGGCCCAGCTGATCAGCACTTGAGCAGGAGACTTCCCTAATTTTTCCGCAATTGAGATTACTAATGGATCATCGACAACGCTATTTTCTGCACGTTAGTACCGCAAAATACTATGTATTCGCTTATCCTTACCGTGGAAAGTTGTAGATGTTATTTCCAAGTGGAGAATAAGCAGTGATCACGATGCCCTTGATACGCAAAAAATTAGTACAAGGGTGTACCTCAATCAGTCGAGAGCTTACCTCTTTTTTGCACCACCCAAGTAGATCACGCTGCTGTAGATATGGATGCGCTTCGATTTGGTTGACCGCGGGCTTGATAGTTGCTCTGCATTCAACAAGAAGGCTATCGTTAGCCAAGAACTGCGTCGTAATAGTACTAAAAGGCATGCCACTAACGTCTTCATCAAGTCCTGGATCTTGGATACAGTAAAATTGCTAACTCCGATGGATCGAACTTTCCCTTTCTGAACAAGTTTCTCCATCGCCGACCAGGTCTCGTTGAGCGAGGAATCAACTATGTCAATATAGCCGTCAGACCGCAATGGCTGGATCACGACATTTGACTTCCGGTACGCAACTGGCCAATGGATCTGCAGGCGAAAACTCAGCAGGAGACGCTACCATAGGGACGTGGCGGGGATGAGAAAGATAGAAAGATCTATGATATTGGGTGTGCGTACCAGGTAAAGGTCCAAGTAATCCAACTGCAGGTCGCTGAGACTCTTATCAACCGCCTCTTCAACATCTTCAGGAGCATGATGTGTATTCCAAAGCTTGCTCGTAATGAATATTTCCTTCCGAGGTACTCCGGAAGCCTTAATCCCTTCACCTACCTGCTTTTCGTTGCCATAGGCTGCAGCCGAGTCAACGTGCCTGTAACCAGTCTTTAGAGCTGCGGTTACCGCTCGCTTTACTTCGTCGGGCTGAGATAACTGTCGTGCAATGGTTAGTGCCTTTTCGTTTTTTGATAGGATTGTCATTAAAACATCACGTAGTCTACGTACCCAAGTGCCTAGGCCGACTGCAGGCATCCGATAGCCAGTGTTCAGAGTGAGGAACCTTTGAGAAGCCATTTTATCAAGAATAGCGTTTATATTGTAAACATGCTAATTTATGGTCGCATTTACAACGTATCGCCGCGATGTTCCATGGGGTAAAATTTATTTACTTCATTATTTACGCCCCACCGTAGCATCATCTTGGGTCCAGCTTCTTCACTTCCGATTTGAATAGTGACACGAGAACTAATTTAATCGGGTATACAATACGATCTCCGCCCATTAACTTTTCCGAAGGATTTGATGTGGTGAATTCTATGAGCCCTTTTCCGAAAAGTTCGCGGGGCCGATACCAAATTGGCCCTTCTCAAAATCATACAAGCCGGATGAGTATTGGAATTGAAAGGAGTTCTCGTTTTGGGGGGCACACATACATCTTACGAAACCATCGGTAGATGTATTCGGCCAGCGACACGTAATTTTTGCCTCGCGGTACATAAAACGCATAGGACATAATCCTCGTGCGGGGGCTTGGCGAAATCGTCGCTGACATCGTCTCCGAACGCAATCTTTTCTATTCGTATAATCTTACATTTACCTTATGGTGGCATTTAGGTATACGGTGTAACATAAGTGAAACAGAGGCGACCACGAGCTTCGAGGCTATGGAATGTGAGCTGAATTCATGCCCCGTTTCGGTACCCCCGTCAGGATCGACGAAGCTTCCTCATTTCAACACGCGTGAACCATGAAAAAAACCGATGATTTTCATATTTAAGAAGTGCTAATGGTGAAGAAATCCAGACAAGTATATGCCATACAGTTCAGTACCTAATCTGATCATTGGCCTAAATCCATCATACCAACCTTGCATTCTGAGTGTCGATGGTTCGCGAATAGCTATACTAACAAGACTGTGTGGGCAACTATGGATATTAAATATTCGTGGTAGTAAACCTCCTCGGACACCGCGTCGAAGAGGAAATGGTATCGTTGATATGCCTATTAAGATCTGACCGAAGCTCTCACCCTTACCCTCATAGGAAGCCCGCCTTTTATTCCCTACAGAGATATAATGTCAGCACCCACATACGTAGCATGACACAAGAGAACTATACCATATTTAGAGCGGCGAGCGGTTCATATGTTTTAGTGGTATCGGAGAGTATGACGTCGAAACGTTGAAGAATCGCGGTACTAATGGCGATACCTTCGTATGTAGCTAATGCGCGCCCAAGACAGCTACGTGGCCCAGCGTTCCACGAGTGATATTCTAAGCAACATTCCATTAGTCCACTAGAATTATCCGAAAGATTATGGATAACTTACTGAAAGCGCTGTATGAGATGCTCTCCCCATTGTCTTTGAACCATCTCGAAGGGTTAAAGACAGCGGCATCATCTCCCCAGACTTGCGGCATTCGAGAAAGTACATAGTTCTGATAACTAACAATATCTCCTCTGCATAAGATTAAACACGAGTTAATTAAGCCGATACTAAATGAACATGCCTTTAGAAACCTACTTCTTAATGTGTCGGGGAGGCATGTTAAGCTCAGGCACTGCAGGAAGAGTGTCGTCTCCCGCCGCCTCCATTTGACCAGCCGGGGAAACAGTGTTAAGTCGAGCGGTTTCATCCCACATGGCATTTGCGAATCGCAACCTCTATGTTCGCATTAGATCAAAATAGTGGAGGGTTGAGCTTAAGATTAGACGTACCGGGGCGTCTCCATAACTGAGGAAGTCATTTGTGAAACCGAGCTCTTCAGCTTCAGCTCGGATCTTATTCGCAGCATCTAAATGTTTGTTATCTTTATGATGTATTTCCTTCATGAGCCACGAAATAGAGTAAGCAGTCGTATCACCTAGTCGCGCCACAACGTTAGCCGAGAGACTTGAATATCTGGAGTTGAAACTTACGGCCAGCCGAGAGGAACGCAAATACCATGCCTCCAAGAGTATACAGGTCTTTGGTCGATTGTAAGAAGAGGTCTAGAAGATCGACACCAGCTTCTGGGTTAGGCTTGTAACCCTGCTCCATTGCGTCAAGGCGTCTCTTAATCAGACCATCAATCTGTCCGTAGAAAAGGTCCACTGCTCTCTGGCTTATTTTGTCTTCTCCGGATAACCTTTCGCTAATCTTCCATAGAGGATCACGCCGTCTTCGATCGAACACTACAAGACGAAAAAAAAAAAAAATATTAGATGAGGTCAAGCGGTGATGTAGAGTAGGGCGACAATCACATACAATAGTTGGCTTCGTCAAATGCTTTAACATAGGCTGGCATTGACTTAAGGCACTGTGGATTCTCGGACAAGATTTCTAGGGCCATCTTCTCTTCGTGGAATGCAATCCGAAGAAAGAGGCAAAACATCATACGGCCCATTAACTCTTGAAAGTCAAACTCTTGCTGTTCCTTGGCCAGATTCGATAGAAGACGCATTAAGACGTCAAGCCAATAGTGGAGGGATCGTGTGATGTGCTGCTCAAAATTTTGCTTGCTGAATGCCTTTGTCGCAGCTTTACGCTGTAGTTGCCAAGCTTGGCCGTCCGAGATGAAGATGCTAGATCTGTGGAGGGTCTGGAAGACATTGCGAGCAAATGCACCGCGGATATAGTTCTTGCTGTTGTGTTTTTGAATGTGCTCGAGATACGTGGGATGGTTAATGATATGTAAGCGGAAAAAAGGGATTGTCATTTCGTAGGCAGGCCCATATCGTTGATATAGGGAGAACCAGGCCTTACAACTGGCAGCACCATCGGTTCGAAGCTCCTCGACACTTCCTTTAAAAGCTTTGCTTTTAGGGCCGGCGATCCATTTCGAATTGGCGGAGGAAGACGACCAAAAGCCTCTGTTGCGATACGTGAAGCAAATACCTTAGACAGCGGTAAGGATCTCCTATTCTTAAATTTGGCTTGCTAGCGCTGCGAAGGAAACTTACAGGCAATTGTTAATAGAACAACCAACGATACAATTTTGGCCCCCGCTATTAGTAAAGCCCCGCATGATGGCCCAGATTCCGTGAAAAGAATGTCCATCTTTCTGAGGTATGTCAATAGATGTACGAGTCTATCATCTGGTTACTAGATAGCTGTCAGAATACGCGTCATACGACGGAATAGATGATTTGCAAGTATCCTTCTTTTAAGTAGAACTCTCGTGAGACTGGTTTTTATGATGTATGCGTAGGAGGACGTTGACTGGGCAGCACCACTATCCATTCAAGCGTCATGGTGGGGTGAATTGGGCACGATACCTCCGATGTATGATTGAGAACTTATCCGATACACGGCATGGTTATCCGAGCCGGATAAGGCCCATGTCGAAATATTAGAGCTTCAAATTGTTTGGCGAAGATCGCTACGGCTTAGAATGAATCCGATTTGTCAATAAATTGACAATATGTCCCTTTCCGGAAACTTCGTAACTTGTGTCTCCCATCGAAGCCGCTTTGTAAAGGGTACCATATAATTTAGCTGCGTAGCCGTAGTCTATAAGACTTAGAGAATATCCTTTACCCCCTTCAGTGTCTGGAGTGTCGAATCTACCTCGGTACCTAAGAATTCCATAGATACATTCCTTTTCCTCTCTCAATATTGCTCTATCTAGGTGCTATATCTTGTCGGTTTTCAATACTGTATAATAGTAGTTGGTTGCCTTATTATCATGCTGGATATTATCGCTTGTAGCTTTAATTAGCTTATGCTAGGAAAAAGATCCTAACGCTCCATAATTGCGGTGTAGACTTATTGCTGCTAGTCATTGGCAAGGAAGGAAAAACCTAAGCTAGATTCAGTTATTCTCAGTGGGACATAACCGCTTAACCACTACGCGCTATAGGGAAGTATCTCCACTGATAGAGGGTTCGCTAGGGTTCAATTTGCCATAGCATTGTCATTTCCGGCAGCTTGGTTGGGATCTAATCCTAGTTCAAGTGACCAATTCTACACTATTATTGGCGACTCCATTTCGCGGGGCCCCTATTTCGTGGGGTTTCCATAATCTGGGGATTGCGTATTCCGGGGGCTCCATTTTCCGGGGTCTCCAATATCTAGGTAGGCCCAGATCGCGTACAAATAGCCCCTTGATATTCGGTAAATAGTATCTAGGTAGAAACGGTTGAATTCCACTTTCTACCTTCTCTCTTGCCGTACTTCTTACCCCTATTGTAGATCTCAGGAACAAAGCTGCGTTAGCAGGATCCTCATCAAGATGGCTCAACAGAGAGGCCATCTGGGCAACTCCTTCCGCTCCCTCACTATCGCTATGAGCATTTCGTTGGCCGGGTTCGTACTTTCGAGTTTACTCGCCATCCACACTTTTATTACGAGCCGATTAGAATTAACACTTTATGAACAGTCTTCTATATGGCCTTGACACTGGCATCATAGCCTCCACCATAGCCCAAGATAGCTTTACGAAATACTTCTTTCGCGGCTCCAAGGACAATTCTATCATCAATGGCGGTATAATCTGCGGCTATTACGCAGGATGCTGCGTTGGAAGCGCAATTTCTACATGGTCCATGGATACTATCTCACGTCGTTGGTCGGTTCTTCTCGGAGCGTTTGTTTCTATCGTCGGCGCCATCATTCAAGCTACGTCTCAGAATATACCCATGATCATTGTGGGACGTGCCTTCTCAGGTTTCTCAACGGGAATGGTGTATTCTGTGGCCCCGGTCTATCTCTCGGAGCTCGCGCCGCCAGAAAATCGAGGTTTTTTGGTTGGTCTAAAAGGTTTAATGAATACTGCCGGCTACTTGGTCGCTGGCTGGATTGGCTATGCTGGTTCGTTTGCCCAGGGTGATTTGCAATGGCGCATACCTCTCGCTATGCAAGCTCCGCCAGCAGCCCTACTGGCTCTACTTACATTCGCCCTGCCATATTCGCCACGTTGGTGTAAGCTTATTCATTTCTCCCCTGGCGAGCGCCCCCAATATGTCCGCTACAATTCTATAAGTGTTGGGTTAACAATTTTCGCAGTGTTGATGAAAGAGCGATATGAAGATGCTAGAAAAGTCATGTACTACCTGCATGAGCACCGCGGGCCCGAATTCATCGAACATGAATACGCCGAAATGTCTTCGCAAATCCGTCTGGAAACTACCCGAAAATCAAAATCGCCTTTCGTAACCCTATTCACAAGACGTTATATACTGCGCACACTTCTTGGTTGCCTCATAGTCAACATGGCCAAACTGTCTGGAAGCAATGTCATTCAAAACTATCAGTCTATCATGTACAAGTCGCTGGGATTTCAGGGCCGCGAAGTCCTCCTCATCACTGCACTTTACGGATTGATGGGTATGTTGGGGCAATTAATCAGCATCTTCACGTTGTCAGATCATTGGCCGCGTCGCCGGACAGTCATCTGGGGTGAAGCCGTTATTATTTTAACCCTTTCCATTCTTACGCCACTATCAAAAGAGTTTCCGGACGATCACAACCTATCAGGAAGCCGCGCAGGTGTCGCGTTTATATTCCTCTACGCCTTTTTCTGGGCGCTCTTCTTTAACTCTGCCATCTGGGTTATCGTGTCCGAAATCTATCCATTGGAACTTCGGGCTACTGGGGTTGGCTTCGCCATGTTCACCCAATCTGTGACGGCAATTTGGTTAAGCTTTGCTGCTAGTATCGCCTTTGACCGGATCCAATGGCGGTTCTATTTCGTGTTCATTGCCATGAACGTTTTCGCCCTCACCGTGTATTATATCTGGCTGCCGGAGACCAACCAGTTGACACTCGAGGAAATAGCTGCGAAATTTGGCGACGTGGTATCAGAGCCGGTGGTAAAGAGCTTAGGAGACGTGGATGGTGATGGTGGGCAAGCTGCTCCTAAGGAGATTGCAAAGTCCGAGTCAAGTGAACATGTCGAATTTGCACATAAAGGGCCGGTTCCAAGCGGGCAAAAGTAAACTTATGTATATGGACTAACCCCTCGAGCTATCTGCTATCTCTTACTGTTTTTCCTTTGCTGTAGTGGTCTTCGTTTCTTAGCGATGGTACTCAATGGTCGATAATTGATAAGGTGTAAGATTGTTAGTTAGCAGATTCAATGACTATTTTAGCAGATTATAGTAATGTCATTGTTCATGTCGATGATCCTGTATGTAGTATGATATAATATGCGTAGGTAGCCGTGGGTTGTGAAATGTCTAGGCTAAATCTTTAAAAAGGGGTAAAGTTGGGCCAGAGGATTGCGCATGGACACCTAGGCCTTTATGCAACTAAAACAGAAGGTGGCATGTAGGTAAGATGTCTAGGTATAATGAAATCAAATTCTGCTTTTATCGGGTATCAAAGGCAATGCCGTTATATACCTGGGTACTTAAGTAGCATAGAACGTTTCAATGATAATTATTCATCTACCATGCCTTGCCAGTACTTTTCATCCAATCCATATGCTTCTCGACATCCTTCTGCATAGCATCCGTAATCATTTCTAACAATGTGGTTAATGGGGTATTTCCTGCCTTCTCGCTCATGATTCTCAAATATGAAGTGTTAAATCCATCATTCACATTGCACTTGGCCATCCCCGCGTTAATAACCTTATGGAATAGCTCCTCGCCAAACCATTCGGTGCCGGCGCCATGCAAAACGAAGCACACTCGATCAGAAACCTGGTTAACAATGCCTTTTAGGCGGTCGAATTCCAACTGTGGGCCTTTTGGGCCATATTTCCCGTGTACATTGCCGAATGATGGGGCAAGCCATTGAATACCGGTTGCCACGAATTCTTCGGCCTGCTCTGGTGTTGTCAATACACCTTGTAACCCAGAAGTATCGGCCACTCCATCTTCACCACCCTCTATCCTCCCGGGCTCTGCTTCTGTGATAATACCCCTTTCTGCACAGTACGCGACTAACTCTGCGGTTTTTGCTAGATTCTCCTCCCGCGCGTAGTGAGACATGTCCACCATGATGCCATCGAAGCCGCCTAGATCCGCTGCTCGCCTGATCATCTCGGGCGATTGAGCGTGGTCCATGTGCACAGCGACAGGGACACTTGCGTTGGCCGCCGCTTCGGCTGCGGCATGAACCAACAGGCTGTCTGCGTATTCAACAGCCCAAGGAAAGAGTTGAATTATGACGGGTGATTTTTTGGCTTCGGCGGCACGAACGGAAGCGATAATTCCCTCTAGATTGTAACAACACATGGCTGGGACGGCATATTTGTTGGTAGCCGCATGTGATACGATGCGATATGCCTTGTTTTGTTTCAGGTCGACCATCATGAGTATTCTGCTGGACGTGGTGGGGGAAACTTTTGTGTATAGTGGTGTGGTGATGGGGGCAGCCTCTGGCTAAACAATAGGTCAAGAAACGGAAGATCCAATGTGCCCCATAGGGTAGAAATTGCACATATTTTGATATTGATGTGATTAGGAGAAATCTGCCGCCTTCGTAACTATCTGCTCAGCGTTGCTTAGCGTTGTTACCCCTTGTGATAACATGTGGGGTCCGTGAAACCTCCCCAAGGCACCGATCTGGAAAAGCCTTTAGTACCGCGGAAAAGCATTCTTACAGGGATTTGGGGGGGAACTCCCGGAAAAGACTCTGATCCAGTTTCTGCTGGCCGGTGCGGGTCGAAATGGGTGCCCAATTCGATCTCCCCTCAATCATCAACGGAGATGTGTTGACCAGCTGATCCCATGCGGCGCTAGGGATCCTACTATTTCAGCGTCGGAATAATATCGCGTTTAAGAAATACATTTATCGTCAAAGTTGAAAAGGTGTTGGTATCGTGTAAATATTGAGGAGTTCGAAGTAAGAATTCTCAATTATCGTCCAACATCCCATTCCATGATCTGAGGGGTAGCACACACACAACGCATCCTTCCTAAAACAGTAAAAAATGAAGATTCTTATCACGGGCGCCGGCGGTTTCATCGGTCAATTTCTTGCAAGAGAATTTTTGAAAGATCCCTCCAATCAACTTGTTCTGACCGACATCGTTAACCTCGCCGTGCCTAAGGGCAGTTTGAACCCGCAAAATGCCAAACTTGTGAAAGCCGACCTATCACAAGATCAGTCCGTGATTACCAAAGACCTCAGCGCCGTCTACCTATTTCATGGTATAATGTCAAGCGGGTCGGAAAGCAATTTCGACTTAGGCCTAAGAGTCAACCTTTTCACAACACTGCGTATTCTTGAAGCCATCCGACAAGTCGCCCCAGGGATACGAGTTATCTACGCTAGTAGCGAAGCAGTGTATGGTCGTCCATACCCCGAAATAATTACCGAGGATATTATCCCAACCCCAGAAGGCTCGTACGGCGCACAGAAACTGATGTGTGAGGTCCTCATTAACGACATGACGCGTAAGGGATTCATCGACGGCTTGAGCCTACGGTTACCAACCATTTCCGTCCGCCCAGGCAGCCCCACGGCGGCGGCAACCAGTTTCGTGAGCGGTATCATTCGCGAACCAGTGCAAGGCAAAGAATGTGTGGTTCCTATAAAAGATCGGAGCTTTCCTTCGTGGGTATGCTCCCCCAAAACCTTGATCGTGAACCTGATTCATGCTCTGGCGTTGCCTTCGGATGCCCTACCGAGTCACAAGAGAGCGATCAATGCACCAGGTCTTTTGGTGACCATTCAGGATATGATGGACGCGTTAGCGAAGGTGTGTGGGGAGGACAAGTTGCTTCATATTAAGGAAGTAGAAGATCCTGAGCTGGGAAAGATCCTCCATTCATTCGCTTGGAAATTCAACAACAAACTCGCCCTCAGTCTAGGGTTTCGACCGGATACTAGCTTCGAAAATGCGGTAAGGGATTACGTGGAATTTTTGGAGTTTGAAAAGAATCCTTCTTAGGAGTAGGGATTATAATATGAGTAGAATAGTATTCAAATTTGACTGAAACATCATACAAATTATCGCATTGTATTTCGAATGGGTAAGGTGCTTAGGTACGTGTCAACAGCTGTCGGGAGGGTTCGCATGACGGCAACCCCATGCCCAGGTACCGTATCCCATCTTAATGAGTTATTGGTTTACAATGCGGGACGGTTAGTCGGTACCATTAGCGATAGTGAATAACCGTGCGTCTTAATAAGTGACGTAGTGTTTGTCAATTGAAGAGATATCAGATACGAATCCTCTGCACCCGGGGTAGTGGGGAGTAGCGGGGTTCCGGGTTGCATCGTTGCCTTGTTCAAACAGTGGTCAGGCGTGGTCGAGATGTCTTATCCGAAGCCCACCCGCAAAAATCCAACCAGTCCACTAGCCGAGTCCGGATAACATGGCCCTTTCCATGATTTTATTTGGAGTTTGTATGAATACGTTAGCGTAGAAGATGTGGGCAAAATAAAAATGAAGTAAAATAAAATCAAATAAAATAGGTACCTGCATTTGCTGTAGGAAAAAAGCGCATATTGGTATCGAGATAAACTCTCACGATGGGCGAGAAAAGTAGGGCGTTTTCGAAGGCTGAGCTTTCGGACCTGGCTGGCAAGAAAAACCTCCATCTGTTGATATTAGGGAAAGGTAAGGCCTTTTCTTGCCCATCTCACTCAACCCAAGTCATTGCTAATGGTCGTTGTCTGCTTCTTACTAGTCTATGATGTACATGAATTCGTGCATGAGGTATGTGGTTTAAATCGAAATCTAATCCTCGAGTAACGATCGCCCCGCTTGGTGTCGTGTATGGTAACAGGTGGTATGTTTTCAGCACCCCGGAGGAGATTTAGTCTTGCTTGGGGAAGGTGGAAAGGATGCGACGAAAGCGTTCGAAGATGTACAACATAGCGACGAGGCGAAAGAATTAATGGAGGACTATTTGGTTGGGTATTGCTCGGAGGTAAGTTCCAGAAGAATGTCTCGTATCCGATCGAAGGCGGTGGTTGTCATACAAGCTAATGCTATCGGTCCTCATTTACGTAGGATCTGTCGCAGACGCAAAATCTTGACCAAATGACGAACCTCAAAGATCGGAAATCAAATACAAGGTGCGTACCCCGTCCGGCGGCAATGGATACCATGGTCACTAACTTATCGAAGCGTCAGGCGTCTGGCAAAACTATTTGGATCAGTTTTCGTAGCGATCTGTCTGGCTTTACTTCTTGGGCATTTTAAATCGGTTGCTACTGGCGGATGAAGATTAATACGACGTAAGCGACATCTAAGAAGGCTAATAAATATGACTTTTCAGTATCACGATAGGTCAACAGTATCTAAAGTAGTCTATGTCTAGAGGTGATGATATGAGGACTGTAGAGATAATACCCTATTTCGTTACCTGTAGTGTTACATACCTAGGTACCTGGACTCTGGTGTTTTCTAACTTGGTACTCTTTGGCTGTAAGAAAGGACGAATCTCATGTGCAAAAAGAGCGTCGTTATCACCTGTCGCGGTCAATTGACATTTGGTTTGGTGGTTGGTGTAATTGATGTTTTTTCTGCAACGAAACTTAGGCTAGAAATTATTCTTTCGTACCTAAATAGCTTGTGCATCCCGAGCTACTGCTTAGTCATTAGCACATTAGCATTTAGTTCGCAACTAACATATAAGAGGCTTGCCCCGCATTCTAGCTGCACGATACGCCTCCAGCGCTATTTATCTACCTAGGTAGCTCGCTAACCCCAGCATCCCCGCACTGAAGGACTACCTATCTTCGTGTCACTCCATTACCTGGGGTATTTTACCATCGCGTTCCCCGCCATTTTTGGCGACACTACCTAATTCTTTTGATACTTTGACCGTGTTGCCCGGCGTACATTAACCGGCACAGTCGCAACAAGATCGGTGATATGGATGTTGAAGAGCAACCATCCGTGAAGAAGCGGCGTCGGCTTGGTGCAAGAGTCCGGGTGACTCGCGCGTGTGACTTGTGTAAAAAGTGAGTGCCGAATCATCCTAATATATATCTTAAATAAATGCTATATCTACATGACAGCGCTAATGAATCGAAGGAAAAAATTGAGATGTACTGGAACCCAGCCTTGTACGCTATGTGTACAACTCAAACAGGATTGTACGTTTATGTCCGAGTACAATAGGGGCAAAGTTCCTTGCATCTCTACTACGCCTACGAAACACATCAACACAAACCGAACCGCAAATACCGATCCAGGCAGGGGTCATGCTGATCTAGAGCCCACACTACATCAGCAGGAGAGTACTCTCTCTTCGATGGCGGAAGCGAATGCATTAGGTGATGATGAGTCACGGGGTTCTCATGATCAGGAAGACGAGGCTAGTCAGGTCTCACCTCAAAGCCGAATACAAGGCAATTTGGTTCATACCGCTGCCGTGCCTGAGACTACCTTGCCTGAGATTCAGGTTCACCCAGACGTTCGAGATGCTGGGCGATCGTCTCGCAACTCACCAGAACCAGCACAAACCGATCAAGAGGGCCATTATGTTGGACCAGCTTCTGGTGTCTCGTTCTTGTCGCGTGCCCTGAAGAAACTTCACGAGACCAGTCACTCTGTTTCAACAGGGCAACAAACTTCCGTCTTTAACTTCGCGGATGCTCCCGTACCTCAATATGACCCCTATTTCCTAATCTTGCCCAGCCAAGTAGAAGCAGAAGCTTTGATTCGCCGTTATTTTGATTTCGCCTCGCCAACTCATCGATATCTGCACCAGCCCACGGTGGAAGGGTGGTGCGAAGAATTTTATAATAGCATCCAAAACCCTGGGCCACTCGCACCTGGAGCCCACGAAATACGGGCCATCATACTTGCGGTGCTCGCTGTAGCTAAACAATATAGTTCTTCCCAAGATCCAACATCATATGACACTGTCAATAGGTCTGTACGTCTTTGGCGTAGAAGGAGGCACACTGACTTAGGTTTAGTACCGCATTTTTCGCCGCGTCAGAGCATCACCTGCAGTTGGAGTCTGGAGGGATTCGCCTTACAAGCATCCAAGCACGACTAGTTCAATGCTACTATCTGCTATCGCGATCTAGGGTGAACAGCGCCTGGGGTTTGTTCGGAACCATCGCAAATCTTGTTCTAGCCATCGGACTACACCGACGCAGGAAACGTGACGCAACGGTTGGGATAGACCTTATCGAACACGAGTGTAGGAAGCGAGTCTTTTGGAGTGCGTATATTCTTGACAGCTATCTTACAGCCGGGCTGGGCCGGCCTCGTAGCTTTCACGAGGAGGATCTAGATCAGGTAAGCATCGCTCAATTTACTCGAATGACGAGTCGCCCCTAATTGACAGTGCTTTTAGGAAATGCCATTGTGCGTTGACGATTGGCAAATCACGCCGACGAAGATATTACCTCGTCACGAAGCTAGACAAAGCTTGACACAAGCATCTATCTACCACGCGAAGTAAGTACGCGATCATAGTTTTCCAAGGATTTAAGTTAAAATTCCTAGGCTATTGAAAATAATAAGCGGTATTCTACGCGATCTTTACGGCATAAGGCGCCCGTCTCACGAAAAGCAAGAGGAAGTTACGCAATTATACGATGCCCGCCTAGTCCAATGGCGTGAGGAACTGGGTGCTTTTCTTGACATCACGAATACCGAAATTATGATGCCGATCTTCCGCCGACAACACAGCGTTTTACACATGGCATACTCGCATGCCATAATCTTACTCCATCGCCAAGCTTTGTTGGTGAGACCTTCCGCCTCCGCAATGCGCCATGAACACGCCGTTCAAATGGGTCCACAATATAGCGTCCGGAGGTGCTTGGATGCCGCGAACATAATTGTGATGAAATTGAGGGAGCTTGTCGAGAAACAGCAGATGTACTCTGCGTTTTGGGTATGTGTCCTTCTTGCATCGCACGCCGAAAGGTTACTTATTTCTGCGTAGTTTACGCATTATTATGTGTTCTCTGCGCTTGTTGCGCTCTACTTGTATGTGGTGCAGAGCCGTTTGAAAGCTGCTTATGACTGGGAGCAATATTTGGATCTCGCACAGCAAGGTCTCCGCGACCTGGCCGCCTGTTCCACTGACACATCGTACGCGCAAAGATATGTTGTGGTTCTTACGGAACTTCAGGAAGAGGCTATGAAATCGATTGAAGACGAAGGGCGAGCGGCGGTACCCATAAATGGAGGCGAGTCGTTATATGGACAACCATCCTCAGCACTTAGACTTACCTCAAATACCGATTTGGGTGCGCGGGCCATCGCATCCGCGACAAGTGACGGACCCGTCTCATCTCAGGAATTTCACGCAATAGCCACCGAGCCCAATGTCCATATACCACAAGATTGTAGCTTCACTGGTCAGCCCGATACCTATGATAATGCAGGTGAATCGTTGACTATACAGGACCTCGAAAATCGCGAAGCTTTCCATAACCTCAGTATAGAAGGACTGGCAGACCTCGCATTTATATTTTCAAACGACAACACAGGCTCTTTTCAAATAGAAGATGGAATGGTCTAAGACATCATGTCAGTCGCTTGCTTGAAACCGCAGTTTAGGGTATCCAAGGCATCCTGTATATTTTACACCTTTATGGCATTTCTCAGCCTTGCACTATGTCATACCTTTACCGCCCTTCATCTCTTTGCCACCTTTCATGTCTTGAAGGTATTTTGTACCTTTCTGGTATCTTGTACCCCTGCGGCATTTATTACTCATATCCCTTTCAGAGCTTATTAGGAGCATACTCAAGTCTATAGTAGATGACCTACATTGAGTTGATATGAGACATTAATATTATCGAATGGGACAAACCTTTAAGTGCTATGAAAGGTTCTATGGAATCATACATACATGTAGGTAAGCATGGCCACCTTTCTACCACCAGGTTCCTCTATTTTCACGGTAAGAGCCACCTAGGTACTTTGTCTTTCAGTTCACATACAAGCATACCGAACGTTACTTCCCCGCTTCAAAACCTTCTCACCGTCATGCCAGTTAGAAGGTACAGCCCACTTTAGCGTTTCAGAACTTGTATTTAAGAACTCCGACCTCCACCTACACCAATACAGCATCTTCCCTCACATCAACATTATTCACCCTGCCTTCATATTCTAGAATTACAACCCTACCTACAAGTCTTTCCACCCTCCTTGGCGCATGGAAATTTACGTCTGATCCTTCCAAAGACACGCCTACATACTTCCAGCGCCAAATACAAAGTACATTTCGAGGACCGAATCGGGAAGGATAGTTGTCTACAGTTCACGGCTGAAGGAACTCTACTTCAACAGAGCATAAGAGATCCTACCTTCTCGTCGTATTCTTGTATCATCCTCAACGAAGCCCACGAAAGATTCCCAGGTACCGACATGTTGATGGGGCCGCTTAAAGTTGCCCTTCGGCAACTTTAGTTACTGGTGGTTTCTCGCTATCTCGATCAAGCGCCCGTCGTCCAAATACCGGGTCGTACTTTTCCTGTCGACATATTCCATCTTGCAGCGAGGGGGACCCCGGACTTCCTATATTCTTCTCTGAGCGTTCTGAAACACATCTGCGACATTCTGGTCTTCCTCCCCAGAGAAGATGAGATTGAAAAAGCTTGCAAGATGCTCCGAACGGAAATCAAATCGTTGCATGCAGTACCGTTATACGCAGCACTGTCCGAAGATGTCAAGCAGCGCACATTCGAAAGGCTTAACTCGCGAAAATGTGTTGTATCTACTAACATTGCCGAAACTGGCTTGACCATAGATGGCATTGTGTATGTAGTGGACTGCGGTTTGATGAAACAGGGTTCACATTCGCGAAGACCCGATGCCAATATGCTAGTCTTAGGTCCTATACCCCAAGCTGCCGCATTTCAACGCGCAGGACGGGCAGGACGTACGCAGCCTGGCACGTGCTACAGGTTATACACGGAAGAGGCATTGAAAATGATGCCAAAGTCAAACGAGCCAGGAATACGCATTAGTCCGCTCGACTCTGTGATGCTTCGGGTTGGTCTCAACGGACCCCTGCTAGCGTCCAACTCGCCCAAAGAGTCTACCACCCAGGGCAAGCCACTTCCGCCTTTCCGAACGGGCGGCTCTACCACGGATTTTGGAACTCAAACTTCGGAATCCTTTGTCCACTCGTACAAATGACCGTCGAGAGCTGGGTTCGGATGGGGTGATTATGATCGCTTCCATGAGTGGCAGTCACATGGCCGCGATATCAAGCTAGACATGATCCCGGAAGTGGATTGCAGTGCACGGCAAAGTGACCGACTCCTCGTGGCAAAAAACGTTATCGCGAGAGCAAGAGCAAGCGTAACCGCAAGCAACGTGCCCGCGAGGCCAAAGCGGCGCCCGAGAAAGAGTCTGGGGAGGAATCTAAGCAGGAGGTTGACGAGGTTGACCAGCAGGAACGTGTTGTTCTTCCCAAGGACACCTTGACTTGGGAGTCCCGCGAAATTTGCGAGGGGTACATGGAGGCAGCCTGGGACAAGCTTTCCCCTGCCGAGGGAAGCCTTGATGGCTATAAGGCCTGGGTATAGGAGGAGGTTTTTAGGGGCTGGGACGCCCAATACGACGTACCCGTTCCTCGTATTCGAGGGCTGGACCGCCCCCTTCGCGACTTCGCACTTGTAGTGGGGGCTTGGAAGGAAGATTTGCCTACGTCGCGACCGAAGGCCCGATTTGCTAGTATGGATGGTGATATCTTAGATGATATCCCGGTCCCGAGCCAGCCCAAGTGACGTCGTCCTACGATCATTAACAAGGCGGGAGATCGCGCCCCAACCCGAGCCATGCAACAGCAAGAAGCGCGCCTAAAAGGTGCCCCGGCTTTCATACGCTTCCGCTGGAACGAGCCGGGTTATGTCGAGTTCGGTTTGATGGATAGTCAAGGTTCGAATGCATCGGCCCAGTAAAAAAAAAGGGGGGGGAAGAAAAAGAAGAAGAAACAGGACAATCGGTATGATACTTATGTTGTAAATAGAGTTGACAGCCTGCCTAGTCATATCTTTTGATGGTTTTGAATTAATGTCGGGAATCGGTATCACAGTAAATTAACTACCCCTTCACTGTAAGAGGATGCCCCTATTGAACCCCATATGTATAGACCGCACGTTAAACTCGCTTTAGCGACTGGCTCTCTTCCGAGTAGATATATAAAATTATCTAGCAGCGTAACAGAAATTATCGTATATGATCCACCTGTCGTCACATAAGAGCAAACCGGGATGTCGATACCGAGATACTCGCTCCTATCTGGGTAAGCCTAGATTAGTTATAAAACGAATTCTCTGGCTCCTGAGGACCTCCCGTAGCAATTTCTTTAAATTATTTTATTGTGATGGATGACAGAATCTAGGGTTTGGCGAGTCTAAAACAATATGCAATAAGTAATATGGATATGGTGATTCCCACGGCTTGGGCTTCGTCACGAGGTGAAGATCGGCTTCAACAAGAAATCACTCAGTACATTGATCATCTATGCCCTTGAATCGCTAATCCGTTTCATGTAAATATTGTGATATATGCCCATCCTGCGATTGCACTGACGTGATGTTGGTGGTTGAAACTCCTGAAGTGTACTTCAAAACTCAAATCGATGACTTCTATGAGATACCGCTTGTATTATTGGGGAACCTAGTACTCTCTGGCTATGGGATTGAAATGACAGGCTCCATGAAACCGAGTAGCTTACCTAGGTACAATCGGATAAAGGGTGTTACATTAAGACTCCAGCTTCTCATATAAAATCGAGATCGCTTACCTTTCGTCTACCTAGATACCTTTCATTGTGTTGACACTCACTCATATAACTACCGATGTTAACATGTGGGTGGAGACTCTGTAAATAGAGGATATATACGTAGATAAAATACCTGTATCTCCTGTTTAAAATATTAACTTGTACTATACAATTTCTATACAATATCTATACATCGTCCGGGTTATGTAATTTTACCCAGCTACTAAGCCTCGCCTGTTTCTTCTTCGACGCTCGTCCAATGGTTATTGCCTTGGTTATATATCCACAGCACCTTAGGGTGCTGAAACTTGCCGTCGTATATAATTGTTCCTAGATTCCCTTGACTCGATGTCTTCTGTTTGGGCGGCTCTCGATTGAATCTATACAGGACCCCTAAATTCACCCGTAGCCCGTTGCGCCGTGCCCATTCACTCAAAACCGCAGCTAAAAGCTCCGGCTCCCTGGGGCCATTTTCTCTCGTCTCTCCGTTTGCCGTGATTGTGTTCATTACACGGTTAAAGTCCCCCCTATCCCATAGTTCTTGATATATGCCGAGTAGGTCGGTGGAGTTTGGCCGTCTTATATGGCTTGGTAACCCGAATTGAGCTCTTAAGCTATAAATCATCGCCATGAAACCTCGCCTAGACGGTGGTACACCTTCTCCATTGTAACCTATTCTCCACAACTGGCCAGGGAATTTTCTTTGGAACCGCCTCTTAGCGGCGTCTTCGGGCACCCGGTCGTATAGACCTAGTGCTTGCATGGGGTCTTCCTCTTCATCCTTATCAATTTTGTCTTTATCCTGGCCGGCCTTGTTTGGAATTCCACCGGGGGCTTCCGTTGGCACGCTGCCGAGCAAGAGACCGCTCATGATATTCTGTATTTCAAAAAGACCTCCCTGAGCTGGAGGGGAACCTGGAGGGACAGATGGAGGCAAAACTGGGGGCCTTTTTCTCCACGTCTTCTGGGGGGTTATAGATCCAATGCTGAACCCATCGCCGTACAAACTGGTGGTCTTCGCCTACACCATTCTGGACTTTCTCTTCGGCCTCTTTCAATAGGACTTCTAAAGTGGGGCGATCTTGAGGGCGATGGTACATACATTGATATACCCTTTCTCGGAGGTCCTTATCGGCCCAGGCATAGGAGTCCGCAGATGCCGGGTCCATAATATATGGGCAATAAGATATCCGCGCACCTTCTGGTAACTGAGAATGGATGTTTTCGTGGCGCTCATGCGGGTCAAAGGGATTATCAACGTCGGAGTCGTCGTCAATATTAATGTTGACATCTAGATCGTAGGGTATTTGGGCTTCTGGGGGAGTGGGTGGAGTATATTTAGTAATGAGCATCCACATAACCTTCAACACATCAGTTAAGTCATTAAACAAGACATTTCAAACCTTCTTACCCATGCGATGCCCCAGACATTCGTATGAGGACCATAGTTTCCGGCAACTTTTGAATTCGCGAGATGGAGTCCGTCTTTCAAAGGGGGTACTATGTTATTTTCCGATCAGTAATTGACTCCAAGCAATAAACGCGCGTAACTAAGTAGGTAACGTACTATGATCCCACTCTTCGCCGAATTGTTCCTAGAAGTTTTTCGTTAATATTCAAGGTCTGTATGCACTCTTCGCCAGCATTACTTACTGGTGCATAGAAACCATGTTTGCACCTATGCCGTCGATCACTGTAGTATTTACTCAAAGAGAATAGGGTAAGTTATATATCAAAGCAGAGGATACTATACTTAAGAGAAGTATTTACTTGCGCTTAAAACTATCGAAATAGAAATGTTAGCGAAATAATTAAAAAGGGGCTATATACAAACAAGTAAGGGGTGATAAAGGTAACTTACGTTTTGACCTTATCCGATAATCCAAAGTCTGCCATCTATTATACGAAACATTTTTAGCCTATGAACCCGACGACTCTGCTGGTTAATGGGACCTTACTTTAAGTTTTGGGACTAGTTCGTGCTCAAAGTGTACTCTGTCCATTCTTCTTTCCAAGTATTGAACATCTGATATTGGAATCGGTTCTCCCGCAGAGCCCCTATTCGCTTGTGATTCTCGACGGGCCTCTTCCCAGGAGTCAACCCCATCGGCATCCAATTCAAGCCCACCAATTAACACTAACGAGAGAGTTGTAAGTATAATGCCCTCTCATACGGGGAGATGCCTTACCGTCTGTCGGATCAATATCGAAATGGACGAAATTCTGTCGTCTAGAGGCCCTGAAGCCGGTCGGGATAGTTTCGGTAAGGTCGCCTTTCCCCCGCGATCTTATGTTATCGGCAAGCTCTTCGTGTGTAGGGGAGCGTCCACTGGATTTAAGGCTCAGCAGATTCCGTATTCCAGACGCGCCATTAGAGATGCGCTGAAATAATCCGAGCCTCGTTCCGGATCTGTCTCGGTTGGGATGGAATTTCCGTGGAGGATACTCCATCGCAATGCAAGCCCGTATAACTACATATCCTGATTAGTTTACTCCTTTGATCTGAAGCTACACAATTCAACGTACGACAGAGCCAAAAAGACCAGAGAACAGTATTAGGGACCTTCCCCAAAGACCCTGTGCCTTTATTCTTTTCATGCGCCAGCTTAGAAATGAGCCCTTGTAAATCCCCATGTTCCATGTACTCAAGGATCATAAAATCCCAAATCGGCTCTTTACCCGCTTGTCGTTTTCTTTTCACCCCTTGAGGTGGATTACTGGTAGTCCCTATTCTTTTCTTTCGTCGCTCCTCCCGCACATTTCGCCAGTATTCCGGATTATATCTATCGGTCCCTTCAACAGTGCTTTCGTCCCCACTTGAACTCTCTTGGGAACTTAAATCATCTGAAAGTACCAATGGAGGACTCGTGTCTACGAACTTGCCAATGTCTTCTGGTTCGATTAGCTTGATGCAATGTGCCGAGCCTTTGAGTTTCTATTTTGTGCTCAGCTATTGTCAAAGTAAACTATGTAATTGGACATAAATAAATACCTTTGTATTATGCACTTCCAGTACAAGGGCTCTAGATGTTCTATGATGTACTGGGAATTTGACAATAAACTCCCGCGGCGCCGTGTCTATCGACCCGTAAGTGTTCCGTGAATAGAGACATGTTATACCGTTCCCTCCCCACCCTAGCGACCTCTTAAACTCGTTAAGATGCTATAGTTTCATAATTTAGCCTCCATTCGAGTAGTTGTTTCGGGTGGTGCATTGGAACATCGTAAAATGGACACTCACATCCTGTCCAAACCAATCCGTGAACTCTTCAAATCGTTCTTGAATGTTTCTCGTTCCTGAAAAGTCTAAATTGTTTAATTGACCAAGTGCCAAGGGTGTACGTTCCATGAAGTTGGCGAGATGTTTTTTCATTTTAGGTCGATTGCCAAAAAAAATTTGTGGACTGCCTTGAGCTGGAAGTTGTATGTGCCCAACAATGTGCCTGAATCCAAATAGTTGTTTTACCGAAGACTGATAGTCCAATCCCTCCTCCCTATATCTTCTAAATACCCAACTCTGATCCTGCGCATCCTGAAGGTAGGCGACAGCATCCATGGTGTTATTATATTAAACTAAAGACGATACTGAATTATTGATAATCCGATCCAAGTCTAAGTACGTGACATATATTCGGTTAAATTCTATTTAGTTTTACGGCCCATACCATAAATATCGGCAAAAAAGCTGTTATTGTTCCTTTATCATATATAATAGGAATGAGACGACAAAGGATAGTATTAATATCGTACCTAAAAAATTACCGAAATCATGCATCAAGTTTAAACCTTATAAAGAAAACATAAAACGGTAGTGTTATCTGTTTGCGGTTGACGACATGGCCACCTGGGTACATTCATAACTTCTTCTGGGGCGAGGTAAGTTCAAAGTAGATCATAAAAGTATAATACCAAATAAAAAGTTACTATAAAGGGATTGCTTATGATGGTCGAAACGGACATACATATATTTATTACTTCCTTAATCCGAATGGAACTTTGTTATACCTTATCTATATTCACCCTTTTCGAGTGAATGCACCTTGAGGATAATTCACTTGGGGCACATCCAGTTGGAATGAATAAAAAATCCTTCTACATTGCTGTTTGACCTGATGATACGAAGAAGTCATCAACAATTTGTCTTTTAACAATTATCAAGCAAATACTCACTCGGAGACAAATCCTTAGTTTTCCAAAGTTCGACCCCTCACGTCTAGTGACTTCATCTTGAGCATATATTGTGTCATTTTCATATGCCTGGAACCTAATACAGGCTCCCAATCTGGTCCTGATTTCTTCTATGACACGGTGTCGCTGCTTGCCAGCGATGCTAGCGACAAAGATATGCAGGAGCACTACGCTTAGCGACCTAAAAGTCCGCCACCAAGTGAGGATTGAGTAGAGCGGCTGAACTTTGGTTTCCATCATCACCTAAATATCTGCAGATGTGATAGCCATGTGCAGAAATATACAGATCTGGATACTCAAACCAGGAACCTGTAATAACTCAACGCTCAACCAGTGGCTCATGATAAGGAGAAGCAAAGAATTTCTGAGCAGTGTGAGTTGGTAGAGACCCGGAAACGAATAAGGGACTACCGGGCACTTGTCGGTAGAGCGGACCGTACCTTCTACCACAAACACACTCGTCCTCACCAGTATTCCACAAACCGGCGGCAGTCCCCCCCATCTTACGCGTATATTCACCAACACAACCTATCGCCTAACCAAACAATCCAGACTGACGGAAGAACCAAGATGGCCTCTAAAGCAGCGATTTCTGACCCCATCACCGCAAGTGACATAATGGCTGTCGTCAAAGTATAGGAATGGGTCGACATGAAGCCAGAGGTACGCGCCTTTTTTTCTTTTTTATTATTATTTCGCCTTGTGCCTTCAGCCTGCTTGCATTATGGTACGAGCTAAGCTAGGTCTAGATCAACTGGGAGAAGCTGGCCGCCAAAGCCGGCTTCAAGGACGCTGCCACAGCCAGAGACCACTACGGAGCACTCCTTCAGCCCGGCGATACGGAGAGTCCTTGAAAACGAAATAAAGCCAATGCGCCCGTTGCAAAGGAGGCTCACGTCCAGACCGGAGATGGTGCCCGTCGCCAACTTACCTCTCACTACCTATACGACGAATTAGAGGACGGCGAGATTTGATGCACAGCCGGCTACTCGGGACGAATCCTCCTCGACGTGCGGTGATGACCTAACAGATGGGTAGACGGATGGACAGAGTTACTAGCAGGTACAAGATAAATGAGTGCAATGAACATGAAATCTCCGACCTGGTTATTCCTCAAGGATCATCTTAAAAGCGCGCCCCAATTTTGGAAAAAGATAGTAGCTCGATCCTTGTTAAATGATACGCCAGTCGTGACTTCGAGACAAGCTTCTTTATATGCCCTCGTAAAGAATTCATGATGCCATTATAAACATTTACAGTGTTGTCTTCCGCTTTTTCTTGTAGATTTTGAACTAGTAGTCGTAAATATTTCTTTGAGAATCAAGACCTACAGCTTCGTATGAGGCCCTAAGAACTTGAAAGAATAGCAGTTTCATGATATAGGCAAGATTTAACCTCTGACAAAGGGCGACATCTGCAAACGGCACTTAGATTCGAATTTCGTCTCACAGCTGTCTCAAGTCCATATTTAACTATGGTATATACCTTCCCTTCCCTTCCCTTCTCTCCTCCGCCCTTTAAAAGGTAGGTCGGTCACCTAGTATAAAACATTACACAAAGCGTCCCTTTATGTAACACTTTATAGATCTTGTTTTTTTTTTCCTGTTTCACAATAACGCATATGTTTCATCTATTAGTTTATAACCGTGTTTTAAAACTATTTTCCTATTTAAAAAACCCTTAAAGTAAGCCAACTATAAATAAATAGATATGTTATCATATAAACGACAGAATATATCTTCCGACTCCAACCTCGAACCCGACAATTTCCCACCCGAGTTCTACGACAGCCTTGATAAAATATTTCTTACAGAGCGCGCCCTCCGCGAGTTCGATCGTAGGAATACGTTAAACCCGGCTGGGCGCAAGGAGCAATATTCCGAACCACTACCATCCCTAGCCCGCTTTTCAAGACAAGGCGGCCCAGATACAACGGATCTTCGAGGAGTAAGCCTTGCCAAATCGCACCATAAAGTCGTGATTATTCACATACAGTCTAGTGCCCTGAGCCCGAAGACAACCCTGATATTAGCGAAATCGTGATGTCTTTACCGACAATGGCTGAATATCTATCGGAATCGACAATAGCTAGAATAAAAAATCCAGATGCTAAACGTGTGTCAGCCTATGATGCAAACTTTGAACAGATGATGGCCAAGTATGGGATTTATATGCCGCATCAGCCGTTTGAAGAACGTGAACTCCCCACTCCAGAGAATATGGATGATATCTATCAGGTGATGACCGAGAGGAGGCAATCCCTGGACCTAGGGGTTTTTACCGAAGAAGACTTTCAATCTGTAAAGGCGAAATTTCGAGATGTGTCAGAAGCCTGTGTCACGCACACCATTATTCCACACATACAAGAATGTGAAGCACACTCGAAGATCTCAAGCAGATATAACGACCTTTTTAACAATATGCAGGCGATAGGTTATAAGGGTGTAGTCAAACCTAAACCTGATATCTGGGACGGCACTCGTGCTATTGCGGTTCATACAACAGTAAAAGATGCATTGGGCATGTTTATCACACCGAAAACATCAGCTCAACATGCGTTGGTCGCACCCAACTTCTTTATTGAAGTGAAAGGCCCGCAAGGTTCACTTATCATTGCTGAGAGACAAGTCCTTAACGACGGAGCATATGGTGCTCGAGCTAGTAAGTATTTTCTAAAGTCTTCTTAATATAAGAACCTTTAGCTAACTTTTTTTCAGTGAATTCTCTTCAGAACTTCATGGCAGTGGAACCTTCGTTTGATAACAAGGCCTATACTTTTAGTGCAACATATATTGGCGGCATCTTGTCATTGTATGCTCATCATGTCACTTGTCCTAAGTCAGACTCCCCGGGTGGATTGCCTGAGTACTGGATGACTCTCCTTGATGCGTACAGCATGAAATCACATCGACGGGCTTTTGTTAGCGGAGCCACAGCCTTCCGCAACTTAAGAGAGCTAGCGTGGCGGAACCGAGAAGATGCTGTTCAGGCAGCGAACGCCAGGGTATTAGATCTTAAAGAATCTGACTTCAGTAAAGATAATAGAAACGATAGTAATGGCGAACGGCCCTTTCCATCCCCTTTGAAACATAGGAAATTAAATAAGAAATAAATAAAAGTTTATAATAATATATATAAATTATAAATTATTAATAAAAAATGAATATAAATTTGTAATGAATTTATTACTGTTATTATTTATTATAACTTAAGAATTTATATCTATTTTTAAAAGATGAATAAAATTTAAGATAATTAATTATCTATGATAAATTGTCACGAACTAATGTTCTGTAACCAACCTTTGCATTATGAGGAGTAGAGAAGGACCAATTATCGTAAAACCCTGGATGGGATTTCTGTTCTTGTGGGGCGATGGAGCAGAATAGAGTAGAAGAAAGCAGAATAGAATAAGTCAGAATAAAATGAAATAAGATAGAGTAGAAGAGGAAGATATTGGATTATATGAACTATTAGAATTTCTTATATATTTAATTATTCTTTTTAAAAGTTTTCTAATTATTAATCTAAGATTATTTTTTTAAATATAATGAGAGGATTTTAAGCCTTTTATCATAACCCAATAACTTACAATTATATCTTTCTAACTAGATAGGGTATCAGGTATCTAATTATGGAAAAACTACAGTAAGCAGTCTATTCTGTTAATTAACAGAGCATAATGCTCTATCTTGTTCCAGAATAGAACAGAGTAGAAAAGATATTGCTCTAGCTGGCTCCAGAATAGAAGAAAATAAAGCAAAATAGAAAAAAAAATATTAAATTATATAATCATAAATATTTCTTTTATATTTAATTATTCTTTTTATAAATTTTTTAATTATTAATTTAAGATTATTTTTTTAAATATAATAAGAAGATTTTAAGTTTCTTTAATAAATAGAATATATTTAATTATTTAACCTATTATTAATATTGTTATTTTTAAAATTAAGAAACCTTAGATTAATTAATTTAATAATAATTATACCTCTTTAAGAAATATGTCATGAACTAGTTTGGGGACAACCAGTTGAGCCATAAAGTAAAAGCTTCCCAGTGATTAATTGATCATTGAGAAGCTTTTGCTTTATGGTTTAATTAGTTATCCCCAAATTAGTTTATGATATAATAATCAATTTCACCTGTTAAAATAGAAGATATGGATTCAATTCCTATAATTATTAGATAAAAGCTTTATCATTTTCTGAGCTTTTAGGTAACATTGATAATAGATAGGTAAGGGATCTTAGTTAACAGGGGTGTCACCAGCTTAGAACCTTGGAATTTCCTTATATTATATTCTTAGTATATAGGTATAAGGTTTTATCTATCTTATATGGCATGATATGTATACCAGGAGGTATGAGGCTTAGTTCCCTTTATATGATATGGCATAGGGATATACCTTATAGAAAAAAGGTATGATATTATATTCCAAATTATGGGATAATATATATAATATAGAATTGGGGAATAATAACTAATTGATCATTGGGAAGTTTTTGCTTTATGGTTTAACTAATTATCCCTAAATTAGTTTGTGATAAAATAAGTTTATTATATTTTAATAATTTTTTAATCAATATTAATACTAAATTAAAAAATGATATAAATCATTTATAAGATATTCCTGTGACTATGACGATATACCAGAAGGTCAAGTACACTATATGGTAATGAATCTTTAAATTAAAAGGATTAGAGAATAATTATCATATCACAAACTAATTTGGGGACAACTAATTAAGCCATAAAGCAAAAGTTTCCTAGTAACCAATTAGTTACTATTCCTTAATTCTATATTATATATATTACCCCATAATTTAGAATATAATATCATACCTTTTTTCTATAAGGTATATCCTTATGCCATACTATATAAGGGGAATTAAACCTCATACCTCCTGGTATATATATCATGTTATAAAATGGACAAAGCCTTATACCTACACATTGAGAATATAATATAGGGAAACTCCAAGATTCCAAGCTGGTAATACCCCTACTAGCTAGGACCCCTTACCTGCCTACTATTAATATTGCCTAAAAGCTTAGAAAATAACAAAGCTTTTATCTAATAATTATGGGAATTAAACCTACATCTTTTATTTCAACAGATAAAATTAATCATTATATCATGAACTAATTTAGGGATAACTAGTTGAATCATAAAGTAAAAGCTTCCTAATGATTAATTGGTTACTGGGAAGCTTTTGCTTTATGGCTCAACTGGTTATCCCCAAACTAGTTCGTGACATATCAGTCTGAGTCTTTCAAGGGAATCCTCAAAGTTATATACTCCTCCACAATACTGGTTCACTCAAGGCCTATATCTTAAACTTCAGTTTTATTAGGCCATAAGCCCTCACAATTAAGCCCCCCCTCCATTAAATTTTCTTCATCTTTTGATTATGATTACCCATTTTTGTTGACGTACTCATCCCAAACAAGGGTATCTTATATGTATTCTATTGGTTCCCATATGAGATCTTCCTATCCTGTCCATTTAATCTTAACTAATCTTTGGCCTTTTTTATCTGTGATTATATCCACTATTGATTTAACAAAATATTCACCTTCTGTAACTTTAGGATTACCGTAACATTCTACTTCTGTAACTAATCCAGGTTCTTCCTTTGGGAATTCTTATAAAAATAATGGATTCGTTAATACCCAACATAATAGGCTTACATGGAAGATTAGGTGTATTCTTCTTGGTACATTTAGTCAGACTGTATGGCTACCTACTTATCCCAGGACTTTATAAGGTCTAGCTAGCCAATCTAACTTTCTTAAGGATCTTCTAATTTGGAGGTTTTTTATTTATAAATAAACTATATTCCCCTTTTTAAAATCCTTTACAAGTTATCTTCTCCTATTAACTACCTTTTTTTGGTTTTTATTAACTAATACCATAAAAGCCCTAATAAACCCCATAACCTCCTCTAATTTCTTAAACCATTTCTAAACATTAAATATTAGTAATCTTAAAGAAACTCCTATAATTTCCTTAACAAATATTATTACATTTTTATAATATCTATAATTAAAAAAAAATGATAATATTCCAATGTTCCCTATGGTTCTCCCATTTAAGATTAGTTAAACCTATGATAATAATTAAGCCTAATCATCTTATACATAAGAGCAGAAGTTCTTAATATATGCTTTCATTTCAGTATAGACTCTTTCTCAGGCTCTATCAGTCTCAAAGTAGTAGATAGTTAAGAATTGTCACTTGATATTAAATCTCCAATAGATTTCTTCCCAATAAAGTTATATAAACTGTGATCCCTAATCTAAAATTATTATTATTGATAATCCATAATATAAAAATACATGTATTAATAGTTGTTCAACTATTAATAATATAATGAGATCCTTTATTAAAATTAATATTTATACCTTTATCAACCAGTCAATAACGGCTAATATATAGTCTAAGCCTCCCGACAGTGGGAAGGACCTAATAAAATCCATCATAAATTCTGCCCATAATCTTTAAGATATTAATAATAATTTTAACAATCCCTTCTTCACTTCTCTCCAGATTTTACCCTTATTATAAATAAGATAATTTACTATAAACCTCTTAACATCCTTAATAAACCCAAACTAGGTATAATTCTTTAAAATTAAATCCCTAATAATAATCCATCTTGGATGCCTTATAAATTTAGAATTATAGATTCTTTAGATAAGCTTAGTTTGTAAAGGTTTATATCTAGGAATCCATAATTGATTATATTAAAGGGGTCTTCCTTAATCATCTATAGAGCATTCTAAGATTTGCCATGGAAAACCCTAATTATTAGGAAATAAATAAATATTATTAATAATTAATTTCTTAATCAGATGTTAATAATTATTATTCTTTAAGGCTTGGTCTTAGAGTAGACTTAGTTTATTGTTTTTAAATGGTGAAGATAGTTCCTTAATTACCATAGTCTTATCTTTTAGGTTATCCTGATTAGGGTTGGCCTGCCATGCTTCTTTCATAATTAAGGATGTAATTAATAACCTTATTTCTTTATCTAATTCTAAGGAATCTAGAGATGTTCCTAAAACCATTAAAAAATCTTTTCCTTATAGGGACAGAACCTTTTTTATCTTATATACCAGATGTTTATTAAAGATGTTAATAGGTATATCCTGACTTCTTCAGGAGAAAATATCTGCCATTACCATTTAAATTCTTAATTTATATTTAATTAAAAATTAATACTCCCCTAGATCCTAAAATTAATTTACCTATTTCTGAAAGAATTCTTGTCTTTCCTAGAAATACATAAGGTTCCAATGATCTAACCAGATTATAAAAGATATTCCCCTAAGGAAATATCCCCATTTTTTAATTATTTAATAAATGGCCAATATTTCCTTGTCATAGATCAGATAATTAATTTCCTCCTTGGAAAATTTTCTTAACCAAAAGGTTACTAAATGTTATAGTTTATTTAATCCCTTCTGTGAATATTTTACTCCTGAGGCATAACCAGAGGAATCATATAACAATGCAGTTTCCACCTCTAGGTTAAAGGATACCAGTGTTAATAGATTAACAAAAGCTTCCTTAAGTTTGTTGAAAACTTTTTGTACATTAGTATCCCAAGTAAAAGGAGTATTTTTCTTTATTAACACTATTAAGGACGCTATTATATTAGAATATCCATCCATAAAGTCCCTATAGAAATTAGCAAATCCCAAAAATCCTTATAGGTTATATAAGTTTGTTGGGGTTTGCCAATTAAGGATAATTTACATCTTCTTTAGGTTTACTTCTATGCCAATTCCTGGCCCTACTATGAAGCCTAGGAACTTAATTTTATCGGCCATGAATTGACATTTTCTGAGGTTATATTAGAGCCCTATGTCATCTAAAATCCTTAATACCTCCAGTATTAGGACCTAGTATTCTTTAGGGATATTCCCTTTATGGATCTTGATATTATTTATATAAGTTAATATCTTTTATCCAATCTATTTCTTTAAGATTTGGTTAATATATCTCTGGAATGTTATAAGGGCATTGGTTAAGCCAAATGATATCACAATATACTTAAACATTCCTAGTGGTGTTCTAAATGCCATTAATAATTCTAAACCTAA